GGACTGTGCTGCTGCGGACACCGGGAACGCGGGTTGTGGTGTGCGCGCAAGCGAAACGAACTCGTATGGTGCTCCGTTCAACGCTATGGGCGGCGGTGTCTACGCTAGTAAGTTATCATCCTATATCGGATGGCACGATGCTAATCGCGGGATTCTGCAATTGCAGCGCTATGGGACGACGACGGGATCAAGACCTGGTTCTTCCCGCGCAGCTCGATACCCTCAGACCTGTCGAGCAGTGCGCCACAGCCAACGACATGGGGCACGCCCATGGCCGCATTCGCGGCCTCGTCATGCGACCCGTTCAAGTACTTCTATCAGCACACAGCCATCTTTGACACCACCTTCTGGTATGTACCCCGTGAACACCAAGATCCGTGTTTCAGACGCTCACGTTTATTCCAGCGGTGATTGGGGAGGAGGCGTGTGGGACGCATCAGGCGTGCCCGGGCAGGACCAAAGCTGTGCCGCGCGCACCGGTGTCGCGTCATGCTCGGACTTCGTGCTTAATAACGGCGCCTCGTTCACTGAAGCCTGTGAGTACCAACGTGTCATTCACGTCGTCGCGCGCAGTGTCTCATGACATCTTTTCTGCAGACTGGGAGGTCAAGAGCGTCAAGATCTACCAAAAGAGCTCATAACGCGCTTCGCGCTGCAGTCCCGCCCAGTTTCGCTCCTGTGTGGACCCACCGCCGACCTTCGTTCTTGGATACATAACGCCCCAGCTCGCCTCCCCTGTCCTTCCTTTGTTGGTGATCGAGCGCACGTCAGTGTCAGATCGCCGATCGCCGATCGACCGCAGCGGACGACAAGGGCGGGGCGGCGGGCGCGCCCAAACAGTACTTGCGCCGACCGCGCACACATTGTACAACAACAAGAACGATTGGACGGAATTCTATAGAAGACGCCAGGCCGGATCCGCGTCAACCACCGACGCCGCTCACGACCTCCACGACTCATCTCATCTCACATCATCGCATCGCACCGCAATCTTCTGCACACAGCACACGGCTGCGAACTACACGCATACTCTGGCAGGACGAATGGATTTTTCGAATGGACTACAGCAGAATCATGTAACGCCACATCTTTCGGGTTATATGCACGATTTATAGAGGCCGTATGGAGGTGCCGCCGCGACCCGTGTTGTTACTTGTACTTACGCCCTGCCTGTATCATACCGTACCCGTCGTCGTTGCTCTGCTTTCGCAATGTACTTATCAGTTAGTATGCTTGTCCCCTCTTCCGCAAAAATGTTGCAAGCTGTTAGTGTATGATTCGAGATGATTCGCCGAAGCTTGTCTCCCCAGGAGGCTGCAATGTACGGGCGTCTTCGCCTCATTTAGGCGTGAGACGCCGGTTTGATCGCCGGCTTCGATGTTGGTTTGGCGGGGAGACCGACGCGTCTCGACGCGCGCCGCCGTTTGTCCGGTGTGCCACCCCGACCCAGTCACGGTGCATCCAGAGGCAGTGGCCACTCGCGTAGACGACTCACTTTTGTTCTCTTACCATCACTACAACCCACCCTACGTTCAAAAACCGTATCGCGCAGAAGGCCATGGAGGGCGAACCTCGCTGGGAAACGCTCCCGGGCTCTTCAAGCAAGCCGGGCGTAGGAAGCCCCACAAAGGCCACCCCCGGAGGAGCGCGTTTTCGACGCCCACTAGCGGCGGAGTCTTCGGAGAAGTTCGTCGTGTCTGATAGCGAAGAGGAACGGCAGCGGTCAGTGAACCTTGACGCTTTCTGAGTGCGTCTGTATATTCGAGGCTGACGAGTACATGCATGTGCTGCCGGCCTCGTTCTGGTCGTCCCTCGTTCCCGTTTGCTTCAAACTTCGTCACTTTCCTTCCCCCCCCCCTCCCCTCGGGCGTGACGCTGGGACACAGGCGCGTGAAGGCGAGGCGCGCCGTACTCGCCAATGTGAACATGAATGAGCTCCCAGTGATCGAGATATCCGACTCTGAAGACGAGGACGAGTCAAGGTGAGTGCATTATGATTCGGGTTGACTGCATCCACGAAATATAGAAGTCTTACTCAATGCGACCCTGCAGCATGTCCGTCGTCGCACAAAAGGGTGACTCCCAACTCTCAGCGGGGAATCCCGACGGCTCTGCCCAGCAAACCCCGCAGGCTACACGGACGCGCCTTTTGACACTCCATGCACGACGCGTGGTAGTAAGCTCTGACTCTGAAGCTGAGAACGGTGATGTCAAACAGGGTCGGCCAACCGCGACCCCTCAGGCAGCACCCCGGCGGAGGCTGCCACTGGACGACGATATCATAGACTTGACGGAAACTGCGCCCGGCTCAGATCACGAATGCGAGGAGCCTCAAAACGCTGTACCTGCCATAGACTCTGCGAAGACGAAGGAGAACACGCTGCAAAAGAAGGGCAAAGGCAAGGCGGGCTCTTCCACGACGGCCCTTGCATATGAGGAGGCCGAGAACATCATCCCGCTGTTCTTGGACGACGACAGCGACGACGACGCGGAGCAGGACAACGCCCCTGATGACCCCTTTGCTCTCGACGACGGGTCCATACTTGTTCTGTACGTCCCCCTACTAAATTGCACGAAGCTATACTGAGGATGATCATACACAGGAACGAGCCCCGCAGCGCCCGGAAGCCTATCCGGCGTCGCCTACCCCCCTCCTCCCGCGGGAACACCTCGAGTCCATTCACCCCCCTTCAACAATCGCAAACTCCAGACGACAACAACGGCCAAGACGCGTCCTCAGAAGACCAACTTGACGAGGACGTGTTCGAGGCTGTCAAGCCGAAGTCCCGCGCGACGCTCGTGCTGGAGTCGAACGCGCGCCCCGCACGCCCCAGCCCAGGCCCGAGCAAGCGCACCCCAGGCGCGGGCAAGGCGCCGCGTATGACGAAGAAACAGCAGCAGGAGGCAGAGCGAGAGCGTCTGCGAGCGTACGCGGCTGCCTTCTTCAAAGAGCTCAACGAGGGGGTCTTCGGCAGCGGCATACCGGAGGCTACGGAACTGGTGTGGAGCAAGCGGCTTCTGACGACCGCTGGGCGTGCACACTGGAAGAGGTAAGACGGGATTTCGATGCGCCTCGTTGGTGATGTGCAATGGTGTTGACTTTACGCGTTCAGGGACCGGCACGGAGTGGATACCACCTCGATACAGCTCGCGGAGAAGGTGCTGGATTGTGAAGGTTCGTGTGGGGTCCATCCTGGACACATGTATGGGGGAGGTGTTGACGGTGCTGCTGGTAGAACGCATACGGAACACGCTCTCGCATGAGATGTGCCACCTGGCGTGTTGGCTCATCAGCGACGCGCCGGACGAACAGCATGGGTCGATCTTCAAGAGCTGGTGAGTCGCCCTAACCCACGAGCGTGGGCGGTAAATGACCCTTCGCTTTAGGGCTCGCAAGGTTATGAAGAACCGATCCGACGTGGAAGTTACGGTCAGTGATGTTCTGGCTTCGTCATATTTTGACTAGCTCATGCTGTTCATGCAGACGAAACATGACTATGACATTAACCACAAGTTCAACTGGAGTGCGTCAATTACATGCGTCCGACGGTGTCGTTATGGTATGAGTACTGACCTGACAATCTATCCCAGAGTGTGAAGACTGTTCAAAGACGTAAGCTATTAGCATGTCCTTTCAATTTTAACAGTCCAGCTGAAAGGCCCGTGCTAGGTACGGCCGCCACACCAAGTCAATCCATCCGGAAGTCGATAGTTCGTCATGAACCATCCACAGGTTTACCCACCTCGCTCATGTAACTCTTTGCAGTGTGCGGCGTCTGCAAAGGCCGTCTCGTGCCACAGTTCACCACCAGAAAGCGTGCCCCAGGGACGCCCAAGGTCAAGGCGGACAGCCAAAACGCGGCGGCTCGCAGTCGAGGTGAGCCCTACCCCTCTCTCGTGTGCGTATTGAGCGCATCGTACTCAATGTCCACACCGCAGATTCGCCACTGCCAGCCATGCCGGGCGCGTTCCCCGCTACTCCGGCGGTGGGCAAGGAGCCGATCCGAGAGACTCGTGTATCCCTCGTGGTTTCGGACGACGATTCGGATATCGAGATCCTGGCGCACACCCTCAAGGGGGTGCAGATCACTGGCACCACCGGGGTCTGAACAACTTCGGTCCATGCTCTGTTCGGGCAAGGCGGTCGAGCTGCAACCTCCGATCGAATGGACTCGCGGACTACTTACATACTATTTCTCGGAATTTTCTTCAATTTGTGGGCGATATATTGCACCTTCTGTACTTGCTTCATGTAATGGGTGTCTGTGGTGTTTTTTGTGTGTTGAATAGGATTTAATTGTAAATTACTTCAGGGTGAAGGAGCTTTAGCGCGCAATCCAAATTCGGACGCTCAAAACGAAGCAGCCACTGGGTAATTCCGGCGGAGTCCAAACTGCCGTTGAACCTTAATCTTGCCTGCCACTGTACAGGACAACAGAAACTATCGCGCCGCGCACATCGACACTGACGGCAAGGCCACCGCACATCCTCCGGACAAGGCAAGCTCGCTCTCTGTGCACATACGACGGCCAATCTGACCTAGACGTTGCTTGCGGCTTGGATTCTGCAGTTCCTACTCTCCTCAAGACAGTACAAAATGACCCACGACGCCGTTTGGTTCTCCCGCCCCCGCAAGTTCGGCAAGGGCAGCCGTCAGTGGTGAGCCTCCTTCTCTACCCCTGTACAAGGCCCGTCGTGGAGGACTGGAGGCAATTGGATGAGAGAAGAATATGTGTGCTAACTGGTTGGCCCGCACAGCCGTCTCTGCGCGCACCAGGCTGGTCTCATCCGCAAGTACGGCCTTGACCTCTGCCGTCAGTGCTTCCGCGAAAAGGCTGCCTCCATCGGGTTCCAGAAGGTATGTGCTTTATGCTCTCACAGATGTTCGCCGTAATCTGACATGTCCTGTTTTCGTAGACCCGGTGAGAGCACCGCGCGGCGTCTCGTCTCGTTTCGCTCTCTGCCATCGCTCTCTGTTTCTTCGTCTCTCTGCACCACCTCGCGCGACGCACTAGAAAATGGGCCCCTCATGTATGCAGTAGTATGCCATGCTGAACACGACTCCACACACATGGGCTTCACCGGCCGTCGGGATATTGTCCCTTCTGTGTGCTCGCTTGGACATATCATCGTCAAAGAGAAGTTTGTTAGCTGCCGTGAGCTTTGTCTGCACGGAGAGCATGTTGTCCGCCGTCAACCCGTCCTAAAGTCATGAATGCTCTCGAATTGAGATGAGGTCCACTCTCGACTCGCGACTGAGTACACATCGTTACTAGGGTCATTTTGACATAATGCACTTTTGAGATGCCCTGTATAAATTCGCACAACGTACGCAAGGTACATACCTGGTCCACGGACTGCGAAGTCATTAATTATACACTATGCAGCAGCGGGCAGGTCGGTCAATATTGGCTGTACCGCCCGGCCTTGCGGCGCGGGCGGGCTGATTCAGTGCTGATTCGTGCTGGATCGGGCGATGCGTCTTGGCCGCGATCGAGCCTTCTACTCAACGCCTTGCTCTCCGCCACCACCTGCAATCATGCAACTGCGCTTGTATTCCCGTCTCCATTTGCATAGCGATCTTAAGCGGCCGTTCTAAGCGACAGACAACACATGCAAGATGGCAACGGCGGTAAAAGAAGGGTGCAAGACACAGCATACGCGTGGAACAAAAGGTCGCCTCGTGTTTGTACGTGCCCAAATGGGAGTTTGGCCCCGCAGTGCCTTTTGTGCCCAGCCCATTTCTCCACTCCCGCAGCAGCCACGCCAAAGCCTCTCTGCTTACCGTACTGCACCGTGCTTAGCCTGTGCGCACCTCGGAAAGTAGATAAGCTCTCGGCGACTGTGGTGCAATCACTTTTCTCCGCCCACGCGCCTTCTCCCGGACACTCCGAGTCCGTCCCTCGCAATCTTCACTTCTCTCCGGGCTGCGCCTGGGTTCTTTCCCCGTCTTTGACCACCACCACCGTCGCTCCTTCACACCCCGTCGACATTCGCCAGGATGCGCCTCAACCTCCACATCCCAGCCCTCGTCTTTCTCCTAGCCAACACCGCGCCCGCCGATGCCGGCCTTTTCGCTCGGAGTTCGGAGTCTCTCGTTAGGGCCGTGAACCGTGTCCACCACAGAGCAGCTAAGCGGAGTACAGGGCTGGCGAAGGATCTCCGTCGCGCGTTCTCTGGGATGCTATACGAGCAGGAGCTTGTCTCTACCAACCCCCAGAAGGTGTACTGTGTCAGCGGATCAAGCTTGACCAATGGTAGCGGCAGCAATGGTACATCCGATTCTTCATCTTCATCCTCTCCCTCCGGCACCAGTTCTGCGCGTTCGTCGGGAACTGCTCAGCACTCGTCAACAGCGTCCAGTCCTGCAGCCACTAGTACCGGCTCGTCCTCATCACCGTGGAAGGTTTTCAAGTCCTACGTGCGTGATACACTAGTTTTGCATCATTTCTTACCTGACCGTCTTGTGATTAGCAAGGGGACACGTTCTTCGACGGCTGGGACTTCTTCACCACTAGTGACCCTACTCATGGTAACGTGGACTTCATCGACCGTAACACGGCGGTGAGTATGCCCTTTCGACTTACCACGCCGGACCGGCTGCTGATGACCGGTACGCCAGAACTCTTCGAACCTAATTGAGATCAACTCGGATGGGCATGCTATCATGCGCGTCGAGACGACCGCGAAGGTGTCGGCGAACCGCAAGTCTGTGCGGATAACCACCACGGACACGTACACGGGCGCGCTCGTCGTGCTCGACGCGGTGCACATGCCGACCGGGTGCGCGACGTGGCCTGCGTTCTGGAGTAATGGCCCCAACTGGCCCGTAGGCGGCGAGATCGACATCGTTGAGGGCGTGAACACCAACTCGGACAACCAAGCAACGATCCACACCAGCCACGGCTGCACCATTCCGTCCAGCAACCCTTCCACGCTCGGCATCACCGGCACCGTTGTCGGCGGCACGAACTGCGCCGCCGCGGAGACGAGCAACGCGGGGTGCGGCATGGTCGCGACGCAGAGCAACACCTACGGCGTCGGCTTCAACAACAACGGGGGCGGCGTGTATGCGAGTGCGTCCATATTTTTCTCAAGGTGTGCACATGGGTGTGGAGACTGACACGGCGCGTCGCAGTGCAATGGGTCGATAGCGGTATTTCCGTCTGGTTCTTCCCGCGGAGCTCCATCCCCTCCGACCTCAGCTCCGGCGCGCCTGTGCCTAGCGGCTGGGGCACGCCCATGGCGCACTGGCCGTCCTCTGGCTGCGACCCGTCGACGTTCTTCAGCCAGCATTCCGCGATCTTCGACACCACTCTCTGGTACGCATTTGCGCGCTTAATATGGCGAAATGAAGACCTTCATGACTAACCATATTGCTTTGCACAGTGGTGACTGGGCCGGGAACGTCTGGGAGTCCGGAGGCTGCGCGGCGAGCACCGGTGTCTCGACGTGCGAGCAGTACGTGCAGGACAACGGCTCCGCGTTCAACGATGCTTGTGCGTGTTTCTCATCCCGGGGCCTCTCTGGCGCGCTTACTAACGCTGACGCCTCGTTTACAGACTGGGAGGTGAACTACGTGAAGGTCTACCAGACGTCGTAGGGCACCCTGCCATTCACGCTTGCTGCATGCGGCGCGCCGCCGCTTCCGCTTCGCTTGGGGTCCTGGTGGTCCGGGCGGGCTGGTTGCGGGTTATAGACACGGACGGACACGACATACGCCACGACAACACTTATGTGCACGGGTCTGGGATGTAGATGTATCACATTACTTTGGTGTATCATGTTAGGGGCAATACAGCTTTGTTATTAGAATGTCGGTGACGGGGCAGGGGCTGACTATACGTACTTCTGCCTGTCGTAGGAGTCAGGTAAGCGCCTCTCTCGTAACTTGATCGGCTACCACAACCTGCATAGAGGTCCACAGTCGCAAAGGTGCCAAATAATTCTTACCTTGATACAGGAAAGTGCAGAAGTGCGTTATTGAGAAGGGTGTCATAACGACGCTCCAAACATCAATATCACAAACTATAATGCCTGAGCTTCCAGGTGCGTCACAGCCCGTGGCGCTATTCCGCTGGAAGACTGGTGCCAGTTGACGTTTTCCCAGAGGTCGAACGCGCCACAAAACTGCTGCGGGAGGTCGCTGTGTCAAAGACAATTGTCGATATCGAGGCTGCAGAGGATACAATAGTCTTCTCAGGGATTTCCCATACAGAATTCGTGCGTCTTTCAGGCATCAACGTTCTGACGCGTCCCAAAGTGACCTCGGCCGTATTTTTCAGGCAGCCGAACTGAAGGGACGGGTTGTAGAGGACGCTCAAAGATATGGTCAGTCCGTCGAGATATTTATCCAAGCCCGTTGCCAATATGTAATTCACGAGTCCATGATCTCCGCAGGCAAGGTGTTCTACCTCACATTGAGCGGCGAAGGCCGACACCCCGTCATGCACTTCGGCATGACCGGGATGCTTCAGGTCAGTCTACATGCAGTGCCCCTTCATCCAGCTCTACTGGGCGGCGTGCTTACAGTAAAGTCTTGGTTCCGACCAGGTCAAAGGCCAACTTGCAACCTACTACCGGGAGACTCCCCGGAAAGCATCCACGGACTGGCCACCGCGCTTCATGACGGCGAGTGTGCCTTTGCGCACCCTCCTGCCCTCCCCACTGACAGTTCTCTTGACCAAACAGTTCATCCTCCACATCAAAGGACCCACAGACGCAGAGACAACGCAGGTCGCGTTCCTCGACGCACGCCGGCTCGGCCGCATCCGCTTATGTGCGTCCCCACTCACCGAACCCCCGATCTCCGCGCTCGGCTTCGACCCCATCCTCGGCATGCCCAGCGCGGACGACTTCAAGAAGGGGGTCCGCAAACGTTCGTGCCCTGTGAAGGCGCTGCTGCTCGACCAGTCGTTCAGCGCGGGGGTCGGCAACTGGGTAGCAGGTGCGTGTGCGCCTCTCGTCCCACCGGGATCATAGCGCGGTCGCTGAGGGACGGTTTGGCGTGGTCACTTAGACGAGATCCTGTATCATGCACGCGTGCATCCGGAGGAGCGTTGCAACGTGCTCTCTGATGAGCAGCTGGACGCTCTATTCAAGCAGACGTCCGAGGTCTGTCGGATAGCGGTATCAGTGAACGCCGACGACTCGCTGTTCCCCGAGGACTGGCTCTTCAAGCATCGTTGGGTAAGTTTTGCCCCCCCCAGCCGAGTTCGCAATCGAGACTCACTGAGTTTCCGGCGGCCTTAGGGGAAGGGGAAGAAAGAGAAGCACACGCTGAAGCTGGTGGGTTTGAGATGCTTTACTGCACGGCGTCTGATACTGAACATATGCATATGCTAGCCCGACGGGAAGCCTGCAACCATCAAGTGGATTACGGTCGGCGGACGCACCTCCGCCTACGTCGCAGAGCTTCAAAAGCTCCAGCGAGGTGCTATCCAATCCCGGTCTGCGGCGGACATGGTATGTCACCTCGCCTAAAATCTCTGCCCAAGGTAAGTATTGTTATACTCACCTTGGACTTTAGGATGGAGCGGAGGAAGACGAGAGTGACCTTACCCCTCTCTCAGGTGAAGACGAAGAGACAAGTACGAAGAAAGTCACTCGCAAACGGAAACGCAAGGTTTGTTCGTTTCTTCTGTCGTGTCTACTGCTCACGAACTAGTACGTTGTGCTAATGGCCCGTTAGGTGAAAGCGGAAGAGGGTGCAGCAACGCGAACCACCCGTCGAAAGGCAGCGCGTACAGGTCAACCTTGACACGGGAGAACTGATCCTGACTCGCGCATCCCACTCGCGGCCGACTGTAGTCATAAATAAAGTAGTTTGGACGGCTACATGAACCTCGTCGATCTTGCTATGTATATATTACACCTCCAGGCCCAAGAGTCAATGTACAATACTAGACAGATCTAATGGAACGACAGAACGATTACGAGAGGGGGCCTGACAAACACGAACGAAAGATACACAGAGCCATCCTGACCGATGAGAATACACGAGGGACATAACCGACCACATTCATCATCATACAACGCCAGACCAACGTCTCTTCCTTCCGACTTCACCTCGCGGCGTTCTGCTGGAACTGCTGTTGCTGTTGCGGGTACGGGACTCCATAGGGCGCACCCTGAATCTGCGGCTGAGCAAGAGCAATTTGCGGATGCTGCGGATGGCCCGGCATGTATCCGAAGGGGCCCGGCTGCTGTTGCTGTTGCTGCTGCTGAGCTGCTGGGGGGCCCTGGAGCTGTTGTTGTTGCTGTGCGTAGTTGTACGTGGGCTGAAGGACCCCGACGTTGAAGGAGGGGATGGGCGGACTGTAGACGATGTTGGTGGTGAAGTAGGGGTGTGTAAGCGCTTCCGCGGCCGAAATACGCTTTGAGGGGTCGAACTGGAGCAACCGTTCTAGGAGATCGATGGCTGACCGATGCATATTATTAGTTATGGTTATTTGAAACGACTGTTCAGGATTCCCCTACCATGCGCGGACGCCTTCGGCAAAACCTGAGAGAAGGGAATCTTCGGGTACCGAGGGTACTGCTTTTGTGCTTGGCCTTCCGTTTGCTGCCGAGATATTAGACGTCAATATCGTACCAAAGACGCGCATATATGCACCGTACCCCTTCAGTAGCAATCTTTCGTAGCACACGCTCGTCCGGCGTGCCGATGATACGCATGATGTGGAGGAGTTGGTCCTGGTTATCGCGTCCACGGAACAGAGGGACTCCAGAGATCATCTCGGCGAAGATGCACCCGCATGACCATACGTCGATGGACGTGCTGTATGTCCGTGAGCCCATGAGGACGTCGGGGGCGCGATACCACAGCGTAACGACCTAAATGAAAAGTCAGCTTAGGCGATGCAGATATTACGCAACACTGACCTCGTTGGAAAAGGTGTTCACTGGAACACCGAACGCCCTCGCCAAACCAAAGTCACCAAGCTTCAGCTCGCCTTTCCGGTTGATAAGCAAGTTCTGCGGCTTGAGATCACGGTGAAGGACCCTGTTCTCGTGGCAGAAGGCGGTGCCCTTGAGAAGTTGATACATGAAGCTCCGGACTGTGACGGGGTCGAGGGCGCCGCGATCGCCGTGAACATCCATGTACTTCTTGAGGTCCCGTTCGCAAAACTCGAAGATGAGCACGAGCTTCGTCTCGGTGTGTATCACGTCGTAGAGTCGGACGATGTTGACATGCTTCAGCTCCTTCATGAGCGAGATCTCGCGGATGGCGGTGGACGGCGTTCCTTCCTCTGCATCAAGGTGGATCTCCTTCAGGGCAACGATCTCGTTTGTTGTTCGCGAGCGACCCTTTTTACGGTGTTAGGGAGTGCGTTATCCCGCGTAGATGAGTACCATACCTTGTAGACGGTGGCGTACGTCCCCTCGCCTGTTCCGAGTGATCAGTAACGAATAGACCGTACCGCTAAATGCAAAGTATGCACCAAGTTTTTCAAGCTAAAGAAAGCATTAGCTAAATGCGACTTTCAGGAGTGCGCGATAAAAACTGACCTGGACGTAGTTCATGGCTGTTCACTAAATGTACGGGGCCGAAAAGATCGGGATGGTGTTCAAAGTTTGGTGTCGCAACGAGTCCGAAAGAGCTAGTTGTGCAGAGAAAAACAGAGACAGCTGAAGGAGTCCTGAGCGTATCCAGAGAGAGGGAAGAGGGAGATATCGGAGGCGGAGAGAAACCGGGGAGAGTGCGGTTGAGTTCCAAGAGTGAAGTGACGCCGAGCTCGAGTGTGCTCGCGCGCTTTCGGGTGCACGTGATCGGACGGCCTTGGGCGCTCAGCAAATCTTTTGCTTTCCGCGAACTTCATCTCTCCTTCCCCCTCAGGTGCGTCGGCTCCGTTTTTCGACGCTACTAGCACAATTCGAACGGCGTGGATAGAGAATGGCTCCCTCACCGCAAAAATCCAAAAAGTCCCGCACAAAACCGCCGCGCGGACGGCCTGCAGCAACTTCTGCCATCTCGCAACCCGCGGTCGAGGATGCCACAACCTCTACCTACCTCTCCTCGTTCTCGCCAGATGGGCAGCTCTTCGCTTTCTTGTCATTGGCGGTTGACAAGCATGCCCTGAAAGTATACGACACCTCGACACGGCGGTCGGTCGCAGAACATGTCGTAGACGCGGCGCGCGTAACTTCTCTGTGCTGGGCTAGGCTCGACCTCGCGGAAGGGCAGGGGAAGGGTGCGGAGGATGAGGATGCGTCCCGGAAAAGCAAGCGGAAGAAGAGGAGTAGCCTCTCAGCCGGTGCTGCGGCTCCTGGCGCTGCAGCACCCCAGCTGGTAGTGCTTGGTCTCTCGGACGGTTCGCTCCTTCTCTTCTCGCCTTCCCATGGCAGGCTGCTTCGGACACTTTCGGACCCTTCCAGTTCCACTGCTGTCCTTGCTGTTGCTGGTCAGGAGACGGAGTCGGGGGACCCACACACTCTCTGGACGTCAAGCTCGGACGGTGCTCTCCGCCTCTGGAATGCGCGGACAAACCAAGTCGCCCAGTCGCATTTCAGCGACGATCGAATACCATATACTGCGCTCTCTGTACGAAAATCAGAGGAGGAAGATGTAGTCGAAGTCCTCGCCGCACACCACTCGATACACCTCCTCGCAGTGTCCTCTGATACTCGGAAACCCAAAACACTAGCCAAGTTCACCGGGCACGCCTCCCCAGTAAGCGCATTGGCATGGGTGGACTCTGCCCGTTTCCTCTCTGTCGCATCTGCGGACCGCTTCGTGAACGTCTGGGAGCTACCAACCGCTCCGAAAACCGAAGGCAAAATTATCGCTACCATTCCCCTCGACTCCGACGCTCGTGCAGTCCACTTAGCCAACCCGCCATCTGCCGACTCGCCTGCGCAACGACTATTGTTCGCGTTATCAGCTGCAGGCAAGGTGGCCGTCTTCACTCTTACCTCCGACTTGGCGACGTCAAGTCCCTCGAAGGGCAAGAGCGCAATCCCCTCACTCAGCCCCAAGTCGGTCATTTCCCCTTCCTCCAAGAAAAATGCTGCGGCATTATCCGTTCTCGCGGTGTCGTCTGTAGATGATGCGGCTGGCCGTCTACGCGTTGCGTCTGTGAGCGGTGGGGTGCAGCTCGCGTTTGACATAGTGGTATGTCTTTCACACAGAGGTAGCTCACTGAACAGCTCATAATACCGTGTCGTAGGAGTACCGCGACCAGTCTGGGCACTTCGTCCCTGATGTTTCGGTTACCGTCGCCACTGCCGCCGCCGCAGTGGGTCAGACAGACGGCAAGGACGGTCTTGTGAGTACTCCGACCACATACTACGAGCTACACACTGATACGTGACACAGGGCGCGCCAAACAAGCGGTACAATGAAGCAGCAGGTCTTGCTGTGGGTACTGGAGCCGAGATCGGACAAGACCGCGAGCAGGATGACCTCGTTATGCGCGACATTGACGGCGCCCTCGACGCAGATCTTGCGGAGCTCAGCCTTGGTCAGCGGCTAACAGCCGTCCAAGGCGTAGACTCCCGCGCGCCTGGCTCTGACTCGGAGTCCGAGGCTGAGGACGCCGCCGTGCCTAATGGGAAGCCGCGTAAAGGCGCACCGGATGACGCGGTTCCTGCAAGCTCACTCACGCGCACACTCATCCAAGCTCTCCATTCGTCGGACTCGCGTTTGCTGGAGACGTGTCTTGCGCATTCGGACCCCACGCTCATCCGGAATACCGTCCGCAGACTGCCACCGCAGCTCGCAGTCCCGCTGGTCACCGCCTGCGTGGAGCGATTGAGCCGAGGCGCTCGAGGCAACAACATGAAGGGAGGCGGAGGGGGCGCGAGCTCCCAGCGCGGTACCGCCCTCATCAACTGGGTGAAAGCGGTCTTGACCACACACAGTGGCCATCTCATGACTGTATGTATGCACCTCTGTCAACATTTGCAAGACTAACTGACAACGATACAGATGCCAGACCTGGTCGCTCGGCTATCTGGCCTGCACGCAACGCTTACCCAGCGGTTGACGCTGCAAGAGAGCCTACTCTCGCTCAGTGGTCGTCTCGACATGGTCATTTCGCAAATCGAGATGCGCTCCTCGGGTCCCCCGGCACCTCTTCCTATGCCTAAGAACAGGCGCGGGCAGAACAAGCAAGCGAAAGCTCGTGAGGCGCGCCGGTATGTCGAAGGCGAGAGCGACGACGAAGATGAGGAGAAGATGGAGGTTGCGGTCGAGAGCGCCGATGAGGAGGGTAGTGTCGAAGACGTCGAGCTCGGCGGCGACAGCTCGGAGAGCGAGGGTGAGGGCGACTCCGTCGAGGGCTCCGACTCCGACGATGAAGACGAGGACTCGGACGACGATGGCGACGATCCCACTATGGGCGGCTTCATCGACGACGAAGCGGAGGAGTATAGCGAAGATGAGGACGAGGATGAAAGTGAATGATCCTTGGGTGTCATGACCCCTCTGGCCTTCCACTCCCTCACACACCGACCTTGAAAAGTATCGCTATTACCTACGAGACCCTCGTGCTGTAGATGCTCTGAATATATTCGCATATCGAGTCTCTCATCATCGTATGCAGTACACCAATAGGCTGCTACATAGCCAGCTGCGTGTATGCGCGCCACTGACGGGCGCTAGTGCCAGTGGCGGCCGATCGCGCTCGAAACTGACGCCATAGCCGAGCGCGGCGACAACAGCGACGACTTTGTCTCTTGTCTCTTGCCGCCATCTTCATCTCCAACATCCGTCTTTTGTCAGTTTAGGGCTTGATACCAGGGATTCAGAACTCTGTGACCCACTAGGACACTTTGGTTTCGGTTTGGTTTATCGCCGTCTTGGGTCTACGAATCTATCGCGCTTGGTTACTGCGGGCTGTCGAAGCAACTTGAAAGAGGGACATATACCACAGAAAGTACTGAAGTACGTTCTGAAGACACTCTACGCACAAATTCCTCCCCTGAACCGCGTCTTAGCCACTCCAACGACAACGCACCCCCATGGCCCAGAGGCAACCCACACGCGCATCCATAGAGGAGGACATCGAAGAGACCCAGCGGCAGATCCGCGACTCTGCTGAGCTTATCCAGTCCGCGTTTGACAGCCTCAGCAGCCTGCACGGCCGCGTCACAGAGGTCGTCTCCCAGCGTGCTCAAGGACGAACGCCCACCGCCCCAATAAGACGCACGCGTAGATCGGTTGAAGATACCTCGGGTAGTTCAAGAGGCGGAGATGGAAGCTCCATGGACCCCGGTCACGACGCTATCCTCCTCTCCTCTCCCCCAAACCCGCCTGCAACTACGGCAGAGTCTACAACCCTTGGTTCTTCGCCTCCGGGACGGCCCCGCGCCCCCGACTCCACGCTCTCCAACCTGCGCAGCGAAATTATGATGTCTACCGAGAGCGTGCGTAGTCGCGCAGGTGAGCTGGACGAGCTCCGTCGAACAATCGTTCTGCACACACAGGACCGACAGCGACAAGAGGCGCTTCAGCGCATTCTGCTCGATTCTCCACACAGACTGGCAGGCACCAGCGCGCGAGAGGTGTTCACAGCGGACTCCAGTGCTAATCGCTCCTCGATCTCGTCCCTCCCGGCACGTAGCCGGCGACAGCTACTTGAGTCTTCCCTCCGACAGCGTTCTGCGGATGACTCTGCTACCTCTCTCGGAGCAATGGTCACTGCGCGGGCGGAGACCCGCAGGATGTCCCAGCGCATATCCGAAGGAGTGTCTCCCGCTCGTGCCATCTTAGATACCCCGACGCTCCCGCCCATCGCGTCGACTTCTGCACCCGCTCAAACCCGCACCCCCGCTTCGCAGATGCCACCCGGAATAGCGACGCGTCTGTCGCGTCTCGCGCAGGAGATCCAGCAGGACATCTCCCGCATTGCGCAGCAGAGCGAGTCCTTGATGTCGTGGATCAACGAGCACCGTACCCGGCTCGACGCCGGTCTGGCTGCGGCGCGTCCTTCCGCTCCCGAGCGTGACCGTTCGCCCTCGCCCAGCGCCAACCGCACTCCGCGGCCTTCTCATGCCAGCATCGCTATCGCCGCCGCCGCCGCCACTTCCGCCCCGATACCCGAAACGGGCACCAGCATATCACCAAGGGGCATGACGTTCACCCCTCGTAATGTATCCTCCAGCACCGGTCAAGCACGCTCAGATACCAGGACGAGAGGCGAAGGAGATGAGAGCAGCACGGCGTTCCCGCGCATTCCATCGAGGCGACGGCTGGACGCTACGCAAGCTTACGGGTCGCTACGCGCTCAGACCGGCGAGGCGGTCGAATGGGCAACCCCTCCTTCCCGCGGTGCAAACCGTGATGGGCCGCTCGGTCGCAGCTCGCGCATGGACGGCGGCTCTCCCTCTTCAAGCACCCAAATACCCGCACTGGGAGCTTCCACACCAGGCTCAAGCAACGTGCTTCAGTCGGACCCTGAGCTCGCGCAGTCCATGGCCCGTGTCCGCAGCGCAATTGCCCTCGCCCGCGCCCGCCAGGCGCGGCGGCATGGCGGGGAAGACGACGACGAGCCGACCGAGACGCGGAATTACCGCGTCCGACGGCGGCTCAATGCAGACGGGGACGAGGACCAGCAGCGCGTCCCCATGCGCGCCATTCGCAACTTCTCGTGGCGCAGGGGCGAGAACCGCGATAGCTGGGACTTCGATGACGACGATGCGGACGCCAGGCGGGCGTGGGCGGAGGGGTCGACGTCGTATGACGATGATAGGGCCGAGGACGAAATCGCATGGTACGGCGCGCTGCAAAGGCTGGATGCCATGTCCCGCGACCGGGCGGGCAGCCAGACGGAGCAGCACCAGCGACGGTGGGAATCGATGTTCCGAATGGACGACGATGGGTCGCCCGTGGACGCTAACGGGGATGAAACTACGTACCCTGTCAACCTGGGACAGCGGGGTGAGTTCTTCGCGTGCCTTCACCGGTCCGCCCGAGACACAACACTGACTGCGCTTTGCCAATCAGCGATTGCCTCGAGCTCGAGCCGGCAAAGTAGTGACACCACTGCAGACCGAGCGAGCGAGTACGAGCGTAACCGGTCAGCGATGATTGCTCGCGCACATGCGTTGACCTCGTCAATGGCCACCCCGGGTTCGCTCAGCCGCTCCAGCACGACCCTTCCGCCGCCACCTCCTGCACCGCCCGCCGCCCGGCCGTTCTCGCTTGTGTCAACCACGCAGAACACACCCGGCTCGTTGTGGAACGACTCGGGCGTGCGCGTGCGCATTCGGTCAGCAGTCGCCCGCCTGGACGAAGACATGCGCGCACTCGACGCGGCCAGGGATCGGGCCCAGTCTTCCCAGCCGTTGATGCGCTCATCTTTCTGGCCGCCGGACTATGCGGACGGGGACCTGCCCAGCTCGCCTCTGGATCGCTCGATGGCCGCCGGGGCAGGCGATGGGGACCTGGAGCAGCCCGTCTGGGGCTCGCCGACGCCGTTCCACCCGAGCCCGCTGCCGCTGCCGCGGGTGGAGAATGTGAGTAGTTTGCAGGTGCGGAGTCGTGCGTATGGAGGCGCGAAGGTTGCGCGTATGTCGCGCCGCCGTGCTCCCGTGGCTGGTCGATGATCTTGCGGCTCGCGTCGATGCTCTCGACGCGCCGTTACTGTCACGGACATACAGCTCGAACGGGGCCCAGAGTTTCAAGAATCTGAAGGATCTTTCCCCTCTTGGCCACCGCTAGCTTTCTAGCCTTGCACCTGGATTCTGCCATGTCCGAACTACTATCTGCCCAATATGAAGATTCCCAGCTGTTCCGCTTCCACTGGAATCGGTTATCAGCTTTGAGTGTACTTCCCCTTCACGTTATCAAATCGAGAGGCCCCCGTTATACCTTTTCGCGACTCTTCGCGCGAGGCGGGTAACCAGCACTGCCAAGAGGTACACGGGTCTAGGCATGTACACCTATGTACACCCAGTGTACACCCGCGTCCTCCCCGCATCGCCGTCCGATGCAGCTGCTCAGGATTTTTTTTCGATGAGTCTATCGTTATGATATACAATAGATGTCTGGGCAGTGGAGGTTCCAATTGTGAGGAAGTAAGCTTCGAGTGCGGGGTTTTCACCGTGCACATGCACATCTGGGCTCCAAACTCATTCCATTTTTGAGAAGCCCCCCGCATCTAGGGAAACATCAAGCTGGGTAGCAAGGCTGACATCTGTGCCTCCGCTAGTGGAGCGGTCTGAACTTCGCGAATGGGCCCTCCCTGAAAGTGGTGTTTTTGACGAGTGTATTCATCATGGATGTCTTGATCTTGTGCTGTCAAATTGAAATCCTTCTTAGGTTAGATGGGATGACTGTTTGGCACGGCCCGAACGCAGCTGTGTGTCACCGGCCTGGGCAGAGGACGATGTAAGCGAGATGAGGTTTTTGAGGGGAAGTTGGGCGCGGCAGCCGAGGAGGAGGCCGGCCGCGTCGGGCGTGATGACCGGTATCGGACCGGAAGGAGATATGATACGCGACCACGTGAGTGTGACAGGCCCGTGCGTGACAGTAAAGTGCTCGAAAATCGACCGATTCCTGCGCGAGCCAATGGGAGGACGCGTAGAGCAGGGTGTGAAGGAGAGTGAGGGTGTTTGTAAGTGTGGCAGGATCGTTGTCTGGCCCGTTTGAAGCTTTCCTGTCCGGCGCTGTTCCCTCCCCTCAAGTACTCTCCTCCCCGTCCAGGACTCTCCTCACCGTCCAGCGACGACCATGGCGTCCGCTCTCAGAGACCGCTCGTCGTCCGCCGTCGTCCCCTCCATCACCGCCGACGTGCTCGACCACATCTCCATCCCCTCCTTCCTCTCCGCACCCGCAGGAACGGCGACATGGTTGTACACCACCCTCGCTATCGTCCTTAGTCTCCTCGCGCTCGAGCAATCTGTCTACCGGTATAAGAAGCGTCACCTGCCCGGTGACAACTGGACAATTCCTATCATCGGCAAGTTCGCGGACAGCGTGAAGCCCACGATGGAGGGCTACCTCAGGCAGTGGAATTCGGGTGCGCTCTCTGCGCTCAGCGTGTTCAACATGTGAGAACTCTTTTTCTTGGCGCGTGGCTCCGTTTATAGCTAGTCACTGACCATTTCCACGCTGCTGCCAAACTCAATTGCCTCCGTGTTGCTGTGCTCAATTTCTATGCACGCAGCTTCATCGTCATGGCGTCGTCAAACGAGTACTCGCGCAAGATTCTGAACTCGCCTACGCACGCCGAGCCGTGCCTGGTATACTCCGCGAAGCAGATCCTGCGCCCCGATAACTGGTAAGAAGCTGCCCCGTGCCATGCCCCACCCGTGATTAACCTTCCCGCGCGCCTCCGTCCAGGGTCTTCCTTACTGGAAAGGTTCATGTGGAGTACCGCCGCGTACTTAATGGCTTGTTCACTCGCAAGGCTCTTGGGTACGTAACATCTTTCTATGCTGTTTCTACCGCGGGTTTTGCTTCTTTCGTTTCGCCACGCATTCTGCGAATATTTAAGGGCCCAGATGGGTCCAGAAATGAGCTATATGCGCAGAGAGAGCCTATCAAATGCGTAACAGATGTTATCTGGTATAAGGCGCTTCCGGGTTTGTGTTATGCCTTGGCATTGAGTTGATAGCAGCGTCATGTGCCGTATACCAGGTCGTCGGATGTCCCGAACGGCTACTATATGCGCAGAGAACGCCAATCAAACGCGTAATCGTGTGTACTAGTCGCTATCTGGTATAAGGCGCTTCCGGGTTTGCGTTACGCCGTTGCATTGAGTTCATAACAGCGCCATGCGCCGTATACCAGGTTGTAGGATGCCACAAACGACTGTTCTTTGCGTGGCCATCTTCGATGGACTCCACCTGTCAAAATGCTTGCGTTTGCTTGGCTCTAACAGCGTACTGACCAACCATCTCTATCTAGTATCTACGTTGGCATTCAGGACCAGATTACCCGCAAGTACCTCAAGCAATGGCTCGCGGATGCTGCTGCGGACCCGTCCCCGAAGCCCATCATGATGACCTGCCGTGACCTGAACATGGAGACCTCTCTGCGCGTGTTCTGTGGAGAGCACATCAACGACGCCGCGGCACGCGAGATCGGCGAGAAGTACTGGTCGATCACCGTCGCGCTCGAGCTCGTCAACTTCCCGCTCGCGCTCCCCGGTACGAAGGTCTACAGGGCAATCCAGTGCCGCAAGGCCGCGCTCAAGCACCTCGAGAACGCGGCCGCGCTCAGCAAGAAGGCGATGGCCGCCGGCAAGGAGCCCGAGTGCATGCTCGACCACTGGGTGCGCTCGATGGAGGAGCCGACGTACAAGGGCCGCAAGGACTTCTCCGACCTCGAGATGGCCATGGTCGTCTTCTCCTTCCTCTTCGCGTCGCAAGACGCGATGAGCTCCGGCCTCATCTACGGCTTCCAGCACCTGACCGACCACCCCGAGATCCTCGCGAAGGTCCGCGCCGAGCAGGACCGCGTCCGCGCGGGCGACTACGAGCGCCCGGTGACGCTCGAGATGCTGGACGCCATGCCGTACCTGCGCGCGTTCGTGCGCGAGAGCCTGCGCGTGAAGCCCCCCGTCACGATGGTGCCGTACAAGACGCTCAAGGCGTTCCCGATCTCAGACGACTACACGGTACCGGTGGGGAGCATGGTCATCCCGTCGTTTTACAACTCGCTGCACGACCCGGAGGTGTTCCCGCAGCCGGACGAGCTTTCGCCTGAGCGCTGGCTGGACCCGGAGGGGAGCGCGAACCAGAACCCGAAGAACTACCTCGTGTTCGGGAGCGGGCCGCATAAGTGCATCGGGCTCGAGTACGCGATGATGAACATGGCGCTCGTGCTTGCGGACGCGGTCGCGCTCATGGACTTTGAGCATGTGCGCACGGAGCAGAGCGACAAGGTCCAGTGAGTACCCTTTTTCCGCGTTCCCCGCAGCGACGTCATTGCTAACATGTACCCGCAGGATCATTGCGACGCTCTTCCCCCAGGACGGCTGTCTGATGAAGTTCACCCCGCGCGTGCACGCATGAGCACGCCGTTCCGGTCCAGAGGCGGCCTGCGCCGCGCACGCGTACCTACGGGGCGAAAGTACTATTATTCATACGACCCACATACCTACCGACCTTCCCGTTACCCTAGTAGACGCAGACCTCGCATGGCTGCCCCCCACCGTTCGCTGCTCTCCGCTCGCTGTTTCTTGCACCAATCATCATATATCCGCATTACCATCCTCGGTTTGCTGGTACCACGGACGACTGGTGTGCGGATGTGTATGGCGGCGGCGGGAGTGTTGTCGGTGGATGCGCGGACCCACCCACCCAATCGAAAGTACAAAGCTTACGGTGTATCAGTTTTCTTTGGTTCCCTGTCACGACCTCACGGCCACGACTCGATGTCTACTACAAGTTCGCATTATTCATTGTGCATGATGATCTGCCTCCGTCTGCTATGTTTCGTGACGTTACTTTTGGTATCAACGTAAGCACTGTACATACAGCTGCAGCTGCCCACCGGCACGGTGTAGTCGTCCGAGATCGAGATCGGAAATGCCTTCACTACAAATAGAGCCAAACGAAAAAAGTAACCCCTTCACTACAAACAGTGCCAAACGAAATAAGGAGGAAATTTCAATAACACGGTCTATATGTATGCCTGTTATGGTAGAGATGCATATGATGTCATCGGAATCCTTGAGCAGTCTATCATTCATTCTACGCGCATGTTGTGCTCGAGTAAGTGAGTATAGAATTCCGGGTGAGTACAGAAGTGACATGAGTGGGTACAGAAGTGGGTGAGTACAGAGCATATGGTCTACAACAAAGGAAATCCCAGCGTCCGGGCTGCCTATAGGTAGTTAGAAATAACGAAACTTTAGAGATGTACGTAGATACTAGAACACGGATAGAGATGTGCGGATATGGAGGCGTGGTACAACAACAGTAGCAGAGAGATGAGCAGGCATGGTATGATAGAGGCGTACATGTGGTATCGTCCAGTCGATGGTATTGGTCGGTATAGTGGTTTTGTGGGCGTTCGCAACCCAAGAGTGTCCCCTGTCGATCGACCCCCCGCGAGCAGTCAACGCCGCGCCCACCACTCACCCTTCGCGCTCGCCTTCGCGCTCTGCTTAGCCGCGTTCGCTAAAGCCGCAATCTTGTTGCCCTTCAGCCAGGCGCCATGTATATCCCCGATACAACGCGAGCCGGCCGACCCCTTGAGATGCCGCCCGAGCGCGTCCCTGCGAGAGACGGCGAGCCAACACCCGCCCACCATGTCCACCTCCCCATACTTTCGCACCTGTTTCTGGATGGGCAGCACTGCCGCCGGCAAGGTAGGGTCCTGTGGCACGTACCCATGCTTGACGGCCAGTGCCACGGGCAACCCACAGCACAACCACTTATCAGGGTCGTCGATATGTGTCAGAATATGACGATTGAGATCCGCCGACGACCTCGACGTCCAGTCCTGGTTGCAGTAGGGACAGCCGCCCGGGCGCGGGCTCGAGGGCGTGGATGGGGCGGGGAGCGCGGCGGAGGGGTCGACGCGGCGGTTGCGCCGCGGGGTCGTCTTTACAGGGCTAGTGCCGCCGTCGGATGCCGGGCTGAAGGCAGAGGAGGACGCACGCGCGTTCCGGGATGAGGATGTGGGGTAGGGAGCCGCGGCTTGCACGCGCTTCTTGCCCTCGCGTTTCGAGGGCGCGGCCCCGTCGCGCACACCCGAGCTCTGCATCAGATCCAGGCGGGTGCGGACGGATTTCACGGCATCGTCCATGTGCTCGTCCCCCACGAGCACGAGCGGAGAGGCGGCGAGGGAGGATGGGGTGGGGGGCGGGAGGGTGGACGGCGCCGAGGAGACGTCCGTGCCCGAGACCGCAAGAGACGGACACGGGGAGGGAGGGGCGAAGTAAAAGTCGTCAAAAGAAAGCCCCCGCACGACCGGGAAGGGCTCCAGCTGAGGGAGCACTTCCATCTGTGCTAGGCGTGCGGGCGTGGGGGGGAGTGGGGGTGCGTACGCGACGAAGGGCGCGGCGAAGACGGGAAGGGGGTTGACATCCTCAGCTTCGGGATCCCCATCCGGGGCCGCGGGGTCCTCGAACATCTTAGGGTCAATCCATTCATCGAATTCGCGCAGGAATTTGGCCTCTTCCGTGTCAATGTGCGCGTTCGGGTCCGACATATCGAGGGTAGGGTCGGCGGGCGATGGTGCGTGGAGGACAGCTGAACGCGCTGGGGAAAGCGAAGGAGATGGAGGAAAGCAGAGCAGCGCGAGACGCGCAATTTAAAGGCATAGCGGGATGCATGCTGCAGCACCACAAAGACTGTCGAGACAAAGGATGCGAATTCGAGGCAGAGTGGGTGCGGCGGGAGACTCGTAGCAGAGGAACCCCGCGATTTCTCGCTGTAGAGAGCAAGATAGACGCCCGCCGTCATGGCCCAAAAGGGGTATCTACCTGGCCAAAAGCCCACAAATTCCTAAACACTCGCCACAAATCGCGAGCGACAGGCATAATATTCAAGGTTTTCAGAGTGGCATTCCCACGCCTCCCCGAATGCATTTCGTTCAGGCACATGCATCATACATGTACACCCTCTCCCTTACTGCCCACAGTTATTTTCATTCTATCTGGGCGTGTCGCCGACAACATGGACTGCAGCACTCCGGGTTCCATCGTCACATCGAGCCCGTACTTGACGCCAAAAGTTTGTGGCACGGCGGCCGGCCGAGAAGGTGGGTGCAGCCTTACAACGAAAACTACAACGCGACAGGATTTTTTTAACCGACGGCACTTCTCGCGGCAGAGCTGACGAGGCCCGCCTTTCTACAGGACCCTCAAAAGACGCGGGACACGTGCGGCGCGTGGCGTCGCAGCCACAAACGGAAGTTGAGGCAAACACCTCAGGTACTCTGACGAAGCAGCCGGAACAGTACTGAACACGAGGCGAGCACGAGGCGTTCAAGGAGCCTCGGAGTTGCACCCGTCACCCGGAGTCGGGCGGCGGAAGCCTAGATCTACGCTCGTCGCTGAGACCCTAGAAGTCGCAGTGCACGCCCCGCGAGCCGTGCGTACACAAACGCCATTTTGCAACCGACGTCGCCCCGCAAAGCTCTTGACACCAAGTCAGTCCTCGGATGGTCTGCGCGCGAGGCGGTGACCGCGCACAAAGCCCTCTGTGGCGGAAGACGAGGGGTATCCTGCACGAGGTAGCGCAGAAGCTTCCGAGCGCCATCCCCGAATCTCCGCAAGACAACGTTGCTATCGAGATCGGAGCAACCCATGCGGCGTGAGGGCACGGCACGAGGTAGGTTCGACGTGAATCGCCAGCAGCCTCTCGTTCGGGGCGGCTGACCCTCGAAAGTATGTCCACTGGGAGACGGGACATGTTCACTACTACCAGTACGTGGCGACATGTACTGTTCGCCCGACGCTGGGTACACTAGCGGGCTAACGCGTATGCCGGGAGGCGGAAGACAATGTTGGGCCCGAGGCATTTACTCGCCCCCGCTAGCCCAGTATCAAGCTCAGACATAGCGTCACAGCTTTGCGCCGCTCCTCCATACGTGAGTGCCCTCATTATTATTATTATTATTATAATCCGAGTTTATTATCCGCTGCAGGGAGATTCCCTATGTCAGATAGTACATACAGGAGGAGTGGACTACGAGAGGGGCGCGAGATGGGACGTGTGCATGGGAAGAGTGCCCTCAAATCGGATGTTCCATCCCAGACTCAAGGATGCTATCGACAGGAGATCGTCCTCCGTCTGTGTTCTGAGGTGGGCATACACACGCGAACCGCACGCCTTCGAATGTGGGATTGACACGGGCTTCCACGTGCGGACACGCCTTCTGACAGATCGGATGTGGACAAAGGGCCTCGGGAGAGAGTCGGAGGGGTGCGATTGGGCCGGCGCTGCGGTGCCACTCGATGCTGCACTAAACCACGTCCGGACTCCCAGGAACAGCATTAGGTTTTTGCTCTCAAAGAGGAAGGACGGCGGACAGAAGGCCCCAAAGACTGCCAAGTCCCCGCCGCCGCGGAGACTAGACCTCCCCTTCTTTCCCCTCCTCAGAGTCCCCAGCTTGATGCGAGCGACACGCCGGCCCGAGTCGACGGTGGAAGACAACCAATCCCCGCCGTGCCTGGCTTGTCTCCCGTACGCACCGCATAGTATACACCCCGAAACTTACAATGGAACGACGCACTCCATGAACCCTATAACCACGTCCTAACCCGTCTAAACGACCTTCACAACGCCCCCGCGCGCACTCTCCTGGATGCTCCCAAAGCTCTGGCTCTCTGCGGCACCCACAATGCAAGCAGCGTCAGTGATGCCCCCGTACAGCACTTGCACAGCACACCGACGCACCTCCTTGCCTGCCCAGCGAGTTCGGCCGCAGCGGCGAGAGCGTATGCAGCGTCGACACGGGGGTCGTCGGCGACTCCGCCGCGCCCGCCGTCCCCCACTCAGGTCTGCTCAGCACGCTCACCGGACTGCTCCCTCCCGCCCCAGCCCCAGCGCCCGCCGTCGCCATTGCGCCATATCCCCAACTCGGCCCCGCGCCCATGTTCGCGCCGCCCGACTCGGCCGCCGCGGCGCTCCGGAGGTACGCCGTGGAGGGTGCGACCCGCCGCCGCCGCCGCTTGCGCAGGTACACGAGCAGGCCGCCTATGAGTCCGGCGACGATGAGGGTCCCAATGACGACCACGACGACGATGAGGATGATCATGCTGCGGGCTGTCCCTGTCGAACTGCTGGCATGCTCCGTAGGCCCTGCGGCTGCGGATGTGAAGGTGGAGGAGGCGGTGGGTGTGCTCGTGGCCGTAAGGAAGACATCGGTGCTTGCGGTCGAGGATAATGAGAGGATGGGGGGTGGCAGCGGGACGGACGTGGGTGAGAGCGAATCCGATGCCGTGGTCTGTCCTGCGGCTAGGATGGTGCCGGTGAGGGGCACGATGTCCGTCGCGGTGGTCTCGATATGTGCGACCCGGCTATGAACAACATATCGTGCGTCAGATCGTGTGTCTTCCTGGGCCGTGCGGGCGAAGAGGGCACGAAAATACTGACTGTGAGTGCGCATCGATGTCGAGTGATGATGATGTGTCGCCGTTTTCATTTTTCCGTGGTGACATTACGGGTGTAGGATCCTAGTGCATAACCAGCGCTGAAGAAGTCCAAGGACTGTCGATATCCCAGATACCAGCAGATCGAAGTCTGAAGTCTGAAGAAAGCAAGCGCAAGGTTTGTTGGGCAGCGTTAACTGACAGCCCCAGGGCAGGGCAGGGGGCGCGGCGGTGGCGGCAGCAGGAAACAAGACCGGGATCCCAGCGGGGGCATCGACCGCGGTACTTGTCCTGCTCGTATCAGGTTTGCAGGTCCGCCCGGGCTGATTGATGCGAGGCTGCTGGGAGGCGAGCGACGGGTTATGGGCACGGACGGCGACTTCGACGTGGGGGGCGCTGCCCCGCTGCCGTAAGAAACCCCCAAGGTGCTGTGCAGAATATGTGCAGGGGGCGCGCAATCAGCGTGTGTTGGATGCTGCCAGACGGTGGTGATGGTGGCAGCCCGCTGATCCCCGTCACTGCGGCCTAACGCTCTGTCAGTCTCGTCTCCCTGGGATGTCGCGCGACTGAGTCGAGTTCGCTGCTGCTTGTAGCGGCCAGAAGTGCCCCAAGAGACCGTAGCAACGTATACGAGATTGAGCGCACATTTCCACAATGTTTGGACGGCGGAAGCAGAGAACGCCATTGAGATGTGTCTTGATTACTTCTCATCAGCCGGGTAAAGCCGAACTTGCTGATCGTGCTAGGGATACTGGCCGTAACTGACGTGATCTTCGAGTTCCCCGAGATCGATTCGTGGTCGTGCAGTCAGCAGCGCGCAGGGCTTGGCAAGGAGAGCTCGTCGCCGGACACGTCGTGGGCGTGAGCAACCCGCCGCCCGCAGCCGCGCGTATTTGACGCGCCGCCCGATATTGCACGCGTGCCGTCATTCCACGTGACCGCGTCCCAGTGACGTCAAGCTACGATGGCTGGCGTCCGCGACAGGAAACGGACTTGCGCCGTTGGATCTCGCGCTCCTCACCGCGTAATAGCGTGCGCTGACGAGTGACGCACCGACGTCATCTCTCCAGCGCACAGACTACTTCAAGCGCGGGGCCGTCGCTCGTCTCCTCCCACCCACAACAACCCACCATCCGCCAAACTCTCTTCTTACCACCACCACCACCCTCTCATCAACATCACGATGTCCATGTTCCGCACTGCGTTCTCTGCCTCGGCTCGCTCTGCTATTGCGAGCAGCTCGCGTGGATTCCACTCGACGCCCGCGGCGTTCAAGGTGACGGAGAAGGTCGCCGAGGTTGCCGACAAGGTATGCTGCTACTCATGCGAAGTAAAAGACGAGGTATTCATCACACGGCTCTGTAGGTGAACAAGAAGGTCGGCCAGACTCTCGCATCTGCCATTGAGAAGGGTGAGGAGGCCACAGAAAAGACCAAGGAGACTCTCGGTGAGTATATGCTATGCGTTACAACCACCCATGCGTTGTTGACCAGTCGTGGCACTCTGTCAGGCACCGCCAAGGAGAAGGCATCCGAGGCATCATCAGTAGCAGGCCAGAAGGCGAACCAGGTATGTCCAAAATGGTTTTGAACGTCGTATATATGCTCACCATTCCTGTAGACTGCTGCTGGTGCCCGGGAAGGTGCACGGGACTTCAAGGCTGATGTCAAGAAGGAGGCTCGCAAGTAAATCCGACGACCTTGTCCCATGACTGTATCAACACCCACACTGTATAATAGCCATACATTCGCTCTGAACTCGCCATAATTTTACCTTGACGATGAGTCCTCCATCTAACGCTCAAAGTGTGTGCATGAAGGTGGAAGACGCTTTTGAGTCCTACGACTTTTTACAATGCTAGTAAGCTCACGTTAGCTAGTCAACAGTTCTCGGTTAGTAAGGTCACTACTACTCGGTAAGGCTAATCACACGCATTTCAATAAAATGTAGACTGGGTCAATCTTCGGCAAATTCAAATCTAGGTCCCATCAGACTGTTAACGTTCACACCGACAGGGCCTGAAGGATGTGCAGACCGCCTGAGACCGATATGCGGCATGCCTCGATCTTCTCAAAGGTACCGAACCGTCAACGATACCAGGTCATGACCGCTGAATTGACAACAACAGCATGCTCACCGTCCTCGGACCTCCTTGTCCTTCAAACTCATCTAGGCGACCGTACCTTCGCCCGGCAGGCAAGTGGGGACTGCGCTAGGGCCTTGTAATGACATCCTGCCGGTCTTCTCTCCAGCCCCTACTCTGGACAACATACCTGATCTGGACAACATGTTCATACTGGTCTGCGTCGGCGACGGTCCTCAACGTCACCATCGATGATACCTACGGAGACACGCTCACTGGGGGTTCAATGCACTACTCCCCGGAGAACGCATGGAAGGCGAACTTGAACTGTACGGGCTGCAAGGCGCAGCCGGACCCGCTATCCGCACTCGGCGGGACTTGGCACGAGAGTGCTATACCGCAGAGCGGGTCTGCCGTTGTCCCTACAGTCGTAGTCGAATTTGAAGGTACGCATTCCTCGTTTCAATGAGCGACGGCGCGCTGAGCTGGATGTATGCTAGGATCCGCGGTGTATGTGTACTGCATAATCCCGGACTCACGCGCAAGCGTAGATGGCTTCCCAAATATGCGCTTCGTGCTTGATGGCGTGCTCGCCGGATCGTACTCGCTGAAGCCGCCCGCGGGGACCGGGGCGTACGACTACCACACGCTCGTGTTCGCGAGCCAGTCGCTCGCGTCAGAGTTGCACGTCCTGGAGATTGAGAACGGCGTGCCCCAGTCTGGGGGGTCGATTCTCCTGCTGGATTACATCCTGTATACGTACGTCTCGCATGCACATACTGGGTACTTCTTGTCTCGCAAGTAGACATGCACTAACACAGCATTCCCCCCAGCACGGACGCTAACGTCACGAGCGTTGCAACGAATGTATCCTCCATCCCCCTTTCCACCGTGTCCGCATCCGCGACCCCGATCCCTACGACCCAACCGACCGGTGGCCTCTCCCAACCTGGCGGGAGCGGGTACTCAAACATCCTGCGCATAGCCCTCGGCGTAACGTTCGGAGGCGGACTCCTGGTGACCGCGGCACTCGCGTGGGCGACCGCGTGGTACAACAAGCGCAAACGGCAACAACGCGTCGCGCCCTCGACAGAGTTCATGCGACAGATCGAGATGGGAGATGCACCAACGTTCGGCGGTGCGAGATCGGGGCCGGGGATGGGTGCCAGTGTCAGCGCAGCGGAGGGGGCGGGGCGGACGACGCGAGAGCCTTCGAGTCCTGCGGCGGGGGCTCTGACGGAAGCTATGGGTGTAGCTGTCAGTGGTGCGTGTGTAGCAACGGCTGTGGCTGGGATGGTTGCGCTTACGTATGTCTTCTGCGCATCCATATGTCAGATGAAGCTGGGCCCTCTTCTGGGATCCTGGAGGTGTCGAGGTAGCATGGCCTCGGCCAATATACCAGTGTATGTTGCGCAGAACTTGCCTGAGGTTGCTGCTATGTTGGATGGCCTGTCCCTCGGATACCTGTGCATGGCGTGGTCAGAGAGGGCCGTCCATGTATTTTCAAACTAACCTCGAGGAGACCTTCGTCGAGACCCAATGTACGGCCGTCTAAGTCACGTTGGCGTATGTACAGTCGCTGCCACGACGGGAACTCGCTCGTTTCCTCTGGCCGAAAACGGAGCAAAAATCCCACCGGCGTAGTAACCTTTTCGTATGTTGTCCTCTTTTTCGACGAAAAGCCTTTGAAAAGGCTCGTGCACGTGACAAACTTACGAAAAGGTAACTGCTTGCCGCGCCTTTTCTACAGGTTTTCCGAAGAGGAAAACGCGCTCATCCCCGCCGTGTGCTGGATTCACCGCGTTGGGACATACACCGTCGCGATCACGTGCACGCGTGCGGTGCCGACGTCGACACGCGGGTTGTCCTCGTTCCCTTCACATCGTGCCTAAGTTCCTCGCCGGGTGCGTCACACCGGAGTGGGGGGTACAATCGAGGGGCAGACAGCGCGCATGAGGGTTTGACTTTGACCACCACCACCACCACCACCACCACCACCACCGCCTGCCCGAGTGCTGCCTTGCTCAAATCCTCCCATCCGGGAGCACTGGCACTCGACGTCGTCTCCGCCTTCCATCTGTCTGCGATTGCCGGCTTCATGCTTTGCGGCACACCACGCGCACGAGATACCACGAGCCTCAGCCTCCTCGCGGTCCGGACTCGCCACAGCAGTGGCCCCTGCGCCTGTCGATATTGCGGCACCTCCAAGTCAAATGAGCATCCGTGTACCAATGTCTCGGAGGTCCGTCCAGTCTGTCCCCCGTATCACTCGCCAACTGACAACAATCGCCCACAAATAGCAGCTGCTCCAAGGACGTGCTGTAGGCGTGAGGCACGGCCAGCGACGCGTTCCACGCACGCCACCGCCGTCCGCGCACCCCTACGCGACAGCCGTCATACAGCAGCACTTGAGCTGAGCCCTATTCTTGCCGGGCACGGCGATTGCCCTCACGGTCGTCAGTGGGTGAGTGCCGCAGATCTCCCGTCATCCCCAGAAGGCGCCTCGTGCGCGATAATCGCGAAGGAAAAACGTCTCTTTGCGTCGCTTTCCCACCCGGAGACACTTTGTGGGCCGCTCCGTCCACCTTCGTCCACCTTCGAAGCGCCTGCATCATTTACACTGGCTATATGCGCACCCCTGCCACACAAGACAGCGATACGGTGCCGCCGTGTATCGCCCGTCATTCGGGACACTGGCGAGCCGGAGGCGGCTGCCCACGCCTCCACGCCCGCCATATGCACTCGACAGCGCAGCGGCGTCGGGCCCATCGGGTGGGCGCGTGAACGTCGAAGACTCGCGGTGGATGCGCCTCGACGCCTCGAGTGTCTCTGCACACGCCCAGCCGCCGTCATATGTATGCTTGGCCACGCTCGCTGCCGCTATGCCTGTGCACGAACAGACTTGTCAGATTGACAGGTGCGTCGATGATTGCACGTTGATGTGCATGCACTCACCCGGGTATGCGTCACGGTGCGCTGCAGCGCATTCGCACAGTGCCGCGGCGGAGACAGCGCAAAGTTAAGCTCGATCGCGGCCGCTCCGCCAGAACCTACGGACGCCGCTGCGGCCGTGACGCAGCCGTCGAGCTCGCCCGGCTCGAGCTCTTGTTCCGGTGCGCTGCGGGAGCATCGAATGCACGGTGATTAACTGGTCGCGAGAGTTGCGGAGGAGTACTGAGAGGCACGCGGAGGGCTCCGGGGCGCGCAGCCAATCGCGTCGGCCGGTGGCGGTGGGCACGCGGGCGGGGACGACTGCTCAAAACGGCAGCTGGCATTGGTGGTGGCCGGGCGTCTAGAGCATATGGCGACGACAGACAAGCTTCCTGATGAACAACGGGACCAACGGGAGCTGCTCACTGGCTGCTCGCTGTCTAGACCGCCGGGGCCGGGGTGCCCCTCTGGAGAACGCCGGACGAGCACTCTGCAATCTCTCCCGCGGTCGACGCCATGTCAAAGTCCCCGCCTCTCTCCCTCACCTCCCTTCCACCCGTCTTCTGCCTCCCCAGGCACCGCCCTGCGCTGCCCCCCTCCCCTCCTTTACCACCATACTTAATCCGACGCGGACGACGGCGGGCGCCCGCCTAGTCCCCGCCTCGTAATCGAAATCTCTGCCGGCAATGCGCCCCCGCGCAGACGCGCCCTTGCTGCTGCTGCTCTGTGCTATCGCGGCGTCTCCCCTCGCGCGCATCTCTGTATCCGCGGCCCTGGTTAACGTCACCATCGACGACACGTTCGGAGACGAGTCCAACGGGAACCAGATCTCCTACGAGCCGCCAACATTGTGGAGTGTTGGGCAGAGCTGCATAGGGTGTACGGCGCACCCCGATCCTACGCTTACATTCAACGGGACCTGGCACGACTCGACGTACAACGAGACGCAGAATAATGACCCATCCGTCCAGGTATCTACTGCGGCAGCAGTGTTCAACGGTGCGTTCACTTTTTTGTGTTCCGATTCAGGCCGACTCATCTGTCGGCATCAGGCACGGCTGTATACGTATTTTGTATCACCACTCGCTCAAGCGTGTCTCCCGATGGCAATTCCGACATGAGCTTCTTCATCGACGGCGACCTGGTCGGGGTGTTCGTCCAAGCACCAAACGGAAGCACAGCCTACGAGTACAACGTCCCCGTGTACGTCAACGAGTCATTACCTGCTGGTACACACACCATCGCTATCGTGAACGGCCAACCCGGAGCCAGCAAGTCGCTCGTGCTCCTCGACTACATCGTCTACAGGTCCGTCCTCCCTTCCATTCCGCGCCTCACATCGACTGATTCTCTTGCGCAGCCACGAGGTGGCAGATGCAGCTTCGTCTCCGAGCACGACACCGCCGCCGCCATCTTCCCCGCAGCCTGTGGCCGCAAGCGCACCCACCTCATCTTTGACGCAGCGCCCATCTCTTGCCGCGAACACTGGTTCCGTCAACTCTTCCCAGAAGCGCACGATCACCATCGCGGTCGCCACTGTTTGTGGCGTTTTAGGGCTCGCGGCTATAATCAGCATAGTCTCGTGGTGCTGTATCCGGCGCCGGCGAAATAACTACAGCCCGCCCTCGGAGCGCGACGTCATCCCCCGGAGTCCGTCCCACATCGAGGTGAACCCTGCGACGAGCGGGTGGGCGGAAGGGACGTGGGCGGAGGGCCAAGAGGACTATCCACACTCTGCTACGTCGCCCACTGCACGTTCGCGCGGTATGCTCGCCCCTGGGCCGCGCAAGATGTCCGGGCGGCGGAAGCGCGAGGCTCCAAGTTCCCGCGCGACCTCCTCCACCGACCCAAGCTCCGCCCCTTCTACCCCAGCGCGCAGTCCGATCGTGCCGCCAGCCATCCTGAGCGCCATCCCGACGTTCCGCACCTTCTCGCCGTCGCGCGCGGACCCACCAGGGAGCCCTGCATCGTCGTCGTGGGGCACTCCGGCGAGCATGGCGCCGCCGGACTCGGCGACATACCTCATTGCGCCTTACGTCTCCCGCTCCACGTCGAATGTGACGCTCAATCGTGCATACCAAGACGCAGGCGGATCGAGTACCACCCTGTCAAGCCACAACGCGCATCCATTCGCGAAGGCACATGCAGTAGAAGCCGCGCCCATCGCTCGCTCGCGCTCTGGCACGACGCGATCCGCAGCGGGCCCCAGTTCACATCCGCATCCTTCTAATTCAAACCCCCCACCCATCCCGTCGGCCTTCGCTTCACATGCGCGACATGGCGGCTACCCCGCTGAGAAGGGACGGCGCGCCGGTGGTTCGCTGGACAGCAGTCTGACGTCGCCAACCACCCCTCCGAGCGCCCCGTACACCCTCGACACCGATGAATCCTTCCTCCCTTCACCTTCACCCGCCGACCCGTCCCCGCTTTCCTCAATGCAGGCTATGCAGAGCCGTATGCCAGAACGGCAACCGTCACAGCGGCAACAGCAGTCTGCCCTCCAGCCGTCAGCATCGCAGCGACGACGACGCGTCGACCCCGTCGACCCGAGCATGCAGCCCTCGCGCGATATGGCGCGGGCAGACACGCGCCCCCTGCGCGTACGCGGCGCCGGGCCCGGGGCCAGCGCGCACGCGCAGACGCAGTCCGATACGTCGACGCTGCGCCCGCGGCCGACGGGCACGACGACGTTCTTCCAGCGCGACCGGCGGCGGAGACACGGGACGGCCGACGTCCCGGTCGACGCCGCGGACAGTCGCCCGCCGTCGTACCGCGAGTCCGGGTAGCTGCGGCTCGGGCTCGGGTCCGCGGCGGTCGCCCCTCGCTCGGAGAAGCACCCCTTCTTAACGTTCCTTCGTTCGCTTCGCTTCCGGCTCTTCGATCGAGAATCCGCGCGCAGGCCGGCGTTTTCGGTATTTAACCGCATCTGTATGTAGTTACACCATCCCCTCACTGCACGTCCCCTTCCCCGGTCCCTCGCCCACACGCACATACAGATTCCTCTAGCTAGCTGTTTACCTACTTACCTACCTACGCCCCCGAGCCCCAGCCCCAGCATAGAGCGGCGCCTTATTTGCCTACTCCGTACTTACGACCGACTAGGGGGTATGCGCCGCGGCGCGCCGCCCCCGCCATGAGTCCTTGTTTGTTGTGTGTATATTGTATTCTACGTACTACGTATGGCGGATCGTTTGTTGTATCCTCGCTATGGACGCTCGTTGCTTAGTATGTAGTTTGTCCCAATCGGAGTCGCCGCGCACTGCGCTATCGTTGTGCCAATCATTAAGTGCGCAGTGAAACGTCGACCTTTACCACGAAACAGAACTCAAAAATGAAGGTCTGATCGTGCTGTGCGCGCGGGCGCGGAGTGGTTCATGGAAACATGAGATGGTATATTATGGTACAAGGGAGCGTTGAGGGTGCAGTAATACAGGGTCGTCGTAACTACTTCGTGCTAAGCGTACAGTACACCATTAAACTTTCGAGCGATCCGGCATTAAACATGTACAGTTCGTGAAGTGAAGCAAAAGGGGGTAACAGGCGGCGTAAAACCACCGGGGTCGCCATGGCGCAAGCACCAGCTGGCAGGCGTGGACGCAGTCGCGGGGTTAGGATGCAGGGTGGATGGGTGTTTCAACTTTAAGGTGAGATCGCGGCATTTACGCGCGCCCCCATCCGAGCCCAAACTTGGAGCGGTGCTTGCGCGCGGGGCGCCCCCACGCGAGGTTCTCGTCGTCCATCATCTCGGCCTGCGCGGGGCGGTGGGGTCAGTACGGCGGGCGGCGTGATCGCGGACGAGCGGGCGGGGACTCACGGAGTCGGACGCGCTGCTCGACGTCGCGGAGCTGAAGCTCGGCGAGAACGAGGTGCGCCGTGTCGAGCGGGTGGAGGGCTGGCGGCGCGGAGGCGGGCGGTAAGCACAAAGACGGGTGGCGCGGAGGGTGTGGCTACTCACGAGCTCGATGGAGATCACGTAGCTCGAGGTGGAATCGAAGGAGTCCATCGAGGTGCGCCGCGAGGTGGAGCGCTATATGGAAGAAGGGTGAGATTGGGTGTACGGAGATAGCGCAGGGTGCGTACGCTGGAGCTCCGGGGGTGGATGAACTTCGCGAAGAGGGGAGTCATTGTGTTTGAGTTGGGTGGCTAGTGTTGGGTGTGTGGCTAGTCGGGGAGGGTGATCAACACCGAGAGTGCGTGGATATAGGATGCGGGATGATTGTGGCGAGCAGATGTTATTGAGCAGCTGTGGCGAGCTCAACGGTAAGAAGCAAGCGAGGTGGTATGAGAGCGCGACTGAATGTGGTATGAGGGGGGAGCAGTGGACCGAGAACGGGGAATTGGGACGACGGCTTAAATGTGTTCTGTGGAACGAGCAGATCAGCTCCACAACCCCACACCCTTTATACGACGCTCCCCGCAGCGCGGGGGGCTTAGCCGCCTGAGCCTCCCTAGCCGCATCATGCACCGCTGGCACCAGGAACGCAGCGCGGAGCTGGATCCCATCTGCCCTCCAATGCCATAGCAGCAGCCAGTGAGCACGGTACCCATCTCGTAACGGCGGAGCACGGGTCGGCGCCACAGGACCCCGGCGGGCATCCTCTCATCGCGCGCAGCGCACCGCAACGCCAGCACAAAGGGGCAGGTGACTGCCCCCCATCGCTGAAATGGCGTGCGGGGGACAGGCTGACAGTGCGGGGCAGCGCGCGGGGCGTACCGATGACGGAGAATGCGGTGCGGGGCGTGACCAGCTGGGCGCGGGGAACATACGCGGCTGCTGCATTACAGGCACGCCCGGTGATCTATGTTTACATCGCGCAGCTGAGCCTGCCTTTGGGCGGTATGTTCCCGCCGCCCATGGCACGCACCGGTATTCCGAACTTGAGCGGTTCGGCCGAACGCGCTAGGGACGGCGAAGACGCGCACTCGTGACTGTCTTACCAGGCAGAGTGTTCCCCGGTGGGTCCGCTGTGAAGCGCGTGCACGAGATGCGGCGCGTTTGTCAGACTAGCCGCGGTCACGAACGGGCTGGACATGGCGTTGAGTAAGCGAAGCATTGGAAAGAAGCGTAGACTGCATACGAGCGCGCCTGGACGGACGCGGCGGAGCCGATTCCACACGAGACGTAAGGAAATAGCTCAACAAGAGCCGCTAGCGCCCAGCGGCGGAAGATGGAAGCCGGGAAGAACGGGATCGCTGGACGTCATTTTGTCTTCCGTTGCAGAAGTGCAAAACAGAGATGCCGACCACGATCGCAAAACATGTGAGCGCGGACATGCGGAAGTGGGAGGAAAGCAACAAACATGGCAACCGGGACATAAGGTTGCGAAATCACAGGAGCTAGACTATGACGTCCAACAGAACGAAGGAAAGAAGATGAAGCTCACCGAAGAGCCAGCCACAGCCAGAGACATCGAGGCCTGCACGAAGATCCTGTTTGTACGGCAGCCTTTAGCTATCGCCGGCGTCCCCGCGGGCTACAGCTGTCCGCGGCGACACACCCGCCCTGGCGACACTGAAAGGGCGAACACGACGTGGGAGTTGTCATCAAGGCGACCGTATGCGGTCACAGCGCCGCAGGACATGTTGCAGCGGCCGCCGCCTGCGATCCTGAACAGCCCATGTGCCTTCCAAGTTCCGTCAACATCTGGGCTCTTCGGTGCCATCCAGGCCAGGGGTACTCACAACCGACCGTGTTTTCTTCTTGTTTCTGGTGGGACCTCTCTTCGCGACCATATGCACAGTGATGCAACATGTTTCGCCGCGACTACCTGTCGGCGAAACGGCGTGTCTGCAAACTTGCAAGCGGTCATTTACTTTGCAGAGTGTCATTCCGCCATCGTGGGATCGCCTTGGCCGTGGCGCGAGCTACTGCTGCGTGCCTGCGTCGATTCAACATCCGGGGGTGACTAATCTGGCTAAGCACCAAGATCGGCGTGAAAACTCACAAATAGCAGTAGTAAGCGTACCTTACGAGGCAGCGTTGGCGATTTGAATGCCCATCTGGTGAGCTGATCGTGCTATGCTAGTGGCTCCTGGGGTAGAATTGCAGCGAAGAAGCGAAGAACGTAGCATTCCTGTGCTGCAGCGCATCCCAATATGAGCTGCGATTGAAGATCTGACGTCCCCACATTTGATTCTAGAGGCGATTGACATCAAAGGTCCCGCGAAAGAAAGATGGAGACATACTTATCTGAAGTTCGGACGCGTGTGATCGCGCGTTAGTGAGATTGAACGCGTCACGAGGCGATGGGAGTCTTCGTATACACGGTTCTGTACAGTGCGGTCGCGCGGCGATCGCAAAAGCATTGTACGGAGGCGCATCCCTGGCCCCGGCATGATGCCACGCCAAAGAACATATGCCGACCCCGTGGAGCAGACGCACATTGCACCCATCGGGCCCGGACTAGCGAGCCCCTGGGACTATGGAAGCGCCGCGTTATTTCGTGGGAGAAGTGGCTCGTGCACACAGCATTCACCTCGGTCGGCGGAGAGATACGGGGAAGGGGCCTTCGGAGGCATTTCGTGGTAGGGGCAGAGGTGGCCACCGGCAACGATAGTAAGCGAGCGGAGCACCCCGCCGGGTTTAAGAAAGAGTCGACCGAAAGCGGAAGCCTAGGGTTTGGATCCGAAGACATTCGCGTGTGCAAATTCTGGGATTCCCCGTCCTTGGTTCTGGCGTGCGTGCCTATAATAGGGCCCGTCGCGAGCGACAGTCCTCCATCAACCTATCCCAGTGTACCGCCCGCGAAACCCTCACCTGTCAACGCACATCCCCTCCACACCCCAACACCACCCACTCTTGCTCACCATGCAGTCGCAAACCAACTCTCAGCCTTGGGTCAGTCTTGACATCGCTCCCGACCATGGGGTGACTGTTGCTCACCTGCTGTTTAGAACGTGCCTTCGGATGTTCAGAGCTTGCCGTCCGTCGACGATCGCTCCACCGTCGCACGCCCATCTACCGTCAAGCGCATTATTAGGCGCATGGGTCTGTCGAACACAGACGGCGAAGTGAGTGGCAGTAGATCTGCTTGTATGATATTTGTCGTGCTTATCGGTACCTCTATAGCACCTATCCCATCTTCAAGGTTCCTCCAGTTCGCGTAGCTCCGGCAGTCTCGCGAAAAGCTTCGCGTCAAATGTGAGTTCTAGCAATGCGTTCGATTGTTTAGTCTTACTTACGCTGTGCCCACTCTACAGTCCGCACGAACGGTCGACAGCTATCGCCCAGCCGGTCTCTTCACGCGTATGCTGGAGGGGCGGTCATCTCGGGAGGAGCTGGTAAGCTTGCATTCACTATATTTGGGGACCTTGCCAGTGTGCTCATTCACCACGCTCAGCCCGACGTCGCCGACATGCTAGAGGACGACAATTTGGCATGGGGAGTGCCGGCCAAGTCGGCCAAGCCCCGTCGGCGGTAGAGCTAGGACCTGTGAAGCGCATCACTCTTTCGGATACTCTATGCTAAGGCACTACGCACCTTGAATCGCACTATATAATGTAATTCCATACGGGCATGTAGGCACGGTTTTTTACACAATTCGATTTCTCTCTCGCTGTCGCTCTGATGTGCACACCATCAAATTCTCCCGACTGCGGGGTCAGGTTTTACTCATGAGGGGCGTTGCTAGAAGTCCCCGAGGGCTGCGGATACTGTGCGCAGTTATGGTCGTGAGTGCGGACGACCTCGGTAAGTGGGGGCGTGCGTACCACATTGCGCTCGCCTTTCCCAGGCGCCGGTGAGAGAAGGTCGGGGTAACCGCGCCAATCCGTCTTTTCCGGGGAGCACAACATGTCTTCAATTCGACGCTGATGTTATCAGTACAGCACCATCCTTACGTATACAAATACATCGCGGGAGACCGCAAACACAGTCGCAGTGACAGATACACCCCACGCCTTACAGCTTGGCGCGTTGCAAGATGTACTGCGAGCTCTTGCGCGCCTTAACCTTGTCCACGTCCGCGCGCGAGATGGGCCGACATTCCTGGGCATGGTTATAGCCAAGCCTAAAAGTTGCCACTTGTCAATTGGTGCCGTGCTGCGCTAGCGTGTGCGAATACTCGCCTCTTTCTCCCGTCCTCACCGCCCTCCTTGAAAAACTCCGGACGGCGCAGCAAACTACACACGACCGCCCCTCCAAGGCCGATGTTGTGCACAAGGCCATATTTGCCACGCCCGTCTGGCCCGTCGAGAAGCCCCGGGGCCTGCATAGCACCAGCCCCTGCAATTGAGTTCCGTGAGCTTTGTGTGTGAACAGAATCGTCTAAAAGGTGGCTCACACTGCCGCAGTTGCACTATGATCGCATTCACACCGTTGGTGAGCCTCTAGGCGCAGTCGCTCCCGTTCGAGAAGCACTCACTTGTGATGTAAAAATGCATGCCTAGTCCCGTAGCGCCCAGAGGGTGGCCCTTCGCCTCCAGGCCTCCGCTCGGGTTGATCACATATTTTCCACCGTACTGTATGCGCTTCAGATAGGGCCTGCCAAGAACACTCATTATCACCGACCGTGTTGTCTCCCCGCTCGACCATCTTGTGTGCCTCGCCGGGCTCGCAAAGCCCAAGCGCGTCGTAAGTGAGCAGCTTCACACGTGTTGCATCAGAGCCTGCAGACATAGAGTCCGACGAAGGACGCGTACCTCGTTCGCAGCAAAGCAATCATGCAGCTCGACAACGCCGACCTGGTCTCGCCCTGCTCGACCGTGCAAGCCCGCCTGGGCAAACACTTGGTCCGCAGCATTCTTCGACATGCCGTAGCCCACGACCTCCATCGCACTCCTGCTCTCGAACGCGATAGGTTCGTCGGTCGTCAGTGCTTGGGCTACGATCTCGATCGCCTGGTTCTCCAAGCCATGCTTGCGGACAAACTCCTCGGAGGCGACAATGTTGCACGCAGCTCCGTCCTGGTGATAGCTGTCAGTCCCGTGAACAGGATAGCCTGCAGGTGTCAAGACGTACGGAAGTAGGGCTGCACATGTACTTCGTTAACTGCTTATTGATCATTGGGGCTGCGAGGACTTGTTCGACGCTCCAGCCGTCGCGGAACTGCGAGTACGGGTTGTTCACGGAGTGCTTATGGTTCTTGCTCGCTGAAACAAGCGCATATAACCCAGTACCCGGTGAAGTGCGGGTCACACTACTTACCGATTTGTGCAAGGTGTTTGATGTTGGCGCCATACTTGTCAAAGTACTCCTGCGCGCCGTTCGCGAACATGCGCGGCGCACCGGGACCGTGATTCTGCCCAACACTCAGGCTCTCCTCGAGCTCGAAGGATGCGTCGTTGAACACTTTCACGGGTGACTCTCGGTCGGGGAAGTTCGTGCCGAGGCTTCCGCGCGCCATGCGTTCGAAGCCAAGCGCGAGCACGCAGTTGGCGAGCCCGCCTCGGATGAGGTTGCTCGCGTTGTACAGAGCGGTGCTCCCGGTCGAACAGTTGTTATTCACGTTCGAGATGGGAATGCCGGTCATTCCCAGCTGGTACAGCGCTCTCTGCAAGCATGATCGGTCGAATGCGATGTCGGTAGGAATAAAAAGTGCTGACCTGCCCGGCTGTGGAGTCTCCGTAGCAGTAGCCTACGAAGGCCGCCTCAACTTCATCATAGGTGATACCTTGTTCGACATACGAATTCGGTGATTTAATTGGCCCCTAACAATCATCCCGTACTCACCAGCATCGAGAAGTGCCTTCGTCCCAGCCTCAAGGCCCATCTGAGAGAACCGTGATCAACAACAGGATGTTGTGGCGCCCCATGTTCAGCTGCGCACCTCCTCGGTAGTCCTCAGGCCCCGCGGCTGTACATCGTATTTCTCAACTGTGCACACACCCTTGCTGCAACTCAGGCTTACCTTGATGAACGCTGTGCAACCAACTCCGATGATGAACGTACGTTCGCCCGTGCGTGTCATCTTGTTCTCGTTGAAGGCAGTAGTTTCGATGGGAGAGGTGACTATGTGGTCCTGACAAGCGTACTGGGACGTCCGCACGCTGGTCAGCTTAGACTGCGGGGCTCCGAAGACGGGAAAGGGGGTTTACTTATGGCAACCGGCTCTGCAACGTTACCGAACGGGCGGGACTGCATTCAATGAAGGTCAGCAGGTGTATGAGAGTCGACATGCGACCTCGGCGTCGGCTTTCTCGTTTTCCGTCGTGAGATCATCGACCCTGACATCGACTGCGACGAGTGTTGCAATGTCGAAAACACGGACAAGAGGCTAGTCTTTTTGTTTGACATCATGGTGCGGGGAGAGGCGGGGAAGAACGCGCCGGCACAGGCGCCCTCCCGCTCACCACCTTGCTCAGTAGCGACCACAACGACCAACATGCGTCTGCCTCCAATCTTCTATCACTGCTTTCGAGAGCCTCTACCATATACACGCGCTCTCGAGTTACAAGAGCGAATACATCAGCTGCAGCTGCTCACTCGCAAAACCTCTGGCAATCACAGGGACTTCCTCTTCCTCCTGGAACATAGACCTGTCTACACCTTCGGTCGACGGCAAGGCGATGATTCGGAGGCCGCACAGGAAGCTCTGCGACTAAAGGCCACCGGCGCGGACTGCGTCTTCACGCTTCGAGGAGGACAGACAACATACCACGGCCCAGGTCAGATCATCGGCTATCCTCTCATCGACCTCGCGCGGACATCGCCGCCCATGGGCATCCGCGACTACATTTGCCGCATGCAAAAGCTCCTCGAGTCTCATCTTGCCGAAGAACACGGTATCAAGCACATTCCTAGCGACAACACGGGAGTGTTCCTCGACGAGCACACTAAGGTCGCCAGCATCGGCGTCCAAGTGAGGCATCGACTGACAAACCATGGCTTCGCCCTCAACGTCACTCCTGAACCTCTCGCTTGGTTCAACAAAGTAGTCGCCTGCGGGCTCACCGATGTCAAGGCAGGATGTATCTCCGACACGGTCGAGTCGAAGGGTGGCGCCGCTCTCGATTCCATAGCCGGCGAGCTCCCTGGGCTTGTAAAGCGCTTTGGACGAATATACGAGAGGGACACGGTCCCCTTGGATATCTCCGCGGAAGGCGAGGAAGAGGAGGCTGTTCGTGCGATGGTGGCGGAGAGCGTCAGTAGTGGTCCTTGGCATCGTAAACCGGTGTTCTGACCTACGCTGGACGAGTTGCGCCCGGTTTGCACAGTTTCGGGCATTGCATAGAGTACTATAGGTAAGTCCAGTTACCTATCTCTCATGAAACGGAGTAGTCCATCCCCTATGTCACCGCCAAGACGCCCTGCCTCATCCGTGTGGCCCCTTGCGGCGCTCTCGGTCATCATGCATTTTGAGGCCTTTGTCTCACTCTTTCTGCATTTAGGCATTTATACACCCCCTAATGACGTTCATAATACGTTCCATTCCGATACATGGCCGTTCAGTTGGATCCCTTGCAGCGACGTTGACCACTCAAGACTAATTGCGCACGACGCCATCAACATCGGCATGTGGTTGTGGTTGAACGTTGAACGCGCGTTGAACGACTCTACGTGCGCATGATCACTTGCGGGCGTAGCATACGCTGCTACATTTCATCGGGCGCTGATGCAATGATGATATCCGCAAGGTGAGCGGTTTTTTGCTACCGGAACTATTCTGACCGTTTTGACAAGGCTGCTATGGCCGTAGCGCATTCCGAGCCCATCGGCCCCGCGGTTGAATCCCGAATGTGTGTTCGGAAAGAACAAACACTTTCACTACTTGGTTCACAATCTGAGCTTGACCCACTCCACAATGTTGTATGTCTCATTGTGCAGGATGCTGCTATCTGCATTCTATTGCTGGAGAGGAATGCACAACCTTGAGCGGCTCAAATGATGCAAGCGAGCGGTACGCTGATTTGAATCGCTCATCGTCAGCCACGGCTCACCGATCTTTGTGACAGGACTGCGCTGAGCTCATACGGTTTCGCAATGGCTTTGCCACTGTACAGCCGTATCGGCGTAAAGCCCTGTAACTTGCTACGGAACATTGGTCCACCACATGACTACCGGGTAGGCAGTGACCACGGAAACCACACGGTTGCGGTCCATCCTGGGCCGAGCTTTGCGTTCTTGGGCCTCCGCTTGGACTAGCCGCACCAATCCGCTAATTTTACAGCGGTGCTTAGTCTCGCGCACGCATGGTCTCTACATTCACAGGCTTATTGCCTGATCGTAGCCATGCTGCCGCAGTCCTTCTCCGAGCATGATACTCAGCCAAAGCACTTCATCACAAACAGATGATCCGCCCTCCGGCGCATTCTGCTTAGTGCGCTCCGCCCTTGGTATGCATGCATATAAAGTGGAGCGGACGAAGACATACTTTCCTCAGGTCCTGCGGATCCCACCCAACCCCCGTCGCTCACTCGTTTCTCCTCCCTCTCCCCCTCACTCATTTTTCGCTATGCGTTCAACAGCTGCGCTGTTTGCCGTCTCCGCCCTGGTCTCGTCCGCTCTGGGAGCGACGTACCCCCTCAAGGACTCGTTCGTCGGGCAGGGCTTCCTCTCGGGTTTCTCGCACCAGGCGATCCCCGACCCCACTCACGGCCGAGTGTGAGCACGCGTCTCGACATCAGCTGCGCAACGAGAAGCTAACCATTTGATTTCGCGTGCAGGAACTACGTGGATCAGCAGACCGCTCTCGCCACGAACCTCTCCTTCGCGACCGACGACACGTTCATCATGCGCGCGGACTCGTTCAACGTCGTTGACCCGTCCGCGCCCGGACGGAACTCGGTCCGCATCCAGAGCAACAACCAGTACACGACGCACGTCTCCGTGTATGTCTCAGCCCTCGGTCTCCTTGCGATGCGGCCATATTGATCTGTTTCGGCAGTTATGACATTAGGCATATGCCCCAAGGTTGCGGCACCTGGCCCGCGGCTTGGGAGGTCGGCCAGAACTGGCCCGCCCAGGGCGAAGTCGACATCGTACGCATTCCGATGTCACATTGATCTTGGATGAGGCTCACCGCGCGCTGCACAGCTCGAGGGCACGAACGACATCGAGCCCAACCAGTCCACACTGCACACCAGCGCGAACTGCGCGATGCCCGCTAGCGGTCTGGCTCAGTCTGGGTTCGTACCCTCCCCAACGCCCTATATACTCCGCAATCCACTGACTGGCTTTGTCGACGTGCAGCAAGGCGGTCACTACCAACTGTGACGTCGCGGCGAACGGCAATGCCGGCTGTGGTGTGCAGGCCACGGCCCCGAGCAGCTATGGAAAGTCGTTCAACGGCGCGGGCGGAGGCTTCTACGCAATGGAGCGCACGTCGACCTTCATCAAGGTTTGGTTCTGGTCGCGGAACGACCCCACCGTCCCCGCGGACGTCAAGACTGCCGGCGCCACCGTGAACACTGACGCCTGGGTGAGTCCTAATTTTCGCAAATTGCGCCGCCGCGCCTGCTCGGGCGCGATGTCTCGCTCTCGGCACATATATCCGACGGTGGCTGACTATGAGGCGCTGTGGCAGGGTACCCCGGAGGCGCTGTTCGTCAACGACCAGTGCGACATCAACGCGCACTTCGGTCCGCACAACATCGTGATCAACCTGACGTTCTGTGAGTGCCCCGCGCTGATGGTGGCGGGATCCATTTACTTACGCAGTGTGTGCGCGCCCCGAAGGCGGAGACTGGGCCGGCCTTCCCCAGTTCTACAACACATTGGGCAACTGCCCGGGAAGCTGCAACGGTGAGTTGCCATCAGGGCGTCTTATCTCATCTACGCGGGCGGGAGATCTCACTGTGATCATCTCTGCAGACTTCGTCAACAACAACCCGAGCGCGTTCAACGACGCCTTCTGGGACATTGCCGGGGTGCACGTGTATGAGTAGAGATAGCAGGCAACGCATCAAGGTGAGCGCGCACTCTCATCATCAGCGAGAAGAGAAGGTGTTGACAGGGATGCGATGGCTGATAGGAGCTGTATCAACGCATATGTAGCATACTGATGGAGGCGCGCGGCCTGTGTATTCGTACCCCCGGCAAGGCATTGTAGTAGTAGACGGCTGGTTACCTGTCTGTATGCTTCTCGAGCCCTCGAATATATGGGAGCACATGTCCCATCTTTGTGCGGCGAACATTCGGTGATGCATAATACATGCTGAACGGACCGGGACAAGCGATACCACCTCAAAGGAGGAACTCGGAGAAATCGAAGGCACCCGGGGCCTGGAGTGCTTGCTTGGCGAGACCCTGCAGGGTGCTCCAGGACGGATCGCCAATCCCGATCTCGTAGTCCGAGCCGTCCTAGACACAGCCTCATTCAGCACGACGGAGAAAACAGGTAAGCGGCTTGACACAAAATGTAACATACGTGTGGGTCCGTATTGGGGATGACTTCCCAGTACAGCCAGGCAAGTCCCGCGCCGGTGATAGCATTGGCAAAGTTCCGTATGTTCGTGTTGCGCGCGTCGGTCGACAGAGCGTCTCCGTTCGGACAGTTGTTATTCGCGGTGTCAAAGAAGCACGCGCCCCTGGATGTTTGCACTGTGTCAGTGTTAGCCAAGACATGAATGTCTGCTTGCTGACCATTCTTCCATTATCAGTTTCTTCCCTGAAGCCTGAGCCTGCTGGACGAACGGCTGGAGAGCGGACGTCTGCAGGTCCCCGACGCCATAGGCGTGGATGGAAATGAGGTCGAGCGCGGCGCAGCTCAACCAGTCAGGCTGGACGGACTCCGTGAGGAATGATTCGCCGCCCGTCATGACAAGAATCTGTTATGATGCGGGTCGGTTACATTTGTAGTCGACATAGAAGACAATATATGCTTACCCCGCTATTGTCTCCGAGCTGGCCACGGATGGTCTGTGCACGGTCGCATTGCCTTCGTGCGGGTGTAAACAAGCGTGGAATACTAGGGAGTAAGGTCACGTACCATTGCTGATGATCTTGGATATATTCCTGTCCCTAAACAACAGCGTACGGAGCATTCAGGACGTGAATTCGTTTGAACGACTGCATGAATACGCACCTTGCCGATCATCGCCTCATTCTCTGCCTCGAAGCCAAAGATATACTCGTTCAACTCCTTCCATGGCTTTCCCAAAGTCGTGTGGACGTGGTTGAGGATATGCACAAGCCGCGCGTCGAAGGCCTGCTGGGGGAAGGCTTGTTCATAAAAGAATCCGGTACCGAATTCTGCACCATACACATCCCCAGCCTGCAGCGCGTTGAAACTGTGCATGGTGATAATGAGCTGGGGGCGCAGTCAGCGTTAAACGTTTATACATGTGACGGGAACTGGTAGATGAAACCTACCTTGATGCCATGTGCATTAGCATCGATCATGAAGTCGTCGAGGCGTTCGAGGACAGTGTCGTTGTAGCACGAGGCGTCACCGTTGCAGATGGTGCTTGGCTCTAGGTCAGGAAAAGGGTCGATATCTGTGCCCTGCATGCCAAAATTTCAGTATTCCTACCAAACCACGGGAAGAGGGAGGATTCTACCTTTTGGGTAAATGATTGACCATCCAGCCACACACGGAGGACTTTCATGCCTGCACTTTGCAAACCGCTGTATGCAAGCATCAGTCGCTATTCCGTTTTTGGATATAAAGGCCACCGTGCCACCAACTTTAATAGCGTAGTACGTGTATCCGCACGTAGCCCAGCCGCATAGTACAGGTTGGAGCCTGCGAAGGCATTCGCTGCTGCAACCGAATGCAGTGATAGGGGGAGGAAGAGGGCGAGAAAAGAAATAGGGCGCATTGTCGTCGTGGATTGCAGACACAATGCTTTCCGGACTTGATCTCTTATACACGCCATAGGCGCGACATCGGCTGCCGTCACTAGATGCGAGCTTGAACGACGTGCGCGCCGTCATGAGAGCGCGAGGCTGTGGAGCTGCTCTCTCGAAGCGTTGTCAATCTCTCCGACAGGTTGTAGATCATCATTTCCGACCACACGAAATCAACGGCAGGTGAACCCGATGCGTTGTGGTCCTCGGCAAAGGTTCGGATGAGCGCACAATGTCGGTGGTGGCAGTGCGAAGCCTGAGAAGGTTTGAAATATCCTGGACGTCGTGCTGTCAGACGGTAGCTAATCAATTCGCTAGCGATTCACAAACCTTGAGTTTTAACACATGCAATACATGGCTCAACTGCCACTCACCGGTAGCGTGGCATCGGTGTACCGCTGCTCGGTGTTCCCACAACGAGTGGTCACCTCGTGGATAGAAGCAACGTTTCCTGTGTTTTGGATGCTAAATACAGCATCCGTCCGGCGCTCTGGATCTATAGCTGTACGCCGAGTGTGAGCTACATATATCCTTAAGGACGTACACCGTCAGGTCATCATCTGACGGAGTAACCGACTTCTGAACAGAGCGTCGGCCCGCCCGGCGAGCCAGTGAGTGGGCGTGTTTGGCGCACAGGTACAACCCGAGCGGTTGTTTCAGTACGCCGGGTGCAAGGGGGATTGGTTGCATTTTGATCTTGTGAAGAATGAGCTTCAGAGTGCAAAATGACCGTTGCGGATGTACCGCAGAACGTCGAAGAGCGTCGTGGTGGTGCAAGAACGAATCACGGTGTAAATCCGCATATGGGAATTAGCCGCCCTTATATGGTAGTCGATCACAGGGCGATTGGCGCCCATCGTACGGGCGGCTGACGGTGCTGGCCGCTCTTTCTGCACCCACCATCGCGTCGTAGTCTCGCGGCCAACTTCTGCAGCTACCTTCAGTTGTACACCTTTGCACTATGCGGCTTTTGATCTTGGGTGGAACAGGGCCGTGTGGTCTCCAGCTCATCGAGCAGGCTCTTGCACTGAATCATACCCTCGTCCTCTACCTTCGCTCGCCTCAGAAACTTCCGGAAGCCATCACCAAAAACCCAGCGGTTCATGTAGTCGAAGGACAGCTCACAGACAAAGAGAAACTTCTAGAGGCTCTGGATGGCGTTCACGCGGTCCTCTCCGCCCTAGGTCCCGCCGTAAAGAATGGCCCATTCCACCCCGGCAACACGCCACTCGCGCAGGCCTATGTCTTGCTCATCGACGTCATGAAGCAGCGCAACGTGAAGCGGCTGCTTCTGCTTGGCACGGCGAGCATGAAGGACGAGCACGACAAGTTCAGCGTTCAGTTTACCGTGCTCGTCAGCGGCGTAGCGCTCTTCGCACACAACGCTTACAAGGACGTCGTCGCTATCGGCCAGACCGTCAGGGGCGCGGAGGAGGACCTCATCTGGACCATTGCCCGTGTTCCGATTCTGACAGAGAAGCCGGAAAAGGATTTTGTCGCGGGATACGTGGGCGACGGCAAGATTGGCACGAGGCTCTCGCGCGCGGCTTTTGCGGCCTTCATGCTCAAGGAGCTCGAGACCAATGAATGGTGCCGAAAGGCGCCGTTGATATCATCTCCGTGAACTCGGTGAGCAATGTCATCCTGTGGTACTACGGAGAGCTAAATGGATCGCTGTCTCAGAAATCAAACCACATATAGATGTTTCGTGAGTGGTAGGCGTTCCTGCTGACTCGTAATGGCTTCGTATACTAACTTTGGTAATCTAGTCGTATATGGACTTGCTGGACGGCCACTCTGTTTCTGTCTCCAAATGTATCATGGCCCACCACAAGAAATGTATATCAGACTGCCCCGTGCGCTTGAAAGGGACACACTATAAAGTTTGCAAATGGTGAGTGTGGTCTCCTGACTGCTTCCGTGTCGCGCCCATGACTTATCGCGCTTCCCCGGCGGGTGATGGTAACAGAATACTGTACACAAAGGACCACTCTTGCTCCGCGGCCCGCCGATGGCGCAGTGCAGACTGGAAACCTTCTATCCTTCCATTCATTCTATGTGCCTGAGGGGAGGAGCAGGTGGGGAGCGCATCAGCCAAGAGCCTCTCTCCCCCCCTCCAGGGAGCTTAATCTGGATTCATGTCCGTCCCAACCAAAGGCGCGGGTCTGGATCTGAGCCTAAGTCTCCACGGCCGCCTCCTCATTCTAAATGTTCCTCTCTTCCTCCGCGCCTAGTCTCTAAGGCTATCAATACAACTCAGCTGTCTTTCCGCAACACTCGCAGTCCCCCTCTGATTTGATAGCAACAGAACGGCCGCAATTTTGCGATCACGCCCGGTCCCGCCCGGCGGATCGCAGCCAGAACTGCGAAAAGCTGAGTGGTCGCATCGATGAACCATGTACGTCCATCTTGGAGGACACCCCGAACGGTACGTCAAACACACTTCGCGGCCCGCGCACCACCCTTTTCGAACCCAGACCCTTGTCGTCGGCTCCCCGGGCTCCGATCCCATGGGCCTGGTGAGGAAATAGACCGGATGCCGTGTACGTACAGCCTATGTATACCACGCAGTCCATCTTCTATCTCCATGCCCTGCGGGTGATCGCCATGTACGTTCGGTCGCTGCACGTTCCCGCTCGCTGCCATCGACAGGCGCGGCTGCTCCCTTCCCTGGCCAGGCCTCTGGAGTCTGCTGCATCTTCGTAGTGCTCAGCGCTCACCCGCCGCCCCTGCCGTGCCTCCGGCGGCGTTTGACGGGCTGAGAAACGCACGGCGCGCGATTGGTGCGTCTGAGCTTACCCCGCGGACCAATCTCATTGGCGAGCGGACGTCCGCGCGCCACGAGTGCTATTGAACGCCGGAAGCACGGGCGGCATTCAGTTCGCCACGGCACGCGGCCTTCTGCGGACAGCTGAGCAATATGGAAAGCATGTCTTCCGCTCGGCACGTATCATGGCAAGGGCAATGAACGCGGGGCGATAGGATACGAATACACGGTATATCGTACAAGTGAAGGCGGATACATGGCAAGAAGGTCATTAAAACGAGGGTATGTGGCTGGGGTGGGGGCGCGCGTGTAAGTTTACCGCCGCGAGCGGCGGTTCTTTTTGGGCTTGCCCCAAGCCAAGTTGTCATCGTCCACTTCCTCCGCCTACGTCGGTGGTGAGTGGCCGATCATACTGCGTATGCGGAGAGGGTTGCTCACATAATCTGATGCGCTCGACTGCGAGCTGGACGAGAGGAAGGTAGGGTAGCGCCGTGTGGGCGAGACACCAGGCTGGGAAGGTAGGTGAGCGTCATGCATGGGGATTGGACAGGGCGCGACGTACGATGGCAACGTACGAAACCGGCGAGTCGCACTCACTCCGCACAGGGGACTGCGGAGACGGCGGCGCCGACGACGTGTCTATTGACAACTGTGCGCAACGTGGTTAGAAGAGCTCGTACTACAGCGCAGGCAGGAGAGATGCGCACCTTGGACGACGTCTTCGACGACTTGAAGAAGGACGAGATGGAGAGTCGGCGTGACATTGTGTATGAAAGGGTAGTGAGCGTGAGGAGCTATGTGAAGTCTGCAATCGTGTTGAGGAAGCAGATGGTCCGACAGTGGGGGTATAGAGTCGCACAGTGGGCCAAGGAGAGAACCCTGGCGAGTGCCGCTTCTTATAGCAAGCAGAACGTAGAGCAAACAGGTGCTGATTCGACTCCATCTGGAGCGCGCGCGCATGCCATATGCAAACGGCATGCAATAAACAGGTACGCCGGTTGACCCATCAGGCCGACTCGGATCGCCCGCCGAGGCGTCGAGGGCACCAGGAGAGGAAGATGCGCCCCGTGGCCGCGGCCCCTGCGCCATATGCGCGCGCAGCCAGCTTCCGTGCAGAAGATCGAAGCGTCTCCCGAGTGCCACACAGGCCTGGGAGACAGAATTTTAACTCTCGTGCGGGGACCCCGCGCGTCCTGCCCATCAAACACCGGTGACGATGCTCGAACAGGCGGGTCGTTCACACACCCCTATTTTTGTACCGCCCAGGCGCGTGACGGCGTAAGGGCGGTACGCGACGAACTAGTTGAGCTGCCGCGGCTGTAGAGATCGGAGCCTGTTGTTTCAGAGAAAGCACATCGAGATAGGCCGGATGAGGTCTCTTCCAGGAGCGTTCTGTCCGGGAGCAAACAAACGTGAGACTCTCCAAGGGGGCCCACCGGCGAAGGGAGACGCCAATTTGCGACTGCCATCGCACAATGTGCAAAAATCGGAGGTCTGATGCTTCCTAGGGAGAGCGCACAAGTGTCATGCAGAGACGTGGCAAGCCCATACGGACCGACGATATCGGTAACGCCATGCAAGCGGGGTCGCATGATCACCGCGTCCCGTGGCCGGCGGAGGGCTATGAGCGCAGCGCGAGACACATGGCGTCTGCAAGCGAGGAAGGAAGGGTCGCTACTTGCGAAAGTGAGCTCGTGGCTAAGCGAGCTGCGAGGTCGGAGATCCACTGCTGGTCGATTGATCGAGGCGCGCCATCTTACAGTACATCACGTACTTGGCAGCGCGTCCAAAGAGCGTTCGATCAATGTTGGCGGTGCAGGAGCGAGCGGAGTGCATGAGGCCAATGACAGCTTTTCGATGGATATCTAGACGACCAACCTGCCATGAATGTCGACCAGTTAGGACAGCTCATGGAGACAGGGAATCCACTGACCGTTCTATCTATGTGACTGCGGACTCTGTAGAGTCGTACCGCCGGTTGAGCGTCCGTTCCCCATTCGCGAGGGTAATCGGAGTTGACGCGAGTCCGATTGCAGACCCGGTCATGCCGCGAAGTCCGTATGTTTCAGGAGCTCTTCCCATTTGAACTCAGCGGGAGTTTCGTGAAACGCTTTCAAAAGCGCAGCGCGTGCTTCTGATCCTTCGCTCCAGAGGTAAAATCTCTGCACGTGCACAGCGAGGAGTTGCGCATCCTGCTGGCTCAGCATGTAGCGTCCGTTGTCCTCCCCAGCTCCCACGTTGGGCGACGACGCCGTCGACGGCGTGATTTCTCCACGGAGCAGCACTAGTCCGTGCGTCTTCGCGAGATCGGTGTAATGTGTGACCACGAGGTAGGGAGTGGCGAATGACGTCCGCTGCTTGTATTCTTGGAGCGGCGTGAAGAGGATGGTGGAAGTTTGCGGATTTGAAGAGGGTTTGGGACGCGCAAAGATGTCCGCGCTGGTAGAGGGCTCCTGCGGAGAGCCATGGAAGCCCCACTCCATTAGGTAGAACTCATACGCCGGCTGTGTGGATCCCTCTTCGAGTTGCGCGTTTGCCCGGGGCACTGGAATCACGAATCTCGGGTGCTTCGTAGCAACCTCCAACATTTTCTCGTATGTCTCGACGGGGAGCGCGGCGCACAGATAGCCCCGACCTGTACCTCCGGAGCGAGAAGCGTGGTAGGCACGCCATAGTACAGATATCTGCTCAGGCGTATGGGGTGCCTGCAGGATCTTCTCTATGTTGAATATGCTGGAGAGTGCCTAGCGGTGCGCTGTTAGCCTTCTTTTGCTATATTTAAGGACCGGTACGTACCTTGACAGGGGAGCTATCCTTGCGAGCAGCGCTGACAGAGGGAGGGAGTGTGGCCGACGACGCGTCAGGTGAAGACTTGGCTGGAAGAGGACTCTCCGACGTTCCTGAGGTCCTACTGCTCTCCTCCTTTGCTTTCTGCAACCGACGCTGCCGTTCTTGCTCCTTCAGCTCTGCGCGCAGTTGTTCCACGCTCTTTCCCCGTCTACATCACAGTGTGAGGGTCTGGAAGATACAAAACCCACGCTGGTACGCACTCTTGAGCTCTCCGTCGCAGTTTCTCCGCGTATTTCTCCTCATAGTTGACCTGGGGAGACACAAGCCCAGCATCGCGAGAGACCGAAGAAAGCGAGAAGGTCCGTAGAGCAGTCCTGCTGCGAAAAGCTAGCGAAAGAGCGCGTCTGGAGAGCATCAGGCAGAGTCGGACGAAGCCAAGGTGTGGCAGTCGCAGCGACGGCAAGCGCCGGGGGACACGGTGATATCGAAGCGCCCGTATGTCTCGATGAGGATCATTCTCTGCTGCAAAAGGCAATTGCCGCCTCTTGCTTTCTGACCACCACCTGCCTGAAGCTGCACTGCTCATTCCGCATTCTCGACGACCTCTCTCCTTCGTATCGTTTTGAAATCCTAAGCTTCTGGAATTTTTTGATAGACTGGCTCAGATGGCTTCTCTGGGGTTGAGAATGATTCAGTTCTGTCTCGGCGTATACATCTTTGCAGCAGTGGTTTACACGACCCATTTCTACGTACTGTCACCACTCGCTGGAACCTTCTGGTCTTGGGGAAAATCTGGAAACACCAACAAGTCCGCTCGACCACTGGGAGCGACTGCACGGCGACATCTGTCTATGCTCTCGGACTCGCATGAGATCCACATGGATCTCGACCGCGCTCATTCTCTGGACGACAATCACTGGACCGACGCTTGGCCGGCTGGATATGCTTCGCCCGAGATGGTCCGCCTACAACTTTCTGGCGGCTCTCAGAGGCCGGTGAACACTGGGTACGCCGTGCGGGAAGAGACCCTGCTCTCCAAGGCGTTCTCCGACGCTATGCACCCGACGCGCATCATCCCGTTCTACTTTCAGGCAGCTGGAGCCGCCGACGCCGACGACGTTACTATCACCACTCTGGTCACAAGCAACAGATTCCGCGTCTTCAAACAGCTCGTTGAACGCTACCGGGGCCCTATCTCTGTCACGATCCATATTCCGCTTCCGCTACACTCTACGTTCTCGTCTCTCAAGCCGGACCACCCTTCTAGAATTGCCTTGAACAACCTTCATGCGCTATATGCGTCCTCCCCGCTTTTCGCCGAGCATGTCGACGTCCACCTGGCGCTCTCGCCCTTCACTAGCGCCCTCTCCGGTGGGAACGCGGCGAGCCCAGAGGGCGAAGGCGGCCGACAGTTCAATGTCTGGCGAAACGCTGCCCGCCTCTTCGCACGGACCGAATTCGTCATGATGCTCGACGTCGACTTCGCTGTCTGCACAGACTGGCGCGGAGCCGTTCGAGACGCGCTTCGCGCGGCGGCCTCTCCCCAAATCCGTCACGCCGCTCGCACCCCACGGAGCCCTCGAAACGATATTATTAGCGCCAACACGATGCAGAAGCTCCGCGACGGGACCGCGGCCCTCGTTGTCCCTGCCTTCGAGTACGTGAAGCAGGAAGAGGGCGTCGACCAGCGCACCTTCCCAGCGGACAAGCAGGCACGTCCTTCCTCCGTCCCTTGCCTGACTCCGCCGCTCCAGCTACCGAAGTCTAATCAGTAACGTCCATTGCTCCTAGGCCCTTCTGCGCCTGACGCAGGCCACTCCGCCTGTCATCGCGTCGTTCCATGCGTCATGGGCCCCTGGGCACAACAGCACCGATTACGAGAAGTACTATACGATCCCGCCCGGCTCACACGCGGTATACAAGGTCGAGCAATATCAGAGCGCGTACGAGCCGTACGTTATCACCAGCAAGCGCGTCAGCTGGTGCGCACCCCCTCCGTGAAGCATAATGCATCCGTGCGCCTTCTGACGGCGGCCGGATTGCCGACAGGTGCGACGAACGATTCGCCGGGTACGGCGGGAACAAGGCCGCCTGCCTATTCGAGCTGTACCTCAGCGGCGTCTCGTTCTACGTTCTCTCCGACCACTTCCTCATCCACCAGAGCCATAAATACGAGGAAGAGGCCAGGCGGGAGGAGGTGCGCGCCGCCATGGTCTCCGTTATCCTCTTTGGGCAATCATAACGCAATCTTTTCTTAGCGCAAGTCGAACCGCAAATTATACTCCGACTTCAAAGAAGAGTCCTGTCTGAGGTGCGTGGTACCGTGTGCGGGCGGGGTGTCTTCTCTGATTGCGGAGCCGCAGGTATCTCCACCGGTACTACCGCGAGGGCGCGTTGCGCTCAGATCGCGCTGCCAACGCGAGAGAAGAGTGCAAGAAAATCAAGAACATAGCCAAAACGGTGTCACAGGTAGCATCGATTTGCATCTCCACCAACTCGCAGTGACTTCATCCCAGGCACAGCTGATCAATGGGTGAAATCACGCGGGCCTTTGCAAATGACCACTTGCCAGCACGGACAGGCAGAGCACTCGGTGCCGGGGTGCGACTTCGTCGGCAGGGCATCTGGTAGCACGCGGCCGCGCGGGAACGGGGGAAGCGGACAAGGCTGGTTAAGGCTTAATCAACTGTACTGTATGTGCAACGTATATTACACTTGACTTCGCATTACGCTTTCCCTCCGAAGCGGACTCTAAGAAAGCACGAACCATAAAAGCACCGGCGCGGTCCGGGTGGGGCCCGCCCGCGGCGCGCGTCAGCAACGACGGTACACCCAACAGGCCCACCTCGGCGAACCCGCGTTCTGTTCCCCGGGCGCGGCGACTTCAGTGTGCGCGCCGTGGGGCGGCGGTCGTAGTAGAACCGCAGCATCACAGCGCCCAGATTTTGACGACCGAGTCCCGCCCGCCCGAGACCATGTACCGGTCCATGTACCGCAGCCGCTCGACGGGCCTGGTGTGTCCGTTCGTGAGGAGCGTTGATTGCTGCATGCTGGTCCGGTTGTATATCTGGGAACGAACGCAATCAGCACCGTGCGGCGGCCGTAGAGTTACGTGACATAGAACATGGCAGAACAGAAGGCAAGCAAGCGATACCCATGGGCGCGGTGATAACCCAGAAAGGAACCCAACAGCAAAAACATGCAGGGCAGGGTGCACATAGGGAATTGCCGTACCTTGACGCCGTTCTCGCCCGTCGCGGCTACGATCTTGCGCGTGTCGAACTGCAGCGCAGTGACGGCATGGTCGTACTTGAGCGTCTCAAAGATACCGCCCGTGCGCATATCCCAGATCTGCAAGTGGATATATGAGCATCCGTCGCGAGGCACACGATAAAATGGTGGGAAGCGTACGCGGATGGACTTGTCGAGACTGCCGGTGACAATGTGCAGCTCGTCGAACTGCAGGCAGGTGACAGGCCCGGTGTGGCCGTGAAGCGTGCGGTGCGGCTGTCCAGTACGCACTGATCCCCGTCGTCAGTCATCATGTTCTCTGTTCTCCAGGGACAGGCGAGGTGAAGACTCACTATCCCACATCCTGACCACCCCATCGCCGCTGCCGCTCACCAAACCATAGCCCCAGAACTGTACTGCCCCGACGAAATCCTGGTACATTTCCCATGACCCGTCCGCGTATGGTGGTGTCGGGACCGCGAACGTGCCTGCAGCAGCAGCCGCACCGGGGAAGAGATGGCCGGGCAATGCAGATCCGGGCGCCGCCGTTGGAGGATGCGAGATAGCCCACAAGATGTCCATGGTCATGACACACTGCCCGGTGGCGAGGTCCCACTGCCGCATAGTCTTGTCGGATGCACCGGTGACCTGCGTAGACGGCCATGGTAAGAGGGCGTACACGGAGAGTCGAGGACAGGAATGAGCTCACCAAGCACTCGTCCTCGAAGTACATCGCAGTGACCGCCTTTGAATGCCCCTCAAGCACCCGCATACACGCGCCCTCCCTCTCCGCAACGCTGGACGGCCGACTGCTCTCCCCATCGCGGATCCCGTTCGCTTTCCGCTCGCTGCCCTCCGTACTCTCGTCCTCTTCCGCGATCTCACTCAGGCTCAGCATCTCCCCTGACTCCCACTCCTCGTCTTCGTCCACTCGTCGTAGGTCCCATACGCGAACCGTGCCGTCTTCGCTTCCAGTGAGACAGATTTGGTCTTCGACTTGGACGCACTTGACTGTCCCGCGGTGCCCTCGTAGACGCCCGATTTCCTCCCCTGTGAGCAGATCCCACACCCGTGGCTGGGCATCCTCCTGGCTAGCACTGACAAGTGTCCCGTATGGTTCGGAAAAGTCTAGGGCGGTGATAGGTGTTGTATGACTCTCAAGGACCTATTAAGAGGTTAGCCATCGTGAAGTCCGGATGAATGACGTCACCCACCATGAAAGCCACGCCTGGTGGTAGCTCATCGTGCTCTGACGGCAAAAACGCGGGCCCTGGGAAACGTTGAGCCTAACATAATTGCCGTGGCAGACGACTCATCTTACCTTTCCTTCGTCTTGAACTCAGCGTCGCCTGTGCAGCGCGCGACTGACTTCGCGATGGTTGGCTGGCAGACTCTTCGAGTTCTAGTCGCTCTCGCACACCCTCCACTGCAACAAGTGTTGGAAGAGGCACGTGAAGGCAATGGCAAAAAGCACATACGTTCATCGTCCAACTCTAACTCCTCCTCTTGTAGCCTGAGGAGATCCTGCTCTAGCCTAGCTCGGATGACATCCAATGCCTCCATCTTGTGTGTTATTTCGTCGATCTCATTATTTATGAGGGCCTGTCCCACACGGTCAGGACAGAGTGACCACATGAGATGGATTCGGCATACCCTGCGAACATGAACGTTCTCCTTGTCCCGTTCGATCTCATGGGTCTGGCGTACGAGCTCTTCTGTCCCGAACATCTTCCCTGCACTCAAGCTTTGCCTGCCTTTCCGCTTCGCCTTGACTTTGCGGCCTCGGCCGTTCCGTTCCGATCGCCCGACCATAACCACATCATCCTCACTAGCCACACTTGCGCCATCGTGGTCCTCCTCATCCGCCAACAGTCCTCTTGCGCTCATGCCCAGCTGCTTGAGCCCTAGCCGAGGCGTTTCCACGTTCCGCGTCTGTCTTCTGCGAACGCGACTCTTCTCCGCGCTTGGTATTGTCGCCTTGAAGCCTCGTAGAAGAGAGACATTCTGCGCGACGCCTTCGGGTTCTGGTACCTCCTCTCCCAGGAGCTCCTCCGTCGCCTCCACAATTTGAAGGTCGCGCGACGTAAGGCGGCGTGTGCCAAGTCCTAACCGCAGAGGGGCTCGACCGAGGGTTGCGAAGTCGACTGTCTTGCTACTTGCGCCACCGACGGATGCGCGAGGTCGTCCAGACACGGTTGCCGCATTGAACACGCGAGGGGTCATGATGACCGGGGCCACTGCCACGCTGCCTCAGCATTCGTCCTGCACGAGCAGAAAGCTAGCAAAGAGGAGCACATACGGTCTGAGAATATCTTGGCAGAGTCATGCTTGCGCGAGGTGAAGGGCGAGAGGATCGCCTTGGATACGGCGTCGAGTCTGCTGGAGCCGGACGAGGAGCTACTGGCCTCTGCAAGCGGGTCCAGCGCCGCGCGAGGTTCACGTTTCTTGTCCTTGCTGTTCCCTGAGGACCTGGATGAGAAGGCCATGCCCCGTAGCGGCGGCGTCGGCAGCGACGACGGGAGTGGTGGTGGTGGATGTGGATGAGGCCAAGGAACCTCGTTCTGTCCACTTCGCACCGCGACGCGTCCGAAGCGCCCGATGCTCCCGTTCCACGTGCTACCTCATCACATGACATCCCCGCAAAACCCCGCCGTGCGGGTGCCTGTCGATTCGCGACGCCGAAGCAGGAACAAAACGCGCTCGATGTCGACCGTCAAACAGGAAAACACCATACATATACCTAGTTATGGGCTTTTGAACAAAGGGCTGACGGCGCCGGCTCGGACAAAACCAGCTACCTCGTACATCCCTCTTCATTCCAGAGATGCACCTTCGCGACGATCCGAAAGCAATATACCATCAAGCACCAGCGAGGGAGTGGAAAGATTTTGCGCGTACGAGCTGAAGCGGCGCGCGGATATCGCGACGTATTATGAGAGTAGCGTATGCAGTGCTCAGATACAATACAAATGGATACACAGCTGTATATGACGCCTCCGACGCCCTTGTCCGTCATGATTGGGAGCCCGGCCATCCGAAGTCCAGCACCATCGCGAAGCCGAAACTGCGAAGATCGTATTCGCGTCGGAACCACGGTAGCCGTACGGAAGCTTGTTGAGAATTCGAAGTCTCCTCTCGTTCCTGTGGTGATGGAATGGTGTCGTTCGCCGGCCTTGGGGAAGTTTTGTGAAATGGAGAAGGGCCGAGGAGTTCGAGGAGATTCAGGATGGGGAATCTTCTCCGACGCCGTTTGCGGGATGGAGTGTTCTGCAGTTCGTGGTCGCAGCTCGTACCGTTCGTCCCGGCCTCCCCGTCCGTGCCCTCGCACTGCCGCCTTCTCTCCGCCTCCTTCTCCGTGGCCATGACACTTTCTAGGTTCTCTGCCAGCCGGTTGACGCTCGCTTCCTCCCACTTGGTCAAGTTCGCGGGCGTGAAAGCACCGTTGGAGATGTCGCACCAGCAGTGTTCCTCGATGGGGATCATGGAGGGTATCTTCTCGAGGGGGAGGTCTGGCATTCTGTACCGTAACGCGTCCGCAAAGGTGGTGATGTTTACTGCCCATGGTCGTACGAGCGGCGTGTCAATGGGTACTGGAGGCCAGTAGCAAAGCGAGATGTACATGGTGGACAGCAGCGCCATGCAGTAGAAGCTGATGGAGAACGTCAGTCATTCTTCAAGAATACCAAATAGCGTGCTCACCATGGTCGCGCATGCATGGTGATCGAGAATATCCAGAGTATGAGGTAGAATGGTGATGCAATGGGGAAGGGCAGAAGCAATAGCGGCAGGTACCAGCGCGTGCACCTATCAAACCATAAGACAAACAATCCAAACGTTCAGGAGCATAATATACTCACCACATTGTGGGCACTGGGAGGCTACGAATGACGGAGAGTACGCAACCAGTGGGCGCAGTTGTGGCAGGCGCGCGCGGGGTACGCGCTCGCCACATGGCAGTGACATCGTCCTTTGGCGCCTGTTTACACACCCCGATTTGGATAGACGCGCAGACGTTCTACTCGATTCGAGAGCTTTCGTCGTCTGCGGCAGTCCTTTAGTCCTCGTCCTCGTCCCCATCGTCCCCTACACCACCGCCGATCCAACAATCTACCAAAAATGCCCGCACACCCTGAAATCCTTTGGGCTCAACGCAGTTCCGAGAGCGACGAGAAGAAGGTGCGTCAGTCGCGATTCGCATCTCTGTGCATCTGTTGCGCAATTCAAGTTCGCGGAACTGATCTCTATATGCCGCAATAGAACATCCTCTATGTCACCGTGAACCTCCCTGACATCAAGCCGGAGACGCTCCAGTACGAGCTCACCCCGGCGCACATCTCCTTCAAGGCGAAGGCGGGCAAGTGAGTGCTGCTGAAAATCCGATCGCGACGCGTGCGCGTCCTAACGCGTCTTTTAAGCGCCGACAAGGGCATCGAGGAGAAGGAGTACGAGTTCGCGTTCGACCTGTTCGAGGAGGTCATCCCAGAAGTGCGCAGCCCTCACTTATGTCGCCATCTACCTTGCTAACGGATTCCCAATTGCAGGAGTCGGCGAAAAACCTGACATCGCGCTCGCTCTCCCTGCTCCTCCGCAAGAAGGAGAAGAAGGCCGAGTTCTGGCCGCGCCTCACAAAAGAGAAGGTCCGCACGCAGTTCATCAAGACCGACTTCTCCAAGTGGGTCGATGAGGACGAGCAGGACGGTGACGTTCCCGCCGTCGACGACGAGATGGAGGGCATGGGTGGCATGGGCGGTATGCCTGGCATGGGCGGCATGGGTGGAATGCCCGGTATGGGCGGAATGGGTGGCATGCCCGGCATGGGTGGTATGGGTGGTATGCCCGGCATGCCTGGCGGTATGGGTGGCATGGGTGGCATGGACCTCGAAGCGGTATGTCGTCCCCTCTTGGCTGCTTCAAGGTCGAGCATGGATTTGACTGGATGTTGTCACAGATGCTCAAGTCTATGGGTGGTGGTGGCGCGGGAGGCCTCGGCGACGACGACGAGGCAGGACCTTCCGGCGCGGATGGCGATGACTCGGATGATGATGGCCCCCCGCCGCTCGAGGAGGCCGAGCCCAAAGCATGAACGTAGTAGACGCACTCAAGTAGATGGTCGCCATCATCCGCGTTTGTACGAGAGGGACGCAGTATACTCGGACTGGTGGCTTGTAATGACTCACGCTGATTTACGAAGATGCAAATCTAATCTTGTGCAATATGTACCAGGGCATGCGTTTCAGGAGCCAAGGCTACCACTTCCCGAACTGGTCTGCCATGATTACTGACGATATTTGGCATTCAAGGATGGGGACATCGGTGGTAGACTGCCGCATTCACGAAACACCATATACGCCATCGGACGTCTATCCCAAATTCACAACCTCGTCACCGACCATACCAGCGCATAGAACTTCGCTCCAGGTGCCACGCCCGGCATATCCTTCCAATCACGCCTCTCCGCCTCCTCCCGCAGCTCCGCCTCCACCTTCACCACATCCTTCCCGAAGACCTGCCCCTCCCACATCTCCTTCCAGCTCTCCGCACTGTGGCAGAACATCGGGTTCCCCTGGCGGTGCGGCGGCAACACCTCGTACCGGAAGCCCTTCTCCGGCCGCCCGACATGCCAGCCCAGGATCATCGACCCCCGCACGGGCGAGAGCAGCCCCGCAAGTTTGCGCGCCAGCTGAAGCTGCTTTTCTTCGGAGAAGAGGTGGAAGAAGGCCGACGCGTGGATCGCGGAGACGTGCCCGCGCAGCGGGTTCAGCGAGGTAAGTGTGGACAGCTCCGGGATGGGCCCGTCCGGCGGAGCGCGGAGTGGGGGGACGGATGCGAGATGTGCCGTGTCGAACACGTCCCCTGCTATGAACGGGACTGGGAACGTGGTAGGCGTCGACTTGAAAAACCCGTGGCCCAGCTCCCAGAACTCTGTAGAGGCAAAGGTGAGATGTTCCTGTACAGATCTCGTCTCTACTTCTAGGTACTTACCGGATCGCAGGTCAGAGCCGACGATGTTCTCGATCGGATACCCGTCATAGACGGCCTTTCTAATGTCGTTTCCGACTGCAAACACGTTCAGTTCAGCTTGGACTGCGACTTCGTAAGATCGTGGCTGGCGACTCACAGCAGCACCCGATATCCAAGAGGATGGCACCTTGACGTTCCCTCCCCATGACGAGCAGTCGCTTGTATGCTGGGAGCTGTGATTGCTTTAGTCTGCGAAAGTAAGCATCGTAGTTTTAGGCCCAGACCACTGCACTACCGCAGTTCAGACACTCACTGAAGGAATAGGAACCCGCGTATACATGGATACGGGAAGACCTGCGCCGCATCCATGAGGCGACTTTACGAGGAGCGACGTATGAACGTACGGCATATGCTTCAGCTTGGACACGCAAAAGGTGCTTCCTAAGCTCCTCAGCATCTTGGATGCCGGTTTGCGCCATGAAGAATCCACTCGTCTCCTCGTCCAGCGTGTACAGGTTCTCGTCCAGAGGCAGGGCCCGCGACCTTCCATCCTCATTCTGCACGCCTGTGTCGGCCATATCTCAGAGTGAGACCGGGGGTAAAGCTGTTGCAAGTCCACCGAAGTGTTGCTCTCAAATAGCCCACGCACTTGAAGACGTCTCAATTATAGCTCAGGTGCGCCTCAGTCACTATAGAGTTTCAGCGGCCGATGAGTAACGGTCGGACCCAGCGGCATCTCACGCGTAACTTAACATGGGATTCGCGACAGCTTCATAATCGTACACGGGACCCTCAAGTTCAAAGCCTGGTCACAGACCACACCAAGATGTAGAACTTCGCACCGGGCACAATACCCGGCGCGCCCTCCAGATCCTTCCGCGGCGTCTCGTGCAAAAACGCCTCCACTTTCACCGTCCCCTTCTTGAAGACCTGCCCGTTCCACAGCTCCGTCCAGCTCTCCGGGCTGTGGCAGAACATAGGGGTCTTGCGGTGCGTACTGTGCGTCCCTACCTCGGTGCGGAAGCCCTTCTCCTGCCTCCCGCCGTGCACCCCGAGGATCATGGACCCCGGCTCAGGGGAGAGGAGACCGCCGAGCGCGCGCGCGAGGTAGAACTGCGGCTCCTCGTCGAAGAGGTGGAAGAACGCGGACGCGTGGATCGCGGAGACGTGTCCGCGCAGAGGGTTCAAGGAAGTGAGTGTCGAGAGCTGCGGTCGCGGGGTATCGGGCGGCGCGTAGAACGGAGGTACCGGATCGAGGTGCGCCGGGTTGAACGCGTCTCCAGGAACGAATGGGACAGGAAACGTCTCCGGAGTGCTCTTGAACAGATGGTGCCCCGCCTCCCAAAACTCTACGCCATGGACGACTGTCAGCATAGGTGTAATCGTTGGACGTTTGGGACATACCGGGGTGCAAGTCGGACGCCACAATGTTCTCGATTGGGTACCCGTCATGCACGGCCTTCCTGATGTCGTTACCGACTGTGAGCGAATATGACGGTTCAACTGAAGCACTTATATCGAGCATTTGGATTCTTACAGCAGCATCCGATGTCCAGGAAAATGGCACCCTTGCGGTTCTTGCCGAGTGCGAGGAGCTGCTCGTAGGCTGGCAACCGCCCAAGCTTCAATCTGGGTAGCACCGGCCAGTCAGACGATGTCGCGGTGAGTGAATTAGTCTTCCTATATCACTCACTGAACGAACGCGAATTTGCGTATGCAGTTGTATGGATGAATCTGCGTGAGACCACAATTTAGTACCACCAATTCGGAAAGTTGCAGCTTGCAAACGTACCGCATACGCTTCAGCCTGTGCGGCGAAGATATGCTTCCTGAGCTCCTCCGGGTCCTGTATGCCCGTCTGCTCTCGCATAAATTGGAGCGCCTGGTCGTCAATCGAGTACAAACTCTCATCCAGTGGTCGTGACTGCGGTTTGGGCTCAACGGGGTTGCTTGCGTCGGTCATAGCGTACGTGAAGTGAAGGTGATGTGGATGTGGATGCCGCCCGCGCGTTCCAAGATCTCCAGCCTGACGTCTTTATAGGACCGGCTTGAATTTAGGGTTTCTGCCATGCCCCACTTGGTCCCGCTTACGACACGGGTACTTCCACACATATCCTGCCGGGCCGCAGCGCACAGTCGGGACGGAGATAGGTTAGTGGGAAACCAGGCCGTGTCAAAAATAGCCACATGACAGCCTCGGCCATATCGATGGATATACCAAGCCGCTCATGTCCTCCATTCCGGCCGATACTTGCGTGTTGACCAGTCCGTGTCTTCAGAAATCACTGTGGTCTAATGCGCGTCATTCGAAGACAATACGGGGAACCTATTCACTAACCGTGGTAGGTTATCCCTAGGTCGACAACGCTCATCCCTCGCGATTCGGATTGACAGGTGACGGACATGACACCAGTATGCGAATTGGCAGCACAAGTACATCAAGATGAACTCCACACCAGTAATGTACATCGCTATTCTTCACCGTCGTAATCAGAGCCGCGTTACAGACCAAACCAGAGCATGGAACTTCGCGCCCGGAACGATGCCCGGCGCTCCCTCCAAGTCCTTCCTCTGCGTCTCCCGCAAGAATGCAGTCACCTTCACCGTTCCCTTTTTGAAGATTTGCCCATCCCAAAGCTCCTTCCAGCTCTCCGGGCTGTGGCAGAACATGGGCTCGTTGGTGTATATGTTGTGCAAACCCGTGCCCGTCTCGTAACGCAGGCCCTTCTCCTGCCTTCCGCCATGCGCCCCGATGAGCATCGACCCCGGCTCCGGGGAGAGGAGACCTGCAAGCGCCTTGGCGAGCTGGAACTGACGTTCCTCGTCAAAGAGGTGAAAGAAGGCGGAGGCGTGGACCACGGAGACATGTCCGCGCAGCGGGTTGAGCGAGGTGAGCGTTGCGAGTTGCGGTACCGGGGTGTCGGGCGGGGAATAGATAGGTGGGACAATCTCGAGGTGCGCTGGATCGAATGCGTCTCCCGCGACGAAGGGGACCGGGAACGTGTCCGGGGTGGACTTAAACAACGTGTGTCCCGCCTTCCAGAACTCTACGCAGCGCGAAGTTGGTCAAGTGCACACACGCAAAGAGATGAACGCTGTTCTGTGCGTATTGATAGCTTGATCACTCACCGGGATGCAGATCGGATGCTACGACGTTCTCAATGGGGTATCCATCGCTTACAGCCTTTCTGACGTCGGTTCCGACTGCAATGACAGTTATGTGTGAGTGTCCTGCATCCGAATTCGAAGGAGAGTCTGGCGTAGACTTACAGCAGCACCCGATGTCTAGGAATATAGCCCCCTTCCGCTCCTTCCCAAGTGCCAGGAGCTGCTTGTACGCTGGCAGCCGTCCGAGCTTTAGGCTTACAAAAAGAGACGTCTTGAGAATTTATGACGGTGAGTGATACATTGGACCCACTTGATGAAGGAGAACTTGCGAATGCAGCCATACGGAAACACCTGAGTACGGTGATGTGATTAGCGTCAGTATCCCAGTGACATTCAACTGACGCACATACAGCATATGCTTCCGCTTGAGCAGCGATGATGTGCTTCTTGAGCTCTTCTGGGTCGAGGATACCGGTCTGTGCCTGCATGTACCTCAGCGCTGCGTCGTCAATCGTGTACAAGCCCTCGTCGAGGGGCAGCGGCGGAGGCTTATAGACGCCGCTGGTAGTCATTGTATCGGTCATGAGTATTGGTGAAGTCGAGGTCAGATGCGAGTGTCAACGCTACTCGTTGGTGACCCGTAGCTCACGTCTTTATAGGACGAACCCGCTACCCTCACCTGCACCGACCCGCTAGTCCGGTACGCAACGCGGATACTTGGGTATCTTCCTTCCCGGCACCGACACTGCGGAGCAACGATAGGACGTCACAAGGCCAAACCATAGATGCTCGAATTTCAAGTCCGGCTATGCCGGTGCTACGCTGTTGTACACATTCTGACAGCGGAGGTCTGCTCCGGAAGTCAGTTGTCGTTAAGCCGCATTACGGAAGCTAGCAGACAGACCTCTGCTTCAAGCCCCCAATTCACGCTCATTCCCCGCAAGACCTACAGCCTCGTAATGGACCAGACCAGGAGGTAGAGCTTCGTGCCCTCGGGAACGGTCATCCCTAGGTCCTTCCGGTCCGTCTGGTGCAAGTACGCCTCCACCTTCACAGTGCCCTTCTCGAAGACCTGCCCGTCCCAGAGCTCCTTCCAGCTCTCCGGGCTGTGGCAAAACATCGGGCGCGTCCGCGCGGGGTTCAGGATCACGCCGTTCTCGTTGCGGAGGCCCTTGACGGGAAGCCCGCCGTGCGCGCCCATGATCATTGACCCCGGCTCTGGAGAGAGGAGGCCCGCGATCGCCTTCGCGAGGTGGAGCTGCTCGGCTTCGCCAAATAAATGGAAGAACGCCGACGCGTGGACTGCGGATACATGTCCGCGGAGCGGGTTCAGGGAGGTGAGCGTCGGAAGCTGCGGCCGCGGAGTGTCGGGGGGCGAGTAGAACGGCGGGACGGGCTCAAGGTGGTTCGAGTCGAATGCGTCTCCTGGGATGAAGGGCACCGGGAACGTTTCCGGCGTGGATTTGAAGAGTTTGTGGCCCAAATCCCAGAACTCTGCGAGAGCATCATGGCATCAGCTAAGATACAAACGTGTGGGGTATATCGTTGCTGCCGGCATACCAGGGTGGAGGTCTGAAGCGACGCAGTTCTCAACCGCGTATCCGTCGAAGACGGCCTTCCGCAGGTCATTACCGACTGTGCCCATCTCGCGCTTAGCTGAGGGTAAAGCCGAGATAGAGATCTGCTCACAGCAACAGCCGATGTCTAGAAGGATAGCGTCCTTGCGTTGCTTGCCGAGCTCCAAGAGTTGTTGATACGCTGGGAGCCTTCCTAGCTTCAACCTGTGTAGGGCGTCGTTGACTCAGACATTTTTAAATGAGACCTGAGTGAAATATAAACGTACGTGAGGAAGGCGAACCTGCGGATGCAGGGATACGGATGAATCTAAACAATCGGCCCACGATTGACGTCAGTTGCCCGGCAGTAGGTCATTGATTGTTCAGAATGCGTACGGAATAAGCCTCAGCTTGGACAGCCAGTATGTGCTTCTTGAGCTCGTCAGGGTCCTGGATGCCGGTTTGCGCCTTCATAAACGCGAACGCCTCGCCGTCCGAGTCGATGGAGTACAGGGTCTCGTCCAGCGGATAGGGCCCGGGCCGAGCAGTGTCGGTAGGGGCAATGATATCTTGCGCGACAACGCGCGTAGCTATATCAGCGGGACTCATTGTGAGCTCAGAGTTCGACGTGGTTGGGAGAGGGAAAGGTGGGATGGTCTCTGAGGGTGAGAGATCGACATGATATATGCCAGGGGGGGTTAGCCTATGCGCAAGAATAGCTACAAGTCCGACATACTAGTTCTTATATTTAGCGGCTCTCACCGGTGAGCCCTCAGGTCAGGCTCACGTTTTCGACGCTTCTCGCTGTTAATTAGTAACTATTCCGCGGGCCTAGCAGCTCGCGTCTCACGCAATGAGGCGTCGTCGGCCGAAGGGAAAGACAACATGGGACACGGCGCCCGTCATCGGAGAGGCACGCCCGAGGGGCCAAATCTGGACCTTGTCTCAAAGAGTCCGAGACCATGGAGCCCAGGGAGGAGAAACCCAGCAGGCGGGCAAGGCGCTCCTACAAGGACACACAACTCTCCCAGGTTGGCACGACCACTACCCGTTACGATCAAGGTGTTCCCGGAAGATCGGACGTGCAGAGTTCGCATGTCACCTGGCCCGAATATGGCCCTCTTTCTCCTTCTTGAGCTGTGGAAGAGGCTGCCAAGCACTAAAACTTTATCAATAGTGAGTATACACACCTCGAGCCAGACGTTAGACACAAATCAGGACCCGCAGCCGTGTCGAGGAAGTATAAAAATCGCGTAGTGGCCCGTGGGTGTTGAAACCTACGTGCATCCATGGAGTGTCCTTTCAAAGCCTCGTAACGCACCACTGCAAGAAATAGACCATCTCGCCATCCGGCCCGGCCGTATACTCGACCAGACGCGTCTCGACCTTCACCGTACCTTTCTTGAAGACCTGCCCATCCCACAGCTCCGTCCAGCTCTCAGGCGAATGAAAGAAGAACGTAAAGCTCCCGTTGTCCTTGTTCGGGCCGACCTTGTGCACCTGAGAACCTTTCGCGTGTCTCCCGGCGTGTGACCCGAGGATGATCGAACCCGGGAGCGGTGAGAGCAAGCCTGCCAACGCCTGCGCAATATGCGCCTGCTTCTCCTCGTCGAACAGATGAAAGAACGACGAGGCGTGGATGGCAGAGACGTGGCCGTGTAGTGGGTTCAGCGACGTCAACATCGACAAGTCTGGAGTGGGCTCCGACGTAGACTCATAGAGCGGAGGCATGACGGCGAGGTGTTCGGGGTTGAACGCGTCACCGGCTATGAAGGAGGCCGGGAAGGACGCGGATGTCGAACGGAAGAGTTTATGGCCCAACGCCCAGTACTCTGCAGGACCGCGTCAGTACGGGAGTACTCCGCAAATCGAGAGGGGAAAGGGAGTAAACGCACCGCCATACAGGTCGGTCGCTATGAGTTGCTTCGCCGGGAATCCGTCCGCAACGGCAGTTCGAATGTCGTTGCCAACTGACAGCCATGTCAAACATGCATTCAGCTTATTATTCTGAGTAGAGCTTACAACAGCATCCTATGTCAAGGAGTATCGCGCCTTCCCGCTCTCTCCCGAGCTTCAAAACCTGGTCGTAGCCTGGCAGGCCGGCAAATTTGAACCTAAGAGTCGAGGTCATCAGTGTATGCATGCGACAGGATATGCAAAACGTACTTGAGATGATTGAAGCGACGGATGCAAGGGAAAGGGAAGACCTACAATGACGATTAAGCCACGAATGTCAGTTGCAAAGCGCGATAAGCGACGGATATGATCTCACAGCGTACGCCTCGCGCGTGACGGAGATGATGTGTTGCTTCAGCTCTTCTTCATCCTCGATGCCAGTCTGCGCTTTCATGAAGGCGAGCTCCTTGCCCTCGAGGAAGAATAGGTCGTCCGTGAGAGGGTACCATTCCTGGATTGTCTCCGCTTGAATCTGGGCCGGTGTCGCCGTAGATGCAGTGGAGGTCGTCGCCATGCTTCGGCAGAGGGCCGCTCCCTTCAAGCAGATTGTTATCTGGAAAATCGACGACGTCCGATACTATATACCTAGCGCGTTCGGATGTGAGATAAAGAAGACTTCCGTCCTGATGGCCGTGCGACTAGGTGAGTGACTCAGAGACTCGGAGTACTAGTACATACACCAATAGACGGATCCGAATCCGTACCATCCTGTCAGATCAGTGACTCGACAGAAGGCCCAGAAGCAACGGCGCAGTACCCAGGCCATAGTCGCTGCGCTGCAGCTACTAAATGCCCCGCACTTCATGCGAATGTGATTACGACGAGGCAAGGTAAAGCCAGCGCAGGCTATCCGACAGCAGCGGTCTCGGAGTGGTGTTCCTTGCGCGGTTCCTCTCAGAAGCGGATTTGTGCAATCCTCATGACCGATTGAGGATTCTCCTAAATACAGAGAGTGCATGAGGGCACCCACGGACCCTAAGATGCGCATCCACTGTCGCCGCAAGGTTTGATGAGGCGTTCATGTTGCAACGCCAGCGGAAAGAAGAAAGATGGAGGCTCACCCGCATGGGGAGATCGGCGGACGTGGTGCCTTTCCGTGGTTGTCCGTATCAGCACAATCAGATCGCAGACATTTCCTGTAGGATTGAGCAGTGGGTGTTATGGCAGCCATAACGTTGTGAGGAGAGTCAACCAGCGGATCGACTTCATTTGCCAACGGTGGGTGACAGCACCGCTTTGAATATGATCAATCGGAGATTGAACTGGCCCTGCATTTGGTCAATCAAGCCGCTATTATATCCAGACTCCGCTGCCAAAACATCATTGCGATTGAATCTCAGACCTCTCACCCCTTAAGAGTCTTGACGCAGGCGGCCCATTCGGTACATCCACTGAACTATGAATACAGGTTGTAGCAGCGCACCCTGGAGGTATTGAGACCTTCCAAGCTCGGCGAGACGTCCCCGCGAAACACCCCATGCGCATCGTTCCAGACAGACGAGCACTCAGAGCCTCGTCACAGACCACTGCAAAACGTGGCGGGTCCTCTCCCCAATCTGAAGCGGAACGATCCTTGCGTCCACCGTCACCTTGCCCTTTTCGAAAACCCCTCCGTCCCATAGCTCCGTCCAACTCTCCGGCGAGTGGCAGAACATCGTCAGATTTCCGGCCGCGCTGCCATTGCCGCCGCCAACGTCGTGGGTCTCGGAGCCCTTCTGGAGCGCGCCGCCATGGGTTCCGATGATCATTGACCCCGGCAGGGGCGAGAGGAGCCCGGCCATGGCGCGCGCTAGGTGCAGCTGCTGCTCCTCGTTGAAGAGGTGGAAGAACGAGGAGGCGTGGATCGCCGCGACGTGTCCGCGCAGTGGATTCAGCGACGTCAGTGTCGGCAGGTCCGGTACAGGGTCTGATCCCGCAGTGTATATTGGAGGAGCTATGGCGAGGTGAGCGGGGTCGAAGGCGTCTCCAGTCAGGAACGTCGCCGGGAATGTCTCTGGCGTGCTCCGGTAGAGCTTGTGGCCAAGCCTCCAGTAATCTACGACAGAGATTTCAGCGTCGCGAGCAACCTTCCCCCAAGCAGCCATGTAAGAAGACACGAACCTCCATACAGGTCGGTGGCCACAATCTGTTTGGCCGGAAACCCATTTGCAGCGGCAATTCGGACATCATTTCCGACTAGATAAATCAGCCCTCGATGAACGTACGTGCTAGCAGGATTTGTCGCTCCAAAAGACTCACAGCAGCAGCCTATATCGAGGAGCACGGCATCCTTGCGCTCCTTCCCAAGCTGGATTAGCCGATCAAAGCCAGGCAGAAGGGGGAGCTTCAACCTGTGCACGGGATGAATGTCGCGTCAGCCGGTTCGAAATATTCAACTCGAAATCACTATATTTCGACGTACGTGAGGAAAGCATAGCGGCGGATGCACGGGAATGGGAAGACCTTACGAGCAGACCGTCAATCTTAGGAACATATGGCGAAGAGCGTCGAGTCGGTCTTACCGTGTAAGCTTCCTTTGTGACCGCGATTATGTGCTTCCTGAGCTCTTCTTCGTCCGTGATACCGGTCTGCTTCTTCATGAACTCGAGCTCGTCGCCCTCCAGGGAGTACAGCTTCTCATCAAAAGGGAAGATCTTCGCGAAATCCGCTTTCTGCTGTACTGCCGTCTCGTTGAGGTTTATCGACATGATAGATCCGAGTGCAAGTATCGTCGCGCGACTGAAAGAGTTGGGAGTAGGTTGGAGTTAGGCCTAGTAGACGTGCCGCTTGGATGCTGTCCTTATACACTCCCTTGAGCGTTCCCAAAGGTCCGATTGGACGTAATTCGGTGCTGACCTCCGCAAGCTGACTGTCGCTGTCGAATGAGTGGGAGAGAGAGCGAAGCCTAGGAGGGCTGTCCTAGTATACCCACCGTGACTGCGCTTTGACGCCGACGTCTGGCCCAGATGATATATTATCGGACGACAGAAGCTTCAGATGTGCTGTCATTTACATCGTATCTCGTATATAGCGTACTAGACGCACTATCTGCAGAGCCATCATCCACGAGACGTGTACGGGTATGTTGGAAGCTTCTGCAAGCGGGGTCCCACATGGTTCAATTAACGAACAACCACATCTAGTTATATTGCGTGTCAGTGCTAACGGCAATCCCTTTCACTCACATTATAGCTATACGCGGAACCGTAGCACGAGTGTCGGGGTAGCTGACAGAACGAGGATGTCAGCGCGGGTCGAGAATCTGCGAATGTCAGGACCTTGGGCCTCAGCTCCAACTGATTGAGGTACGCTCGTTTGATGCTGCGCATCTAGAAGAGGGTGCGTGGAGGGGTAATTGATCTTTGACCTGTATGCACTTGCTGCAGGTGATACAATCCCGGAAGCCCTTACTAGAGGCTGAAGCTCATAATTGTGAGGAAGAGACGAGGGGACTCACTGGAAGTGAGGGTTCGGCGCAGCGTCTCACGAAGGATTCGGATCGGACCCGGTCGGCCTTGAGCTTGGGTGCGCGCTCTCCTACAAGGTGCTATGGCGGTCAACACTTCGTCTCTCACGCACGGACTGATGACGCGCAGTAGAAGAGCAAAATAAGCTCACGGAACCCAGCCATGGGCAATGATCCCTCGCACAAGCAATCAATCGGGCTGAATGCCAGGCAACACGGCATGGGCTGCGCCCTCGTCTCCAGCTTGCGTAGGCTACCGGGTGTTGATCCTGAATTAGCATTGTTCTAAGCATATGGCAATTAATGTAGCGCGGCAGCTCTGCAAGGAAGATGATACAGATTTAGCCTCGAACGTGCAAGAGGTAACGCTGGTTCCAAACCAATGTTTATGCTTGACTCAAGCGTAGTGGAACGCGTTTGGAAGGCTCTTATGTCCGAGTCATTTGTACCAGAGGTCGAGGGCGGCAATTCTGCGGGGAATGTAGCTTCGCGCTATGGAACTATGCCGTGGGGAAACATAGATGCTCATGCATCACGGCACACGGCTCCGCGTCACTGTGTGGTTGATTGCGTCAATGATCCTGACGCCGAAGCTTGCCCTATGAGAGCGGTAACATACATGCAACAGATGCTGTTCCACGGCGTCAAGTGTTGACGTTGGGCGCATCGGTAGCCCGTGAGGACGGATGGATATCGCACAAGGGGTCGGAGCGTCTCTACGGTGCGCCGCACATCGTAGAAGTGACATCGTAACCTCCGGCCTCAGGAACGCGGTCCGATCTGCGATCGCAGTGCCCCATGAGGCTGTAACCTGGTATGCAGATGCTGTGGTCAAAAAAAGGATCTCCAGCACGCCCACGGGATGCCGGGCGCTGTTGTCACGGCTTCGCTTATGGTGGTCCAACTAGTTCGGCGAGGGGCATCCGGGGAACTACCTTTTCACATCTGTTCTGGATGATAGTCGATGCACCAGACGAAGCGTAGGAGGTCCATGAAGCACCCGAGGCGTAATATATGTAGCACAGGCTCAGCGGATAGGTGTCCCTGTTGCACTGATCAGCGGGAGAGCTGGGGGACGGGAATGGGAATGCATGTACCACCGAGTCGAAGCCGGTCTGCCACCCCGCGAAGGTCGGGCGAGCGCTGTTTTGTTGATGTTTCGCTGCAGCGTCTCCTCATAGAGACCAGAGAAGCGAGAGGACCATGCAGTTCCGTATGCGGCGGTAGCTGGTCACTGGGACAGGAAGTTGATCCCGAGGTTACTGAATGAGAAGCGTTTCTATGGGCGCGGGTCAGTCGTCGACCCGGAAGCCTCGAGGAATGATCCTACACACACCGACCTTCCGAACCTTTCGATGCCCATTGGCTTGCAGTACTCTCAGTGCGTTCGTCCCCGGCCTCCTCCCAGCATCTGTGCAAACCCCGGGATTTGCACTCTTCGGTGTGCACGACGGGCATCAGCACTCGGCGACCCTGCTCGTGCGGCGGTGTTCTCGGCCAAGCATACCGCCGTGGGCATTTCTTGCTGCTTGGGGCTAAGACGAACTACAGACAGAGTGTCTTCAGTACGTGCGATACCACTGGGTGCCCCCACTGACCGTGTATCCATGAAGGTCAGCATCGGCGGAAGTACTTGAAGGTGGTGTTGACCCGGATGGGCCCGAGAAGCAACGAGTTGTAGGGTTCTCGGCGTTCATAGAGAGCTTCTAGACAGGATCAGTCGAGCAGAGAGCATGTTGACAGCATGACAGCTTCAGTCAGCTGTGGCAGAAACAAGCAGCCCTCCCCCTCATCGGGCTAGGCACAACTCATCCATGACGTCTCCAACGTCTCTCCAGGCCCTGTGCCGTCGCGTGCGATTGTATTACGCTGTGCATCGCGTAGAAAGGGCTTTCTACGCCGAGCGCCATCACGTTCAAGCCGATGGTCCAGAAAAAACTTGATGCCTAGGCTCCGACGTGTCGTTTTCCCGGGCGCCGATGTACGCCGACGCTAGCGGGCACATGCAACATACGGTATTTTCGGCCATCCTGAGGCATTAAAAACACTGCGGAGGACGCTGGTAAGCAAGGGGTATCAGCATCTACGCAGTACATACCTACGATCACATCGTAGCGCACTGAGCATCGCCACCACTTGCAGTACACTCTCGCGCGCTACCACCATCTTGGAGGGTCGCCCACTGGAAACGGCCCGTGCTGGGAATCTGCGCTGTCAGTATGAGGCTCCGGGCCACATGCATCGGGCCTTTGTTCGCCTACAATTGGTCCGAGCTTTGGGCGCCGATGCGGCATCGCCATTGTTCGAATGTATCTGGATCGGACTGAGCTGGTGCCGGACGCAAATAGTGCAACGCCCCCGAAGCTGTATAAGAATGCATCAGCTGCAGCTCGGGCCCCCAGTCCGCTCGTCTCTTCACGTCGCTCTCCATCCTTCAGCGATCTGGGATCGTGCCCTGAGTCCTTCGGTCTGCGACCCGGTGTCTGCTTCTAGATATCCCACCCACCCTCCCTCAAGCTTCAAGTCAACGCGTAGATCGCCTCATACCCTTACTTAACGACACCATGCAGTACTCCATCTTCGTCACCCTCGCCCTCGCGCTCTCCGCATCGGCCAGCCCGCGGTTCCACAAGCGCGCCTCCTTCACGCTCCAGAACGGGAAAGACGCCATCGCGCTCAAGTGAGTTTCCCACACAATGCTCCCGCCATTGTGCCAAACTTAGCACTCACTTTGTACTCCCCCCACAGCCAAAAGTTCGCGACGCTCACCGCGAACTCGCCTTGTACTGCCGGCGAGAACGCCTGTGTGAACAGCCAGTTCGCCCAGTGCGTGAACGGCAAGTTCGTCCTCACGGGCTGCGCTGGAGGCCTTGTGTGAGTATCATGAAAATATCACGTTTCGCATGCAGACTGACAATCGTTTCACAGCTGCGCTGCGCTCCCCCTCGTGAACTCCGCTGGAACGAGCATCACTTGCACGACTGCCGCAGACCGTGACGCCCGCATCGCCGCCACCGGCGCGACTGCTGGCGACAACGCGGCCGCTGGTGGTGCTGCAGCAGCTTCAAGTGTCGCGGCCACTACCGCGGCGGCGGCTTCCACCGCTGCGGCCGCCTCGAGTGCGGCCGCTTCCACTGTCGCGGCTGCCTCGAGCGCGGCGGCCACCGTGGCTAGCTCTAGCGCTGCTGCTGTGAGTCAACCCCCAGCACGTACATGTAAATGAATGCTGAAGCTAATTTGTTTGCAGGCTACCGGCACCGCCGCTGCCGGCGGGAACAACGCAGGCACTGGCGGAGCTGCGGCTGGCGGGGACGCACAGACATCGTTGACTCTGGTGCAGTCTGTGATCGCCACCGGCTTCGAGAACGACGGCCAGGATCAGTAAGTACTCCGTCGGATTGACTAGAGCCTGCACTGGTGCTGACCGCGCGTCCCTTGCACACAGGCCCACCGCCGGCCAGGTTCCGTCCGCGACGTCGTCGAACAACTTCATCAACTTCTGCGCGACGGTCCCGAACCTGCCCATCACGAACGGCCAGCAGGTCAAGACGGGCTCGTGCAACCCCGCACCGATGGGTATCATCGCGTCGACGGCGAACATGCCCTCCTCGAAGTTCATCAACCCCAAGAACGGCGCGACGGTCAAGGCGAACACGCCCTTCACGATCCAGATGGCGATTTCGCACCTCGAGACCGGCCACTTCGTGAACGCGGCCGAGAACTACTTCGCCGCCCCCCAGGTCGTGAACGCGCAGGGCGACATCCAGGGCCACTCGCACGTCGTCATCGACAAGCTCACCTCCCTCGACCAGACCACGCCGACTGACCCGCTCAACGGCTTCGTCTTCTTCAAGGGCCTCAACGACCCCGCTGTGAACGGTGTGCTCTCGGTCGACGTCCCTGCACCTGGTCTCCCCGCCGGCTCTTACCGTCTGGCTTCGATCAACACCGCCGCCAACCACCAGCCGGCCCTTGTTGCCATCGCCCAGCACGGTTCCCTTGATGATATGGTTTAGTGAGTGACTCCAAATCCATGCTATCTGAAACACGACTGACCGTGCTTCCTAGCTTCACCGTCGCTTAATCGCGCAGTGTCACGATCCTTCAGTATTGGTTTATGACGTATTTATGGGGGGTGTAGATCATCCGAAGTGGTAGCAAGATAGCTCTTATAATTGTTCTTGCTTTCTGTATCTTTAGTAGACACCGCAATGCAAAGCAGCCGGTCGTGACTCACCAACGATGGCCGACCATAACACAATATCTCACTGGTAACGGTGAAGCCCCAATGAGGGCTTCAAGTAGTCGATGTGGACCGTTGGGGACGGTTCAAGGGAGCACGAACGCGAGCAATACGCGGTCAAATCGCAAGAAACCAGAAACAAGCTTTGATACATAGCTCTATGATCGAAGCTGGCCAAAATTACACATTCTTGACATTACAGCCTTGGTATCAAGGGTTCTGTTGTACAACACTGCCGCCAGCGATCTCGAGGACCTTCCAGTCGACGTCGATACCGTGCGTTTTGAAGATCGCCGCTGCGTCGTTTGCGATGGCCTCATAGCCGCCGGTGGCGAGCGCGAGGATGGTAGGTCCTGCCCCGGAGAGACAGATCCCGAGCAGCCCGGGGTGGGTAGAGGGGGTGATGTTGGACGTGACTTCAGGCAACCCGGGAATCTGTAGTTGAAGATGATGAATGCGTGAAGCCGTGCGGACAATATTAGCCCCTTACTAAAGTTTTCCGGTAGGGTTGATGAACGCGGTCCTTCATCGCCTCGTAGATGAGCTCCGGATCTGGTGGGTTTTGCGCGAGCGCGGTGGTGAGCACCGCTAGTCGTTGGAGGTTGAACACCTGCGATGAAGCACATCAGTATCCGTTCACATCTCGCGTTGTAGAGTGAACGTACCAGATCCTTTCGCGAGTACTCCAGCGGGAGAACTGCGCGTGCGCTCGCCGTGCTCAGCTCGAAGCGCGGGATAATCGCGAGGGCCTTGATGCTCTCCGACCATCCAAACCGCACGTAGTGGCCGATCCCAAGGGGCGGTTGCGGCGGGTTCAGCCCCCACTCCTCTCCAGCATCTGGCGGGTACTCCGGGAGGACTTCGCTGAGGGGTACGCTGGCCGCCTCTGTTGCCGCCTCGTCCAACTCCCGCAAGTACGAGCCGACGAAGCCTCCGACGAGCGCAGCGGTGACATTGTCCGGATGGCGTTCGACCATGAGCGCGAAGTCGAGCAATCGCTCGACGGGAAGGCTGAGCTCCCCAAGCTCACTGCCGAGGATGACCCCAGCGATGACTGCGGCGCCGGACGAGCCGAGTCCGCGTCCGAACGGTATCTCGTTGTCGCAGTGGATTGTTAAGCCGACAGGGAACTTTGCGATATTGTGGCATCGGAGAACGTAGAGCGCGACGCGAGTGGTGAGGTTCTTGTATGCGTCGAGAGGGACCTCGTCAGCGCCCTCGCCGGAGTAGGTGATTTTCGGGGAGGCAGAATCATGGGCTCCGACGTTTACGGTGAGAGTGAGATGGAGAGAAAGCGAGAGGCCAACGACGTCGAAGCCGGGGCCGATATTGGCAGAGGTCGCGGGAACACGGATGGTGAACGAACGTGTAGGCATCGTTTACGTGCTCGTCGATGGCAAGCGCCCTGCAGTAAAATGGCTCTGGCCAGCTTGGCCATCGACATGACTCGAGCTGTCAGGTCAAGGGCAGGCTCAACGTGCGTGTTAATATGACAGCGTCGCATTCAACTATGCTAGTAATTTGCTGAAGAGGCATACGCGGTGATCATACAGTCGATGGTCCGCGAGGACTTCATTGATACAGCGCGATTGCCCACTCATGAGACCAACCCGTGAGAGTTAATCGGAAGCAAAATCATGAAATTCATTAGGCATTAGAGACATGACGCGGAAGGAACGTATGGTATGTATGCGCGGGGTATGTATATCAGCAGGAGCTCTAGGACCGTGTAACTATCCAACAAAGACCGACTCCACTCAACCGCCAGCGGTCAAGCAGACGGCGCGTGTCGCGACCAGGGACCCGGCAGAGCTGTCAAACGGCAGATCGAGCGTGAACATGATGTCGTTACGGTCGCCGTTGAGGTAGATGGGTAGGTTGACCGCATTGGGCACGACCTCCTCTGACTGCACCCAGCGGATCTGGGAAGGCCCGAGGCGTACGGTCTCGCCGTCGTTCAACACCAGCTTGTCGGACGCCCAGGCGGCACCCTCTAGGACCAGGCCTAAATCTACGCGTGAGCGACAGCGCGAGCGGAAAATAGAAAGACAGCTTACCGTCAACGATGAATGCGCCGGGGTCGTTCACCTTCTCAATGTCCAGCTGCAGACGCAGGGTCTCGAGACTCCACCTCTTGCGATGAGCAACGGCTTGCCGGGTCGCGGTGATGTACGCCTCGGGGAAGAACAGTCCACCCAGCCAGACCTCGACGTTGTTGAGGTTGTCCAGGCCGGCGATCTGGTCGAGCTGTGCCAACCGACGCGCGAAGTTCGAAATCCATTCCGAGACACCCATCGCCTTGTGAACCTTGTAGCGTCGCCAGTGGTCGGGGATCGTCCCTGAAAGCGCAACCGCAGTGAGTATCAATGCGAAATGGTAGTACATCGAGCGACTTACCCTTCGTGAGCGAGCTCATGAGAGTACGGAGATGGTTGGTCTGCTTGAGCGCACCGTCGCAGACCTTAACGACGTCCGCCAAGTCCCGACGGACCTGCGTAAGCAACTTGCCTCCGATGGAGCCCTCGCGGAAGAACAGGCGATAGAGCGGGTCTGAGTGCTCTGCACTTTGCTTTTGCAACGTTTGGAAGTTCTATCGATAGAATGTTAGTAACCCGGGGTGAACATCGCTCCCTTCCTGGAACGTACTGCAGGCAGCTGCTCGAGCCATTCACGGCAGCGCTCGTTGAGGTTCCGCATCCACGCAGGCTGTTGAGAGGCGCCCTGAGACGGCCCAGCGCTAGGTGTTGCCTCGTCGTCGTCATCTGCGAGCATACGCATCTTGCGAAGCTTCCCGAGGAGTTCGTGTCCTACGTCCATTGTGTTAGCATATACTGCAATATGAAAGGCGCATACACGTACCTTGCGCGACCGCAATGACCCGCTCCGCCGTTGGAGGGAGGCTGAGCCATGACGGCGGCTCACGCTCAGGAAGCTGGTGGACCCACGACAGGAAGTGGTCGAGCTTAGTTCCTTCGGGAACAGCGAGTACTCGAGAGCCAGTAACGCTCGGGACGAGGTCGAAGTCGACGTTGTATGCGGCGGATGTGAACAAGCCGTCCACAAACGCGTCGATGATTTTCTGGTCAAAGTCGCTGTCGACGCGACCGCCGTACACTGACTGCTTGATGAGGGTGCGGATGGCGTCCCAGGGGATAGACGCGGGGTCGACGTTCGCGCGACCCTTCGCGACGCTGTTGAGCCAGGTGTCGATGGTGTTGAAGGCGGCGGCCATGTCGGAGTCGTTGAAGTCGTACGTCTTGCTCCATCCGAGGGGCACGTAGCGCAGGCGCTCCTGGACGACGGCATGGAACCAAGCGAGCAGGAAGTACAGGCGAGCTTTCTCGGCGGGCCCTTGGGTAAGTCGGGCGGACGAGATGCTGCGCAACGAGTCTGACAGGTTGGCCTTGATACCCGGGGGAGGTTCGTTCATGAGGATGCGCGATTGTCGCAGAATGTTGACGGGGATGCTCGGGTTCGCCTCCATGGTAAGGAACAGACGGAAGTTCCTGTGCGGATTGAGGGTCTGCAACTTCTTCTCCAGCTGTCCGAGCCAAGACGGAGCGAGATGGACGTTCTTGAGCAAGACCCAGGAGCCTTGCCTGGCAGCCATAGCGACCGCCTGGTCTGCGAGCGTGAAACCTTCTTGCGAGCCCATAGCGACGGATGTGCACCGAGTACCGGTGTTCTGCACCAGGTTCTCAACCCTGTAGCTGGCATCGTATCCAGGAACGGAGACGAGAGCTAACGGTGTGGCGGGTTGGATCTCGTCCGCAACCATGGCGCCTAGTTCGTACGCGGAGACGGCACCCAAATCGGACTGGAAGACAGCCTTGACGAAGACCGCCGTAGACTGCAAGACACGATCGGGGCGCAGACATTTGACAACGGTCATGTTGCGAACAGCCTCCACCCCAGCTGCAAAATTGTATTCAGCAAACGTCATCTTCGATTCAAACAGTACTCACGAGTGCTGGGATCCCATGATTGAGGGACGGAAGCCTCGGGGGTACTTGACTCCAAGAAGCCAACCCATTCGTCCTCGTGCTCGGTAAGATGGGTCAACACGGGCTTGAACAGGGGATGTTTGGCGAACGTAACAAGGCGTTGTGCCTGCTCAGGAGACAAGATGGTGGTCTGCAAAGAGTCGGTGTTCGCGAGCAGCGCGCCATCTCCACTATCCAAAAAGAACTCTAGCTCATCCGCAATCTCCTCGACGCCGCGAAGCTTGACCTGGGCGAGGAGAACTGCCAACATGACGTGATCTCGGTGGAGCAAGGCGCGCGAGGTTCGTTTGTAGACGACGAGGAAGAGGTCGTTCATCAGGATGTCCCGGCGGCGCGCATGGTCGGTGACGCTGCGAAGGTTAGGGTTGTGATGCAGGATGTAGTCGAAGATGTCAAGGAAGAAGCGGAGAGAGAACTGGTAGAAGTGGTTGACGAGGTTGAGCTGCTCGAGGATGAAGAAGACGGCACTGCACGCTTGCGCGATGGGCAGGTACTCCGCGGTGACCTCTTCCACCTCCTTCATCACGAGATCGGTCTCCTCGACCTTACGGGTGATCTCGGCAGCCTCCCGCTTGAGAGTCTCCAGGGTGTCGATGACCTTGTCGTCGTCCAGGATGTTGCCAGAAGACTCGTTGAGGGCCTGCAACAGCAGCTTCTCCAGCGTGCGGAGACGCAGGCGGAACTCGCCTTGCATCTTCATGAGGTCAGTGCGCTTGCGTTCCGTATCAGGACGTTCGACCTTCAAGACCTGATCCAGCGACTGGCTCTGTAGACTGCTCCTTGTCATCGTGAAGTTGACGAAGGTGACTCGACTGCAGATATCGGGGGAGAACTCCACGGAGGGATCGCGCGTCGAGAGGAACATGGTGAACGATGGCGAGAAGTCGATGTCCTGACTGCCCAGGCGGATGAGGACACGGCCGCCCGTGCGGCGAATCTCTCTGTTGAGAACGGGGTTCAGGATTGGGTCGAGATGTTCAACATCCTGAATGAGTAAGGTGTTTCCGAATCGCAGAGCGCTCTCCAGGACCTTTAGGAAGGCCTCGTCGAGGAAACTCGTAACGGTGATCTTGCGGTCCTTGTACTCGTTTAGCAAGAACGTCGTCGCCTGGCCAGTAGGATCGATGATTAGGGGGTACCGGCTGTAACGCTTGATCATGATGGCGTTCTCTGTGCACAAGTTGTCGGAGGGGAGAGACTTCGACTGCCAGCTGAGACGGTCATCGGCCGTCGACAAGTACTCGGGTAGCGAGAGTTCGGCCTTGAACTGGACACCAGCCTCGGCGAGATGGCTCGACCACTCCTGCCACATCATTTCACGATATTGCTGATCGAAGAAGCCAGCGTAGGCCAAGAATGCGGCGGACAGGAGGACGTCGCCGACGATAGTACCCATCTCGGTATCGAAGGTACGACTGCCGTCCTCCCAACGAGTCTTCTCGGAAGACAGACTCTCCAGGAGCTTCATGCTGCGATCGACCTTGCTCTCGACTCGCTCCATCTCGGTCTTGATGGCTTGAGTTTCGCGAATGAGCCCGGCGTACTCCTCCTTGTACCGTTCGATACTGGCCTCAAGCTCCGCGATCATGGTGACCATCATCTGCGCCTGCTGCTTCGTCTGGTCTGCCTGGTCCTCGAGCGACTGCACCTCATTGCGGAGGGGCTCGACCTTGTCCAAAATCTCGGAGAAGCGACATTGCGCGATGACCCACTTCACGAGAGGTCCACAAGCCTTACTTGCGCGCTGGACCGTTTCGAAGTTGAACGAAGGGCGGCTGAGGAAGTCCCGCTTCATGACGTCGCGGAGTTGCTTGGTCATCTGGTTGGTCGTGTCGAAGTTGACGATGCGTTGGATGAAGTCGTCACGGCGGATGATACCCTGCACTGTTCTCCAGCTGTCGATCTTGTGGCCCAGAACGGTACAGACAGACTCCATCGCCAACTTGACAGCCTCGGGCGGGTTGGCCATAGTACGAACTTCCTGGAGGTGCTGACGCTTGATGCTACTGACGGCAGCCTGGGCATCCAACACGGCAGGTTCCGCGTCCGCCAGGTCCGCCATGACGACCTCCCGACGTTCCTTGATGTGCTTGTCCTGTTCGACGAGCGCTGCCTGGATCTCGATGGACGCCGCCTTCTTCTGCTCTGCCTCCTGCTGGTCGGCGACCATGCGCTTCAGCTTCTCGTTCGCCTCCGCGTTCTTGGCCTCGAGTTGTGTGCGCTTGATAGCGAGACTCTTCCGCAATTCTTCGACCTGCTCGACAGTCTCGCGGAGTTTGTCGAGGCCAACGTGCAAATGACGTTGCTGCTCCTCGAGTTCCTCACGCTTCTCGTTGTGCAGGCGGACGTAGTGGTTGATGCTATAGACTGGATGTTAGCCATAGACAGTGACAAATCGGGGCGGACACTCACAAGTCCAAGTAGTGACGAGGAGTAACATAGTTGTAACGACCCTGGCGGCGGCTGAGGCGCTGATTGATCTGGTGCATAGACTCGTGGACGTGGACCAAAGCGTTGACAACTGCGGCGCGGTGAGTCGGAGGCATAGAGAGATCACGGTAGGAGATCGGGAATAGCGCAGGAGGGTTGTAAGACGGCAGGTCGAGGTCGAGAGTGTTGGTGAATTCGAGACCGACTTGGTAGAAGGCCTGATCGGACCAGTCTCCGAACCAATCGAGTACACAACGATTGAATAACGCGGGAGAGGTAGCCGCACGTGAAGCGAGGCCGTTCTCCGGAGGGTTCATCGTGAAGACGACGTGCAAGTTCTTCGCGACTTGCTGCGTGAACCAGCGGTACAGCTCTTCGTGCGAGTCGAGCATGAGACCATCTCGTTGCGAGCCTTCCTTGCAAGCGGTCATGAGAGCAGAATGTTCGTCGCCCTCAAAGAGACCCGGGACCTCGGCGTTGGCCAAGAGAGTGTTCATCCGCTCTAGGAAACCGGAGTCGAGGACGTTGGATTCGTCCATGATGAAGCAGATCTTCTCGCCCTTACAGCCGGAGCGCCGGAGGACAGTCCTCAGGTCCTCGTCGAAATCGTCACCCGTGTACTTGTTGTGAACCTTGATCTGGAAGATACTGAGACCGTTCATCCAAGCCACGAAGCGCGATAGTGTCGTCTGTCCGACTAAGGTCAGCAATGAAATATGCAATGGTAGGCTGCGTGTGAACTGACCTTGCCGCTACCACTGACACCGATCAGGAGTAAGTGGCCCTGAACTTGCCTGAAGACACGGTCGATACGTAGGACGTGGTCGAGTACGTCGTTGAAAAGGACGAGCGGGACGTCGAGTTCCTCTTCGTAGAACACACGGAGACGAGCCTTCGTATACTCACGGAGGACCTCACGATCAACGGGGATGTAGTCCTTCGACGTCCAGTTGGAGAACAGGATGGGACGCGAGAGCGCCTCGTCGCGATTGATGGTAGGGAAGTGCTCCATCGCAGCATTGTCGATGGCCTCGTCGGTCCAACGTTTCTCCTCTTCCGTGACGAGACGATCCTGGAAGAGCCGAAGCGCCTCGTGGGCCCATACCCTGACCAACCCTTCCACCGACAGGATCTCCAGAGGCCGAATCGCCTCGTAGATACCACGCACCCAGCGGGTGAGCTCACGAGGACTGTACACGTAGTGCGCCTGGACATCGGTTGTGAACCGCTTCTGGGAGGACAGATAGAGGGCGACCATGGCGTCCGTGAGCGGCTCCGAGTACGCCCGGAGGTTGGGGACAACCTTGAGGAGTGCCCGGTTGTATGTCCCGTAAATCTGCTTGAGTGAGAGCTCTCCGGGGTAGTCGACCATGACCAACGGCGCATGGCGAAGGAAACGGTGGCTCAACGGTACTCGACCAGGGTCAGTCGGCGGGTTGCAAGCGCCGACGAACTGGATGCGCTCGAGCTTCACCCAAGCCATGTCGGTCGTGCGCCAGTACCCGCCGCACTCCACCAGCTGACGGATGAACGAAATGACGCGCTGAGTGCCGTACTTGTCCGTGGCAGGAAGGTTGATCTCGTCGCAGAACACAACCAACCAGCGGCCGATTTGGACAGGCGCCAGAATGACCCCGTTCGGCGTCTTGCGGTACTCGCAGTACTGCTCGAAGGTCTTGAGGATGAGCTCGGGCGTCGTCGCACTGGAGAAGTTTAGGCCAACAACTTCCATATCCGGGAGTTTACGCAGGGCGCTGAAAAGCGTCATGGTCTTCCCGGAGCCAGGAGGACCACAGAGCATCAGCGGCTTGTGTTCAGATAGCCACGAGTATAGGACCTCCTCGTGGCGGACGGTGTCGACTGTAGGCACGACGACGTCCGAAGCCGTGACCGCATGAGATTCGATGTCGATGACGGGAACGCGACCTTGCCATCCGGTCCACTCTCCGTTCGAAACCTGCACGTCGAAGTCCAGAAGGGAGCCGCCCTGGTTGAGCGGTGGGAGGTCGACCCCAGTGTGCTTCCGTAGGAAGTCGCCGAGCTCGGCACGCAGCTCCAGACGCGCATCTCCAGAGAACGCCCAGATCAAGCTGACCAGCAGACGTTTGGTCGCATACTGCTCGATTCGCTCGTGCGTAAGAGGGAAGTCCGAATGCTGGATGTTGTACTCGATGACGTTCCGCACGGTCTTGTTGATCAGAGAGAATAGTGTGTTCAAGGCGCGAGTGGTCGTGAAGTCCATGATGTGTTCGATTGTCTCCGCGTACTGAAGCGCAGACATGATGAGCTCGCCGTCCTCGAAGAATGGCTCCAAGATGAGGGCGATCTCCTTCTGCGTGACAAGATGTGGTGAGGTAGGAGAGTCTCCAGCCGCCTCAGTACGGCGACCAGGGATGTCGAGAGCCTCGTCGTCCTCGGCGTCGAGCGCGACGGTGGACAATGTCTCGAGGTAATGCCGGAAGACCATCGAAGGCTCCACGACGTCCTCGCTGAACCAGATCATGCCGCAACGACTGACAGTAGCGAGCGTCGCGTACTTCAAGTGCTCGACTTCGAACATGATGCGGACGTTAGAAGGCAAGTTGAGACGTTCGCCGTTGGGCAGAGTAAGGAGCTTGTTGTCATCGAGCACACTGTCATGGCATCGTGAGCATCTGTACGAACTACGCGTATAAAACCACCATACCTGTTCAAGTTCTCTACCCACTCAGGATCGACGTCACCGTCGAAGATGATCCAGTGCCGCTTGCCGCTCTCACCACGCACGTCGTCGACGATCTTGCGAAGAGTGTGCGTAAAGAGACCGTCATTCCATTCACGCGTCGTCGGATCCAGAGTCCCGTAGAGCGCGTCTTTGTGCATGGCTTTGGGGTCGATCACGTACGACACACCTTCGACACCATCAAGACGCTCAAGCGCCGCGAGCAGCACTTGCCATGCGTTGCTCTTCCCGCTACCCGAAGGACCAACCATCATGAGGCCGTGCTGGATCTTCTGGATTTGGTAGAGCTGGAGGATCTTGTTGGTCCAGCGCTCGCCCTCGACGAGACGGCGCTCTGAGCAGACTTTGCTGATCTGTTCGCGCAAGGCGTCGAGGTTGACGGGAACGTAGTCGACACCGGGGAAGACGTCCGCCAGCAAACTACATATACGTCAGTCTACTATACTATGAGCAATGGGATAAGCGGTACACACCTTGTCAACAGCGGGACGTCGTCGGCGACGAGCTTAGGTACAATCGTCTCCCTGACACTTTGGATCAAGATGACCTGCTCAGAGGTAGTATCGGAGAGACCAGCGGCGTCCGCAGCTTCACCGGAGGACCTCGCCTCTTGCAGACGCTCACGTTTGAGGATACCAGCGGATGCTAGCACGGCCTTGAGCGCTCGCAGACCGAAGTCGTAGTGGGGCTGAGGTGAAAGCTGCTCGTCACACAGATTGAAGAATGGAACAATCTTTGACGCGAGGGACTCCGCAGTTCGGAAACCTTGGGAGAACAGCATGACCTGCGCAATGAGCTCCCGGTCGGGGCGCGTCATAGCCATGGGCCGGAAGAGTTTCGTCAGGTTCGGAGGGAGTTGAGAGCGCCCGGCGTAGCCCGGGTTAGTCGTGATAAAGATACCCATATTCTTGTTGAGCTTCACGTTCTTGCCGACTAGCTCGATCTCCGTGTTCGGGTTCTTCACCAGCGCCGAGAGACCTTGTTGGATGCTCTGCACCTGTTGCGAGACGGCACTAAGGATACGCTCCTCCAGACGGTTGAACTCGTCGAAGCATCCCCACGCCCCGACCTGACAAAGACCGACGAAGATACGACCCATCGCCTGGAAGTCGAACGTCTCGTCGCAACAGAAGACCAGAACGAAACGTCCCAATTGCACACCGAGAGCCTTGACGGACTCGGTTTTGCCTGCAGGAATATGAGTACAAATTGCGGCGGGGTCATGGAGGGTGACGTACCGGTTCCGGCGGGACCGAAAGGTGCTCCTCCTAACTGGTTGTCCAGAGCCTGAGTCAAGGTTAAGTAGCACCTGTCGGTCAGAGGCGTCTGCACTAGGCGATCGGGGACGCCAAGGTACTCCCACCCGTACGGGAAAGATGCGTCCGCCACCCGGATGGCAAGCCGTTCGAGTGTATTCTCCCCAGTCGGGTTCAAGTAGAAGCGCATCTGGTACAGCCAAGAGAAAGCCCGGTTGTCTGAGACGTGCTGCTGGATGAGTGTTCGGGTGACGTCACGCTGGTGGACGAGCTCGGTGATGAGGTGCTCGCATTTGCGACGTGTTACCGGCGTTAGTTCCGTGAGCACGACGTCGGCCAGAAGATCGAGACCCTGGCAGACAGTATCGAGAGGACCGTCCAGAGATTGAGAGCTTTCTAGCACCGCCTCTACAGAAGCCGTCCACGCGACCTGAATGGCAAGAGTGACCAGCTGGGCAGGGTACTTCTCCAGCCACGCCATGAACTGATCTTGTGGGAGAGGGGTGACAGTGCCGTAGAATGACTGAAGCTCGGCTACGGCGTCACAGAGAAGCTGCGCAAGCGACACCCGCATCTCCGCTTCCAGCTTGGTGAGCCAGTCGTTGATCTTGGGGAAGTCCTTCAGCAGGATGGGGTCCTTGAAGTAGACTTCCTCGCCCTCCCGGGACGCCATACCTTGAATTTGGGTCAACTCCTCGTCCAGCATGATCGTCGAGATTCCCGCAAACATCTTCTTCAGATGCTTCATAATGCGGAGGATCTCCTTGCTGTTGCCGATGATTTCGAGCAAGTCTTCGTCACCGACGAAGTAGAAGCGGGGGAAGGAGGCACGCTCCCGCTCCAGATACTCTCCGAGTGCCTTCTGGATTTTGTTGAGGAGGTCGGCGAGACGTTCCAGCGACTTCTGGATACCCTGAATGTTCATGACGTCGATGACGAACGGGGACTTGTACACCTTCTTCATGACCGCGAGGAACTCGGTGTTGATGTTCTGGAACCGCGCAGTCTCGACGGGAAGGAGATGCTTGATGTCTGCGCTTCCTGAGAAAATACCCTCGAGGTAGACCCACTGGCGCTGGACGTCGATCCAGACGTCTATGAAACATTATCGGTCGCTGCCCAGAGCACAACGTAACTGCAGGGACACTTACCGAAGAGAACGTGGATACGGTTCAGCTTCTCTTCCCAAGATCCTGCTTCCTCCTCGAAGACTACGAAACACAATCAGCCGATAGTTTCGTGAGACAAGATAAATGCAGACCTTTGTAATAGGGCGATAGCTTCATGGCGGTCAGCGAGTTCAGGTTCTCGCTGCACTTGTTAAACAGGTCATCCCACCCTCTACAAGGGCTGTGAGCGGTGAACGTCAAAAAGTAGATAAAGTATGCGTACCTGATCAAGCGGCATTTGTTCTGATAGTTGACGAGGTCAAGAGTATAGTTGGTCCACGTTTCCTTGACTTGCCGGATGTACTCTTCCAGAGCCATCTGAAATTACCTCGGTGAGTATTCGCGTAACGCTGACAGTAGTCAAGCATTCATACCTCTCCCTGAGCCTGAATGATGACCTCCTTGATCGTGTTCTCGTTCTTGCGCAGGTCCATATCGTAGACATGACCCAGCGTCATGCTAGTTATATATTAGGAGCGTATACGTGCATCACAAAGCGAAGGACTCACAGAGGTAGACTGATCTGCGAAGGTACCCTCAACACCTTGAACAATTGCTTCCAATGCCTGTCCTTCAGCGCCTCAGACTTCAGCTCAGAAATGAGCGAGTTGGACTTCAAGAGACCGCGCAGCACGTCTTGAACGTATTCGAAAGCGGCGTACTGGCGCATGCGAGTTGGCATATCCTTCGTCGACGAAAGCAGTCCATCCAACTGTTGCCTCAGTTTCCGGGGCTGCACCGTAGCCCATGGCATCTCCCGGAGCTCCCCAATCTGGCTCCAAACACCTGAGAGCGCCGTCCAGACCGCCTTCAAGTCTCGTAGTTCTTCGAAGACGGGTTCCAGCCGCGTATGGCGTATGAGTTCCAGGTCGAGCGCCTCCTTCGCCTTACAGACAAGGTCGTATTCTTCCTGGACGCGGGTGAGCTTGCCCTCGAAGACGTTGATAGTATTGAGGGCAGTGTCGGCGCGCATACTGCCTTGAACGGGTCGCGTCTGTTCCCATTCTTGTATAATGTCGTTGATCTTGTTCTCCACAATCTTGTCCTCCGCCACGATCTTCAGCTGAAGTCCGGCTGAAATGATGTTAACAAAGCTCGCATGAAGCCCAAAGCGGCCTACACACCTAGCTGCTCCTGGATGGAGTCGTTCTTCCTCTTCAGAATCTCATTGAATGCGCTCCACTCCCCCCTCAATTGGTCGCTGTACAGCCAGTCGTCCGGAAACTGGTATCGGAATCGCTCGAGGGATTTCTCGCCGCTGGCGCAGACCTCGATCATTGGGCCCCATGTCTTCGTCTTGCGTTTGAGGTCTTGCACGAAGGTGATGAATGTGACCGCCGCCGCGGTGGATGAGTTGGATGGTGCCAACAACTGTACTGTATATTGAGCTCGTCTGACACGCGTGCGATGCTGGCGAACATACCTCCATGGCTGTTGACACACTGGTTGAGGACAAGTCGTGCGGACGCGACGCGTCGCTTGACCACGGGCGTTCGGCAACGGCCGACAGCGCTCGACTCGCCTTCCGCGCCGAATTCGAGTTGCTTGCAGACCTCCTCCTGCTCCGCCATCCACCAGCCTTACTCCCTCTCCTTTCACATTTGCCCATCATGTCTGGACGTCAGCAGAGGGTGATGGTTCAGCCCATCGTGAGCACCTTTTCTTGTGTGCACTCAAGCAGTAATCCTAACATCCTGTCTAGAATGTCATCTTCAAGAACTTGCAACAGGTACGGGCCAACCGACAGTCTCTCAGGGCGATACTGATATCATGTTATAGAGGACAAAAGTCGTGATCTGGTTGTACGACAACATTGATATGCGCATTGAAGGGACTATCATTGTGCGTGTCTCAACGCACTTAGATGCGCTCCGCGTTGAACTTCAGGACGAACGAAGGCACCAGTTTCTTCATTGCACGTTCCTCGTCTCGCGCGATGAGTGTTCCATCTTCTGCTACCCATACTTTCTTGTCTGTGATATTACAGGATACACGGCTGATTACAATCGTGCAGGGTTTCGACGAATTCATGAACATCGTGATCGAAGACGCGGCAGAGGTCTACGTGAAGGACGCAAAGCCTAGGCGAGAGCTTGGTGCGTGTGGCGTACCTCAGACAGTCGCTGCGAACTCATTTCTTTTCGTTCTTCAGGTCGCATACTGCTAAAAGGCGACAACATCACGCTCATCCAACAAGTTGTTTGAATCGCCTTCATGTTCTGCTCCGCCCCGTTCGTGTAAAAGTGTGGACTGCTCGCCCACATGTTGTACGTTTTGCTGTGGTATTACTTCTGACTTGCCGCTCTCGATGATATTCACCGGACCCTCTGCTCGCCTGCCGCTCGGCAAGCGCATGATATCGATCGAATATCCTCCATTATAGTGTCATAAATTATATACAGGTAACAGTGAGGTGAGATCCAAAGATTGACGGCACAGCGGACACTCGGCCTAGAAAACATGTCAGTGATTTCTCCGCCCGCGCGTTTCTCTTGCCGCACCTTTTCTCGACCCCAACCGACTATACAGTTCCAACAAAAGAGATGTCCGCATTCCGTGGCGCAGCTATTTGTGCGCTCTTCCAAGCATAACGTACAATTCCTGCCTGCACGCAGCTCGGAAGGAATCTTGGAGACGTCCAAGACAGTTTCTTCGTCCTCTTCAGCGGGCACGGAAGGGGCATCGTCTCGACTTGCGGCTTCGAGCATGGTAGAGACCCTCCGGTCGTCAATGAAGATGTCGTCTTCCCCATCCATGTTGCGTCTCCCCTTCTCGTCCTCTGGTACGCCTGCGTCTGACAGAGCGGAGCGTGCGCGAAGATAGTTGAGGGCTCGGTGAATCAGCCGAACGCCCAGTAAAATGCCTAAGAGCGCGTATGAAGGGGGCCGCGCGTTCGGATTTTCCGGCATGGCAGAAATCTGCGGGCCTGTGTCAGCATATACCCGAGTCCAAAGACTTGAGACGCACATATTTGATCCCTAGGACTCTTCGGACAACCCCGTAGTACGTGCCGCGCAAGTAAAATATAGCCAAGTTGATCTCGGAGAGCACTTCAAGGGCGGTGGGTATCCGTCGGAGCAATGCGCCCGCCTTTGATGTTTGAGATATGGCAGAACCCCATCTTGACAATAGGTAAGAAGGCAGAGTAGGAAGAAGGATGAGGGTCGCTCTGAGATGCGGCGAAGGTCGCCTATGGGTGCGAGAGGAATTGAGCCAGATGTCTGTGTATTCCTCTCCCAGAGTCTGGGAACCTGTGATATCTCCGTGAGTAATACCCTCGGCAGGACGCAAGGGAAGGGCTCACCAAGCCCAGCCGTCAAGCCGTAATACAGAACATTCGCCGCGAAGTCAATCTCTTTATCCCAACGCGTCAACCATCTCGTCCCTAGTCTCGGTTCGATATCATGGCTTGTTCAGTTCAATGTGCTACTCACCTAGCCAAGAGCGTAAGACGTTCTCTGTCTGTTCGCGCAAGGAAGAGACTTGAAATAGGTCTCGTTGGTTGGACCGTACTGTCAGAGCCACCAAGTCAATACTTGGACCTGAATTGTATTCCGGTAGTTACACACTGATCTGCGCCTGTTGGGCTTGAGGGAAAGAGAGGAGATTTCCCGGGGTCATGGCTTTCAATGTCGACCGTCGGGCATACGACCAAGTTCCTGCCGTGTGGTGTGGAGTGTGGGGAAAGGAGAGAGCCGTGTTCCGGAGCGCCGACGCGTCTTGCGGACAACCACCACTTGACCACCCTTGCTCGCACTTTCTCGTCGTTTATCCCTATTCTCTCTGGTCTGGTGATAATTCATAATGCCTCCGGTACCACAACAAGGACACCCGGCGGGGCTGACTGTGTGGCAAAAGCGTGCGTCGATGCGCTATGTCCAACAAGGTACAGCGGGCTGATCGTCACTGGCTTTTACAGTAAAGTATGTCGCGACTTAGGCATTCCCCTGCAAGGTTGACCAAGTGTGGACAGGATGGGTGCTGCCATGGGCGCTGGTGTCGGGCTCACAATGGGCTTCTTGTTTGGCAGCTTTAGTATTCTGCGGTACGTGCTACGTCCTTCCCGCGTCGGACCAGCCTTCTCATTGGGGTCCAGAGGAGGCGCAGGTCCCCGCGGTGTGCTACCAACACTTTCGCAATATATGCTCGGGAGTGCTGCGACGTTCTCGTTCTTCCTCGCCATTGGCTCGGTACGTGTTTGCTCTGCAGCCCTCGATAGTTGCGAGCTAAAGCGCTACGCTGCAGGTCATTCGCAATGATGGCGAACTTCCTCCCCACTTGGAAGCGGCCCGAATGCACTTCGCCTCACCTGTCATCAGATCAAGAACGGAGGGTCTGTCCAACATGAAATTACAGTGGGCTTTGGAGAAGCAGAGGCGATCCTCCCAGTGAGAGTTCGTTGCGTACTTGGGACCTCCTCGTGCTGTCTCATGACATGTCAAAACTCGCTCTGCCAATATCTCATTTGTGCTCTACTGTTCAACCTAGCGCAAATCGTACTTCTTACTGCGAGCTTGATGTAAGACAGATCAAGTGAACTTGTGCTAACGAGCAGGCGCCGAGTACGTGCGGCGTCGTCGGCAGCTTCCGCAGATATCCCATGACGGCGACCGATGCGAGGCATCCTGCTTTCTGCCCATACCTCTCGTACTACTCAGGGCGGGCTTATTGGCCTATAGTTGAGTCAACAGGAAATCAGTAAGGGCCAGGAAGGGCCAGGAAGGGCCCAACCCATTGACAGAACTCAACCTCAGCCCAACTGCAGTCTGCGCACAACTGCTGCTGGTTTACCTTAACTCCCCCCATGTCTAACCCCACGAAGGTGCTAGCACGTCTCAAAGTCCAAGCCAATGCATTCTTTGAGCAAAACCAGTTCGCCGCCGCATACGAGAAGTACACGCAAGCCATCCAGCATGACTCCCAGAACGCGAATCTGTATTGCAACCGTGCAGCTTGCGCTTTAAGGCTCACCATGTAACTCGCCTTCCCCTTAGCTGTCGGATGTGTTTATAATGCGTTTTGTATAGGTACCTTGACGCGTGCGTAGATTCCAGCAAGGCAAGTGCACTGTATATCCCTGCTATCCCTGCACAACTTTACCGACTACTCCGCAGGCAACGGAACTCGATATTGCCTTCGCAAAAGCACGGGCGCACCAAATTGCGGCACGCGCCGTGAGTAGGCTTGGGTTTCCTTCGAGTCACTTTCCATCTAATGGTCACGACGTACTTGTTGGACAGGGAATAGACATCAATGAGGAAATCGTCAAAACGTGGGAGGGTGGCCTCGACCTTTTGCCCGCGCAATATTTGTCACCTGCAGAACAGACTCAGAGGGCACAATACTTGGCTGAGTTCTCCATCGCGACCACACGGTTTGTAGAAGCACAAGCAGCTTGCACGCCGAATCCTGCTCCTGCTCCTGTCACTACCGTCCAGGAAAGCGACATACCATGGTCCCGCGCCTACGTGATCGCCCAGGACTTGATGCCCAAGAAGATTTGGAACAGTAGCGTAAGTGATATATCATGAATACAGCGTCCGCATCAACGCTAAATGCATATCCTATAGGCTTGGATCGTATTTTGTGCACACTTGGTCAGTGTGCAGTGGAACAAGTCTCTACCCTAACCCTGAACGGTCGTCCGCGGTTCACAGGATTGGATCCACGGTGTTGAGCTGATGGACGAGCTCGCAGTATTGAGTTCGAGTGGACATCATCATCAAGGTGGCCGTCGCGGAGTAAGTCACCTTATGCAGATCGGTATCTAATGTTGAAAACCACACTCTTAGGCCATCGAGCGGCTTAGCAACGGCCTCCTAGCAGACCCTCGCGGGGTCGACATGAGGGGCCAAAACTTCATCCAGATATTTACCTACCAGTGTAAGCCACGTTCATCGTCAACTTTCTATTCGGCGCGTTAACAGCTACACAGTGAATTTTGAGATGGCTAGCACTGGCGCATGGGCTACCGGAGACCCTAAGCGGGTAATGGAAGAGGCCCCCAAGCGTCTGGCTCTAAGGGGTTGGGACTCGGTCCGACCTGCGCTTTCTGTCACGGTCCGGTACGTCGCATGTCCGCCTGAAGCATTCAGACATCAATTGACTGCCCCCGACGAAAAGAGCCTGGATCATGCAGGGCTTCTTCAAAGACCATATATCCAACGACTTCGTAACAGCATTGGACTTCTACAACACCGCGATCGAGGTGTTACAGTGGGGCACCGCGCTATGGAGAGACGTGTCAACGGAATGGAAAGGCGCAATCTTTCAGGCGAGTTTCCTTCGCGGGGTGAAGTGTCTACGCCTCGATACCCTCGCCAAGGTATGTCAGAGTCTGTCTACCGGACACCGCAGTGACTGACCGTACCCGCCATAGGCACATAGTAGACATTGCGATCCGACCGCGAAGTTTCCCTTGGCGGAAATTATCGCCGGAGCTGAAGATCTCATCGCTGAGCTATCCGAGCACCGGACAGATGAGCCGACAGGCAAGGAAGACTACGGTCATCACATGAGTTTCATTCGGTATCCACTCGCCCAGGGTTATTTGTGAGTGACCCTCATCGTGGTGTGCTGACGATATAACCAACCAAGTATTTGGTTGGCTTCCCCACAGTCTTCGTGGCTTCTACCATCAGCACGTTGCAAGGAATGTCTGTGAAACGCAGGGCCCTGCCTCCGTTGCTCTCCAGCATCTGAAGACCGCAGCTGCCGCATACATCCAGGCCGCCGAGATCTACCCCAAAGATGACGAGAAATACGTCTGTGCGTTGCACTCCTCTATGACACCCTGCGCTCCCCGAAACCTCACGCTATATCTACAGTATGCCTGCATCACGCCCTCGAAACTCTGATAGAAGGCGGGACCTCAGCAAACGAAGTGCTCAAACTGTTGAATCATATCCACGAAGCGATCCCGGTAATACGACGGATTTGGGAGTTCTCTGACGCTACTGGTGGCCGTGACGTGCCATTGAAGGCGGATATGGAGCTGCGGGATCGCTTCCTGATGCATATGCCGAAAGGGAGTTCTGCAGAGACTGTGATCTCACGTGGTATTCTTCGAAATACCTTGCTCGGGCTTGGCGGTGCTCGCGACTCTCTCCGGCCGCTTCGGTAGCCCTACGATATAATCGGATTCGGATCGACGTAGGACGGTCTTGGTCTATCATATGCTATACTGCGGAATGTAATAAGGCCCACTTCGAGATGAGCGCTGAGGTCCAGGGTCCCCTGTCAATCCGAGTCCCAGACGCTCTCCCTACTAACAGGTACGCACTGCATCTGCCTGGGTTTAGTAACAGTACCGCTGATTCTTGTGCCCCGACCTCGTTACATCTTACATCGATATCCTACAAGATCGCTCGATCCACCTCTACACCCTCTGGGTCGGCCGTCACAATGGCCTGACTCTCAATTTCGTACTGCGAGCACTCTTCGGCTTGGTTCATCTTGAAGTATATCGTCAATGCCACTTGGCATCCAACATCGGGCAGCTATCGCCAGGGTCCCACTGGTAGAGTGGCCGAGTTGCGCAAGGACTGAGTATGCGGCGTAGGAACGACTCAGTCGTACATAAAGAGATGTGAGGTCACCGTGAGTGGAAGCCTCGTAGTGATCGGTAACGCGACCCTACGCGGCGTTGGACACTGCCGAATTGCCAGGTTGGACCTTTAACCACACCAGGTATCTCGCTTACTTCCCGGCGTACCTCGTGTATCCAGGGACCACCCTCAAGTCCATTGTCCCGTCAACACGCGGCAGGGTATAAAGGCAAGAGCGGCGCGGCTCAAGCTACAGCGTGCAACTTTCTTTGCGCCCGTCACCATCGTTTCAATCACCCTCTCAAGGTCGACTCGTTCACTATGGCTAACTCCTCCGAGGCTGCACGCTTCAAAGCAGAAGGGAACTCTCTGTTTCAAAAGCAGCAATTCGCCGCGGCTTATGAAAAGTATACGCAAGCTATCGAGCACGACGGTCAGAACGCAATCTTGTATTCCAATCGTGCGGCATGCTCTCTCGGTCTTGGCAGGTAATTACTTCCGAAATGTCAACCGCGTACAATCACTTCATCTAACGTACGCGTCTCAAGATACATTGAAGCGCACACCGACGCTACCCAGGTCAGTCCAAAATCGCTGGTGGCGGCAAATGGCTCACTAATACTGTGGCTTAGGCAACCAAACTTAACTCTACCTACGCCAAGGCGTGGGCGCGCCTGGCAACGGCCTCTGCCGTACGTTCTTTTTTCGGTGTTCTGGTGCGACTCGGACTCCGCCCTCGGAACTGATTTCGATGCTTGTACTAGGGTCTCGGCAAAGTTGAGGAGACAATCAAGCTGTGGAAACGCGCTATCGCGGTTCTTCCCGTCGAAAATCTCTCACCCGCGGAGCAGAAACAGAAAGAGCAGTACACTTCTGAACTGGCAGCTTCGGTTGCGCGAAACGGAAAGAATACAGATGCCTCGGCGGGGGGTCCAATTCACGTGCGGATCAGAGAGGAAAATAAGCCATGGAACCGTGCCGCTGTGATGATCAAGACCGTCCTTGGCCCTAGCAAGACGTGGAATAGCAGCGTGCGCCTCGCGTATTCATTTTGTCGAGCTAACATTAACATCTGGCTCTCTTCCCTATAGGCATGGGTCATTGATCATGCTTACAGGGTCAGCCTACGCCATAATCATTGTTACTACTAAATCAGTCTTAACGCCGCCCTGTGACGAACAGGAGTGGACCACTGGGCTCGAGTTGATGAAGCAGCTACGGCCGATGCCTACGCCCGCTGGGATGGGTTACTTCGGACGCTTAGACGTGAGCTCATACTAACGACCTCTTCCTGTTGCCGATGTCGAAGCTGAAGTGGACATGCAGGCCGTCATGATTATGAGCAACGCCGTCATCTCAGATACCCGTGCCTTTGTCATCACGGAACAAGACTTCCTCGAGAGATATAATAAGCAGGGTGAGCAGCATCCTCTCGGATGCCTTCTTTAGAGTCCGTGCAACCTGACAACGTACAGTCATGTTCGAGCTCACAAAGACTAAGCCATGGACGGACGGGGGTTCCAGGCTCGTCATGGAGGAGGCACCGAAGCGTTTGGCTCGCCAAGGGTGGGACGATGTTCGTCCTGCGTTGTCGCTTACGGTTAGGTATGGTATTGCTCCACTATCAGGGGTTTTGCGTCCTCATCATCTCATTTGTTGCGCACAGAGCCTGGATCATGCGAGCCTTCCTTCAGGATAACTTCGCGAACGGCACAGAGGCGGCACTGGACTTCTACACCTCTGCCCTCGAAGTTTTGCAGTGGGGTAATGTACGGTGGCCTGGTGTTCCTCCGGAGGAGAAGGGTGCGATCTTCAGAGATAGCTTCATACGTGGCGTGAAGGTCCTGCGCCTCGATGCTTTCATCAAGGTAGGGCAACATCGACCTCTCAGACACGCGTGTGACTTCTCACTTCGCGTACGTAGGCCTACACTAAAAACCCTGGACCGACCTCTAAGTACTCTTTGGATCAAGTCCGAGCAGGCGCACAAGACCTGATAGACGAGGTTACTCCAATAGTGGATAATCCGCCTATCGATGAGTCGCACTACAGTTTCCACTTGAGCTTCGTTCGGTATCCGCTGGCCAGTGGTTACTCGTGAGTCATCTATTTCGCAGTCTCTGCTGTAGCGGTTGTGTGGCTGACCCCGATGCGCCAAGTGCCGTTGGGTTCTACCATCAGCACACTGCCCGGAATATTCGCAACGCGCAGGGTCCGCTATCGGACGTCATCGAACACTTCAAGGCTGCTGCAAAAGCATACACCCAATCCGCCGGGATCTACCCACAGGACGACGAGACCCACATTTGTACGTCACAGCCTCTCACGTTATTTCTAACACTGCTTGACGGACTCTTCTCACTGTTGATGTACAGCGTGCCTGCACTTCGCTCTAGATGCTCTCCTAGAAGCCGGGAGCCCGGCGGGAGAGGTGATAGCCCTCATGGGTCGCATCCAAGAAGCAATCCCAGTCATGAAGCGCATCTGGGAGTTCTCGGCCGATGCTGTGAGCGGGCGCGACGTGATGCTCAAGGCAGACATGGATCTGCACGATCGCCTCCTCAAACGCATACAAGAGGGAAGCTTGACCCTAGGAGATGTAGTTTCGCGCAAAGACCTGTGATTTTCATACCTCATATCCCATGTATTCAAGAGGGATAATTGATCATGAAGTTTAGTGCTCTGACTCTATGCTAGTAAGTAGTACCACCGCTGCTTCACTGTAGTACTTCGATTGAGCCTGCTGCATACGTACCGGACTTATCTTCAAAGCTCCAGTGGGCGAAGGCTTACCCCGCGTCCCAGAATATTACAACACAATCAGTGATATGATGTTTAAGATATATCAGATAGGTATGGTCGGCGAGGTGCGAACAAAGGTGAACAAGCACCAAGGACCTTTGCAGTCAATCCTCCTTGAGGCCCGGCCGGCAAATCCCGCTACGGTGCGATCGACCAAGATTTGGACCACGCTTGCTCCCGGCTCCCAGCTTCTTCACTACCATCTACGCCTGTGGGCCAGCTCTTGCGTCCTCTTTGATTTGGATTTCGTCGGGAGTACGCACATCGCTGCGATAGGATTGATCGACAGACACAAGGTAGCCTTTGTGGCGTTGTCCTCGCCTGCTTCCAAGGCCAGTGGCAACTGCGTCAACAAACAGTATTACCACAATAGCAGCCAGTGCCTCCCGACTCGTTGCCATCGAGTGGCTTATGCGCCGTTCGATATATAATCAGACAAACTCCTCGCTATCGTCCCACTCATCTCACACTCTTTCTTCGTCACTATGCTGACGCCGACGACTATCGAACGGGCGGCGTCCTTGAAGGCGGAAGGTAACGCGCTATTCAAGGCAAAGGATCACCGAGGTGCATACGAAAAGTATACACAAGCCATCAGTCTCGACGATAAGAACGCGATCCTGTACTGCAATCGTGCTGCGTGCTCTCTAGCATTGGCGAGGCGTTTAGATGCTGCAGAAGACGCCGACATGGTATGTGGCCCGGAACATGGCTGCTGTGGCTCGCCTTTTGACTACTAGTCGATGTTACAGGCCACCCAGCTCGATCCTACATATGTGAAGGCATGGGCACGGCTTGCTGCAGCCCGAACGGCAAGTACCACAGATCTAGCCGCCACTCAGCGCAAGGCTATCTAACACGCTGTACGGCTGTGACAGGGGAGCTTGAGCACGCAAAGAGAAGCAATTAACGCTTTGAACAAAGCACTCTCCTTACTACCTCCCGAGAATGGATCCACGCCAGCGATCCAAAAGCAGAGGGCAGAGTATTTGGCGTTGCTTAACGCCGCTACGAAGCAGACGACGACGATGGAAGAGGGCGTCGTGATCAGGACGCGGCATCTGTCTGAGCTAGTAGGTATACCGGATGACAGGATGCCATGGAACTTGGCGGCTTCGGCCATTCCGTCATTGAAAGCTGCTGGTCAATGGAATAGTAGCGTACGTGCCCCATACGCATGCATTTTGGTTGGCTAACGGCGTGATCCACAGGCCTGGCTTATTCAGTACTCACGCAATGTAAGCATATACTCTACATATGACGTATCCATTCTCATGCCGTGGGGCAAATCGTCAGGAATGGAAAAGGGGCATAGACATCTTGAAGGAGCTGAAAGTCATGCCAGGACCTGGCGAGAACGAACACTCTGCGATGGGACTTCAAGGAGTACGTGCACGTTATCGCATCTGCCGTGCCTCGGTTGCTTGTGCTGATATGCGTAGTGCGTGGAACGGCTGAGCAACTGCGTGCTCTCCGATACTCGCTCGTTCAAGATAATGCAGCAAGAGGTCAGCGAAATTATGGAGAAGTTCCCGAGCCAACGTAAGCGAACCTCTTCCCCGTCGCCAACATGTATTGACGGAGCATTTTCAGTGCGTCTCGAGCTTATGACCCATGGCGGATGGACCTCTGGTGGCTCTCGCAAGGTCATCAAGGAGGCGTCTCAGCAACTGAAATCCGGGGATCTCGCCGCGATCCGTGAAGCCCTTTCACTTACCGTGAGGTATGCATCATTTGTAGGATATTGCAGGCATGCCCTTAACTCCCTGGGATCTGTAGAGGCTGGATCATGTTGGGCTGGATCGAGGAATACTTCATGGACGCCCTTGAACACGCTTTGGACTACTACACATGTGCCTTTGAAGTACTGCAGTGGGGACTAGAGCTGTGGAAGGACGAAGACATACAAGTGCCAGGGCTGGCCTTCCAGCCTGCGTTTGTTCGCGCTGTCAAATGCCGCCATCTTTGGGTACTCGTGAAGGTGGGTCGCCAATCTTGATGTCTGCTCCCTCAAGTGCGTAATCAGCTGATACGCATATAGGTATACAGAGAGAAGTTGAGCGAGCAGATCTTGGAAGAAGTCGGCGCAGGCGCCCAGGATCTTATTGAGGAGTTGGGCGAAGAACGTGAGACACCGCTAGGAGAGTGGGAGACCCCTATTTTCCTGGGCTTCGTTCGGTACCAGCTCGCTGAGGCCCACAAGTACGCCCCTCCCCCACATCCGTGACGATCTAACTGAGACTCATTTGTAGCCTCCGTGCCTGGTACTACCACTGCGCGGGTAAACGCGAGAGGCTTGCCGCTGGGGGCATCACCGACGAGGTCATGGACCTGTTCTCTCTCTCCGCCGAGTCGTACCTGCAATCTGCGGAAGTATACCCGGAGGACGACGAGCATCATTTCTGTGCGTCCCCGAATTCTGTGCATCATGTGTGTTCGGTGCTGACTGACGAGGCCCCCGTGGCTTACAGGGTCCCTGTACTACGCCTACAACATCTTGCTGGATGTCGGGCATCCGGCGGGGGACCTCATATACATTATGAAGCGTGCGCAAGAAGCGGGCACCAAGATGAAGACGATATGGGAGGTCGCGATCCACACGTGCGTCTGCGAGCGCAAGGACGCGCTCGAGAGCTGTATCAAATGGCGAGCGGATCTCGTAGCGAATATCGAGCAGGGGACCATCACGGACGCCACTCCTATCATGCGTCCGCCGCCGCCCGGTATGAAGTGAACATATCCTCTGTTCTATGCATCCACTTGTAGCGTTCTAGGCCTCTCGCGTTGTATTTCTGTGTTGCTGTATCTCTGTGTTTGTCGTCGTCGTCGCTTTCCTTGTACCATACCCACGAGTTCCCTCGATCCATATACTGCTGTTTGATCTGTTGTGCTGACCCATCGCTGCGCTGCCAGGCCATCTTCCGTACCGACGGTCACGGTTCGATGCGAGCTCTGGTCCTATCCCCGTCGGCCGTACTCAGGGAACACTGAAGCCGCCGCGCGGCGCGAACGGGTGAACGAACTACCCCCTTCGCTCACCGCAAACCCAAAAGAAGGAACTAGCAAACCCCGGCAACGCCCGCCCCGCCCCCATATATAACGCGCCCGCCCGCATTTTGCGCCCCTCAAGACACGTCTCCTTATCCTGCCTCGCTAGTCTCTATCGTTGTCCAACGGTCGGGGTCGCAATCGGGTACTTTCCCCCTCAGGAAGGGCGCGCCACGCGCGCCCAAGGCCGTGAGGGGGTGGTTTGCCGTGTCAGAGCGAGGCGCGCCGCCGTATGGGGGCGCGGTGATGTTGGGAAGTCAGCTCTCCTCCTGCAACTACTGGGAATGCAGAGCCTAGACGGCATCAGACAGATATTCGCCGTTGAAAGGGATTGATGTTTGTGCTTTTGTTTCTTATGATGTCACATACATACATCGGTCCGCGGCGAGCGCGTGTGCACATGTTTCTGTGCATGCATGAATCGGAGAGTCGATCGCGCACGCACGTACGCACACCGAAAAACTCGAGTCAAACAACAAACATGCATAGCCAACATACAAGTGACACAACAAGTACACGCGAACAACTACACGACTCAGACGGCGCGCGTCTGTCGTCACCGAGCACACAGTGCGCCGGCGCGACACCCCCCGCTACCGCCGTCCTACTGTACGTAAAGCCATCGCGAAGTACCGTGGAACACTTGTCCTGGCGCATGTGCGTACTGCGTGGTCCGACCGCGATCTCGGATCTGCGGACACATGAGGCATAGAGGTGGTGATGGCCTAGTGCTACAGAAAGGACAGGCGCGAGGAGGGACGAGTGCGTGGACGTGGGGAGGGCTAGGGCAGGGGCAGGCAGGTGAGGTACGGATGGGTAGAGACCGTGTAAGAGGGTCCGCGCGCGCCATGCAATGGTACGCGCTGTCCGCGTGCGGAGAGCCGGAGAAGGGAGGAGGGCTGGACGACCAAGAATACCACGCAGTCAGAGTCAAAAGACGGTTGCGGGGCTCAGGGACAGGAAGCGTACTCACAGGGGAGGTATCGCACGGACGCCGCACCTGACGACGGAGCTACCTCGGCCAGTACGTGGGCAGCCTGCTGCCGCACGAGCGTACGGACCGCAGACTCGCGCTGGACTTGACAGAGCGTAGACTCGCTGCGCTCGTGCCAGTACCCGCACCGCGGGCTCGCCGCGGCGGGGAGTCCCAGAGCGGGAACGGGCCCGAGATCGCTGGCCGCACGGGGCCCGTGGGTGCTGAGGGCGTCACGCGGTTCTCGACCTTCGACGGTCCGAAGAGCCAGCGGAGGCTGAGGAGGCCGCCCAGCCCTTTCGCCTTCTTCTTCGGGGGAGGAGACATGCACGGGTCCGCGCTGCGCTCGTCCGCATCGTCGTAGAGGTATTCGTCGTCGTCGTAATGGATCGTGGGCATGTCAAGGAACTTCACGGAAGGCGCTTTACACCGGCGCGTCTTCACGGAGTCCCCGGAGGAAAGGATGGACTTCGCCGGCGCGGGCTTTGTGCGTGAGGACGCGATGGAAGTCACAGAGCCGGAGCGCTTCCGGGTGCGCGACGGCGCCAAATCCCGCGCGCTGGTCTGTCCAAGGATCGCCGAGCTTGTGCTTGTGCTTGCACTCGCATCAGAGGATTTGGACGCGGTCCGACGCATGAGCGTGGACCAGAATGAGGACGATTCGCAGCGGTCGTCGTTGCGTGCCGGCTCGGCGGGGCGATCGGAGGGGATCCAGTCGTCGGCATACGCTACCGCAGCCGAAACGAACGGGATTTCCGGCATGTCGTCGAACTCCGGAATGGACTCCATCGATAATTGAGAGTAGGAGGATGCATCGCTATCCGTGGAATCGGGAGTGGGTGGCGTCTATATCGATATGAGTATAACGGTCCGAGTGCAAAACCCGAGGCACACGACTCACCAAGGTGTAGGAAATGGGGATCGCACTGCAATTCGAGGGGTCCTCAAAGGGGTTGGGATACTGTGGCGAGAACACATTTGTTCGGCGACTTGCAAAGTGGCGAGTACGAGTACAAAGACATACCAGTGTATTCCTCAACGTCATCGCTGAAGAACTACTGGCCCGTGAAGACTGGTATAACGGATCATCAGCACCGGACTGAGACGCTACAAATTTTCCACTCACGCCCCCGCTTGGCTCGGATTGCTGCCAGCCTGACCAAACACTGCCGTCGCACTTCGGGACAGCGTAGTAGCTGCTGGGGTTCTGCATGGCTTGATGGGACGCTGAAGGCGCGAGATGGACGTCGTTCGAGAGAGAGAAGGGAGAGCGCCCTTCGGGACTCGCTCAAGCGATGGGCAGGGGGGATAGGGTAAGAGGCAAGGTGCGACCCCAAGGACGGAATGCACGGCGCGTCTTTACTTCATCTTCGCGCGTGGCGTCCATTTCCTGCGCTTCCCCAGGTGTCGCTGCAGATAGCAGGAGATCCGAGTCAGCAGTGACTGCAGCGTGTATTAGGCGTGTATCAGTGCACACGAGGCACGTGAAAGCTGCCGAGGTTACCACTTTCGGAAAACTCCGCCATAGCAAGGGGGGACCGATTTTGGTCCAGGTTGGTCCCCCCAGACCGATTGACCAACCCGACCAACGAGACCCTAACCACCACCGCCACGTCAGACGCCGGACCTTCAATGGTCCTCACACGCACGTGCATCGCCTGTCGGGCGCCTAACGATCTGCTCCTCATGGGGTTGTGCGCCGAACTCTGCGCGCAGGCCGTGTACTCGTGTATTACGCGATGTATAGAAGTTACAAATAGTCCGCTATAGTTCCGTAGACTAGACGATATGTTAAAGTAGGGGAAATCGTCGAGAAATGCACATGAATACCAAACACTACCGCCGGTAGTCCCGAGCTGCAGCCCTCACTAAACACCCGAGCCCTCTGAGTTGCCCGGTTCTGCTACGGGCGGGTCGCTGAGGTAGTCGATGCGAAGGTATCGTTCTCCCGAGCGCTCTATAATGATCTCGGGAGGGCAGCTACCCATCTGGAGCGACGAGTACAACTTGAAGAGCACCATGGACTGCTGCTCCTCGGTCGCGGGGACCACCTGCGTGCGCTCTCGCAGTAGGGACGCGAACGCGAGGTCTTGCATAGCGGAGGCGCCGCCGGGGCTATGGGCTGCAATAACGCGCTCGTAGAGCTCTTGGACGGCAGAGATGAATCGGATGGGGTGGAAGTGGGTGCCGTTTGTGAAGACCTCCGACGGCTGCGGGAATGGCGGCGGCTCCTCAAGCACATCGACGGGTTGACTGCCAATCAACGTCTTGACCTTCTGTGCAGCTTGCCGCACACCGTCCGAGCAGTACAGCTTCTTGTGGTTGAGGTCGGAGCCTTCAGGACCAGGATACTTGATCGTCTTGCATCGCGCGCACGTATGATTCTTGCGCTATAGTTGATACGAGTCTCGCGATGTTAATGGCGATCCGACACGTAGGAAGGCATGCGAGACGTACTAATTTTTTACTCTGTCCGTTCACCTTGCTGCCGCCTTGGGTTTTGCCAAGCGGAACTGCGTGACAATGCTCCCGCCAGAAGGGCGAGTCCTTGTGATTACGCGCTTGGAAAGGTGTAAGAAGACGAAGTAGCAGATTCGGAAGTGACTTACACGAATAATTGTCAGTTGCAATGCGCCCGAGAATGTCCGGCTCGAGTTCTCCGAGCTTCTCCATCAGAGCGCGTGGCGTCTTCATGACAAGAGCCCGTCCGCGTTCTCGGTTGAGCTTCTGCAGCTCCGTGTTGTAAAGCGAGGCCGCGCACACCCAGTCAAAGGGCGTCATGCGGAACGAGGCCCACTGTTGCTCCTTCCGAAGGCGCATGAAGAGGAAGTATTCCTCTGCGTCGGCGTTGCGGGGAAAACTGAGTGATCGCGGGTCAACACCTGTCGCAACAGAAAAGAGCCGCTGCGATCGGGTCAACCCAGAGATCGTGGGCGATGGCAAGCTGGAGTGTATGATAGGGGGTTGTTTGAAGGAGCTGGAGGCCTGTGGCGTGGCGAAGAATCGCTCGATGCGACCAGCTTGCAAGCTGGGACGTCCGTCGGGGGTAGGTGTTCCGAGAGCTCGTTGCCGAATGGAATCAGACTCAATGACGCGGGCGCGACATGCAACAATGTCAGTGACAGGTCCCGTACGCACCCTACAAAATTCTGACTTACCTGCGTGGCGTCAACGTCGGAGTTCAGCCGGGTTTGAGCTGCCCCGAACGTTCGCCTTCCGAAGGACGTCTTGGGCATCCCGGCTACTGTAATCCTTATCTTCTTCTTCGGGGAGGGCGCATCCTCGATGCTGGTGGGCTGTGTGGGGACCGCCGTGTCATCAAGAGACGGCTGCCCAATGCGGTGAGAACTCCGATGGTCTTCGGTGTTGATGTCAGGAGCGAGTATTCCATCACTCTCGTCCACTGCACGACGCTTGCGGCCCAAGCCCTACAGACCAGGTCAGCCACCAATTAAAACGACAAAGTTGTGTGATACTTACCTTGGCACTCCGAGACGTCGACGGTGCCGACGCCTCCTCCGCTTTCACCGTGTCCTGGGATTCCAATTCTCGTGCTGAGGGACTGGCCACCGACAAGGGGGAGGTGTACCCGTCGAGCGCGTCGACATCGATGCACTCGATATCGAACGACTTGGCAGCCTGTGGCTGCTTGACGGAAAGGAGCTCAAGGGCGGTGGCCAGGCTGGACGTCGAGGGATCGCGCGGCGGGGACAGGAACGTAGAGGCTGACTGAGAGAGGCTGGGCGAGCTGGTGGCACTACCGGCGGCGGGGAGGATGAGCTCTGTGCTGGAACTGGGCGCAGAGGGTTGCACGTCGGCAGGAACCTGAGCAATTGGCGTGGCGGCGGCGTGTTGCGGCAACTGATACATAAGGGCGGGGTCGATGCCAATGTCGGAGAGAATCTGCTGCGCGTTGAGGAGATCTTGCGATGAGAGGTCGAGCAAATTGTCGTCTGTTGGCTCCTCTTTGAGGGTGATCAGAGCGTGATGTGCAGCCGTGGTTAACCCCATCGTCGAGAGTCCAAAGGTCTCCCCGCTGTTGACCGGTTCGAGCGCCGGAAGAGGCTTGATGTCGGCAGGCAAGGCGCGGCCCGATCTCTGCATGTCGCCGAGTATGTCGTTCCACAACCGCGCGATTGCGTCGACAAGGCGGACGTGGTGGGAGCCGTAGGTAGATCGAACGAAGGCGGACGCGTCAACACCTGTCGCCATCTCGACGCGTAGGTTGCGTCGCAGCACAAAGTCGTGGCATAAGGCCGTGAGTGATTCCAGGCCGCTAGCGTGAGACCGCTGTAATCCGTTCCAGCCCTTGTGTGAGCTTTCGATGCGACTGCCGTCTGAGCGCACATCGTTGCGGGGGCGTGCGAGGCACCCTTTCTTGACATGGGAGAGTTGTTCGGCGTGAGCCTGCCCGCGCGGTAGTTCAGCTCCGTATAAGGTGGCCAAATTGTATCACTCACCTTCACAGCGGCTGCAGACCATACATTACCCTTCGCTTCCCATTTATTGTACGCCTCCACCAATCTACGCTCCTGTTCCGCCTGATTCCAATACACGGCTGGCGTATGTCCATTTGCGGGTGATTTGAGGACCGCGTCGACGATATCGCGGGCAACGGCTGGCCGGACGGGGTTCTTGATGCCGCCGGCGATACAAATCATGTAGCTTTGATATAGCGCACGTTAGCAACCTCTATGGAGGGTAAAAAAGGCAGATAGACCACTCACCGCATCATAAAATGCCAGACATCCAGGCATACAGATATGTCCGGGAACACCTTCAAGATGGCGGCCTTGACATGACAGCAGTTGTCGACTGTTGCCATCTCCGGATAAGCGATCCCTAGTAGATCGAATCGACGCCTGAGGCCTGTCAGCAAGTCTTCAACCTCGGAGTTGCCTTGGGTATGACAGAATCGCTGCCAGAGACAGAGTTAGAGTCGCCGAGTGAACAAGTATTGCGGTGCAAAGTGCCAGTATCTCACCCAAGATATGATCAGATTTCTTTCGTTGAGGACAGATTCGATACCGCCTTTGTAAGACTTGGTCCGGCCATGGCTGCTGTCGACTATAGTTGCCTTAGCTGCAGTGCGGAAGGTGGCGTCGAGGGAGATGGCGACCGCTTCAGAGAGAATAAGGTTAACGCCCGAAAGGGAAGGCGCGTCGGACCGTGAGACACTTCGTGGACACTCACCTCCCTTCACTCGCAGACTGTCCTCGGACTCCTTCTGACGCGTACTCTGGGAGAACTTGCTGAATATGTCTGTTATCAGGTCGTCCGTAATTGACGTATTATCGAAGCCACCCAGGTGCTTCCCCGAAGACATTGGAGCCGAGAAATTGCGGAGGCCCGCCTTGTACGCGACCAGGGACGTCTGCGTCTGCGTCTGCTGTGTACGCATACGATAGCTGCGCAGGTATGCCAGGCGAGCTTTGTGATATTCTAGCAGGTGTAGTTCTGAACACAGGCATTAGTTTCCTATATAGCCACCAAATCCGCGAGCTGCAAGACATACGCTTGATATTCTCGGCCAAACCAGCCGCTGTCGACGACGGGCGGAACTCCACGATCAAGTCGAAGAGCTCAGATGTGATAGCACACCGCTTGAAGAAGTGCGGAATCCCCGCTGAGAGGATTTCAGGTAAGCCGCTCGTTGGAATAGCTTCGGTTGAACTGAACACTCACGAGCGATCTCCCAGTGCTCTTTCCCTTCCCAGAATAAATGGTTTGTCGTTAAGAGTGAGTACCCTTCATCCTTCCCAACCGGCTTGCGCTGACCGCTTGATTTCATCTCCGCTTCGCAAGTCTTGCACTTTAGCTGGAACCCAATCGCAGTCTCCTCGCGCCTGATACCATGGACTTCCCGGTGCCCAGTCCCTGACCAGCCGTTCCAGTGGATGTCGCTCGAGCTGCATCGCGGACACTGCGCGAGCTCCGGGTAGTAAAACGGGTGAACCACGTTGAGGGGCTTCAGGTACGTCTGTTCCGGTGTTATTTCCGGTGTTGTATTGCGCTTCTGGAGGTGTAGGAAGGTGGGGGGCGTGAAGCGTGGCCCTAGGAGAGGAATCTTCATGCCGAGGGCTTTCTGGAAACCCGGCTGCGAAGGCTTCTGCTGCCGTACCTGCTTCGCGAGGAAGCTCACATATTCGCAGATGTGCGCTTCCCATTCGAGCTGGGGAAGATGTAATGACTGATTCTTCCTGTTGTTCTTCCAGGTTCCCAATCGGGTTGAAACCTGTAGCGCAAATGTGAGTGCCCCCTATTGTATAGCGCGCGAGGGAGTTGTTGTAGCATCGAAACTCACATTACTATTCCATTCTTTCAGAAACAGTGCGCGCCCCTTCGAATCGAGAGCCTCGGCGGCCGCGCAGAGGGCTTGCACGGTAGTGGGCTCAAAAACAGACATAGGACGGCGGGTAGGAGGTAGGAGGAGGACAGCGCGGCGAGAGGCCCCGCTGTGATCTCTCCATTTCCCAATATATCCTGACGCGGCGCGGCGCGCGAGTGGCGGGCTCGCTCGCTTCGTCGCCTATGCCGCCACGGTGAACTCTCTGACATTTGTCTTCACTTTGCGGTTTCGTGCGAGACGCGATATGAGATGCGAGCGGGAGATCCCCAGGTGATGTTGTCTCGTTACGCTACGGGCAGACTGCCCCTGATTTCCCACCGCACAGAAGTAGGCAGCTTCCTCATGAACGTTGTATACTGCTCATACCGCGCACTTCAATGTCGTCGTCGTCGAACATAGATATAGTATTACAGTGTCTCGTCAGCTAAGTAGCACTTGTACAGATATGTCCAACATACACAAAATCAAAGGTGACACCGAAGCCTCTCGTAATTCGGAGGAAAGCGAACGCGAAGGCACTGTCCATGTCCGAGTCATACACCGGTAAAGTAAGCGGGACATCTACGCGACAGAAGAGGGTCTCGCGGATGTCAAACGCGCGCGATCCTCGCCAAACGCGCATACATTACAGCGGGCATAAGACTGTTTGAATCGTACGTGTACTCGAGGCTGAATACCGCGCGAACGGCCAACCCAAACGGGACGTCCGAGATGGAGGCGGGCACCTGTCTGTCCTCGAACTCGTCGAACATGGGTAGTGACTGAGCGATAGTCTGGCGAGAAAAGGGGTAAGTAAGAATTTGGAGCAGGACATGCTTGCAACTCACCTCTCCCGCATCCGGCTCCCAGCTGACTCTGACGCGCACTGACCCATCAGATGCGAGCGCGACGAGCTTCGATATGTCGACCTCCCCGGGTATATCGGCCCTGAGTGTCTGGATCGTAGGAAGGATTTGGCGCCAGTATATTTCGGATACTACGTCGGGGCGTGCTTCCATCCAGCAGGTCGCGATGGTGTTACTGCCCGGGTTGGCCGTGTCCTTGTAGCCGTGCGAAGTGAGGTAGCAGTCGGTGATTGAGATTTGGCCGACGAGCTCAAGAAGAAGAGGTAGGATGGGGCGGGGAGCAGGGAGCAAGGGAGCTCGTTGCGCACAGCAGATGTAGCGGGTTTCGCTACCTTGGTGTTCCGAGAGCGCGAAACGGAGAACGAGGTTGTTGTTGACGTTTGTGAGCACAGGCAGGGGGCAAATGAGGATGTGGGGTGCGTTCTCCAAGGTGATGAGGCGTCGCGGAGGCATGGTGAGCAAGAGGATGAGTGTGCGGACGATGCAAGGGCGCAAGCTGACGAACTTCACTGGGGTTGAAGTACCCCCTGTCCTGAACCCCCTGTCCTATATTGTGGGGTCGCCTGCGCGCCGCGCGCTCCCCTCAGTATGAAGAACGCCGGTATGCCATGTACCCGTGTTTGCATTCCGCGTGGGCGGGACTTACAGCTCGGGAGAATGGTGTGAGTACATATGTACGAACACGCTGAACTACTCAATAGCCGAGTAAGTTGGGGTGCCCGATATGGTAAGAGTAGTATTGAGGCGCGTTCTTCATTCGCGCGCGCGACGCAGCGTACAATATGGGGCACAACTGCTTGAATACGATTGAGAAAGACTTATCTCTAAACACGGGGCGCAAGAGAACATACCAGGAGAGAAACGGGCGCGTACTGTGCGTGCCGATCGCGGGTACCCTGGGTGCCTTTTCTGGCGGGCTCCGGGGCGCCCTGGGCCGCTGAGCGGCCCGCCTACGGCGGGAAAGGCCCTTGCAATGACCAATTTGCCCACTTTCGGCGGATTGCCAGGGAACCCGGAGACGAGGTTTCGGACGGAATGGAGGGCGATTCGCTAAGTGGGCTGTACATTCGCAGGAGATATTCTCGCCTGGGAGCAGGTATGGGCTTGTCCTCTTTGGCTCCATTTCGCGTTCGGTAGCATGGTCGGAGGAAGCGCTGGCATGTCCGCGCTGCCGCGCGGTCCGGTGATCCTTGGGAGGCCGCCTACCGCGTTCAGCTTACCTGACAGTACCGTGGGCAGTGCTGTACGTGAGACCATATGCACGAGGACCATCGTTAATGATTATGGGAGTACAAGCCTGTTGAGCTAGAGGAATTGCCCAAAACGTCCGGGAGGTGGGGGTGGGGAAATTGACGCCTTGACCGCGAAGGCGCGCACGAACTCGCATACGGAACACTGTATGGAGTTACGTATAAATATGGGAGAATATGCGGCCCGCACATACCTCTAGCCACAGGAAGGATGTATTGGGGTTCACGTATAATACGCCACACTCCTGATGTCTTCACGCAACGATCGCGCCTGCATCCAAGGCCTGGCGCCCACGCGCTCGTGTGCTCTTGAGCCCCATCACGCGTTGTTGCGCCCCACCCGCCGACGCAGGAATATTGAGGCCCGCTTTGATAAGGTAAGGTGATAAGTTGCCTCCTATGGGGTGCCCTGCATGGTGTCCGGACTGCGCCCTGGCAGGTTGGCGAAGGGGCAGGTAGCCCGGCCAGCTGACCCGCGTCGAACTCGGCTGGTCTTGGGTGGTGCGAACTGTATCGCTTGCATGAAGTGCTTGACTAGGTTTGCCCCTTCTTGCTAGTCCTGGAAATTGTCCGCTTTAGTTACGTCTAAGACTTGCACATATTGGAAATCGCTACCGGAGTGGTATGCACACGGTCGTCCCGTCGGTCTGAACAACTCGCTCAGCAAATCGGGCGTTCACCGAAGGGCGGGGCCCCTGCCCATGCGTCCTAGCATATGTTCGGATGCCAGACCACCGGTGCTGAACCAGTTGTCCGGACCGAGCATCGAAGTTTCGGTTTGTGCGGACCATCGCGCGCATACACCCATCCGAAAGGGCAGTTTGAGTTCACAGTTTCGCAAGACAGATCCACCCACGCATTACCCGGGATCCTGTTCAACGGTGCGACGATCCCACGGGAGGGCGCATACCACGTTCGGCTTGACTGACAGTTTTGACACGCGGGCCGTACACGACAAAGGTGCACGATGCAAATAGAGGTGTGTTCGATAACTGCAGACATGCAACATGCATCAGCGCGCAGTTTGAGATGGAGAGCGAGGCAGCCCCCAAATCGGGGATGTCATGGAAGGAAACGTCGTGAAATGAGACGCACCAGATGAATTAAGCAGTGAAATGAGGTAAATCTACACGTACTGCTGGCCTACCGACCCCACAATACCAACAAGCGTGCTCATATCCTGAACGGCTCCTCAACATGCAGCCCGCTCCAGATACCTCTTGCCGCCTCCGTCCGGCTGACCACCGCATCCCTCTTGAGCGGCTTGATCTTGGCACCGGAAGAATCGAGCAGGATTTGAACCTTCTGCTCGATCCCGTTCACTTCGAAGCCCTTCAAGCCAATGACTTTGTCTCGGTTGTTGACTGAATGGGAGTGACGGGTGTTAGACAGAAGCATCGCAAAGGTCGCGAATGACGTACTGTAGAAACCGCGAATAACGGGTTCCCGGTGACTCCTCCTCCTGACAACAAACTCAACATGGGGGTTTTGGCGGGCGAGGTCTTCGAGGCGGTGGTGGATATATGTGCGCAGGTTGGTAGAGGATGCCCAGTTGTCACAGAACTCGAAGACTAGCTTCCGCGCCTGGGGAACGAAGGCACCATGGCCGTTCGACGGGAACGAGGTCTGCTGCGCACGGAGGAAAGGTTTGAGAGCGGGACCGATTTTGGAGGCCATGGCGGATGAGCAGGAGCTCGACGTGCCTGTCGACGGCGGGCAGTAACATCTCATTTCAAGCGCCGCCACGATTGACTGATCTCATTTGAACTCCGAAGTTCAGATGTCAATCGGGGACTTAATATTCCGATTCGGAGTTCAAGTCAGAGGGAATTGCACATCCGCCTGGCTTGACCGAGACCAGCACGTAACTCGGAGAACGCGTCGAGCTCGACGCGTTCAACTGCCCGTTCTGCTCTCCAGCCACCGGCGCGTCTCCTCATCGCGGCGTCAATTCCCACTCAATCATGGCTCGCGCAACTCGCTCTGCTGCAGCCACCACCGCGGTCGCTGAAAAAGACAAACCTTCTGCGTCGCCTCCAACCTCTCGCAAGGGTGCGTCCAAGAAACGCAAGCGCACCTCCAACGCCCAGAACGGCGGCTCACCGCCCAACAAACACGCTCGTACGATCTCCAAAGACGATGGCTCGCTGGAGCCCAACACCAATACCAAGGAGACGAAGGATGTTGAACTCCCTGGCAGCGGTGATGTGCCCATTCGAAACACAGACGCCACAAACATCCTAGAAGTTCTTGAAATGTGTGTAAACTGCTACATGCACACCAGCCACCTCTGACTTCCTCTGCAGGGTCGACACCCAAGGTCTTCTCGACCGAGTCTTCCCACTACCAACAGCCTCCGGAGACGCAGCAGTGTCCGAACCCTCATCAAGCACTTCTACCACAATGCTGTCCTTCCGTTCTCTGCTCCAGAATGCTTCCCAGCATCCCTTGAGTGTACTCCGCGTATGTTCTCTGTTCTTTCGTTCAGTTGATAGGGGCTTATCTATCGCTCTCCAGACCGCGGTCAAGCATCTCCTACCTATATCTTTCCATCCACGCTCTCGTCCGTCAGAGCCGGCCGCTCAGCAACTCCATTTCTGCAACCTTGCGAGTTCGCTCCTCGATGAGGCCTCGCGGAATAACACCCAAGTCCCTCCTGACGTGGAAAGCCTGATCACTATTGGCGACAACCTAGATCCAGACGATACAGCTGCCCTCGCCCTAGCGTCCGACTCCGGGCTTCGGCCACGGAAATATGCGCTCGTGCAGCACCTACCGTCCGGCGACTGGTGGTCCTCTGCAAGTTCGAGCACGCCGGCGGTCGACGGAGAAGGCAAGGACCTCAAGAACTTGTATACTGCGAAGGCGGACCTGGTCGCGATTTTCCCAGCGGCGTCCTCATCCGACGCCGCATACAAGCACACTCTTGGGGACTACGTGACGAAGAAACCAGCCGCGGTAGGTCATCACCGTCCTCCACCCCCACGCCGCGTGAGCTGCGGGAAGTTTCTCTACTACGGCCCGTACGCGAGCTTCGCACCGTCATTCGATCAAGATGGCGTTGAGGTTGGGCGCATCGCTATGGGCGAAGTCATCTATCACCAAGAAATGAAGCGCAGGCTGCGTGCACTGGCCAAGGGCAAGCGGCGAGCCTTCGCAAACAGGTCTGAGGGAACCCAGGCCGAGACCGAAGACGTCGAAATGCAGGAAGTGTACGGGGAGAGTGCGGCCGGACCGTCGGAGGCACCGACGGAGCTTGTCAAGGGGATCGAAGCACTGCTTCCGGAGGAAGAAGTGGAAGCGATCAAGGCGTCGCTGGGCACGCTGGAGATGGAGCAGGCGGTCGAGGAGCTGCTGCAGAGAAATGCGAAGGCACTGCAACGGCTAGAGGAACTGCAGCTGGCGCGATTTAGCGAGCAGGGAACAGGGTCGAGCATCGTGGAGGTCGGCTCGGAAGAGTGGGATGTCGGTATGTCGCATTTTGCATTAGTTTTTGTTATGCCTCTCATTGCCCTCGCATATAGCCCAAGGCATCTTGAATTCTCTGGCCCTACTAGCATCCCTCAGACCACGACCGTCCAACAGCGACTCAGACCAGTCGCCCCTCGTCCCACCGCCCTCCGTACTGCATAAGCTTCAGCGAACTCTACCGGTGGAGGCCACCGAAGGCTGGTACGGGACGCTCCCGGAAGGCCGCACGACCGCGTTCCGCGACGACACTACCGTCCACGTTCGCTCCGGCGGCGTCGCCGCCACCCCAGCCAAGCCCATCGCAGCTCCTGCACCATCCACCCCCGCCGCCAAGACCCCCGCCGCGGCGCCCGCATACACCCCGTACACATACCCTTCTAACTACCAGAATTCACCGTACCGTGGCGGCTACGGCACATACACCCCCGCGGCGACGAATACTAGCTACTACCCGAACTACACCACGCCTACCACGCAGGCGGGCACAGCCTCGCACTATCCGAACGCACAGTACGCGGGCGCGCAGCAAAGTGGGTACGCCTACTCCCCCTGGTACTACCAGAACCAGGCCGGGTCGACATCTGGGCGCGCGACGCCCCAGCCCGCTGCCGCTGCTCCCGTCACCCCCGCCCCCGCAGCAGCGACTGGAGCGAACGCAAACTATGCGGGGTACTATAGCGCAACGGGCGCGCAGGCGTCCCCAGCCCAGCGGGCGGTCGCAAACACGGTCGCGAAGCCGTACCAGACCCCGGCGTGGACGGGCACTCAGACGCTTCCGCCGCACATGCGGAGCGCGGTTGCGGCCGCCGCGTCGCCTGGCACGCCGCCGCCAGCGACAGGCGCTGCCGCTCCAGCCGGGTACCCCGCGGCGGGGTACTACGGGGGCTACCAGGCGCCGCGGTGAGTGGGCGGACGGAGTGCGTGAGGTACTTTATTAGTGTAATATTAGCAGCGTAGGTGAGCCCGCCGAGGCGAGGCGTCGTAATTGTGCAGTGTGTCCTAAGTCTTGACACGTAGTTCCGTCGTTTCTGGAGAATCGAGAACCGAGTACAGTATGGCTAGCAGTACGTAGATTTTTGTCGTGACCCGTGTACCCTTCGTACGATGCGTAATGGCAAAGCGGCGTGAACGCTATTGAACCTTCAGCTTCACTTGTTAGTTTTGGAGTGTTGAAGTCGTACGCAATCCGCATATAGTGATGCGTACTTTCCACGCTTTGGTATCCTGGCATCTCCTAAATTTAGCTAAAGGCCCAAGGCATAGAATGTGTTCGCAAAACAAACTACGAGGTACACCAAGGATCCGAGTATATGCGACCCTATCATCCGTGAGAGGCCCGCGCCGCCCCGCGTTTTCCAGTAGTATTAGATATGTAGACGAACTAGATAGACACATAAAACTTCGGAGCGCGACAGCGCGATGCCGCGTCCCAGAAAGCAGTTTTTCTTCCACCACGAACGGCTGTCTCGCCGGACAGCAAAGAGGTGGGAGCCCCAAAGACGACACCGGGAAGCCAACGTTATGACGAAACACTCTTCGTCTCGGCCTTCTCCGATATCGGCGGGAGCGACCCGTTCCCGTTCGCGGTTTTGCCATTCAGCTGCTGCATTGCGACGCTACCGTTCTGCGGATGGGCGTGCGTGACCTCGACGTCGGGCACACCGTGGCGGTCGCCCGCAGCGGTCGGTGAATCGGAGTCGCTGTCCGTCTTGCCGTTGTACGTTGGTGTCCAGTCCAGATAGTCGCGGCGGACTTCGATGTAGTCGCTCGCAAACTCGCCAATCTGCATCCCGCGTTAGCACATCCCGTCCTTCATACCCTAAGTAATACCGAATAAGACGCACCTCGGCATCGTCCATACCCATACCCTCTTCCTCGGGCGTCGCACGGAGGTGGAGGCCGGGGATGCAGTCGATCCCGCGCGCGATGAGCGCGGTGACGACGAACGAGTACGCGGTGCACGCGCACACGTAGGCGAACTGGATGTAGAGCTGCTTCCAGTTGCCGTTCAGCCAGCCGCCCACCGCGCTCGTGTTCACCCCGTCGAGCGCGATGATGGCGCTATCCGCGAAGAGTCCGTTGCCTAGCAGGCCAATCATACCGCCGATAGCGTGCTCTGCGCATAGATCTGCATGGGCGCACAATATGTGAGTAAGGCGCTTGTGGTGTGTCGGCGAGAGACGTACCGAGCGCGTCGTCTACTCGGAGGAAGTACTTGACTGTGGATCATAAAGGTCAGTCTACAATGATATATGAGACGATGGCGCGACGTACGTTTTGTACTGTAGTTGGATACAGCACCGACGATGATACCAAGAACGAGCGCCGCCCACTGCGGCACATACCCCGACGCAGGCGTCGCGACGACGAGCCCCGCAATCGTGCCCGAGCAGAAGCCGACCATGGACCACTTGCGCTCGATGCGGTAGTCAAGCAGGCACCACACGATGCCGGACATGGCGCCCGCGATCATCGAGTTCCAGATGGCCATGATCGCGCGCAGGTTCGCGCCGAACGCGGACCCGCCGTTGAACCCTAGCCATCCGAACCAGAGCACGAACGTCCCGAGCGCGACGAGCGACACGTTATGTGGGCGGAAATTGCGCAGCTCGCGCTCGCTCCGACGGCCCAGGACCCAGGAATACGCCAGTCCGGAGATACCGCTCGCGATCTCGACCGGGCCTCCGCCTGCGTTCAAAAGCAGCATTAACACCGAGGGACGCGGGAATCGTGCGGACAACTCACCGGCATAGTCGAGAACGCCCCACTTGAACGCCCAGCCGTTCGTCGACCACGCCCAGCACGCGATGGGACAGTACACGATGGTCATCCAGATGAAGGTGAAGACCATGGCAGGGAACACACGCCCGCGCTCTGCGAGCGCGCCCATGAGGATCGCGACGGTCACGCATGCGAACTCCATCTGGTAGAAGCTGTACAGCAGCTCCGGAATGAGCGGTGATCCTGGACTAGGATCGCCGAGAACCTTGCGAAGGGCGAAGCTCCGCAGGTTGCCGATGAACCCATTTGTGGCTGTTGACGAGAAGGCAAGGGAGTAGCCCCAAAACCACCACTGGAAGATGACGACGGCATTACTGGCGGCTACCGCCCATACGAGCTGCAGTGCGCTCTTTCGTCTTGACAGGCCGGAGTAAAGGAAAGCTGTACGGCGCGCGGGAGGGAATGAGAACTTTTGCTGCGTGGATATGGATAAGGAAAGCAAGGCACTCACCGACTCCAGGTACCATGAAAAACACAAGTATGCCACATACTGCGATGAAGCTCACATCTCCGCCGTCAAATCTACGCGAGGCATGGCTCGTATCTTGTGTGACCTTGAAAATGGATAAGAGGGACTCACTGTGTGTTCGCATCGGCCACTGCGGTTACATGGCATCTAGTTGAGATCTTGACCTGCCACTGAGACCAGGGGAATCACTCACGAAAAGCCCGCCCGATCCGTGGCGCATGAGGTATAGCGTGGGTCAAAAGCGGGGTATCAGGAGCCTGCGACATGACCTTGGCCGACGGCGCGATAGCAGGGATAGGAATGTGGGAGATTAGAGTGAGAGGCTAGCAGGCACGCTCATCGGAGCGGTTGGAAGGAGGGCGTGCGGCTGCGAGCGGGTGGAGTTCTGGAGCGCATCTGTTGCTGTATGGGTCCTGGACTGTTTCCAGCGGACGATGACTCTTGCCACGCGTTTCCGTGGGCCCGGGCACAAGATCTGGAGTGAGAGAGATATGCACAACATTGTAGCCGCACCTCGGATGTCCGCTCGATCGTTTCGTTATCTTTCCCCGCTCTTTTTTCGGACATCCCCTTCTCCTGCGACAAGCCCCTGCGTTCGTCCACGTCGTTGCTCGTCCTCCGCATCCCTGCCCTCCTTGCTCAAAAACTCGCAACGGCGTCTTGGACCCTGATCCTGTGATGCTGCTATACATTGCTCGCTTGTGGCAGTGGGAATGCGGCCACGCAAAGGAGGAAAGCCGGGTCTGGGGCGGCGGTCGCTTTGGCCACCTGATTCCGACGGTGGCGATCGAGTCCGCGGGCGGCCGGTAACTCGCGTTCTTCAATAGGCCCGCCGTCGCGCGCCTTGCGCCCGCCACACCTCCGCCAATGGGCATGCGAGAATATGGGGAAACTACCGACCGCGGTCCGCTCTCGGAGGTGAGGTGGAATGCTTTGTTGGCACACCAAAGCCAGAGTCAAGTATGTATGATGTCAGAGAAAGACAGCACATGCTCACTGAGTATATGCGCCGTGTCATAGTAGTTTCATGAAACATAAGCACCGACCGGCATCGTTGTTGGTCAAAGTGACAAGCTTTTGCAAGGAACCCGCGCAGTAAACAGGTCGTTTGCATAAGTTGCGAGCGTCGTTGAACGCTGATCATGGAGGTAAGGAGTCAAGGGATGCCGAGATTGAATGTTGCATCGACGTCGCGATTGAGTGACAGACAGTGACGCAATCGGTAAGTTCAACAGCTATCGTCGCGGGGTGTCTCTCGAGGCCAACCATGGCCAGTTGCATGCGCTCACATCCGCCCACCATCCCGCAAGCTCACGCACCATCTCGCTGGTACTCCGGGCTTCAACTATGTCTCCAATCCGGACACGCGCCCGAGCTCGACGCGAAAACATTCCCTCAAAGAAAGCTATCTTGACAATCCACTCGCAGCCGACCTCGGCGAGCAATCACCGGCTTAAGCATGCAGCTGTAACATCCGCCAAACAATGCAAAATTCTCAACACTTTGCAACGGGGAGAACGCGCACGTGTTGTTCTTGCCGACCGCACGAGAGCTATGGCGAACTCGGTGCGCGAGGCGAACACCACGAAGGCGAGTCGACAGACGAGCTTTCATCCCCAACTACGGATATGGCCTGTGGACGACTACCAGTACCCTTCAGCCGCCCCGCTTCGCACAACATCGAAGGTCCGTTGGTCGGAAGACATCGAGTACATCGAATACTCTCCACTGGCAGAACACCAGGGATACAAGGAACTCGTGGTGCGTTTCTACAAATATTCGTGTGCTTACTGTCTTCGTAATATCTAACGGCATGGCTCAGAACGGACGCTCGGGCTCAGAAATCTCACCTTCCGTGGGGACCTCAAAACCCTCTGCCGAGAAAGCCACAGCATCTAGCGAGGGGAACACGGGAGACCGCGTCTACATTGGCGGGACGCCTCCTAGCCTGAGAACCTTGAGACGTAACCGCGCTCGGCTCAGGTCCGCGAACGCTGCGGCAGGCGCTCTCTCAGCCAACAGACCGCTCTCTCGCTTGGAAGTTGACGACGGATCTCCCTTGGGCAACCCTGCTACTCCCAGTCGTCAATCAGTTGTTACGGATGAACCCTCAACCCGCTATCGAGCAACCCCTCATCCTGGACCGCAGTCTTCTTCTTGGTCGTCTTCTCGTCAGTCTCCTGCCGCGACACAATCCGCCGACTATGCTGGGGTCCTCATAGCGCAAGACGTTCCGATTTCTACCCTTGGGCTTCGTCCTCACTTGCCCCCTACTCTGATCCGGCCCCGCGTTTCGAAAGGCTGGCGTCGCCGTCTCGCTAATTTCGCAGAACATGTTCTCTTGGGTTTTGCGACCGCATACATATTCATCGTGTGTTCATTCTTCGGCCGTATGTATGATATCTGGTAATAGCCTTCCATTATCGCACTTTCTTCTCACCAGGATCTTGTTCAGCTTTCGTCTTTTCTTTTCCTCCTATTCCTCTCATCATGGTTTTTGTTTTTGTTCCACATATACCCACGGGTTACGCATTCCCGTTCTACGCAGCAGTTTCGGTGATATATCAATGCAAGGTCCTCTCGAACCACTAGACTTGCCTTATCGAGAAGACTGAGCCACAGACGCTTCTCATGTCCCGACGGCCCGCGATTTCCCATGCAGCGCTTGGTCAGTACGGCCTCCCTGCCGCCATGTCCATATGTGCCTTGTGTATCTACCACGATGACCCCTCCCTCGACAGCGGCAGCCCTGCCTCCAGAGACAACGACTGCCAGCAGGACCTCCAGCGTGAACATGCACTCGCTCCCCGCAGAGGTCATCGAGCGGGTCTTGATCGTTAGCGACCCGCGCGACGTCTCAGTATGTATGCGCTCCGACATCGGCATCACATACTCAATTGAACGATCTTTACTCGATACTCACGTCTACACCCTCGCAGAGATACGCTCAGACGTGCCGGTTCGCGCGTAAGCTCGTCTACGAGCCCAAGGACCACTTCCTCTGGCGGGAGCTTTACCTCGGGCGCCCGTTCGACGACCTGCGCAAGACCGCCCCCGTGCCGCGCCCGCGCCTTGATGTGTACGCAGCGCCCGTACCAGCTAACTCCGACAGCCATACTGCCAGCTCCTCCACTGCAGGAGTGTCCCCGCCTTGGCGTTCCGAGCTGCAGCGGCGGATAGAGGCGGAGGCGATAGCAAACTCGAGCAAGACCCCGACCGTACAGGAGCTCCTCCGCGCTTTCGAGACATCCCTGGCCGCTGTTGACACTGCGCGACCTATCGCAGAAGGCGACATTGGAGAGGATGCAAAGAAGATTGCCCCGCGGTCTGAGAACCTCCACTGGCTCGACCGTGTCCTCCGCACCAAGATTCTCAACATTCCCATCCCGACATCCGCATCTCACGCCGACCCTAGTGTATCTGCGAGCTCCAGCTACAGATCGAGCTCACCGACGGAATTATTAGGACCTCCCTCCCCGGTGCCGCGGAAGCGCGAGCTCCGCCAGGCACTAGCGAGGCTTCAGGCGACGCCGAGCTCGAGCGCGGAGGACATGCTCACGATAGCGGCGACGCAGCTACGCTCTCGACTGAGCGCGTACCTCGCGCTCTCGCACGACAGCAGCCACGAGGCGACGGGAATTGTCCGCATGGCTGGGTTGCGCAAGACGAGCCGCTGCTACGTGTACGATATGCGCCGGTACCAGCCTGGGACGCTCTGGGGGCCGTACCGCGTTGTCTACCCGACCGCGGCCACGGATGAAGCCGAGCCAGTTGTGGGAAAGGATGCTGAAGGTGACGCAGAAGGGGATTCCGACTCAGACTCGGAGGTGGAGGAGCAGGGCGTTCTCGTGGTGAACTGGGAGCACGTCGAGCACATCCTGAACGTCGTTGGCCTGAAGCTGCGCGAGGTCGCGCATACGTGCCTCGGCTTCTACAAGAAGCCGCTCTTCAAACTCGAGGCGCTGCGTGCATATTCCGCGGTGGATGCGCTCGAGTCCGCAGGGCGCGAGCCGCATGACTGGGCAGGCGTCACGGGCAAGTGGCGGCGGTTCGTGTGCTTCATGGACTACCGGTGAGCTAGCCGTATGCACGATGTTTTCCGGCAGAGTTTACTTATGCATTACGATATTCGACGCAGTGATCTATACAGTGAGTTTGATCGAATATTAAGTTCCCGGACCCGACGCTGCTCCTGAATGCTGACCGTCACATTCCCTCATAGTGTTCAACGTAAGCTCTTCTCGTCCTACTCTTCAAGTTGCCCTAACTCAATCCTTCCTCCTCACAGTACGGCTCGCTCTCCGAATCGAGTTTGAGCCCGCACCACCCGTCCTTCTTCGACGACCCGTTTGATGAGGCGCTCCGCCCCGTCGAGCTGCACCTCTCGCTCATCCCCGACACCGAGTACTTCGCGGACATGCGCCAGCTGCCGCGCGCCGCGCCCGTGTCACCCACGGGGGAGGCGGACGACCCAAGGTTCCCGACGCTCTACTTCGAGGGGCACTCGCGCGGACCGCACACGAGCACGGCGTCGATCCGCGGTACCGTTAGTACCCTCGCGGATGGGGCGGTTCGGTGGCAGTTTGTGAGTGGTAGACACGCCGCGCGAAATGAGACAGGTTGAAGTGACATTTGGCACGGTCGTAGGTGACGACGTATGATGGACGGATGCAGTGGAGGTGCGTGTCCAGTGTCAGGAATCGCGACTTGCTCGAAGCTGAGCGCGGCACCGATCACTCTGCACAGCGCCGAAGGAGTGCAGATCGGGCACGTATGCAGCGCTGCTGGGATAGCAGGGATATGGACGGGTGCACATCACCAGCGCGGTACGTGCCCTTCGTCCTCAAGAGCGTGTGATGGGACTGAAGGATCTTCACCCTCCAGATGACCCCGCCGGTAGGTAGTCTGAAAGTTTTGTCCTTGGTTTACTCACAGGCAGTCGCAGGTCCGTTTTGGATGATCAAGGTCAACGACGAACTCCCCGAAGGTGTGTTGAACACGCTTCACTGATTCTCTCATGTTTTCGGATATATACGCTCGCGATTGCTTGTGTTATGCTTGTTGTGTCTGTACCATGACCCCGCCTCGCTCTCATCTGTTGTTGTAAAGATACAAGTTCCAGCATTGATTCTTCCTGTTACACTGTGTTACATCTTACACTTCCTCGACCCGACTTCGACCTTATATGAACCGTCAGACAACAGGCTCCGTGTGCTCGTTTACTGCACCTGCGTGCCGCTCGCCTTGCTGAAGAAGCCGATGAGCCTGCCGTACAAGTCCTCGTAGCTGCGTTGACGTCAGTTATGTGTTCAGCAGAGGGTATGACGACGCTACGTACTGCTTCTTGTTCTCGGGGTCGTCAAGGTTCGCACGGGCAGCTGCGAAACCGTGGAATCTGGGGGAGGGGTATGTCAACCTCGCGGCTCACAGTTATCCAGCTGATGCGTGGACATACGAGTCGTAGAGCTTGTAGTCACTCTTCTCCGCGATCGGCTTCTTGGAGATGATCTCAAGGATCTGCTTCGACTGAGGACATTGTGATGAGGCTGGTCCACCGAGGTATCAGGCTCGCGCGCTTACCTCATCGACAGGCTCGTCGTTGCTTGGGTACAGGCCCAGAGGGACCTTCAGGTCGTTAGCATCGCCATGGCTGAGCATACTACATCGCCCTTGCGTCAGCACAGCTCAGACGCCAAAATAACGCGTCCTTACGCCGGGTGGATTGCGGAGACCGCGTCGAAGGGGGTGCCCTCCTGAGAACCGGCGAGGATAGTGACCTTGCCGCCTGGAACATGCGCATCAGTACGCGCTCCACTACGTCATTCAAGGCCACGCACCCCAGCAGAAGCCAAAGGTGCCGACGAATTCAGCACCCTCGGCCTTGAGCGCCTTTCCGACGTTAATGAGCTTAGCGACGCCGTCCTGGGGCTTCGCGGGCCCGCCGAAGAACGCCTGAAACTCTGCCTTCTCCTCGTCGGTGCTGGGAGGAAACTTGGCGGCAGGCCACGGCTCAGCCGGCTCGAAGAAGTCCGGCATGAGAACCTGGGCGCCCAGTTGCTCTGCGATGATGTCTGCGCCCTGCTGCGTCTGAGGCTTGAAGCTGGCGCCCCATATGCATGTTATTTCCCGAGCCCATTTCTCGACATGTGCGCCAGAAGACTTACCCGAAGATGTCATAGACGCAAACGAACACGAGCTTGCCAGGCGTTGCAGGCCCGGTCACGTAAACCTATTGAATATGATCATGGGCATTCTTATCATCAATTTCGGAAGATCGGCGCGGTCGCTTACCTTGCTGAAGCCGGCGTACGACTTGAAGGTGCCCTTGGGGGTGTAGTCGGACTTGACGGGGGGAATCGTGCAGCAGGCGACGTTTGTGTTGTGGACGGTGGACATCTTTGCGTGGTTGAGATGGTGGACGAGTGCTCTCAAGCGTGTAAACATCGATGACGGCATCGCTCTCCCATCCCACAACATACTTATATCGTCTGCCATATCGGGCCGGACCTACGTTCACACGGCAACTCCCGGCGACCCCCACTACTTAAACGCCCGCCAGCGCACATCTTTTTCTCTCATTTCGACCCTCACCATCGCTCGGTGCTTCACGCGCCGAGCCACTCTGCGTCTCTGTCTTGCTACAAGTGACCTGGGGTACCCGTGGACGGGGGCAGATTATCGCACCGAGTTCAATTAAGCCGGAGCGCTTTCCAGTCCGCTCTACGAATATCCGTGAGCTGGTGTGGAAAGTGCTTGACTATGTAGCTCGTACATCCATCCAATACACACGTTTCTCATTGGAACTACTACCGAGGACGGCGGGAGCTTCAAACCCACCGAAACGATGTCAACATTTGATACCAAAAAATGTATGCTCCTGCAGTTCTCGCACAAATCGCTCGCGGAGCACTAGTCGCCCGTACAAACCACTGAACTTCACTGAAACAGCTTAGATATATCGTCTCATTCAACAGAGCTCAAATTCTCACACAAACACGCAGTCGTACACACTCGAACAGGTCTATACAGCAAGTCTGATACGGTGTTGTGCCGCCTTCCCGCCTCCCAGGCCGCAACCTGCCGCTATCTAGTGGAAGGTCTTGCCCTCCTTCGCGAACTCAGCCTCCACCTCAAGAAGCGAGTCCACGCCGCCGAGTATCGCCGTCTTCCAGTCGTTCACCTGCCCCAGCCTTAGCACCCCAATCGCCTTTGCATTATCGACCGGGGTCGGCGGCGCCGGGTGCGGGTACTTGCCCTCCTCCTGCGCCGCCTTCGATAGGCGCGCCTTGAGCTGCGGGCGCGCCTCCGCAATGAGCTCCGCCGCCTGCTTCCAGCTGACGGAGTGCGGGATGAAGAGCAGGCGCTTGCGCTTCTCCGCTGGGGGCGCGGCGAGCGCGTGCACGGTCGCGCGCGCGACGTCGCGCACGTCGATGGAGAGCAGGAGCGGCGCGAAGAAGGTGCCGGCGGGGTTCAGGAGCTGGTAGAGGAGCCCGTTGGTGCTCATCTCGCGGATGAGCGCGTCTGTGAAGCGGTAGTTGGGCGCGAAGGGCCCGATGAAGAACGGCGGGTTGACTGTAAGAATTTTATGTGTGCAGTTAGTAAGGTGCGGGAGGAAGGCGGGAGGGAAGAACGTACCGGTGGTGACATCGATGTTGGGGTGTTTCTCGGCGAACTCCCAGACAGCTTGCTCGGCGAGGACCTTCTCCGAGACGTAGACGAAGGTCGGATCGTTGCTGGCGAGGGCCTGCTCCCTGCTGGTCGGGACCCAGTCTGTTGCATGAGACAGCTGTGTGAGTATCTTATGATCAAGAAATTTTGAGGAACGTACCATCCTCCGTCCAGGTCGGGGAAGAGTCCCCGAGGAGCCTGACGGTGAGGATGCTGCTCACGAGCACGAAATGCTTGATGCCAGCCTTCTCGGTCTGGCGGAGGATATTGGCGGCGCCTTCGATCGAGGCCTGTAAGATAGTGCGCAGATTAGCGGAGTGGAGACGGGGAGTATGGTGTCTCTCTCACAGTGAGAGCATTCTCGGGCGTGTCATTTCCAATCAAGGGAGCTGCCGCGTGAATGACACCGCTGACGCCTTGAAGTCAAATCTCAGCAACTCATTCATATGGCGAGAGGAGAGAATGGACTGTTAATTACCCTTGAGAGCATCCGCAAAGTCGCCGAAGGCAAGGTCATCGGCGCCGATGACTTCGACGTCGGCACCATAAATGGCGTTGTTGCTCTGGACAGCAGCGACCTTGACAGAACGGACCGTTCTGCGGGCGCATTGGAAATTATCAGTAGCTGCGCTTGGGATAGAAGCACAAGAACTTACCCTCGGACGCGGTACCCGGCCTTGACCAGCTGGTCGACGATATGGGCACCGAGGAAGCCGTTGATTCCAGTCACCTGGAGAGACATGCGTCCATGAGCTACGGCTCAAAAAATCTATACAGATTATGAAGTACTCACAAGGATGAGCTGCTTGGAAGACATGTCGTAGATGTGGGATTGCGTTCGGTTGGGAAGCTGGCTAGTGGGATTGGCGTGTTGGTGTGGTTCTGCCCTCCACACGCCGCAACCTGTCCATCCTTTATACCCTTGACGCGGCAGCTCGGTCGAAAAGACTGAAAGCGTTGGTAATTTCCGAGTGGATTACATGAGTATCGGAAGTCAAGAAGGGTGCGCGCGTCCCTCGGGGACATCCCCGAGGGATTGCTAACAGGGACTTCAAGGCCGATCGCAGTACCGGATGCTGTGAGAGGTAAAAGAACGGCGTGAGGACAGGATGGCGCTAAATTGACACATAGCTCGAAGTATGTCGCGTGCGCTAATTACCGGAGGGTAGCAGGACACTGTGGGTGCTCAAGTGCTGGAGAAGTTGTACCGGTAGCATCGTCAGTCAGTCGGTGGCCCCGGGACGCCACGTCCCTATTGAAATAAGAGCGAGTTTTTATGGAGCACGGCCAGAGAATTCAAATGCATCATGTATAGGACAGATGCTCGGAAGTTTCTTCAACCCGAGGCTAGAGCTTGAGTGTAGAGGAGAAATGACCATACTTTGCCAAGCGCCTCGTAACACTTCCAAATCGAGCTTGCCACTGGATCCACGTGGAGCCACAAGCGCCCAATGAATTTACATAGCCACGACGGGCGTTGGCCCATATTCCGGTCCTGAATAGGCAAGGAATAGCGCCGGAATTGTTCTCCTGTCACCAGACTGGTTCAGGTCCGGAATTCCAGTTAGAGAAATTACTTACCGGGTAACAAACTGCATTAGAGTGGAGCTTTGTTCTCCATTGTCCGAGTTCCTAGCCTGTCTCCGGTCCGGAACAGGAGAACAATTCAGGACATATTCCTGACCTATTCCGGACCGGAATTCGGGCCAATGCCCGTCGTGAGCTCCATAGGCGCTCATTTAGGCATTCCTCCGTGAAGCTCTGACCGCGACAAGATGCGCCTTCCTCGCCGTGTACCCTGGCAAGATCTCGGAGAGCTCGAACAGGTCTGCGGGTGGATATACGCAGACGAGTCCGACTTTGATGCGAAGCAGCGCGCGGTGAACAGGGTACGTCGCGCACGTCGCTCTTGGAAGGCCTTCCCGCTTACAGCACTAGTTAGCGGCATGGAAAGTGGCCGTACCCCTCCCCCATGCCCTGGAATCTGCGCATGCGATTTTGTCTACCATCTTACAAGATGGATCGAGCGCAAACGCACCCTCCTCATCTTCGTACCTCTCCCTGCGCATGAGCTATGCCGCCGCGATCATCCGGCTCGTGAACGGACTCGTCGACCCCCTCCAGCTCGGCGCGTACGCCCGCTCGATTGCCAGCATCGCACAACAACTCGGACTACCCGCGTGGTTTGTTGAGCTCCGGCACGCCGCGACGCACGAAGACCTCCCCAGCCTCGAGGTCCTGCGCGACGCTGCTCGAGAGGTACGTCCGCGCGCCCTCTTCTTTGCCTCCCTTTGCCAACGCGTCGCGCACAGTCCATGACATGGCTCCTACACAACTACTTCCTTCCGACCCTGAACCCATCCACCCCGTCCGCGGCGCCGTCTCAGCCGCTGCGCCCGCTCGCTCCGCTCCTGCGGCAGTACAAGGCGCTCATGAAGGCGACCACGCGCGACGCAACGCTCCGCGTGCAGCTGCGCGGTGACATAACGAAGGCAACGCGCGACGTCGAACGCTGGATCGCCGAGGCGAAGGTTGCGTCCGCGGCCGCGGCAGGCGCCCTCGGCTGGGAGGATACACTGCCGGATGGCGACGAAGAGGACGCGCGGGAGCGGTGGGCTCTTGACCGCGTCGCGGAGGCGCTCGTACAGAAGGGCGGGTTGGTCCCTCTTTCAAAAAAGTAAGCGGTCAGGAACGCGAGACTTTTGAGGATGGTAATGCTGACCTATGCTTGTGCAGAAAGCGACTGTCTCCAGGGCAAAACACCCTCTCCCTCCCGCGCTCGTCGCTGCTCATCTGGACTCCACTCCTCTCTCACCTACAATCCCTGCACCCTACCCTTCCGCTGCGCCTCGTCTCCGCGATCTCCGCGTACCTTGCACAGCCTGTTGCAGCCCCTCAAGACGACCCGGAAATCGTCTCGCTCTCTGTCGTTGCTCCGACAGACGAGCCGAAAGCGGACCCGTCGTATGACCTCTGCCTGGCGAGCTGGGCAAAATGGCTCGTGGACAGTTGCAGCAACGCAGACACAGAGGACGCTGAAGATATCCGTGAGGCTGCCCTCGTTCGCATTGTTGCCTCTCTGGGCCCGGAGTCCGCCGCCACTGGAGGCATAAAACCGTATGTTCTTCCGCCCTAACATCTGTCCCAGGGCCTCATCTCACATCCACATTGACAGTGCGAGCACGTTTCTGCTGCAAGCCCTGTCTGCGGAACGACCACAGCTTGCAACCGCGCTCTCAGTGCTCAGCCAACAGCCGGCACAGACCTCCACATCATCCGCGGTATGCTTACCCTGGTTCATCCCTCAGGGTATGCATAGCTGACTGACTTCCCACCCGTCGCAGGACTGGGAAGAAAGCACGATAGACATCATGGACCGCCGCCTCGGCACGCTCCTCGCGCTGTCAGCCGATACGCAGGATGGAGGGGACAGCGGCACAGACGTCACGATGGACGAGGGCGCAGCGGGGGCGGAGGAGAGGCCGCCTCCCGGCTGGCGGAAGCTGAGCACGCGGGACGGCTGGCGACCGTCGCCCATCGGCGTGTATGTACACTGTACATAAGCGCGAGTAGTACGATAGCAACCAAAACACATTCATATTGTATCATGATGGGTAAGGCAAATTGGCCGAATAGTAGAGTACACCCTGCGGAAACGAGCGGGGAAAGCGTCAGCAGCGGAGGGAAGGGAGAGCGAGCACTGGTTCAACAGCGTCAACGAACGAACGGGGTGGTCGGTAAGTAAGTAGGGCCTCTCTCTTTTCGAAGGGGGCTATGCTAAGCAAGCAGCGCGAGCGTAGGGTATGGATAGACACTAAGCTAAGAGCGAAGGAAACCAGGATCCGAAGAGAACGAAGAACCACACAGAGGGGCATGCAATACGTTACAGGACATGAGGCGTTATGTACATCCAGACAGACATCCAGAGAGTCCACGCCCGCCGAGCGGGCGCATCTGCGCCGACTACGGCGGCGAATTCGCCGGGGACGAGGGAGACGTTCCAGGCAGGTCCGCATTTGACGCGACCATTGACGGTTTCTGCGGCAGGCTCCGCGGTGTCCTCCGTTGACCGCCGGGTGTCGGTGGAGAGGTCGGAAGCGGTCGTGGGCTGGAGGCGCCCCGACCCTGCTCCTGCCCACGCTCCTGCTCTTCACGTCGGGCGGCGGTCTCGTACTGCGGCGGGAGCTCGACGACCTCCGTGCCGTCTGACGTGAACACCGTCACGGGGGGAGGGCGGCCCGCATCGTGGTGCACCACGTACACATGCGAGGCGGAGTTTTGCCCAGCTCCGCCCAGCGGCGAGCGCGGCGGCACGCCCGCGCTAGTCGGCGACACCGTGCTGCTGCCCGCACTCGGCGAGTGCTGGTGCCCGGGGGAGACGATCCCGTCATCGCGCTCAGATAGCGAGAAGGACTGGTTGTGCGAGAACGCGGGGGTGGCGGGACTGCCGGCGAGCAACCCATGTTCGTCCGCGTGGCCGCCGCGCTGCCCGCTGCTGCCGAACGTCGTGGACATGGCGGACGAGGGCGGGTACTGGGAGAGTGTGGGCGTGTCGCTCGGGTCCGAAAGTTTGCGCCCGTACGCGAACGCTTGCGAGGGCGAGCGATTCTTGAACTTCCAGCGCGCCAGGAGGTATGAGCCGAGAAGGCCGATCAGTGCACCGAGGACTAGCGTGCCGATGGCGAGTCCGGCGGCGCCACCTGGCGAGATACCTGCCGGCGAATGCAAACTGTGGGAGGAAGGTGAGTACAGTAGCAATGGGGTGCGTAAGGAGGGGGTGTCTTACGACTGCGGATGGAGCGCGGCATCGAGGTCAAGACATGATGTATTACCTGCACCAGTCGGATGAATGGGCCCGTTGGACCAACCTATTCCGTTGGCATCCGAAACAGTGACAAAGAAGGGCATGCCGTACATCTGCTGTCGCGTTGAGCCCTGGTAATACGTAATGCATCGGGGAACTCACCAAGGAGACGGTCCAGTTGAAAGCGTCCGTAGTGTCAGACGTAAAGTTGAAAGGCGGATGGAGAGCAGGTGCGATCTACGGCACAGAGTGTAAGAGAGATGACACAAAGTTGAGATCTCATAAAGACCCTCACGCTATAAGAAAACGGCGGAGTTCCGTTTGTCGGTTTTAATGAGATCTCAGAGCACTGCGTGCGGTTCAGCAAAACACCTCAGGGGATCTACCGAGGCAGAAACTTGCCTGATCAACCCATCCATATTGTGACCATGCTCCACCGCCGCCGAGAGAGGCATCCACGCCCAACGGTGCGTGAGGATATGTGAGGTTAAAGCATGTCGGTGGGTTGTCCAATGTCGTGTTGGGCCTCTGGTAAACAGTATAGATGTTCTGGCAGCCTCCTGTTACACCATTGCTCGCGACCTGCAGTATTCTCAGGCGCGCCCGGACAGCACAGGTCAATCCATGATCGGCGTACCATGCACATCTGGAACTGTGGGAAGAAACGTCAGATTGGGAGCAGATTCGCACGCAGGATGGACACATACCTGGGTCCCCGGGACAAATGGTACCACCCAGTCCTATAAGGGCGCACAAGTCACTCGTGAGATCGCTCTCCGGGCAAGGCGTGAAGATAGGTCGGACGTACAAACGATGTCGCCAAGTTGTCTCCGGCCGGTATCACGAATGGTACTATGAACGTTCTTCGCGCAGCAGATAGGTCGGTGTTTGTTGCATTGTGGGACAAACTGGAATGCTCACGAGGTATATATCTGCAGGAAGTAGGGCGCAACAGGGTTTGGCCTGATAAAATCTGTCAGCGCCCATACTGAGGCAGCGCTAGAACATGAGAGACGCTTACCCCGTGGCGGAGCGTCTACCCCAGGTTATGTGGAGGGTATCGCATTGTGCTAAACGGGCGACATAGCATCAACCTCGGTACAACGAGAAGCGATATGAGCAGGACGCGTACCTGCCGTCGGGATTGGGGGACTTTGATCACCGTACCAGTCAAACAGGAAGCCCTACGGAGAAACAGCGTTGAGCGGTGAGACCGGCCATGATTGGACACATCCATTCTTCAGGCCCTCCGGCAGCTTGAAACTCGGCTCGCTTACCTGTTGCAGATATGGAAGAACCTCCGCTGAGACTGCAGGAAATAGTGCCTGCGCCCATAGCAGCACGAAGGCTAGTCTCAGCAAGCGGCCGAAGAGACGCGACTCCGTGATTGGCATTGCCCCGCCCGGCTAGAGTGTCCAGATGTCGTCGATAGCGAAGCCAGAGACAAAGATGGGGAACAAAGGCAAGGCAGGACGGTCGGACAGAACGAACGGGGAGCGGGGAGAGGGTAGCGGGAGGAGGGATACTTGAGGAGTTTCACAGACTGGAGTAGGAGGCGCTGCCGCCGGGCTAGCAAGCGGTGGCGCCAGGCCCAGATCGCAAACTCTGCGCGTGGCTCTCACGTTCTCTTCGTCCTCCTCGTGTCTCCTCATCTTCTCGTCCACACGAGACCGCAATTCGACATACGCGCCGTGCTGCGACCCCCGCACGAACTTCTTCTGTGTTCCCGATCAAGATGTGGGGTAGGTTGAGTGCGATACAACTCTCGAAGCTCCATGATAACGTTCAAGATGCATCCTCCGCAATAAGCAATGGGTACACCCACATAACCAACGACTGGTCAGCAGGTACACATAGCGCAGGCGCTCCTACTTGTTCGGCACCGATAGGACGCACTCGCCTGCTAAACGCGACATCTCACTTACTGCACAACAGTACTGCGCGACGAGTCCACTCATCCGCCATCTATCACAGACCCGATGTACATCAGCCATTTTACCCCCAGGTCGCTTCAATTCCTCATGTAGCCCAATGGTGCGTATGGTGCAAGCAAACTTACAAACGTTTTGGTGGCAATCGAAAAGTTGTGCACAAGTACTGACTCTGCAACAAGCTCTCGGACTCCAAGCGTGTCCATACTAGTAGGTTCATCCTCCGCAATAAGAATATATCGTCATGACAAACCACGCAATGACCAGTCAGCATGTATAGTCCATCTGACTTCCAAAGGAGCCTCCCGGCTTATCGTACCCCAAACATAACCTGTCAATTGCCACACAGGACATAGTTCTCCGCAACTCGGGGGACACTCGCTTACTCTCCGCTAACCGTCCGCAGACGATACGTCAGCGTGAGTTTGGCACCCCACTATCAGTGCCGGCCGCAAGAAGCTGACGCTATGCCACTCGACTGTGGTTGTATCGCAGATGTGTGTGGCCTCTGGAGCCAAAGAAAGTTCAAAATTTATACACCTCTTAACGCTCGATTTTCGATGGGGACGCCCACCGTTATGACCATCCCACGGCGGCATGGCCACAGAGCATACTTAAGCACATAGACTCGCGGTAACCTTGACCGGCCACCGACCACGTACGATTCCGCTGATCCTCCAGGAGCTTCAGGAACGCGCCAAGCGAAGGCGAATATTGCCTTTCGATGGCAACGGAAGCCTGAAAAGCAGTACGGGCGGTGAGTGCTCCACCCTGAGCAGCTACACGGTACGTGATCACCGGGCATTGCACTATCGCGGACGAATGAGAGACGCACACGATGCCTCCCCCCGAACGTAGTCGCCAAGGGGAGTGATGGGCTTGCCATCTACGTTCCACCATTCCACCATTGGCGTCGGAGTCCGGGATACGGAGTAGCGCCAGCATCTACGCTATCGCCGTAAACACCAGGCGCTGCGCCAAGTGCCTCTCAGGCCATGTTTGATGCCCCCCAAGTCATAAGGCCTCACTAGCATCAACAAATAGGCCTCTCCGAGACTCCGACCGCGCGGACCGCGCCAGACCGCACCAGCGCGATCGGCGCCATGCAAATGCTACGCACTGGCGTCCGGAGTCAAAGACGACGTGAACCGAAGATACTTCCTCATCCAAGTCCTGCCGGAGCTTACCCTCCTGAACCCACCACTTGGAAATAAACGGGGAGTTTTCGGGTAGAGCTCCCCGTCGCTCAGTATCGCATTACGCAGGAGACACAGCCACGCCGTCCGCCCATAGTGGGACCGTGGCGGAGGGATGCAGCCTGCCAGGAGTTGACAATGACGTATCAATGGTGAACCCCGTTTGCGCGGACGTCTGTCTGTGTGACTGCAGCACTCGAGTCGGCCGAGCGACAGCGGAATCGTGAGCATGTGGGCGTACTTGTGTTGTTTAGAGGTCGCAGGCGGAGGACGTCATGGCCATCCAGGTGTTGTATTTAAGCGAGGCAGCGGAGGCTCTCGCGATCTGTGCCTATGAAACGGTCAATCTTCTCTTGTGCACGGAGCTGCGCGTCCGGGTGCATGAGCATGAGCAGAATGAAGAACGCAGGCGTGGCGAATCCCTACGTCTGCGATATATCCCGCTCAGGTGAGCTCCGTTCGCTATGGGCTGGAACGTCTGGCTGATTACTGTGCCAGCGGCATCTTAGCAAGAATCTGCATCAGAGGCGAAAACGCAAGACTCGATTGGCATCGAGCACAGCGGGACAAATAGTAAGTTGTCCACAGCCGCGGTGGCTGTGGAGGTGGCACGCCACGATCGTGGCGATTGGAATACCATACGTGGTTTTCCTCAACCGTAAATGTGATTAGTGCATCGTGGTGGATCTACGATGAATGCTCACGGCCGAAGACATGGCCGGCTCCGAAGCTCTTACACCATGTCACATAATTAGAATAAATCGAATTTCATACGGTAGAGTTTAACACTACTTGTATGTATGCATTGTCCGAAATGGAGTCCGTGTGGTCTCGAGTCGAAATAAGAAGCACCTAACGTAAGTATTTTATCTATCTAGGTATTGACACAGCGGAGAATAATGTTACGGGAGTATACACACCGGGATGTTCGTACATAAGTACCAATACACTGTACGTCTGAGGGGTCCTATGTCAGATGAGAAGAGTCAGTCAGCATCGCTTCACTTTGCACAGGTTGTCGAATACAGACCTGATAAGATACACATTACTTTGAAGATATTATGCGGCCACGAAGGGGGTGACATGCACGGCGCACAACCAGAGCTGTTCAAACATCAGCATCAGCATCTCCGCGCGGCCGCCACCGGAGGTAAGAAAACAGATGATACACACGTTGTACAAGCGATACGAGGTCCGGTCGGCGGACGCACTACCTCCCAGGGCAAAACGCAGCCCGGGGATCGCGCCCAACAAGACGAGGATCGCGGTGTGGATCGGGGAAGCCTGCCAGTACGCCGCCAAGAAGAAAGACCACGCAGTGAGGAGGACGGGCATCGCCCAGCGGCTGGACCGCGGGAACGCGATTGGGAGTGTCCATCTTTTTTTTTTTTTTTTTTTTTTTTAACGGTGCTTGCCACGTGCGGCGCCACGCGCCTTTCGTGGGAATTGCAGGGCTGTGAGGTCAGGGTCCTCGTTGCCATATTTGTAGCTACCGTACGGAGGAAATGCCTTATGCACGCGAGTACCAGGTACTCCAGTGTGGGACTGCATGTCGCACCGCACGGCCCGGGTGTCAGGTTCCCGTTGGGCCGTACAGGCGCAGCGGCTTACCCACTAAAACCCCCGGGAGTTTCGTCCAGTCAGGAGGGAGGTGCTGCTCATCCTGGAGTGTGCCCGCCCACGTGGCTTCGACCGACGAGGGCTGTAGCGCCGGCTTCGCGCCAACGCGCAGTCGGGTGAGGGCACAGTCGTTCGCTAGGCGGCGCGCCAGGGCCTGTCTCCATCTACGTTCCACGTAGTCAGCCTCTAGGTCGCCCGGGAGCAGCTCCCTCTCCCCAATCACTCTCTCACAGCGCAGGACCCATACGAGGTAAGCGGTCTCTGTCAGTACCATTCGCGCTAGGCGTGTTGCCCCATGGAGGACCTCCCCCTTAGCATTAGTCGCAACATAGGCATGGCCGCCAAGGACAACACCTAGCGTGACGGGCGGGACAGCTATCTTCTTCTGATGCAAGAGCCCCCTCGCCAGGGCCCATGCCGTACGTTGGCCTTCCGCAGTGCACTCACAGAGGATATGCTCCATGGTGTCCAGGGCGCCGCACGTGCTACAAGTCGCACGGGCTTCGTATCCCGGTATATGGGACCAGAACTTACCTACGCGGTGGCCGCCATGCAGCGCTTTCCAGATGAAGTCCCGTATTTTACGCGACACCGGGTCCTTTCGGAGTAGTAGCCATATTGAGGACTCCGTGGGCCGCTCCCCGCTCCACTCACTGAGGGCAGTCTGGGCTGCAGCCACGTTGCGCGCCGTCGCACGGCGGGCGGGCTTCTCGTTCCATTCTTGAATACCTTTGTACGCCAGCTTCTGTGTTAGATAGAGCAAAGACGCGCCACGCACAGTGTAGCGCTCAGGCGCGGGCAGTGTCATCGGCCGAAAGGGCCGAGGGAGGTTGGCCGCCTCGCCAGCCAGCCGGTCCGCCTCTTCGTTGCCACGGACACGGTCGTGGCCCTTGACCCACCGGAAGGTGGTAGGCGCAGATCGAGTTCGGAGCAGCGCCGCGGTCTCCTTGATCACATCGGCGTTAGCCACTCCGATCCAGCCTCGCCTCTCCCAGGCCGGGAGGTGCTTCGTCAAGCCGTCCACTACATACTTCGAATCGCTGACAACGTGCAGCGGGGCAAAGGGCGGGACCTTGCGGTGGGCCATGATAACAGCGTAGAACTCTGCAACCTGGTCAGTTTGGGTATCAAAGGGGACGCGCGCGCCTTCGTTGCGCGGATCACCTTCGCCGAACCAGATGCCGCTACCTGCACGCGCAGACTCGGAGCCGTTACCGTGTGCCGAGCCATCGGTGTATACCTCAGTATCCTCCGCGGAGACTTGGTAGGGCCTCGGCAGCCGTAGCGCGGGCCGTTCATCGCGATCGCAGGCTGGGACGAAAGCGCGCAGAGACTCCGCAGTTGGGAGGCCAGTCGAGATCGATGGGTCGAAGAGGATGCGCTTGTGATCGATACGTGCTGCGTTGTTCTCGTCCTTGCGCGTTTGCGTCAGGGTTAGGCCGTCCTCGTTGGCTGGTCTTGAGGGGTTCCACTTCGCATTGATTCGTCCGAGCAGCCTAGCAGCCGCCGTCGCGCAGCGATGCGGGTTATCGCAGAGGTGGAGGTTGCGGTCAAGATCACAATCGGCACATCCGCATGTGTGCCTCGCCACGTGGCCCGATTCGTCGTCAGATAAGCGCCCAGCCACCGCTCGGCATTGGCCGACCGTGCGGACTTGGTGGTTGTTGCGGAGGCACTTGCATCCTATCGAGTTCTCCACGCGGCGCTCATCGTTTCTCCCAACGTGGTTCCATATTGGTAGGCTCTCTCGTAGGTCCGCCGTCGGGTTGCTTGTCTCGCACTTGATGCCATATTTCTTGGCTATTTTGACCATTTCTTTGAGGCAGCGGGGCAGTCCAGCGCTCGCCCTCGTGCTGACCTTCCAGGTTTGCAGGAAAGTATTCACTCGTGCTGGCAGTTCTGTGCCCTTTGAGTCCGCCGCAACAGCCTTGGCCAGCAGCGCGTCAGCAATCCTGGTCCATGGGGGGCGTCTCAGTCCCACCGCAAGGTACGTTTTGAGCCACATAATCGCGATCGCCTCATTCCGTGCTTTCATGTTTAGGAGCTTCAGGCCGCCACGCGGCACAGGGAGGTAGAGCTGGTCTCTAGCTATGCACGGGCGCGCATCTCCGTTCCATGTGAAGTCCGCCACGATTTTCGTCAGCCTCTGTTCGACGCTGGCCGGCATGGTCTGGACCGCTGCGCGGAATTGCGTTCGTCCCGCTACTTCAATCGCCACTGCCAGTTTGCGGCCATTCATGGTGGGCCTCCCACGTTTCCATTTAGCGAGGTTTGTTTCAATCGTTTTGATCACCGGCTCCCACGGGGCTTCCAGGTCTATGCCATTACCTATCCACGCGCCCAGGGACCGGATCGCCTGGCCGTCGCGGACGATATGTGCTGTGGCAGGGATCTCGTCAGTCCCTGCGCACAGCTTGCGCGTAGTTAGGACCTCTCTCCTGTAGGCCTCCGTCCCAATCGGTAATATCTCAGTTTTTTCTCGGTTAAACCTCGCCCTGGACGCTCGGCACCACCTCGTCGTTACACGCAGCATTTCTCCGTAGTCGTCTTCGCCGCTTAAGTATACCGTGGTATCGTCCGCGAAGAGCTTCGCTACAAGTCGCTCCGCTTCCCCCGGGATCTGGAGGCCTCTCAAGCTCGATCGCCGCAGCGCGCACGCAAGTGGTTCAATAGCAAGATTGAAAATCAAGCAGGAGATGGGGTCCCCCTGTCTCACACCTCTCCGGATTCGGAAGAGGTTGCTTTTCACGCCGTTTACCATGACGCAGCTCTCTGCTGCTGCGTAGAGGTGCTGGAGCGTTTTGATGAAGTTTTCAGGGAAATTCATGTGCCGGAGCACTCTCCAGAGGTAAGTATGGTCGACCTTGTCGTACGCCTTTTCCTGGTCAAGTGCCACAATGGCCCCGTTCACCTCTTCTGCTTCGGCGTATTCAATCATCAGTTGGGACAGTTTAATGTGGTCAAAGATTCTCCGTCCCGGTATGAAGCCCGCCTGATCCTCATGGATCACTGTCGGCGCAACCTCCGCTAGCTTCGACGCGAGCGCTTTCGTCATGATTTTATAGTCCGAGTTAAGCAGCGTTATGGGTCTATAGTTCGTTATCTCACGCTTGTCCTTCTTTAGTTTATAGACCGGACAAATCCAGCCTTGTGCGAAGGACGAGCCCTGGAGGACGCCGAACTTCTCAATGTCATTGAAGACTAGCTGCAGTGCCTTTGTCATGTCAACCGCAGGTGCGCCTTTCTTGATGTCGCTGTCGTACCATTTCTGATACGCCTTCCATATCTCCGTGGGCAGCCCGTCCAGGCCCGGTGCTTTCCCGGTCGCCGCGCCTTTGATCGCGTCCGCAACATCGTCTCGGGAGAGTCGCTTGGCCAGCTCCGCTTTGTCTTCGTTCGTCAACCCCACGTCCGTGTCACTCAGGGCCTCATCCATGTAAGTGTCATGGTCCTCGCCGTCTTCAAGGAGGTCATCGTCCTGCAGCTCATCGTAGAAGGCTCGCGCGATTTCCGCCATCGTTTTAGTGTGGTTTGTGTACTCTTTCGGTTCCGTTCCAGGCCTGAGCATCGTATACATGACCTCCGTCACTTCAGGCGTCGTGTTCCCGCGCATCCAGTACTTTGTGAGTGTTTCGCTCTGGGCCCAGTGGCGTGCCGCAACCTGGCTCCTTTTCCATCCGAAACGTTTCTGCTCCAGCTTTTGTATTTCGTGCTGGAGGAGGGCAGCCTCTTCCGCTTTGCTCGGGTTATCAACAGTGTCAGTCGCCGTTGCCGGGTTTCCGTTCAACAGGCGGTCAAGGTCCTTCTTCAGTCCGTCCATTTTCCGTTGGATTTTCGGGACTTTCTCTTTGGCTCTCGCACGCGCCGCCGCAATTAGGTCTCGCTTGAAGGTGGCGTATGCCGTCTGCGGGTTCTCCTCCTCCGTCCGCACTCGTCCAGCAGTCAGGGAGCTAATCAGAGTTGTTGCTAGCAGCTTCATTGTCTTCTTCATAGTCTCGTCCGTCAGGAGGTGCTCAGGCATAGCCCATCGCCCGCGGCCAATGAAGGGGGCTTTATAGTTCTCAACCGCCACTGTTACTAGTAGGTGGTCGGTAGGAATGCCCGGCGCGCTAATTTCCCAGTCAGAGCAGTCTTTCGCCATTCTCTGGCGCACATATATTCTATCAAGTCTGGACTGAGCGCATGTGCTCTCTTGGAGGTAGGTAAAGGCTTGCTCGATCGGTCTTGTCATTCTCCAGCCATCTAACAGCGAGTGGCTCTCGCACAGTGACCGCAGGGCATCCCGCGGGGCCTCCGGGTCGTCCCTCGCGGGGAGTCTGTCTGCACGGTCCTCAACAACGTTAAAATCACCTAGCATGAGGTCAATGCGGCCCAGGTTCTTCTCCCTTAAGGTCCTCCAGAAGGCAGCGTTCGTTTGCCCGTCGTTCGGCGCGTACACATTGAGAATTTTTAGGTCACGGTCATCCGACCACTTGAGCTTGAGTAGGATCGCTCTACCCGGGACAACACATCGAATCGTGGGGTTGCTCTCCTTTAGTATACGCTTGTTTATCGCGAAGGCAACGCCGCGTCCGCCCGTGGCGTTGTCGGGGTCCGGCGAATGCAGGATGGTCATGTTTCGTTCAAAAATGGTGTTCAGGGATCGTGCCCTTTCATCATCGAGGTGCGTCTCTTGCAGTGCAAGAATCGCGATCCTCCGGTCTCGCAGCATCTGATTTACTAGCATCCACTTACTCGAGCCTTCTGTGCGGCTCTCTGTTCCATATCCACGGATGTTTAGCGACGCAATCAACAGTCTTGCTTTTGTCCTCGGTCTTCTTGCTTCCTGTGGCGGTTGGCGTGCCTCTTGCGTGTGGTCTTCAGCCCGTCCGTTCACTCCGGGAGGGCCCAGCGTACTTCGCGTTCTCGCCTCGTTGTCCTGGGCGTGTCCGCGTTCAGCCAGTCCGTTTTGCACCGGTAGCCCTCCCGTTGCGCTGCCGCCATGTCTGGCGCTCCCATCACCGGGTCCGGGGTTGGCAGGCGGGCTCGCGGTCCCTCCGGCAGCGCCAGGGATGTGTCCGTTCACCAGTGTCGTGCCGCAGGGTGGTTGTGTGTTGTAAGAAGTTGTTGGGTTCGTGGCTGAGTTATGTTCCGCCTGTGTCAGCCCCAGCAGGCGGTCATGGAGCATATCCCGGCTCCCGCGGTTGACTATGCACTTGTAGCTCGCATTGTTTCCCTCTGCAACATGCTTACTCGCCGGCTTCAGCCTCTCGGCACGGTTCGTCACGACCTAAATAGGTCACCGTTCTTTATTTCACCCCGGCTTTCCTGTGCCAAGGCCAGTATATTTGGGCCGGGGTGGACCGCGGATGAGGCGTGGCGGGGATTCCACTCTCAGGACGTTCGTGTTTAGGGTATGCGGGCCTACCGTTGGTCAGACAGGTGGGCTATATCGCGGGGTGGGTCTAGCAGGTCAGTCATTGGTTGCGTCAAGAAGGTTTGTCAGATGCGCATCATCAGCTATGGTATGTACATTCAGTCAGGCGTAGCGTTGCAAGATAAGACGACAGCAGCGGTGGGTGGGCGCAGTGCTCGCGCGCTCGTTAGTGCGAGCTCAGGAGCCGTTCTGGCCTCGCGGCGCCCCGGGCGGGCCTCCCCTCCGGCCCCTTCCTCCACCACCACCACCACGGCCGCGTCCCGCATACCCCTGCTGGTCCGCGTACGCGTCGCCGTGCGGCGCGTAGCCGTATCCCGGCGGGGGGGCGAGGTAGTGCGGCTGGAAGTAGGGGGGCGGGACGGGGTAGGGGTACGGGATGTGGCTCTGCGGTCCGTACGCGTAGTGGCCGTTGTTGCCCGGGTGCGCCTGCGCGTTGTACTGCGCATGCGGTTGGTACGTCGGGGCACGGTCTTGCTCGCGGTACTGGTCGCGGCGCGTCGCGTGCGTGCTGTCTCCTCGGCGCTCTCCGTCGCGGCTCTCAGCACCGTCCTGTGCGGCGCGGCGCGAAGTGCCCGCCGTCGAGGCGGCCGGCTGCTCAGGCTGGGGCGCGCGCATGGCATCGTCGCGGGGCGGCGGGGCTCCAGCGCGGGGCTGCGTCGGGGCGGGGGTCGGGGCGGGGATCGCAGGAGTCTCGTCGTTCGGCAGCGGCTCACGGTGGCACCACTGCTCAACGGCCATGAAGGGGCACTTGTGCGGGGGGTGGTCGGCGCCGTAGCATCCCGTGCAGCGCGTCTCGCGGCGGACCTTGGGGGTCCCGTGGTTGCGTGTGACGAGCGGGACGTTCGAGATCGCGGCGCGCCACTTCTGCCACAGGATGGGGTCGGTGGTCGGCGGGGAGCAGTAGACGTTCGCGACCGTCTTGCCAGGCTTACCCGGGGTCTTGGGGCCAAAGTCGACGATGGCAACTTTGAAGTTGTTCATGACGATCTCGACGTACGCCTTAGTCTCGTCCTCCGTGAGGGGGCTCTGGAGGTCCCTCAGGAGGTCGCAGATCGTCTGCTTGATGCGCGGCTGGCGCAGGCAGGCTTCGATCTCCTCCTTGCTGACCGGGCTCTGGGCGACGTTATCGAAATCCTCGTACGCAAGGAGGAAGTCCAGGACTTTGACGATGGTTTCCGTGACTTGCAGCGAGCCCACTTCGGTCGACCACACACCTCCGCCGCCCGTGGCGAGTACACGGACAGCGTCGGTGGACCACCCGGTCGTCAGCCACGCACCCGCGCGGTATCCCTCAGCTTGGAGCGTCTCTTCACGCGGCTCGAAGAGGTAAAAGTCGTTCTCGAGGACGATGCGGGATAGGGCGCCGCGGAGCTTGCGCCCCTGGGCCTGGACCTTCTCCGGGGTGTCCAGTGGTGGCTGCGCGAAGGGCTGGATGACGAACTTGGTGCCAACCGGCTCGTTGTCCCAGATGGCGATATCGTCCGGGTTGAGTCGGTTTCGTAGGTCGAAGGGGTTGCACAGGTGCTGAAGGGGGAAGCCATTCGGCTTGGGGGAGGGCGTGACGAAAAGCATCGTCGAGACGCGGAGGTCCTCTGCGCGCTCGTCGCCTGTGATGAAGGACGCCATCGGCGGCGGCCTCCTCCCTCGCCGAGTCGTCTGCTCAGGTTCGTACTCCAGCAGGAGCGCCGCAGGGGGTCCGTTGGTCCAATACCCCATCGTCGGCTGCGGTGCTGTGGCCGGGGGCAGGGGGTCGACCTCCATCGCCGCGTTGGCGTGCGGGAGGGCGGGCGCCGCCAGCGCGTTCTGTCCAGAGGGGCAGTGCACACCGCGTTCACCAGGCAGGGCCGCCCGGGCGGCGTCGTTCAGGTACTGTCCCGGGGGCGGCTGCTGCGCGTTCGTTCCGGCGGTGTAGGCCAGCCCGTAGTCGCTCTGCGTGGTCATCTGCGGCGCGTCCGTCGCTTGGGGCTGCGTGGCGGCAGCGGCCGCCTCGCGCTCTGCAGCGTCCAGCGCGCGGACGTAGCGGGCAAGTTTGAGGAGCGCTTTGTCGGATAAGTGCGGGGTTATGTCGTAGCGCGGCGGCAGCACCGTGCGGAGGAAGTACTGCTCTGTCTTCGCTCCTCGGTTCTTGAGCCGCGCCGGGGCCGTCATGGCTGACTGGCCAGCACACGGAGAGTCGTCCGGCAAGTCAGGGGAGACGCGCTGTCTTTTGTTCCGTCGCGATGTGGCCGTTTCCGCAGGCACAGGTTCGCTCGCGGGCTCCGGGGGGTGCGCTCCCTCAACCGCGTACGGCATGATAGCCGAGTTCTGCTCGCTCATACGCTATCGCACTGCTGTTAGACCTGTCCACGGCGACCGGCAGTTTATGTGCTCACGATGGTCGGCGTCGGGGAGGGGGCAGCGCCCTCTGCCATTATCTGCGACAGCCACGACGGGGCAGTGTCTTGGGACGGGTTCGGGGGTGCGCCTTGCTCGCCCTCGTTCGCCGCGAGCTGTCCGACAGGGAAGCGGAACTGGCCGTGCGCTCGCGCACCCGGTGGCGGCGTCGTGTACATGAGCGGGTTGATCGGCGACGCAGGCTGGTGGCCTTGCTTGGTCGGCGAGTCAACTGAGGGCGGTGTCGCCGGGACTAGGACTCTCCCCTTCGGGGTCTGTTAGTTCAGGAGGTGAATAGGGAGGGGGGCATTGCACACCTGGCCGGCGGCGCCAGCATCATCGGGGGCAGCTGTGCCGTTAGCGCTTTCCGTCTTCGCGTCCCCTCCGTACTCGCTGCCCTCATTCTGGGAGCTCGAGTAGGTTTGCGCAGGGTGCGTCGGCGCGCGGGCGTAGGCAGGGGGGTCCATGTCAGGTGGGGGAGTCGCCAGTGAAGCAGTTGCAAGGGAGTAGAGGGGCGAGGGAGGCGGGGGGAAAGCGTCCTCGCACCGCACTTTTGTCTCTGCTCGCGAGGTCGTCGGCTCCGTGCACGGCGGTTCGATTTGGGGGGTGCATCGGCCGCCCTTCGTCTACTTTCGGTGGTTGGGGAGCTCGTTGGGTTGTGCAGCTTCCACAGGGGGTAGCATGGGTGCATCAGGAGGCAGGTGTCGCTGCGTGGGCAGCCTGCAGGCAGTAGGCTGGCAGTGTTCGGTTCCGGGTGGGGTCGGAGGCTCGGTCTGGGCGGACACGTGTTGGCCCGTGGTCCCCCGGCGGTCGCCGCAAATTCGGGCTGTTTCGGGCGCATCCCCGGCCGGGTGGCGTCCAGTTTGCTCGTGTTTGCTCGCGTTGTGGCGCATCCCCTTCGGGCTCAGATAGTTTGGTCTTCAATGTACCTCAGACGCCCATGCGCGCCGTATTCAGTTCATGGGGTGAGCTTACTCGTTCGGCGTGTTGTCCGCTGATTCGTCTTCCGTGTTCGCAGGTTCCTTCCGGCTCGTGCCGCGTGCTCGGCTGCGCGTTACTTGCTACGTCTGGTCCGCTCGTGCAGATTCGCGCTGCGGGCGTTTGCATCCCATTCGGGGCTCGTGGTGCTCGGTGCGTGCTTCTGTTTGTTCTCATCTCTTTATTCGCATTGGTGATTCTATCGGCGGCTGCCCGCTTCCGTGCTCGCAGTCGCCTCCATTCACCGTTCATATCCATACCAGTTTTGCACGGCTTATTTTGTCGTACGCCGTTGTTCTATGTTCTACGCACACAGTGTGTTTCGCATCGCTGCTGCTGAGTATTTGTTTGCGTCGATTTGATCGTTATTGGGTCAGGAGGTACGCCTCACTTCGTTGTGGATGTCTGCACCCGCGCCAGCGCTATGTGCGCTTGTTCGCATTTGTTGTCGTTCCATATGATTTAGCAGTCACTTAGTCAGTCACTTGCCGGTCTGTCAGGCACGCTCGCGCCGTTTCTCGTCAAGATATGGCAGTACATGTGCAAGTGCCCCGTCGTCCGTTGTTTCGCGGCCTCCCTTCGTCTCCTCTCGTCCGCCGTTACGGTCGCTCTTCTCTCTCTCCCCTTACAGCCTTCTCTGCTCATTCCGGCGCCGTATCCACTCTTCCGCCGTCGGTATTACTTCGTCAGGCCCGTTTCGCTCTCCAGTCGCGGAGAACTGGGCAGGGGCGGCGGTGATTACTGCATCATGCTCGATCGGCACGTCCCTCGTCTTCTGGAGGAAGGGGCGGGAGACGGCGCGGATCGCGCGCAGTCCAAGGGGGAGGTGTACCGTCTTGCCTTCGGCGTGGTGGACGGTGAGGTAGGCGTATGCAGTTCTAGTGGAGATGTCATCGTTCTTGACGACTAGTTCGACTGTGTTCCTCTCGAGAGTCCGTATGCCGATGATTTTGCCAGCTACACTCGTCGCGGCGGCGGTGTAGGTCGGCGGGGCAGTGCGGGGGTCTTCGTCGGGGGATTCCCCGGCGGCGGGAGTTGTGGGTTGGATTGGGATGACGCGGACGAGTAGTCCCACGTAGAGGGGGATGCGGGGCATGATTGGGATGTCGTAGTGGATATTCTGGAGTGCCCTGAGGCTCGTTGGGTCGCCGACTGGGATGCGGCACCGCTCTCTAGCCATGACATTGAGGGGGATAGTGTTCGGGGACATGGTGGGGGGTGGAGAGTTGTTTGGCGCGGGCCGTCCAACTCATCGTCTTATATATCCTCAAATTATTCGCTTCCGTCGGCAAGTCCAGTGTCTGTTGTAGCGGCCCAACATTTTCCTGCGCATTGTCTGCACTGTTTTGGGCCTTGTTGGCTGTGTGGCCGTCTTAGCGGAGTGCCAGATATTATCTGCAGAGGCCATGATTTGTGTTTTGAGGAGCGCGTCTATCGGCAGCAGTCTCGTCCTATCAGGCCGTTCCCACCCGCTTTTGCCTGGGCCTCAGGTCTCGGCGGTGGGCTGCGTCCGGTCGTTGTTTCTCTCCGGTGCGTCTCGGATTTTATTTCAGTTCATTCTTAGCTGGTGCACCGCGGCAGCGCTCGTGCATTTATTTCTCCTTCTCCCAGGTGTCCTCACCCTCGTCCGTCGGGCTGCAGTTCATCTATTTCGTCTCCTCTGAAGTCGCCAGCATTTTTATCGGTGGCGGCGCGGTTTCACACCGGGGGTTTCGTGCCTGTCCTTGGTGCTGCGCTGTTCGTTCTATCCCATTGTGTCCTGGTGAGTGTCCCAGTTTCCTGGCTGTCGCCTGTTCTCGCAGTCCCGAGTCATTTCCCCATCTTTCTCGTGCCCAACAGCATCCTCATCGGTGTTCTCGGATCTTCGTAGGCTGCCCTTCCTGCTGGGCGCATCCCTGTTCTCCCTATTGCTCGCTCGTCCTCCACTCGCTTCCCCGGTCATTTCCGTGTCCTTTCACGTCCCCAGGTGTTCACGTATTCTCCCTCTCCACTGGTTAATTTCGGCGACCGGCAGGTTCGCCGTTGCATTCCAGGGATTTAACTCGTCTCAGACATTGCGTCTCAGGCGGGCGCTATCTTATCTACTTTGTTATCTAGGGATCCACGTGGCGGGGGCCACGTGCTCTCTCTTGGTCTTCCGGGTTCCAGTCGCCAGCACCGTGTGCTCTAGCTCCTTTCACGGTGGAGTGGTGGTTCTACGCTCCCGCAGCGGTTCTAGGCGGTGCCTAGTTGCTTGCTCGGAGTTCCTGTTTCCAAGCGGTGCTTGGGTTTCAGGTTCTCTGGGGTTCATTCGCGCTTTCTCACTTCCTCGCATGTGGCGCGCTCTTGCTGCGTGTTCCACATAGCTCCTTCCGTTCTTTGGGCCCCGAGCACATTCGTCTAGGCTCGCCCATTCTCCGTATCCGTTCTTTCGTGTAATCATCTTACCTTTACTCTCGGAAATCGCCTTCCGCACACCGGGGGAGGCGTGGGAAAAACGTAGATTGTGGTGGTTGAAGTTCAAGGCGCCCCCCGGGAGTGTCCATCTTCCCGAGAGCTGATCGCCCTCGATGTCCTGGAAATCTTGCGCTTGGATCGTCGTGAGGATCACAAGCGCGTTCAAGACCTGCGCAGCCACCGACGTCGCCTTCCAGTCGCAGCCGCCCGCTGCCGCGCGAGACATACATTGTCAGCCGTTACAATCTGAAACCATGACCGGCGAGAGGAAACGTACCACATGCGGCGTACGTTGCCCCCGCGTTGAAGGACGCGTATCCGACGGCGTTGCAGACGTTCCTCGCCAGCCACCCCGAGTCCAACCTGAGCTCGTTGTGGGCGAGGGTGGCGATCGCGAGCGTGATGCTGGGCAATAGAACCCCGTAGTGCGCCGACACGAAGAGGCAGACCGGGAGCATGGCCCAACGCAATATCTGCGCGTTCTCCGTAGTGATACGTCTGGCAGCGATGGGCCTCCAAGGCTTGTTCGCAGCGTCCTCCTCGGGCGATAGACATTGATTAGAGAGGCAGAACTGCAGCAAGTGCAGCCATATCCAGGCGGCTCTAGGCAGGATCTGTGAAGTAGTGTAAATGGGGGCGGCAGTGGTGCCGAAAATGAGCTGAAAGGTGGTTAGCGGCTGCGGCTGCCAGGAAGGGGGTACAACTTACAGTAGGGAAGAATACGGTCTTCAGATCCGAATATGTGAAGAGCCAGAGAGTGTAGACGAAGTCGCGAATTGCCTTGAGTATCAGAGACTCATCAAAGCGGAGTCTGGGCACTGAATCGAGAGTAAAGAGAGTCGACGAAGGTGTAGAAGAATGTACAGCGAGAAGCGAGCCAAGGACAGTCATGCTGAGAAGGGAAGAGGGGAAAGGGTGATGTTAGGTCGGGGTGCGGTTCTGTCCATCGCGCTCCCCTGATGATATACCTCAGCAGACGGCGTGGACCCTGGAGGCGGATTCGGGTGTTGAGCCCGACCGCGCAGACCGGCAAGCGCCAGTGCGTTTGGATGATACATCGCGGCATACAGTGCATGTCTGCGCACGACACTGCTCACGAGTCGCCGTTCGTGTCATGTCTCACTGGCCCTGCCGGGTAAAACCTAGCTCATTAGGGACGATTACCGGCTAAGCACAGGTATGAGCTGATCCGGCATGCAGACATCAACATCTCGACGCACCTCAACATGGACTTGTTCTCCGGTTCCATCTTCTCGACATCTCGGTGCCGATAGTGTATGCTCTAGGGCAGGCCGCCGCCCACCGAGCCTCCCGTGAGCGCTGCAAGGGGGCCGCTGCATAGTCGACATCGATTGATGCGAACACGGCGAAACAGTACCTTGTCGCGCGCTTTCAACCTCTGCAGGGTCTTCTCGTTAAGTTGTGCCGAGGCCGTGTTGACCAGGGTGAGCGTCCCGTAGCCTTGCCTCGTTCGGGCATACGGTCGGGCGCCCGTTCGTGTTTCCGGGCCACGGCGGCGAGTTTGGTGACCACAGCGAGACCCCAATGCGACTGAATCTGAAAGGTGCTGGGTGCGGCCAAGAATAAGGACGTTAGGGATCTGCAACCGAAACCAGTGGCTTACGAGAGGGCCCACCCAAGCGTCCGTGTAAGCATAAAACTTCGCCTCTCCGTCTTCTCGCCGGTTCCGGCCGTCGCGCATGTCATTACGACATGCACACCCAATGCACACCCTGGGAAGGCAGAATTGGGGAAGGTGTCGGCGAAGCTATGCTAGCCGTCCACCTCTCAACGCCAGTATCGAGAGGCTCGTGCTCAAGACATCGGACCGTACCGTTATGTCTTACTGATGTACGTCAATGTCTGTGAATGCAAATGCAAATAATCCGAAAGGCTTATCCTGTAGAACGTAAGCATGTATCATGATTCACTATGCCCGCATTGCAGCAAGAATAGTAAGCATCCAGCTTTGATGAACAGATCAAATACGAAGGCGCATCTAGCACTCATCGGTGAGGGATAACGGCCATACGGCCGCACGGCCGCAGCCTCCCTCACCGCCCGAAGTAATGATGTCAAAGTGCTGGGCCAAGTACGCCGCATGCAAGAGCGAGAAGTGAGATGCGAGAGCTGTGTATGCTGCACTGTACTTGGCGGCCGATGTGCCTGGAGAGTGTCATGCCCTTTCAGCCGTTTTACAAGGAGGCGAGGTCAAGCGCACATACCGTAAAGCACCCCGCGCCCGCGCTCGCGTCCGCGGCGCCCTGCGACCAAGCGCCGCCTCATGAGAGTCGGCCCTGACGAAAGGGCACAGCCTATTGAGCCTGGGACGTTTCGAAACCCCGAACACGCACACAAGCCTATCAGCAAGCACACAGAGCTCGTGCGCGGCACGCGGATCTCAGACCGTCGGGAATCTGCCGAAAGCGATGTCGAGTGGTGACGCATGGTGCGAGTATTGTACATATAACATGATGACAGGTCCGCCCGCCCAAGTCCGAGGGTGTTCCCCCCCGATACAGGCAGAAAGGGCGTGAGACGGGATGCGGAGAACGTCCTGCGCGGCCTCGCCGACACCGATCGACGGGGGCGCAGTGGGAGAGACACGGAGACACGGAGAGAGGAGAGAGAGAGCGGGGTGTAGTCGGCGATGATGAGAACAGGATATCGAGGGTGCGGAGAGTGGTAAGTATAGACGAAATGACGACGGCGGCGGTGCGAATCCGCAAGCCCGCTCATGTCTGACGTGGCGCCGCGAAAAACCCAAGCTGCACGGTCTGCCCGCGCCCGCGGCCCCTGCCCCTCCCACGCCCCGGCGACCCGAAATTTGGGCCCGCGTGGGTGTGTGCGCCGTACCCGCCGCTGCCGAAGCTCTTGGGCTTGCTCTGGTATTGACGGGGGACGTGCGCGAGGCGGGGAAAGCCGTCCATGTCGATATCCATCAGGGGCGCAGGTGACGGCTGGTTTGCTGGGGGGTATCGCGGGGTATAGGCATGCGGTTGGGGTGAGGGTGAGACAGCGTATGAAGGGTGCCCGGGGCCCCCTGCAGGGGTCGGGGAGGGAGAGGGGGTATGCGTGCGTGCCCCAGGTACGAACGAGGATGCGGATGGGGAGAGCGAGCCCGGTTGGTTTGGATTCCGTGCGCGATTGCGCCGGGAGTAGCGGTTCGCGCGGTACGGAATCGGCATAGCGCCATTTGGTGTGGAGTCGTCGTATACCCTGGGAGGGCGGGGAGGTGGGGGCGGGCCAGGGTCATAGTAGGGGTTGAAAGGATGCCAGACAGTTCCAGAGGAGGGTTGGTAGAGGAAGCCGTTGATGGTGTCGAAAGTGTACCACACCGTCTGCGGTACTGGATCCATTGTCGTCGCCATGGCAGAGAGGCGTGTGTATAGTGTCAGGCCTGCATGGCTATCGTTGGCAGCATCTGGAGAAAGAAAGGTGAATCAGGGTGATCTAAGTCACACAAGAGCAAAGTTGGTTCTCTCGACGACACGCCAAGTCACGATATGTGAACATCAACCAACAACGCTTTTGTTATTCATGTGAAATGGGTCGGCCTCGTAGCGTTAATGGCATCGAAAAGGGGCAATCGCCGCCCGGAAGCAACTATAGCTTCCCTAGTGCACTTTAGGTTGAGTGGTAAAGCACTCTAAAATTAGCTGCCGGCTCCCACGAGCTTAATGGCTTCTCCGCGGCATGCACTCCGAGGCGCAGCAAGCAGCAAGCAAGGGTAGCCAGCACTGGACGACCGTTGCACTTGCAAGCTGCTTTTCCAAGCACTGCTTCGTCTCAAACCAAACGAGGAGAGACACTTACAATCCTGCTGTCGTGGATCGAGCGGTAGCTCCCAGTTGCTCGTCTGCACTCTTCCCTTCTGCAGGGTCAACTCCTCGTATGTTTCGCAAAGTCGCGCGAGTCCGATCGGGCTCGCGTATTTCCCTTTCCACCGGGCATTGTCGACGGTGCGAGCGAGGAGGGATAGGTCTACACAGTTTCGGGTATCCACGCCATAGTCCGTAAATAGCTTCTTACAGTCCTCTGGGGAGCACGCGTGAGCGGCGGTGTATGACGCAATGAGGACAGACTTACTCTGTATTCCTACACCAGCCTTAACCACAGCCTCATCAGCGAGCAGGTCTCGCAGTCTCTCCGGGAACGCTGGGAACAAAGGGTGAGGGAGAGGTGAATATATACGACTCTGTTTGCTTACTGGGCATGTGGAAGATGTGAATGAGAAGAACGAGGTCCGCGCTGGCGAGCTGCACGAGCGCGACGGGATTCTCTGGCCTGCCTTTGATGAAGTTCGGCTTCCACTCCAAGTCAAAGCCCAGGACCTTGGAGTTAAGCTGTGCGATGGCCTCGTTCGTAGCATCCGCGTTCTGGCAGTAGACGAGCCGAGTGGTGGGGGATATGTTGGACCAGGAGTAGATATCGTACACGCGTTGCGGTTCGGCGGGCGCGTCATGGTGGTGATGGGAGTGGCTCCCCGATGGGAAGTAGCTTGACGAGGAGTCCATGTTGGAGGGTGACTCCGAGGAGATAGACATTGGAGGACAAAGAAGAGGGGCTTATATGGAGGCCAGCATGCAGCGTCGGGAATGACACAAGGTATCCAACGGAGACGGAGACGGATGTTCGGCTGTCAGAGGAGTCCGCCGCAGCGCTGGGATCGTGTGAGCAGCGACAAGAAGGACGAGGAGGGCAGGGCGAGGAGCGATGGAGAGATGCCGCAGCACGGGCGCGGTGGTGGCTGCTTCCATCGACTCCAGTCCAGATACAGCGCCTCCGCTGCACCATGGGCGCCTAACTCAACGTTGCTATCACGTGTTCGCGCATTTGGCAGTGTTACGTAAGCCACACGCGACGCGTCAGCTTGGATTGAGGTCATCTTCGGAAAGTCAGGCACACCGGACGCGCGTATTCACCGCTCCTTCTCCTCCTACCACCGCCATCCCTGACCATGGTGCGTGCGGTATCGTCGAATGTTTTGCATGTCTTGACACGTCTCTCAGCTGCTCAGATTGAGGTCGAAAGACGGAAACTTTCGCCTGGAGTTCCAGCCTACGGCGAACATCTCAGAACTTCTTGCAAAAGTGTGTAAATTGAGGTGATCCGCGGCCTGGTTGCGACCTTGACGCTCTTTACAAGATCCTAGAAACAGCACCGGATGCAGATTCTTCAACTATAACAATCTCGAACCAGCCGCGGGGGAATGAAGTGCTCATCTCGACGCTCAGTGGGCAGAATCTGCAATCACTCGGTCTCAAGTGCGTGTCTTCAGCTCTAGCGAATATGCGACCCACGCCAACGGCTACCCTTCCAACAGACATGGGGACCTGATCTTCGTGGGCTACAAGGCACAAGCTGCGCCAGAAGCACCCGCAGCCACAACAAGTGCTGCCGCAGCGCCTACAGAAGGCCAGGACCCTTCGAAGCGTCCTTGGGAAGGCGTAGAGGAGGACGCTGTCGATCGGTACTGGCGCTCGCAGGAAGGCAAGATCCCGCGAGGGCGCGATTCGCGTTTCTGCAAGCACGGCGCAAACGCGATGTGCGACTATTGCATGCCTCTAGAACCCTACGATGCCGCCTACCATACGGAGCACAGTATCAAGCATCTCTCGTACCACGCCTACCTCCGCAAGATTACGCCGAAGGCTTCCTCTTCCGCTTCTGTTACGTCCATCCTGCCTCCCCTCAACCCGCCCTCATACAAGGTGAAGGAGCCCTGTCCAACCGGCGGACACCCGCCATGGCCTGCGGGAATCTGTACCGCATGCCAGCCCTCCGCCATTACGTTACAGAGCCAGCCCTTCCGCATGGTCGACCACCTCGAAATCGCCTCCCCCGACATCATCGACCGCTTCCTGCAGGCCTGGCGCCTGACCGGCCTGCAGCGCTTCGGCTGGCTCATCGGGCACTACGAGCCCTACCCGGACGTGCCGATGGGCATCAAGGCCGTCGTCGAGGCGATCCACGAGCCCCCGCAGGAGGGCGAGATCGACGGGCTCTCGCTCGGGCTGCCCTGGGAGGACGAGCCGCGGATCCGCGCGCTCGCCGCGCAGGCGGCGACCCCGCTGCAGATCGTCGGGTACATCTTCACGGACCTCGTGCCGACGGAGGAGGACCGGACGAAGCTCAAGTACAAGCGCCATCCGCAGTCGTTCTTCCTCTCGTCGCTCGAGGTGCTGTTCGCGGCGCACGTGCAGAGCGCGAACCCGACGCCGTCGCGCTCGTCGTTTACGGGCGCATTTGGCTCGCGCATGGTGACTGCGGTGCTCACGGGCACGGAGGAGGGCGGGATCGACGTGTCTGCGTACCAGGTTTCGGAGCAGGCGTGTGCGATGCTCGACGCGGATATGATCGAGGCGAGCGTGGACCCGAACATCATGCGTGTCAAGGAGGAGGATCGTGAAGAGGGCTCGGCGCGCTATGTGCCAGACGTGTTCTTCAGGTATAAGAACGAGTACGGGCTGGACGTGCAGAAGAACGCGAAGCCGTGTTTCCCTCTTGAATACCTTCTCGTCAACGTACGTACTTCTTCAAATTCTTTCCATGACGTGTGTGCTCAACTTGCTTTCCACAGGTCTCGCATGGTTTCCCCCAGAATCCAGCACCGGTATTCCAATCGGTGAAGTACAAGATCGAGAACCGACCAGGGCTGGAGGACCAGAGCATAGAGAACGTTCTCCACCAGCTCGCCGAGATCGAGGCGTACGACGTTCACGTGAGCGCGCAGGGCGGCGACTCACAAAAACGACAAGCACTGGCGAAGTTCATCAGCGACTGGCACTTGATCGCGTTCCTCGGTACCACCGGCCTCATCAACCAGGTGAGTTCTCGTGGTTTCTCTTGCTTCCTTTCCATTACTGGTTGCTGACGACGACGCAGAATGATTTGCAAGTGCTCATCCGAGTAGCTACGGCTCCACATGAGGAGAAGCCGACTGTGTTGGACGAGGTGCTGCAGACCGAGGGTTGGTTGACGCTCATGACGTTTGCCCGGGAGGTCGCACGTAAGTTTTTTGTACCGCCGAACCACACGTTTCGTACTCACCGCTTTGTGTAGCAAAACGGCCGTCTGGTGCAACACTATCGTCCGGCTCGCATGCACCTATGGACACGGACATACCGCCCGAGGTCTTCGACCAGATCGCGCGCGCAGAAGCGGGCGGCAGCAGCAGCGCCGGTGGCATTCGCATCTGTCCGCACTGTACTTTTGAGAACACGCACGGAGGCAGCGACTGCGAGGTATGCGGACTGCCGCTGGCATGAGAGGCGATTGGAGAACAATGGTGATGAATTACGACAACTGTACTACAAATACATGATCGGGTTCTGCACATGTGTACATCTACAGACAAGACCAATTGCACGCTCCTAAGTACATGTGGACGCACGGAGATGAACGGCGCGCGCGGGGCCGCTGTGCTGGACCGGGAGACGCGTCGCGACGCGTGTGTGGCGCGGGCGCCTGTCGCACGTGAGGGCGTTGTGTCGCGACGTGCGGTTCGAGTGTCGCCATCCACGCGAGCGATGGCGCACTCGGCGCGCAGGGGCCTATCACGACAGACTCAATGCGAACCCCCACCACCGCTCGCGTCCGCGCAGCGCGTCCACCGCACGGGCTATTGCAAATCTGCCAGGGATGTCGCAGAAATGCCCTGTGCAACCGCCGCGGAATTATTGCGCTATTGCGCCGTGAGCACCCCGGCTGACGTCGACGCTCGACACCCGGATCCCCAGTCTCGCCACTTCCCCCAGACCGCCTGCGCTCGCACATTACGCCCTCGACGCGAGACCACAGTGACACGCGCGGACAGCGAGGCGCGGCTTCTCCCTCGCCATACTTGATACCATCGCGCCAGTGTTCGCCAGCCATGCCGGCCCTCCTGCTACACCACGGACACGCCGGAGATAACGCCAGCCCCAGCCCTGTCTTCCGCTCAGGTCGCACTAGCGCAAGCGCAGACCCAGACGCAAATACAGCAAGCTCGCCAGACTCGAGCGACGTTGACATGGAGCGCCACCCACCCGGCAGCGGCGACGGACCGGGCGCGGGCAAGCAGCAGCCCGCCCAGCAGCGAGGGCAGCAGCCACCTCGCCGCGGACGATCTGCGAGCCAACCAGTACCACAGCAGCCCATCGCGGGACCGAGTAGGGTGCGTCCATCGTTCTCGTCAATCTCTTCTCCCTCGCGACGCAGCACCCGCCGCCGCCGACACGGGCTGCTTCCCTCGCACGAATGGCGCACAAACTTACTAATCTGCGCGCGTCTGATTTCAGGTGCCCGAGATAGACTTTGGATTCATGCAGCACCAGTTCGGGGCAGGGAGCGGGGGAATGCAGAGTCCAGCGGGATACGAGGAAGACGCGATCGCGCGGGCCTTGCTCGCGATGCAGCAGCAGCCACAACACCAGCAGCCACAACAACCACAGCCGCAACACGGGTCCGGGCAATCAGGGCCCCACCCCGGTCTGTCTCACCATCCCAGCGCGCAGGGGCAGATACCGCCGCAGTTAGCGGGAGCAAATCCCCAACTGACAGATATGTTCTTCGCGATGTTGCCGTATATCCAGGCGTTGCAGATGCAACAGCAACAGCAGCAACACCCGCACCACCTTCCCCCACATCAACCGCAACAACAGCAGCAAAGAGCTCAGGCTCAATTTCCTACACACCCCCAACAACCGCACGATCCGCACGCACATCAGCACGCGCTGCAATTCGGGCTGCATGGGCAGCAGCTCCCGCCACAGCGGCCGTCATCGCAGCCCGGGCAGCAGGCGAGTTTCGGATTCCTGCCGCCCTCAGTGCCCGCACACCAGCAGGACGTGCAGATGGGCCACAGCTTCGTGGGCGGGCACTTCGGGACACTTCCCCCGCCGGAGCCTGCGCCTACTCGCGAGAGCATGATGCCCCCTCCACCGCCGCCGCCACAACCCGTGAGCAACACACCATCACCCGAGGCGGGGCACGACGGGACGGAGGTAGAAGGGATCGTAAGCGCGGAGGACAAAAGGCGCAGGAATACGGCTGCGTCTGGTGCGTGTCCTTCGCTGTTTACTCTACTGCATGACACTGACGGCCTGTGCGGCCACAGCGCGGTTCCGTATCAAGAAGAAGCAGTGGACATTAAATCTGGAGCGTACGATCTCGGACCTGTCTGGGCGCGTCGAGGAGCTTGAACGCGAGGCGGCGGAGCTGCGCAGGGAGAATGGGTGGTTGAAGGAGATCGTTATGTTGAAGAGCAAGCGGTTCGCGGGCGTCGTTCCCGACCTCGAGCCTCCGCCATCCCCATCGGCTGCGTCGGGGTCGGGCGCTGGGGAGGGCGGGACCAGCGGGCCGGAGGGGCAGGGACCGGGGAGTAGGTCGGAGTCGCGTCAGGGCAGCCGGGAGAGCTCAACGGAGCCGACGGGGAGGAGGCGAGTGGGGGAGAAGGGCAAAGGGAAAGCGCGGCAGCGGTCGCCGTGAGCCTGTTTGCGCTCGCTGTGCTTGACAGAGGAAGGTGTCGTTGGGAAGTGCGTGGGGGCTGGGTCGCGCGAGACGGGCGGGGGAGCTGCTTGTATACTACGCCCTGCACCCGAATTCCGAATTGCTGCTCCCAGAGGCGCCGGGTGGGCCTATCGTCGCACTGCTTCAATTCCGAATTCGCATCACGGGGCTTGCACACGCGTACCTGACAAAGGCGCAGTGAACCTTTGCGAACCTTTGCCCAGCGGCCGAGCACTCCGGTCCACTGCCCGCCCAGAGCGCGTCGGTGCGTCGGTGCTGTCTCTCGCACGTTGCTCGTCGTCTGCGTCGTATCTTTCGGTCTTTTCCGATAGTTCTAGACGGGTTCTACCGGTCGGCGCGAAGGCGCGCTACCTTTAATGAGGTGTGCTGCAGACGGAGTAACACGACCGCCTAAGTGTGGCTGCATCTGTAGCTGCTATCGCCGTACGGTGCTGCCCCGCGGAGGTCATAGGCATTAGGAAGTTGCCTTTCGCGGCCACCTTCGCAGTCTCTATACGTGACTTCTTAGCCACTCCGAAAGCACTGCGAAGGGGATGGGACTCACGCTTGCGCGCTGCTAGGCCAGGACGCTTGTGTTCGAAGACATGATGGAGTTGACTCGAGAGTCGGGCGGCGGGGTTTGCCCGGGGCTTGGGATTGGGTGTGTTCGTGTAGGTCCGACCTTCCTCGCCGCCAACTTATATACCTCGCCGACGTCGTCGTTCTAGTCTTCTAGCTAACTTCATGTCACGCTACGATGAGCCCCCCCTTCGTTCGATGTCAAACGCGGCCGAGTAGCGCCCGGTCGAAGGTCGATCGAAAATGCCTGTCGAAGGTGTGCACGGGGCTGACGCTTTCACAAGTGAATGCACGCTCAAAAACAAGCACAAATGCTATAACTATGTACACCTTATAGTATTAACGGTGCATACGAGGTTTATGCGTTGTGCAACTGCGAGGGAGCTGGGTAGTATCCAAAAGGGACGCGGTATGTGCGGAAGCTAAAGAGGCTGTGTAGATTATGTGCCCGATTCGTACGACTTCTGTGTGAAGTGTGAAGTTGGTGTGAAGACCTGCGAAGACAGATTGGGCACAAAATCCGCTTTCGGTCAGCACGGGTGCCTGAGAAAAGGCGCACCGCTCGGGCCGCTGTCCGGCAGCGACGGCAGGTGAGGGCGGGTGCGTCGACGCTGTCTTTTGCACGTTGCTCACCGTCTTCCTCGTTCCGCGCAACATGTCCTTCGGTCGGCCACCATCCATCTCAGGCGGTTTTTCCAACTCTGCACCCGTACGCCTACCTCGCCTTACCCCTTTGCATACGCTGATTCAAGCAGGACCGAGGCTCCTTCCCGCTCGATCACTATGGTATGTAGTTCTCATCAACGTCTCGAGCGCGATGGGACACTCACTTCGCGCCGCACAGGGGAGTGCAAGCAGTATATGCAGTCGTATCTTGACTGTCTGCGCAAGAACACTAACAACTCTACTCCCTGCCGGCATCTGAACAAGGACTACCTCGAGTGTCGCATGGCTCGGTGCGTCTGTCTAACCACCTCCAATTCTATGTCGCTAAGACTTCATCCAGTGGCCTGATGGACCGTGATGACTGGAGTAACCTGGGTCTGAACGGTGTCAGAGGCGCAGCAGAGAGTAGTAACAGTGTCGTGAAAGACAACCCGAAGGACAAGCCAAACGTCTGACGGCACACCGTACCAGTTCGTCGTTCGCTATTTCCCAGCTCTACTGTACAATATTTTCCCATAGGATAAGGGTCACACGTTGCTTTCACACTGCTCATATGTTTACAAGCTGCCGTGGACCGTGTTTGCTTGCATGTACCAGCGCCACTTGAGACTTCTTGCCGCGTCCCCGTAGCTGTCGCTAACCAGCTAGCCCAAAGTCACCCGTACATACTCGAAGGGTGACTGCCACTGGCGCGGATCCTTGCTCGATTTTGCCTTCGCCGGGGCGTATCTCACACTTTGAGTCCCTCCTGCGAGGGTGGAGATCTTCTCTCTGACGAGCAAGGCATATGCATGTTGGCGTATTGTTTATTGGTGCGCTGCATACACCCAGTTTTCAGCAGATGGCTCACCGCATTTAACAATCCAGGTTCTTCGAGAGCCGTCTAGTGGCCGCTATAACTGCAAGTATGCATCCGGGTTCTCGCCCCCTTCCAACGGTCTATTTCTGCGAATACGTCCACACGACGCGGCGTGGTGTCCATCGAGAGTTGTGACGGCATGCACGCATGCGCCATCGTTTTCGGCGACCACCGCGACCACCGCGACAGAACGAGCGCTGAAACACCTCCTCGCACGTTCTGCTTAGTGATAGGCCTCTCCTTTCTCCGACGCCCCGGTGGACGCTGTTCTCCCAGCACTGCCCCGACACTAGGTGGGTACAACGGAGAATCGTCGTCCGAACGTCTATCCACGGCCCGCTCGCTTCCGCTTTGGGTGGATCCTCATGAACGTTCGTACTGCATGCGCGCCCGACGAGCCTATGCCAACGGCACTGCCCGACTCCAGACGAACGTGGAACGTGCCCTGCATCGGCGCTGCCATGTTCGGTTTCTGTTAGGCTCCAGTGTTGCTTATCCTCGCGTCTCTTATGTATTCGGTGGGGAGCTCGGAGATGCGTAAAGTCTCGCTGCGCACCCCCTCATCCCCGCCCGCTCCGCACTCTAGCCATGTTCGCGCCAGTTGCTGTTGTCGCGAACCTCGCCAGCGAGGTCCTCATGATCTTCGCGTCCCCTGCTCAGCGTCCGCTTGGCTTTGTGGCCAGCCACCGCCGTTTTTATGACGTCCAGGTGCGCACATATGTCCTCGCTTATGGTTTTACGTACTCATGAACCGTCTCGCATCGTGATTAGGCGCACCGTGGCGGACGTGGAAACACGGTAGAGAACACCTTGCCGAGCTTTGCATGGTGCGTGTTTTGTGGGCTCCGTTTCTCTCGCGCGGGGCGTGCCAATCAACGTCGTGGGCTTCGGCAGGGGCCTTATCGACGGTGCAACTACCCTCGAGCTCGACAACGGTGTCACGAAGGTGAATATCTCGCTGCGCAGCCGCGAACATGATGCAGAGCATTGTGCAGGACGGACACGTCGTCGTCTGGCATGACGAGGAGATCGTCTCCGCGAAGTGCATGGACACCCATCCCGTGGTAAGCCCGGGCTGCCTTAGGCTCTATCTCGCTAGATCTCACCTCGAAGCCGCAGCATCCCGACGATCCCGAGTTCCCTTACGTCGGGAAGTACATTGCAAACCTTACGCTCGCTCAATTGCGGACGCTTGACTGCGGCTCCAAACGGCAACACGGCTACCGTACGTCCCCTTCTTTCGGCATCCAACGAGTGCCCCTCAGACTCATGCTTGCACTTTTCAGCGATGCAGCTCACTTACCCCGGCACGCGCATCTCCACCCTGCAGGAGACGTTCGACTTCGTCGAGTGCGCAGACCCACAGCATGCCGTGCTCTGGAACATCGAATCCAAAATCGACGCCCGGCACCCGAACCGCACGCTCGGTGTTACGGACTTCGTCGAGAAGCAGCACGCGGTGTTCGCCCGCAGCCCGTACAAGAACTCTATCACCGTGCGTGGATAGCTTGGCTCGGTGGTCCTGTGGACATTGTCTGACAGCTCGGGTGCAGTACCAAAGCTTCGACTGGCGGACATTGATCGCCATGAAGGTGCGAGACTTGACGACTTCTCTCGGCTATGGGGATTCTAACGCCCCTATTTTAGCAACTCGATAGCTCGATAACCACGTCTGCACTCATCGACGAGTGCGTACTCACGTACTCATGTTGCACATATACTAACCTCGCATACAACGCGCAGCGAGACCGCGTCGAACCCGGACAATAGCACTACGCCCTGGCTCGGGGGGCTGCGGCTCGACGCGTTCCCAGGGCACTCTCTGTCTGAGCGGGTCGCGCAGGCGGCGCACCACATCGGCGCAGACGTGCTCTCGCCGTCCGCAGAGTCATTCGAGACGCCTGTGCCAGACCCCGCAATGGAGGGTTACGTCGCGTTTACGACGCCGGAGATGATCGAGGAGGCGCACAGGCTCGGGATGCTCGTCAAGCCGTGGACGGTGCGTCGGAAGCGCTTGAGTGCAAACTGAGGAGCTGATACTCTCGGGTTCTGCAGTTAAATCGGATGAACATTGTGGAGCAACTCTTGGACTGGAAGGCGGACGGGATCATCACTGACTGTATGTATCCTCCTTTCGACTTCGAGTGCGTAAAGCTTACGCGGATCTATAGACCCCAACGTAGTGAGGCGACTGGTGCAGCAGAGCGGTCTGCCGACGGCTCCGAAGTTCCCCAAGCAGCGTGTGCTTGCGTGTCTGCATGAACACCTGGGCAAACAGCTCCCTTGAGCGGAGTCCCTCGATCGCTGGTATACCCTGGATTTGGATAGGATGGTGACGACTGTAGATTTGTATTGTACTGTATACAATTGTACCACCACCATAGAGATTATGTTACTACTACAGGAACACGAGCAACAAAAATTACCGATGGGAGATGTCGGTCACACCACCGACGTCGAATGCTTCAACAGGAACTCCATGTCGTCTTTACTCATAGGCAGAAGATCCGCGCCGAACGCTTCGAGACGGATGCGGAACTCGTGGTCGATGCGCCCGTCCAGCATCTGCACACTGTACGAGTCCGCCTCCCACAAGCCCTTGTAGTCCTGCTCCACTCCGACAGGAGGCGCATGCAAGAACTGCTTGCCCAGCAGCGTTTGGGGGTTCTTCAGATACTCCTCAACCTCGCTATCAGTGACCGCCTTCGGTTTGCCAGAGTGGCGCGTCGGCGGGGGGCTGAGCGGGTTTAGAGCGGTTGGCCCGGGGGTGTGTGTTGCCGGGTTGTGTACCATCCCGTTGGTTTTCTTGGGATAGAGAACACGGAACTCATTGTTCATCCAGTCATTAAAGCTGTGGACGTGCATTCATTAACACTGCCCCCCTTTGACCGCATTTGAACGGATAGTACGCACATAGCACTGTATCGTTTGAAGACCTGGTTCCGAAGGTCGGGGTGGGCCCTGAGTGGATACGCCCACTTGTACTGGTAGACGACCATGACCGCTGCACTTGCTAGGTGACTTCGCAGGACTCGACTGGACATACGTAAGTACAGCGTCACATAGAAGAGTCAGTTGGAACTCACTCCTCGAGCGAGTTCGGGGGCGTGAGCTGCTCAATCGCAGCGTCCACCTGCGCGAGGTATTCATCGTACTTTTCTGGGGGGAGATCTGCACCGACAGTATCCTTGGGCCAGAAGGTGGGCTTGGTATCCGGGCGGGCGTAGAGCTCTGCGATGATTGCGTCACGGCGTTGGGGATGTTCGGAGAGTTCCTGAACGTCGATTGCGTTGATCTGGAGGTATTTGACGAATTGTCTGGCGAGGGCGTCGACGTCGACTTGGTCACGAGGAATGGTGTAAATGTCGATGGAACTCATCTTGATGCACGGTAGATACTAAAGAAACAGAGGGGCACAGTACAGTAATCGATATCTGGGTTTGAGCGCCGTTGTCGGAGTACTGTGTCGCGTCCCAAGCCGCGTCGTCAGAGCAAGGTCTTCATAGCAGTCGCGGTGCTGAATAAGGAAACTCGGCGTATAGTATTGTCCCACCACCATAGATTCAGAGACCCATCCCCACCACCACAGATACGCCGAGTTGAGGACGCCGATATGCGCCTGATTCTATAGTCACGGTTCTATAAGTTGCTCATCTCCGCGCGACACTTTGCCACGCTTCGTACACCATAATTATACCATTTCATCTCCGTCCTCCGATACCCTCGGCACTGAACCATCACCGTCAACATTAAACATCTGCCAGATAGACAGCCACTTCGCGATGAAGGCCAGATTCCCGACCGTCCTCGGAGAGCTGAAGCAGACCTGATAATAATATCGGGATGCCCAGGCACGGGCGCCTGCGCGTCGCGCGCTTGCCTGCATGTGACGTCGGGCCACGTGCTCGAGGCGGGCGCGGTTGATTCGGACTTGGAGAGAGTCCGCATCTTGCACAGACTCCCCCACTCACGCTTTTGCTACGAATCCTACGATGTCGACGGAGTCCGGCGCAGGGGCGACGAGGCCCCCACAGACAGAACCCTCTCAGAGCGCAACGAACCTCTTCGAGCTGCACCTCAAGGTGCTCACAGAATCATACCTCGCGTTCTTCCAGGAAAGGTGCGCACTCGTGTTCCTCTCGCCCGCTCCCGCCCCCACTTTCCCTGTGCTCACTCGTTCTGTGCGATCAGGAAACGAATAGAGGAACAATAGTGAGTGGTCTATGGCGCACGATTGCCCGCGCGTCCCTCATCTGGGTCTGTGCAGCGTTGCGGCGCTACTTAGGCTCCACCGCAAGTCCAAGTCCCTCGACACATATCTGGACGACCGGCTCGAGCTGAGTACGACGCGCGTAGCATGGAACGAGATCACGGACAACGTCGAGCGAGGTGCGTTCCCCTACTCTGTACCCGACTACCCGGAGCTCATCGCCCGCGATGGACAGAGGCGAGCACGCGCACCGCCTTTCTGGAGAACCTCGGCGCCCATGTGATAGACCCGCTCGCGAACTTCAAGGTGCGTTTCACGTTGTGCTCCGCCTCCGCTGTGTATGGAAGCCCGGTGTACGCCAGGAGGAGCAAGATCGCATCCGCAAACGGGTCAAGGAAGACTTGAAAGACGCGATAACGGCGCACGCCGAGTATGCGGACAATGTCCTTCCAAGGCTCAAGCGAGCATATCTCAAGAAGTGCCAAGAGGCTGAAGTGCGTACCCCCTTGGGCGTAGTCGCTGCTCGGTTTCGAATACTCATCGCCTCGCCCCCCGCAGGAGTACAGAGTCGCAGCGGCCGCGCCGCTCTCCCCCACCTCGCCCCCCGATACCCACTTTAATCTACCACCTCTCTCGAAGCCTCAATCGCAAGGCGCCAATGGAACACGGCCAGTGGTCACCGCCCCGCAGCCGCTACGACCCCTTGACCGCCGCCCTTCGTCAAGCGCGCACGCCTCGAGGAATCGATCGCCTTCGGCATCGACATCTACCGCGCTGCAGGACCTTGCACACCAAGGCAAGAAACAACTCAACCAACTTATGACCTTTTTGGATAAGGGGGGTAATGTCAAAGATGGTGGGCGTTCGGAGAACGCTCTGAGATCCGTTCGTGCGAAACGGGAGGCAGACGAAGCGGGTATGTGGCGCATGCATCTATAATTGAGCAGAACCTTACATGAAGCCCGTTAGACAAGGAATATAGGAAAGGTGTCCATTGGCTCGAGACCCTCCGTATTCGGAGAGTGAAGATCATCGAGTCGGGGTTCAAGGTAGGCTCCACTAATGACAACCCATTTACTTGAGGCTCATTCGAATCAGTCGCTGGAATCGTTCGTTCGTGATTCTGCGGCTACAGTCAAGAAGGTGCTTGAAGTTTACACGGACAATTTGACGTAGGTGTTTCTTTTCTGTGAATACCAGGAACATTCATTCAACGGCCGACTTACCTTCCAGTGCGGCTTCTGCCACCCAGAACCAACTATGCGAACATGGGCGGCGCATGGTGGAGAAGATTGCACCCGAACGAGACAGCACGGCGATCGCAGCGGCGATACCTCGCTTGCTCTCGGCGGCGGTGCCTAAGCCTGTCTTCTACTACAACTACAACGTGGGCGAATGCAGGGATCTCATCTTCGGTGTCAGCCTTGTGGACTATGCGACGGCGAGGGGGCTGCCAGAGGGCGAAGTTCCCAAGATTATCCGGATATGCATACAGGATATCGAGCAGCGAGGACTAGATGCTGAGGGGATTTACCGGGTAAGCCATATATGTGGAGCTCACTAGGATGACGGTCCACTCATACTTCTCATGTTAGGTTTCGGGCAGACACGCAGCAGTTCAGGAGGTACGTTGCTATATCAAACGTCACAGTCCGGCTACTGACCTCCATTCTCCAGCTGCAACATAAGATCGAGCGCAACGAGGTGGCATTCCAGTTCAACGCAACGACAGACGACGTGTATTCGGTGGCCTCGTTCCTAAAGGTATGCCTAGCATCTGCGAATCTCATGTCAGCCACCTAAACAATCATGTCACAGATGTATCTTCGGGAACTTCCTGAACCCGTATTCAAGTTCCCATTACAGGAGCGCATCCTACACACGGAAGGATTTGGTATGCAAACTGCCTGTTTCACAGCTGACAATACCTGACCTTCTGGCAGACGAGCACGCTGCAAACAACTTTTCGGTCCTGCGGTCGAAGATGCGGCGACTACCCGCTATCCACCAGGCGACACTCAAGGCCCTTGTAGAGCACCTCGCCAAGGTGGCGTCAAACGCAGAGAAGAACAAGATGGATCCGCGGAATCTTGCGATCGTGTTCGGGTCCGTGATATTCGGAGAAGACGAGATGCCGAAGGGGGCGGACTTGCTCAGTGTCCAGTCTTGGAAGGTGCGCTCGTCCTTCTACGAAACATGTATCGCCGCTGAGAAGTGTTTCGCTGCTAGGATTCCCTGATGGAGGACTTGATCAACAACGCCCATATCCTGTTCTCGCAGGCGGGATCACCCCCATTACCACCGGCGCCGCTGCATGAAGGGCCTCCTCCCAGCGCGTCGTACGGTTCGACCCACACCAGGGTCTCAAACATGCCTCCACCGCCCTTACCAGCATCACCGCGCAAGCGTCCGATATCGATGCAATCCCCCCGATCTTCTGCCGACGGCACTCGCCCCATTCCGCAAGACTTTACGCCGCAGCTTCCACCGCGGCCTGCGAACAGCATACATCCGTCGCTGCGAGCCGGCCAATTCTCAGGGTCACCGGCGCGGCAAGCTCCCTCTATCCGTGCTGGCCAGTGGTTCGATGACCAGGTGCGGGTACCCGCTCCAGTGAGCACGGCGCCTTCGCAGGATGGCGCTCCAAGTGTCCCTTCGCCCCCCTCCACGCTCGCTCCGCCAATATCGGAAGTGCCCTCGGTTTCTACCTCGTCGACGTATGCGAATACGCTCGAGTCGCACTCGCGTGAGCCGTCGTCGAAGCGCTCTTCGCCACAGCTCGAGCCCCAAGACAAGCCGGTGGACGGAGGCCCTGTCGATCTGTTCTCCCCACCGCGGCCCTCGTCGGCGGCCCCGTCGGCGCACACGCACGAAACGTCGCTGTCGTCGACCGCATCTGCTGCGGCCTTTGCGTCCGCGACACCCTCTCCGAGTTCGTCGGCACACTCGAGTCACAGCTCGAGTCCGAGCAAGAAATCAAATGGGCATGGGCGGCGCGCATCGGACTGAAGAGACTATTCTCCGGTTGCGGCGTTCGAACTTTGGAGCAGACTGGGTTTCGGTCATGAACGTACGAGCGTTGACGCATGATACGAACGCACAATGTAATGATACGACATGAGACGTTGCTAGGCAAGTGTGTAATCGTTCGGGCTGGTTGTTTGGCTGGCAGTAGTTGGTGGACGAGCCGCGGGACTGTAGCGTTGACCTATGTTTCCCTCTCCTTTTCTTCGTTTCTGGCGCCGTTTGGACGCGGTTCGCGGTTGGTACTACTATACCATGTACTGTCTTGATTTACCTGTTTATTCTACGGCATGTTGTATGACTTCCCCACTGACTACTTATTACGTACTACTACATATGGGCCGTGCCCTACATATCTTGAGGTTGGGAGTGTTGTGGTAATATTAAACAGTTTGTCCTTTATTCCAGCTGTACGTCTTCTCGCGCGTTGGTGTGCATGCTTCGAAAGCTCATGACTCCGTCGCAGAATCTATACCGTGGACCCATGCAAGGCACTCCGTCCTACACCTGATCGGCAATATTCGCATCTCGGACGGAGCTCCGCAACGCTCGAAAACGGCGAACGGGGAATACATTGCAGTCTCCTGCCAAGTCCCCGTTCAACTTCTCCAAGATGCGTGCGTGAGAGCCTCAGAACGAGAGCTCGGCGGGATCATGACTCAATGCCCCGTCTGAGGCCGTCAGCGTAGGTAAATCGGGGAAGAAGGCTCCGAGCCACATGAGGGCCATTAGGGGTGCTCAATTCTCGCCGTTCGTTCGCGCGTTCGGGCGCTACATGGGCGCTACACCTACGCGGTTCAGACTCCGCCTAGCACAGTGTCGAGCGTCGTGCTTCGTCGCAAGTGTTGCTAGCACCAAGATGCTCTCTGTGATCACTTCGTGGACTAAAAAATAGTACAAGATGCTGAGGTACTAGGCACCATGAGCTAAATTCACGGACCTGCCATGCACATTCGCAGTCGGGCGCTTCTTTCGCCGCAAGAAAGTCTAAGAAAGTCTAAGAAAGTACTAAAGCAGCCACAAATGGCAGAAATTATGTGAATCTCCTCTAGATACAGTCAGGAACTTCTTGCCCTCGGTCAAGCTGCCGTGTACTTGCAGGAGTACCGCTGACGAGCGTGTACGCGCACAACGCTCGACACTGTGCTAGGCGGAGTCTGAACCGCGTAGGTGTAGCGCCCATGTAGCGCCCGAACGCGCGAACGAACGGCGAGAATTGAGCACCCCTATTCACATGACCGCCGTGGGTGGCATCGTATGGCAAACAGCTGACGGGTCGGCAGAGGATGGACACCCGAGAGAAGCTGGTGGGTGCTTCTCGTAAGGCCCGGAGCGCTCGCCTGGCGTGCTTCGCGAATGCATTAACGTGTTGGGAGTGCGACGAGAAAGGCAGGTGTAGTGTTCGCTAACCCAGAGACCCACTCGCGTTCTTCTCTTCCTGGAGGTGGAAGAAGATTTGACGGTGTAAGAAATTCGAAGCCGGAAGCTTGAGCGTTTGAAGAGTCAGAGATGTGGTTCGAGTGGCCGCCGCAAATACTATTTCTTCCATCGGATCGGTTCCCGGGCGGAATGGCGTATACCCAGGGCTGCCTGTCCCCGGTCGGAGACTCGGAGGAGAATGTCGATTATCAACAACTGGAGGGCTCCAGCATTCTGGCTCAAGCGACGAGGAGGGCCTATCGATCTGCGCTGCTTTTGCGGCCCCGGACGATCGATCGTGCGCAAACGGTTTGCGGGCGACCGACGCCAGGGAGCGCTGCGCGCCGGCGGCACGAAGAGGCAGCGTAAAATCGTCGGGTCGTATGTCTTAGCCACGCGATTGTCAGAGCTCCAAGAAAAATTGGAGTGCGGGACCGAATGCATAATGAAAAGAAAGGCAGGTAGCGTGGGGGACGAGCCAATCACCCGGCGGATGTTGTGGAGCTGGACGCGGAGCGGTGAGGGCAGAACGTTTGCGCACGACGGTACTCAGACGGATCGATCGTGCGCGGGGACAACTCTGTGTCGGCAGACGCTGCGCCCGCAGGCTGGAGAGGTGCGCTGGGAACATGTCGAGGACAGCGAGGGGAACGACGAGCAGGGGGTGGATGTCGCGCGAGGCAGCTGGAGGCTCGTGCGTACTCGGACGCATTCGGAGAGGGGGAGGAGATGGCGGGGAGGCGAGTGGAATCGGCCGAGCCACACTTACGTAAATGTGTCAATCAGGCAGGAGGGAGGAACATTCCCGGGCTAATCGCTGGACGCCGATTGGCTGCGGGGGCCGCGATAAGGGATCGGGGATCGAAGGGGCCGCATATGGACGGCTGATGTAAGAGTGGGCGCGGTCGAGGGCGTCGGACGGACTGGGTTGATATGGCTGCCACATCGCGCCGCCTTTCGGTGCTCTCTCCCTCTCCCTCTATCTCCTCCGTACATGGCTCCGAAGCAACCCTGCGCAAAGTACCAATACGTCGTCACCCCCGCCGGCCCAAAGATCGTGCCAGTCCCAGATGTATATTCCAAGGACGAGGAGTCGCCTGCAGACTACAACTCCGGTGGTTATCTCCAGGTCAAGATAAACGATTCCTTCAAGGATGGGAGATACCTCGTCACCAGGAAGCTCGGGTAAGTCCTCCTCTCATTCACCGAATTCACCGACAGAAGTCGCCCGCGCTACTTCGTCGGGCTCGCGCCGCTGTGGACCGCGTACTAATGTCACACGACTAGATGGGGCCATTTTTCGACCGTATGGCTCGTCAAGGACAACCAGTACGTGTCTCGCCTTTTCAGTCTTTCTCGCTATCCTCTTGCCTCTCTCGCTCCTCCGCGACGCGCTTTATGCCGAGCCTGAAGGGCCGCTGCCAATGACTTTGCATCTCTGCTGCGCTTGCTGCTTTGGAAACTACGGATTCGCCATGTAACCGGCTGCTCGCCACTCTGCCTGTTCTTTGTCTCGTGTGGACCGTGCCAATATATGGTCCCGTCATCGTGCCCCCGCGTCATCGAACTGAGGCCTGACTAACTCATGCTGGTCCGTATCGCGCCGGAAGCATTCTCCGATCCCGAGCGCGGGAAAGCTCTCACACTTAGGTTCTGAACGAAAACACGTTCGTCTTATACTTGCATTGCATCATGGCGGCCGGTTATATATCGGTGTGGTATCTCAGCCAGACCAGGGACTGATAACATGTGCTGTACGCGGAGAGGTGGCTGATGTGGTGCGGGAGCCGTAATTTGCGTTTTCTCGTCAAATTGCGGTTCGCGTGCGGTATAATTCTCACCATGCCTTCGCGTTATTCCTTACTGACTCCCTATGCAGCACTAGCCGCCATTCTGCGCTCAAAGTCGTCAAATCTGCTGGACGATATGCTGAGACCGCGCGCGACGAGATCAAGCTCTTGCGTCAAGTTATGGACGTGAACCCTCTTCACCCTGGCCGGAACCACATCGTGTCGTTCCTCGACAACTTCGACCACAAAGGCCCCGACGATAGTCACATATGCCTTGTGTTCGAGCCATTAGGCGAGAACCTGCTCGCCCTTATCGAGCGCCACAAGAAGACGGGCGTAGCCGTCGACCTTGTACGCGTCATTGCGAAGCAGATGCTCCTCGGGCTGCAGTATCTGCATGATGAGTGTGATCTTGTTCACACGGACATCAAACCGGAGAATATATGTAAGTGGACCGTCGAAAGCGCCATATATTCCGATGTCCTAACATCTACGTATCACAGTGATATCGATACCCGATGTCGAGGCACATATTCAGGCTGAGCTTTCGCGCTCGCCATCTCCCACATGCAGGAAGGTCGCTGTGCCTCCAAAGGCACTCACGCGAGTTTCCGTCAGCATCCCCCAGCGCAAGACTGGCCGCGAGCGACAGGTGCAGATCTTCGATTCGCAACCGCTCCCCAGTCCTTCATCCGTTAGCTGCCCCAACTCTCCTGCCCGCCTCAGCTACATCTCTCGCGTCGCCTCTGCTCAAAGCGCGAATGCGGCGCTTCCCTCTGCTTCCCTCTCAAGCATGAACGTGATACGGAGGAAGAGCACTAGCAAGCTCGCGCTGTCGAGCGGTCATTTCCACTCTGGCGCATCGACCCCGGACACGTCGGAGTCCAGTGGGAGTGGCAGCTCCGGCTCGGCCTCCCGTTATGACTCGGTGCTGGTGTCTTCTAGCTTGGCGAGGTCGCTGAGCAACGATACCCCCTCTACCTCTATCAACAGCTTGACGAGCGGCATGGGCAAACTCGCACTCGCCCAATCTGTTAAGGGGAAGGAGAAGGCCCTGGCGCCATGTACTTGCACCTGCGGCGACCAAACCTTCACTGAAGCAGGTGACGAGCCTGACTTCAAGCCCATGCCTGCCCAAGCACGCCCCGCCCCTGGACCCTCCCTACTCTCGCAGACCGCTCCCCAGAATCTTACACCACAACGCTCCGCGTCCACCTGCTCACAACATCCACACTCACCCGACACATTGCCCGCACCACTACTGGACGCCGTCTTTGAGGCGCCTGCTCCCCTTCCCCCGCCATTACCCATCAACATCAAGATCGCTGACCTCGGAAATGCGACGCCGACAACAAAGCATTACACCGAAGACATACAGACGCGGCAGTACCGCGCGCCCGAGGCGATCATTGGGCGCACGGACTGGGGCGCAACGGCGGACATCTGGTCCGTCGCGTGCGTCGTGTTCGAGCTGCTCACTGCGGAGTATCTCTTCGACCCCCAAGGCCAGGGCGACCTGTTCGGGAAGGACGACGACCACATCGCACAGATCATCGAGCTTCTCGGCGACTTCGGCGAGACGAAAGTGGGAGGCAGGTTCAGCAGGGAGCTATTTGACAGCACAGGTGAGCGTCGCACTCTGATCCGCTACTGCCTGCATGCCCTTTATATATGCGTGACCGACACCGTGTTTGGGCGCTGTGATGCTGCGCCCCTCCCCACCGTCCATTCCCAATTGGGGTACCTCATCGGAGGTGGCGCGTGTATGGACTGCCCCCGCAGCTCTGCGCCGTGCGGTCGGTGCGACCGCACCGGTGATGACAGGGATCGACCAAGAAATACCGAGGCTTTGTGCCTGCCTTTCTGAGGCGGTCGAGAAACGGTGCCCTGTTTCGTCTTTTGTTCTGCGCGCTTGTGGCGGTCGGGTGATAAGCAACACTTACTGACTATACCTCTTTGCTCTGCAGGCGCGCTGCGATACATCCGGAACTTGAAGCCATGGCCGCTGCGGCGTGTGATGGTGGAGAAGTATCTTTGGTCGGAAAGCGACGCGGAGGCAGTCTGCGCATTCCTCGAGCCGATGCTCGTGGTCGACCATAGGAAGCGGGCGAACGCACGCGACATGGTCGACCACCCGTGGCTCCAGGTCGACCCGCTCAGCGAGGAGCTGTGGGGGTGGTAAACGCCCCCTTCGCATTCGCCACGCTCCGGTACTTATGCGTCGACGCACGGGCGCCCAGTTGGTTGGGCGGCTGAAGTGACCGATTGCGTGGATGTCGGGATATGGCGTGACGCGTGTCGTCGAGCTCTCCCCTCCCCATCCTCTCATCCTCTTTTCTATTTGCATCATTATTCTCGAGTGTGCCGGTTTTTCTTCGCGTCTTCCGTTTCTCTTTGGCTTACATCCCGGGTCCGCTGTTGTTCCTCATCTCCCCATTTCGCCTTGGCCCGTCTCGGGCGTTTCTCCCTCATGTTGTTGTGCAATCATGCGTGCTCCCACTTCACCCCTCATCTTGTCTCCCGCTCCCCTTTCCATGTTGTATCATTCACTCCCCGCATTCTCCTGCTTCCATTTGGACTTTTGACTAGCTTATGGCCGGCACACCATTTCTCGCCCTGCTCCTTTTCATTCCCGCAATCCTCTAGACGCTAGACCGCATCTGCCCGCTTGCATTCCATCTCTTCTCCTCCCTTCACTCCGCGCGTACGTACTGAATGCGTCACCTCCGCCTAATCATGCATCTTCCTCCCGCCTCGATTCTCCCTCCATGCCACCGCTACCCTCGCGATTCCCTCTACCCCCACCCCATCCGCCGCGCCGCCGCCCTCATCTATATGCGTTCTCTCGCTCGAGCTAGCGTATCCCCCGCCTATTACTTACCATTACTACTGCTAGACACACTGCGGCGCCTCGGTGCGCGCGTAGTTGTGCACTTCCCTGTCTTGCTTTCGCGCTGTAGCTATGTCTCATTCCCCGGTCGCGACACATCTGTACATACGATAGAGCCCCCTCACAATAAGTTTCTTGTCTCACCAGCTGGTGTGCCTTGTGAGTTGGTGTGTGGTTATCCTTTTTCTTTTGAGTTCATTGTGTGCACCGCATAGGCCTCGAGGTAGCGGCGTTCTTGTTAGCGCTTGCAATCGTGTGGGCGCTCCGTTTTGGCGTCTTGTGGGCGTCACAATTGGAATTCGAGCGCCGGTTGGGCGCCGATTCGGAAATTTGCGAAGAGTGGGGAAGTGCGTTTGTGCGTGTGGTCCTCCTTGCGCTCTACCCGTCATCACCGCCGTGTCGAGTACATGGCTGCCTCCCCCATCGCCACTTCGAACGGTGAAGAACAAGATCAAACACAGCAGCACATTCTCAAGTGGTCTGCCGAAACGATGGACGTCGAGGCTGCCCGTGATCATATGGGCCCCGGCGGCGACATCGACATGAACGGCGCATCCCATCCCGCCGACGACCGCAGCGCGCCTGGTCAAGAACCTGCAGATTACCCCGCCGCCCCAGGGTCCGCCACGGGCAGCGCCGGCGACGCCGCGGCGCGCTTGGAGGCCGCCCAGCGCGGCGAGAAGCTAGTCAAGGTGCTTATTTGGTCTCTCGTTTATGTGCTGTTTTTAGTGTCCTCTCCTCCCCCTCCTCCTCGTTCGCTCTCTGTTGCCCTGAAGGCCCGCCCGCCGCTCTGCTCGCCCCGTCTGTCTGCCGCCCTCTGTGCCTGAGCTGAGACGTCACGTTCGCGCTGTCCGCACTCTCTCACTCTCCACCCGTGGCCGGAGCTTGCCATGTCGCTGTTCGGTAATACGGGACACGGAGGACGCTGTGACATGGCAGCCGCCGTCTGCGACTATGCTCGCAGCAGTCGTCTTTCGCGTCGGAGCGTAGGTCTGCTGTCGTCGTGCGGCGCGTTGACTCCACAGGGCTTGCTCACGGACTAGGGGCTGTCTGCTGTTTCACTGCCGTGCGCCCCCGTCTCGAGCGTCGACGGGCCCTTCCCCTTTCTGCTTTCTTCGATTACTGCTTGCTGGCGTCCCCTCGCTTGATGCACGTTCGCTGACGGCTTCTGCTCTCATGCGCACCGCTCCTGTCCTGGGCACCATTCTGCATGGCTACCCCTGTGACTCCAGCCGAACAAGGTCTACATCGGCGGACTCCCGGAACACACCCGCAAGGAGGATCTCGAGAGCTGCTTTGGCAAGATTGGCAACATCGTCAACATCGAGCTAAAGTACGTACGCGTCCCGATTATCGCGCTGGGTGTCACGCTTACGGAGGGGCTGTACCTCGTGCGAATAGGGTGGGCTACGGATTCGTGGTAAGCTCGATCGTGACGTCCCCGTCAGGTTCCAGAAGTGACCGGTCCCTTTTTCATAGGAATTCGACAACCGCGAGGCCGCGGAAGAGAGTGTGGCGAAGTACCACGAGGGCTATTTCATGGGAAACAAGATACGTGTCGAGATCTCTCATGGCGGCGGACGCACCGCAAAGTACAGCGGCGACCCGGGGGCGTGCTTCAAGTGCGGCCAGATGGGTCATTGGGCCAGGTCAGACATCGCCCATTCATTCATAGTGGCGCTCAGAGCTAACGCAGCTGCTTCTATCAAGGGAATGCCCCAACCATCTTGCAGCTGGGTATGTGTTCGGCACCGACCTTCCGGGATAGCATCACTGAGTCGACTCGCCTGTTTTCTTTTAGACGCCGCCCGGGCAGTGACGCCCCCCTCATTGACCGCATTCAGCCCCCCAGGGAGTACCCGGTGCCTCCTCGCGACTACTACCGTGACTACCCTGGGTATCCTCCTCGGGACCCTCGCTACTATGATTATCCGCCGCCGCCCGTTGCGCGCGATGGCCGCTACGGGCGTCCTCCTTCCCCGCTTCCCAGGGAAGTGCGCGACTACCCGCCGCCCCCGATTCCTGTCCGCTCTGCTAGGGACTACGACGATTACAGAATCCGAGGCCCGCCGCCGCCGCCTGCTCGCTACGACTCTCGCGGCTTCTATCCTGAGGGCGACCCTCTTGTCCCTGGGTACCCCCCGCGTGGCTACCCGCCGCCGCCGCCTCGGGAGTTCTACGACCGCGACTACAGGCGGGCGCCTCCCCCCGCGGACAGGTACGGCTCTTACCCTCCGGCCACTGTGAGACCTAGGACCCCGCCTGGTGCTCCGCCTGCTCGCTCTCGTGACGACTACGAACGCCCGCCGCCGGCTCGGTATGTGCTTGTGACTTTCTGTCGGCTGCGGCTGTCTCTCATACGAGTTGCTCAGTGACTATCCGCCTGCTACTGAGGCCCGAGGCCGCCCCGTCTCTCCGCCCCCCGCTCGCTACGCGGAGTACCCCCCTCGTTCTGGCAGTGTCGAAGCTCCTCGCTACCGGTTAGTACCTCGCTCTGCGCATACATGATGCTTGTCTGACGTCACTCGTGCTCGCAGCCGCCGCTCTCAGAGCCCCCCTTCGCGCTCTGCCTCTGGGGCTCCGTACGAGGCTTCCCGCTACGAATCTGGCACTGGTGGGGCTGCGTACGCCGGCGGCACTTCTGGCAGCTACCCTAGCAACGGCTATACTGCCACGAACGGCGGTGCTCCGCCCCCTGCGCGCAGCGCTGCGGCCCCGAGGGAATACGCCCCGCCGCGCGCCGCACGCGAGCCCGAGCCGGCTAGCAGCTACCGGCGCACCTGATTTTTCAAAGGCCCCTCAACTTGCCCCAACAGAGTCCTCAACGCTCTGCGAGGCGGCCGTTACGTTCGCGAACCGCAATACATCGATTCCGTCCTTGTTTGCCCGTATGCTCCCCCCTCTATAACCCGATAAAACCCACAGACAAATGCGACTCCCTGGTTTCCTGGTGCGGCTACTGACTCATGGCATGTATGGCCGCAGGGAGGGCTCTGACGCGACTACGGGCGGGGCTCCCGTACTCCACGACGAGGCCTGTTTGCGTCCCATGTCCCTGGTCCCGGTTCCTCTGGTCCCGGTTCCTGGCTGGTTTTCTTGATACGATCTGCTTGCTACTACTGTCCGAAACTCGCTATCGTCGTTTCTAGTTCTCCCCCTCTTTGATGTACATATAAACCCAGATCTGCCGCCGTCGACGTTCTTGCTTGTGTAGTGTATGCGTAGCGGTCGGTGAGTGTTGTTGGACCCTGTGTGTGTGGAGTAGGTAGGAGGTAGGAGTGTTTGCCGTGATAGAGTGTGGATGACATATAAATTGACACCAATGTGCTGTGTCGCATAAATCATTGGTGTGATTAATGTTCGGGTTCTCAGTACACACAAGACAGGAGAAAAATTATCCGTCCGCGTGAAGACCGTCAACGCAATATTATTGCATGCTCTACGTGTATATAGGTCTATCAACCAATGACAAGCTTGCCCTCAGCCTCATTGAAGTCGTATGTAGGAACTTCGAGGTTGAGCTAGAGAGAAGACGTAAGTATCACGAACGAGAACGTGCTGTCAAATAGACTTACAGGAGCCGGGCCCTTGCGAATACGTCCGGAAATATCGTAGTGGGAACCGTGGCAGGGGCAGAACCTGGCCAAGTATAGATCAGCGACTGCCCACTCGGACTGGCATCGGTAGGTACTCACCAGCCTCCATAATCACCGGCCTCGCCGATAGGCACACAACCCAAGTGGGTGCAGACGCCGAGCATAACGAGCCACTCGGGCTTCTTCGTGCGCTGCTCGTCGCTCTCGGGATCGCGCAGACTCTTCCAGTCGTACTCGCGGGCCTCCTCAATCTCGCCGGTCGTACGGTGACGGATGAACACGGGCTTCCCGCGCCACTTGATGATCACGTTCTTGCCCTCGGGGATGGCTGCGAGGTCGACCTCGACACGCGCCATGGCGAGCACGTCGGCGGACGCGGACATTGTCGCGAGGAACTCCGTCACCGTCGACTTGGCTGCGGACGCAGAGAGCAGCCCGAGCGAGCCGATCATGAAGTACGCGAGCCCGCGGTTCGTGCCCTCGCTCTTCGCCTCGTACTTGGAGAAGTCGGGGACTTGCGGCGCATCGCGGGCCACGGAGGAGGTGTGAATGAGGCTCCTCTGGAAAACACCAGTCACGGGGACTGTTGGGGACGAAGCAAGCAATGCATGAGCAAGTCTGCAGAACAGAGAGGGAGGCGGAACGGCCACAAGCAGATGTCCATGTCGGAGTATCTCAACGGCAGAGCAGGGGCGGATTCCACCTGGCGCCATAGCCACGCGATAGCCTTATGATCCACTCAACCAAGGGTTTAAGTGTCTGTAGGTCTATCGCAAGGTTTTGCGAGCTGTGACACGCAGAGGCCTCGGTACCTGCTCCGCCATATCCGGTACAACGACAGCTAGAAGACGAGTGCTCACCGGAAATATAGCTCTTGGACACAAGGCCAGCAGTCGGCGACCGCGATACACCGCCCGCCCACCGGGCAGGGATGTCAGAACGGGGGCCCGCAGCGCCGTGCCCGTGCTCGTGCCCGTGACCGGCGGGCGCGCGAGCAGCGAGGTTGATGTGCGGCGCGAGGGGCACGCCCGACGCGAGCGTGCGGACAGTCGGGGGGATGGTGATGGCCTTTTTGGTGAGCTGGACGGCAGCCATGGCGAGGCGCTGGGTAGGCGAGGAGGTGGTGGAAGTCGAGCTCGCTGTCTGGAGTGACGACCGCAAACCCGGGCGGAGTCTGAATTAGACGCCGTCCAGTCCTCGTCCCGTTCTTTTCCGGACCCGGCGCTCTAAATCGGCGCCTTCCTATAGGCTCGCTCGCTGCGCCCAGGTAAGCCTGGAGCTAGCATTGGCCCTTTGAGCACTACGTTTTCAACCTCCGAATCTAATGAACTTACAGCCTCAGTCTATAGCTCCCAAGCAATGAGCCTTCAAAGTCTCAAGTTGAAGCATAAGCACCTAGGCCTGACATAACAAATCACATTCTGATCCTATTCCGATAGCATACTACAAAACAAGAAAACGGGCAGAACAAGATCCACACCGAACGCCTCGAGACGGACGAGGAATCCGTAGTCGATGCGCCCGTCCAGTATCCGCAACGATGATGGTTCGGTGCCGAGGATATCGGAGAGCGGAAATGAAATGGTATAATTATGGTGTGTGAAACGCGGCGAAGTGTCGCGCGGAGATGAGCAACTAGTACATGGACATACTGGGGTTGTGCTACAGACTGACTACGGACTGCCTATGATACAGATAAGTTATTACCTACAGTACATGAGACCAACGCAGGAACGAGAATGACTTGGAGCAGAGATGTGGTCCGTGAGGTATCCGGTGCTGGCTGAACATACATAGGTCGTGAAGGTCGTTTAAGATTGCGTGGACTTGGAATCTGTATCGAATGTCAGCACGGACACCACTGATGACAAATCGGTTTATACTCACTGGAGACCGTACGGCTAGAGGTCCGACCGAGCACATTTCCAAACGCCTTCTTCAGCGTCGGCGTCGGCGGCTTGGACCCTGACGCCGGGTCCTTCTCCTTGTCTGCGTCCAGGTCAAACTTGCCCGCGAGCTTCCGCCACAGGCGCACAGGCTGCGCTTTCGCGGTCCCCAGGAAGGACTGTGGAGGAGTCGACGGACCGGACGGGGAACTCGAAGAAGTCCCAGATACAGACGAGCGCGAGGACCCGGATGGTGACGTTGACGGCGGCGGGGCCAGGGGTACGTGTAGCATCGCAAGCTCAGCGCTCTTGGATGAGCCAACGACGGGGAGTCCTTCGTCGCCACGCTCGCCGTCCGTGGCATGACCGTCGGCGACAGGGATGGCGACGGCACCTTCCTCAATGGAATCGATGGTATAATGCTGGCCGTCATCGAGATGACGTCGCGCGGCATGTATTGACTGGCTCGATCCAGAGCAGCTTCTTGCAAGCACGCCCCGTGGGTGGCTGCTCCGGTGTTGTGCTCGCACCTGCTGCACGTACGCCTCTGCCTTGCTGTGGCCCTCGAGCGCAGCATCGTCGCCAGTATCTTCGACCAGCAGAGCGCCCGTTATCAAGGAAGGTCCACGTTCATCGCCGCCCTCGCTATCCTCGATTTCAAACACGCTCCCAGGCGGCACCGCGCTTCTTGGACGAGGTTGACGCCCGAACACTGAAGTCGTGGGGGAGGAGGGGAGGCTCGCCGAGAAGTCCCAGCTATCCATCGTGGCATGCGTGAGAAGTGAAGGCTGCTTCCTGCGCTCCTGGCGCTGCGTGAGGGGAGGCATCCCGCGGAGGATGGTATTGCACAGGTAGCTCGGCTTGCGCGCGCCCTTGAAGAAGCTCATTTGTAGGAGCGCTTCAGCCGTGGGCCGTTTCGAAGGATCCTTCGTCAGGCACATTGCCACGACCTCCGCGAATGCGCTTGAGTAACGGTTCGGGCCAGTGTTCCGTTCAAGCTTGGGAGGATCGTCCGTAACAGTCATCACGAGCACCTTATGCGGGTCCATACGCGAGCGTGGCGCGCGGCCCTGCGCGAGTTCGATTGCTGTGATGCCGAATGACCAGATATCGGCAGAAGCGTCGTATTGCTTCCCGTTGATGACTTCAGGGGCCATCCAGCAGGGCGTACCCACGAAGGACTTGCGTTTGCCCAGGAGAGGCGGCCTGTGTAGCGGTGGATTCTGCTGGGGACGGGAATGGGAATGGGGGTGTCGGTGAGAAGGGTGTGGCCCCGGGTTGAAGTTGACGATACGTGATTTAGTGGTCTGCGGCGCCGGGGAATCCTCGTGGTCCCAGAGGAACGCTGCTACGCCGAGATCGCCTAGGAGGACGGTTCCATCATCGTCAACGAGTAAGTTCGCTGCTTTGACGTCTCGGTGCATCAGACCGTTGATATGCAAATAGCTAGCGGTCGATTAGCTTCTGGGGACGACGTGCATAGTGGGCGGACTCACTTGATTCCCTCCAACGCTTGCTTGAGGATGCACCGTATGACCTCCTCTTCGAGCCCTCCGGGCCAAGCGTAACGCATAACATCGGCCACACTGCCGGCATTCATCAAACGCATAGCGATGTGCAACTTGTGGCCATCAACCCAGGAGCCACGGACGCGGAGAACATTGGGATGTTTGGATAGCGACATGAGCTGCGTCTCGTTTTGAAGAAGGCGAAGGGCGCTGGGGGGAAGTCGGTCGAGATCGAGTACCTTGAGTGCGCATGGTATAGGGGCGCCGCCCTCCGCGGGCTGGTACAGGGCGGCATAGACGATAGAAGAAGCCCCGAAGCCAATGGTGGGCCCGATGGTATAATCCGACGAGTTATTACTGCACGGCATGTCAGGGTGCGATTAAACCACATGAAAAGGGCGCGCACCTATATAGCTGCCACTCGTCTTCAACTGCGCCAATGAACTTCCTAGAGAAGTGCTCGGTGACAGCGTCCATCCCGAACGCTTAGAGACCGGAGGAGAGTGGCGGAGACGATGATGGAAGTACGAAAGCAAGATAGGACATGATCAGCCACAACACATGTGTGTGGCTTATTGATGCACGGCTTCGGCGAGCGTGCGTACCGCGAATTGTCAAAAGTGTCCTTCGTGAGCCCTTGCTGCGTGGGTGACGTTGTCGCTGCGCAGAATAAGACGCGGTTGAGAGGGACGATGAGGGGAGAGATGAGGTCGTAAACGTCAGTTGCCAATCCTGGGCCTGAAACGCACCTTCTCGGCAGACATCCTCAGGCGCCGTCCCAAAATTAGCACCCAGATTTGTCAGGCCCGTGATTCCGCGGCCCTTCTTCCAGATTTTCAGCGTTCCTGCCACCGCCACCGGGACAGACTCGTTCTCAGTAGGGGTGCTCAATTCTGGCCGGCCGTTTGCCAGGACACTTTCTGAGGGCGTCTCTTTGCGTTGATGGACTGATGCGCGGAAGTGTGCGGATAAGCGAGGAGGTACGAAACGTTGAATTGTTGGGTCAGGAAGCTTGTGAACGTTCCGTATTGGGTAATTATTCGAACTCCGTGCGGGAGAGCTCGCTGTCTTCGCCTCACTATGGGCTACGCGGGCTTACGCGTAAAAGACGAGAGAAAGGCGAGTGTGTCGTAGTGATAGAGAGAATCCTTCCATCGAGTTTATGGGCACAAATAACCTCCACACTCCCCAATGCACGAACTTGTGGAGGGCGTTGCGGCGAGTTCTCTCTAGGGTTACAGTAGGGTTACCTCGTGCGCGAGACTTTTCGGCTATTCTCGCCTGTCCTCGCTTCGCTCCATCACTGCCATCAGCCTGTTCAAAAAGTGTCCTGGCAAACGGCCGGCCAGAATTGAGCACCCCTAGTGGGAACTTGCATTTCCTTTTCCACTCCCTGATTCGTTCGGAGACCGCCATAATATTGCGTAGCCCTCGCAGAAACCCGCATTTTCTCCTTCATTGAAACCTTGGAGACTGCCAGGAATTCTCTTGCTTTACCAGGTTCGAAAGTTGAATGGTCGTCCTCTCCGATGTCGGGCAACGTCAAACCTAGTAAGCGACTAGTACGTGCCAGCAGGAGTCACCACTTAGACGACGGCTTACACTATTGGCAACAAGCTTTGTTGGGAACCATTGGTAAGGAGGTAGTGTAGTAGTGCTAGATACACCGACTTAGCCCAGTGAGGAGGCTTGAGGAGGCTTGCTGCGGGGCCGGGGCTTGGAGGGTTTGGCAGCTCCATCAGAGTCGATGGAAAGCACGGTTGAAAAGCAAGCCAAACCGTAGCTCACTACAACACCTCGTATACAGCATAACGATTACCAGAACAGCCCCGCGCTACACCTATTTTACAAGCTACAAAGCACGGACATGACCTTAAGTTGGACTTCGAACGCTAGATGTTACACCGACACTGGCATGTCTGTTCCACGACGAGCCGTCCCCATGACTATCCCATGCAAACCGCTCAGGAGTGAGGTGTGGTCTGCCAGCTGGCGTAGTATCCGCGGGTGTCTAAGATAGCTCTCGATTAGTATTGTAAACGCAAATATAATATTCCTCCCTGCCATACCGTGATCAACCGCGGCGGCAATGATCTGGTCCCAAGGGGGAGGCGCCACGAGCGGCGGCTCATCAGCCATCTTCTCCGGGCCATCGCCCGTAATCCTCCACGCGCCGCCGACATGTATGAACGGGTAGTCCTCGACGATCGCCAGAGGCGGGGCCGGCGGAGGCATGACGGTCACCGGGTCCTGCTTGTTGACGATGCGGAAGGAGTACCTGCCGCTCGCGGGTTGAGTGCGCCTGTTGATCTCGTCCGCGAAGGGCTGGTAACAGACGCGGGGCGCGGCGAAGCTGTAGAGGTCGCCGAGGCTAAACTGTGCGAACACAGGTTCGGCCTCGCGGCGGAGGAATTCGCCGTACGCCAGAGTGCAGAGACCCCCGCCCAGAGAGTGGCCCTGATCACGGCATTGTATATATTGAGCGCCGGGCTATCGATGCAAGTATGCGCAGAAACACGGCTCACGGTGATATGCAACTTCGCGCCAATGCTGTAAGCATTCGAGAGCTGCTCAAGGAGAACCTCTATTATTCCATTGCCGTACGTTAGACGATCCGGAGTTGTATGTGTGGGGAACTGCTCACCGAATGGGATCTTGACTCCTTCGACAGCATCAGTAAAGTCGCCGAAAAGATTGAAGTAAAAGCCGCCGTGCATCTGGGATCCCCACGCGACGTCCGGTCGGAGAGGCACGATCGGCTTCCAGTTGAGGTCGGTCCGGGTGTCCCGTTCAGAACTAGATCCCTATGGTGCCATATAAATGGTTTATTTTGGAGCGAAGTCGTAGAAAGCGGCGTACCTTGAAAGCAACGCCCGCGAAAGGCTTGTTCGCATTGTTGCTAGTGAAAAGTCCAGCGTATGCGCCGCTGGACTTTTCCTGTCCGTCAGGTCCCCGATCAGCGAAGTCTATGCAACCTGTCAGTAACTTCGAGCGACGAGGATCAAAGCCGCGGTCATACCGCAGAGCTGGATGAAAGTACAGTCCAGAGCCTTCGCCTGGTGCGAAGAAAAAGAAATGTCAGGAGTAGACCTCCGATTGTAATGGTACTGGTGCCTACGAGCTCATGTATCAACACCTCGGAGGCCTCGAGATGAGTTATGGCGCGATCGTAATCGCCCGCGCGTGCAGCGAGGATGGCTTGGGCGACGTCTTCCTCCTTGCTACACATACGAAGCGATTATAAGCTCCTCTGAAGAAATCCGCTCGAGGCCGGGATTTACCGAAGGTACATGCCAACGCTCTCCACGAGCGTGAAAAAGACGGTGTCCCAGTTAGGCGTAGTGGACGAGGTGCTGGTGCATTCTGCCCGGCGCCGCGTCGTGTCAATATGGAACATTGTCAGGAGCATGTAGATAGAACCTACGGGCTTCCTTAGCAGCTTTGATGGCGGCGGGATTGTCGTTGATCCAACCGAGGATGATAGGCAACAGCTCGTCCGGCGTGGGGGAATCATCTTGGGGCCCCTTGGGAGCACCTAGGGGCTCACGCACGTCCAAGCCAGCGAGCTGCTTGACGTGGGCGTAGCGAATGTCCCGCTTAGTTTGCTGAGAAGGAGGCGGCATTTGTCGTTGGTACTGTGGTAGAAGGTGATCTGCTGAATGTCACTGGCAAGTATGGGGATCAGCGCATAGCATCCTCAAGTATTTATGCCTGGACTCTGGGAGCATCATGTGGAGAATCGCGTTCTACCGTCTGGCGAGTTCGATGAGAACACGGTGCAGGGCGCTCGGCAGAAGGGATCGGCTTGCCCCTGTGGAACCTGAGTTTGTGGGCAGTGGCAGGGTGCACGCATCTTAAGGGTATGGCGCTTACCCGTTACGTGCTCAAGAAGGCTTGCTGATAGGCTATTATGGCGTAGCGCCTCTGCGAACGCAGTCGTCTTCCCTACCTACGTCTTCCCCTGCTCGTCATGGCATGATGCATGGAGCTATGGTTGCATTGAAGCTAGAGCGAAAGAGCACATGAACAACGTATGAGCTCATATATCCGCACGTTCACCGACTGATGCAACACTCACTAGCGTTCTCCCCGGCTCTCCTCCACCCGTGTTTCCACGGGAGCACTGTGGAAGATCAGCAGGACAAACCGTACGTGAAGAGGGTGAAAGGAAGCCACTTGTGTTTGACGGCCAAGCTCCTGGCGTACCTGCTGGTATAATTCAATCAGTGGCGGAAGTACGAATAGCAAAAAGGACCGTTAATCAAGATACGCATGCGGTAGTAGATAATATGCTACATATATACAAAGATGGCGGTAGTCGAGAGCCAACTATAAATGTCGAAGATATAGTAACGAAATGAGAGCTATGGTCCGTATCCGGCGCCACCTAGTGCGACGCGGTCTAGAGGACGTCTTGCCAGTATTCGATCTCGTCGTCGATGTCCCGGTGGTGCTCGTACGCCGGACCGACGTACCTCCCCGTCTGCTGCAGCATCCACTCCAGCACACGAGGGTGAGCGCGGACCCTGATCGTACGACGTCAGTTGGCGCGCGCTACGTGAACGCATGGGGAGTACACGTACTTGGCGGGGTCGAAGTTGACGACTTGCAGCGTTTCCATTCGTGTTGCTCGCGAAAGCGCGACGTATGCTATGGAAGTCGACGCCTGTTCAGGACAATACGCTGCGGTAGACAGATATACACTTACATTGTCCCTTCTCGAAGATGCGGCCGAGGTCCACCCGCACACGCTCCAGAGTTTGGCCTTGCGATTTGTGGATGCTCAACGCCCATGCCAAGATCAGGGGCACCTTCGTTGCCGTTAGTCCTGTCGACGCGGGGTGCGGAAGATGTAAGTCAACCGTACGCACCTGATGGCGGGTGGCCTCGATCGTGCCTTCAGCACTGACGACCTCGAACGTCAGCGGCACGCACAGCTGCGTGACGCCGCTCTGGAACTGCACCGCAGGCCACACGCTATTCATCTGCAGAATCTGCTTGATGGTCTCCTCGCGCTTGTCCGCCGCAGTCTTCTGACTGGACTTCGGTACCTGACTTCCAGTGGACGCTGTCTGTGGTACCTCGACTTGTGGGCCTCCCGGAATGTCTGGGACGTCGGGCCCGCCGCGCTCTCGGGAGTCGGGGAGCGCGATATCGATGCCCATCGCGAGTGCCTCTCTGGGCTGGTAGAAACCGACGATACGGCCTACGGAGCCGTTGACGAGAAGTCCCTGGATGATGTTCTTGACCAGCATGACCTGGGCGCCGACTTTCAGTGGGAGCCTCTTGGGCACGACGAGATCCTTGTAGGCACGCTCAACGCGCTCGGGATGGAAGGGCTTCCCCTCCTCATCCCGGCCCGGGAGGTCCCTGGAGTGGAAAACCATGTCTGGCCCGGGGAGCTTGCGCAGGCGCGAGCTGTTGGCGCCCTCGACTTCCGCGCGTGTGGGATAACTGTGCCGGAATTGATGTTCACATCTGGACGTCTAAATAGCAGAATTTGTGCACGCACAGTTCTGTTGGCTCGATGCCATCGTCGTATCGGACCTGTCGCGAAAGGTTCCGGAATGCGTTTGTCGTCTTCGGGTCGAGGCGTCCAAAACGCATCGCGTTTAGCATATCGACGAAAGCTAGAAGTGTAGACTTAAGAAACCGTCTAAGTCATCCGAACTAATGCTCGTTCACTCACTTTGATCCTTCTGCCGGAAGACACGTGTCAGTATGACGGGAGGGCCGACACAACGTGACCACGACTCGGCGTCGAACGCAAACGTAGCCGGGATTTGTGCGCCCGTCCCGCTCTTGTCAGGAACCGGTGGAAGCTGACAGAAATCGCCCGAGAGAACAAGCTGTTGCGGCGATTCACAGTTAACACTGGAGGACTACCGGGATCATTGATGTACGCTTACTTGGATGCCGCCGAAGGGCAAGTCACTCTTCCTGAGCTGTCGCGCGACGTATTCCTTGGATAGGCATACGTTAGCGGTTGTGCAGACGTCATCCTATAGAGGCTCACCAGTTTGTCGAACAACTTTCCATCGATCATGGAGACTTCAAAAGCGGAGTCAGCCCAGTCCTACATGTCAACGTGTTGTCGGATACGCCGACATACTTTCGTCGAGAATTAATGTCTTGCATTCCCGCCACCGATCGAGTACCTTGTTCTTGCGCTCCTCTGGAGACGCATTCAAGAAGGCTATCTCATCTTCAGTCAACTGGTGACCCTGTTTGTGCTTCCTTTGCAACTCGTCCCGTCTCTTCTTGTCCATTTTGTATGCCTTCATAGATATACCAAGGATCTTGCCGACAAGAGCATCCTTGTCTTCCTTCCCTAGACCGATACCAGCCCACGAGTGGAGGGTACATCCTCCGATATTGACTGAAGCAATACCAGTCGAGGCAGTCACAGCAAGCTTGATGCTTGGGCGACCACCACGCAGCTTGATGATTTCGCGCAGGAGAACTGACTTTCCCGTTCCTATATCCACGGTGAATGACGTGTCGATGCGAGTGGCTCAGGTACATACCTGCGGAACCAGTGAAGAACACACTTTCTCCTCGCTTCACCATATCAAGCACTCTCTGCTGGTCAGGGGATAGCTGTATCTCCTGTGCAGGCGGCGGGGCGGGTGCCGGAACCGCGGGTGCCGGTGTTGCATCAGGCATAACGGCATCTTGCTGGGACTTGGCGGGTGGTGGCTGAGTGTTCACCAACGTTGTGTCGACGTCCATGGCATCGTGAAAGAACTCTTCGTCGGGCCATTCATCACTCTCTTCCTCCTTCACTTGTATAGATGGGATTTGACTAGCGCCCTGTTGAGTAGGAGGCTCCTGCTGGCTACCGGACGGTGCGCCGGGGTCTAAGCTACGGGTTAGATAGACTTGAACATACGGAAGCAGTAGAAGATACTTTCAAGTGTACAGCGGAGACGCATCTGCGGCGGCAGCGTCTGCTACGCCCAACAGCCATGCGCGCGCTTCCGGAAGACTGCGGAAGCTCTTGTGGATGGCACCCGAAAAACGGGAGACCTAGAAGACAATGATATTCAGCAAAGCGGGGGTAGCATAGGTGTAGAATTCTACCGTACGTTCGCTTTCGTCTGTGGATGGGCGTTGACCGTTGGTTATATGGCGCTCGAAACAAGCCCCTGTGCGGGCGTCGAATAATTTGCGACGCACCTCCTCCCATGTCGTGTATATTTGAGTCCCTCCTCGGCCGTTATGTACCGCGTAAAACTTTTGTTTCGTCATAGCATTCCAGTCACAAAGTTGAAGAGCCTAGCAATGTGCGCGGTGTTCTCCGCGTTCGAAGGTGAGCGTCAGGATCAAGGAGTGAGCGCCTCATGGAAACCTGTCGCTGCGGCACCCGGCTAAGGACGAGCGCTTACTGTCTTAGCCACGATGAGTCGCGTCGCGGTGAACGGTCACGTGCTGAACGATTGGCGCCCACACACCGATGGCTCGAGCCGTCGCCCGCGCCGTTCGTGGACTCGTACACCTTGACCGCGACATCGACCTCAACGGTGACCACGACCGCAGTGATGGCTTGCTGCTCTCTATATACTGCTGCTACACCCAAGCTACACCTTGTAGAGCTGGATGCTGCGCATCGCAGGCTTATAAATTCTCACCTCACGTCAAGTTTCGTCAACCCGCTCGGCATGCCTGCCGCTTGATGCATGAGGCCTGGGGTGCAAATTCGAAACTAGTCATTGTCCTGGATCCTCGGACTCCGGAAGCAAATTTGATCACACCTCATGCATGTTTTACTGCACCCACAACGAAGTACGTCTCGCACAGCTTGTGGTTTGCGCGAGTGTGGCTCCTTGATGGGCTTTCTATAAGGTGCTGCGGTCTGGTCCAGAAGCGCAGCATTCTGCTGATTCTGTCACCAGGAAACAGTGGCTTAGAAGGACAGTCCCCGAGGTCTTCGTGGGCATCGTTCACCCACTTGCCGCTCCGTCGTACTGCTTTCCTCGTGTTTGTCGGCCAGAATCAATCGGCCCCTCCACGCACGATGCACCGCTTCAGTGCCTTCATTGATTGACCCCACTGTCGTAGATCTGCGATGCTCCCAGTTGCCGAAGAAGGATAGAGCGCGCTGTCACTTTATAAGTACCTCGTCTGATCCACTCTTCCCCCTGATATTGCTCTCCTCCACACACTATGCCGCTAGGCAGTTTGACCAAAAGGCTCCGTCGCTCGCGCTCAAAGCGCCACGGGTCGCAGGACGACGTGCCTAGCAGCTCTGCCCAGCATGCCGAACCCGAACCGGCTCCCATGCCGTCGGTAGCCCACGATGTTCAATTGGAATTGCCAGAACCAGCGCCCAGTGCAACTCAAAGCGCACCTACCATGCAAATGCCTACTCCCATGCTGGCCACATTCCAGGTTCCAGACATTTCGGTTGAGACCGCAGATGCTGCGGAGGAACATCCCACTGCGGAGACGGGCACGGTGGATGAGCCTGTTGAGGAGCTTGCCCAACTTCAAGAGACAATTGAGCGTCGATACAGTACGCATTCTTTCGATGTTGTATATGCATTTTCCGTCATCCTCACGGGATACCAGACAAACCTAAGCCCCGTGAAGGTGGAGACTCTGAAGACCACGTAGAAGAGCTTACGCATATCCGTGTCGATCCTACGTTCAAGCAAATCGATATCAAGCAGGCCATGGAAAGCGGTGTTGAACGGTTCGCCGACAGCATACCCGTCCTGAAGAAAGCTTTGAACGAGTTGTCGAAGATACACCCGGTCGTGACAGGTACGTCGCACCTACGAGCCTTCTTCCAGAAGTACGGGATCATTGATGAGCGCATATAGTCGCGGTACTAGCGTTCGAAGCTGTAATTGAGCTAGAGCTTACCCGGAGGGAGAACGACCGACGTGTAACCGTCTTGTTTGTCGAGATGAAGGCCGTGATGCTCGTCATAACGAAGTACATCTAGCCCGCATATACCCCGCTACCAGTATAGCTGACAACGCCTAGTTTCAAGAACATTCGGAGTAACGATATCGGGCAGGATGGGATCGTGCTTAGCGATCGACTGCACGAACTTGCCGAAAGCACAGCCGAGGACATCAAGCAGTGCGCCAACTTGTGCGATGCCTTCCTCAAGAGCAAGCTTCTGCTCAGGGTCCTGAAGGGCCCGCTGTGGGCGGAGAGGTTCGCTGCGTCCATGGAACGGTTCGCGCGCCGCAAAGAGGAGTACAGCTTGGCGCTCGCGATGCATACAGCCAGCACGGTCTCGAAGATGGCAGTCGACGTCGAGTCGATCAACTACAAGTGCGTCCGTCACTTGAATGCTCACCGCAAGAGAAACTCACACGCTTCAGGATCGAGCTGATGCACACCCTGTTCGAGAAATACATGACTGCTACCGAAAGGAACCTCGTGGCCGAAGTCGAGAAGAAGGGCGGTGCCGCGAAGGTTCGCCATGACGATGCCCTTCTGAGGACGCTTATGGGTGCCACTGCAACGAAAGACCCCGTCGTGGGCTTGAACCTGAGAGAAGGTACAAGAATTTGCATACATTCTCTGGGTCCTATACTGATGCCGTGTCAGAGCGAGCCAAAGGGCCACAGACGGAGGCGGCTCCTGGCGTTAGCAGAATGCGTACCCAGGCCAAAGGAACAGATGGAGCGGCCGGGTTGGACAGGACATTTGGCCTGGAGGACCTCAAGAAGGAACTGCGGGAGGATCTTGACTACACCATCGAAAGGAACTTCGCCGTTTTCGTGAAGAAGTACGACTTCCAGGCGCAGCTGATGAGCGACCGCATCATCCACGCAGTCGAAGCCGCCGTAGGGAGTGGGTCCCATTCGAGGATCAAGAATGTGGTAAGCATCAAGTCACCTCTCGCATGTCTCCATACGACGCTGAAGCTCGCGAGTAGGATTTGCAGAACTTGTGGAAAGAGATGGTGCGCCTAGCGGGTTACTAGCTACACCGCTCGACACTCATCGTGCGCAGAACTGGACTGGCGTCGTGAAGGGCCGGATTCTCGTCCATGCCTTGCGCGAACACTACAGCCAGGATGACCTCGTCCCCGCCTCTCCCACTGCAACTGAGATCGTCATGAGCGACAAGTGGACGCTGGAATACCTGAACATCGCTTGGCTTCATCCCATCTTGGAAGCGATCGACGACGACACATCTGGGTACATATCTGTTTCTGAGGTCAACAGGTTCATGCAACGTCTCCCGCCGGAGCTCAACTGGAGGTGCGTCCTGTAGCTTCGAACCATGACGAGGGGCGCGCACTAATGCCAGCGTCCTTATAGCTTGCCTTATTGGCTAGCATACTGGGCCGTAGGTGCGTAAACGCTGCCCTCGTTCTTCCTCCAATTCATCATGTCTTTCTTGCAACCAGGTTGGAAATGCGCAACCACGATGTACCTCGACGAGGTACAGCAGCTCATCAGCGAGTTTCACCAATCGCTTCCCTGCGTCCTCGCTATCAACCGCCCGCCCATCGACTGGTACCTCAACTTTATCACACCTTGCTGGACTATGCTCGCGGGGATGGATCGGTATAACGATTCATACATGTGCGAACGTTTCAACGCGTACATCGAACATGAGGAAGCGCGTCTGAAGGCCAACCTGGAGAAGTTCAACTATCGCATCGATGCGCTCGACACCCTCAAACTTGTCATCGGTTCCAACAGAATTGAGAGGGTAAGCCTCATGTACTTCTAACATCGATCTCGTGCCTAACGTTGTATGCACTAGTGTGCTGCACCGCTAGTGTGCCTTCTTCTGCGGAACGATGTCAGAAAGGTTAAAGCGGCGAAGACCTTTATTCTTCCCGAGGACGAGTTCCGCAGCTCGGAGCTATCAATGTCCACAATCGATATCGCCTTGGCGGATCGTTGCAAAGAGCTTCAGGGTGAGCTTCATACCGCCTGTCGCCGTTATGTCATCCTGACACGTCCATATGTGGCCGCAGAGACCTTCAGACAGCGAAAGCTTGATCCCAAGGTCGAATTGAAGAAATTTGCGTCAGGACTGGTACGTGCTTGGTCTTCAATTTACGCGCAGGGTTTACACTAACGAAGCGTACGGCTGGTACAGTTGCACCACTTCGACAGAGACGACAATCCTATTCCCGGGGATTGGTGGGCTGGCTCGGGCAGTGTCGACTATATCTATTCGATTTGTGCCTGGAGGAACATAAACACCGGCGAGGAGGTGGACACTACCGGCATAACCACACTAACCGAAGTCCCTCTCGATACATCAGTGTATGACGCGGTCGAGCGCGAGACCGAGGACGACCTCACCAGCGATCCAGCAGTGAACGCAATGTGCGTACGGCCTCAAAGGTCATCATTGTATTGCTGACCATCATCTGCAGAGTCGGCACCTGGAATGGGTTCTTGTACGAGGACAATCTCTATCCGACCCGTCCCATGACAACCCTATTTTTCCACGCCGCACCTCCGAAAACGCAGTCGTCCAGCGACGAGTCCACTACCGGCCACAAATTTGTGGGCGAAGGAACAGACTACGAGGGGTCCGAGTACAGCGTCACCGGAACGTGTGTGGCCTCCGAAGAGGGCGTCGACGTAGAGTGGTGCATGGAATACGACGGCGACGTCACCCTCTACTTTGTCGGTCGTATACTCGACGAGTTCACCCTCGCAGGCAACCAGCGCTACGACAAGGACGTTCCTGGGCACGCCTACCTCATCCTCAAGAGAGCGCCCGCGGAGTACCTGTGCTACAGACCGCCCCCATTCGAGCTGTCCAGCCAACCCTATCCCCTCAACATCGACTATGATGTGACGCCAGAACAGAGAGCGCGCAATTGGTGGCGATATGCGCTCAACGCGGTGCTGCACGACGTCCGGAGGAAGCAATGGACGTGGTCGTTCTTCGCGGAGCGCCGCCGCGTCCGCCAGTTGTGGTTCACCATGCGCACCGGACCCGACCATTCCAACCACAGCGATTACATACTCCGGGAGATGCACCAGTCTGCTAGTACGGCGGACGCACGGGTGTACTACGGTCTTACAGAGTTGGCGAACAAGATGACCTACCGTTACGAGTAAGTCCAGCTATCTAGCTCGGAGCCACTGGTGCTGATCACAGCAACCACACCAGCAACCTGACCTGCGAGTCCCCGAACTGCAGGCGGAATCTGTCTATCACCATCGTGGCCTGTCTTGACTGCCTTTCGGCAGACCTGCGCTTCGTAGTCGCCTTCTGCGACGATCCGGATTGCTACATGGCGGAAGGGCTGTTGAACAATGATGGAAACCCGCACTTGTCAACGCATCGCCTGATCAAGTACCGCACGATTATGCTGATGCCCTACTGGCCGACTATCAAGTCGCGGGCACTCAGCTATCTTTCGGACGCGCAGTACACCGTCCCGGCACCCGCCCCCGACTCAGTGGCGGGAGCCTCTCCTGCTGCCTCAGTCGTCGAACTTCCTGCCAATAACCCGGAACGAGCCAGCGTCGTAACGAACGGCTCGGAACACAACACGCCTGAGGATTCGCAGGAAAGGAACTCACCGACGCCGACCCAAGCCCAAGAAGAAGAGGGCCCAACGGACACGAATGCGAAAGTCGAAGCCGAAGTCGAAGTCGAAGCGCAAGCGCAAGCAGTAGCCGAAGCGCCAGTGGAGGTGGAAGAAAGCCCTGAACCGGAGCCGGAGCGTACTACCCTTACGGTGGTCATGCCCCAGCCCGAGAACGCCGCTTCGAGATGGAGCCTCCGCTCATTGCTACACAGCGCCTGGAGAAGGGAACAGGATGCATCAGCGGGCGATGCCAGCAGCACTCTAGCACCGAGCGTGGTCCCAGATCCAGACCCGGAGGAGACGACCGATGTAGCTAACGCTGCAACCCCGGAACTCCCAGCGTCAGCGCTTCCTCCCCCCACCGACGAGCACATCCCATTCGTTGAGGAGCCAGAAGAGATGCCTACCACGCCCGACGATGACGGCGGAGAAGCCGAGAAGGCGCGCATCCTCGCCAGTACTGACGCGACCTCCGTAGCCGAAACCGCGCTCGACGTCCAATTCGAAGTCGAGGACAACGCCGGGGAGGACGTATACAGCGAGGTTGCGTCGACATACGCCACGGCGCAGTCCATTATCAGCAGCCGCGCGCCGTCTAGCGTGCCCTGGTACGAGCGTCCTCCACAGTGCCTCGTGTGTACTGCGTCTATAGGACCGGGCAGCTGGTACTGCATCGAGTGCCGAAGTGCGTTCCTTTCCTTCCACTCTGCGGCACACTGGACTCACACTCGCGTCTCTGCAAGGCTTCCTCTGCTCCGAGTGCGACGGAAAGCGCCTCATCCGGTGCGCAGAGTGCTCGAAACCCTTCCCGCAGCCAGCCTGGTTCTACGGCATGGGTCCTCGTGCGTACATTTTCTTTCCCTGTCCATCCCCGCGCTCACCCGTCTTTCTCCTCGTACAGTCGACGACTTCCGCTGCGACGTCTGCAGCGCCCGCCGGCGCTCGGACACCCCACCGCCCTACTCCGTACATGTGCACACGCACCCAGTCGTCCTCTGCCAGGCCGCGCCTCCTCCCTCCCCGGCGCCCACCCCGCCCGCCTCGCGCACGCCCAGCCCACCGCCACCATCACTCCCAGATGTGGCGAGCGTCGCATCGCGGCTCGCGGCGGTCGAAGGACGCGTCGGCCAGCTCGACGCGCTGCAGACCCAGTATGGCGCGGTTGGCGCGCGGTTGGAGCAGCTAGATGAGCTTATGGGGCAGATTGTGCAGATTCGGGATATGATGACGATGCTGCTCGAGCAGCAGGCGAGCAGTGTGAAGGCGAGCTCGGAGTAAGTAGGTGGGCAGGAATGTTTGTAGGATCTTGTGACTGGACTTTGGATATACCTGTGTCTTTGTATATACCACCACATCACTGCTTTGTATTTTAGGGCATCGCTATGCATATGTATGACACCCACTGTCCACACATTCTCGATATACGCTCGTTGCTTGGATTGATATACATGTGGTATGATACGTTAGTCTGGACATGTCTGATCATTCTAGCATGCATATCAACATTTGTTCTCTACTTCAGTACATACCCCCCGGTACATGTATCATACAGGCATGTACTCACCACCGACGCAATGACATGGAGAGTGGATGAGATGGAGGAAGGGAATGAGCTCGGGCTGTTAGGGTTAGGGTGGGGACGTCAGAACCCCAACGGATTGAAAATAGCGATCGAAGGCGAGGCTTTTGAACGAGCGCCGAATTGCCGTCCCGAGCCCGAGTCGTCCGGTCGGTCTCTCAACCCACCAGCCAGTCTCTGGGGACTCTCTTCCGCCCCCGCCCAGCCCCTCTTCCCCACACTCCTCCTCTCACCCCCACCTCCACCGCCGTCCCCCGCAGCAATGGCAGCGAACAAAGGTGCGTGCTCGTCGACTTAGGCGTGCTCGACGCAACCCAAACTGACACAACCGCTCACCCTAGAGCCGAGCTCGATCGTCCCGCTGCTCTCGCGTGCCCTCCACCGCATCCGCTCAACACCTCCAAGGATCATTGCATCCCCCGCTACTCGTAAGTACCCCCTTTTCGACCTAGCGCGCGTTTCCAGAAGAGCTCATGCACCTCACGCGCAGAACCCCGGCGCGCCGCAGTGGCGATCATCCTGCGCGTCTCACCCCCACCAAACCACGTCTTCCCTGCACCCTCGCAGCCCGCTGACAGCGGCTCGCCCGCAAATGTACCTGCACCGACACTCTCGGAGTTCTTCCAGCTCGACTGGGTGACTGCGCCGGGGGCGCGCCCGGAGATCCTCTTCCTGCGGAGAGAGCGGCCGGATGGACACGACAGTGGGCAGATGAGCGGGAGCGGCCCAAATACGCGTGAAGCACACGTCGCGTTCCCGGGCGGGAAAACTGAGGAGGGAGACGAGGGTGGACTGTACACAGGTGAGTGTTCAGTGGGTTGCTTTGTCTCGGTGGACGGGGAGTGCACTGTGCTGCGGTGGGGAAGACCTTGTGCATGCCATATGCCGACCGGCCGGTCGTATGGCAAATTTCCTTCGTACGGACGCTGACTGCAATGCCCGACAGCTATGCGACAAACATGGGAAGAAATTGGCCTCGACCTCGCAGAGTCCTCGTATACCCCCATTGGCCAGCTGGACGACCGCGAAATCACGACCTCGCTCGGAAAACGCCTGCTCATGATTCTATCACCCTTCGTTTTCCTTCAATTAACCCCGCAAACTACTCCGGTCGACCCCTCTCCGGGCACTACGCTGCACTGGGTCTCCCTCTCCACCCTTCTTCCAAGACCCGTCGGCGATGGGCCTCGGTGGTCAAGTGTCTCCGTGGACGCTTCTTCGCGCCTGGCACCACGGCACTCAACAATCATGCGGATTCTAGTGCGCCTCCTCGTAGGCAGCATGAAGTTCCCCGCCATCCTGATCCCTGCCTCGCCATTCGCCGCAGGCACCATCGACGAAAAGACCATCGACGAGAAGCGCGCGCGCGTCGAAGCCGCGGGCCCGACGCGCGAGCCTACGTTGCAGTTCCGCGCGCGGCACGACGGCGGAACGCTGAAGCTCTGGGGGCTTTCACTTGGGATGACGCTCGACCTGCTCGCGCACATGGCGCCCCCCGAGGCGCGCCGCGGGGGTGGGGGCGCGACGCTGCTCCCTCCGGACGCGGAGGCGGAGCTAAGACGGGTGCCCGTGATGGCACCGAGTCTCGCGAGTGTCTTCCCGCGCTTTGGGTACCCCGACGTGAACTTCTGGATATGGGTGTTCGGGAAGCGGTATCGCGCGGTTATTCGCGGGTGGGAGACGAGCGTGCGGCAAGGGGGTTCGAACGACCGCAGGTGAGTCCCGGTTTTGTGTGCGCGAACGTGTTCGAAGGCTGATGGTTCGTGTAGGATAAACTGGACAGGCTCTGCGTTGACAACGTTCTACGCGGCGGTGCGCAAGGCACTCGTCGTGGTGATCGTCGTGCGCGCGATTTTCGTGCTCATGGGCCTCCTCTTCAGCGGGTGGCTGGTGTTCTTGAGGTGATGGACGTCAGCCGGCCTCCGGACCCTCTCCTTCTCCGCGCGCATCCTATATATGTGTTGTATCATCCTCCACACCTGTTGTGCACCCCCTCCGCCCAGTGTACCTCGCGTCATTCCTCCACTCCGTACTTGTTCGCCCCCCTCCTCCCCGGTCCGGGACGACCGGCATACATATATACATACACCCGCCCACAACAGAACAGACCATCCTCCGATCTACACCCTATCGTCCGCTCGCGCGCCCTCTCCTCTCGTCCTGGCTCGTCCTTTTTATCATCCTGTTCCCATTTCTCTCCTCTCTTTATCCGGCACGTTGGTTGGCTTTATGGGAAGCGGCAGTGCTGTGGCGTCGGTCGCGGGGGTGTATGCTAGACCGCCGTCGTGTGGATCGTTGCGTAGACTGTCCGCGTATACTCGCGCGGCCTGTCTGATGAGCTCTAATGATATTTTACGACCTCGCTTATTTGTGTGCATGTCCCTTCGCGAAAGCGCTTCGTGCCACCATGTCCTTGATCGTAAGTGTGTGGTTACAAGGTATGCATGTACCAGTAGGTATAATGTATTGGGCAGAGAACGAATGTGTCCGCATAGGAGAATGCCCATTCCTGTCTAGACTAACGTATTATACCATACACGAGCCCAATCCGTCCACCGTAGCACTAACCAACATTCGGAGAAAATCAAGCAAGAATCACAGGCACATCAATCCTTGACTTCTGCGCTACTGCGCTCGTCGCCCGTCGGCGCCTTATCCAGCGCCGCGAGCTTGTCGATGCCAGGAATCATGCGCCCGGGCCAGAACGGCGTGTAGACCGCGACCGCGATGAACAGCGGCAGCGAGTCGAGCCCGTAGAAGAACGCCTCCGTCGTCGCGAGGTGGCCGCGGTAGCCCTGCGACAGCTCGATGACGCGGTAGACACACCGGATCTGTGTGGCAACGTGCATCGTAAGTACCAAGTCGATGGTCCGAACGTATATCGATATATGAGACTTACGAGGATGCCGACGGAGCTGATGATGAGGACGAGCGCGAGCGTGCGCCAGTCGCGGTGCCACGGCTTCCCCGCAACGCCATCGACTGTCCACACGTGCGGGTCCATCGTCTTGATGCGGAAGAGGAAGCGCAGGGCGACGATGACGAACACCGCGAACGAGGCCAGTTGCAGCACAAGACCGGCCAGGAAGATCTGCGACACACGCAATACATTAGCCGTGCGTTGGGCAAGTGCATGCGGTGTGAACTCACATGCTCGCCGGTCTTCGAGAGCTTCAGGTTCTTGGAGATGGACAGCAGCGCGCCCGCGGCCTGGCGAAAAGCGCATCAGCTTACGCTTGCATCCGGACATCGACGCGCGGTACACACCTGGATCAGGAACGTGCTGACGTCGGACACAACGAACACGACGGTGATGCGTTGCGGGCGGATGAGGAGGTGCTCGTGCGACTTCAGGTACCGCGCGAGGCGGCCTAGGAGCATGTACTCGGACGCGATGAACGCGCATGGCTATGAAGACCGCGTGAGCACCACAATTGCGCGCGACAAGAGAACGCGACGTACCGAGAGGACGATGAACAGGTAGTACGCGATGTATATTCCTTGACTATCCGGCTGCGTGTGCAGGCCGAAGCGCGTCCCAAATCCGACCGCCCACGCTAAATGAACTCCGTCAGCCCCACGAAACTGCAAAGAATGATATGCACGTACTGAATTCTCCAATCAACATCGCGAGCATACAGCGGCCGCCCAGCCTGAACATCATCCATGACTGTATCAACGCAACAACCAGCACAAGAGCTACACATCCATCCCCGTGGTCAGCAACGCGTACTTGGATGACATTGACAGAAGCCGGATCGAGGACGTGGGATGGGATCAGGCGAGTGCCTAGGCTGGAACCTCTTGTGAGGCCCGGGGGGGGGTGGTGGTGACCCCCGTGGGAACGGCCGAGTCTCAATATTGTTTTGACATATCTTGACAGGACTCCTACGCTCACGCCGCGCGATGTGGCCTCCATCGTGTGCGTCGGCGGGGAGCTTGTACTGCACTGTGCCTATGATATTGCAATCTTGTCCCAAACTGAGTCGTATTGAACCCACCACCGTATCGCTTTAGTCGCGCTCGACCTCCGGCAACCCAATTTAACTGATAGAGCATCCCGAAACTGAGCGTCCTCGTGATCACTCCCCGGACGCATCGTGCGACGCAGCGAATTGAAGGCCTACGGGCGATAGGTGGAAGAATGCATGGACTCGGGAACGCGTCCAATGATACCTGACACTGGTAACATATACGCGCGACGCTGCCGACGCGATTTGGGGCCTTGGGCTGTCCCAGCTTCAAGGCGCGCAGAGACAGCGTAGAGATGGGTTGGCTGTCAGCATGTTCAAACTCAGCCGTTCCCACGGGGGTCACCACCACCCCCTCACAAGAGGTTCCAGCCTCCCTTCGGGAGGAACGATTATCTTCCGCCTCCGGACGTGAGGCTGGTTTACGAGCCTACGAGTGCCAGCCCATGGGAAGCGCGCGGTATGTCCGCAACGGAGAAGTTCCGCCATGTCGGTCCCCAATGCTTCTCGGGATCTCCGCGCGCATCCGCACACACACGCACCCATAGGCGTACGTACGAATGAAAGAAGGAGAAGGGTGCTCACAGATGGCGATCGCGGAGAGCGTGTTGTTCGCGATGTACCGCAGCGGGTTGAACGGGTCGTCCTTGGGGTCTGTGAACACCAATGGGTCCTGTGCTTGTGCGGAGGACGCGAACGCGAGGAGGGTGAGCGCGGCGCAGAGGATAGGGTTCATGATGGTCTGTGCCGCGGATCGTCGAGATGTAGAGTATGAAGTCATCCTCGGAGGGGTGGTAGTGAGGAGGTATACGCGTAGCTCAGGCGTCGCTCAGAAAGAACCTAGTCTGAAGGAACCTAGACTGTGGAAGACGCGTTAGGGTAGAGCACTAGCGGAACCACTTCGGAGGAGAGGGGGAGGGGGTATCAAGTCGGGAGGCTGACACTGTGTCGCAGGGAGAGCGAGAAGGGGGTGCGGCAGGAGAGCGCACGGAACGCATGGTTTGTATGGTTTGCAAGAAGGATGCCGGCGGATCCTCTGCAAGGGTGCACCCGCATGCCCCATGCAGCGCGGGCCAATTGCACGGTGCTGATCAAGCCCCCCAGCGCCCTCACTGGAGTAAACCCATCGGCGAGATCATTCCACTCCGGGCTGGCCGGGCACACCGCTAGTCCCAGGCACGGTGTCTTTTCGCAGATAACTGACCGCCGGCCAAAGTCGGCTTGGGAGTAAGAATGCGAGCCGTTTTCTGTGCATTCCGCATGGAGTGCAAGGAGTCGTACCAGAAGAGGAGCAGGCACCGAGGGCGTTGCATAGCGGCAGAACGTTTCCCGACCGATCGCTTCGATCGCGGGCGACGCGGGGAGGGCGTCGTGGGCGCCTGTTGGCTCCAGTTGGGCGCCCCGATCTTGGCAAGGGACGGCCGGGACGGCTGTGCGGAAGGGCGCGCCCCCGGTGACATCAGCGTGTTTGCCCAATTCATCCGCCAACGACCACCAGCTTCCGCGACGGCCTCGAGTTTCATCTGGGCGCGGAGGCACGAGGATAGGAATTGGTGCTGCTGGGTTTGGAAGAGGCGCCACAGCGGAGTGGCATCGCCCGGGATATTGGTATAGCGTTGAGTGGTCCATATGGCAGCTTGGGTGCCACAAGAGATCGCAGTAATATTCGGGATCCGTATAGGCGGTGGAAGATATTCATAAAGAACTAACAAGGGAGATATCCTAAGGAGTGTGGCTGTAGACGATAGAGAGTGCGTTCGCAAAGGAGAGGATGGCCAACGATATCGAATCGAATGGTGGACTATCTACTATGGCACATCGCCATCGATTAGTGAGACATATTTCTCGCACGCCGCGCATGTCGGTATTCAAGAAAGGCCAGCCGCCAAAGAGGCGACACGGTGAGCTGCGCGCTCAAAAAACGCGCTCGAGATAGCTGCACGCCGCATCCAGCAGCACGCTTCCCACCCCCAGGCCTCAGCTGAGCAATCCCCCCGAGGGCCTACGCAGCAACGGCGGCCTCCTGGATGAGCTGCATGACGTGCTCGGACCGCGGGCTGATCTTGCACGGGAACTGCTCGGGTATCCTGCGCGCCGCCAGCCGTCGTCAGCGGCGATCCCACGCATTTTCTATACGAGATCGGGCGTACCTGAACGTCGCGTTGTTGTACTCCTGCTGCGGCTCGATGGTGCTTCCCGAGGCGTCCGTGGCCTTCTCGAAGTCGAGCGTCGCGAGCATGCACGCCATGACGAGCCAGAGAGACGCGTCGGCGAGGTGAGAGCCTGGGCATTTCCTACCGGCGCGCAATATCAATCGGTGTAGGGCATGAGCCTGCCATAGGGTAGGAGCACCTACCTGCGTCCGAAGCCGAAGACGTAGCTCCAAGGGTCGCGCTTCTTCGCAATCGCGTCGTCTACGGCCTCCAGATACCGCTCGGGGATGAACGCTTCGGGATCTACGAACACCGCCGGATCACGGGTCATCCTCCTACAGAGCAGCCGTCAGTCAGCGCTCTCATATACAACCCACAAGACAGTGTGAGGTCACACCTACCAAATGTTGGCAAAGATCAGCGTCCCCTCAGGGATCGTCCGCCCCTGGTACACATCGTCCTCCATGAGGCGATGCGGAAGCCCTACGTGCACGGCATGCGTATTACTATCGTGCGCCGGAAAGCCGTGTATTGGGGTACTGACCAAGCGGCACTGGGGCGGTCCAGCGCAGACACTCGCGCAAGACGGCCTCGACGTACGGCAGCGCGGCGCGGTCGTCCGGGGTGGGGAGGCGTCGCCCGCCCGTGAGCGCGTCGATCTCCGCCTGCGCCTTGCGCATCGCCGCCGGGTACTTCACCATCGCGAGGATGAAGTGGCTCATGGTGGTCAGGAACTGGGTCTGCGGTCAGCGCGGACGCGGTGTGCGGGGCATGAAGTAAATCCTCACTGTGTCGATGCTTGCTGCAGCGGAATGTGAGTACTAGCAGCTCTGGCAGGACATACTGGAAGGGGAAAGGGAGGGCGCGGACCTATGTACATGGCGTTCGCTGTCCACTTGATGTCGTATTCGCGCTTCTCGTCGACGGTATCCTTGCCCATGAGCATTGTGCAGTAGCACATCGCCGCATTGCCCGTTTTCTAGAATCGCACAGTGAGCAGTGAGTTTATCCCGCGCTGTGGCAAATAGTAGGCGAAATCGACCGACCATGCTGTTCTTGACCCACTGGAACGGCTCGTCGGCACCGCGCTCGATCACCGCTTTCCATGCGGCGGCTTTACGTTTGAACCCGGCTCCGGGCAGCCACGAAGGTACGTACTTGACTACAAGTATTGGTGAGTCTCGAGCTGCATGCAGAAGTCGAATCGAGATGATGCTTACGGAAAGGGAGGACGTCCACCAACCACACGCCCGCACCCGCAGACGCGATGTGGTTCCCGAGCAGATCGAGCGTCTCCTCGGCCCTCTTCAGCTGGGGATCGTCATCCGTTGTGACCCGGTAGCCATACACAATCGACAGCGTCTGGCTGCCCGAGAACCTCTTGATGTGGTTCATGTAGTTCTCCGGGGTGTCGATCAGCCGCTGCAGAAACGCGTACGTCTCCGCCTGCAGCAGCGGGCGGTAGCTCGGTATGTTCCCAGACCCGAGCGCACTCTGCATCAGCCGCCGCAGGCGGCGAAAGCCGTCACCGTACCGCGCGAACGCGATCTGCAGATTGGTGCGCGATACACGTTAGTTAGACTCGTCGCTCGCCTGCAGTGATCTGCAGCGCTCGGCTCGCTACGCACGATGTTCTCACAGCCGCACCTGCCAGTGGCAGTGCATACGACAATGTCAGAAGCACTGATTTTGAATTGAATTCGGGTAGTGGGGGGAGAAGACGTACAGTTCGGCACACATGACCATGCGCGGCTTGTCCGAGTAGATCGGTCCGCGCTTCTCGAGAAGATCGGCAGCGGCATCGAGCGTGTTGAGGAAGAGGACGCCCCGGCCGAACAGATTCAGGTATACGACATCCCCTGGTGGTATGCGGGATCAGCATGCGGTCACGAATAGAGCGGGGTAAAGCGGGTACCATACTGATCCGCCCAGGCTGTGGCGCGGAGCCAGAGTCGCTGGAAGCTGAAGTCGAGCAGGTTCCCGATCAAGGGGAGAGGTCTGGGACCAGGAGGTGTGTTCTTGCGTCGCTGTAGCGAGCCCACCCATGCAATCAAGGCGGCTGCTGCAAGCAAGAGGAGGGTAGATAACATGGACATCGAGGAGCGGGTTCGGGGTTACATTCGGTAAGGGGCAGCGGGGCTCGTCGGCAGCGCAGATATAAGTAGAGCCGCGTCATGCGAATGGAATATGACCATATTGCGCACATACCAGCGGCCCGTCGTGGGGGTTCGCTTCGAAGATCCTTATGGGCCGGAGGCACCCGAAAAATGTCATTGATGGCTGCTGCGAAGCGACTGCCATTGGGTATGATCGCATACGGTCCTCTGGCGGAGGATGTAGAAGGCTAGTGTGGGCCCGATGGGGCGGCATGCATGGGGATAATGAAATGAAAAGCTCCCATGGAAGTTGCAACGACACATCGAGGGTTCGTTCTCCCCCCGCGGTGTTTACGTGCTACACCGAGCGTCCAATCTGGACCGTCAGACGGGGGTCAGCATGGTGTTTGAGGAACACGAGATATGAAGCTCTTACCCGAGTTACGGCAGAAGAAGCATCACTGCGTTTCGCCTATCACTGGTATTGTATTGCACCCGCAGCGGCGGAAACGCACGGATAGCCACTGGCCCTCTCTCTGGTCGGCGGTCGCCACGATAGGTTGTGTTACTGTGGTTTCCAGCACTTGGCAACAGGCAGTTATTGGTAAGTTGCAGAGAAATTAGAGACCTGGAGGTGTGCGCGACGGAGCGCGTGTGCCAGTGTCTCCTTTTTTCATCGTCCGGAAGACAGATTCGGTCACTACTTGAGACGCCGTACAACGCCGAAACCAAGGATGGACCTCTGATGATCGATAAAGCTGAAGGCCCAGTGTTATGCACCACGCTTTAGAAAGGAGAGCCAGGGAGAGCCTGAGTACTGAGTGCCGAGGAGACTCCGTATCTTCTTGGCGCAATACTCGTTCGCACTCCGACCAGACATTGAGCAACGCTGGGCTACTAGATATTCGAACTCCGATTACCTGGTTTAAGAAGCTGCGGAGAAGACGCAATTAATCAAGGACCAGACACATACCTACACCAGAGAAGTTCATTCCTACAGCAAAGAATGCGACTTGAAAACCTCGTTAAGCCAACACAATACAGACCACAGGACCCAAACCAGCTGAAAGGGCACCTTGGATACACTCATACTCCCTGTCGACGTATGGTTCCGGTAGCCTTTCACCACAGCGCGCGCACAGATTTCAGACCGTGGCCGTCCCGAAAGTTCCACGCTTGTGCACCCCTTGCTCCGCACCGGCGTCCTGTTTCGTGTCGCTGCTCGCGCTACTGTCGTCTTCCCTGTGGAACACCACCTCGCTCAACTGCGTCTGCAGCGGCCCCGTCGCGAACGCGAGCTGCCAACACATCCGGTCAGCTATCTACCCTGTGATATGTTCCGAATGCTGCCGTTCGAACACTCACCGATGTCATTGCCAGAGCGTCGCGTTTGGCGGGGCTGGCGGGGCCTTTCTCGCCAGCATGCTGCATGTGTCCGCCTATATCCGTGTCGTCCATGTTTCCGGCGTCGCGCGCGAGCTGGCGCGTGTTGAGACTGTGTGAGGGATGTCGAAGTAAGTCTGGGAGGATCGAACTGCGCACATATGGCTACTTACGCTACGAGGAAGGAGCTTGTATATGCTGGCAATGTATGGCAAACGTCTGATGAGATGAGGAAGATCTAGCGTGAGACGATTTGCGCACCAGCTTGAACGACCATCGAGGCAGGGACGAACAGGGCATTGTGGGGATCATGGACTGCCTGTCCACGAACGAGACGTCAGCAGAGTATGATGGAAATCCAGGAACTATCGGAAGCTCACTAGGATCAGGCTCACGATGTTGAGCGCACTGCGGCATAGTTGCCACACAAACGTCAGGTACGTGCGGCGTCATTACTGCAGTCCAAGGACCGTACCAGATGAGTGATCCTGCGATCAATACTCAGATGAGTTTCCGACGCGCCGATGGAAAGAAAGTGCATACCAGAGCTAACGGTGTATGCAATGAGAATGTCCACCATAGAGTTAGTGCTGGGGATATCGTCAGAAAGATGGACCAGATTGCTACGGCAGACGAAGACATACCGCCGTACACCGGTGCGATTCTTATATAGGTAGTAGACCAGCACGCCAGAGAGCTGCAGATCTCCCGCTACGAGAAGCGCACTTCCCACAGTGGGTTGCCACTGCACGCAGGGTGGTGGTCAGTACATGGTATGCTACATCTCAAAATAATTGGTACTTACGCCGCCGAAGGTAGATTGCGCCTGGGCGGTGGTCGTGGTGGCACTGTGGTTAATTGTGATCTCCATCAGTGGGACAATACTTTATTTTAGGATGAGAGGTCACGCACGCCTGGACGGTCATAGCTAGTGACAGATATCGGTGAGTGCATGCTTGGGATTTACATCGATACACGCACGGATGAAGAAGCCTTGATAATGTGGCATCAGTAACGTTAGGTATCAATGAGCACTAACTTCCAAGTGCCTACCAACAGACGCTACAATCAACGTCATCTATAACAGGGAACGCGCGATATCAGGACCGCATGCGCAAATAAGAGAACTATGCATACAGCGAATATTGCGATAATCCGGTGGTAGCGTCCCACTTTGGAGGTTGCCCGTCAGCAAGGGATAGGTGAGCTCCTTCGATACGACATACACATATAGACGCGGCGTGCAAAGAAGCTGGTTCGGTTCGTATAAAGACGTCAACGCAATATTCTTGAGTGTGATCTGAGGTATTTGAGAACAACTACTCACCTTTCCGATACAACATAATTGACAGGCTGTAACAACGCATAACTTTGAGCTATCGCCCGGAAGTCTGCTGAACATCCAATAACTTACTCCGAGGGTTGGTATGATCTTATGGCAAGGTATTGGTGGTGAATGTCAACGGCGTGCTTACGACAGGATAACATAACATACCGTAGAGGTCCTGCGGAGGACAGCGTCAGAACGGAGGATGTCTTCGCTGTCAGATTGGGGAGAAAAACTTACCAGACAGCCTTCTTCAGGAATACGAGCGGGTCGAGATAGTGCGTGACTAAGTGATAGTAGCTATCCTGGAATAAGTCGATCTGCGCAAACGCCAACGAGTGGTATGCATCCTACCAAACATGCATTTCCAGAGCGGTGGTCAGAAGCTGCAAAAGGCTGCAGACGTGATTTAGGAAACGAGTAAGATCGGTGGAATCATTGTTGCCGCTCACACCGCTACCGTAACCTGGCGGGAAATAGATATCAACAGACCTGAAGGGAGCGCATGACACATAGGAGGAGGGAGATATTTACCCATGCTTTCATGTACAGGGGGTCTTTCGGGTACAGGCGAAAGTATCGGAGGGTCTGTTGTATGACCATCCCGACGGCGCTGCGGCCACGTATCGACTGAGTACATCAGTAGCTCATGAACAATCGTGGCAGCTTACAGGGTGGTAATGAAAGCCCCCACGAGAAAGGCGCCGAGCCCCGTCTTCAAAGTCTCGAGATCAGATTCGAACGAGCCACTGAGTGCTGCCATTGGAACTGAACAATGCAGAGCACGAGAGACAGCTGGAGCCCAAACATCTTATAAGCACGGCCATCCGAGAATCGTCCACTGAACGAGCTCAGGGCGGTTCCCTGGCCCTCACGTCTTGACGTGCTGCTGCTCGGGATCATGATGGAGAAGCGCGAGCGGTCCTTGCTTGAGGACGCAGCGCGAAAGGGGTACAATGGCCACCGTCGCGGGCACTCGGAGTGTCTGCTATTCTTAGAGACATGGGCACAGGAGGCCAGGGACGAGGGAACTCGGTGAAAGGTACGGCGCTATTATGAGGGCGGTGCGTGAGTTTAATGAGATCATCCGTACGTCGAATGGGAACAACCTTTACTTGGCGGAACCTGGAACGCTTGCTGTACGTGCATTTCAAGTAGGCAGTGCCCCGAGCTTGACCCAGCGATGCCGAGGATGACCGCAGAAGCGACTCAACCTGTCAAGGCATTACCAATCGCTCGTCCAAGTGGGCCTTCGTGCGTGGAGATTGAAGGACATTGACAGGCACCAAGATGATCATATCAAGAGGAACCCGACGGCGTGGTGATATTTGACAATCTTCCAGTCTCCCGGCACTTGATGGGACTTCTGTGCGCAGCTGCGAAGTCGTTCTCTCCAACAATCAGGCCAGTACTGTCGGAGCACAGGCTATAGTGGGAGAACAGACGGTGAAGCGAGTCGAGTTGGCATCGCGAGATTCTCGGAGGCTCCCAGTCCGGCGCGCCGATACTAACCGCTTTCCCACGGTTGTTTATCCCTTCTCCACGAAACCATATGCATGAGGACCCTCTCGCGCACATTTACGAGCAGCGTTTTGCTGAGAATCATCCTGAATGAGGGCGGTTGGGGGTAGCTCTGATACTTTATCACGCAAGCGCTGCTTAAGCTAAGTATCGCCAATTGAACACATACGGAACCATCGGCTGGGTATTGCGGTACTTCTACCCTGTGACGTGCAGCCTCCACCCAAACAGATCGGGGAATTACAGGTATTCATAGTGGCCGTCAAATCCAACGCCGCATGCGTATTAGACCGTCACAGTGCCGAACGCTGCTCGCTTGTGCACGCTTCCAGCGAGCTCGTTCTTCTCGAGGTCTTCCGACTTCCCCGCCGTACTGTTCCCGCCCGACTCGTCCATATCGCTCGTCTGAGTACCCGACGGGTGCGTGGCGAATGCAATCTACAGAGCGTCAGAGAGCCTGCACGCACTAGACATGCAAAAGGGGCATACCGATGGCAGCTCGACCTGTTTGACGCGCGGGGCCGCGGCGGCGGGGTCACGGTCTGCCTCGCCGAAAATGACTCCGCCCGCGAGGTCTTCGGAGTCGTAGAGCTCTCCACGACTGCGGACCATCTGGCGGGTGTTCAGACTGAACAGAGGCGGCACGATGAGTCCGCGTAAAAAGCGCATGTGCAGATGGCAGACGATGGTAACTCACGCTGCCAGGAACGAGCTGGTGTACACTATTTTCGCGATGCAATGTGGATGGTTCGTCAGAAGGAACCGGAGACCGGATAGAGCTTGGATAGAAACGTACCAGCCTTCACAACCAGTGTGGATGCAGTGTAGATAATGTTGTGAGAGAAGGTAATAGACTGTTCGGCGGAAACAGTCAGCAAGCAATAATTGGACCGCTCTAATCAAGCCGGGGCCTACCATGATGAGACCGACAACGTTGAGGAAGCTAAAATGGGACGATAAGTTCAATGGGTCGTTAACGACCCGTCACAGGTGAACAAGGCGTACCAGACGAGTCCCCCTTAAAACAAGCAGTAGCTGAGTTCATGTGCACACAGTATATGTTACCAATTTAATGCTTACCGGTGCTCATTGTGTAGGCAATGAGTATGTCCAGCATCGAGTTCGTGCTAGATGCATAATGCAAACTTAGTACACAAACTCGGCGATAGGTAGGAACGTTATACCGTCTCAAACCGGTCCGGCTACGATAGAGGAAATAGACGAGCACGACTGTCAGCTGGAAGTCGCTGGCAAGGAGCAATGCGGCGCCGGCGGTAGGCAGCCACTATATGCATGCGAGATAGGTTGAGTACGAGCGTCGTGCATCCAGTTTGGCGAAGTACGTACAGCACCTGTGTTCGCTGCCGTTATGATGTTTGGCAAGGCGAAGCTATAGGCGTGCGTTAGGTTTCCCTAATATAGGCGGGGTGCATAGTCACGCACGCCTGAGCGGCAACCGCTGTCAGGAACCATGCTAGTTAGGCCAAAATATTCGAAATTTGATGGCTTGAACAGAACGCACCGAAGTAGAAGCCTGCTCGGCGGCACGACATGAGTAACAAAGGCACATCCTAGTACGGTACGGCGCTCACCGCAAGACGCCAATATCATGATCATCTGGATCGAGGAACGCGCGCGGTCAGTTGAGTGTTTCAGCCAGGTGAAATATATTCGCTCAGGCTTACGGCGGATAGAGCAATATAGCGATACAGTCGGCCGACTGAAGGGAAAGTTGAGCGAAATATGACGCAAAGCATGGACGGATTATCTTACTCATGTACACGCGGCGTGCGAAATAGCTGGTATATGTTGTCAACGGGCTGAGATGCCAGGAATGCATGCAAGACCTCATGCTCACGCTTCAGCCACGAGGTTGTTTATGGGCTGTAATTGCGAATTGAGCAGGAGGAGAACACTGAGGCGTTTGGAATAAACTCACCCCGAAGATGGGTATCATCTTGTTTAGACGGGTCGTAAGTAGAGCTTGCGAGGACGTTAGGGATATATAGACATACGGCGGAGGTCCTGCAAAAATCAGCGTCAGGGCGAAGTGAAAGTTTGGGCGGTGCCTGTCAATGCTCACCACACATCCTTCTTCGTGAACACGATAGGGTTTAAATAGTATGTGATCAAGTAGTAGTAGCTGATAAAAGGTTAGGCAACCGACGCAACCGTTGAAAGCTACACTTACCCGACATGCATAGAGAATGCAGTGGTTACAAGTTGCAGTAAGCTAGAAAAGTCGCGCAATTAGGTGAGTTATAACGAGCGAATATGCCCGGCGTACACCGCTGAGACGACCTTCAGGAGAACGAGATGTCAGCTGATGACTCTCATACATAATAGTAAATTTTTATCCGCACCCAAATCTTCAGGTAGGGTGGGTCTGACGGATACAGACGGAAGTAGCGGAACATCTGCTGCAAAACCATTCCGACAACCCTACCATGTCATGAGGGCCGTCTTAATGAAAATAATACGAACATACTCCTCTAAACACTTACAAGGTAGACAGGAAGGTCCCCACGAGCCAAGCACCAATACCGGTCTTGAAGGTGTCTAACTCGGCCGCGATGGCGGACAGTGGTAGAGATGACATCGTCGAGCTATGCGCGCAGTGGTCACGGAACCGGGAGTCTGGGTAGCGTTCATCTTATAGTCCTTGTGTGGGCACCCGTGCCGGTCCGCGCTGTGCTCTTCGACGAAGGCCATGGGACCGACGAATGTCCACCGTGGTTCTCGGGCGCCCTCGGCTTCAGTTATAGGCAGGGCTTCGTGATGGGCGACATCACACCCTCGACACAGAGGCACCGAAGAGCCCTCTATAAAAGCGCTTTTGCCAGAAGCGTCCGACGTGTCTCATCCGTGTCGCGACGAGCACACGAATGGTGGAGAACGTGTTTCGGGAAGTCGCGCTGACACGGGCGATAAACGAGCGGTGCTCCTCGCGGAACCAACCGTGGAACGTGAACGTACGGCGTACCTGGGCGTTCATCGCAGTATCTGTAAATCATCTCCTGCGCTTGCTTAGCTAGGAGAGGATTTCCTGTTTAAAAGGTCTTGTCAAGACATAGGCGCGACAATCACTCGCTCTACGATCAGAATGAAGGCGATTGCTATAAAGACAATACGAGGCAGTATGTGATGCAGTTTGACTTGGGCAGGGACCTGATGTGTTGATAGGATCCTCGATGCTCCACGCGTCATTGCTCTGGTAGGTCGTATTAAACGCTATCCGGACATCGTCGGAGTTCTAGCACTGAACCCGTGTCGCATGGGAACGCTTATACATAGATACAGTGCCTGGAAGCTGAATCGTGTCAGACATGACTTGTCCGCCGTGCAATGTGTCGATACGTACTCGGTACCAGTCGGACACTGGCAGTCACCCCGTCGCGCCGCTCTCCCAGTCCTGCACGATCGACGGGTCGGAACAGGTCAATTGAACACCACTGACTGAGGCTGCATTAACGCTGTGTCTTGATTGGGCAGTGGTGGCTCGGCGGAGCTGTTCGGAAAGGTTGTACGGCATGCTTGACAACCGTGAGTATGGTAAGCACAGAGCCCCTAGCGTACCTCTACTCGATCCGTCGAGGCTGTAGCATGCAAATGAATCGTAGCCCGCATAAGGGTGGTGCGGCAGCGTCTCGATGGAGGACGATGGGAAAACTTGCAAGCTGAACGCTGCGAACTTCCAAGAAGCGAAGCGCCGAGCGGTGACTCGGAAGGATCACACACAGTCACATTGGTCACACTTGCACTGCTTTACTGCAGCGGGCAGCGGAGCGAACAGAACACGCGGCCCGCGTTCCTCTGGCAGCCACTGCGGTCTCATGGCGGCCTCATCCTCCTCTCATGTCCCTCGGACCCATCCAGAGCACATGCTCGTGCTGTGTCATTCATGGGAGGGGACCAAGTGCGCAGGAACGAGTACCAGGTGGCCAATAGGACGACTCGGATGTCCAGACGATTGGTAGACGTCATTGGTCACCATTTAGTCGTGAGCTACGGCGAGTCGAGACATCGAATCCTCTAGTGATAGATCCGCTCACTTCGCGCGGGACCCGTTCATTGTCCAACGAGGGCGCCCTTGATGTGCTTACAAGTTACAGACATCTAGGAACTGAAGCCGAGCGGGCGGCCGCGGGCGTTCCCTATTTGAAGTTTCTTGATGTGTATTAATGCCTTCCATTTCACACGCCCGTACAAGCTGGCGCACCTCCAATACCTCTAGCCGCTCGCCTCAGTTCTGGTCGTCTACGCCCATCTCTCTAGGACAAATGGTACACCTCACCGATGCACTGTCATGGATACTCGGAGCCATAGTCGTACGTATCGTATGGCGTAACTGCATCAGTGTGTATATATCTCCTCTGCGCACCCTCCGCGGCCCTCCATGCCCTAGTCCGTTCTACGGGCATGTACGCCAGATTTTTAGAGCCGGGAACTCCCACATCACTGTGCAGATGGTAAAGGAGCATGGGAGAAATGTGTTCTGTCGATGGTTGTTCATGGTAGGAACCTAGCAAGGCGTTACTGGAGAAACGTGTCTGACAGCTCACCTTCGTGAATAGGTCCCGTGTTTGTGGACAACGGATCCCCAAGCCATACGGCATGTCTTGCAATCAGGCATCTATACCAAGCCTTGGGAGTTCCGAATACCTGCCGCGCGTGTTGTCGGTAACAGTTGGTATATTTTTACTTGGATAACTGACTTCTGAGCTGACGTGTTCAATCGTCCTGTAGGCGTTTTGGTAGCTGAAGGTTTGCGTTTTGACCTTCTTGAAATATCTAACACTGATATTCATCACATTGTCAGGCGACAAGCACAGAGGGCAGGTTAGTTTGTGCAACACCTCACAGCCACTGTTTGCCGCCATGTCTAACATCACCTGGCCTTATAGAGGACAATCATGGTACGCACAACCAGATTTCAAGTCGCTCAAGAGCGATAACCTAAACACGCGTCTCTCAGAACCCAGCATTCGGCCCGGCCCAAATACGAGAGCTAGTGCAGATATTCGTCGAAAAATCCGCCCAGGTAAGTTCTGTTTTTGCCGGCTACAACATCCTACAACGACTGATTGCCTCGCTGGCAGCTGAGAGACGTTTGGGTAGCCGAAATTGCTGCACAAGGCGGGTGTGCTCGCGTAGATGTCGTGAACGACCTGAAGAAGATGACCCTCGACGTGATCGGCCTCGCAGGTCAGTCGCCCGTATGACCACATACCGTCTCCTGGCCCCACTACTGACTACAATGGCGACTTGTAGGGTTCGGCTACGAACTGAACTCTCTCAGTACGACCGAGAAGCCGAACGAGCTCGCACGGGCGTTTCATCATATCTTCAATGCTACGCCGCCAGTGTCTATCTATCGCATAACCATGGATTTCCTTCCATTTCTGGATTTTTTCGTACGTCTTGTTCGAAGGAGGCTTACCTCATGTTACGGGCGCGAGACTCATGCGTGCTCGCTATGTACCGCCAGCCTGATGAACGCACAAAGACGATCAGGGAAGCGCACGTCGTCATGCGCCGCATCGGAACTGAGCTCGTGCGCGACAAGAAAGCTGCGGTCATGCGCGAACTGAACGACCAGAACGGCGGTGTGGAGAAGAAAGACGTGCTCGGTCGAGACCTGCTGTCGCTCCTCATCAAGGCGAACATGGCGACGAACATCCCAGAAAACCAGCGCCTTACGGACGAGGAGGTCCTTGCACGTACGCACGCCTTCTCTATAACCCCTGTCATACTTTGTACACTGAACACACTATGCTCGGATTGCAGAAATACCGACGTGCGTCACCCGCCGTGCTCGTGATTCCTAAAACGTGTTTCGCTAACGGCTCATGACCCGTGCAGGTTCCTCGTGGCCGGGCACGAAACCACCAGCACGGCAGCAGCATGGTGCCTCTACGCCCTCGCGCAGAACCCCCGCGCGCAGCAGAAACTCCGCGAGGAACTGCTCAACGCGCAGACGGAGTCCCCATCCGCAGATGAGCTCGCGGCGCTCCCGTACCTTGACAACGTCGTGCGCGAGTCGTTGCGACTACACGCCCCCGTCGCCTTCATGCTGCGCGGGGCGGAGCAGGACAATGTCATACCAACTAGTGCGCCGTTCGTCGACCGCAATGGGATGACTCAGAATGGGATCCGGTAAGCAGTCCGGTGGCGTTTGCTTTGGTTGTGGTTGGGAGCTGACGTATGCGGTGATATCTCACCTCATCCCCGGACCGCACAGTGTCGGGAAGGGGAACCGCGTCATCATGTCCATCCTCGCGCTGAACCATTCCACTGAGTTATGGGGCGACGATGCGCTCGAATTTAGGTAAAGACCCACATCACCCAACATTTCCGCATTCCGCGCCCTGACATCACGCTCCATCAACAGACCAGAGCGCTGGGAGAACCCCCCTGCAGACATCTCGAACATCCCCGGTGTCTGGGGCCACATGCTCACGTTCTCCGGCGGTCCGCACGCGTGCATCGGCTTCCGCTTCTCCGTCGCAGAGTACGTGTCCTCGTCCACCCCGCCATGCGCTGTCGCTGACGTTCACGATCGTACAGACTCAAGGCCCTCATATTCACGCTTGTGCGCGCACTCACGTTCGAGTTCGCGGCGGACCCGGAGGACGTCACCAGCGTCGGCATGTTCACACAGCGGCCGGCGTTGCGCAGCGAGGTCAAGAAGGGCGCGCAGCTGCCTTTCTTCATACGTTCATACGTCCCCGCCTAACGCACTCGTGCTTGATGTATCGCACTGGTTACTATCATATAGAGGTCGAGCGCACTCAGCGCGCATTTTCATCTTGGAACTTGTGGTCATACAGACGGGGGTCGTTACTCGCGAGCACGATGATCGCAATGAGGTCGCTCACGAGCAGCAAGCGGTAGGTTACAAACAGTATAAGAGAGCGCAAGCAACAGAACATCGAACGTATCAACAACACAACACGAGCCGCAAGGGGCTCCAGCGCACTACCCAGGCGCCTTTCACACCGCCGCGCCCCAGACGCGCACCTCCCTGCCCGTCGCGCCCCAGATCTCGGACCCGTCCGCGGCGAACGCAAAGTCCGCGACCTCGCCGCCCTCCTCGAAGCGCACGAGCTCCTCCCACGTCTTGTGCGCGAACACGCGCAGGCCCTCGCTGCCCGCGACGCCGAGGAAGCCCGCGCTCGCGTCGTACTTGACGCGGTGCACGCGGAACGCGTCGCCGAGCGCGATCGACTTCGCGACCTTCGGCTTGCGCAGGTCCCACACCGCGACGGACGCGAGCGAGTCCGGCGCGGCGAGATGGTACCCGTTCTCCGAGAACGAGAGCGTGTTCACGGTGAAGGGCGCGGCGCCCTCGGGCTGCAGCGACGCGGCGACCGCGCCGGAGCGGATGTCGAACACCTGGATCGCGCCGCCGGGCGTGCCGACCGCGACGAGCGTGCCGTCGGGGTGGATGCTGAGCGAGGTGAGCGGCTCGTCCGCCTCGGGCGAGCGGAACACCTGGCTGAACGTCGTGAGGTCGTGGAGGGACCATGTGCGGTCAGTCGAGCCGAGCGCGAGGAGCGACGATGTGGGGTGGACGACCAGGCCGGTGAGCTCGCCCTTGTGGGTGCGGATCGTTGCCTTCGGAATGTACTCGCCAGATGCGGAGTCGTGTGCCCAGACCTTCGCAATCTTGTCCGCACTCGCGGAGAGGACGAGCGTCGGGTCACCCTCGCGTTCGCGGAAGGCAACGTGCGTGACCTTTTTCGTGTGGCCCTTGAGGGTGGCGAGAACCTTGTCCGTGCTCCTGTCATAGAGCTGCACAATCTTGTCGTTCCCGCCGGTGAGGAATTGCTCGGGGTTCGCGGTTGAGACAGCCAAAGCGGTAATGCCAGCGGGGGACGGGGAGTGGAGGGAGGGGATGGTATGCTTGCCAGTGTAGCCCTTGACGTCCGCGGCAGTCGCGTAGCCTTCGGGGGCCTTGCGCTTCTTGCGCAGTGCAGAGAGCTTCTGGTGCGTCTCGTCGATTTGCTTGAGCGTGTCTGCGGGCAGACCACCAGCCTCTTGCGCCGCCTCTCCCATGTCAACATCACCTTGCGAAGGCACCTCCACGTTCATAGTGGCTGCAACACTACTGAGCGCTCTGTACGACGAAAAGGAAAAGGTCAGCGGCGTCGTTGCGAATGCAAGTAGGGGATGACGCACTCCCGGGCAGCGTCACGCTCCTTGAGGAGACGCGCCACGACGCGTTGGGCCGCGTCCTGTGTATAGAGCGCATAGCTCAGTTCTTGGCGCAGCGAGTTGTATTGCTGCCTGAGCGCGAATGTCTCGAGCATTGCCGCGTCCCACTCGTTTTGCAGGGTCTGAAGAAGAACGGGAATAGAGGTGGCATTTGGCGGCCGTGGGGGCGCGGACTTCGGGTCTTAAGCGGACGCGCTGCTTCAGTATACAAGATAAAAAAGAGAATATATTACTGTACGCACTGGCTTTTACACCGATGAGGTCGCTCTCCTCGAGCTTCTCTCCGGTAATGGGGTCCGTGCCATTCTCGTTGATGTACTTGAGGATGAGCCTCCGCTCGTAGACATGGCCAGACTTTGTTGACACAACAGGGTCCAGCGGGGGCTCTCCAGATATGGAGCAGAAGAAAGACATCTTGACGAGCAAGGACGAGGCAGCAGCGGGAGTGGGCACCGAGCACGAGCGCGGGTGGGGTGAACCAGTGAGGTTGGGAAGCGCCCGCCCCTCCAGCACGCAGATTGTTGGCCTAGGCGCCCAATAATGTTTGCGGTTGTTGGTGCGAGCGCCTGCGCGGCCCCGTCCTCGACCTGTCCGCCCACCGCCATGTCGAACAAGCAGCGCCTCGTGCTCTCCGTCATCGACTTTCTCAACCAGTCTATCCAGGATGGAACCGTCAAGCAGGACGACAAGGAGAGCTTGGAGGTAGCCAGTGCGTCGCGCGGTTTTTCGCCCGCCCGGAACGCGCGTATATTGACTGATTTGCCCCCTCTGCTTGCGCAGTCCAATGTATCGGCGAGGCTTTCGGCGTCGACCCCACCGACGACGCGCAGGTCAACCGCCTCTCTGTCAAGCCCGCGAACCTACTCTCTATCTTTGATGTCTTCCTGAAGACCAAGGACAAGCTCGCGACGCCGGGCGCGGCTGCGGCCGCGGCCGCATCCACCTCTTCGTCCAGTGCTCCGACTGCCTCGGACAAGGCCACCGCGGAGAAGCACAAGGCGACCGGAAACGCACATATGTCCGCGAAGAAGTATGACGATGCGATCAAGGCGTACGGCCAGGCGATTGCGCTCGATGGCTCTAACGCCGTGTACTACTCGAACCGCGCGGCCGCGTACTCGAGTAAGGGTGAGCACAGCTCTGCGGTCCTGGACGCGGAGAAGGCGATCGAGGTAGACCCTACGTTTGTTAAGGCGTACCACAGGCTAGGGTGCGTAGTTCCGTCCACACAGCACTGATGCGAGCAAAAGGCTGATATCTGGTTCTCAAAGACATGCGCACTACTCGCTCGGCGACTACAGGGAAGCCGCGTCGGCCTTCCGCCGCGGCCTCGAAATCGACCCATCCAACGCGTCGCTCAAGGCCGGTCTCACGAATGCCGAGGCGCGCATCGTGCCCGAGGAAAACTACGACGACATGCCCCCTCTCGAGCCCGCCCCCACAAGGGGTGCGGCAGCCGCCTCCACAGATGGTGCTGTTGGAGCGGGCGCGGCTGCCGGTGCCCCCGCGGGCATGGCAGGCATGGCCGACATGCTTCGCAATATGGGCATGGGCGGCGGGGGCGCGGGCGGTGCGGGCGGTGCGGGCGGGATGCCCGACCTCGCGGGCCTCATGAACAACCCGATGATGATGCAGATGGCACAGCAGATGATGCAGAATGGCGGCCTCGAGCGCCTCATGCAGAACCCCTCGGTCGCAAACATGGTGCGTCCTTCATGGCGCATCCGCTTCTGTGTCCTGACTTCCTGTTGTACTTGTAGATGAACCAGATGCAGTCGGGCGGCGGCATGCCGTCCATGGCGGACCTCATGAGCGACCCCAGCCTTCGGGACCTGTGAGTGTTGGCTTTGCTAAGAAGTCGCTGCATACTGATGCCCTCGTAGAGCGGGTCAATTCGGTGCTGGTGGCGCTGGCGCTGGCGGTCGCTAAGAGTATCGCAGGAGCACAGAACGTATTCACTGAAGATGTTTGTATTCTGGTTTGACGGCTATCCTGAAGAAAATCATAGCTGTTGTTACTTCATTTCGTGGTCATGTCTCGAAGACGCACACAGCCTCTACGGGTCCTTACCGAATGGAAATGGCAACGCAGCTTCACACAGGTAAGAATTAGCATCCCTGTTAACGCCTGTGGACAGATAAGGCAGCAGTGCTCTCCGCCCTGCATTCCGCAGCCACCATGATCATCATCATCCTAGAAAAAAAAGGAAGTGCTCCAGCTGAAGACCCGCTACGGCCGCATCTCTCAGTCGCCTACGACGTCCCCATCGTGTAACGAGTCCCAGTTCATCTCGGGCAGGAAGTCCACATCTTCAATCTAACATCATGCGACGGTCTCTTCCCCGAAGCCCCAGAAGGTCACCCCCCGCGATACGTCGGGCACGACTCGAATATCCGGGGCAGGGTTGTGGGGATACGGGCCATGGAGAAGAGCACAACCGAGTTCGTGGTGCGGAGCGAGTCCGAGTGGTCGAAGGACGCATACGCCTACCTTGCGGTGTCGCACGTTCAAGGCAAGACTCTCAAGATCAGTCGCTGGAGAACCTTCCTTCGCGCCACGATCTTGCACCCGCGCTACGACACTAGAAAAATCCCTTTGGAAATTGGAGCGATCGTGTACAGGAGGTGTCACTACACGGAGACGAGGAGGACGCGATCGCACATGGGTAGTCTAGCTATAGTGGTCTCAGGGAGAAACCTGGGACGGTTAGACTGGCACGTCGGACACCGGAGGTTGTGGTAGAACGGTTAACTGTGGAGGGTGTCAGCGCTTGTCCATCAGCAAAAGGGGAGATTCGATGCAGCAGGCGAGAGAGCGAGATGGAAGCGGCAGAGCGATAGAAGCGCCCGCCGCCTGCGCGGAGGGATGGCAATACCCTCCAAGACGCTCTAGCAATTGGTCGTGCACCGCGAAGCATTGCATCTTACAGTCGGCCGATATGTTCACTTGCAGTAGGCTGCACTACGACGTCGTAGACGGATTGTATCTGCAACCCAATATATATCATATATTTCTCCTACAGCGCGGAGGTTCAGCCTGAGCGAGCTCGACTCTCTCCGTTAGCGTCACTTTTGTGCACCGATTTGTTTTATTATAGCGGCGCGAACCCTTCAGCTGCGAAAACCTCGTCGTAGTAGTCCTCTTCGTCCTCGTCCCACGTTTCCCCGTCCCCAAGGGCATCCGCCTCGTACTCATCCTCACCCGCATCCGCGGTGTACTCGTCCTCGCATGCGTCCGCCTCGTACTCATCATCATCCCCGATGGCGTACTCGTTCTCCTCGCCGACATCCCCATCAATCGAGTCCTCACCATCCGCGTCCTCGTCCAGGCTCTCGTCGTCGTCGTATTCTTCCGCTTCATCCTCGAACTCCTCGAGGGGCTCCAGCTGTTCCTGACGACGCGATGTTGTCGCACGTGTTTCCCGTTGCGAGTATGGAGGTCCGGATCTCCCACCACGCGCGACACCGTGATGGGATGTGTTGGTGCCATTGCGTGTGCGTGCGCCTTGAGGACGGTCGTGAGGCGCGCGGTCGTCCGAGTCGTGCGCGCGGTCCAAGTCGTGGCCGTCCGCGTAGTCGTCTCGTGTACGCGCAAGGCTGTCGTCCTCGTGGTCATCGTCTGGTGGCGGACTATCGTCGCGATCCGCTGCGCTACCGTCGTCGGACAAGTCTTGATCAGCGGCGGGTTCGGGCTGCCTCGGCTGGGTCCACCGGTGGGCATGCTGCTTGGATGTCTCGATGTCGACGCCGCTCTCGCGGTGTCCAACGCCGCCGCCCAGATATCGCATGTACATATCCCTATCAGCGAAACTGCAATACAGTCATTAGCACTTAATATATGTGTCAGCATCGACGAGCAACTTACAAGCATGCATAATAGTAATTGTAGTCTTCGCCCTTGTCCGAGGCCCGCCTTGCGAGCTCCGAAGGACCGAGGAGGTCGCTGGTAGTGCCGAGGTCGAAGACTGGCACAATGAATGCTGCACGAAGGACTTCGTCGGGGTCGACGAAGCCGAACGGACTGATGCTCGAGTCCGCACCATCCAGGAAGCGTAGGCGTGGTAGTCGGCGACCTTGGAAGCTCTCGTCTTCGTCTAGAGTGAGCCAGCGTACCCACAAGAAGTTCATGCGGTGGAACTTGCGTGTGGAGCGCGTCGCTCCCGGGCCTGTGTAGCGGACGTTGGCGTGGAAGATGTCGATGACGCGAGCGTACAGGAAGGGGTGGGTGTCCGCATCGGGGGCATACATCATGATGTCGGAGTGGGTGCGGGGATTGACGACGTCTTGGTCGCGGCGCATGTCGTACGTGGTGTAGTTGATGCGGAGCATCTTGTGTCGATACATGCGGTCGTTCTCGATCTCGATGCCATCCAGTTGCTGATTGGTGTACTGTGGGCCGTCGTCGCTGCCGCCGTTTGGGTCTGGGTCGAGCAATCTGCTGACAAGATGTTCACGGAGGATAGGAATGAAATCCTATGTGCCATCAATCAGCTTCGGAAGGGTGCGCACTAGTCGCGCGAAGGCTTACGGTGACAGCTGGGTCTGCGTCATGCGTTGCGACCCAGTCGCGAAGCCGTATCGGAAGTCGACGCGAGTCGGATATCGCGTAGTGGTCGAGTGGGTCTGTGGGAGGTAGGGGCGGTTCGGGGCGGTGGTCGGTGGCTTGCCCTCGAGTCTCTGGTGCTGAGGCTACGGCGGATTTTTTTGTGCGCGCATCCCGTCGCGCCTGTAGTTGCAAACGGCGCGGCGTGTAGTCGTCTTGCTCTCGCAGCGCGCGCATGAGCGCTGCGCGTCGCTGATGCTTCGCAATCTGCAGCGCGTACCGGATCTTGTTGGTACGCGCGTAGAATCGTTTGACATGTCGGTGCTCGAGCTCCCCCTGAGTGCGAGTCAGTACAATGCGTGGATCTCAGGAAGGCGCTTACCACTTGGGTGTTGGTCGTATCGGTCGTGCCAATCTCCTCAATGGAGTCCGGGTAGTCAGGCAGAAAGTGGTACTTCGGAGTGTTGAGGGTATTGAAATGCACGACCTTACGTTGACGGTTCGGTGGCGGACCATCTGGCTTTTTCTCCTCGCGGCGCACACGAGCGTCCACCTCCTTGTCCAGCTCGTGGGTCTCGTAGTTTTCGCACGTGGTGGCTGCGAAGCTACGCATCGCCTCGGTCATGTGGCCGGTAGCTGCTCGGAAGATATCCAGCGTGACTTCCGTGTGGAGCTTGAGCTTTGCAAGGGCGTGCCAGTTCGCAAGCTCGAACAGGAGGTCGAGGACGTTCTCGTTATCCCCAAGAGGCAGGAGACCTTCGAAGGCCGGAATCATGCACTGATGGCCGCGAATGTTGTCAGCATCACTGTGCATCGTAAAAACAGGGCACTCACGATGAGAAAATCCTCGTAGTCACGCGCGGCCAGCTGCTTGCGAGACGATACATCATCGAAGAACTTGCGTATCTTGTCCCGCCCGAACGTCGGCATGTTGCGCATCCTATCGCGTATGTGAATATTAGTTCGATGCGCGCATAAATAGTGGTATAGTACACGTACCGCCGGTTGAACTCCTGGACAACGTCTTCGCCCTGTGCCGAAAGCAGCCGCATCAAGTGGATGAAAGTTCCCTTCCAGACGCCGAGCTCAAACTCGTGCATGAGGTCGGGGACAAATAACTCGTAGAAATTCATTCCGAACTTCGCGAAGCGCGCCGAGAAGGCGCTCTGTGCAGAACGTTCAGACATTGGATATCAGTACCAAGGAAAGAGCGGGCATACCTGTATCGGGTTCAGTGATTGCGAGTCAAGCTTCTTCTTGAGTTTCTTGCTCGACAGGGCGACGCCTTTCTTGAACACGAGGGCGCGGGCGCGTGCAATATGCCGGCGGACGTCTGAGGTGTCGGTGCGCACTTCTGCGCGGCGGATAGCGTCTTCGGGAGTTCCTGCATCGCAGAGGTCGTCGTGGTGGATGAGACAACGGGGGCAGGGGTGGTTGGACAACGGCTTAACCGCTGTCAGCAGCATCCTAAGTCAGCAGATGAAGCTTGATCAGAATCGTCTAATATGGCTGACGAAGACCACTTACTTCTCGGGGTAGTCGGCAGAGTATGATAATATGCGGGGGAATATCCTCCGGACTACGCCATCACCGCACGTCACAAGAATGCCATGTTCATATGCGGTCATGAACTCCTTATCAAGGAGAAGCAGCCATATCCTCTGTATAAGCTCTCTCTTACAGAACGTGAGGACATCCTTCGAGGGTGATGTCCCGTACTCGCTTTTATAAGCGTCCTTGATCTGGTCGGGCAGCTGAGCAGGATATATCAATATATATCAACGTTTGGAGCACACATTTTGGCTCACCGAAGGTATGTAGGCTAGATGGTGGGCGGCAAACTGCGTCGGCATCCCACGGATGTATTTCGACAGATTGCCGAGATACAGGTAGATCGGCCACAGTCCCGCTGACCCGAAGCTCGTAAGGTGGGTCTCGTCAGACCACAGCATGATGGAGGCGATTCCATACTCCACAGAAGCGTCGTCCGCGATGTTCCTCGGCTGTGCTTGAATTTTGGCGAACTCTCGAAGCATTCGGTCCGCGTTGTAGACGTCGGTGATAACTCGAATGGGAGGGGAGGAAGGGGTGCGACTAGAGGACGACGAGGACGTGTTTTGAGAGCTCTCGGAAGGGGGTTGCGAGCGCGACGGAGGCGGGGGAGTCCAGAACAGCGTGTGAGGGGACCAATGATATTGTTTGGAAAAGCGCTTGTCCTCGGCAGCCCCACGGATGATCTCGGTTATGCTGCGATAATGTATGCCGTCAACCTTGAACTTGGGCGCGAGATCCTCGGACGCGTGCTTCTCCCTCGTCTTGGGAAGCGGAATCTCCACCGACCCTTCCCGCCAGCCATCAGCTGCGGAGAAGATGCCCTTTGGATGTTCGTAGTCGTCGAGTTGCTTCTGAGCGCTGCCTGAGCTGAAGCCGGCCAGATCAGACAACGAGAAGCCGTCAGAGCCTAGCACATGCAAGATATCGTCGAAGTCGGCCATAGACTTTGTAAGCGAGGCGTTGTAGAACCAGTCGTACAGGCGGAATTGCGACTTGTTGGCAAACGGCCCAATGACCGACTCCAGCGGAGCTCCCGGTGAATGCGCAGGCTTGTCGGGCCCGTCGTTACTGTTACGTGTGAGCCAAAAGAGGCTGGCGTACCGAAGGTTCGGATCGTCCGCCTGGTCCGGCCCTTTGTCCAGTGTCGGCGCATCACAGACAGACGAGAGAGAGATGTCTGCCTCAGGGTCCCGCTGGACAGCGGCAGTGTACTGGCGAAACAGGCCGAATTTGTTGGGCGGTGTATTGAAAAGGTCGCGGGGTGGCCCAGCCTCGGGGTCTTCCACATCCTCGACTGTGGGAGAGGCGTACCGAGGAGGAGAAGGTGATGGGTCGGGGAAGGCATCGGCTATATGCGCCGGTAAGTCGTCCTTGGTCGTCGGAAGAAAATCGACTAGATGTTTTGGTACGCGAAGTGTACGAGCGGGGCGTCCCGAGCGAGTATGAGGGATGGGAAGAGGGCTGGGAGGTGCGGGAGCAGGGCTGGGACTCGGAGATGCAGGTGGTGGTGGTAGGACCTAGGTATATGCGCCCATTTATGGGCTTAAGAAAATCGTAAAAAAATTTGAATAGCTACCTCCGGTTGCCCAACAATATCATCCTCCCTTCTAGCCCGTTTGCGGGCTTGTTCCTCGTCAACGTCTTCAAGTGCGCGTTTTCTGAGCGTATCGGCTATGCCGCCGAAAAGATGCCTGCATTGGCCTTCATGGATTGACAGAGCGCGTGCATCTTCGGCAGTCGTGCCACACTTCTTTGCGGGGCAGCGCAGCATGTTGGGGTACTAGGATGCGGTGAGGAAGACGTGCGAGGGAGAGGATAAGGAGAGTGTATGATGTAGCGCCCACGCGACGCGTCGCGCCTGAGAAGTCCCGGGATCCCGTGACCGCATACAGCCAGTCTCTTGCGGCGCGCGCAGGCTCTGAATCTCTACGCCACCCTTCAAGCTTCCTTCTATAAAAACCCCCCGCCCTGGTCCCTGGCACAAACTCTCCTCTTCCCGCTACCATCACCATCCATCGCCATGCCCTCCGGATTTCCTGGTCTTACACGTGTTGACCAAAAGCCCTTGCGGACCACCAAGGCCAAGGCCCCTCCTCTTACCCCTCCTGCCTCCTCCCCTCCTCGCCCGCCTATTGCCTCACGCTCTCAGCATCGCAACAACGACGCAAAAGGCGCCTTGCGCAAGCCTGCTACCCATAACGCTAAGTCTGCCAAACCTGCATCAAAGCCTGCCGCTACCATCTTGGCACAAAAGCGCCCTGCCACCACAGTGTCGAAGCCCGCCACGCGCTTCGCGTCCATCGAAGCGTCCTCCAGCGATGAGGACGACAACACGGCGGCACCGGTGAAGGCCAAAAAGCGACCTCGCCCCGAGTCAATCAAGGAGCCAGCCTCCGGGGATGAAGATCCGGCACCTGCCAGCATCTCGAAGAAGCCGCGTACGCTCCCGCCTGTGACGCACGATGCTGAAGTGATCCGTCACTTCGAGGTCGTTATGGAGTGCGCGACGTAAGTCTAATGTATGCTGCACGTGCATTATTTATTAACACTGTACATACTAGGCAAAATGATCGCATCGCACATCGCGTTGAGTACCTGCATGAAGCGGCGCGTCTCTTACCGCGCATGGTAGGAGTCGGTGTCGTGTACGTGACAGTACTATCTAAGGGCCTCGCAAGAGAGGGGAGGTACCAAGACGATGACCCGGAAGGAAGCGATCTGTAAGCAGTAGTGCCCGACTATATGCGCATATACTCACATTTAGGACGCATACATCCACCTCCGCATCCCGTTCAGAGTCTGGAACGACTACTGGCAGGTGCAATCTTACTTCGAAGGCATCATGAAGGTATTTCCTGGCTTGGCCGACAACACCGCCTACCTCCGCCAACGTCCCGAGCTTGTCGGAAAGCTAGCATTATGGGTAGAGCATCTGCATGGGTGACGGCGCCGGCAGCTGACTACTTATTTGACAGATGAAGAAAGTTGCGGGGAAAGCCCGCAGTGACGACCTCAACCGTATCAAGGACGTGATACTGGAATGCGCGGACGTCGAGGATCCCAAGGGTCTCAAGGAGAAGAGCGTGCGCGGCTTTAAGCACCCCGAGACCGCCCGCCTCTTGTGCCCTGTCACTAAGCTCAAGAAGTTCGACAGAGACCCTGACCAGTGAGTGCACCGTGTACGATGAACTTTGTCTGACCTATCTGCTCCCGGACAGATTTTGCCGCAAGATTCGCAACATGGATAAGGGCCGGCACCGTGTCAAGGGCCGCAAGTGGCCGCTCGTAATGTACAACATGAAGTTGCACGTTCCGGGAAAACCACTCAGCGGCTTCCTGAAGAGCGACACCGTTCTGCATGTATGTACTATTTCATGCATCAATGTTGTGCTTGCTTGCTGATGACCACATCGTGCAACATAGGCCTTCCAAGCATGCTTTACAGGACCATCTTCGACTGGTGGACGGTCCGGCGGCAAATCCCGAGGCAAGCCTCCGATCTCTCGGAAGTTGACCTGGAGCGGCATCAACATAGTCACCATCGTCTATGTCGCAGTATTGGTCTGTCGTCTCCGAGGCTCTTGATTCCCATGGCCCCTACTGATGGTACCTGTATCCCCCAGGTACGCTTTGCGCTGAGTGACCAGAAGGAATATCACTACAAGGACGGCGATTTCCACGCCAACGACTTCATCTCAAGTGTTCTCACATCTGCGCTGCGCGACCCCGAGTGGCGCGAGGACCTCACCGCATGGTACGAGCGGTAAGCACGGTCACATTGTGTCCCATTCATGTCTGATGGCTCGGATAGGCGTGTGTACGGTAACCAGGCGTGCAGCGATGACGAAGACACCGATTCGGACGACGAGCCCTCATCATATGATCTGATGATGCAGGGGACGGCGGCAGCGATCGCTGCAAAAGAGCGCCGCATTACCCAGAGCCCCAATGCGACTCCGGAGCCTTACCAGGACCCCGCCATCGAGGACCCGCTGGTCAACAGGGATGCCATCGACGAGCTCGCCACCGGCGAGCAGGCTCTTGAGGACACCGCCGGGGACGACTTCTTCGAGCAGGCCAACATCGAGGAGCAAGACGTCGATGTCAAGCCGGGACTCGTTGGGGACTATAGCTCTGGTGAAGAGGATGAGAACGCCTAGGACGCGATCACCACATGTCCCTGGTATGCATGCGCACGCCGCTCTTTGCCTCTCTCGCGCACGCACCGGGCCCGCGCTAACTCGCCCCATCTCTAGCTCTGGTCTCTATCGCATGTGCCAACGAGCAGCCACTGCTATGTCTCTCGCGCGCCCACTCGCGCCCACTCGCGCCCTCTCGCGCCCTCTCGCGCCCACTCGCGCCCTCTCGCACCCTCTCGCGCGCCCTCTCGCTCGCTCGCGCACACGCTTTCTCCGCCTCTCTTGCACGCCTCTCTCGCACGCCTTTCTTGCACGCCACTCTCTCGCGCGAAGTCGACGCGTCTCTAGCCCTGACCCGGTCTCACTCGCCTCGCACCCAGCCCGTGTGCTCATTTTGGTGCCCCATCGCGGCCACCAGCTCTCCCTTGCGCTCTGGTAGCCGTTTCAAACTGTCGCGTGGCTGATCCCGTGTACTACTCCATTAGATCATTGTCTGTAAATAAACTGCATTGCCTGTCGCCCCTCTACTACTCGTGTGCCGGTGCTTTCTGCAAGCTTTGGGCGGGCATACTATATAGTATTAACTGCAACTTTGTACCCATTGGATTACGGCCTACTGAAATCTTCATAAGAGCCCACAGTACGCTGCAATACCTCCCGCGGGGATCTGCAAGACTCGGCAAGACCCCGCGCGGCATCTGACAATATGTTACCGCATGCGATGGATGCCACTAGACTTCGGGGATACAGTGGCATAATTAGTCGTATGCTACTCGTGCGACAGGAAGATATGTAGGTTCCAGCGCTATCCAGGAGGCTGCAGGCTACATACCTGGTTTCGTGATGTCAGCAGCAGCTGTCGGAGGCAAGCGAGCAGGATCAAGCGCCCGGTTCGTGGCGTGCGAGGAGTGGCGGTGCAAGGTGGAACGTCGCCGTTGGTGTTGAAGTCCTTCGTTAGTATGTTCAGTCATTAATTGGCATCTACCTGCCCATACTCGCATCCAGGCCTCCGGCAAATCATGGATGTACGTATAAAATAAATCCCACAGTCCAACATGCTCCCTTGCAGGGAAAGTCCACATCTGGACGACGCATCGGAGGATGGCCGCTCTTCGGTACCCGACCGAACGAGGCTGGTGAGATGGGTGACACCGTCGATCGCGAAGGCCGTCAAGGCGGTTAGCCTCCCAGCTCGCCGGTGGGATATAAGGCTCTCCCAGGGCGGACTCCCTCTATCCAACATACCACCATGATCACCGCTTCAGTCATTCTCACCTGGGGCCTCTGCGCCCTCTGGGGTGTCTTCCTCAGTCAATCCTCGGTCGACCTCCTTGCTACTGTCTCTCGCCTCCGCACCCTCTCCCTCTCCTCGGTCTCTGCCTTCATGCAGATTGCTGGGTACGTTCCTCACTTCACCTCATCTGTTGACGAGCCGGTGTACTGATCACTGCTATCAGTTCCACCAACTTCAAGCGTATCCAAACCTTGGACTCGAGCACTGTCGCTGCCCTCTCGGGGGGAGCTGACTCGTTCAACATCCTCGGTGACGGATTCAAGAACCTCAAGACCGACTCCAGCCACGCACTGAACTCCACACCCGGTCCCAACACGCCCTTCGCACCGCGCGGCCAAGGTTCACTGCAACTCTCCCTCCTGCTATACATCGTCCTCGGCGTCTCCACCGGCATCGTATGTCTCCTCGGCTTGTACGCCATCTACGAGGTCATCCGGTATGGTTACACCGAGTCTTCGGGCACTGTCGAGGTTCGTTCTTTGTTCATCGCCGTCAACGGAACATGACACTGACAAGTCGTCACGAAGTCCATCATGCAGGTCAAAGACGGTAAATCGGGCGCGGGAACTCGTATTCCTGCTGACCTTTTGCCGACTTCTGAGCCCACGATCATCCTCGACCTCCACCCCGAAACACCACTCGCAACCATACTCGGCGACGCCCATGTAGACCGCGAGGACAACCACGATGCCACACCCGACGACGTCCCCTACAACCCACTCGCTTTCATTTCCATCCGCTCCCCTACGAGCATCCCCGAGGTGAACATCGCGGTATCCAGCCCGATCGCCCACTTCGTCACGCCCCCCTTGCCGGCCTCCCCCAGTCTTGCGGATGCAGTCGAGGTCACGGTCTCACCGCCGCGCCTTGCCTTTACCACCGAGCGCTGTGATGGCCCAGCCCCACTGCAGACAGCAGACTCCGAGCCACAGGTGACGGCCAGACCTGTCTGGCACGGTACTCTACACGAAGTCGACAGCGCGCGACTTCACCAGCATGTCCTCGACGATCCGCTCAACGATCTGACACCAGCACCCCGTCTTTTCCAGGCTTTCGCCATCATGACTGCCGACTTGAACTCAGGGTCGCTCTTCACGGACGACTACCAGACACCGACCCCATCCCCCCACCACCCTACGAGAGACGAGCTGCGGGCATGGCGCCTCCCCAGTCTCGACCTGGACGACCCGTTCCTCGACGAGCCTACTCCTCGCCCAACTCTCGCCGACTCGTCGCTTATCCCCTCCTTCACCTCCTTCGACTCCTCCGCCTCTTCACTCCACCCCTGGTCCTCCGTCACTCACTCTTTGTCCTCGTCAGGCTCCGCTGCTTTCGAGTCCTCGGACTCATATTCATCCTCGGCCTCTATCTCTCCCTCGGCCTCCATCTCGTCCTCGGCATCCATCCAGGCTCGCTCTCCAGCTCCTCCTACCACCCACCCCGTCGACATCGAGGAAGAAGACGACCAGACTCACGTCTTCGGCATCCCTCTCTTCATCCTCGACCGGATCCCCTACACCCAACGCGACCCGGACGAGGACGAGATCGAAGAGTACAACCGCATCGCTCTCGACCTCCCGCGCGACTCCAGCGCCCCACCTTCGGCGGGCTGGTCGCGCCTCAGCCGCTACGAGGAAGACCACTTGGAGTGGTTCAACTATGAAACCTTTGCTTTCCCTCACGTCCCCAGGCCCGTGGTCACGGAGGACCCGCACGGCGAGCCGGACACCCTAGTGGACTCACCATCGGATGAAGACGACGACCAGACACACGTCTTCGGCATCCCAGTCTTCAACCTCGACCGCATTCCCTTCACGCAACGCGACCCCAACCAGGACGAGATCGACGAGTACAACCGCATCGCACTCAACCTCCCGCGTGAGTCCAGCGCTGCACCCTCGGCGGACTGGGTGCTCCCCAGCGACTATGACGATGACTGGGAGGAGTTCGACGCTGTCATGTGCCTTTTCCCTCCCCTCGCCCTCCCCGCGGACATGGAGGACCCGTACGGAGAGCCGAGCGCGCCGATGGACTCGCCATGGGATGAGGACGACGACAAGACACGCGTCTTCGGCATCCCGCTCGCCGACCTCGACCGTACTCCCTTCACGCAGCGCGACGCGGACGACAAGGAGATCAACGAGTACCTTGACGCTTCCCTCGGCTACAAGCTCCGACCCGACTCCAACGTCCCGCCCGCTCAGGGATGGTGGAAGGGCAGCGAGTACGACAAGGCGAAGCTCGACGACTTCCTCCGCACTGCCCTCACCATGCCACTTGACTCTACCCCCCTGCCCACGACAGGCTGGCTCCTCCCTAGCGGCCACGACGAGAACCGGCATAGGGACGAGCTCGCTGCCTATGCTTACCCCGGATTCCCTATCCCTGAGCATCTGAGGATTCCAGTAGTGAGGATTCCGGTGGATACAGGATAGCACGTTTGATTTACTGTACCTATTTCTATACTGTCTTTACTCGTCCCTTGTTCCATCTTTCTGCATTTGTGGCTTGTATCTAGCCTTGTGTATCTATCTTCGAGATTTATCATCATAACTTCTCGAGCTCTTTCTGTGTGCATACAGCCAGATCCGACACGATGCTCTCGGCCGCGGGTCAAGATGGCTGTTTGGCCAAAATGGTCTTCTTGTGCAGTCTCACAATCACCTATTCATCTGGGAGATGAGGGGACGCGGGACACGAAGGGGCCTCTCACCGAGGCGGGATACGGTTTTTCTAAGTGATCATGTCTGCGTGCGATTGTGGACAAGTACAGTGCCAGGAAGTTCCTCAATACGATACAAAGTGTGTGCGCGATGATTTGTTGCAGGTTCTATGCGGATCTGAGGGAAATGAAGCACGCTACGGGGCTATGTCGAACAGCCCCTACAGCTCGAGCTCGCGTTGAAGTTGACGCGAAGACACTGCAGTCTACCGCTTGCTGCCGCGGGTGCTGCGTCGGAGCTGTCTACCGTCTTCTTGCTCCTCTGCCATCATGCTCTCGATCTCGTCCTCCGTCATAACGCGGCCCTTGCCGAGCTGTCTGCACAACATGTTAGATTGTTCGGTTCATGCAGAATCACCAGAATGAGAGACGACTTACCGCTTCTTCTTCTTCGCCGTCTCGACCTCCCCCTTCTTCGGGACGTACTCCGTACCGGCCGCAGCCTCCTCGCGCGCCTTGCGGTTGGGGATGATGACGGTGGAGTCGTCCGGGTCGCCCCCGAGCGAGAGCGCGTCGAGGTCGTCGCCGAGCTCCGCGACCGCACGGGAGGAGGCGGAGGCGCGCGTCGAGCGTCGTCCACGCGCCGCGGTTTGCGCTGCGCGCTTCGTCTTTGCAGTCTCGAGAGGCGTCGCGGAAGCCTTGCCTTTTGTCGTGGTGACCTTAGGTTTAGCGGCGGGTTTGGCGGTGGGAACCTCAGACGCCTCGGATTCGGACCACTCCCCGACCGAGTCGTGCTCGAACTCGGACGGAGACTCGGCTTCTTCTTCTTCGTCGTCGTCGTCGATGAACTCGTCCGAGTCCGAGTCATCCTCCTCGAGCTCGCTGCCGCTCTCGTCATCCTCGGCCGCACTTGCGGTCTCACCATCATCTGTCTCGGTCGCATCCACATCCATCTCGTCGTCTGTACCGGGCCTCTTCGCCGCTGTAGTCTTCCCTTTGGAGGGAGGAGTCGTGCGCTGCTTGATCGTCGACTGGCGCTTTGCCGGGGGCCGACCCTTGCCTGCGAGCGGGGACGGTGTACGGCTGCGCGCACCAGAGTCGGAAAGAGCGCCCACTTCTGAGTCGGTGCTCTCTTCGTCGGCATCGTGCTGCCCACACAAATATTATCAGCCACAACCTTCGCCGACTTGGAAGATGCGATCGAGCACATACCCCGGCGACGGACGACTGCGCGTCCTCATGCTCGCTCATGCGGAGCTGGCCGATCGCGTCCGAGTCGACCGAGTCCGCGACGGAGTCCGAGTACCCGCCCTCGGAGCGCGGGACGTGGCTGCCGCCGCTGAGCAGGCGCGAGCGCTGGATCATGTCTAGCTTCGCGTCCATCTTCTCCTCGTTGTGCTCCATCACCCGCATGAGCCGCCGCGCGAACATGTCCTCCATGCTCCGCATGCGCTCCTCCATCTCGCCCATGACCTCCTCCCGCGTCTCGGCCTCGATGAGCGCGGTGCGGATGTGCGCGTCGTACAACTGTATTGTGGGTGAGCAGAGGCGGGCGTGGCCGGTTTGCGTTGTGTGCGCACCTGCATCCGGAGTTCCTCGATTTCGTCGAAGAGCGCGTTGACGAGAGGGTTAATGGGTTCATCGTCTTCGACACTCGTCTCTTCGCCGTCGTCGATCTCCTCGTCCTCTGCCCCAAAGTTAGCGCTACGAATGGATACCGATCACAAGTTTGGTTGCGAACCTTCGAGCACTTCCAGATGCGCCTCGCTTGCCTTTCTGCCCGCGCCGCCGTATGAGAGAGTGACCTGCCTGCGGTGAGGCCCGAGGGCTGAATTTGCACGAAGCCCGTTCGTCTTCGCCTTGGTCGGGCTGGGCGGTGGGCGCGCCGCGTTGGTGGCGGGCACGGTGCACACCTCGCGAGCGAGGGCGGAGAACTTCATGACGTGCACGTTCTCGTCAAAGCCCGTGTCGTACGGGTTCACATTCACGATCATGACCTGTATTCACACCCGCATCAGAGTCCTGCAAGCCGTGCGACTGAAGGAGTTCACTCACAGCCCGTCCCTCGCCGACGAAGTAGTCCATGAGCACCTCAGTGAGCTTGCTGTGCCGGAAGGGCACGAGCGCCAGCCCGCGCTTGACGTCGCGCGTGTCCAGTCGCGAGCCTGGTGCGACCCCTTGCTGCAGGCTCCGTGCCAGTGCGCGCTGGTTCGCGCGGAGCGTCTCCATACACTGCCCGAGCACCATGAGCGACTTGTTGATGTTGCCCGCCTCACGCAGGCGATCGCCAGACGTGTGCGTGTGCTTAGTACGTTCAGAGCCTGCGAGGTCGACCAACGTCAGGCGCGCCGTCTGGATGGAGGTGGGATCCTGGAGGAGAGAATTAGTATTCGACATAAGTGCCCATAATAGAGTCATTTACGTGTCGCTCGCCACGGTGCACGCGCAGAACCTTGATGGTGACAAGTGCGTGGCTGCGACTGCTCTGGCTGTTCGCGAGGGTGCCGAAGACACGGCGGTGCAGCTGACCAAGGCGCAGGAGCTCCTTCGCCTCCGCTGCGCTCCGTACGCGCACCTGTCTCAGGCCTGCCACGTATTTGCCTGCGCTCGTCGTATCGCCATCGCCATCACCGTCGGCCAGCGGACATGGCTTGACTGTGAGCGCTTTTCGAGTCAGCAACAAAGGGTGTGCCTTGTTGTTTGATGGAACGGGCAGGTTCAAGAAAGAGGACGTGGGTCGCGGAATGCTGGATGCACCTCGAGCAGGGGTGCCTTGCGAGCTAGGAGGCGGGCCGCCTAACTCCAGAGAGCCGAAGAGATCGTATACTTTCTCGTTGTATACCTCGGCGTAGGAGAGCCAGATTGTATATTCATAGTTACGATCCAGTTTCAATGCAGTAGGGTCGGTGTCGGCCGAGCCGGATCTGGGTAGGTCGTCTTCGAGAACGTCGGCAAGAGCGGTGGTACCACCTTTACTTGGCAAGCGGATGGTCGTTGGTTCGTCAGACTCGGACGCCAGCTCTATGCCTTGGAGGCGTACTGGTCTGTACTACAGATTGTCATTTCGGCATTGCGGACAGGCTTCACAACAATGCAAAGCTTACTCTGTCTTCCCCGTGCAAGCCCTCGATGCTGTTGAAGATGACGTCCAAAGTTCGGGGTAGGATTCCAGCACTACCGTGAGCGTTGCCTCCCTGAATGGTGTACGTTTTCCCAGAGTTCGTCACTCCATATGTGAAAAGCAGCCCGTTCCGACCTTCGAGGACGTCACGGACGAGAGGCAGCGTGGTCTTGCCGAAGAATTCGGGTTGTTGAGTATCAGGAGGGAACACATGGGAGAAGGTGTAGATGGAAGAGGGGTTGATGGTGGACATTCGCGAGCGGGATGTCGAGGACGATGGGTCAGTCAGTCGGACGGAGGTGTCTGTGAGCGGTTCAAGGTACGGCTCGTATGCACCTTCGCCCTCGTCTACTCGAGGGCGGATACGGAGGTACGCCTGTAGAACCAGAGTAAATCGCCGACGATTGGTCGGTCATCTTTCTTACGCACCTTGATAGGCTCCCTGTCATTATCCGGAGGGAGCAGGATACTCCCGGAGTTCTGCGAGGACTTCGGAGAGACATTCTGGCCGTTCGTCTTGGATTCTGGAGAGTTGGCTCGGTTTACAAGAGGTTTGCGCGTCATTTTCTTCGGTGCAGAAGCGGCGGCAGCGGTTGATGACTTGGAAGCTGTACGCGTGGTCCGCGCAGGTGCGGCGGGTGCAGCGGTGGCAGCCTTTGTCCGAGTCGATGCGCGGGTCGATGGGGCGCGAGGTTTGCTTGCCATGCTGCTTTCGAGTGCGTCCCAGACAGAAACGGTCCGTCGCAGTACGATGAGATCGATGTGGGCGGCGAGGTGGGAGAGGAAGGCAAGGATCGATATGCGAGTCGCGAGGTGCGGCAAGCGGAACCATGAGGAACGCGTCGGTCACGTGTCCGACGCGTTCTATTGTGAAGCGCGTTTCGGGAATCGGGATCAACGCGTCTCTTGTCCACAACCACCATCCCTCCCGCCTCGTCTTGCTTGGATGCCTCTGGACTGTTGACTATGTCGAAGAAAGCATCTCCCCACAGGCGCCGCTCTATCGCCGTTCTCGGTCATGGCCAGGCAAAGACCAGCAGCAGGCGGCGCGCATACAGTATCGCGCCAGGAGAACGACTCAGCCCCTCAGCTAAGGCACGGCGACTGTTGGTGAGTCCTGTCTGTTCTTCACGTCATGTCAGACTTTGCGTGCATTTTTACACTTGAGAACGCGTATCGTGCACTCACGCCTGAACATGGTTGATTCGTCTAACGCATATACTCCCCTAGGCTCCGCGCAAAAGCATCTTGAAGGCTTCTATCAATCTACCCCCACAACATGCTAGGCCGTCTGACGCAGCTGAGTCCTCTACATCCGGTGCCACGGACGACAGCAACATGACCCAAACCATGGACTTCACCCAAGTTCATGGCGGCCCTCGCAAGAGTCTTGCGAGCCGGCGCGTCAGTTTTGCTGCGCACACCCATGTCCGTCTCTTCCACAAGGACACGCCCGACGGGAAGAGTCCAGGTGACTCCTCTCCCGCCGCGCCAGAACCGCCCGCTTTCGTCACTCGCGCCGACAACGATGAGAACGCCGTTCCGGGCCCTTCTCAGCCGCCGCGTCGCGTATCCTTCCGTCGCAGATCTTCCGGTGTCAGCGAATACGGGGAGCGCTCGATGGATATGGACATGGACGACACTGCGCCCCTTCCTCAGGACTTTCTCAACCACGGAGGAGATATCTCTACTGGTTCTGCTGTGGAGGACGATGAGTTCACGGAGGACGAAGATGACGGCTCAGATATGGAGGTGACTGAAGCGATTGCGCTAAACATCGAGCGAAAACGTTCTCTCTCGCTAGGAGGCAAACGAGCATCCCTCGGCGGCCCTCAGCGTCGGCGAAGCTCAATTGTCACTGCCACGCAGCATCAGAGCGAGAACATACCCCCGCGCGATGGCCAAGACATACCGGAAGACGACTTCTCCTTCGATCTCGATGGCGAAGAAGACTTGACGACCGGCTCCGCACACACCGGCTCCTCCTTCACGTCCGAAGGCTCTTCCGGAGAACCGATGGAGTTCACCATTCCAATCTTACCGTCCATGCGACAACCTTGGGAGCCGGACCCCGTCTGGCTGCAACTCCGCGCCATGACGCATTCAGGCCATGAACCGTACGAGCCGCCACCCCCCGAGTCCGACGACGATGCAGTCATGATTCAGCCGTCACCCGGGCATGCGCAGCAGAATTACGGCCAATCGTTCGGCGAAGACGACGATGGAGGAGAGGCAGATATGGACCTCACATCTGCGATGAACCGGCTGCAGCATGCACGTGCTTCGCTCGGACTAGGGCAGCCCACTCTGCAGCAAGGAGACGATAGCTTCAGCGATGAGGAACCACAGCAGGAGCTGGAACCACAGGATGACACCTTCACCACCACGGATGATAGCTTCGGCGATGAGAGTGCAGACCTTGACAACCGGACGATCAACCTGACCCAACGCACGAGTCTTGGCACGCTCGAGTCATCGATGGATATGACAGACATCCACGGCGGAGTGATTCGAAATCCCGTTACACCGGCTGCAGCGAGGGAACCGCCCCAACCTCCCCCGCAGGCTGAAGAAGCGGAGTCTCTTGGGCGTTCATTGTCAGGCCGTGTGTTCAGCGCGCCGACCTCAAATACTTTAGGGTCAAGTGTATTTAGCGCCCCCGCCACTGGTCTTAGCTCTAGTGTGTTCAGTGCACCTCCTACCGGCCTGGGCTCCAGTGTGTTCAGTGCGCCAACACCCGGCACACTAGGCTCCAGCGTCTTCTCTGCCCCAGCCCCAGCCGCCGCATCCAACCTCCAGAGCAATCCTCGATCCCCCTCCAAATCTCCCGGACCGGCGACCATCCCAAAACCGTTCACGTTCAGTCTCCCTCGCGCCGGTTCGCCTTCGAAGATCCCTACCCCCAGTGCCAGCTCTCATCGGGGTACGGCAGCATTCGCTCCTCCCTCCGTGCCCAAGTCGCCCAAGAGGCCGGCATTCAATGTCCCCAGTACCGATGAGGGCGGTCCTGGTCCGGCGAAGCGTCCCGCAGTAGGACGGCTCTCTGTCGCTCGCACTGCGGCGTTCGAACAGCCCGAACCCGAGGACCCTCCTTCCGCCCCCAACGACACCGCAGAGATTGCGCCGCAACCTATTGCTGGCACAACTGGCAACCGACGCTCCAGCATGATCCGTCGTCCCGCAGGCTACTTCGCGCAACGCAAGAGCTTGGGGGCGGGTGTCCTGCCTCCTCAGGCCTCTTTCTCTGGGGCTTCGACGGCCAACGCATCCGGCGCGAAGGCAGGAAACGGAACGGGCCTTCGGCCACGCGCGAGCATGGGCGCGCAGCCATCGGGCGCGGGTCTGAGTATGCCACTTTCTCGGACGCACAGCGATCCTGGGCCCGCGGACCGCGCTGGGTCGGCGGAACAAGGCGCCTTGTACCCCGACTTGACACAGCTCAGCAAGGAAGCTGAGGCGCAGCGCGCTGCCAGCCCTTCTCCCGCATCGGGCAAGGGGAAGGAATGCGACAGAGAAACAACGCGCCAGGCGACCGCGGTCCCGAGTACAACACGGGGCTCCCCTGCGCCTGCTTCCCCGAGAGTGGCGTCTCCCGCTCCTCAGCAGAAGGTAGCTTCTCCGTCGCCAGCTGTGGCGAGACCGTCGGCTTCTGCGCCCATCCGAGGGCGACCAGTCACGCACATAGAGAAGCCCGCGGGGTCGCAAGCGCGAATAATCGATGTGTCGATGGCTCTGGACGGCGAACCGGATGCGTCGATGGCCCAGGGATCCGCAGGCATCTCGCAGGCATGGCGGGACGGTGTGCCCGACGAGCCATTGCAAGACGACGATGGGGTAAGCTTCGTGTCTGGCCACATGTTAAACATGTACTAACTTTCTTCGCAGCCCACCATATCGATCGAACAGTTCTTCCAGATGACCGGGATCCGCTTCATGGACGAGCTCACGATGCACAAGCCGCGCCGCTCCACTGTCATGCCCGGCCAGCTCCGTCCGCGCGCCCGCCGGCGGTCCTCCTCGCGCGATCCCGCCAGTTCCATCGGCCCTGCTGGCTCAGGCGCGGGAGGGGACGAAGAGGCGATTCCGCTCGCTGAGTTCGCCGTCACGATGGCGATGGACATGCCGCGGCTGGATCTATACGGTGCGGTTGCGCGCGACCTGACCGCGTACATCCAGGAGTGCAAGAAGATCTACCGTGAGGCGGAGGAGGAGGCGCTCAAGGTGACCCCTGGACTGTTCAAGGAGTTTGCAATTGTGGACGAGGCTGAGCAGGCGATGCTCATTGTGAGTTATGTTGCATGCTTGTGAGGCACGAAAAAGCTGACGGGGCCCAATATTATAGCACCAACTGAAGCTCATTAAAGCCAACAATATGGGAACCGCGAAATCTCAATGGTATGACTGGAAGCTTCAGTGGGTTGAGCAGCTGTACGAGTCGGCCGCGCAAGGCTTTTCAAATCTGGAATCCGTACGTGCTTCCCCGCGCCGCGCTGTCTGTTTTTTTCTAAATGTATGCCGCACCCCGTAGGACGCGACGTATCTTGCAGGAGTCATCAAGGAGGCGCAGGACATTCTGCCTCAGCTCCGGGATGAGTACGCGGAAGTCACCCGACTCCTCGAGCAGGAGCAGGCCGATATCGATGAGATCGAGAACTCGGACAAGGACTTCCTGAACGAGCTCAAGGCGACCATCGCTGAGCAAAGGTACGTCTCTTCCTCTAGCGCGGTGTCCCTCCCAGTAGACGTATTGAACGCGCGCCGATGCCCAGCACGGAAATCGAGGCGTTCCGGGCTGACGTTTCTGAAGCGAAAGCGAAGCTCGACCGGCTCGACGAGAAGCTCGTTGAAATCGACGCGCAGAAGGCGGAAGCCACGAGCGCGATCGCCGAGGCCAAGCACATCATCCACATCCAGAAGGAGAGCACCAGCGTCGAGGTCTTCCGACTCAAAGGTGCGTCGCATACGCACACTCGGTGAAGTCGTCGATACTCACCGATGCGCGTTCCCCTTAGACGAGCTAGAGGCCCTACAGGACCTGCACTTGTGGCGCGCTGTGAAACACACGCCGGACCTGGTCGAGTTCTTATATGCGTCAAAGTACCACGTCACGCTGCCCTGCCGGAACTTCAAGCCCGTCTTGTCGCAAGCAACGATCGTGCGCACGAAACAGTCGCGCCTCAAGGAGCGCGACGCGTTCCCGCAGTTCACGGACCTCGTCGTGAAGACCGCGGGTGTGCTCCTCGCCGAGCGCAACGAGAAGCTCGAGATCAAGCAGGTCCGTCTACCGTCTCGCTTGTCCGCCCGTATACTCACACGCAGCCCTACAGGTCATCGAGCTGCTCGGCGACTTCTGGTCCTCGTGCGCGCAGCTGCGCTCGCAGCTCACCTTCCTCGCGATCAAGTGGCCGGTCGCGGTCGAGGCGCTCGCAGACGACACCGGCGCGCTTTTCTTGCGCGCGACCGTGACGATGATGCTTCCCGCCGCCCACAGTAAGGCACACGTCACGTTCCTCTGGGACCGCGACACGTACGCACGCTGGCCGCTATCCGTCGGCGGGCTCAAGGCGGACGTGCAGGTCGCGTATGGCGCTATCAAGTACGTAGGCTCGTGCCTGCCTGTGCGAATCATCACTGACGGGTTTTCTGGGTATAGGCGGGAGACGATCTTGGACCCGATCTTAGGGCGGATTTCGCAGGCCTCGCATTCGGACAGTCACGGGTGCCTCTTGGATGCGTGTATCGAGGCCACGGAGCAGTCCGAGCAGTGAGAAGCTTATGTTGTTATGTATACCCTTGTCCGCGGCGTTGTATTGCGTTTACTACCCTATGTCCTTGCATACTACCTGTACTCTATCATATCTTGTATGTTCTTCTCGCGCGTTCTTATACGAAATGTAGTCCGGTTCTTATCTGTGGCATTCATGAGCAAATCAGCGTGGTTGATGTGCTCAGGCTCATGCTGGAGAAATCGTTGCGATGCTTGGTAGTTTAAGGAGCGCGGTGGGCGCATATTTGATGATAAATACCCGACAGATACACAAGGCTAGCTACGAGCCACAAATGCAGAAAGATAGGACAAGGGACGAGTAAAGACAGTATAGAAATAGGTACGGTAAATCAAACGTGCTATCCTGTATCTACTGGAATCCTCACTACTGGAATCCTCAGGTGCTCCGGGATGGGGAATCCGGGGTATGCATACGCGGAGACTTCGTCCCTATGCCGGTCGTGGCCACTGGGGAGGAGCCAGCCAGTCGAAGGCAGGGCGGAGTCGAGCGGCATGGTGAGGGCAGTGCGGAGGAACTCGTCGAGCTTCGCCTTGTCGTACTCGCTGCCCTTCCACCATCCCTGAGCGGGCGGGACGTTGGAGTCGGGCCAGAGCTTGTAGCCGAGGGAAGCGTTAAGATACTCGTTGATCTCCTTCTCGTCCGCGTCCCGCTGGGTGAAGGGAGTCCGGTCGAGGTCGGCGAGAGGGATGCCGAAGACGTGCGTCTTGTTGTCGTCTTCTGCCCATGGTGAGTCCACTGGTGCCGTCGGCTCCCCGTACGGATCCTCCATGTCCTCGGGGACGCGGATGCCGGGGAAACCGAAGGTACCAAGGTCGACCGCCACCCAGTCCGTGTCGTAGTCGGCGGGGATCGCGGGCGGGACGTTGGTGTTGGGAAAGAAGTCGAGCGCGGTGCGGAGATACTTGTCGAGCCTGTCGTCGTTGTCGCTGCGTCTCGACCATCCCTGAGCAGGCGGGACGTTGGAGTCGGGCCAGCGCTCCAGGCCCAATGCGGCGCAGAGGTACTCGTCGATCTCCTCTTCGTCCGCGTCCCGCTGGGTGAAGGGAGTGCGGTCGAGGTCGGCGACAGGGATGCCGAAGACGCGTGTCTTGTCGTCGTCTTCATCCCATGGCGAGTCCACCGGTGCGCTCGGCTCTCCGTACGGGTCCTCCATGTCCGCGGGGAGGGCGAGGGGAGGGAAAAGGCACATGACAGCGTCGAACTCCTCCCAGTCCTCGTCATAGTCGCTGGGGAGCACCCAGTCCGCAGAGGGTACGGCGCTGGAGTCCCGCGGGAGGTTGAGCGCGACGCGGTTGTACTCGTCGATCTCGTCCTCGTCCGGGTCGCGATGTGTGGAAGGGAACCGGTTGAGGTTGGAGAGTGGGATGCCGAAGACGTGCGTCTGTTCGTCGTCTTCCTCGGTGTTGGCGAAAGAGGTAGTGAAGGGTGAGGCCGGGGTTGGCGAGTGAGCCTGGAGGGATGCCGAGGAAGAGTCAGAGGCCAGGGGGGAGACGGCGACCGAGGCCGAGGGTGAATATGAGTCCAAGGACTCCAAAGCAGAGGATTCTGACGAGGAAGAAGAGTGGGTGGCGGAGGACCAGGGCCGCAGTCCGGACGCGAAGGAGTCGAAGGACGGGAGAGGCGGCGAGTCGGCGGGAGTTGGCTGAGGGGCGGGCTCATCCAGGAAGGGGTCGTCCAGGTCAAGGCGGGGGAGGTGCCATGCCCGCAGTTCGTGTCTCGTAGGGTGCCAGACGGGAGTGGTCGCGTCGCGTCGCCAGTATCCGCGCCTGGGGGGTGCATTGTGGTCGGGTTGCATGTTGAGGGCGGATCGGAGGAACTCGTCTATTTCCTCGTCGTCCGAGTCCTCTGGCATCCAGAACTCCTGGCTGTGAGATCGGGTGTATGTGGTGGGGAGTGGGCGGGGGGATGGCGTGGGTGTCTGGTAGTCGTCCGTGAAGAGCGAACCCGAATGCAAGTCGCCAGTCCTGATGGTGAATGCCGGGAGAAGACAGGGTGCCGGTGTAGGCTCGTCGAACGGATCGTCGAGGACATGCTGATGGAGTCGCGCGATGTCAACCTCGTACAGAACACCGTGCCAGATAGGTACGGTGGTCTTCTCTCGCTCGGAGTCTGCTGTCTGCAGTGGCGCTGGGGCATTGTAGCGCTCTGTGCGAACCTGGTAGACAAGGGGCCGCGACGGTGGGGGTGTCACCTGGACTGCATCCACAAGACTAGGGGAGGCCGACACGGAGGGCGTGACGATGGGTGAGATCGGGCTTGATACCGCGATGTTCACCTCGGGGATGCTCGTAGGGGAGCGGTTGGAAATGAAAGCGAGTGGGTTGTAGGAGACGTCTTCGGGTGTGGCGTCGTGGCTGTCGTCGCGATCTACATGGGCGTCGCCGAGTATGGTTGCGAGTGGTGTTTCGGGGTGGAGGTCGAGGATGATCGTGGGCTCAGAAGTCGGCAAAAGGTCAGCAGGAATACGAGTTCCCGCGCCCGATTTACCGTCTTTGAACTGCATGATGAACTTTGTGGGGAGCGGTCAGCGTCATTCTTGCTGATACTGATGAACAAAGAACGAACCTCGACAGTGCTCGAAGACCCGGTGCAGCCATACCGGATGACCTCGTAGATGGCGTACACACCGAGGAGACATGCGATGCCGGTGAAGACGCCGAGGACGATGTATAGCAGGAGGGAGAGTTGCAGTGAACCTTGGGCGCGCGGTGCGAAGGGCGTGTTGGGACCGGGTGTGGAGTTCAGTGCGTGGTTGGAGTCGGTCTTGAGGTTCTTGAATCCGTCGCCGAGGATGTTGAACGAGTCAGCTCCCCCCGAGAGGGCAGCGACAGTGCTCGAGTCCAAGGTCTGGATACGCTTGAAGTTGGTGGAACTGGTAGCGTTGATGAGTACACAGGCTCGTCAGCAGATAAGGTGTGGAACATACCCAGCGATCTGCATGAAGGCAGAGACCGAGGAGAGGGAGAGGGTGCGGAGGCGAGAGACGGTAGCAAGGAGGTCGACCGAGGATTGACTGAGGAAGACACCCCAGAGGGCGCAGAGGCCCCAGGTGAGAATGACTGAAGCGGTGATCATGGTGGTATGTTGGAGAGAGGGAGTCCGCCCTGGGAGAGCCTTATATCCCACCGGCGAGTTGGGAGGCTGACCGCCTTGACGGCCCTCGGCGGTGTTACCCATCCCGCCAGCCTCCTCGTTCGATCGGCTGCCGAAGAGTGGCCACTTGGTGGCCACTCTCCGGAACGTCGATCAGGACGTCGTTTGTGCACCACGATAGAAGTGCGTCCCCGATATTGCAACCTGGATGCCACATCCTTGTTAACGGGAACGTTGGTATACGCTGGTGCGAAAGAGGGGTTTGGGGACTTGAAGATATTCAACCAACTGAGCGCCAACTGAGCTGACTGCGACGATGATCCTCCTTTGCACAGCCACGGACGCCACAACGCGGCTCCTCCTCGCTAGCCTGCAGCTGCCATTGCCACAAGCCCAATCGGCTTTCGGAGGAATACCTTAGGAAGCGAACTAGTTTGTCTGACATCTTTCGGAATTTCTCTACGATTGTGCGCAAACCCAACCGTGTGAAGCAATTGTATCTCGTCTCGCGGGCCGTGTTGCCCACTTCGCCGGGGTGTCGAGGTGTCTGACCTCAAGGCGCATATTTTGCAGTCTTTAAGCAAGCAGAGTGATTCAGCAGAATATACGGCGGCGTATCATTTCCATCAAAGGAAAGCCTCGTCAAACGTAGACCATCACTCGGATGTACGCACAAAGGAAAAAGAGAGATAGAATTCATGTCCAGATGCGCTAGATCGTGTCCATAACATACGTAGATGGCGGGCATAAGATGGTGGTGTTACAAATACCAAGAGATTACAGAACGAAAGAAATGCTGCGGGACACTCTCATCAGCACCTATCCCTGAGCTTCATAGCAGAAGGTGGCCACTCACGAAAGAGATAAATCGAGTCCAGTGAAAGTTCGCCACTATAGGCAAGCCTTCTTGTGCTCGAGCCCCGCCAACAACAGCGTGAGCATCTCGCGATTCGCGCGCACAAAGTCCAGCTCGCCCTCCGCGGTATCCCGCACCAGGCGCCAAGACGCGCGCGCCTCGCACGCCGCGAAGCCCATCATCGACTTCGCCTGCACCTGGCGCACCTGCAGCGCCGCCGCACGGGCGGCGCTCATTGCCTCCTCCGCCCGGCGCGTCGCGTCCTTCGCCACACGGTCCTGCGCGCCCTGAGCGTCGCGCAGCATCTCCTCGAGGACGGCGATCTGCTCTCCACGCTGGGAGTCGACCGCGAGGTTACCGTGCACCTGCTCCTCGAGTTGGGAGATCTGCCCCGCGAGCTCCTGGGCGTCGCGCATGCGCGCCTCCTTCGCCGCGTGTAGCTGCTCCTCTAATGACTGCATCTGCGCGAGGCGTTCCTGCGCCCGGCTTTCCGCCGCGGCGAGCTGCAGGCGGAGGAGGGTCAGCGTGGCGCCGTCAGCTGCAGAGGGTGTCTCAGGCTTCCAGTTGTCGAAGAGGTGTGTGGTGTTGTGAACAGCTGGTGAGGGTGTGACGTCTGGGAGAAGGACCTGAGAAATCGAGCCGTAACCGGTGGGCGAGGGGAGTGCGCTCAGGCTGGGGCTGTCTGGAATGTCGATCACGCTTAGACTGGGCGAGATGGCTCCCGGGCGGAAGGGTGCGTCAACTTCAGAAATCATCCGTTCGACATCCTCATCCTCCAGTGTTCGGCTATGCTGTGCGAGCTGCTCCCATGAGAGGATCGAACCGCGATCATTGCCGGGCATGCGTGGCTTCGGGCGAAGGAACGGTGAGCTCTCGGTGGACGACGGAGGTGCAGGAGACGCATATGACAGGTTGGCGCGAGAGGGGAGGAAGTGAGAGCGTGAGGGAGTTTGCGGATCATCACCAGTATCACCCCTGGGACGATATCTTGGCAGAGCAGGAGTAGGTGCAGTTGGCGAGGCGACGGACGATAGCATGAACTCAACATCATCTGCCTCGATGCTGTCCATACTGCTGTCCTGCGTGATAATCTGGGGCATAGGCGTAGTGGGAACCGAGGCACCGCGCGAGTGGCTAGCGCTCGCGTTCTTGCGCACCCGGGCAAGGGGAGACTCAGGTGCAGCAGCAATCGCTCCACGCAAGGGACTCGCGCTGGAAGGCGGGTGCATCTGACGAAGGGAACCTGAGCCGCCTTTTAGAAGACCACCAAACATTGTGGGTGTGTTGGGCGTACGGGGGGTGCGGGCAGAGGCGGAGGACGAAGTAGACGATGGAGGGCGGGGAAGCGTATGGCGAGCACCTGCCGATGCCGACGCCGGCGAGGGAGTGGGCGTGGTCTTGCCAGCCTTCGATGCCTTGGTAGATGTTGTGCGGATCGATGCAGGGGAATCCTTCGGGGCCTTCCCTGTGTCCTTCCTCTCCGGCGTGGAGGGCCTGACATTGATAGCGCTTGTCAAGTTCACCTTGAGAGCGTTGCGGTGGGGGAGAGGTGAGATCGACCTCTTGTTTGCGGGCACGGCAATATCAAGAGGGGAGAGGTCCTTCGGGGTCTTCACCTCGTCCGTCTCATCATCCGAGCTGCTCAGCCGACGTCGCCTCGCAGTGCCGGAATGCGTCGGGGACGGCGCCTTCTTCGGGTTCGGCGCAAGAGCGGACTCGCCCAGCATGGAGCGTGGCCGGTACTTCGGCAGGCCGGATGACACGAGGGAGTTGCGATTGCGCGTGGAGGCCCGCGAGCTGATCGAAGCCTTGGGACTCGCATTATCGGACGGCGACGTCGACGACGAGTGGTCCTCGGGTGTGGCTGCCGCCTTTCTCAACGCGGACTGTCTGCGCGAGTGGCGAGTGATGGTCTTCACGTCGGGCGAAGCCTCGACGTCCTTCTTCTTCGCGGGGGCCTTCTCAACAGATGCGCGGGGAGGGGCAATGTGGATGGCGCTGGAGCGGCGAGCGGCCGTGTCCTTCGCCTTCTTGGACGCCTTGTCCTTGTCGGCGCTGTTCTCCTTCGAGTCCTTGTGCATCACGTCTGCGAGCGCCTTGCCGACGGAAGAGAGGCCAAAGGACTGGCGGATAGAGCTGCGAGTGCTGGGTTTGCGCGCCGGAGGTGCGCCACTAGTGGCGTCGGATGGCATCGCGGAGGTATATAAGTCTGGGAGTCGGCACCAGGCCCGAGTAGGGAGTTCGTGAGGTCGTGGTTGTTGTATAGGAAGGGTATGGATATGGAAATGTGCTGGGCGGTCGTCGCAGGGGTCGTGTCGCTACAGTCGTGATGGCATCGCGCAAAGGTTCAACTTGCCTCGGCGCGCGGCTATACACGCGCGCGCCCAACTCCGGCCACGCGCGCCGGTCGCGCCCCCTTTGTCCATCCTCGCGGCCACCGCCCTTCCATTTACGCAGTTCGCAGCCGCGCGTATGCCACACAAACCAGTTTGGTACCGACTATGTCTACCACATGAAACGCCCTACACCCGCCCTTTCCCTGTATAGGAACACGTACATCGTCGCAGCGTTGATCCCCGCGTACCACAAACCCTCCAGGATGAGCCCCACCAACGGGACGTCTTTCACCTGCGCTCGGAGTAGTATATATGGGATTAAGAAGTAGCGCGGCTCCAGAAGTGGCGTCGGAAGCAGCGTGGGCACCACGAACACCGGTAGGAGTAAGTTCTGCAGCAGTGTCTGGTCGGGCCCTGGTTGGGGAAGAGCGATCGCAGCCAATGAGCTACCATCCCGGAGTACTCGAGAAGCGGAACAGCGCACCAATACGGAGGTACCAGGCCCATGCACATGCAATGTACCCTGGAACGAGGATGTACGGCACCACCGGATGTAAGAGAAAGACGCGCCGCCATATGTAGAAGGTGTAATGCCGATTGTCAGACAGCAGGAAGGGGTGCTGGATCCTGATGTACGAGACGTCAGCGCGGTTCCTGCATTGCATGGAGAACTGGATCGTACGTGAACTTGTATATGGTGAGGCACATGATAGAGGACACTATGCAGGTGACGGCTGCGTTTCTGCGGGGTGGTTAGACTCGCCGGATCTCAAGATGAAGTGCGACCGCAGGTACCTCCTGCTCCCGAACATCCGTGCATATACGTCGCGGACAAGGGCAGAAATGCCACCGCTACCGGTCACAAGCGCAGGCCATCCGAACGCCGTGGCGAACCCCACAAAGTAGTATAACTGCGGGACGTGCAAGGCAGGGACATGATTGGCCTTGTCGCCTACAAATCATCGAGTTAGGGTCGGGCCATCCTGAAGAAATTGAATGCGCATACCGAGGACGATGCCGCCGTTCCAGACTACGAACGCACCGAACGCGGCGAGAACAAGGGCGTAGGGCACGAAGTTGACCAGAATGTCAGGGAGCACCCTCGGAGCACTCAGCACGGAGCGGATAAGATCGGCTGCAAGTTCGCAAAGCCTCATGTCAGCATAAGGACTGACAGATGATCATCAACAGCATACGAACCTGGAGCAGCCTCGAGTGCCAATGGGTCGTGTAGCTTCGACGGCGGCTTCTCATTCGGAAGCGCGCGCCGAAACCGGAGGTACAGCACCTGGCTGAGTGCATACGCATACAGGACCCACACGATGTTGTTCTGGCGGAATGTGCAGCTGACCAGGCCTATCTAACACGCTTGTCCTCCGTGAATCTTCGAACCACGTCCTGAGAATTGGGGTGGGCGTACCGACGCTGCGAGCCAATGTTTGCCCTCCAGGGCGAAGACTACCGTCGAGATCACCGCGACGAGACTGGGGACCTCGGTATAGTATAGGAAGCCAAAGAACCAGCCGACAGGGAAAGAGGCGAGGATCACAGCTTCGAGGAGCGGAATCGCCAGAGACGGGGGAGGCCGTTCGCGTTTGTGATAGGCCACCAGCGGAGTTAAAGCGATCGGCAGGGCAAGCAAAGCGAGCAAGGGCGTGAGACGCAGCATGGACAGGTTGCACTTCAGCATGAAGATCTTCTTGAGGATGAGGCTCACTACATAGCTAGACAAGAAGTTCTAGTCGCCTCCATATGACGTTCCATGATGCTCGGACTACTCACAGTCCAGGAGGAGTGGTGATCTTTGGGTCCCAGGTCCAATAATCGCCCTCGCAGTATGCCTGCACCTGCGGGACGTGGAAGGGCTCGTCCTGCCGACGATCACATGTTGAGCACCGCACGACAAGCATTCATGAGCCGCGCGTACCATGTACGGCTCCGTAACCTCCTCATTGGCGGCTTTCAGGACGAGCACGGCGACCGTGGCGAAGATAACATAGTATGTCGGCGCAGGCTGCGCCGATGACATGGCGGGGCGGGGTAAAGAGTGCAGAAGCGATCATGGCGTCCGCGCGCCTGCGCGACGTCGCGTCGCGCTTGTTTCTCTACCACAACCATGATTCCTACACCAGACCTTTCGCACCTCAAGAACGAGGATTATAAGCATGTATATGAGCCAGCTGGTGAGCTTAGAACGCGTAGATGGGATTGCGGTCGAGGCTAATGCATAATCCGTAACGCAGAGGATACCTTCATCCTTCTCGACGCGTTGGAAGAGGACGCGAAGGTGCTACAAAATATAAAGCCCCTTGTTTGTCTTGAAATTGGGTATGCCGTATAACCTGATTGTACGATGTTTTCTGACTGGAACAAGCTCAGGCTCCGGCTGCGTTAGTGCTTTCGCAGGCAGAATTATCGGTTCATCTGCATCACGTACGGCCCATGATATCCACTCAATTCACGCTCCTCATGTTCGCGCAGTATACCTCACCACGGATATCAACCCGCACGCGTGCAAAAGTACCAAAGCTACTGGGAAACAGAATGGAGTATGGGCCTCCCCGTGACTATATGCGACATCTCCAACTAACCGGTGTTCCAGTAGGTCTCTATCGACCCATTATTGGCATCCTTGACAGGATCCCTTCGTGCTCGCCTACGACATGCCGTCGATATCTTGCTATTCAATCCGCCGTATGTCCCAACTGACACGGACGAAGCGGATGAAGCTCAAGAAGCAGCGAATATCGCTGGAGCTTGGGCGGGCGGGCACGATGGCATGGCGGTGACGGATATCCTGCTGGAGCAGGTGGAGGTGCGTTATTACAATGGCGCATATAGTCAAAGTATCTGGACACGTACTCCCTTGCCAGAGCCTCCTGTCCCCTCGAGGGCGATTTTACTTAGTCGCCGTGAAGCAAAACGATATCCAGAGCATATGCAGCCGAATGCTTAGCCAGCATGGCCTCAAAGGCGAGGTCCGTCCCATCCATCCATCCATCCCCCTCTCCGCTCACACTGCCACAGATAGCGCTACAGCGTCGAGCGGGACGAGAACATCTATATGTCTTGCGGTTCACTCGACAAGACTCCGAGACGTGATATATACAGCATAGCTACGAGATACACGGGACAAGTGGTATACAGCTCCTTTTCCTTTGAACCTCTCACCAACGCGCTCAGAGCTCAAGACCAGCAAGCGCGGGGATGGGGCGCTCGGCTTGAGGAGTGATACGGCCGCCGTGGCGACGCTCATTGGTCTTTTCAAAGTCGATGATGGCAGACTATATGCACAGTCAGCTATATGGGCCGCGGTTCAGGAGGGATATGACACGTACGTGGGCCGTAACACGGTTGTCCCAAATGACGACGGTGTTGGGCTGCCACTTGATGCGGGCCTGGTTGTCGACGCTCTTGTCGATGTGGTCGTAGAGGAAGTTGAGGATGGCGTCTAGAGGTGCGTCTCAGGATACTGTGCTCTGAGATTATATGCTGCGCACTAACCTGACTCTTCCTTCTTGAGGCCAACGATCCGCCTCGTGAACTGACGGTTGACGTAGAGAGCCTCGTCGCCGGTGACGGGGTGCTTGCGGATGACCGGGTGGACGTTCTGGACGGGGTCGCGACGCACGACACCTCCCCGACGGCCAGAGCGCGAGTATTCGGCCTGCTCAAAGCCAGAGTGGACCGCCTTCAACGTCTTCAGGAAAGCGACGAACTGGGGCGAAAGGCGCGCGAGTGTTGACACCTGCGACGTGAAGATGGTGTCGCCGCCGGTCTTGGGCTGCGACAGAAGGAAGAAGGTAGTGAGCCCGGGCGGCTGGAGCTCGTACGAGACGTCCGAGTGCCACGTCGTCGACGTTGTCCGCTCATCTTGCTCAAAGTTGTAGGTGGTGTTGGCGTCGCGGTACACAAGGTGCAACTCCGGGAGGCCTTCCGGGTGTCCAGACGTGGGGTGGATGTGGAGGCGACCGAAGTATCGGCCCCACTCGCGGTAGAAGTCAGGGCCCCGGTCGATAAAGTCCTGCTGGTCGCGGAACACCACAAGGCCCCTCCTGGCAACCTACGGTTTCATACAGCCAAAAGCAACGGACAATGAGAAGGTGCGTCATCGGTGGGAATATCGCATATTGTGTGCGTACCTCGAGGGCCAACTGATCGCGTCCTGCGTTATCCAGCTCCGCGAGATTGACGCCGCGAACCTCCGTGCCCAGCCTGGGCGTGATATCGTCCACGCTTGTGGCATTCTCAAGGAACGCGCGGGGGTTCGGGTGCGACAGCGCACGGCTGCCGGGGTCGACGTGCTCGAAAGGCGTCAAGGGCGGGTAGTGCTCGTCCTTCGGGAAGACGGGCAGGAGGTGCGCATACTTGTACGGCTCTTGCTGGTTGGTCGGGTCCGCCTGGTCGCTCTTGTTGCGGAGCGTCAAGGACGGAATCGCCGCAGTAATTGTTTGGACGGTAGACATGGCGATCGACGAGGCTAGCGAGTTTACGGGTTTACCGTATCAGTTTTGTGGGAGCGGGGGAGGCCGACGACTCATGCGTTCCTTGGAAGCGGGCATATAAACATGACTTCATCGTCATATTTAGTGGCGAATACGCCATCGTGGCGAGTGGTGAGCACTCCCACAGCTGCCCCAGAGCTCTTCAAAGCGGCGGCCCGCTAGGGTCACTCGCCAGGATTGCGGCATGTCGGAGTGAACAGGTGGCGATAAGACGTGCTGTTTTTATATGCCGGGGGCCAGGCACTGTGCCGGAAGTGACATTTCCGCATGATCTCAAGGCTCGCAGCCACTGGGGCTCTGCGTTTTGGCTAGGATTTCCCAGCTTCTTCCCAGAATGAGAACAGTTCGTGCCGCGAAAAGCTCCGCAGCTTTTCTTGAGGCTTTCGTGACCTGGTCGATGATTCAGCAGATTGCGTTCAGTACGGTCCGAGAACTCCTGCATTGCATTTCCTGACAAGCCTTTTCCCACTAGGCCCGGCTCTTCGCCATCATGCAAACGGTGAGCGAGAGAGAGCGACGCATTGCATTCGATGCTCCGTCTGCGTATGTAAGTATGAAAGGCATCGATCCCATTCGCAAGGATTTCTCGAGGGGCCATCTGGGTGGATCCGAGCTAAGCGCCGATCCGATATCTCGTAACTCGGAGATCAGAGAGTCGATCCCGTATCGGGAGGTGCGTGTGCGCAAAGTCGGAGGGGCGGCGGTGTCGGGGACGCTTGTGACCTCCTGCTGATCGTCCTTGACGCAGGTTATTGTGTCGGGACCATCCGGTTCTTCGTATGGAACGACTTCGGCGCGCGCCCCTGCGGCTTCACAATAAGATATAGGCGCCCGTCGCACGAACCTTCCCAATGATAGGCACGTCGCGTAACCTTCGTGCGCCGCCGTTCGCTTATGAAACCTCGTGGACCAAATTTGCACCCTCGCAATGTCCAGCGTATATGCTGTAGTAAAAGACATTGGTTGTGACACATAGTCAAACTTTTACGATGGTGAACAGGGTGAGTGCATCGATCAGGGTCGACAAGTTAGTAAATGATACCGCCACTCGAGAGTAACTGTGGGCGCGCGGGAACAACTTTAGACTCCGCGGTCTTGTATCGATCTGGAGATCTCACGCCTTATTGTCTTGTTCACCTGCACGCACGCTGACCCGACCGACATGGTAGATGCCTAGCAATACCGCCAGTCTAGAGCCGATATGCGAGACAATTGGGCGCGCCATGCAAGCACAAGCTTCTTCTGCCGGCGAGAGGATATGAAAAGGGATGCGTTTCCACCCAGGACACTCCCCATCCTCCCCCCCTTTCCCTTTCCTTCTCCCGCCTTCGCGTTTGCTACGCCTTCGTAGTCAGGGACTGCTACCATGGAGGCGAAGACTTCTTCCTATGCGCTCAACCTCCCCACGCTGCTTCGCCGGCGCAACTCCTCGCCCGATGTCCCCGAGGATGTCGACTACATCATGAGCCACTTGAACGACCCTAACTGGGACCTTTCCCAGCCGCCAACCGCGAGCACCGAGACGTTCGCGGATAAGGCCCAGACGTCATCATGGACGGACCACTCCTACCACGAAACCGAGACCGAGACTGCTTCGCAGCTTGGCTCGACGCGAGTGGGTACTTCGAAGTTTGACTTGCGCGAAGCGAAGGTAGAGGAGTACAACGAGTGAGTCATCTGATCTTATCTTGGACTGAACATCACTGATGCCCCTTCAGAGAGTCGCCCTACGCAGAAGTACGTGCGGCTGTCCCGAACACCGACGATCCCTCAATTCCGGTGAACACCTTCCGAGTGTGAGCATCAAGTAGAATCCTGCTTCCAGGTCGTACACGCCACTGACACTTCGCGCCACAGATGGTTTTTGGGTATCATCCTCTCTGTTCTCCTGTCCGGCTTGAACCACTTCTTCCTGGGTCGTTGTAAGTTGGACGTCCTCTCTGTTTCATCGCATATATTAATGTGTCGGTTGGTAGGGCCTTCGGTCGCCATCAGTGCTCTCATTGCTCAGTTGGTGGCGCTACCACTTGGCAAGGGTCTTGAATGGTTGCTCCCTACGCGGCAGTTCAACACGCTCGGCTACGTCTGGTCGTTCAACCCCGGCCCCTTCAGCGTGAAGGAGCACGCGGTCATCACCATCATGGCGAACGCGGTCTACACCGACGTGTACTCGACTTCGATCTTCGCCGCGCAGCGCGTGTGGTACAACGAGCGCCCCGCCATCGGCTACGAGCTCCTCATCACGCTGTCGTCGCAGATGATCGGTTACGCATGGGCTGGCATTGCGCGCCAGCTCCTCGTCTGGCCCGCGAGCATGATCTGGCCGTCAGCACTCGTCAGCTGCGCGCTCCTGAACACCCTCAACCGCAACTGGGGCAAGGTCGAGACCAAGCACATCTCTAGGGAGAGGTTCTTCCTCTACGTCGCCATTGGCAGCACTTTCTACTACTTCCTCCCGGGCTTCCTCTTCACCGGCCTCAGCATGTTCAGTTGGGTGTGCTGGATCGCGCCCCAGAACCAGACGGTCAACACCCTGTTCGGCTACAACACGGGTCTTGGCCTTGGTTTCCTGACGTTCGACTGGTCGATGATCTCATGGCTTGGAAGCCCCCTGGTTTCTCCCGTACGTATATTATGCATCGCGATGAGTTTGTGGCGCACATCTGACGCTTCTTTCGCAGTGGTGGACTGAAGCCAACGTCTTCATCGCTTTCGTCATCATTTACTGGATCATCGCCCCCATCATGTACTGTGAGTACGCGTCCAATGCGGCGTGAAGGGCGAGCTAACAGTCCTATCACAGTCAAGAATGTCCTCTTCGCGAAGTACTTCCCGATCTCGACCTCCTCCGCGTTCGACAACATGGGCATGCCCTACGACATCACCGCGGTCGTCGATGAGAACGGTTTCTTCGATGTGGAGAAGTACAAGGCATACTCCCCGCTCTTCATGCCCGTCAACTTGCAGCTCGCGTACGGCACCCAGTTCGCGATGATCACCGCCGTTGTTGTCCACACTTTCCGTAAGCCATCTCTCATCCTACCGGGAGTACGCCTGCTGACAACCTCTGGCAGTGTGGTACCGCCACGACATTGTCCGCCAGTTCCGTCGGTCACTGCGGGATGAGAAGGACGTGCACTCTCGCCTCATGATGTCATACCCCGAAGTCCCTGCGTGGTGGTACGGCTCGCTGTTCCTTGTCGCCTTTGTCTTCGGTGTCGTCGCCATCGAGGTCTACCCGACGCAGTTCCCGGTCTGGGCATTCATCCTCTCCCTGATCATCGGCTTCGTCTTCGTCATCCCCGTCGGCATCATCCGCGCTATCACGAACCAGCTGCCGGCGATCAACGTGCTCGCTGAGCTTGTCGGCGGTTACGTCCTCCCCGGTCGCCCGCTCGGCGTCATGGTCTTCAAAACCTTCGGCTTCGTCTCCATGTACCAGTCGCTCTTCTTCTTGAACGACCTGAAGATCGGCCACTACATGAAGATCCCGCCGCGCGTCATGTTCATGGCCCAGGTCGTCGCGTCGACGCTGGCGTGCTTCGTCTGCGTTGGCGTGCAGGAGTGGCAGTTTGCGAACATCGAGGGCTACTGCACACCCACCCAGAAGGACGGCTTTGTCTGCAACGACATCGAAACCTTCGCCACCGCGTCCATCATCTGGGGCGGCATCGGTCCTCAGCGTCTCTTCTCCCACGGCGCGATGTGAGTTTTTATGAGTCCACGTCTTATACCGTGAGAACCACTGACATGCCAATCCGCTTAGGTACAACTATGTCCTGTACTTCTTCCTCATCGGCGCGCTCCTCCCCATCCCCTTCTACCTCCTCGCTGTGCGCTACCCGACCTCGTTCTGGCGCTACGTGAATATCCCCGTCTGCTTCGCCGGGCTCGCGCAGCTCCCGCCCGCGACCGGCATCAGCTACTCGTCCTTCACGATGGTCGGCGCGTTCTTCCAGTGGTTCGTGCGCCGCTACCACTTCCGCTGGTGGCTCCGCTTCAACTACATCCTCTCCGCCGGGCTCGACATCGGCGTCTCCATGGGCATGGTCCTCGTCTTCTTCTGCCTGCAGTACCCCAAGGGCGGCGTCGAGCTCAACTGGTGGGGCAACACCGTCTGGCAAAACACGTTCGACGCGATGGGCATGCCCGCCCTCTTCACGAACACGACCATCGGCCCCCAGGTGTGGGCTTAGACGTCCCCGCCTCGGACCCGTCTCTGCGCCTGTAGCATTATCGGCGGCACACGGCTTGGGGGCAGAAGGCCCCCGCAGTGGCCCGCCGCGTCGTTGTATTATCCTTATGTACTATCGCACTGCCCAGCATCACGCCCCTCTCCACGCATTATACTCGCTCACGAACTCTCCTACTCTTCACGTCTTCCACTTGTCTTCATAGGGTCTCCGGGCGCCGTTCGCTCCTTTTCTTCACGCACGTACAGGTCATACGCATCCCCCCCTTGTATTCGTTCTTACGGCTCACGACTTTTGTATCTCGTACCTGAATGAGAATGACGTCCGTCACGTTTGCAATGATTTCTCCCAAAGTGTGCGCAGTTCGAGCAACTCCGAGTCGGTGATATGTCCGAGAGATGAGTGCGTGCCGAGCGCGATGGCGCAAGAGTTACTATCGACGTGGTGGCGTGAACGGTGCCTTCGGAGGCCGTGCCTCTACTATTCATACCTCGCGACAACGACTAGTCCTCACCTGGGCCCGGCTGGCATTCATCCTCGTCAATGGAAGCAGCAGCGGCGTGCGGATGGTGCGATGAGCGTTGAATGGATATACAAGAGTGGGATAGCTGGTCGTGCGTAAATCGTACATCAAGAAGCGTGCTAAAGAGAGCAATGATTATATCGGTCCGTGGGCCCGGGCAATCATTATCATAGTATCGTAAAGGTTGTGTGCGGTTCAGGGTTCAGTGACAGTAAAGTCCGAGTTAAGGTTGGGTGGTGGGGGAGGGTGGGGGTTACTCAGTCGTCGCGGTCCGCCTGCCTACTCCGCCGGCTGAGGGAGAATCGCGAGGGGGAGATGGGCGGTGCACGTTCGCCGCCGGATATCGAGTGCAGGGACGAGCGCGAGCCCTTGTTGGACAGCGGGGTATCGGGGTCGTACTCGAGCCGGAGCTGCAGCAGACCCTGGCCCTCGCGGAGCTCGATAGTCAGGTCCTTCGACGGGACGGCCTCTCCTGGTTGCAGGTGTTGCCAGATCTACACGGGGCGGTCAGTATACGCATGCCGCAAGGTTTAAGCAACGCAAACGTACATCGATGTCCGCGGAGCCGAGCAGCTTGTCCTTCCCGAGCGTTTTGTGGTCGTATACCCACACGAACATCTTCGGCTGTGTGGCGGGCGCAGCAGCGAACGCAAATGACTCGTTCCTACACAAGCCCATCAGTACGTGGTCACTTCAATGGTCTCCGTGCGCGCTCACCATTCAGGCGTCGCCGTCTTGCCCGAGTGCTTCGTCTTGTGCTCCTTGTCACCAACCCGCACGAGGACGTACGGCTTGATGTCGGACGTCGACAAGTCTTTCGCGTCTTTCACGACCACGCGAAGCGTACCGGGGGTTTGGTTATGCGCGCCGCCTTCGTTCACAGACGGGAATGCCGGAGGCGACGTGCCCTCCGCCGCATAGTCGACCTGCTTCGATACCACACCCGCGGGAAGCTCCGGACGATCTGAGTCCGAGTCCGACCCGGAGCTATCGCCACGGCGCTTGAAGACGCCCGTGACGCCGTGCAGCACGCCCTTGCCTGCGCCGACGGGCAGGTGGCCGATCTGCGTCATCGCGCGGCCCGCGGTGCTGAACGTCGACGTGTTCTTGCGGGACTTCACGATGATCTCGGGCGTGAACAGCAGCCGAATTCGGACTTCGCCCTTGTCGCCGTGCTTGTCGTGCGACAGGGAGAGTGAGCGCTCGACGGCGGTGAAGGGCTCGACGTTCGAGAGGTCGATCCTGGCGGAGCCGAGGCTCTTCGCCTGCTCGATCTGGTTCCAGTCGAACACTTCGAGCTGGAAGTCCGCGGCTGCGCGGGAAGGCTACGACGACTCATCAGGAAGATGCCCGGAGGAAGCGAAGGTATGAGAACGTACCACTTGCACCACGAAGTTCTCGTTCCATTCTGGCGCGAGCGTCTTCTTCTTGGTCTGTGACTTGTGCACCCTCTGTCCGTTGAGGAAGAAGACGACGAAGGGGTCGGACTTGCCTGGAGAACTGGTCAGCATCTGTGTTACAGCAACCTCATTAACGTGAGACATACCTCCACGGTCCGCCGCGTGGATGCTGTGGCCGTCAAGCAGGTCAACCCGCAGGATACCCTGGTCTATAGCGCGAAAGCGGCGTCAACACCAGAACGGGTGGATGATTTAAAACCACAACGCACTGTTAACGCTCTCCCTAGGCTCCAGCTTGATCGGAACGGGCAGGTAGCGAGTCTCGAGCTTGATGATGGACTTCCTGTCCTCATCATTGGGGTCCACGAGCGTGAAGTCAGCCGGGCCGTCCTATCACACAACCATATATCAGCACATAATCCTTCACGCGGCACCCCGAACTATAAGGCACTCACCAAGGTGCGCTCCAAGAACGCCTTCGCGTCGCCCTTCCATTCAGCAACGACATCGTCCTTGTCGCCCTCGTCCGCCTCGTTCAGGCGCAGCCACACGCGGCTGAAGTCGAGCTCCTTCACGACGCCCTCGCCGATGTACTCCCACTGCGCGTTCGTGCTGCGCGGGCGGATCGTGCTGAACGCGGGCCAGTACGCGTCGTCGAGCAGCACCTCCAGCCGCGCCTTCTTGTGCAGCCGGCCGGAGAGCACGTTGAAGATGATGACACCCGCCTCTGCGCATATAGTCAGTATTACGCGCGTAGCAAGCGTGGCAGAGGACGTACGGTGCTTCAGGAGCTCCTCCTTGCTCATCTCGATGCCCTGCTCCTCCGGGCGCTTCTCGTGATCGACGCCGTTGACGCCATTGGCATCGATCGGGGACTTGGCCGACGTCGCGCTGAACGTCGTGTCCGTCGACGTGACCCTCCGATGGCTCTTGTCGCCCTCCGCCGGGCCCTGGTCGTTCTCGTCGACCGGGCTCGCAGCAGTGATGCCCTCGGGTACTGCCGCGTCCTCCTCCGAGTCCGTATCGTGCACAGTCTCGCCCTCGTCGTCATCGGACGCAGCCGCCGCATGATCGTGCTCCGCCGCCTGCTCGAGCTCGCTCGGACGCGCGTCGAATCCGATGCCGCGCACGGCGTACGCGGGCACGAACTCCGCGACATAGTGCAGCTGGCCCTTGAACGCGCCGTTGCCGACCTTGAGCGGCTCCTGCGCCTCGCGCTTGCCGGTGGACTCGTACAGGAACTCGCCCGTCTCCGCCGCGTTCGCCTTCGCGAGGTCGGACACCTTCAGCTCCGTGTACCCGAGCGAGCGGTCCTAGCGGGCCGGCGTCGGGCGTCAGTACAGGCGGGGAAGCGGGGGCGCGTGGCGCACGGACCTTTGTGAGGTGCTGGTAGTCCATCGCCTCGAGCAACATCGTCTATACAGTCTGTCAGCTTCGGAACCACACTCCCACGTCAGAAAACGCACTTCTTTCAGGGAATGCACTAATACGGGCCACCATGAGCATTAGAGTTTCATAACGCCCAGCTGCGGGGACGGACTTACCAGGAATGTATATGATTTGGTCCCATTCCGGGTTCAAGTCTGCGGTGGCGGACACGGGTGAGCGACATATGAAGCGCTTCTGTGGTGCAGACTCACTGTTGTTGACAACTTCCGTGCGTCCTTGCGTAACGTTGTTGATCTGCACGCGGACGTACGGATCGCTCTAAAGGAAGGGAACGCGGTGAGTGAGCCTGATATAACTACCACCTCCCCTCCAATCTCTCGCACTCGTACCTTGCCTCCCAACGTCGCTTCTACGTTCCTGCGGTTCGGAATCCTCGTCAGCTTTAGCGGACATAATAGGTGCGTCATCCACGTACTTCACTTCCGTCGCGCGCTGCAGCCACAGCCGCACCACGCCGATTGGCGGCACGTACTGGTCGGCGCCATGCAGACTGCCTGCCATGTTCAGGGGCTTCCAGTCCGCGGTGATCCTCAACTTGCCCGAGCGCGCGCCGCTGAGTCGCCACCAGTCCTTCCCGGTCGCCTTCGCATTGAGCAGGTCCGCGAGGCGCACGCTCATGTAACCCACAACGGGGTCCTTGAGGAAGTCGCGGTCGTCGATGACCTTCGCGACCAGCACACTCGACGCGCGGTCCGTGCACAGGAACTCGGTACTGTCCTCCCAGACGGGGTTGTTCGTGTGCTTGAGCTTGCGCGTCGCGTGGAACGCCTGCTTGCTCGAGCCCGTGAACAGCTTCACGAAGGGGTTCAGGTCGCCCGACAGCGACTTCGTCGAATCGAGGTCCTTCGCCTGGTGCACGGTGAGGCGCACAATGCCGACCTCTGTGCCAAACGCGAGTTCTTTGAGTCACCGATATATCTGGAAGGCGGGGAATGCACTCACTCGAGTCGGGAAGCATCTCCTTCCCTCCAGCATCAACCTCCGGCTTGAGAACGGGGTAGAAGTTGACATCGAAGCGCAGAGTTCCGCGCTCCTTGCCATCCTTCAAGATGGGCACTTCGATATTCTCCTGCGTCGCATCCTGCTCGAGCTTGCTGAGGTCGAACGTCGCGAACCCAAGATCCGTGTTGGCGCGGTGGTCATTGTAATCCCACAGCTTGAGCACGAGGTTTTCTGTGAGCGAGTTCACAAGGAGGAACTTCGTCTCCATCCACGTGGGGTTCGCCCTGCAGGCACATCAAATTCGCGGTCAGCGCCAAACCACACACGACATGCCGCTACGTCACGATAAGCAAAAACGCGATGACGTACGTGTTATGCTTGAACTTGGTCTTCGCGAGCTCGACGCGCTCATTGATGCTGAGGCTGACGTAGGGGTCAGGGCGACTGCCGCCGAGCTTTGAGCTCTTGAGGTCCCGGGCGCCCTGGATGGTGATTTGCAACACACCGATAGCGGTATCGATAGGCTCCCCGGACAGCATTTGCTCCAGGTTCAGGGTGAAGACATTCGGGTCGTACATCATCGGGCCCAAGACGCCGTGGACGGTATCGCGAATGAAAGCAGAAAGACCGGGGACCTATTACGAGCGGTCAGTTACGAAAACCCGAGCCTTGGGAGAGGCGACTCACATTTCCGATGTCGAAACCAAAGGTCTCTCCGCCGAGGGGCTTCAGGGAGTAGTCAAACACGGGCTTCTCCATGAACGACAAGTCCACCAGTTGCACATGGGGGAAGTTGGTCATCAACTTCAGGCGGATCTTGAGGTGTCCGGTGAAGGACATGTCCTCGAGGAGGATGGGCATCGCTGCGCTCGCGAGGCCCTTGCCGACGCGCACGCTGAGGATGATCTTTGGGTTGACTCGGTTAAGCTTCTGCTTCTCCGTCAACTCAGAGGTGTCGTTTGGCGTGAAAGAGAACCACCATTCCATGACTACAACATCGTCCTCGGTGCGTCCGTAGGTCTTCACGCGGTCGATGCGGGGCGCTTTGGTACCGAGCGTGAAGGTGCTCAGGCGAAGCGAATCCAGGAAAGGAGGGCAGTTCGTGGATAGAATTTGGTCGACGGAGGCGACGACAGTGCGAGAAAGAACGGGTTCATAGATGAGCCAGAAGCGGTCGAGGAAGTTGTTGATCCACTCCGCAGACTCGATTCCGGTATCAGTGCTGAAACGGGTTTTGACGAGCTCGCGTTGGATATCATCGCGGGCACGCGCCCGGACGCGCTTCATGGAAGTTGCATAGTATGTGTTGCAGAAGGCGAGGACGATGAAAAGCCAACCCCAGCCGAAGTGGAACCGAGTTAGAAAATGGGTCACGATGACGGTCTACGCGAGGTGAGTGCCAAATCATCTCAGCTTGGGAAACCACTTACTGCGACGATAAGTGCTGCATTGTGATACCACTCGCCATAGAATTGCTCCTTCAAGAATAGGGTCAAGACTTCCTTGTCGGCCTCGTCTCCTGCCGCTGCGGGCGCCTTGTCGATTCCAGAAACGTCCCGCCACCCGAGCTTGTACCAGTCGGGTATCTCAGGTGCAGGCCCGTTTGGCATTGCTCCAGGGGCTTCGGGGTCAGCGGGTTCAGTGGGCGATGCTGGCCAGGCCGGGGATGTTGGTGAGGCAACCCCGTTTGCCTTCTGTCCGGCGACTCCGTTACCGTTGGCGACTACTCCGTTTCCGTTGACGGCTCGACTCCGGTCAACGTCTTCGACAGTGATGGTCGGGAGGACACTTGCGTTCGCGGTGCCCGTGTCCACAGCAAGCTCTGCGGACATAAGTACAGGTGAGCGGCACGGCCTTGCTGCGGGCGTGAGGTAATTGGAGGATGCGAGCGGCAGGCATACCTTTCGCGCCTGTCTGCACGTCGGCATTCTCGAGGCCAAGCTTATCCTCTCCTTTGCCGGCGGCGGCACCTTTGGACTCGGGACTGGAATTGGGGTCGAAGGTGTGGATGGGCACGCGCCCCTTGGCGGCGTCTCGTTGGACGATGCCGTTCACTTTCGCTTGGGCCTGTTGGGAGACGGGGGCGCCGTCGACTGATGCGGACGCCATGGCGGGCGGGAGGAGGGGGCAACTACGAAGAGTCCGTGGTAGAATAGAAGGAGAGAGGGAAGGAGCGTGTGGGAGGGTGTATGCTGCGAGGTCAGATGAATGAACGCTGCCCGTCCCTCGATGACGTTCCGCCACACGCGCCCTGGCTCCCCGGCCACTCCGGCACCATCACTCTCGTTCGGCGGCACAGCCGTTGTCCCCTCGACGTTGCATTTTCGTTCTCTGGGGATGCCGCTGTTCCCCGCGTATCGCGATGCCAGCTGGCAATGCGCTGCCAAATTTGCCCGCAGTTGTCATGGATGATTGCTGGCGTCCAGCGGGGGAATGGACGCAGCAAAAATATGGCACCAGACGGGGACGCCCGCTGTTCCGGGGTCCAGGAACGCCGCCGCGACGCGTCGGGGGCCACGTGAGGGCGTGCTAATTGACCCCTGTTCCTGTCCTCCCCCGCCACCTACTCACCGCTCCACTCCATGATGCATGATGCTCAGCTCTCTCGCACCCTGAGCTGGCCTGCACTTCACAAGACCTCACGGACGACGCGCCTGCAGCTCGAGGGCGCGGAGATGCATTGCACGTGACGCCATGCAGCTGCGAGATTGCTGTCTGGCGATGGCCAGTCCGTTCGCGCCGCAGATGCATAGGCACGGCCATTACGATCGAATGCTCGCCGATAGCTCCTCTATCGCGGTCTCTCCGGATACGCTGCACTGGTCTCCTTACCTCTGACCGCTGCGCGCTGTGTCTGCCGCGCCCGCAGCCTTCCGTTTCCTCTGCCTCACTGACTTGCGTTATCCTTTTTTTTTAACGGTGCTAATCACGCGTGGCGCAAGCGCCTTCCATGATTATTGCTCAGCAGCGAGGTACAGTGTCCTCTACGCTTAAGTTATGCTACCGTACGGAGGAAATGCTTTACGCACGCGAGTATGCTGTATACTCACAGTGTGGGACTGCATGCTTACCGTACGGCCCTCCTAGGCTATCCACCCTCAGGCTCGTACTGTCGCAGCGGCTTACCCACTAAAACCCCCGGTGAATGGATCCAATCGAGCGGCAGTCGGTGCTCATCTTGCAAGGTCTTCTCCCATGTTGCCAACACTGTCGCGGAGGGGATGGCCCATCTCCCCGCTACTCGTTTACTTACCAACGTGCACTCATTTTGCAGGCGTTTGTTCAGGGCCCGGAGCCAGCGGCGTTCTACATATTCTTCTTCTAGTGCTCGTGGGAGGGGGACACGGTCACCGACAACTCGGTCGCAACGCAGTACCCAGATCAGGTACGCAGTCTCCGTGAGGATGATCCGTGCCAGGCGCGTCGCGCCATGGAGGAGTTCATCTTGTTCGTTAAATGCCGCGAAGGCGTGTCCGCCAAGGGCGATGCCCAAGCTGACCGCGGGCAGTCGGACAGATTTCTTCGCGAGTAATCCGCGCGCTAGCGCCCATGCTACGTTCTGTCCTGGTGCTGAGCACTCACACAGTATGTGTTCCAGGGATTCAGTCACTCCACAGGCAGCACACATCGCCCGCGTCTCAAAGCCGGGTATGTGGGCCCAGTATTTGCCCACTCGGAGGCCGTCGTGGAGGGCGCGCCAGAGGAAGTCCCGTGCCTTCCTCGAGACTGCATTCTTCCTAAGTAGGTTCCAGATCATCGGTTCCGCAGGGCGGGCTCCAGAGGCCATTTGGATTGATTCTTGTATCATCGCGATAGCCCTCTTCGTCGCCGGTCTCTCCTCCCCAGCATTCCAGCCTCGGATGCCCCGGTATGCCAGGCGCTGCGTGAGGTGGGCGAGGGATGCACCACGGATGATATATTCCTCAGGTGGGGGGAGGTGAGTGGGTCTCACAGTCGGCGGGTGCTTGGCCCCCTCACTGGCAAGCCGGTCCGCCTCTTCGTTTCCCCTCACTCCCGAATGTCCTTTGACCCACTTGAAGGTTGTCGGAGCACTCCGTGTACGGAGGTAGCCCACCAGTTCACGGAGCGCGGGCGCATTTGCAACTCCTATCCAGCCACACCTCTCCCAACCAGGTAGGTGCTTCGTCAGTCCGTTCACGACGTATTTGGAATCACTGACAACATGCAGCGGTGCGAAGGGCGGTGTCAGGCGGTGGGCCATGGTGACAGCGTGAATCTCTGCAATCTGGTTCGTTTGCGCATCGTGGGGGACACGTTCTCCACTATTCCTCACATCTCCTTCGCCAAACCACACGCCGCTTCCAGCCACAGCAGTCCCTCGGTCCCCTCCTTGCGCCGATCCATCTGTGAAGACTTCGACTGCCTCCGCCGTCAGTTGGAAGGGGCGGGGAAGGCGGAGGGCAGTCCTCGTATCTTTCGCCGTGGGTGGGACAAACACCCGGAAGACTTCTGCGAGCGGCGCGTTCGTTGATAAGGTCGGGTCAAAAAGGACACGGTCGTGCGATAGCCGTGCCGAGTCGTTCTCTCTGCGTCTGCCAGGGGTCAGGGTGAGGCCATCCCGGTTCTCCTCGCGCACTAGTTTCCATTTTTCACCCACTCTGTTCAGAATCTTCGCCGCCGTTGCCGCACATCTGTGTGGGTTGTCGCACCCATATAGGCTCCGGTCCCGGTCGCAGTCCCCACACTCGCAGCTCGCCCGTGCCACGTGGGCATTGTCCCGCGCCGAGAGTCGGGCTGCAGCTTGCTCACCCTGCTGGACCGTTCGGACTCGGTGGGCTTCGCGGAGGCACCGGCTGCTTTCCGTATTCTCCGAGACTCGGCTTGCTTCTCGCCCGATGTGATACCACAGCGGCATCTGCTTGCGCAGGGCAATGGAGGGGTTCGCAGAGTCACACCGTACCCCGTACTTCTTCGCGGCCTTGATCATGTCCTTCAGACAGCGCGGCAGGCCCGCCTTTGCTCTCGTACTGACGGTCCAGAGCTGTAAGAAGGTATTGATGCGTGCGGGGAGTTCAACGTTCTTGGACTCCGACGCAATTGCCCTTGCAAACAGGGCATCCGCTACCGTAGCCCACAGGGGGCGTTTGGATCCAATCAAGAGGTATGAGCGTAGCCACATGAGGTGTATGGCTTCATTCCGTGTTCGTATGTCTAGGAGGTTCAGTCCCCCCTTCGCTATCGGCTTATAGAGCTGCTCCCGGGAGATCCGCGGATGGGCGTCGCCTTTCCACAAGAAATCCGCCTCGATCTTTGTTAGGCGGTTCTCAACGCTCGCCGGCATGGCCTGGACCATCGCTCGAAACTGCGTTCGGCCGGCAAGCTCAATCCCAACCGCAAGTCTCCTGCCATGGAGGGAGGGCCGCGATCGATCCCACTTCGCCAGGTTTTCCTCAATGGTGTTTAGGACAGGGACCCACGGGGCCGCCAGGTCAAAGCCATTCCCAATCCATGCTCCCAGGAGGCGGACAGCCTCGCCGTCTTTGACTATGTGCACAGCGGGCGGGATTTGTAATCCGTTGGGGCCTAGTCTGCGGGACGCTACTACCTCGTCACGGTACGCCTTCCCCCCTATGGGCAGTACTTCGGTCTTCTCAGTGTTGAATCGAGCGCGCGCGGCGCGGCACCACTTGTCCGTGATGTCCGTCATTTGTTCATACTCATCATCTTTGCTTAGATAGACGGTCGTGTCGTCCGCGAATAGCTTCGTTAGAAGCCGGTCAGCCATTCCAGGCATGCGGAGCCCGCGCAGCGTCGACTTCCGGAGGGCGCACGCCAGGGGTTCGATAGCTAGGTTGAAAACTAGGCAGGAGATTGGATCGCCTTGGCGGACGCCTCGGATGATTCGGAAGAAGTCACTCCGGACGCCATTCACCATGACGCAGCTCTCAGCGCCCGCATACAGGTGCTTCAGTGTCTGGATAAAGTTGCGGGGGAAATTCATCTTGCGAAGGGCCTCCCAGAGGTAAGCATGGTCTATCTTATCGTACGCCTTTTCTTGATCAAGGGCTACTATTGCACCATCCAGTTCCTCCGCTTCGGCGTACTCGATCACCAGTTGCGCTAGCTTAATATGATCAAAGATCCGCCGCCCAGGGATGAAGCCCGCTTGGTCGTCGTGGATGACCGATGGCGCCACCATCGCCAACTTCGACGCCAGTGCTTTCGTCATTAGTTTGTAATCCGAGTTTAGGAGCGTGATCGGGCGGTAGCTACTGATTTCACGCTTATCCTTCTTCAGCTTGTACACAGGGCAGATCCACCCGTGGGCGAAGTCCGAGCCTTGGATGAGGCCATGCTTCTCAATATCGTTGTACACACGTCGCAGTGCTTTGGGCATGTCAACCGCCGGTGCTCCCCGTTTTGAGTCCGCTTCATACCATCTATTGTACGCCTTCCACACCTCCGTCGGCAGACCATCCAGCCCCGGGGCTTTCCCCGTGGCTGCAGCCTTAATCGCGTCCACAACGTCGCACCTTTCCAGGCGTTCGGCTAGGGTCGCCTTGGCGGCATTATCCAGGCACGCATCCGTATCAGCAAGGGCTTCCTCTATGTACGCGTCATGGTCTTCGCCTTCCTCGAGAGGATCATCCTGTTGTATGCCGTCGTAGAAGGTACGTGCTATCTCTGCCATTGTTTTCGTGTGGTTCGTGTATGTCGGCGGGACAGTACCCGGTTGTCGCATCGTGTACATCTCCTCAGACACCTCAGGGGTCGTGTTGCCCCTCATCCAGTATTTTGACATTGTCTCACTTTGTACAGAGTGCCGGCCTGCCACTTCTTTCCTTCGCCAGTCAAAGCGTCTCTGCTCCAGCTTCGTGATCCGATCTTGGAGGATCGCCGCACGTTCTGCAGCTGAGGAGACAGCGCCTCGGTCGCTCATACCATCGTCCCGCTCACTGGCAGTTCGAGCGAGGTCTATCTTGAGTCTGTCAATTCTTTTCTGCATCTTCGGGACTTTTGCTTTTGCTCTCGCCCGTGCAGCCCCGACTAGCTCCCGTTTGAAGTCAGCATAGGCAGTTTGCGGGTTCTCGTTCTGCGTTCTCGGTCCCGCAGCGTCAAGGCGGCGCAGCAGGGCGGCGCCAAGGGTCTTCATTGTTTTCTTCATCACGTCGTCATTCAGAAGGTGAGCAGGCATGACCCATCGGCCCTTGCCATGGAAAGGTGCCTTATAGTTTTCTACGGATACCGACACCAGTAGGTGGTCCGTGCTCAGGCCCGATGCCATTATCCCCCAGTCGGAGCAGTCTCTCATCATTTGCTTCCTCGCATAGATCCGGTCAAGGCGTGATTGCGCTGAGGTGCTGTCTTGTAGGAAGGTATACCCTTTGTCCAGGGGGTGAGCCGCCCTCCATCCATCCGTCAGCCGCAGTTTGTCGCACAGCGACTGGAGCGCCACTCTCGGTGCTTCCGGATCCTCCCTCGGGGGGAGTCGGTCCGCCTTGTCCTCCACCACATTGCAGTCCCCGAGCATCAGGTCCACCCGCCCGAGGTTCATGTTCTCTAGAGTCTCCCAGAACTCGGCATTGGCCAGGCTCTCGTTCGGCGCATATACAGTAAGGATTCGGAGCTTCCGTTCGGCCGTCCACGGCACAGTCAACATCGTCGCTCGGCCGGGGATCAGGGTGCGAAGGAGGGGGGTACAGTCCTTCAGTATGCGTTTATTGATAACTGCAGCGACCCCCCGGGCCGCGGTTGGGTTCGTGGGGTCAGGCGAGCAGAGAACCGTCATCGTATTCGTGAAAATGTCATTCAGTAGTGTCACTCGGTCATCATCAAGGTGCGTCTCTTGCAGGACTAGCACTGCGATCTTCTTGTCTCGCATAAGTTGGTTTACTCTTATCTACTTGCTAGACCCATCTATCCTGCTCTCCGTGCCATATCCTCGGATATTCAGGGATGCTACCGTGATACGCGCCTTGGATTTCGGCCTACGGGCAGTCTCCGGCACATCATCTGCCCCCTCCGACCCCACCGCCGCGGGCGTGGCGTCCAGCCGTCGAGGAGGCGCACGGGCCACAGGAGCAGGGGCATCCAGCAGCTCCTCTTCAGCCCTTGGATTGTCTGCCCCGCCCGCAGCGCTGCCACCGTGTTCGCCACCACCGTCATCGATGCGCGGATTGGCAGGGAGGTCCCTCGCATCTCGAGCAGCGTCGAGGCCTGTTCCGTTTGCCAGTACATTCTCCGTTGGTCTGTTTGGGGTGTTTGCTAAGCTAGGGTTCGTAGTTGATAGATGTCCCGTCTCGTTTCAACCAACACGGACGGTAAGACAGTGTATCCCGACTGTCCCGGTCGACTATGCACTCGGTACTCAGATACGCCTCCTTCCGCAGCGTCCTCGTACGCCGGCTTCAGCTTCTCAGCGCGGCACGTCGGGGCCTGAATAGGCCGCCGCTTTTTGGGAACCCCCCAGCTTTCCTGTGCTTCGTGAAGCCAGTGTATTTGGGCTTGGAGGGGACCGGCTCGCACCGTCGACTAGTCAGTTGCGGGTCTGATCCACGGTGCGAGCCTCATTCGCGCTAAGGGTGGTCATGTCCTTTGCGCAGCCTTTCCGGGTTAGCCGTTGTTTCTCGCGGGTCGTGGGTTGTCCCGGAGCCAGGTGCGGGAGCTAGCGGTTATTCTATGTGCAAGCAATCGTGAATTAGCGCGTGCTCAAGAGTCTGTACAGGCGCAGCGCAGTGCGTGGTACGTGAGGACAGGGCGGGTCAGTTCCAAGGCGTTGTAGCGCGGGGTGAGAGGACGTGTCGTATGTCGGTACAGTAGTGTGCAGTGATATGTGCGGGGCGCATCGGGCGCTCTCAAGAAGAGGCTGTATACATCGTGCGTTCGGTTGACAAGGATACCGAGGGTGGGGGCAAGAAGAGGGGGGGGGTATGTAGAGTCCGCCGCCCCGCGGGCAAGAAAGGGTGTCCCAAGCGGGTTCTCGTGGCTCTACCGCGGGCCGTACGTCGGGTAGACCGGCGCGAAGCTGGTGGGCGGGGCCTGGTTGGGCTGCTTCGGGGCGCGGCGGGGGCGGCCACCGTTGGCGCGGGGAGGGGGAGGATTACCGTGCTGGTTGTCGTATGGAGGGGGCTGCTGGGCGTAGTACTCCCCGTCGTTGTACGCGTTCGAGTATCCAGCGTGGGGCGGGCCCGTCTGCGTCTGCTGCTGGTGTTGCCGCGGTCCAGATGACGGCCCGGCGTGCGCATTCTGGCGACGCGATTGCTGCTGGGGCTGCTGCTGCGGAGGGGGGTGCCATGGGCGGAAGCGGACATCCACCGGCTGCGTGCCCTGGTTCCACTGCGGGTTGTACGCGGGGGCCTGGGCCTGCTGCGGGGGGTCGTAGAAGACCGGGCGCCGTTCGTCAAGAGCTCCACCAGTCGTGGGCGCGGTGTGCGGGTTTTCAGCGGGGTCAGGGTGGGCCGTGGGGTGCGGCGCGGCCGTCTTGAAGGTTGCCCCATGCGCCTTGAAGTCGACGTTCAAGTTCCCATACCAACCTGGGATGCGCTCGAAGGGGCAGTTGAGTTTGTTGTGATCGCCCCCGTGGCAGCCGGTGCAGCGCTGCGGCTTCCACGGGAGGGCCCCGTCGACGAGCTCGCTCGTGATGGTGAGGTCGGCGAGGGTCTGCACCCATAGGTACCACGCGGCGTGGTGAGCTGGCCCAACCGGCGGTGCGCGATAGAGGGAAGCGATGATCTCCCCCACTTTGTCTTCTTCTGCACACCTCTCTCGGAAGGTCTTGATCTGGATGCTCGCTATGACTTGGTCGGCCTCGAGGTTGTAATCAACGCCTGCGACGTTCCCTCCGCAGTCACGCAGGAGACGCGCGAGGGCCTCGGTGCACCCATACTCGCGGAAAGTATCAGTGATCGCGTCGCGGATCTCCTGTTCGTCCACGTTGTCGAGGCCTCTGTACGACGACATGTACTGTGAGACCCCGGAGTACACGCGCGGGAGGTAGAAGGTGAGGTCCTTCATCGGCCAGCAGTCCTGCGTTCGGAGGATCTGTTTGGAGCGCCCCGGAGGGTTCTTGAGCAGCCAGGCCGTCGCGAACTCTCCTCCCAAAGGCGCGCCTTTGTCCTTGCTCGGCCTGAAGACGCGGAAGCCTGTTTCTCCGGTGAGGAGCTCCAGGCACTTGATGAACAGAGTCTCGATCGCGCGGAGGTAGGCGCGGCACGCGGGGGTGTCAAAGAAGTCTGTGGTGCCATGGATCTGGACAAGGAAGTCGACGTCCGGGTCGTAGAGTCTCCACTTCTCGCGTTTCTTCTTCGAGAGCCCACGCAGCAGGCTGTCCATGCCTTTTCCATGCTTCTCCGGGAAGCCTCCCTCAGGTTCGGGGAGGACTTCGACGATCCCTCGCTCTACGAGCATCGCGGCCCAGCTTTTTGCTTTGTCATGCGCAGGTTGCTGAGTGGGGATCGTTAGGAGGAGGGGCGCTCGGGAGGCGAGCAGGGCTGCATCTGGTGGGGGGCGCGATGGTGGGATGGGCTGGGGTTGCGCGGGGACAGGCAGGCTCACCGCGCCGGGGGTGGCGGCCAGGGGGTAGGGCTCAGCGTGAGATCCCGGGCCGGCATCACAGGCCACCGGGACGAGTCCAGACATGGGGTGCGCTTCAGGCGCGTCGACGTCCATCTCGTCCAAGTCCGGGCGGTGAGGGGCAGGGCTCTCCAGGAAAGGGTTCAGATCGAGGGACTTCAGGTCGATTTTCGGCCGCGCCGGCGGAGCATGCAGGCTTTGCATGAGCCCGGGCGTCGCTATCGCTGCAGCGCGCAGTCCCGGGTGCCCAGCAGGCTGTGGCTCCGGGGTCCGGTGCTCGGGCGGTCCGTTCCATCCTGCAAGGGAGCTGTACGCTTGCGCGGGCTGCGCAGGAACCGTCCCCAGGGAGACAGGTAGGGCAGCGTGGGCTACGGCCGCCGTTTGAGTCGGGGGTGGTGCGGCCGGAGCAGGGACAGGCTGGGCGGCGTTCGCGTTTTGGCGTGACTCAAAGAACTCGCGTTCAGCAGCCGCAATGCGGTTCGTCATGAACTTCTTGTAGTCCGTCATCCATTCCGCTACAGGGGCGGCTTGCTCGTACGTCGGCGGGAGGGCGCCATTCGCCCCGGCCGCGTGCGCGTAGGCAGTAGGGGTCGCGGACGCTCCTTCGTTGTTGGACGCGTTCGCTGGCGGCCTGCTGGACGGCGTGGCCGTGCCCAGTGAGCCTGGTATTACGTCGTTCTGTCAGCGGGTGGGTCCCATAGATATCTGTGCTATTGTTACAGTACCTGCAGCACTCAGAGCGTGCGGGTAAGTCTGCTGGTTGCTCGGCGCAGGCGTCGCTCTGGCATTGTTCAGCGTTCGGCCGCGTGGCAGGGGAGCTGTGTCTGCCATGCTAGTCTGCCCCGGCGTATGCTCGTCCGGGGAGTACGACGTTCTCGCCCGTTTGCGGTTCTTTGCGCCATCCTCAGTTCTTCGGGCGCGCGCGCCCTGTGGGGGTGAGGGAGTCGGGGGAGTCGAGTCGTCACTCATGGTGACTCTTTGTAGCCAGTCGGCATCGCTTTGCGTGACGGCAAGGCCATCAAAAGTCGCGACAGGCTCGAGTGGTTGCGTCTCATGTCCTATCGCTCCCTGGCCACGGGGCGCGGGTGCGGTAGGAGTGCGGTCTGCGGGGCCAGGCGGGGACGCTGCTTGGTGCTCGTTTGGGAGGGGCGGGGACTTGTACAGAGGGGAGGGGATCGTACCAGGCTCGTCTCGTTCATCTGTGCCTCCTCCACTCTCCTCTCGATACTCAGATTCTCCATCCGGCAGGGCGGCTGCGCCCGCGCGCTCGTATTCTGTGATGGGTGTGCTTGTTGCGTGGGGAGGGTACGCGGGTGGGCCATACGGCGGGTCCGCGCTCATTGTGGCTTAGGTGGGGGGGTGGGTTGTCGCGTTCTAGTTTTCAGAGGCTGGGGGGGGGAGGGATGCGTTTGGGCAGCCCTTCGTCGGCCTGCCCTTTATCCTCGCTCGCCAGCCCCTGCGCCCTCATCGGTTCCTCGGTCTTGCTCGCTCGCGCGCGCGCGCGCGCGGTGGGGGGGGTGTGGTGTGCGTAGACATTTCGTCGCCAGAAACGGCTTTGGCGCTTATCAGTAGTTGTCTCCTTACTCAATTGGGCTCAGCAGCTCTCGGGTTTGGGCCGGTTCTCGGTTCGTTTCTCAGTGCTTCCGCTCAGCTCGCACGGCTATTTAAGGCAACTCTGAGTTTTCCTAGTGCGGTCATTTCGGGCCATTTCGGCCGGCTCAGCTCTGCGCCGCCGGATGAGGAAGGTCACGGTCACCGCTTCTTTGGTTCGTCGATCAGCCGTTGTCAGGTCGTCCATTCCTGGGTACAGATTGGGTCTCTCGTCAGATCTCTTCCAGTCCACGTCTTCCCGTACGTGGCCCGTCTCCCCTCTTCCTTTCTAGTCCTCGTCGTCTGTCTCCCCCTCCGGGCCGTCGGCGCCGTCGTACGCATACCGGAACCGGCCACTGTCGATCGCAATGGATCGCGGGATGATGATCGCTCCGTGGTCGAGTGGAACGTGTCGGGTGTGGTTTAGGATGGGGAGCGCGAGGGTCCTCAGGATCGTCCTCCAGGCTCCCAGGTCCACCGTTACGCCGTGGATGTGCTGCACCGACAGGTACGCTTGTTCGATCGGCGAGCTGAGGTCGTCGTTGCTTACTACGAACTCCGTTACGGCCAGTTCTACTGTTCGTATTCCTACAATCCTTCCTGCGATTCCAGCTGGTTCGGCGGCGTACTGCTCTGAGATCGTTCCGTCTCCATTTCTCCACCTCGTCACGGTGTGTACGGCGATTTCGAGGCCCACGGAGAGAGGGGTGGTCGGTGGGATTACAACGTCCAGTATTGCGATCTCAGCTGCAGGGCGTACGCTGCGCGATAGGTGTGTGAGAGTCCTCCCTCGCTCGGTTGTGTAGACTGGGATTGAGCGCATTTCAGGTGTGGTAGAAATGGAGGAGGAGGATTTAAGGAGGGGGTGAATGATGCAGGGAGGCATGCTTTCCAGTCTTTATAAACTCAGGTGGGGCATGTATTTAATAGGCCAGTTTTGTGCTGGTTATAAACGTCCGTCGTCGACGGTAGCGATTTGTGGTTTTTAAGCCTGGGCTTCTGGGCATGCATGTTGCTTCCTACTGGCATGGTTAGGAAAGTGGGCAGATTTGGAAACCTGCTCCCTGGTTTCAGGGGTGGGTCTAGGTTTAATAGGGCCTCAGATAGGCAGTAGAATAAACGGTCGCGAATCGCTTCCTATGGAATTGTTAGAAATGGGCATATGTCTGCCCCAGGAAAGAGGAGGCCAGGAACCTGAGTTTCATCAGATAGGCCAGGCTTCTGTGTGGTTCTGAGATTAATTGAGTGGCCAGGCCCTTAGGTATTATCTTGCTCAGTCCTCTGGGGCAGAAACGCCCCCCACGATTGAAGCGAATTGTGTTCTATGCCCAGGGAAAGGGTCAGGATAGGGAGCTGGAGGCACCAGGACACAATGTTAGGCCCTAGGGAGAGGTAGGAAAAAATTAGGACAGGCACCTGACACTCCCTGGTCCTCTAGTCCAGAGAGATGTGCAGAGTTTGAGTTGTGTGGGTTGAGCAGCCCGCCCTGAGTCCCTGGGCGCGCGTAATATGCTCAGCTTCCATCAGAGAATTGAGTGGAATTAGGAGAATAGATTGTATCCTCAGTGGCTCAGGCCTAGAGATTAGTTGAAAGGAGAGGAGTGGAACACTCCAGGAATAATATGGTGAGGCTGCACCCAGATGGAGCGGCTGCGCCTAAGATTGGCCCCGGAACGCTTAGCCAGAGAGAAGGCGATCATGGGAGTCTAGCCGAGATGCCAAACGGGTCATCCTTGTACAAGATATCAGGCATACATACTTTCACATCAGCCCTGGTCGCCCTCGTTGAGGGGCGAGTGGGTCACGCCGAGGCAAGGTGAGCCTTGCAGCGTCGCGCCGGCGTCCCTATAGGACGCCCGCGCACGCGCCAGAAAAGACAGCCGCCCCCCCGGAGGATGGTATTACTAAGCAACACTTGTCCGCTTATGGTGGCAAAGGAAACCCGCCGCTCGGGCATTACTCAGCAGCGCCTGCCCTCTTATGGTAGTCGACGGGACCCCGCCGCTCGGGCATTACTCAGCAGCGCCTACCCTCTTATGGTAATCGACGGGACCCCGCCACTCGGGCATTACTCAGCAGCGCCTGTCCTCTTATGGTAGTCGACGGGACCCCGCCACTCAGGTATTACTAAGCAGCGCCTTTCCACATATGGTTGTGGACAAAGGGGCCCCCCCGCCGTTCCGTCCCGGAGGGGCGGGTCCTGTGGCGCGCGGTAGAAGAGGCCGTGTGCGGTCGCAGCGCTCATTCAGCTCGCTCGCGAGCCCGCATCTTTCTTATCTGTCCAGAAAGGGGCGGCCCGGGGCTATTGGGCCAGCCCGGTCTCTCTCCAAGGCCCTGGAACGAGTTCAGATACTCACCGTTTGGCCACTCACCCCTTGTTCGATCGGCCGTCCGTCGTGATCGCTTTCTTTCTCGGGGACAGATGTCTGCCTCGTCGCGGTTCGCGCTTTATGTCTCTCGAGGTTCAAGCGTCTTGCCCGTGGCCAGCCGAGCTTGGCCACTTCAGGTTATACTTCGATTTGGGTTCGGTCGTTTGACTTCGTGTGCTCGCGTTCGGGAAACCATCGAGTCTCGATCTGGTTGCTCAGCCTCACAAGCTTCTCACAGTCCGGCTGGGAGGCTAGGTGACCCCCGCTTAGCACGGTTAGTGGCGCCATGTCCGGTAGAGCCGGATCAGTTAGACAGGCGAGCAGGCATCAAGCTTACCCATGCTCTATGTTCCATGCTTGTAGTCCGGTCCTCTCCAACGAGCTCCATTTGTCCTGCTCTTTGTGCTTGTTGCGGTCAAGCAGTCACATTTGCTCGCGGGTGCAGGAGCGGCGGTCCGAGGTACACGCCGTGAGGAGGTGGTGGTCGGGAGGAGAGAGGCGACTGATGTTTAGCGCCCATCACCGCGCACCTTCCAATCTGGGTTGGTGTCGATCAATCTTATCTGATCTTGTCTAATCTAATCTGATCTAATCTGATTGGGCGCTTATGCCTTCCGCTCATTCAGAGTCGATGTGCTGGCCTCCTCGCCGTTCGACTTCGGAGGGTTCTTTTACTCGTTGTCGCAATGCCTTCCGCGTTATAATTCGCAGGCATCCACAGTTATGTGGGCATCCGTTCTGTGAGCGGGCATCCGTCCTCGGACGGGCATCGGCTGTGCCGGCGGTGTTCGTCTCGTTCTGTCCCGCTCCTCCCAGTTATCCTCCACCTCTGCAGGCATAATCTGGGATTCTCGGAGGGTTCGCGAGTCGGTACGTGCTCACTTTGATACAACATTACCTTCGTTGGGAGTGTTCCGTCTTCCGCACGCTGGGGCAAGGGCGTGGGAAAAACGTAGATAGTGGTGGTTCAAGGTCAAGGCGCCCCCGACTTGCGTTATCCTTCCAGGCGTGTCCGTCGCACTGCTGCGGGCGTTCGCGTTGCCCCGCGAGCGATCTATCCCCGCGTTCGCGGGACGGCATGTGTCGTGAATACGGCGCTACGGCCTCTATTCCGTGTGCTCCGAGCTATCTACCGCTGCCTACGTCTCGTATGAACTGTCCCCGACGTACGATAACGCCGTGAAGACGCATATAGTGACGCGACCACGCCTGCGCCCTCCGCCGCCGGCCCACTCAACTTCGCACATGCCACTCCGGCCTCTCGCGCGTTGGGGAGAACATTCCTGGTGAGTATCAGCGTCGGCGGAGTCGAAAAATCATGTCGTGCTCACATTAGTTCATAGACCTTGCTTGAAACACCCGCGCCGCCCGCTTCGCTCTATCTTTATCGACGGCGCCGTATAGCAGGAACACTCGTCGACCCCCCGGTCGAGCTCAAGACCATCACCACGGACTCAAGGTGCCCGAGTTCCGCGCATATACGCACGCTGACGCGTCCGTAATAGCCGCCCGCGCGACCCTCCCCACCTAGGAGGCAGCGCTCGCGTGAGGCATCGCACGCCCACTCACCGAGGTGGGACTCTCCCCGCGCACACGTCCCTACCTGCACAACGCACGCCGTGACGTCGGGAAGCCACCCGGCGCCGCGCCAGCAGCATCTACACCTCAATGTGAGTACAGCTCATTGCACGGCGATGAACATATCGTACTGACCTCAGACCTGTCGCCGCGACGACAGCGACGACAGCGACGACAGCGACGACAGCGACGACGACGACGACAGCAGGTCCACGATCCGAGGAAGGATGAGAGGACAACACGAGGAACGGGGAGCGACGCCAAACGAGTCCGTTCGGTGCACGTTTTATGTGCGGACGCGGGCGCACGGACCATCGCCGCACCGCACTCGCCTGCTTCAATCGCACCCCTCGGCTGTCTCCTTGCGCCTGCGCAGGCCCCCTCCGCGGCCGCCGGCGTTGCGCGTTACGATGTGCAGGCGCTTTCGCGCGAAGGACACACATCTCCGCCGTCACCCCTCCGAGTCGAAGCGACGCGCGGGCCGCGTTTCGCCCAAGCACCCCGCTTCTTCTCTCTGCAGGTACGCCGCGGCCGCCGCTGTTCTCCGCCTTCCGAGTGCCCGCTCAGACGCACGGCGGCGGCGCTGAGGACGCGCCCTCTCGTACTCGGGAGGCGACTGGACGCCTGCGCCCAAGGCCCTGCCCACAGTGCGTACGTCCACCAAACACCGTACGTCGGGCATCCCAAGCGCGGCCCTGTGTCATGTACGTTCGTGATGTCCGTGCTCGCCGTCCGTGGGTCGCGACTCGCGGGCAGGGCAATTCCCAGATCGACGATACCTGCCCGCGCAGCCGTCCGCTCGGCGTGTTTGGGAACGGCGCCCGCCCCACTCGTCTTCCTGCACGAGAGTCCGGCGAATTGGGTGTGTGGGCGACCTCGCTCGCTGTCTGCGGCCTCGCGTTCGATGGAGGCCGTCATGTGTACCGTCCCCCGCTGTCTCGACCTTCGAATATAATTTTTCCGCGCCCCAGATTCCGTGCATATCCTGGTCGTCTTGGCGAGGATTGCAGCTATCCCCCGGATACGCGAGAACTGTCGGAGAACGGTGCGAAACCCGCGGCCACGGCGTCCGAACAGAGCACCCGCCCGCGGATGGGCTCCCGCTCGTGCATGTCCCGGCGTCCGTTGCGTGTCGTTGCGCGGCCCGCAGACGGTCCAGAACGGTACGTCGCGCTTGTCCACCGTCGCGTACGCGTGCCCAAGGCCTCCGCTCACGTCTGCCGCAGCACAGCGCCGTGCCGGCGGCCCCGCGCCCACCCACGGATCCGCCCCTCCCGCCTCGGCATCGCGTCCCTGGCGTTTCTCGACGACGCAGAGCACATCTATGCACCATTTCGCATTCGTCGCGCATCGTCTCCACCGCGTCCGCGCAGAAAAAATATCGGTCATTTTCGGTCATTTCATGTGCAGATCGATGGGGAGGGCAGCGAAATCGCCTGCCCGTCTCGCCATCGTCGCCTACCGCGTTCTACTTTTGCACACACGTTGCACTGACTACTCGGTACCCTCCCGCACCATTTTTGAGCCCGTGCGAGCGGTTTGAAATTTACGTTTTCGTGCAGGTATCCGTTTGGCGGAGGCGCCCAACCACCAGTGGCCTCCCCTCGAGCATTGGCATCGCCCTCCCGCCCCGGCCCTGCGTCTGTGGCCTTCGTAAACTCACACACGGGTACAAATACAATGCTTCTCATAGGCAATGCACGGCTTCGGCGTCCTTGGAAGCTTTCGCGCCGACAAAATGAGGTCGACCCGGATTTCGGGCACTTTGAGGTGCTACCACCACAAAATTGTGCGTCCCCACCTCCCTGCGCCTCGCACCGTCCCGCAATTGCACATGCGGCATTGCGTACATCCCCGGCACCCGCTCACACCGTTTTCGAGCCCGTGCGATCGGTTTGAAATCTGACATTTCGGCAGGTCCCTCCATATTCCCGGCACCCACCAGCGGAAGGCACGCGAAGTCGACGGCCCTCGCGACACGGCGTCGCCTCCAGATGCGCCGCGAACGCAGCTACGCGCACGTACGTACCGCGGCGCGCACACACAGCCAGCGCGAAGGCCGCGTGCTGCGGAGCGAAGGCGGAAATGGGGTCCGCGCCGGGTCGATGAATTTCATGGACGAGATCGCGGAATCGCGCATCGCGCCCCGCCGCCGCTGCCCACTGCCGTGCGCCCTCGTATACACGCTGTGGTGAGCCGCCCCCACCCTGCTGTCCCGCTCTCGAACGTGCGTGTTTCGATTTCTGACCTTTGTCGCAGCCCGAGGGATTCTCATCGCCGTAGCGGGGGCCCCGACGGATAGATTGCCGCTGTGCGGAGCCCTCGCGCATGTCAGCCTCGCGCCGCGCCGTTTCTTCATCGCTGAGACGACGCGCACGCGGAGGATCGAGCTCCATGACATGCGGGACGGTGGGTGCGCAAGGTACGCGAATTATTTCGCTCGCTTTGGCGCGGCGCTCGCTTCGTGATAGCCTCAACTTACAGTACTGCCCGGTCCTCGCCTGCCCGCCCCTGCGTAGCAGAGTCTCGGCGATCGAGCAGACACGGACGAAACGATCCGATAGCTCCTCGTTGCGCATGCCAAGAATTGCGGACGTCCTCGTCGTGCGGGGCGCACAGATAGGACACGGAAAGACACCGTTGTGTCTGTGTCCGACAAAGTCTCATTGGCCGGCGGCGGCGAGCTCGCGGGCTCGTCTATAACAGCGAGTGCAGGCCCCAAGAGCTGATGGTGCTCGCATGAAGGACAGGAGGGCCGTCCCGTGTGTACGTAGGTAGTACTGCAATAAACATCTCGTAAACCAACCATTTCCCGACGGATCTGTCGCCAGAGCCCAATGGTCGAGCCTCCCACCAGCGGCGACATGAAACAGGGCCTGCAGGCGGCAGGCCGTCGCGCCATCGACCTTCTGCTGCTCGCGGTCGTCGGCTGCTATTCGTGATATGCATGACTGATACGGGCGCGGAAGAGTGGCCCCGAATCCCTGGCGAGTTGCGCAGACTACGCGTCGCAAATCGAAACAGAGGGACGGGGCTCGACTCCGAGGTGCGAGCCTAGCGGCAGTCTAGCCACTGGCCGAGTGAGCCATCATGTCGCTCAGGCTCGAATGCAGCGTACATACACGGATTGGTCGGCGGAGGATGCACAGGCAGTGGGTGCACCAATCAAGGTTGAATGGAACTGCAGCGGGATGTCCTCTACGTGGTATTGAGTGGTCGGTAAATAGACTCGGATAGGAATCATTTCGATGTGTCGAATAAATTTGCGCACGGGGACGCGTGGAAAGTCGAGTGGACGGGGATCGCGCGAAGCAGACTACCTGCGCAAACGACCAATTTAGTACCGCGTGTTTCCCTGAGCAAAGCGGCAGCAGGCGGGGAACTTGTCATACATTCAGAGCGGCCTGTCTCGTGCATGCATACCGTGCTGCACGTCAGACCGGGCCGCGAAGATGTCCCGTCGCCACTCGCCACTCCGGAGACAGTGCCCGGGTCGCATCTGAGCAGTATGTTCAGTTGGCGTGGGTGCAACCAGCTTCGTCTAGTAGATGTAGACCCGGTTGCAACCACTTTCCGGAACCCCGAGCAATAACTAATTGCCCAGGAGCAGCATCGAACCAGTGATCTCCTGATCAGAAGAGACACGCTAATCCGCTACACCATTAGGCCTTGCATTTCTTCCTTTGGCTTAGGACTGTGTGCTACCTTAGGGTTCGGCTTAGGGTTAGGAATTAGGGTTAGGCAGCCCAATATATGGACATCCCCCCTCCCCTGAGAGGAGCCGGTCTGTAGAAATTGCGAGAACGAAGCTTTAGAGTGCCCGCCTGAAGGCTCCCGGCTCGGGGGACCCCCCGAGCGCAGCGAGGGAGGGGAAGGAGCCTGAATGGCGGGTCTTCTTCTCGCCCAAAAAGACTTAATCTATTGCGATGATTATGTAGGCTAAATAAGCATCTATGGTGTAGTGGTTCATGCTGCCTCACTGTAGTCCTTGACGGTGAGAAGCGCAGTTCAATTCCTGGTGGGGGCATTCATTGTCAGCTACATTCGGAATATGTATTTTGTAACTAATGCCGGGCGATTGGTTGCAACCAGGTCTTCGTCTAATAGACGTGTCTGGTTGCACCCTCGCCAACTGAAGTCCCTCATCTGAGTCGTAGTCCTGCGGAGCTTGCATCAGCGGGGGCGAATGCGCCCGCTCACGGTAACAAGAAGATATAAAACCGAAGGCCTGACACGCCCCTCTCGCGACGGATGCACTGAGATACAACCACCGCCGGCCGGTCGGATGCTTGCTAAAAACCTAGACGCAGAGTTCCGAGTCTCTGAGAAGCCGCCTGTCTGATGTGCCGTGTCGCCGCCCAAGACTGCCCAGAACTAACATGCGGTACCATGCGCGAGGGGCGGCGAGGCCACGGTGTTGCAACAGTAAATTAACCCGGCCGCTAGGCTACGTGAGCGTAGCCGGATACCACCCAAGAGGTTACGAGTCTGGAGTGGGCGCTGTCCGCTTGGGGTGAGCATGATCGAAAGATGAAATAATCGAAGGACTCACGGCGGGCTGTTCTGTCATGCTACCGCTTGTGTGAGAGCTTGGCGATCTGCGGGCGATGCAGCGTTACACACCCGTCGCCTTTGTGCACATACATATGTACTGGACTGAGACTTGCGGGCACTCGTCTCTCCCCGCCACATCCTTGCCGCTCCCACGTCCGAGTCGATCCTGCGCTTTGTCTCCCGAGTCAGCTTGTGCCCATGCCAAAAACGACAAAGGCTGCTCATGTGCACTGGGTCGAGGCACTGGCCGGCGCACCTTCCAACCCGGCACAGAAGAAGCCTCCTAGCAGGCGGACAATCCTGCGTAGCGAGGCGCGAGAGCTGATTGACGGCAAATTTGGTGAGCATGACACTTCCTGCAAGAATGCGACCGTACTCACCGAGCGCGAAGGACTTGCTGTCGGCAATCCCTTTGCCGGTCTTTGGTACACTATCGAAGACTACGCCGAGACCATCGTCATCTGCTACGGGTACAAGATCGAGGGCTGGCCGCCCTCTATCCCGTTCCGCAACATGAGCAATGTCGGCGGCTGCGAGGTCCTCAGTGAGCTCATCGAGCTGTGGAAGGAGGATAAGATCAAGTTCGTACCTGCCACCAATCTCGACAAGCTCAATGCCGCCCTCGACCCGACTCTCGTCGCACCCGGCAAAGGCTTCATCCACCGCAAGAACTCGGGCGGACGAGACGACATTGGCCGGTCGCGCTACCGCCCGAAGACAAAGCCAGACGGGGGGCCTCTGCGGCGGCCAAAGGACGGCCCAAAGAGCGCGAAGGTCATTCACTCGGACGACGAGGACGACTCGCAGGCGAACGTGCGCCCACTGCGTCTGATCCCCCTGCCGCTCTTGCCTCCATTCGCACCTGGTCAGTTTTCGCCGAGCAGCTCATCTGGCGCGTCTCGAGAGGCGGAGGAGTCGGAGATCGAGGACTTTTTGGACGACGAGCAGTAGCGTGGAGATTGGGTGGCTTGGGGTTCCGGGTGGCGGGATTTTCCGATCTGTATGCATACTTTACAAGCTGAATAATCGTGCTGTCGAGTCTTGAAGGTTGGGAGATACACGAACACGGTGGACGTCGACGTGCGAGCGGGCAAGTGCACCAGCGCGCGCGGCACGCGACTGATGCACTCAAGCGCTCGCGAACCACACCGGTTCCATATTTGGCAACTCAGATTGACACTGGTGAGAGGGCAGCAGTGTTCTGCCTCAATAATCGCTCCTCTCACTGCCTTGCGAGGCACACCACGGGCACACTGATTCAACGCCTGAGTCGGATGCGAGGAGGCCATTCTGGCCACAGAATACGTGGGGATGCGGTGCATCACGGTGCTGCTGGTATCCGGGACGGATCATGGCCGCCGCCGCCATGCGAAGCGAGAGGCAACAGCCACTTCACCACAACATCTTACGAAATGAAGACTTCTGTTCTGATTGGGTACTGTATCACTGTGCCGTGGGTAGTATAATATTCAGGTTTATATGTGTGTGTTTTACCAGACATGCAGGGCAAGGATGCACAGAACACGCAGACTTCCTGCTTGATCCAGGTAATCTTGCCCTGCATGTCTGGCTGAATTCTGGGTGGGGAGCATGAGCGTGTGTGAGTGGACGTAAGGTCCCCTGGTATGGGAGTCTGCCAGGGAATCACCGAGATCAGACTGTCGGAAGGGAAAGTGTGAAACTTGATATTCTAGACCAAATCTGTGCAAGGAATTATGGTGCCCATCTGCTGCAGGCGTGGCTCCGGGAATCTGGGAAGAGCTGTGCGGGCTCTTCCCGGAATTAAGAAAATATATTTGTTGCGGAGTGGAGCGGCCGAACCTCGTGTACATACAGGGCCCTGGCATCTCATCTCGCCCAGACTCTCTGAATTACACACCATCTGTTCCACCACACGCAGTCATTTTTGGCCTGTCCCACCTCCGGCAGCGTTTATTTCTTTGAATGTGTGGTCAGCATCGCAGCATGGCAGATCCATAAAGGCCTCACTGGATGTGTCCTGCCGGTCTGATCTTGTCTCCTTGCCGTTAGCGGTGATGCCAGTGCCCCCACTGCGCTTTCAGCCTGGTCCATCGCCAAGTGTTGATGCAGATATATTGATAGGACGTGACACGATGCCGCAGCCATCCACAGAGAACCTACCCTTGCGTGGAGGCTACCAGGCACTCGAGTTCGCCGCTGCCCTTTGTCTTCCTCCTGCACCCTTGCCTTTCTCCCCGATTCCTCTACACCAACCTGACTCATGAGGCTCCCTCACGCTGCACCACGGCAACACGGTTGAGGTGTGTACGAGCTCGCATGCGCAGCTTTTGAGGACAGTCAGTGCTTCAGCGGTGCGGTACTGGCGGGATACTTACAGCAACTGTTCAGCCCGCAGGCCGTGAAGGCGGTGCGCGCGAGCAGTATAGCATGGTGCCGTGATGCGTGAGGCGACCAGCACATAGTGTCAGTGCGTGCGCGCGTCCATGCACGACCGTGTCTCATGATCAGCATGTATGCCTTCGTGTACCACCCTGCTGCTACAATATCGACAGGCATCATGCGGCGGCCTGCAGGCTCTGCTGGCTGGCACCGCATGACACGGGACCGAGTGTACGTGTACGAGGGACTCGGAGACGTCGAAGTCGCGCGTATGCCACAAGAATTGCCGGTGGGTACCTCGTATTGTTATGTACGCACTGAGGACTCACGGCGAAGCGCTAGGCCGGCGGCCACCGAGGGGCCACCGCAGACACGTTACGAACTCCGTTGTACCGTTTTCGGCAGCGGTGGTGGCAAACATGCACGCCGCCCGCCACAACGAGCCCCGTTGACCACGTAATGTGAATACGGCGGCGTGTCTGGCGCGTCGTGCACTTGCTGGAAGGCTGTTGCCAGCTGGGCGGTGCCGTACTGTGCCGTACGTAGTGGCCGTGGACGGGATCGGGTTCGCACGAATACCTTTTGCGAATTGCCGGTGGGTACATCTTATCTCACTGTCGTATATGTTGGAACGCGGTGAGCGCCGGATAAGCGCCCGTAGATAACGTAGATAGTGCACATACTATATCCGGACTTTCTTACATAAGCGAGCACAGCCACTGCCAGCACGGCGTCTTGCTGGCCTCTCTCTCTCTCCTCTTTCCCTCAGTCAATCTGTCCGTCAGATTGCTGAGGTATGTCTTTCCTTCCTCTACTGTACCTTACATTGCTCACCTACTTGTGTAGACTATCTTACAGGTACAGTTAATGTATATCTCAGTCAATCTGTCCGTCAGATTGCTGAGACTATCTTACAGATTCTGACAGGTTATGAGCCCTGGACGCTCGTCCTAGGACCTCAAGAATCTCAGTCTCCCTCCTCTCTCTTAGAGTGTGGTTGAACCCTCTCTTCCCCCTCATCTGCCTGAGGTTATCTCCTTGGGCAGCCACTCCTTTCCCATTCCACTCCACTCCTTCCCATTCCCAAATCCTGGGTGCCTTGAGTGGTGGTTGGTGTGCAGAGTTTGAGCGTCGGTGACGTCACACTCAGCTGGGGGTCCTCCTTAGGCAGTAGAGTGTCAGTGACACCGCCAGAGACCACTCCCTGGCGCACATCCAGCCACTGCAACAGGTGCTTGGGTACCCCCCCTATCCGCGTGGTCTGACCACTGCGACGAACCTCGCTGTTGCCTCTGGTCTAACCAGCAGTGCACGCGAACCCCCCTTCCATTCGCTCCACACCACTGCTGCTTGCGTAGCGTCATACACTGGCACTCGATAAGTTGGCAGTCGGTTGTGCACCTCCCCCCCCCACTTTGTCGACATCCTACCATCATGGGCGATGACACCACGCTGGTGCTCACCGGCGTTGATAACTACCAGATGTGGAAAATCCGCATCTTGGCCAAGTTGCGCGCTGTGGGTGCTGGCCGCATCGTCACTGGTGAGGAGACCCGTCCTCTCACCACCACGGTCTACCCGCCGGCGCACGGCACCACCACCGTCGAGGCCTGGGACCTCCGAGCTGAGAAGGCTCACGGCATTCTCGTCGAGCACATCTCCGATGCCATCGCTCTCAAGTTTGCTGACTGCGTCGACGCGCAGGAGCTCTACCGGGCCATCACGAAGGAGTACGAGCAGACCAACACGACGGTCCTCGCCTTCTACACCTGGATTAGCTTGGCCAACACGCGCTGGGACGGTACCAGCAGCATCGACAACCACATTGGTCGTCTGCTCGCCGACCACCGCAGGCTCACCAGCTTGAAGAAGCCCATGGACGACGAGTTCCTGGCGTACGCCCTCCTCAACTCGCTCCCTTCCGACTCACGGTGGGACACCTTCCGCACGACCATCCTCAGCGCCATCCCCCTTGGCCAGTCGCTCACCTTCAGCGATGTTGATGCCCGCATCCATGCTGAGGTCGCCCGCACCACCTCCTCCTCGTCCGAGTCCGCCCTCAAGGCTTCTGGCTCCACGCCGAAGCAGAGCGGCAAGAAGCACTGCTCACAGCATGGCTTCAACGACTCGCACACGACGGACGAGTGCCGCGTGCTGAAGTCCAAGCAGGACAACGCAGACGGGAAGCGCAAGAAGAAGAAGAAGAAGCGGACGGATGCACATAAGGTGGTGGAACACTCGGACTCAGACTCGGACTCGGCCAGCGTAGACTCAGATACCAGCGCTCAGGCGCATCATGTACATATCTCGAAGTCTCTCCGCAAGCGCATTCAGGCCTACCTCACGTCCGATACCCCCCGCAAGTCTACTCCCATCCTCATCGACTCTGGTGCCTCCGCTCACATGGTGCCTGAGCGTGGCTGGTTCGTCCCCGGCAGCTACAAGCCGTTCACCACACCCCATGATGTCCGATTCGGCGACAGCTCGAAGGTCCATGCCATTGGCAAAGGGTCCGTCACACTTCTCAGCGAGGTGAACGGAAAAGAGTATGAGACAGTTCTCTCGAACGTCCTGCTCGTCCCTTCCTTCACCATCGCCCTCATCTCTGTGCGGCACTTGTGTGAGCGCGGCCTGAACGTACTCTTCTCAGAGCACGGCGGCCGGGTACGTCTTCGCGACGGAACCCATATCATGGCAGCCAATGTAAAGCGTGGGCTATATCACCTCGAGGTTGATCCGCTCCCTCGCAAGGACCAAGCTATGCTTGCTGTGGACATCAATGTCCTTCATCGCCGTTTCGCGCACATCTCTGTGGACCGCCTCCGCCGCATGGTATCCAAAGGGCAACTTAAGGGTATCGACACCCTTACTGGGGAGCCTAAGTTCTGCGAACCCTGCGCCATGGGCAAGATGCACAAGCTCCCGTTCAAGTCCCGCACCGGAAACCGTGCAACTCGGCCACTCCAGTTCATACACTCGGACATCGGCGGCATGGTCGACCCCTCGCGCCAAGGCTTCCGCTACTGGATCACGTTCACCGACGAACACAACCGGTTCGTGTGGGTCCTCTTCATGAAGCACAAAAGTGAAGCCCAGGACACCTACAACCGGTGGAAGGCGGACGTCGAGGCATTCTTCCGGGAAGAAGTGGGAGAGATCTCACTCTCACCCAACTTTGTCCAGTTCCTGCGCACGGACAACGGCGGCGAGTACACGAGCAAGGCATTTGAGGCCCAACTCCGCAAGGAGGGTGTTCTCCATGAGACCACGGCGGCCGACACTCCTGAGCAGAACGGCATGGCTGAGCGCGTCAACCAGACCCTCGTTAACCAGACGGTTGCCATGCTCATCGAGTCTGGCCTGCCCAAGTCCTTCTGGGCTGACGCCATGCAGACAGCAGCCTATGTCATGTGCCGCAGCCCCGCCAAGGGTCTCAAGGGCAGAACACCGTACCAAACCCTTTTTGGCGAGCAGCGCAAGATCGACACTTCCTTCTTCCACCCATTTGGCTGCCCCGCATACGCGCTCATTCCTAAAGACCAACGGAAGGGCAAATTTGCGCCCAAGGGGAGGAAGTGCATCTTCCTTGGCTATGAGTATGGGAAGCATGCGTACAAGCTCATGGACGTCACCACACGCAAGGTGTTCTCCAGCCGACATGTCCAGTTCAATGAGAACGGCGGCCCCCCTGCTGAATTCCTCAATGAACTTGGACCTGAGCCTGCCGATCACGGCAAGTACGATGACATCCTGCGCCCACGTCGTCCAGCCCCAGTGCGGTATGATGAACCAGTCTTCATCGGGCCAGTGGGAGCTCCAGTGCCTCCTCCAGATGCTGCAGAGCCAGTGGGAGCACCTCCACCACCCTCTGTAGGGCCAGTGGGAGCTCCACAACCTCCACCACATCTACCACGAGATGGGACACCATCGCGCATCCCCCGTCGTGTCTCGCAGGCAGTGCAGCCCCAGCAGGATCAGCCTCCGCCTCCACCTCTGCAACCCTCTCCAGTCAGGACTCCACGGCCAGCACCGCTCCCACAGCGACGTGTGTCAGCGCCTCCTCAGGCACCTGTGCCAGTCCGACAGTCAGGTAGAGAACGGCGGAAGGCGGACAAGAACCGCGACTATAATCGCACCCTGCAAGATGAGGAACAGCGCCGTCAGCAGCGTCGTGTGCAGGCTGCAGTGCCGCCACCACCTCCACAGGCTCCGGAGACACCGCATCCTCCAGCACCGCCCAGTCCTGAGCTCCAGCCCCTGCCACAGAATGCACCTCCTGAGCACATCCCTGACATCCAGCTCCCAGACCTTCCGGAGATGGATGCTGACGAGGTCTTCTTTGCCGGGATCTCGAGCACGGGCCCCAGGAATCACGAGCTCCCCTCTACTCTGAGGGAAGCGTTCAGCACTCCTGAGGGTGAACACTGGCATGCGGCTCTTGAGGAAGAGCTCCAGAACCTGCGAGACAACTGCGTCTACGAGACTGTCCCCATTCCGTCAGGTGTGAAGCCAATCACATCCAAGCCTGTCCTCCGTGTCAAGTTCGACAAGAATGGCGACATTGAGCGCTACAAGATCCGCATCGTGGCTCGAGGCTTTACTCAGAAGCCTGGCATTGACTACCAGGATGTCTTTGCCCCTGTCGCCAACCTCGAGTCCGTGCGCATCATCCTTGCCCTCGCTGCACGCTATGACTTGGAGCTCGATCAGATGGACGTCTCCGCTGCCTACCTCAATGGCGAGCTGGATGAGGAGCTGTACCTCATGCCTCCTGACGGTGTGGCCATTGAACCGGGTCACTGCTGGCGTCTCAAGCGGTCCCTCTATGGTCTCAAGCAGGCAGGTCGTACCTGGAACAAAACCCTGGACCGGAAGCTCACCGGACTCGGTTTCAACCGGCTCGACTCTGAGACGTGTCTCTACGTCTTCCGCGATGACAAGGGCCAGCTCTGCTTCCTCGTTGTCTATGTCGACGATCTGCTGCTCGCCGCCACATCTCGCACCTTCATGGACGAGGTGAAGCGCAAGCTCACAGCGCAGTTCAAGATGCGAGACCTCGGGGAAGCCTCCTATATCCTTGGCATTGCCATCCGTCGAGACCGTCCTGCCCGCGCCATCTACCTCTCCCAGCGGCAGTACATTGACACCGTCCTGGACCGGTATGGGATGAAGGACTGCAAGCCGCAGTACACTCCCATGTCAGCCAGTGTCAAGCCATCCGCGGACGATCCTGAGGACAACACCACTCTCCACTCCATCACGATTGAAGGTCGCTCGGTGTCCTATGCTAGTGTCATCGGTTCCATGATGTACGCTATGATGGGCACCCGTCCTGACATCGCATATCTGGTTGGTGTCCTTGGTCGATACTCTGCGAACCCCAAGCGGTGTCACTGGGAGATGGCTAAGCGCGGCCTGCGGTACCTCAAGGCCACTCGTGACATGGAGTTGCGCTTCGATGGTTCTGATGTTGCTGGAGACATGGACTTCCATGGCTACTCGGACGCTGATTGGTCTGGTGACCGCGACACCTCCCGATCCACCTCTGGTTTTGTCTTCATCAGTAACCGAGGTGCTATTGGGTGGTCGAGCAAGCGCCAGTCCTTAGTCGCTCTCTCATCCACAGAGTCCGAGTACATTGGCCTCAGCAACGCCGGTCAGCACCTTGCCTGGTTGCGCACCTTCTTCTCCGAGATTGGTCACCCGTCTAGGGAAGCAGCCATTCTTGCGTGCGACAACCTGGCTGCCATCATCCTGACCAAGGACCCGCAGTACCGCGCTCGCACCATGCACATCCAGCGCAAGTACCACTTTGTGCGCGATGACTTGGTGGCGAAGGGTCAGGCAGAGGTTCGGTGGGTTCGGACAGATGACATGGTGGCGGACATCCTTACCAAGGCTCTCCCGCATGAGAAGCATTGGAAGTTTGTCCGTGCTATGGGACTTAGGCTGCGCTCGAGTGGGAGTGTTGGAACGCGGTGAGCGCCGGATAAGCGCCCGTAGATAACGTAGATAGTGCACATACTATATCCGGACTTTCTTACATAAGCGAGCACAGCCACTGCCAGCACGGCGTCTTGCTGGCCTCTCTCTCTCTCCTCTTTCCCTCAGTCAATCTGTCCGTCAGATTGCTGAGGTATGTCTTTCCTTCCTCTACTGTACCTTACATTGCTCACCTACTTGTGTAGACTATCTTACAGGTACAGTTAATGTATATCTCAGTCAATCTGTCCGTCAGATTGCTGAGACTATCTTACAGATTCTGACAGTATATTCGCCAGAAACTCACCGTGAAGTGTCAGGCCGGCGGCCATCAAAGGCTCGCCGCGAGGCGCGAGCATGCGATACAAACTTGGTCGCGGTGTGGACGAAGAGGCGCCTCGCGCACAAATATGCGCCGCCGGCCACTGCGATGACTCCCGGCTAGTCAGCGCGAGCACAGCGGGGAAGACGAGCCTGCACACAAGGGGCGGTGAGGAGATTCACAAGAGATTCATGACCTACATTGAGCAGGTACTTACCGAGAGACGCAGATCGCGAAGCGGCAAAGACAGGCCGCCGCGCGGCGCGCTCAGCGGGCCGGCGGCAGCGCCCAAGGCATGCCTGTCATTGCGCGCGCGAGGAGGATGGACCTACAAGACGGTTGAGGCATCGCCACCGCGTCGCGTTCGAACAGGATCTCCAGATGCATCTGGCGCGGTGTCGGTCTCGTGAGTAGCGCGGCACACACCGTGCTCCTCGCGTACCGGTCCCAGGCCGATTGGGCGAGCTGCGGTGCGTGCGAGAGGGGGCGGATGCGAACGGCGCGAAGTCCAGGCGGCTGCCAAAGTGGCCCAAGTCGTCTTCGGTTGGGCACTAGATACAGAGCAGTCGCATATACGCAGCAGTCGTCGCCGAGAGAGGAGAGCAGCAGCACGAGAACTCAGAGCGGACGAGATCATAGTCGAAAGCAAAGTCCGCGTTCTTAGGCGCCCGTGGTGGCGGCGCCGTTTCTGGCTCGCTCGACGTGTTCGCACGTGTCTGTCCGCGGCGCTGCGTCCCACTGTGCCTGCACCCCTCTGTGCTCCTACGATGCACTCTGTGGCTCCTACGAAACAGCCAGAGTCTCGCAAAATCGCAGGCCACTTTCTGCACTTCGTCTCGCAGCGCGCACCTCGTACCCCGCCGACGTCATCGCCGGCTATCTGCACGCGCGCTTCGTCTCTCGAGAGGCGCCGACTCACTCGCGCGCAGTTTTCCATGTCCACAAAATATATTTCTCTGCTACTACATACGAGTGTCCCTACCGCCGCGCGCCGCCGCCGCCTCTCCCACACCATCTTCTGCTTCTCCGTCAGCTCGGAGGTGTCGTTCGGGGTGAACGAGAACCACCACTCCATGACCACGACATCGTCCTCGGTGCGTCCGTAGGTCTTCACGCGGTCGATGCGAGGCGCTTTGGTACCGAGCGTGAAGGTGCTCAGGCGAAGCGAATCCAGGAAAGGAGGGCAGTTCGTGGATAGAATCTGGTCGACGGAGGCGACGACAGTGCGAGAAAGAACGGGTTCATAGATGAGCCAGAAGCGGTCGAGGAAGTTGTTGATCCACTCCGCAGACTCGATTCCGGTATCAGTGCTGAAACGGGTTTTGACGAGCTCGCGCTGGATATCGTCGCGGGCACGCGCCCGGACGCGCTTCATGGAAGTTGCATAGTATGTGTTGCAGAAGGCGAGGACGATGAAAAGCCAACCCCAGCCGAAGTGGAACCGAGTTAGAAAATGGGTCACGATGACGGTCTACGCGAGGTGAGTGCCAAATCATCTCAGCTTGGGAGACCACTTACTGCGACGATAAGTGCTGCATTGTGATACCACTCGCCATAGAATTGCTCCTTCAAAAAGAGAGTCAGGACTTCCTTGTCGGCCTCGTCTCCTGCCGCTGCGGGCGCCTTGTCGATTCCAGAAACGTCCCGCCACCCGAGCTTGTACCGGTCCGGTATCTCAGGTGCAGGACCGTTCGGCATTGCTCCAGGGGCTTCGGGGTCGGTGGGCTCGGTAGGCGAGGCTGGCCAGGCGGGAGATGTTGGTGAGGCGACGCCGTTTGCCTTCTGTCCGGCGACTCCGTTACCGTTGGCGACCACTCCGTTTCCGTTGACGGCTCGACTCCGGTCAACGTCTTCGACGGTGATGGTCGGGAGGACACTTGCGTTCGCGGTGCCCGTGTCCACAGCAAGCTCTGCGGACATAAGTACAGGTGAGCGGCACGGCCTTGCTGCGGGCGTGAGGTAATTGGAGGATGCGAGCGGCAGGCATACCTTTCGCGCCTGTCTGCACGTCGGCATTCTCGAGGCCAAGCTTATCCTCTCCTTTGCCGGCGGCGGCACCTTTGGACTCGGGACTGGAATTGGGGTCGAAGGTGTGGATGGGCACGCGCCCCTTGGCGGCGTCTCGTTGGACGATGCCGTTCACTTTCGCTTGGGCCTGCTGGGAGACGGGGGCGCCGTCGACTGATGCGGACGCCATGGCGGGCGGGAGGAGGGGGCAACTACGAAGAGTCCGTGGTAGAATAGAAGGAGAGAGGGAAGGAGCGTGTGGGAGGGTGTATGCTGCGAGGCCAGATGAATGAACGCTGCCCGTCCCTCGATGACGTTCCGCCACACGCGCCCTGGCTCCCCGGCCACTCCGGCACCATCACTCTCGTTCGGCGGCACAGCCGTTGTCCCCTCGACGTTGCATTTTCGTTCTCTGGGGATGCCGCTGTTCCCCGCGTATCGCGATGCCAGCTGGCAATGCGCTGCCAAATTTGCCCGCAGTTGTCATGGATGATTGCTGGCGTCCAGCGGGGGAATGGACGCAGCAAAAATATGGCACCAGACGGGGACGCCCGCTGTTCCGGGGTCCAGGAACGGCGCCGCGACGCGTCGGGTGCCACGTGAGGGCGTGCTAATTGACCCCTGTTCCTGTCCTCTCCCCGCCACCTACTCACCGCTCCACTGCGCCATGATGCACGATGCTCATGCTCTTTTAGCTCCCTAAACTGGCCTGAACTTCACAAGACCTCAAGGCCTCACGGTCGGCGCGCCGACAGCTCGAGGGCGCGGAGATGCAATGCACGCGACCCCATGCACCTGCGAGATTGCTGTCTGGAGATGGCCAGTCCGTTCGCGCCGCAGATGCACAGGCACGGCCATTACGATCGGATCCTGCGTTCTGCCTGCTCCCCCTATTGGCGGACCGATATCGCAGGTGAGCCTGTCTATCTCGGTATCCAGATATGCTGGCTGCACAGGTCTCCTCACAAGTGACCGGCTGCGGGCTGCGTATAGAGCACAGCAGCTCTATTTCCACCGCCACTATACATAGCATGATCAACGCTCAGGCGGCGTTATTGCGGGGCTTACCCCGCATACATGGTCGGCGGGGAACGTCAAAGCCTAATCGGCGGCTTCAGCTCCAGGTTCAAAGCTCGCGATCGTCTATCCACCTGGTTACCCTGGTCAGCGAGGACTAAGTACTAGGCTACTAGCCCAGTACTTTGCCTCGTCCTCCGAATAATGCATGCATACTGGCTTACGGTATCGATGTCATTCTTGCTGTCCGGCCATGATCCGAATATTGAACTCACCTCGCAACTTCGTCCGGACCGATGCCTGCGCCGAGCTCGGAGCACTTGTCTCGGAAGCTGCACACACGCGTGGCAACTTGGCGTACTTGTTCCCTTCCAATTTCATTCCTCTGTGCACGTTCACAGTATGCATTGGCACGCTCTGTCTAGGAAGCGCAAGGCTTGATTTGCTTTCACTGAAACTCACGATCTCGCTGGGCTCGTCGTGCCTTTCCTTCAAGAACTCCATCATGATTCGAAATTTGGTGCGACCTTACTCCCCGGCAAATTCTCACTACCGTCCCAACTACACAATAGGACGCCAGATGTAAGGCTCACAACATACATATCTGACTGACTGGTTCAGATTGAACGAGGCCCTGCGCCGAGCGAAGGCTCTTTTTCGACGTCGGAGGGCTTAGTTATCGACTTGCAACGCAGTCCGTCTGGCGAAGTCCTTATGATGTCGTCAAGATTGGACTAGCCACGACTAAGCATACCTCCCTCATCGCCCCGCACCACGGTTCCCAAATGGCAGCTCGTCGCCTGTATTCCGTGTATACCTGTCTACGGCCATCAAGTACTGCGCTGCGGCCAGCGATGTGGCCAGCATCGACTCTCCGTTCCCCCGCTTCCCAGGCATACGAATACTCGATTCAGGAGTCCCACAACGCGGCCCGGGTGACGACCGAGCATTCGTTCCCAAAACCCAACAATGTATGACCACCCACAAACTTGAGGGCGACATCGTCGATCTGATGTCGGCCGACTGCGCCTAGTACTGCAGCGGCAGATAAACGGGGATATCTCTGAACGCCGATTGGATCCAGGGCAATGGGTGCTGGAGGCGAGGAGGAACCGCATTGTGGCGTCAGTGGCGGTGTAAAGGTGGGTCGCAGTCATGGTGAGCGTTCAACTTCTGGTTGAACAAGCTGACTCTCCACGAGAAGACTTTACTACCTGACCCACCAACTATGCTAGCGTTTACGGGCATAAATGTACGTCGAGTACGGACGGCTCATCCTCACGCGCGGGGACGGGGCCGACATCTCGGAGGGTGACCGCTCTTCGGTACCCGACCGAACGAGGCTGGTGGGGTGGGTGACACCGTCGATCGCGAAGGCCGTCAACCCAGTCAGCCTCCCACTCGCTCGCGGGGGGATATAAGCCTCTGCCAGGGCGAACTCCCTTTCTACAACATACCACCATGATCACCGCTTCAGTCATTCTCACCTGGGGCCTCTGCGCCCTCTGGGGTGTCTTCCTCAGTCAATCCTCGGTCGACCTCCTTGCTACCGTCTCTCGCCTCCGCACCCTCTCCCTCTCCTCGATCTCTGCCTTCCTGCAGATCGCTGGGTACGTTCCTCACCTCACCTCGTCTGCTGACGAGCCTGTGTACTGATCACTGCTATCAGTTCCACCAACTTCAAGCGTCTCCAAACCTTGGACTCGAGCACTGTCGCTGCCCTCTCGGGGGGAGCTGACTCGTTCAACATCCTCGGCGACGGATTCAAGAACCTCAAGACCGACTCCAGCCACGCACTGAACTCCACACCCGGTCCCAACACGCCCTTCGCACCGCGCGCTCAAGGTTCACTGCAACTCTCCCACCTTGTACACATCGTCCTCGGCATCTTCAGCGGCATCGCATGTCTCCTCGCTGTGTACGCCGTCTACGAGGTCGTCCGGTATGGCTACACCGGGTCTTCGAGCACTGTCGAGGTTCGTTCTTTGTTCAACACTGTCAGCGGAATGTCACATTGACCACTCGCCACCAAGTTCATCATGCAGTTCAAAGACGGTAAATCGGGCGCGGGAACTCGTATTCCTGCTGACCTTTTGCCGACTTCCGAGCCCACGATCATCCTCGACCTCCACCCCGAAACACCACTCGCAACCATACTCGGCGACGCCTATGTAGATCGCGACCACAGCCACGACGCCACACCCGAAGACGTCTCCTACAACCCACTCGCTTTCATTTCCAACCGCTCCCCTACGAGCATCCCCGAGGTGAACATCGCGGTATCAAGCCCGATCTCACCCATCGTCACGCCCTCCGTGTCGGCCTCCCCTAGTCTTGTGGATGCAGTCTTGGTGACACCCCCGCCGTCGCGGCCCCTTGTCTACCAGGTTCGCACAGAGCGCTACAATGCCCCAGCGCCACTGCAGACAGCAGACTCCGAGCGAGAGAAGACCACCGTACCTATCTGGCACGGTGTTCTGTACGAGGTCGACATCGCGCGACTCCATCAGCATGTCCTCGACGATCCGTTCGACGAGCCTACACCGGCACCCTGTCTTCTCCCGGCATTCACCATCAGGACTGGCGACTTGCATTCGGGTTCGCTCTTCACGGACGACTACCAGACACCCACGCCATCCCCCCGCCCACTCCCCACCACATACACCCGATCTCACAGCCAGGAGTTCTGGATGCCAGAGGACTCGGACGACGAGGAAATAGACGAGTTCCTCCGATCCGCCCTCAACATGCAACCCGACCACAATGCACCCCCCAGGCGCGGATACTGGCCACGCGACGCGACCACTCCCGTCTGGCACCCTACGAGACACGAACTGCGGGCATGGCGCCTCTCCCGCCTCGACCACGATGACCCCTTCCTCGACGAGCCCGTTCCTCGGCCAACTCTCCCCAACTCGCCGCCTCTCCCGTCCTTCGAATCTTTCGCTTCCGGACTCCGCCCATGGTCGTTCGCCACCCACTCTTCGTCCTCGTCAGAATCCTCTGCTTTGGAGACCTCTGCCTCGGTCTCCGACACTTCCTCGGCATCCCTCCAGGCTCACTCGCCAACCCCGGCCTCACCCTTCACTACCTCTTTCGCCAACACCGAGGAAGACGACGAACAGACGCACGTCTTCGGCATCCCACTCTCCAACCTCAACCGGTTCCCTTCCACACATCGCGACCCGGACGAGGACGAGATCGACGAGTACAACCGCATCGCGCTCAACCTTCCGCGGGACTCCAGCACCGTACCCTCTGCGGACTGGGTGCTCCCCAGCGACTATGACGAGGACTGGGAGGAATTCGACGCTGTCATGTGCCTCTTCCCTCCCCTCCCCCTTCCTGCGGACATGGAGGATCCGTACGGAGAGCCGAGGGCGCCAGTGGATTCACCATGGGATGAAGACGACGACAAGACACGCGTCTTCGGCATCCCTCTCACCGACCTCGACCGCACTCCCTTCACGCAGCGGGACCCAGACGAGGAGGAGCTCAACAAGTACCTCTGCGCCGCCCTCAACTTGAAGGTCCGACCCGAGTGCAACGTCCCGCCCGCACGGGGATGGTGGAAGGGCAGCGAGTACGACAAGGCGAAACTCGACGAGTTCCTTCGCATCGCGCTCACCATGCCGCTCGACTCCGCTCTGCCCTCGACAGGCTGGCTTCTCCCTAGCGGCCACGACGAGAACCGGCATAGGGACGAGCTTGCCGCCTATGCCTACCCCGGATTTCCCATCCCCGAGCACCTGAGGATTCCAGTAGTGAGGATTCCAGTAGATACAGGATAGCACGTTGATTTACCGCACCTATTTCTATACTGTCTTTACTCGTCCCTTATTCCATTTTCCTACATTTTATGTGGCTCGTATCTAGCCTTGTGTATCTGTCCGGTATATACCATCCTCCGTCCACAAAATTGAGATCCTCTCTCATCGTTGAAGTGCCCAGAATATAATGCCAATCTACAATAATGCACATTAAAGTACTGCCAAATCCACAACAGTCCCCAAGTCCTCGCAGAGGGGTAGAAACTGAAACGTACACACCGATCACCAGAACGCTCGCGCGAACACCGCGGCACCGCCGAGCACACACGCCAACGCCGCAGCCCCACCACCCACCGCCCTCAGAGTCGACGCGCCATTCGCGCCGCCCTGGCTCGTACCCCCCAAAGCAACTTGCGCGTTCTTGCCCCCCTGCCCGTTCGACGTCGCGAGCACCGACGCATCGACCGTCACCGTGTTCACCGTCTGCGTCACGATTGACGTCGCGAACGTCTGCGTCGACGCCGGGCCGTCCGCCAGCTGCTGCGCCGCGTCCGAGAAGAAGACGAGAGCCGCGCCAGGCGCGGGCACCGTGATATCGCAGGTGTTCTGCGTCTGGTCGCACTGCACCGTTTCGACGCTCTCGGCGCCCTTCCAGGTGCCGTCCGCGCCGAAGCGGGGGCCGAGCGTCTGCCCGGCCCAGGTGATGTTGTCCTTCTCGGAGACGGAGGGCGCGCGGAGATATCTGCGGGAATAGCTCAGTACGTGCCGTACAGCTCCGCGGAGCGATTTAGAGATGGGAAGGGCTCACTTGACTTGTACGGAGGAAGGGACGCCGTTGGCCTCGCTGAAGTTGGAGCCGCCGATGGAGATCGTGGCGACGTAGTCGTGGGCGCCGGTTGGGTCGGTCATGTAGTTGATGAGTGCCATCCGCGCGAGATCGCCGTTTTCGTAGATCGCGTATGCGGGTGTCTGGTCGTTGCCGTCGTTCGGGAAGAGGTCTTTCACTTGCGACGTGTTCGTCTGGCCAAGCGCCTCGGCGACGAAGAGGGACGAATAGAAGATCGGGCCGACGGTCCATTGGTGGAAGGCAGACTGGTTGGTGGGCACCGCTATATTCCGAAGTATCAGTGGTGCATGTCCACCGTTGTGGGCCTAGACGTACCGGTGAAGGGCTGCGATAAAACTATCGTCAATACCTATATATGCGCTTTAACAGTAAAACCACATACGTTATACGACACGTTTTGACCACCAAAATGAAATAGCGCGCCGGTGAAATTGCTGTTCGCCATCTGCAAAGCGTAATCGAGGCCCCACAGAGCGGACGTGAACGTGTCGCTGATGCCCGGGAACCCGCCACAAGACGCGGTGTTCGTCTCGAACATGAGGAACGGCTTGTTCCACGTCTGTGCGAGCATTGTCGAATTTAGGTACGCCTGCACGATGTCGATGCCCGCCTGATGCGTTAGGTACTGCGGGAGCTCCTGCAGCGGGTCGTGTGGCGGGTTGTCCGGGTTGGGAAATACGACCGCGCAGTTGTCCGTGGGGTATCTACCGTGTGTCCGTTAATCATTTTTCTCGGGGCGGAGGAGCTCGTGTGAGCCGATGCTTACCTTTCGACGGATAGAGAGCCCAGGTACTGCGTGTACGAGTCCACAAACCCGGTATTCCACACTTCCTCGGGCGTCCAGGTGCCCGAAACGCTCGGCGCGATCAGGTTGTTCTTTACCGGAATAGCCGAGTCGTTCTGGTACGCCTGCGTCAGGAGGGCGTACTCGCCGAAGAAGTCAAACGGGCCGTAGGTGGATGGACGGTGTCCGTGGCTATCGGGCACTTTCAGCCGCAGCTCACATGTCCCACGCTTAAAAGCATGGCCGTACGTACGCCGCATATAGGTCAGGCTCGTTCGCCGCCTGGAACCCGAGAAGGTTGTCTCCCAGGATAGCCTCCCCTTGTTCGGCAATTTGGAAGCGGAAGTCCGATGTGTCGTTGAAGGGGATGCCTGTGTGCTCAGCGATCAGTACAGGACCCACTATGAGGCTGAACGTGTCGACCTACCGAGATACCATCTAGCATTGATGAGACTGGAGACGTTGGCCATCATATATAGCAGTTCTGGCGTGAACGCCAGAACTGGCGTCGATGTCTAGCCGATTCACATATCCGTTGAGTACCGTTAACTCTGTAGCATGTATCCCGACGTACAGGATTGGACGCGTCCTCTTTATCCTTCTCAATCATCGCTCCGTCGGGGAGCGACTCCACCAAGAAGGCGGTCTCCTGTGTGTTACCGCCGACACGTATGTGAACCGCGCCTGCCCTTTGTGCAACGGTGTTCATGAGGTTGAGAAATTGCGGAAAGAGGGTCGTCCTATGGCGCAAGCATCAATGAGACGGCAAACATATGAACGGCTGCTACGTACCCGTTCTTTCCGACTATCATTTACGATCAGCGCTCGGCAGTGCTCCAACAAACGATAAAACTCACTCAGCTGGTTGGCGACGGACATTTCGATGGAAAAGCCAAAGAAAGTGCCATGCTGGGGTATAGAGAGGGCATTCATGAGCTGCGCACTCGAGGGTACTCCGATGGAGAACTGCAGCGGGGGTGCCGGGCTGGGAATCGGGGGCGGCTCCATATATATGGGATTGTACGCCGCGAGCTCGGTGTACTGAGGGGGCCCCGGGGTCGTCACAAAGGACGTCGTCGACGCGACTGGTGTCGCAGTCCCAGATCGCAGTGTAGCTGCGTCGGCGGTCGTTTGACCAAACAGACCATAGATGGTGACATCGGCGGCGACAAGAGGGGCGAACAAGCAAAGGAGGGAAAGGAGCGGTGCGCGCATGCTGGCCATGCGCTGCACGGGCCTAAGGAAGGAGGGACCTGCAGGAGAAGAAAGCTAAGCATAGGACAACTGGCGGTGCCATATATACTGCAGCTTTGGCGGTTGGCGTGCAGCGTGATTCGTGCCGCGGTTGATATGAATCCTGCCGCCCAGGATGCACTTATAATACGCGCCCGAGTCTGCGGACCTGGCACAGCAGGTCCAAGGGGCAGATGCGGAAGTTGGGCAGGCTGCGCACCAGATGCGCGCATAGCAACATCGGATCAGAACGATGCTTTCAGGCAGTTGCAGGCCTCCCCCTCCGAAGCTCTAGAGTGCTGTGCCATGTATTGAGTCGCCAGAGACGATTTTCGCATGGCGAATGTGCTGTACAACCAGCCCTGGAACGTTGCGAGATGTTGGCCGGACTGCCCGACCTCATTGTGCCCCGTTGCAAACGGTGTCAGGGTGGACGGTGGACACTGTTGAGCGCGGAGATTAATCGCTGCGCTATGAATAGACGCCGCTTGTATTCATAGATCGGTTCTATTCTGTACGCCGTGCTATTTCAGAACGGATTCAATTTTAGCAGATACTGCGACGCACCTGACTTGACGTTCCCCGGCGTTGTGCAAGTACTCGGGCCCCCAGCGTCGATTATCGGTGCATGAAAGTCCCAAAGCCATTTTTATCGGGGTTGAAAACACGCTCAGAGTTTCGCGGAAGGACGACACGACACATCCAAGTCCGGGGCTAGACCGGCAGTGTTTACCGTCTACGTATTAGTCCACCAGCCTGTGCTGAGCACCGCTCGGGGTTGGCAAACAATCAGGAGCCCAAACTGTCATCGGGTTTGTGGGACGTATGCAGTGGCTGCGACTTGACAGTGGGCGCCCTGTATATTCGAGGTGTGACAACTGCGGCGCAGCCGACATGTCTGATCCACCAGATTTGCTGGCACCTTCAGCTGCGGTCTTACGCCCCAAGTGTTACTGTACGACGCTCATTGCCGCTGTGTTGCACTTTCCTGACTCCTTGCGATAGAGGCAAATCGGGCGGTGATTTACGGACCTGCCATTATAAAGATCAGCCTGCTGCAGTTCGGGTAAGGCGATAGGAATATTCACGCCTTCAGTGGTCCTGTAGTCGTCAACTGTTAGCGTCCTCGCACAGGCTTGCCAAGCTTTCTCTCGCCATGCATGTCCTGTAACTTTCCTCGGGATCGAAGTCGTCTTTCATCGACATCGTCGACTCGGTCGTCACGTCAGGCGTGGATCGTACTAGTCAGAAAGAGTTAGTCCCAAAGCAAGCGACTATATAAGTGGCATCAATGCATGACGTCGTTCATTGAGCTCTGGGCGCCTATCCGTTAATATCGCCCACACCATTTATCGAGGTTACCGTGGGAATAAAGCCCGGCGAGTCACCGCGCTCGAATTTTGTCGATGGTTTGGTCTTTTGCACTTCGACCAGGACATCGACAACCGCGACGAGCTCCATGCAAGTCCTCCTGCGTAGACTGTACAATGGCGGCTTCAACCATCTCAAGAGAACGTCCTCTCTCCTCTGTAAGGCGCCCCGCGCCGTCAGCCATCCTTCGCTCACTCGCTCATGCTCCGTTGCGGCCGCTAAGCTCTCGGCCGACGATACTTCTGTGCGTGATTCTCTATGCTTATCTACCGGTGAATGGGATAGGAAATACATTGCGCGGATGACCTGGGAGCGGCGCGTCACGCGGGGATACTGAAGGCAACCTTGGCTGAGAACTTCGAAGCATTTACCCACCCTACAAGCAGCTAGTGCCTGCCACCTACCCTGCTCATCCTTCGCGCGCGATTGGCCGCGTGGCACGCCATCCTTTCGCCATATTACACCTCTTCGATTCGCCCCCGAGTTCTGCATATCTTGTCCCGTTTGGATTGAATGTGCGCTGACAGCTCTCCGCCGGGAATGTAGAAAAGCCCCGAGCTAAGTGACGCACAATGCAAGCCGAGCCCCTCGCACCCCCAGCACCAGCAGCACCACTTCTACCACACCGACGCCGCCCAGGACTCGCACATGTCTGCCTACAAAGACTTCCAGAAGGCGAACGACGAGTACGTCGCTAACTTCGGCGACAAGGGCAACCTACCCCTGCCTCCGTCGAAGAAGCTCCTTATCATCACCTGCATGGACGCGCGTATCAAGTGAGTGGATTTACACACACCCTGTTGTGGCGCAATGCTCACCAGTCCGATACAGCCCGTACTTCCACCTCGGCATCAAGGAAGGCGAAGCGCACATTGTCCGTAATGCAGGCGGTATCGCGTACGTTGCCTCTCGTCTGCGCTCGAGTTCATACCAGAGCAGTAAGGGTAAGATTCGGAATGTATTCCCGAATCTTACTACTTGGCCGAGAGAGCGAAGCTTGTTAGTCTGCCCCCATGTGGAACGCCCCGTGGGCGTTTGCTCCAGCCACCGTCGCCGACGCGTTTGGACGCGTCCACCGCCATGTCGTGTCGCGCCGTGTCAACGTACATGTGACGAGGCGCCATGCTGCCAGGACGCGTTCTCGCGAATCGCGATTGCGCGGGAGTGACTGGTCTCGGTCGCGGGACCAGCGCAATCTCGCGCGACGTGTTGTGTCGCGCTTCCGTCCCCTTCCGTCTGCATTCTTCATTCTCTGTTCGGTGGCTTATTCCTTCCTGTTTCACCGTTATAGTAAGGAAGCGCTCCGCTCCGTCGTCATCTCGCAGCGCCTTCTCGGGACGCGCGAGATCGCCATCTTCCACCACACGGGCTGCGGAATGGTGACGTTCGATACGCCGCAACTCCGGGACATCGTCAAAGAGAGCGCCCCCGGAGACGCGGAGCTCGCGCAGGCGGTCGATGACATCGACTTCCTCGAATTCAAGCATCTCGAGGAGAGCGTGAAGGAGGACGTCAGGTTCCTCCAGGAGAACCCGCTCGTGCTCCCCGGGACGAAGGTCACCGGATGGGTGTACGAGGTCGAGACCGGAAAGGTACGTGCCATGTCCCTAGGAAAGCCTTGCATTTCCTCACCAGCATTCCTGCCATGGTATAGATCCGCCTCGTTGCATGAATGGGGCAGTTCGCCTCTCTTGTAACTCTTGCCATCTACACAAGATAGGTGAACAATGCCTACCCCTCTTCTGTTGATCATCTGCTGACATTGATCCCAGCAGTCAACACAACGCTTGTATATATCACTATGACGAACACGCTCTCCACTGCCATAGGCAGATCATCACGAATGCTTTTCGCGCCCATGAGATGAAGCCCCAAGAAAACCTGTAGAGCTCTACTCGAGCTGAGCACTCGGCACTCACGGAGGTGCGTCTGCTCGGCTGCACACTGCGAAGCCGACCCGGCGGCACCATAGGTCGCCGGAGGCCGCGGCCCTGGACGTCTGGATTCGCAACCCCTGGGTGATCCGACACCGTGTTCGCGTTCCGGACGCTTTCCAGTGCTTCCTGTCCGCACCGCGAAAACAAGTGTGGCTGACACACTACCTTCGTGGCGCTTGTTTGCGTAGCTCCGGGACCGGTTGCGCATTCGCCGGAACGTGGGATGCTGTGATCGGCGCGCGCTGCTGCTTGAGTTCTATACCGGACTTCAGCTTTCCGTTGATTAACCAGCGCCGCCTGGCGTTATTGACATGGGCGAGCAGCCCATTAACGCCTTGTTCGACGTCGTTGACTGCGCAAAGTAAGGAGTGTCCGAGCTGCCCGCGCCTAAACGCGTGTTGACCGTCATGTTGTCTCAATGTGTCTCAGCGCGGATCGGAAGCCAGGGGCAGCTTTTGCTTGATTTTGCATCAACAATCCTCAAGAACAAGGGGCTGTGCGCCGAGGCGGGAAGCACTGTGGACGTTAACGGCAACAATCAGGAGGCTCACTTCACTTTTTGCTCTCATCTGCTCTCAAGATGCACCGCCGGCATGTATGCATCTCCGACGTGCAGCTTCATCAGAACCTTGACACCGATAACTGACCGCTCAATGCCCACTCATAGCAAGCGCGTTACCGTGGAGCGCGTAGGACGCTCACACGGCATCGCTGTGGCGCGAACCCTCGCTGACCAGGACAATCTTTACTGCGTCCAGGAGCGGTGTTAGTTTGCGCTGATCACAAACGTGTGCCTCAGGCTCCCCACTCTCGCCCATAGGGGATGGGCACCCCCATCCGGCGGCCTACTACGATCTGACAATCTCGCCGTTGTCTGATCGCCGACGCCTAGCCGACCGACCGTCTCAGGTGAGGAAGGCGTTTCCGGGCGCGGAGGAGGAACGTCCGGAACACGAGATTCGAAGGGCCCGGGTCAAGTGCGCGCGATACGCAGCGCGCGCGTGCAGGGGTATAAGTACAGCGTCCGTGCCATGTTCTCGCGCCCACACGTACGACAGCCTATCCCGCGCCCGTCAAGTTCTCAGGCCTGCGTCACCGCTCCCCTGTAACCCTTTCTTGGCCCCCTTGCGCCCGCTCCACCCGGGACCTCTTGTTAATCTCAGCCTCCTGGCTATAACTGCGCAATATCTAGAACAAATACTCCCAGGTGATGGCACTCATCGAAACTTTGACTCTGCCGCAGGCGGTTCTTGCGGTCGCAGGGCTATACTTCGCATGGACGCTGGCGCGCCCGTTCGTGGTGAAGACCGCGCTAGACAACCTCCCAGGCCCTCCGTCCACATCCTTCCTAACAGGTGCGTATACGTGCTTTCTCTCTACACGAGGCCGGATCTGACCGCGAAGATGCGGATCACAGGAAATATCACCCAGTTCGCGTCGCGCCACAGCTGGGATTTCCGTGGCGAACTCGCGCGCATGTACGGGCGCACCTCTGTGATCCACGGGCTCTTCAACGTGCGCATACCGTGTTATGCACGCATGTTAACGCCCGTATTCTGACGGCTTTTGTCTGGCGGGGATTATAGAAAAAATGGCTGATCACCCATGATCCCAAGGCGCTGCACCATATCTTCCTCAAAGAACAGGACGTCTACGGAGAGCCTATCCTGTGCGTCACCGATCCGCCCGCTTAAACGCCGAATATGCGCGGGCTTTGAGCTGACCACCGGTGTTGTCAGGAGTATGCGCGTTTTGCTGGGTCCGGGGCTCCTCGGCACTGAAGGTCAGTGGCGCAGCCTGCGAGTGCAATTGAATGAGCACTCACCTTCGACTATAGGCGATCAGCACCGCCGCCAGCGCAAGATGCTCAACCCCGTCTTTTCGACGAAACATCTGCGCGAAATGACGCCTCTGTTCTACGAGATCATCCACAAGGTGCGTCTCCCCGGTCCCGGTCCAGCACCGGTCACTCACGCCGCAGCCACAATACGCAGACCCGAGATGCGATGATGTCGCGTGTGCGTGGCGGAGACAGGTCGGAGAAGACTTCTGGAACGGAACTCGACATGCTTTCGTGGATGGGCCGCACGACGCTGGAGGTGCTCGGCCAGGCCGGGCTCGGATATTCGTTCGACCCGCTCACGGAGGACGTCGCGGACGAGTTCGCGTCCGCCATCAAGTCGTTTTTGTGAGTTCCTTCTCACTCTCCCCTTCTTTCACCTCGCAATGGCAACTTACCGCCCTTGCGCGACAGCCCACAGCTCGTGAAGTCGGTCGTCCCGCGCATTTTCCTGCCCATCGCGGTTAAGCTCGGCCCGGCCTCGTTCCGGCGGCGCGTCGTGGACATGCTCCCGAGCCCGAACATCCAGCGTATGAAGGACATCTCGGACATCCTGCACGCGCGCTCTGTGCAGATCTTCAACGAGAAGAAGGCGGCGCTCGCGCGTGGGGACGACGCGGTAAAGCACCAGATCGGCGAGGGCCGCGACATCATGAGCATCCTGCGTGAGTGGCATTCCCGCTAAAACGTGACACAGACAAGAAGAAGACTGACATATACGCATGTTGCTTAGTGAGGGCAAACATGACGGCCTCTGCGGAGGACAGGCTCTCGGACGAGGAGCTCATCGGCCAAGTCTCGTGCGTACTTCACGCAGCCGAACTTCGCTAGCGCCGTGTCACTCACCGGCTCCGATACCAGAACGATGATCCTCGCGGGAATGGACACCACGGCCAACTCGCTTGCGCGCATTCTTGAGCGCCTCGCGGAGTACCCGGAAGTACAGGAGCGCCTCCGCGCGGAGATCCTCGCCGCGGTCGAGGCCGAGGGACACGGTGACATGCTTGATTTCGACCGCCTCATGGAGCTGCCTTACCTAGACGCAGTGTGCCGCGAGACGCTTCGGTTGTGAGTGTACTTGTTGGCTGCAGTCGCTGTCATGCATGTTGTTGACGAGGTTTGCTGTTCTTTTCAGACACCCCGGCGTGGCATTTATCTTCCGGGAGTAAGACCTTCCATTGACTCTCACTGTATCGACCAGGCTAACTAACTACCTCTTTACTCCTCTTAGTGCGGAAAGAGACGCTGTCCTCCCGCTCATCACCCCGGTGCGGGCGCTCGACGGTACACTCCTCTCCGCCATCCCAGTGCCGAAGGGCACGCGCGTCGTCGGCGACGTCCACGCCTGCAACCGCGACCCCGTAACGTGGGGCCCCGACGCAGACCAGTGGCGGCCAGAACGGTGGATCAACGGCCTGCCGAAGTCGGTCGAGGAGGCGCATATCCCCGGGGTGTATTCGCACTTGATGACGTTCATCGGAGGGAGCAGAGCGTGCATGTGAGTGTCGTGCCGGCTGTTCGGCGTGTTCGAGTCCTGACACCGTTTCACAGCGGCTTCAAGTTCGCGCAGGTCGAAATCAGTAAGTGCCGTCATAAATATAGTCCCACCTCACACAGATTGCTCACCGCGTTTCTGCAGAGACGGTCTTGCTCATCATGCTGCAATCGTTTAAGTTTGAGTTGACGGAGAAGCCCATCGTGTGGAACTTCGCGTCCGTGCAGTACCCGACCATCGGGAAGGTGAGCACGGAGCCCGAGATGCCTCTGAAGGTGTCGCCGTTGCTTCGACCCTGAATGGCTCGGCATACGAGAAGGGGTAGTGGCTGCCACCGGTTTGGATAGTAGGGATAATTATACCCTTGGGATATCTAGCTTGGATACTCGATAGACTCTATAGACTGTGTTGTACGATAGTTTTCCAAAGTTGCCGGCACTGTATCCTACTTTCTAGACGGATACATGGCGATTTTCGTGAACAATTTTCAAGACCGCACTGCCCGAATATTGACATGGACAACCAAGCCTACGTAGTTCCGGCCGGGTGAGAGAGAAGAAGAGTACGAAGACCAAGATCGCGTAAAGGCCGGATACACGCGACGCGGTCGCGATGACGCCACGCGCAACACGCCTCACGTGCTCGCGTTTCGGCAAATTATATATCGCCCAAACGCTGCACAGATCTGCACCGGCGATCGCATATATAGACCCTTCGACACTCTGCGCCTGTCGGGCCGCACCCACATAGCACTCCCAGCACATCGTCGTGGTCTCCAATACTGCTGCTTCGTCGCCAAACCATCCCCGCGATACCCTTCCACCTGCGAGAGCGTCTCTCGTTCACCCTTCCAGCTTTCTACACACTACCATCTAGTAGCTGAAAACCTAGACAAATGACATCTCCGTCAGGCCCAGGAGGATACAGCTCATACAAGCCTAGCGAGCACATCACACCCTCCGGCCATGCAACGCCCAGGACAGCCGCCCCAGCAGGATCGGCTCTCGAGGACTTTGTGCACGACCTCGATCGCCCCGTGATTGCGGTGGACATGGACGATGTGCTCTCACAGACAAACCTTGCCGTCGCACAATGTGAGTACCCTCCAATAGCCTTACCAAACACTGGATACTTGGCGGCTCTGGAGAGCGCTGATGGAGAACGCACCAGGGCATAACGACACATACGGGACGAACATGACGCTCGACGACTTCCACTGTGAGTCATTCATACGCGCCGATGCGTTGGAGACCGCCGTGCTCACTATGGGCTCCACGCACAGACTACTACTACTGGAGGGTCAGCACCTCCTTCGTCCGCTCCTAATGACGCCGCTCACTCCCCCGCGTTTACCCCAGAACCCATACTGGGGCACCCCGAACGAAACCGTCGCCAAAGTCGAGAAGATCTGGGAGTCCGACTACCTCGACAAAGCGCCGCCCGTGCCCGGCGCATACGACGGGATCGTCGCACTCAAGAACCTCGGCTTCCGCCTCGTGATCGTGACCGCGCGCCAGCCGCGCGAGCTCGACCGCAGCCTCGCGTGGCTCGCGCGCGCGTTCCCCGGGCTCTTCGACACGGTCATCTGCACGGGGCAGTCGCAGGAGACGCTCGCGGACGAGCACGAGCTCGTCACGAAGCTCTCCAAGGCGGACGTGTGCCGCAAGATCGGCGCGCGGGTCCTGGTGGACGACTCGGCGGAGAACGCGCTCAAGTGCGCGTGCGCGGCGCCGCCGGTGCCGGTGCTGCTGTTTGGCGGGTATGCGTGGAACAGGCAGGCGGCGCACTATGAGGACGTGAAGGAGGAGCTGAGCTTTGCGGAGAGGTTTGAGAAGGAGGGGAGGAGGGAGTACTGGTTGGATGAGAAGCTGGAGGTGCCGGAGGGTGCGCCGTTGACCCGGGTTAAGAATTGGGAGGAGGTCATCCAGTGGGTGGAGAAGCAGAAGGCAGACGGCAAGCTATAGAGAGATGTATGCCAGTGATGTATGAAGCACGAGAACCGAAGACAATGTATGTTGTTCACTACTAGCCCACGGTAATGAGCCACGAACGTCGAGACTTGAAGCATGCAAGCCAATGATGTAGAAGCGCAACACCTTGAACTGCGGCATGTTGGAGTACTTGCACAGGTGGTACGTCGGAGTGGTGTCGGTGGGCCGCAAACATTCAAGCATCCCTGCCACCATTGACAGTGTAGTTGGGAGCTTCTAGACCTGCGGCGGTACCTGCTGCAGTATCCGGATATCTGGATCGATGTACACGCATTAATCTGGCCAAACTTTGGGGTGATGTGAGACCGATATCGACGTTACACCCTCCGCTCTCTCCGTGAAACTGACGTCAAGCGCAATTGAGAAGTGGGTGAGCGCGACGTAGGGCGACGTTTGTTGGGTTCGGGATATCTGGATGCCGCGTCGACGTATACGAAGGGAAGCGGCTCCAGACTCCAGTCGAAACCACCACTGCATCAAGCTCGATGCAGCACAGACAGAAGAGGCTCTGCAAGCGATCTGGATGGAGTCGGAGCGCCATCTTCAGCATGCTTGCGGCGGTGAACCTCATGCTCCTACGCGGTGGTAATTCATATCCCGTCCTCCCCTACGCGTGTGTGCGCACACAGTCGACGCAGGCAGCCATGCGGCAGTAGAGCTCAGAGTGTTTCGCAGAGAGGCAAGAGGGGGGTCGGGTGGGGCAGGAATCTCGGCCGTGGGAGCGCGGGGCAGGAGCCACCGAGCACCGAGGCGTGTGACAGCTGATCGGGAACGCCCGACCCACTTGAACTTGAAAACCTGCCCGATTAGGCCGATTGTCGTCATTCGTCCTGCCCCGGCCAGTGGTGCATCGCGGTGGATTCGAAGGAGTCCGTGCCCGCATAGCATCATGCCCCCCGCCGCCTATAAAGCCCTCGCGCCGCGCCTGACCTCTTCCCTACCAGTTTCGTGCCGCACCATCCGCCCTCTTCCTCCCTTTCCTCCTTTTCCGTTCAACGCTCGACAACGCCAAAATGACCAGCACCCGCGACGCACACACCATCGAGGCCCGCAAGGCCCGCTACTCGCGTGAGCTCGCCGCGTACACGCTCCGCCAGTGGGACCTCGTCCGCCAGTCCGCTGAGTCGGACGGCGAACACAGGGACAGCTCCGCGAGTCCCTCCGGCCGATCCCGCTCTCAACCAAGAGACAACAACACGCCCTCGAGGGCGTCGCAAGGTGAGCCTGGCCGCCGGTTGTTCTGGGAGCGCCGATGTTGACGAGGTCTCCCGCCGTTTTCCCAGGTATCCACGCGCACGATTACGCCCACGGTCTGCACAGACAGACGAGCGGCCGCGCTGTAGCAGGGAATGCTTAGCGATCCGCTCCGCATGGTGAGTCAGCTACCCGCCTACCTTTCAGCCCGTCCTCACCCACCTTCCAGCCCGTCACCCATCTTCCAGCCCGTCCTCACCTTCCTCCCTTCTCCGTCAGCTGCCAGGAGCGCACATACATACTGTTTACGTTATAGTCAAGCACGTCGGACATGCACGCTGCTTAATTCGTTGTCAGACACATACATACATATCACCCGCCTCTACATCGGACGCTGCACACCGAACGCTAGAGTCGCACATACACATACCTGTATATTAGTGGCATGGTCATGGAATTCCCCCCTGTATTACTTGGTCTGGCGGTCGCGCCGTATTAAATGCTGTGATGCTCTGCGCATTCTCTCTCCCGAGCGTGTCATCGAGTGTAGCTACCGTGCGACTGCGGCGTATGCAATGACGGCAATGTCTGCAGCCGAGTGAGGTTCTAGCGGCCCCCGCCCGCTCTAGAGGGCGATGACGCGGATGGAGCGCTGCGAATATTTACATCATCAGCAAATTGCTTATGACACGGCGGTCCATGGAACACTGGATCATCGCCCCGCCGGCGAATGTACTTTCAACCTGGCGAATGTATCATGCGTGTCTAACTTGGCATCCTCGTCTCAGCCCTGAGTTGTATCGGGGTGCAGTGGCCGTTGTCCTCAATGCCACTAGCGTGCGGGAGGGAACATCAACGTTCAATACTGAAACTAGCGGTAAACTTGGACGGAAGCTGTGCGAAAACACCCATCAGTCCTGTCACTGGAGGCTCTGACGAGGGCGGCGGAGCAATGTTCAGTACGGGTGTTGTACAGACAGACACGGGCGCGCCCCACCGTACGGATGGCAGGCACCGCTAAAGCGAGTACGCCAGTACGCCCCAGGTCGCTCAAACGGGCCCGGGTGTGTCACATTTCGGATGCAGACCGTGATGAACACAGCTGCGGCCCCACACGCGTATGCCTCTGTGCCCTTGGAGCGATCCCGCAGAAAGTCGCGCCCGAGCCGCCGCCAGCGATGGTATCACCGGGGTCGGGCGGCGGTGGAGAGGCCAAGAGGGGGGACGCATGGCCGAGTGCGCTCTCCAGCGCGCCCGTTTAATTATCGATAGGCTGCTTCGGTTCGTGCGACTCAGAGATCTCGGTGAGATGCATCCATATAGAGGCGGTTGCGCACCACCGCGTACCACGAGCGTGACGCGACGTGGGCATGCCTATGGGTTTCTCGGGTCCTGCCTGCCTGCCAGCGGGGCCGGGATTGTGGATCACTACCAGACGCTGTGTGCGTGACACATGTCGTTTACAGCGTAGACTATCCGCTCGTACTGCTCTACCGTCCACCACATGTATTTCAGGACACGTCTGCAAGGTACGCGGTCGTTCGGGAGATCGTACCGGCACTAGTGGTGGGTCCAGGAGAAGGTCCTGAGAACGACCTAGCGCCGGCGCCGGACGTGCCGACTTGCAGGTTGCAAGTCACCACGTTCAGCACAAGGCACCTGGAGCTCCATGCGCAAGCAGCTTGAAAGTGGATATAAATCTTCGGATAGATTTATCGGCATGAAAACGGTCACAGGAACGGATAGACTGCTTCTTAGATCGCTCATCGAGGTTCCTGGGTATGTGCGTGACAACATAGATCTAGAAAAATAAGATGCGTCGGCGTAACCGGAGACGGCAGGTCGACACATGGCTCCGACACAGCTGGTGGGGGCCGAAGCCATGACGTCGACCCGCATTGATATCATATCCTTCTGCTGACTAGAAGGTGTCTGCCCGACTTCACATTATGATAAAGGTTCCAAGCGCGACTGGCATTGAAGAAGTCATATATCGTCTACTAATGAGCCGTACACTGTGGACAGTACCACAGACTCCAGACACAGAACCTGGCCAGCCATTTGCTGCTCCAGTGCAAAGGATCCAGAACTCCGTATTCCGTACTGATAGACGACCAGCCGTAGCACTAGACCGCAGGACCGAGAAGGACGGAGTACTCACTGCGGTGGTTCTAATATGTACTACGGCCATCTCTGACACTCTGTGCCTGGGGTAGCCGGTACATCTGGCATATGTTCTACTCCTCGGGCTTCATTCACCTGTTGGAAAATTGCCCCTCCGATCCGAACGGGACGCGGAGCCTGTTAGTGACGCTGGCTGCGTGCACGCGCGTTTCATGGCGAACATATCCAAGAAGCGCCGAGGTTGATCATGCAACACAGCGCGTCCAGAGCGGTGGCCGCGAATGATATGGGCTAATCGCGGAAGCAAACTGCAAACGCAAAAATCAGCCGACGTGGAAGGTGCATTCGAGATAGCGCATGCGAACCATATGTTGCCGCGCGCGGGGTTGCGAACGTGCGCCAACATAACTTCGAGCGTAGAAACCACTGAGGTGCGCGAGAAGCTGATAATTCGATGCCCAGCCCGCGGACGTCGCGCACGCAGCACCCGTTGCGTCTTGGCTGGGCTGGTTGTTTCCTGTGGTTGTCGGACGAGGACGAAAGGAGGACGGTCGCGAGGCGCGCGGGCGCAAATCGTACGCCTGCTACTTGTCGCGTCCAATCACGTGGGGCAGCGATACAGATCTGAGATCCATACCTGCGAGATGTCCTCCCCAAGCATTCCCCAAGCCTTTTGCGCTTTACCCGCCTTCCGCCCTCCCACTCAATCTCCGACTCGCACCTCTCCCTCCTACCCTCAATCCCCGTCTTAAGCAGCGGCGAACACACGCGCGCCGTCGCCACCACCATCCAACGCGCCCGCCATGTTCAGACCCGGTCCCTCAGCCGTCCGCCTCTCCGCGCAGCTCAGACGGGCCCTCGCGACACATGCAGCGCCCCCAACGACACCCCCGACGCGTCATTCGTACACGAAGCAGGAGATCCAGCAAATATACGACACCCCGCTGATGGAACTCGTCTTCCGGGCCGCTTCCGTGCACAGGCAGCACCACGATCCGAGCAAGATCCAGCTATGTACCCTGATGAACATCAAGAGTGAGTGCGCCGTGCGCGTGCCTCGGAACTGTCTCTGACCTGTGGATTGCGCAGCGGGCGGGTGCTCCGAGGACTGTATGTTTGACCGTCGAATGGAAGCGGCATTGTGTCTTAACGCCGCACCCAGGCTCGTACTGCTCGCAGTCCTCACGCTACGCCACGCCGACCAAGGCGTCCCGTCTCGTTGACATCGAGCCCGTCCTCGAGGCCGCGCGGAAAGCCAAAGAGAACGGGAGCACGCGCTTCTGCATGGGCGCCGCGTGGCGGGACCTCTCCGGGCGCAAGCGCGGGTTCGAGCGCATCCTCACGATGGTCAGCGAGATTCGGGGCATGGGCATGGAGGTGTGCACGACGCTCGGGATGCTGAGCCCCGAGCAGGCACGGATGCTCAAAGAAGCGTAGGTACCAGCTGCCAGTCCACCTGTCACCGCGCGCTGAGAGACGCGGGGCGCACACAGCGGCCTGACTGCGTACAACCACAACCTGGACACCTCACGCGAGTACTACCCCGAGGTTGGCATGGATTTTCTGGCAGCTGTCGAACAGGGTTGACGCTGTTGTGCGTGCAGGTCATCAGCACCCGCTCGTACGACGACCGCCTCGACACCATTTCCGCTGTCCGGGATGCGGGGATCAGTGTTTGCTCGGGCGGCATCCTCGGGCTGGGCGAGTCCGACAAGGACCGCGTTGGCCTCATTTGGGAAGTCTCGAAGTCCGTCGATTTTCCATCGTGCGCCACACTTGTCCGAGGCTGACTCCGCCGCAGCATGCCAGAACACCCCGAGTCGTTCCCTGTAAACGCCCTCGTGCCGATCAAGGGTACGCCGCTCGAAGATAATGAGGTACGGTGACATGCATTATTCGGACGGCAGCCGCAAACTCACGCGTCTCAAGCCCGTGCCGTACCAAACCATTCTTCGTACGATCTCCACGGCGAGGATCGTAATGCCAGCGACTATCATCCGCCTGGCGGCCGGGAGGCAGACGCTCGACGAGACGCAACAGGCAATGGCCTTCATGGCGGGCGCCAACGCCGTGTTCACTGGTGAACAAATGCTCACGACGCCCTGTGAGTACTGGAAGCCTGTCTGTCTGGTCTTGGCGATCTGATGCTGAACTGTCGACCTCGTCCCCAGGCTCGCCGTGGGACGAAGATAAGGCGATGATGGGGCGCTGGGGGCTCGAGGGTATGCGCAGCTTCGAGCAGTCTGGGGTGGCCCGGAAAGAAGGGGCGAGGCTGGAAGCGCGTTCGGAGGCGCAGGGCGTAGCGCCCGCAGAGGTTACTTCGAACCTCGCGACCGCCCCCAGCGCCTGAACACATGAAATATCCCGACGGCATTAAACCTTTTGGCTCTTTGTCCGGCTCCGCGTCTTCGGTTTTAAGCCACGAGATGTGGTGTGGCTGGCGGCGACCAGGAGGACTTACCACATAAATACGTGTATCGATGGCAGAACGGCGTGGTAGCGTGGAAGTGGAGAAGCTAGATAGAGCGGTAGTCCACCGGTCGCGAGCGAGGGCTCCCGCCGGGTACCGAGGTGTATTGCTAGTTTGTTTGATAAATTGGGGGCGTGCGTGCGATTTGCGCATGGCGATCTGCCAACCTCCATCTCGATCGCATCCCGCGAACACGTTAGATCTTTGGCTCGGCTCGCGTGCCTTGGGGATCTTCAAGGCGTCGGGCCAGTTGCGGGGCGCAACCAAATGAACATGTTGACGTTTGAGTGCGTAGCGCCGACTTCCGGATTGGGATTGGGTGTGTAACAGTTGCGTGTTCCCCGCAACGTCCGAGGATGCCCGTGCCCCTCGAAGTTTGCGCACCATCAGAGCAGCCAGTCAGCTTCCGTCGCGGCGGACGGTGCGGATGTGGTAAGTTCTCAGGGTCGTCGACCGCCCAATCGCCCGACAGCTCCTCTTCCAACATCGTTCATCTATCGATTCGTCGGGTACCTCTCGTTCGCCGTCCGCTGCTAGTCGCTGTTCGCAGCGCCCGCCCCATGAATATAGGTATATTGCGCGTCCTCGTGGCAGTTTACCCAGCTGACTGACACACAGCACACGAAGGACACGCTAGAGGCGGGATCTGGCTCCGTTGAATGCCCCGCACCCCGGACATGCGTCTTGACGGATCGCAACAATCTCCGGCGGACCTGGACGCGTGTGCAGATGCCGTGTCGAGATAGCATTGCGAGCAACTCGGAGACTGTCAGGTTTGCCGCCAGCGAACTGTTCGAAGGGTGCGCCCCCGGTGGTGAGCACAGCTTTCGCCCTCGAGCTATTTTGACTGATTCGCACACGGGACTAGGTAGCACTCGCAGGCCAGGCCGTCCCGGGCTGTCCGCAGGGCACGCTGGACCGCGGTCACTCTGCCTTGGCGTACGCGATGGTTCGGGGGCAATATCCAGTGACGAAACTCTGTCGGACAAAAATGCACTCGGGCCTGAGAGCGGGCCAATGGGCGTGCTGGCACAGCTTCTTGCGCTTCTTGGGTGGCTGCGCGACAGGCTTTGCGGGCGCACCAGCTGGGGCAGCGAGGGCCACTCAGGCTCGATCGAGCGCGCCAACGGGTCCTTCCTTGATTGTCCTGGTCTTTGATATGACTCTATCTAGGTCTGTTCCGCCGAGGCCTGTTCCGGGTGGCCGACCCTTGCGTCGGACCAATCGTGTCCGTGTTCGAGCTGTCGCTTCTCTGACCAAAAGGTTGCTACTTCGGCCCTTGACGCACCTGGAGCGGCTCGAATTAATGATGCTGGCATAATGTCTGCCACGGGAGAAAGCATGCCTGGCGTCCCTCGCTGGCGCACAGGACAGGACCTGCCTCTGATGTCTGTCGGTGCGGTGGTGCGTTTAATTCCGGGGGCGTGACCGTTCCCCTACCTGCAGCTAGGTGGACTCGGCGTCCGCGCGGTGGTACAAAAGGCGGCGCCTCACGTCGCTGTCTTGCACATTTCATGGCGCTTGACCCCCTCCACGCTACATGTCTGTTTCAGTTCCCCGTGCCAGCGCTGAGCATGTCTTCTAACTCCTCCAACTACGCGACCCCCACCCCTGCCCAGCCGGGTTCCAGCGGCCGGGCCCAAAGGTTCTTCCCCCCCGAGAGGTATGTCCCTCTGCCCACATACACCCCTCGTCACGCTCACCTTTGTTCACCCAGATACGTCGCCGCACAGGCGCAGTGCGTGTACTATGGCATCGTGTCCAGGCTGCCGATGGTTGCGTCAGTGCCCCCGGTGCCTCTTCTCCCGCGACCTCGTGCGGTACTTACGGTTTGCTCCTCCCCGTACAGGCGTGTAACTCTGACAGACTACCGAGGCACCGTGCTGCTCGACAGCTACGTCCGCCCTACGTGAGTTAGAGTTCTGGCGCCCCATGCTGTCGGGCTGACGCATGCCGCGTTCGCAGACAGCCGGTCTGTGATTATAGAACGGCCGAAACGGGGTTGCAGCCGCACCACCTCGCCGATGGTGTGTATTCTTCGCATGCCCATCGCGGAAATGGGGGAACGTGATGACGAGTGCGAATGCCCGCTTCCGCAGCGCCCGTGTTCATCGACGTCCAGCGCCAGGTCGCGTCTATCATCAAGGACAAAATCCTCGTGGGCTACGCCTTGTGGGAGTTTCTCTCCGTACGTCTGTCCATCGCTGTCCCGTCGCCGACGTATGGGGCGCTGACCACCGCTCCGAGCTAGGTAATGAACCTGGCCCACCCAGCGATCAACACCCGCGACACCGCCCTATTCATGTCCTTCCGTCGCACGCTCAACCAGAAGCCGAACGCCATCATCCCCCTCCAGACCCTCGTCAAGCACTTCATGGGCAGGGACATTGGCCAAAACGGCGAGGTTCCGGTGAGAATCATCATCGGACTTTGACGCCCCTTCTGCCAGTTGGGACTCACGATGTCTCGAGCAGGTGGAACGGGCTCGGGCCGCTCTAGACCTCTTCCGCTCCTGCGAGCAGACCTGGGAGGGCATCATTGCCACCGGGGCGTGGCCGTGTGCGCTGCCCCCCGCCGACTACCGCAACTTCTTCACCTGAGGCGCTTCTCGTGCCTGCACGTCCCCGTCGAACACTGCTATATAATGTGGTCGTGCGCCCCTGGACCCTCGCCTGCTTGGACTCGTAGAAGTATCCCGTCGGACTGGTTGTCGCTTTTGTACGGACGGAGTCTGCCCAAAGACGTTTCACGCTGCTATCGTGTACTGCTCGACGTCACACCCTGTTGCGGAACTTCGCTACCATACAACAGCTAATTTATCGGGCGGTTCTTAGACTGATGCATGGCCGACGCGGCACCCGTTCCGCTAGTAACACTGGTATGACACAAAGCACAAGCCTAAAAATACAGGTGCGAAGGGGGGACAGGGCGACGAGATCACAGCGCCGCGGCGAGCTCTACCTCCCGCTTGTTGACGCGGTCGATTTCTACCTCTAGTGCGACGTTCGCCATCTCGATTTGGAGGATGCTGGAGATCAGCTCTGTCCACCGAGTCTCGAGCGAAGTCAGCTGCGAGCCTAGGCGCGTCTATATGTGTGTACCGGTGTCAGTATGGTGTCGTGCCAAGGAACGCCCGCGCGGACTGACCTGGAAGTTCTTGCGTTCACGGTTGACTTCTGTTGTCAAGTTCTTGAGGTCTTCGAGAGCTTTCTCAACATTCTTCGCGGACGCTTCGTTCAGATAGTTGTGTATCCGCCACGCATTGGACCCATACTGCTGCAGCAAAGCCAGGTTCGTTTGCCTGCGCGGGGCGCCGTTGAGCATACACGGAGCGTGCCTGACAGCGGAGACCCTTACCTCAACTTTTGGTGCTCTAATTGAGCGCGCGCATTTTGGAGGGCTTCTTGCCACTCTTCTTCGTTCTCAGGCGCAGTAGGTGCGGGCAACTGGTACCGGGCAGTATCGAGCGGTGACATAGGTTGGTGATTTGAGACGCGCTCAAGTTCGGCTTGCAGTAGTGGATTAGCCTAAATAAAGCGGTTAGTACCCTTCGCGCGACCATCCAGCTTCGTTAGATATGGCGCACTAACAGCAAATAATGTTGGTGCGGGTGGAACCCCGGGATGAAGGGTTTGTGGTGGCTTCCCCTCGCGCGCGAACTCCCGCTCGACTTTCTCCTTTAGCACCGGATACAGCTCCAGTTCATTGTCATAGTACGGCAGAGAGTCGAAGATAGCAGGAGGGTGAGAGTCGCCGTTGGCCACAGAGGTAGACATATCGGAGGATTATGGTAGGAAGCGAGAGCGGGGACGTCTTAGACGCCCGTGCAGCGCGTCGGGAACTCCGCCAACGCCCGCTGGTTCGCGCTCATCCTCGACGTCGACAACCATGTCTCTCCGGCTGGCGTGTAGAACAGGCCGCCTCATCCGCCATGTCCCGCCTCGTTCTGCAGTTGCTGCTGCCACTCAGCTGAGCCGGGCTCTCCACTCTTCCAAGCCTTCGAAAGGTATTCACTGCGTGCTCGATATCTGCGGGGCTCTCGCTGACGACCAACAGCCTCCGCCTCCCCGTTTACGGAGCCGACGTCCCCCAACCCGGCCCTGACTGTCCACGCTGAGACGACGGAGAAGCTGCACTCTTACGGCTCCTACCTCCTCCAGTGCCTCCCCAAATTCGTGCAGCAGTTCTCAGTCTTCAAGGACGAGCTCACGCTCTACATCTCCCCGTCCGGTGTCATTCCCGTCCTCACCTTCCTCCGGGACCACTCGCAATGCCAGTTCAAGAGTGCAGTGGACATCAGCGGCGCCGACTACCCCGAGCGTGACAAGCGGTTCGAGGTCGTGTACCACCTGCTTAGCGTCAAATACGCCAGCCGTATCCGGGTGAAGACCTATGCGAGCGAGGTGGACGCCGTCCCTAGTGCGATGGCGGTGTTCAAGGGCGCAGATTGGTGAGTAAATGAACTCTAACGCTTCTTTTCGGCCCCCTCACTAAATGCAAACAGGTACGAACGCGAAATTTGGGACTTGTACGGCGTGTTCTTCCAGGACCACCCTGATCTGTATGTGCTGCCCAATCATCTTCATAGTTTTGACATCTGACCGAATTCGCCGCAGCCGCCGCATCCTCACGGACTACGGTACGAGGAATGCATGCGATAGGTCTCCCGCGCACTAACGGCGTTTTTAGGTTTTGAGGGGCATCCGCTTCGGAAGGATTTCCCGTTGACGGTGCGTAGATGCTCCGTTGTTGATGTCGCTGCAGCGCCCCCGCTCATATGTCTCCACAGGGTTACACTGAGGTCCGGTACGACGAGGAAAGGAAGCGGGTTGTCTATGAACCGCTGCAATTGACTCAAGCTTTCCGGTACGCCAGCCTCGTGTTCCCGCTCATCTAGCAGCTGAACTGAGTTTGTTTGAATGCCCATGCCAGAAACTTCGACGCCTTGTCGCCCTGGGAGCAAGTCGGCGACGGTACCGCCCCAAAGAGGCCCGACGAGTTCAAGCCCGTCCCGCCCCCGCCGCCTCCCGCAGAGGAGAAGAAGTAGATGTACTGCTCGGGCCGGTGATTATAATACATATACAGCGTCGATGGCGCTCCACTGCTACTCCCGCGAGACGACGATGAGGGTTTCCGCGCCTTCCGGTGGTATACTACTGTCCTTGTCACAGCCTACGATGCAGCCTGCTCATTGATTGAACTTTCCTCGGGAGCCCCCTTCTCGGCACCCTTCTTGTCCCAGCCCATGCGCGATCCGATGTACTCCTGTCCGATAACTTCGACACCAACTCTGATGGCTTCGACGACGAGGTCCTCCACCCAATCATACTCGTCCCAAAGGTCGAGCCATTTCGTGGGAACGGACTGTGTGACCGTGGAATGGATCATGTTATGCTCTGGGTCGGACAGGCAGATGAGGAATTGCAGAGATGATTGAGTGGTGGGATTTGGCACAGCGGCCGCCGCGTCGCTGTCCGCGTGGAGTTGGGGTAGTGCGTACGTGGTCGTGTACGGTTGGACGCGCAGGTAGACGTAAGAGTACGTAGTCGGGTTCTGAGTCGCCGACGAGGTGGATTGTTCGGGCTTCACGTTGCGTCTCATTAACTCTTCGAGGTTCGCCTGCAACACGTCAGTATGAGCCAAAGGTGTGTCGACTGACGGCATACCTGTGCGAGCTTCAGGGCAGCGTCATAGCCGTCGAGCGCGTTCAGATCTCGCTTGGTTTCCGCGGTGTCCTTGGGACGCGACTCGTCGCCGCGGTTCACGACGAGGTCACCACCCTCGACCTGTTCCATAATCTTAATAGACGTCCATGAGCAATGCCGTCCTTTAGCGAAGCGAAAAAGCTGAATTTCTTACGCGTAGAAGCGCGCGGTACACCAAGGTCTCGATGCCCTCATATCCTTGCATGTCGTGGCTAAGCCACACTTTGATGACTTCATGCTCCGAAATGGGCGGTGCGACGACATTCAGGATGTCCGTTAGGGTCGAAAGTCCGACTCGCTTGAAGTCCTGGCCTACAACAACAATTCAAACGACGGTCAGGCCCTCCCAAACTCCTGGGAGACCAGGGGATGACGTACTGAGCTTATCCAACTGCGCAGCCTTAGCGTACTCGAGCACGCCCTCGCCCCATTTACGGGCTTGTTCGTTCTTCGGAAGGTTCTTCACCTGCTCGTCGACGACGGACTTGGCCTGCTGCAGCGCGGTGCTCGCTGTCGACCACACGTTCCCCCATCCCCATCCGCCCGCCGAGGGTTGGGACTCCTGCCGCGGCGCCTCGGGCTGCTTCGCAGAGGCAACGCTCACCCTCGAGCTCGCCGAGTCTGTCCTGGAGAGCGGGACGGACCCAGGGAGGAGGGGCGCCGCGCCGCCGAGCTTGACGCGCTCGGTGCTCTTCCGCACGGTAGGTGTGCCGGCGCGCGAGAGCGGACGATCGATGTGCACGCGCGGAGGCTCAGAGCTCTTCTGAGTGATCTCGTCGATGAATGCGAACACCTCTGCTTCGCCCTCCGTTGAGGGTTGGGCCGTTGGCGCGGCCAAGGACGGCGCATCCGTGGGAGGAGGCTCGAGGTTATCGAGGTCGTCCAGGAACTGCAGCGCTTCCTGTTGCTTTGACTTCGATTTTGCGGACATATCGCTGCTTGAGTGCTATCTTTGTATGCGCAGATGCTAGCGACAGCGTCGAGAGGGACGTGAAGGTGGACGTTGTCGTAGAAGACGGAGATCTGTCCTGGCAGCGCAGCCGAGGCGCGTGTATGGGGTCGGGTAGCGCGGGACGCCCACCCGACGCGGTCGCGCTCAGGGCGCGGATCCAGCAGCCACTCTTCTCTACCCAGACTCTAGCACGCTATACATAACACGTCTTCTCTCTCTCATTTCACCCTCGAGAGCCCCCTTGCGTGCATTGGAATTCTCTGCGCACTGTGTACCGGCGAACCAAATTCAGCCAGGGAAGAGAAACCGTCCATAGCGCACCGATCTGCGCCACCAGAGGCAGCAAGCACCTTCGGACGCACAAACGTGGTGTTTGGGACCTTAAAACTCTCCCCGTCGTGTTCAACGGTTCCCGCGAATGGGCAAGAAGAGGAAGACCTCTCGCGCGAGTAGAGAGAGCTCAGAAGAACCTCAGTTTGTCGTTGGTGAGCTTCCGCTCATGTAACTTTTGGTGAACTTACAAGCTCACTTCGCCTTCGCTGGTAGAGGTCATCAAAGCCGCAAGGGTAACGAAAGAGGAGGAATGGGTACGTTATGATCATAGTTTAAGTGCGGAAGTTACTCATGTAGTTTCACTTCCACAGGAGTATCGTGTGAAGGTATGCTGCTCGTGCTTTTTGCACTCAAGCTTGAGAAATGTCCACAACTTGCTTTGCAGTGGGCCAACTATGACTCATCAGAGGATACGTGAGTGTTATGCAGTGTGCGCGCTAGACATATCCCAACCATCGTTTAGGTGGGAACCGGCGGGAAACCTGAATAACTGTAAACGTCTCCTGGACAGCTTTTGGGACGACATCGGGATAGACGACAATGACTATCACGAAGGGTATACCGTACACGCAACTCCGAGTTGGATCAGTCAGTGTATTCATACATAATGATGCAGCCCACTGATACATAATTGTAGAGCGGGAGAAGAAGTACTTTGCTAGGAGTTTAGACAGCGGTACTACTTCACGGGCGGATAAGGAGGATGAGCTTGAAGCGACTATCGCTCGTATCAAAGAAGGGGCAGAAGATACCTCTCGTGTTCCACTAATCAAGAAACAACCATCAACGTCGAAAGGCAAGGTATGCCCGATACACCGCATACGTCTCTACGATGCAGATACTGAGGCATTTCACCGTGCAGGATGTCACAAAGTCATCCACAGGCAAGAAGGCGGGTCGCCCGCGAAAGGTTACAGTTATAGAGAAGCCCGAGTCGGGAGTGGTATGTCCACATGACCTCTCCCACGATGCATACATACGGAGCTGATAGCTCAGGACCGTGCAGAGGACTCAGATGATGCCCCGTTATCCGCCATTCCGCGCAAGCGCAAGAAGCGTGTGAAGCTAAGTAGTCCAGACGTGAGTCCAATTGTTGCACTCTTCTGGCTAATACAAATACTCACTCACATCATCGTAGTCAGATGAGGCTGACGACGACGACGTGCCACTAGCTAAATACAGCAAACCCAAGGCAGCCGCTTCAAAGGGAGTGGCGTCCGCTTCCTCTTCTGCACCATCAGCCGTGGTAGGCTTTCCTAACGCATTTAACGTCGTGAATCTGACGGTTCCCTCAAGAAAACTGCCCCTGTTGTTAAACTGCCAGAGCCTGCGCAGGACTCCGACCACGAGTCTGGGGGGTCTCTCTTCTCTGGACCGTCATCTCCAGAAGCTGCACCTGCCGTACCGGAATCTGCAAGCGCAGCTGGTGCAGAGCAGGAGAACACAACTATTCCCATGAAGAGGCCTTCTGTGGACGATGTGGGCGCGAACCGCCACCGCAAACGGCAGATCAAAGAAATGCCCATGGTCATCACCGGGACCGCAGGCAACTCGACGAAAGCCCGTTTGGCCCAACGTGGGGTACAACCTGCAGCTGCCCCCGCCCCAGCCACCGCTGGCGCGGATGGGCCCGGGACACGTCCATTTACACAGAAGCTCGACCTGAGTTCCATGTCCTTCAAGAAGAAGAGTGCTACTGCTGCTGCCGCGCCTTCCCCTATACAAACAGACAGCCCAACGACACCGATAGTACCTATACCCAGGCGGACCTCTATGGGTAACGCTTTCGTCCAGTCACCTGTGTCCGCCGAGCCTCCGACACCAACTGGCTCGACTGCTCCTGTCCCGATTCCTCGTACAACCGACTTCAAGTACTTATCTTCAACCTTCAAACTATACAGACTCACTGACGTATTGGTTGTAAGGCGTCCAATGGTCCCGATTCCTCGGCGTACTTCGTTGCAGCTACCGCCCAAGGATCCGACTGCAGAAGCAGAGAGCTTTTTGGCAGGAATCATGCCTCCAGAGTAAGTTATGCCGTTGTGTTCACTAGCACGCTTGAGCTCACCATGTCTCAGCTTGGCAGCGCCGATGAAGTAAGCTAGATAGTCTGTGTTCGAGGGAACCTACTAATGAGATTACCAGCGAGGACACGACGCCAGTGACACCAACCACACCTAGTGCACCTGGGCCCTTTGGCAAAACGAAGGCTCCACCGCTGCCTCGGTCAGTGCTTGTTTCCCTCTTCATCATTGCACATCGCCCTGATAGCGTGGTAGCATCGCCAAGAAGTGGAGGTGGTCGGGCGAGATGTTTATGGATGTCAGCCGTGAAAGGGCGGAGCGTGTCTGCGAGATTTCTCTCCATGACCCCACAGAACCCCTGCCAAACGGCCTGCGGTTCAGCATTTGCGTCAAGGGAGACAGCCTCCGCCTTTCTGCATTTCACGACATCGCCTCACTCCCTGTCTTCCTGGAGGCCTGCACGCGGGTGCAACAGTTCGCCAAGGTCGCGCCTCAAGAAGACAAGGATACGGATGCTATCAAACAACTTGCCATCTACATGATGAAGAGGTCGCTCGTGAGTGTTTGTTCCGTTGTACCTGCTCATGAGCATCACTGATTGGACGCGCCACAGTTCTGCTATGCGCATCTCTACATCGAGGAGACGTCGGTCGCACTGCTTGTTATCTTCCCTTCGGGGCACCCCGAGACGATCAAGTTCCTCAATGTGCCTACTGGTTCGGCCGGCGAGGCGTTGTTGCAAGCAGCGCTCGTACCCTGGGAGCTGAAGGCGAAGGACTTCCAGAAACTGCATTGGAAGAACAGGATTTCGACTATGGGAGTCACTCTAGATCCCGCATTCATTCCGATGCTCGACGAAGCCGGGCGCAAGGTAGTCACCCAGCGCCGCTTCTACCAGGCGCTGCACATCCTGCAAATTCCGAAGAGCCTGTATGACTTCGTCGCCGCACCGAATCACCCGTACTGCATCTGGTATGTGCCCGGGGATCACTCCGGCTCTGGTCCCGGGTACGAGACCATGCTACTCAAGGAGGTTTTGGCGACGTGCGCGTCGAAGAACGTCGGCTACAAGGCGGATGGGCGCGTTGTGTTTGTGCACGTCGGCGCGCTGGCGACACTCTACTGTCTCCCTGCGCTGGCCGAAAGGCGCAAGTACCCAGAGTGGCGGTTTATCACCTACGGTACACATCCCAGCATCCCAAGGGAGCGCTGGGGTGTGCGAGAACTGTACCCTATAGGTGCGATGCTCTCCCTTCGTGGTACATTCGATTCGCGCTGACTCCGTTGACAGGCGGCATCGTAACATTTACGCCTTCCGCGATCATTCAAGGCCATTTTCGTCTGTTCCAACGCATCAGCCAAATTGCAGAGCATCCGATGTGGGAATGCTATGTGCTGCCCTCGGTCGTAGCCATGGTCGCGAAGCTGTGCTGTCAAGGCGTGCATCCACTCCAAGTCTACGACGAGTAAGTCGAACTTTCGAGTATATACTCCGTGGTGGCGACTGATGTGGAGCAGGGGTAACTTCGTCTACGAAGATCTCTTAAAGGCGATCGAAGATGGCTCGGTGGCACTCTTGCAGGCACCCCAGTCTACTCTCGACCCACCAGCACAAGACGACTCTAACCTCCTCTGGACACGGTGCATGATCCGCGTCGCTGGGCTGGATGCGCGGGGCATCCTGGAGGAATGTCTCAAGCTAGCGGCGGAGCAGTTCGCGAACACATCCGAGGCCGACCTCCCGGCCGCTATCGAGCAGGAGATTGTGCGCGACCTGCTGCGTATGCAGACGCAGCCGGTCATTATGGACAACTATCGGCGCTTCGTTGTCTTCAGGACGAAGCAGGACGCCTACTTCGCGGACGCAAGCAAGTCCGGGGTACGTGCTACGTCTTTATGCGCCCGATGTGCTTTGCTCGATCTAACGTGCTCGGGCGTATTACAGATCGAGTGTACGAGCCACGACAAGTTTGACTTCAAAGACGACTTCTTCGAAGCGTCGAACGACTCGGAGAAGAAGTGAAGCAGTCGCCGGTTGATATGCTCCCACAATATCTGTATCTATTGTAATAGTGTGTTTGTACCTGCCGCTCTGCTTGAAACATGCGCCCGTGTCAAGGCTATGTTCAGTGCCCATTCAGTCGTATTGGGCTCGTACCACCGATTCTACTTTCGGGAGCGAGTGCAACTCTGCCAGAACGCCCGCGGCGTCAATACATGTGATAGATCAGGCCGGCGCCAAAGAACCCCGGGTTCTGTGGTCGGTGGTGCCAGCGCCATGCACACCTCTCTCAGCTTCACTTATACAGCCTGCTGCTCTTCCCCGCGGGGCAACCCCAGACCCTCTCGTCCGCTTGATCTGCCACCATGTCCAGCCTAGACGCCATCTTGAGCGACCCCGCCTACCACGACTACCTCGCCATCCTCAAGGGTGCGCGGAACGGCCTCGTATACGGCGTGAAAGTGCGGTTCCCCCATGCGCTAATTATGGCTATCCTCTTCGGCCGCGGCGAGTGCGTATTATTCTCTCTGCGGCACAGACACGGCTGCTGACCTGGCCGTGCCCCGGGAATAGCTGGCAGACGCGGCTGCGCGCGATCTACCGCGCGACGAAGCAGCACGCGCTGAACCTCGCGAAGTTCGTGTCGCTGTACAAGACGCTGCTGCTCGTGCAGAAGAAGATGAACGGGGGCAAGGAGCGCGGTTTCGACACGTTCATTGCCGGCCTCATCGGCGGGTACGTCGTCTTCGGCGAGCGCAGCGCGGTGAACGAGCAGGTGAGTAGTCCTGTGCTCGTGTGTGGAGCCCCATATTCACCCCGTCCCTCCGTGCCGCCAGATTGTTCTGTACGTCTGCTCCCGCGTCGTCGCAGCCTTCCTCTCGCGCGCGAAGACGCCGTACTCCTCTTCCGCGCCGCCCGCGGCCGGCACGCGTCCGCTGCCCCCAGACGCGACGCAGTTCTCGATCTTCGCCGCCGTGTGCTGGGGCGCGGTCATGTGGCTCTTCAACGAGCGCGGGGAGACCGTGCAGCCCGGGATGTTCAACTCCATGACGTACCTCTACCGCGACTCGGAGCACTGGAATAGCCTGCGGACGCTGCTGTGGCACAACAAGTGAGCCGGGCCTCCTCCTGCCGGCTGGACGGACGGACGGATGCTTGGACGCTGGACGGGTGCGTTCGCCACTGTGATAGAGTGTACGTCGACCCGTGTGTAGATATACCTGGATGCGTCTGCTGCCTGCGGGCGCGTCGCTAATATACGCCTCTAAACCACAGCATACGGCAAGCAGTGTGCCTTGTATAGGTTGCCGTTCAGGAGGTTGACGCACAAGACACAGAAACCTACGCCTCGGTACCCTGCCACCACTTTTCTTGGGAGCAAAGTTCCGATGTGGCCGGAGCAAGCCAACTACATTCCGCCCTTCTGACGCTGGGACTGAACAGGGAATCACACCGCAGATGGGCTGAAGGCCCGACAGGTGGCCGGCGAGCGTCATACTTAACGTTCGCAGACCGCGTGCTTCAGCGCAGCTGCATACATGAACGCATCTCCGCGAGTCGGCGACCACAAAGGCGCGCGCCCGCGCACGCACATTTTGCACAATTGCCACAGTTGGGCACGCAGCGCAACCGTAGGCCGGATACGTACGTATTGCATCAGGATCTGCCAGGTACGATGCGGGGCAATGAACAGGTACCCCGGCTGCTGTCTGGCACGGCACGTAACGGCGTGCATTGACGCAACGTAAGCACGGTGCGCAGTCCGCTATGCCTTTAAGCATCAACTGATCTCCGTATGCTTTCTGGACAGTTGAGGATGCACGACGAGCCGTAGAGCAACAGCCGCAACTCATCCTGATGCTGCCGGCTCAATTGCTGTGAGTGCACTGCCGTGCACGCATACGGCAAGCATTGTACCATGCTCGTCTGCATCCACGCCCAAACTAAGAACCACACGGCATCCCGGCGACGGCTCTCATATGTGCGCGTATTCGAAGGCCTGACGTCGAGCCCGCAATCCGAGAAGGGCGGAAGAGGGGCCTCGCCATCGGGCCAACGAACCAACCTTCCCAGTGCTCGCGAGCCGCAGCCTCCCCGGCCTTCGCCATCGACATCGACATCACCGGCCACACGTCGTCCGCTTCCCCACATTCGCAATGCCCGGCCGCAGGCCCGCCACACATGAACCTCATTTTGCAGAATGCAGGCTGAGGCCATCATCATACTTATTGTGTGCCCACCGCCCCTGCCCATCGCCCATCGTCGAAGCCGCCGCTTCGCGCCATCCTCTGACCGACGCGTGGGGACACATACCTCGGTGCGGCAGACGACATCGATAGAAGGCTACTGCCGCATGTGCCATGCCGGGGCGGTCCAGGTGACCCCCGCGCGTCGCGTAGGGGGGCGGTCTCGTCCTGCATTACGCCCCGAGACGGATCGCGGGTCCTGATAGCGCATATCCATCTGTCATATAAATGTCAGCGTCGCGTGTGTGTGCTGCAGTATATGCACGCCAGACAGTTGCTATGGGCGTCATATCTGGATGGTAGTGGGCGCTTGATATCAGCTGCACGGCGAGATGAGGATCACGCACATGTTGAAAGTACGAGACGGCACACGACGGTCGGCGGGGGAGTACTGGGCAGAAAACGCACGTCCTGAGCAATGTACAGCCACTTTACGTGAGAGGGGATATATGTACATTGAAAAGCAGAGAAGATCGTCAGAGGGCGCAGATGACCCTCGAAAACGGAGCCCGAAGACGTAATAAACCCAGCAGAAGAGGAAGATGAAGGACGTGGTATCATAAAAGGAGGTAAGTAGGTGGAGAGATGGGTCAGTTCTATATAGTCCTGAATGTGCCCTACATGATAATACACTTGCGCTTCTTCTCCTTCTCCGGTGACCGTACGGGACCTTGTACTCCTTGTTCTTGCTGCTTCGTCGAGCGGAGCAGCCGGACGAGGTTCATGAAGAGGCGTTCCACGTTGTGCGCCGTTTTTGCTGATGTCTCTAGGAACTCGCAGCCGAACTGCCGCGCCAGCGCCGCACCCTCCTCTCTCGACACCTCCCGCTCGAACTGTTTGTCGCATTTGTTGCCGACAAGCATGAAGACCGGCTTCTGACGCTTGACCTTCAACATGGCCTGCCGGAAGACGTCGAGTCGCTCGAACGTCGCCCTGGACGCGATGGAGTACACCAGGATAAAGCCCTGGCCTTCCCTGTGGCAATATTCGCATCCAAACCGGGTTAGAGAGGAATACCAGGAGCTTACCTGACCCATTGATCACGAAGCGTCGCGTACTCCTCTGGTGACACATGATATGATGAGCGACGGTCGGCGCACGGGCTCGGGGAGACGCACCTTGGCCCGAGGTATCGATCACCTCCACGAAACACATGCGATTGTCGACTACGAGTTGCTTGCGGTATGCGTCTTCTATCGTGGGGTCGTAAGTCTGGTGCGGGGTTAGCATCGGACGTGACGTAAAGTTCAATATACGGAGGAAGCGCACCTCTGTGGGAGACCGCCGCAAGGAAGACTGGCCTTGAGCACACACCCGAGGAACGGAGGCGTTAGGACGTACCAACAAAGCAATTGAGCGTAAACTAGGGGGGGTCAAAGTTTCAGTCTCGGCGCGCAAAGTGGCGAGAGGGGCGCATGAGAGTGCTCACTTGTACAGCCAGTGCAGTCTTTCCTACACCACCATCACCAAGAACGGCTACTCTCCAGCTATCCATGACTGCTGGCAGGCGAGGTCAACATCGGAGTCGCGCGTGCGCGTCGGAGGGGCGGTAGCTTACGGACTTCAAAGTGGGAGAAGGGAGCGTATAGAATGTGCAGATCTTGGGGGATGATGAGCGGGACTGCGGGGGGAAACACAATAAGAGGCGGGACGGACCTCAAGCGTGAAGACGGAAGCGGGAGAGGGGTCGTGAAGACGAGATTCGTGGTGGGCTTGAGGCGGGTCGGAAAGATAAAAAGCGAGTTGTGAACGTCGTGGAAGATCGTGCAAGGTCGTAAAGGAAAGCCCGGGCGGGAGCCTTGACGGAGACGGGCAGTGGTGGACGTAGACAGAGAAGGGCGTACAGAATTCGTCCTCACGCGCGCTCGACCGCCCCCGCTATTTCTATCAAATCACCAACACCGCCCACAATCCGCCCTTTTGCCCCAGAATGTGTCCGTATCTGGCCACTTTGGGGCCACACTCGCGCCGCCTGCCAAATGCGGCCGGTCCACCCCGGAATGCGCGTGGGCGGTAGTTGGGTGCTTCCTATTTGTCCCGGGCTTCTGACTTTATGGGCGGTCTTCTCTCCTTCCGCGCACCTTCTCCCACACCTTCTTTCTTTCGCCCGGGACGCGCTCTGCTCCTCGCCCGGCTCGTGCCACACGCCGCGACGCCGTCCGCGCGGCCGTGAACTCGAGGCACCCATTAACATCCCAGATGCACAGATGAGGCACCGGCCATCGCCGACTCCCCGGCCGCGAACCATCAGCACAGTCGAGTAAGTGTGCTCTCAGGCACCCCCATTCTCCTCCTCTCCTTACCTATATGCACCCGTCGCGCCCCCAACCTCATCCCGGGACGGCCGTATCTCCATACGCTCCAATCCGACAACGTTGCAGGCCCCGTGTCCAATAACCCAACTATCCTCGCGGCGATATCACCCCACGAAGGTATCCGCCATACCTCCCTTCCGTTCTCTCTCCCCGGACATCCTGCAGCCCAGGCCCTGCCGCTTCCTTTCCAGCAGGGTCCTACGGTCATCACAAGAGTCTCTGCAGCCGCGAACGTCGTGTGATAGGCTCCGACAGCCTTCCCATTGCATAGGACCCTGTACGTAACACTGCAGAATGCCCTCAGCCACCACCTCCCGGCTGCTCCTCAAGCCAGGCTATCGGTCGGCCGTGCCTGCTCTCCACCGGCTCTCCAGCCCCCGGCGTTTGTGCGGCTACCATCACCAGCAGGCAGCCCCATACTTGGTCTAATGGGTATCTGTTTTCTCCTCTTCGCACGGGCGTTCAGTGGTGGGCGCACCGCGGGAAACATATGACCTCCACGCAGTCTCCCCAGGATACTGATCTTCCGTATACCGGCTCCCGGGTGCACTCTGGATGAGGAGACGGAAATGACACCGCCCGTTCCTGGCTGCCTTACGACAGTGATCAAATCATTATGGGTGTCTTGTTTGAACGCCGCCGAATATTATCCAGAGTCCTCCGGCTCACGCTCGACTCTCGACAGCATCACACTTCCCGATGAGCGGCCTCACCAATGCGGCATTGCAGCACGTTCCTTGCAATGTTCCTCGCGCACTTGGAAAGGTGAGGTCAGAACGTTCAACGTTCAACCGCCTTCGGGATTCCTCGGTGCCTAGTTTAGCTCTGAGGCCGAAGGGATGACGACCGTCCTATTACATGCAGGCGTCGCGGGTGCCGCCGACCTGCCACACACTCCTGAACGGCATGCAATCGGCCCAAATTCTGCACCGCGAGGCCGATCGCGTCCTTTCAGACCCGACGCTGCTCAAACAATCGCGGCCACTGCAAAAGACTGATGCTACGCGGAGCCGCCCTGCTTTCTTTCGAGGTCCGCGAGCCCTCTCTGTCCGTCAGCACCTCCTCGTCAAGGCCGAGTCCGCCGCCACAAATATCGCGCTGTCCGACAAACCTTGCACGGCGAGATACCCTGGGCGCCCGACCGGGGGGACGCCGCACACCAGCGCGCCGAACGACGGACACACCTCACTTCAGCCTTCACACGGCGCGCCGGCCATCGTGCGGTACGCGCGCACCGTCTCCCAACGCGAGCGCACCGCGCCCGGCGCAGAGGAAAGTGCAGATTTATGTAAGGCGGAGCCGGACACGCTGCAGCGTCAGCGGGCACGCCTCGCGCCTGCCGGGCCGAGCGCGCGCGCTGCAGCACGCCGCGGAAGGCGGCGGCGGTAGTCTGCGGAAGCTTCACGCCCTGGGGCCACAGGCGAGGCCGCGCGCGAGCGCCCACTTCATTAATGGCCAGAGATCTCCTCGTCCGATAGAGGTGCGTCACTACAAACGCCGGGCACGTCGTTCCCCGGGACCCATCGGGGAAAACGAAGCTCGGAAGGGCGCGAGGCTACGTGCGCACGGCCGCCGCGCGCACCCCATGCAGGTTCGCGTGCGCGGCGCGCGGCGAGGTGAGGTGAGCCCCGCTCGTTCTCTCGCGGACGACGGAGGAGCAAGCTCTAGTGGCAGACTCGCTGAAGCGGACATTTACAGGTGGCGCGGCGTCCCACGTCGTCGGGCTCGCCGTTTGCCGGGGCGTGCATCCCTGGTTGTGTGCGAGTGAGAACGCGCTTGCGTGCGGGGCGGGCGAGAACACGCGTACAATACGCCGTACGAGTCATCCCCAACTCTACGCTTTCGGCACCTGTTCTGCTCTGAACCACCATGGGCTCCTTCTGCGGGCACACGGGCCACCGCCCCTATGACCCGCCCCCAAGTAGCCGGCCACCCGGCTCGCCCAGCGCACGCCGCGCTGTATGTGGTGCGTCCCCCCATGGCCCATGGCATCGGCGAGCAGCGCACCCGTGACTGCCCCCGTATGTTGTAGCCGCCATGCACGCGCTGCGATCTCCCCGACCGATCCTCCTCTCTGCCCCCGAGTGTGGTGGGTGTGTGGGCAGACCCGCCTCAGGCTCCCGGGCCCACCCCCGGGAGCAGCGCACGCATGTGAGGGCCGGGACGGAGCTTTTTGGCAGACGCGTCTTCCTCGCCACCCTGGAACTTCTCGGGGACTTCTCTCGGATGACTGGCGGTGCGGCCCAGAAAGGCGAAAATACACCCACGTCGCGTACGCCCCCGCCCCCCTCAAATCCTCTGCTCTGTGGCGGTGCTCTCTAATGTAGCCGAGGAGGTTGGTCCAGTTCGCTCTCTGCGCAGCGCATCCCCTTTCTAACGGTGCTGCAGTCGTTTACAGAGCAGAGCAGCAGAAGGCCCGAAGCGGAAGGTATACGAAGTACGTGTACGGCGTGCCGCGCTGCTCTGCGAGTAATCGAACTGCCGGGAACACGTATTCCGTCCAAGACGAAGCGCCGAGCCTGCAAGTGACCTCCACGATGCTTGTCCCCGGTGCTTCACAAGTCCATAGAATGTTCCCAGGAGGCCCCCACACAGCCCGGAGCGGCGATGCCCACTCGATAACAGGAGCGTCCGGGTCCCACCGTGAGCCTCGAGCGCACGCCGCGCAGCGTTCGCCGAATCGTCCCTCTCCCCCGTGCCCCCAGCCTCCTCGCCCGGTGACGTGCGGCTGCTGTACCCGCGCGCCGCGCGTATACTCGGATGGCGAGGACGGCGCGCCCACATGTGCAGGCCCCTATGTGGGGGCGCCATTCAAGTTCCCGCACGCGACCGTAGCTTCTCGCGGCGGGTCTCATGCTCTCGACGGTGGGTGGCCTCGAAGACGCCGCGCGCGACGGTCTGCAGCGAAAAGCCCCTGCAACAAGGTTATGGGGTGCTCGCCGTGCTACGTGCGCGTCGGACCGAGGGCCCTCGCCTCCGCGTCCCCCTCAGCCCTGCGCACCGAATGCGTGCGTCTGCGGTGAGAGAGCCCGGGCTGCCTCTGTACTTTCTGGGACAGTTCGGGTTGATTGTGCAATTTGCAGGTATGTGCCCGGAAGCGGCGGACATGCGCTCGCTGCAATCGCGGCTTCTTTACAATCCTCAGACTCTTCGCCGCTACGATCCCTCCGATCGCGGAGAGCGCAGCGCTCCTCCGGGCACCACGCCAGCAGCCCGACGCTCCGTCGCGACGATCTGGCCCCTCTGCCGCCCTCCGTTAATTTTCTGCACGTTTTCTAGATGGCGTATCGCGGTCGCACGCCGATTTCCATCCACCGCCTGGCCCCCGCACATAGCTCGTCCCCACCGCTCCTCCGGCTCCCACACTACGGGCTGGTGAGCAGATGAGCCCCAAGCGAGCCACAACGATGCACGCTACCGAGCCTTGGCGAGGGCTTCCGCAGGCACCGTTCGCGCTAGAATTTCCATGTATCCGGCACGGTGATGGCGGCCCACAGCGCGCGCAGGGCGTGCCTCCTGCTGCCCCGGCGTGCAGATCAGTACAGTGCGCTCTCTCCTTTACGCCGCCATTTGTAATGCTTGAAAATGCACCCACGAAAATCACGGTGTTTTTCGTGCTCTGCGCTGACGACCGCTGATGCAGCCGCTGCGTGGTGTTTGATTGTAGGGACCGTGCGGGATCCGAGGACAGCCCGGTGCTCACGCCTTTGTTGATTATTCTAGGCAATCGCACCGCCCAAACATTCGTGGAGAGGCAAACGGGTCCTCGTGTCGCCCACTATCTTCCCTGGTGAACAAGGGAGTGGTGCAAAGAGGAAGGTGCGTCGTCTCCGGCTAACGCCTCATATTTGTATCGCATTCTAAACGATTCACCACCGTGGTGCCAATACCCCTCTTCCTCCTCCAGCGACGCGCCAGCCCTGCTTCTGGTGCAGGATGCAGCTGCAAGAACACCTCCCCGGCCACCGGGCGCTAAACAAGGCTAGCCCGTCAGCGAACTGACACGCAGGCGTTCCCTGCGTGCACGTTTGCCGAGCAGCGAGTGATGTCCGAGACCCCGTTGATGGAGCCCGTGTACGTCTCCCCGTCCGGCGCTCCCTTCCCATCCTTCCGCGGCCGCACGTCCGTACGGACCGCGCTAGCACACCAATATTTACGGCAGCCTTCGCAGGGCCGCCCACGAACACCTCTAGTCGGAGTTGATGCAGCCCGAGCTTGTCCCGGTATGGGGCGTTCGCGTCTGCACCGTCTGCACGTCCGCGGAGGCCGTGCGCCCCGGTTTGGGGCGGGCGGCCGGGCTAGGACCATGGCATGGGAAGGGCGCGAGCTAGTTTCCGCGTGTTCGAGCGGAGACACCGCTTGGGAGCGATCTACGGTCGGCGAACGTTTATTCGCGCGATTTCATAGGCTTGCGAGAGTGGTTGCGCATCTGCCTGTTTCTGGCATAAGGCGCGCACGGAGGAGAGGAACGAATTGCGACGTCAGGAAAATCCGCGAACCGGTAAATATCATACGCCCCTTTATCTGCGTGCTCTTTGTCAGGCCATCTTTCTCACAACCTTCCCAGCGTGCTGCGTTCCATGTCAGCCTGACATATGGTCCGCCGACATTCGTCATCAACATACAGTCGTAGCGTGGAGCAGGATAGGAGTAAGGTTCGTCTTGCTTTTGTATCCAAAAATCATTTGACAGGGCCTGACATGAGCCTGTGACTTTAGCCACGATTTCGGAAGTGAGCGCTATGCACCATTGCGAGCCCATTCGTCCGACCGCGGACGAACACCTTCCCCCGAGCTGCACCGATTCGTCCCTCTCGGACGCGCGGGCGAGTACGATTTGCCTCTTCGCTGCTCAGGGACACCGTGCAACGCCACCCCCAGGCGCCCCTTCCCGGTGCACCGTGCGTTCGGTAAGTCAATTATGCAGCGCGCTCGGACGCGCACCCATCCCGATGCGATCCCGGTGGCCAGGCACTGCTGGGCCGTCGACGCGCCCCCGCAGCGTCCACATCACGCCCTGGGCCCGCGCAGACGTGCGGAAGTATTGCTGCTGCTATTCCGGGCTCGGGGCCAGACAGACGCTCCGGGGCCGAATCGGCGAGGGTGCTTGTCAGGCGTATTGAGCCTGAGGGACTCTCGGATGACGCGCCGCGCGGGGCCCGGCCGTGGCTTCTTCGGAGGCGACCTGGCAGTTAGTGCGAGGCGCACATTACAGTCGGTTGCTTGGCGCGTCATTTGCGTGGCGAGGCGGTGAGTGGGTGATTGAATTGAACATATGGTTGAGCGTCCTTAACTATTTACTATTTACGGAAATTGTAGCTGTGGATGATCGGTGCGCTCTACCCTCTAAAACTGGAAAAGCACAAGTGCGAACGCTCTTAACATTAGGCTTCGACTGTCGTTTTGTTAGTGCAATTACTCCTTACCGTATCGGCTGATCTCGAAATAGGCTCACCCTAATTGCCCTTGGAAGGCAATTGGAAGGCGGCAGCGGATCGGCCCTCATCGCAACTAGTACTACCTCCGATAGGCCGACGCCTCTTTGGTTGAGCAGCCTGGTTTGTACGCCTCTTCAATCCCGATGAGTAATGGGTGACGCTCACAGTTGCGTAGGAACCAGCGAGCATATGGCGCAAAAGCTTATGTTCAGCCTACTGTGACCGTATGTGCAGATCCACTTATTCAGGACACTTGCGCTGCAGGACCGTAGCAAACAGGGCCGCATTTGGGCCTCTCGCCATCGACGAGGATCAGGCGTCATCGCCGCCATTTGGAATCGGCCTCAGCTCTCGGACCGCCCGATAGGCACCGCAAATACTTGCACATCCGGCCATGGAGGTTCAAACTTGGATTCAGGTTTCAACAGCTCTAGAAAGCCCTACAGCCAACTTACTGTCCTCGAAAACACTTCCGACCCTACACCTTCAATCCGGAACGCAAACCTCCATGATACGCGCTCCTCCCCCGGGTCCATCAATTCGGAGACTTTCCCTGGCGCGTCGGCTCGAACGTTGTCAAACGGATATGTCGGCCTAGAACCATTCCCGTATACCCGCGCGCCGCAAAGGCGCACTGGGTTTCCAGCGGTGTGGACCACACCCTACCTAGACACAGCACATAGCGCACAGCACAGCAGCGCCTCGGTTCCGCGACCACCGTGGTTCTTGAACTCGGAATCCTCGAGTCGCCTTTCGCATCCTATCGTCGTCGTCGTCGTCCAGACCAGCCGCCACCATCTGCCGTCGCAATGACACCCCCTGCGGGCGCACCCAAGCGCAGTGTCGCACTGTCGCTGCCGCGCGCTGGGTGCCTGTGCAGGGTGCAGGCGTGATCGACGCCCACAGTGACACTGCAACTCTACAGAGGGTGGCGCCCCAGCCTGAGATCCACCTGAGATTGGCTCTCCCCGTCCGACCTCCAGATCCCCGTCCTCCGGAAGCGTCGAGATCGGACGGCGCGCCCCTGGGCGGGACGTGCGTGTCCGCCCGACCACCACAATGCCGTGTCGGGTGGCATTACGCGAGGATTGTCGTACGTTCTTCCTCCTCCGGGCACGCTGATACTGGCCTTCCTGCGTCTAGCTCGCTGTTCCTGCCCGTCGCCGCCGTCCTGCACTCCACCGGGGCGCTGCAGGCCCGCGCTCTCGACGACGCCTGGGCCATGCGACGGCGACGAATACAGTTTGGCAAGCTCTCACGCTGCCAATATAGCATCCTGTTAACGTTTCCCCTGCTGTGCGTCACTACCCATAGTGGGCGCGTACAGCATCCCGATACACGGATTAACGCGTTCTAGCCACAAAGTCCCTAAATGCGTCGGGGCAGGCAGGGGCAGTATTGGCGCTGTTTCGTGTGCTTCGCGACGATCGCGCTGTGGCAAGCCTGCGCTGACTGGAAGTCAATGTATGCGCGCCCCGACCAACCTACCAATTCACCGAGGCGCTCAACACAACCGCGATCATCCCTTTGCAGCGCCCGCCACCCACCGCCCGCGACTAGGGCGGGGCATGACAAGGCGCGTTAGCAATATTGCGCTCATAATATATTCACGACGGGATGTGCAAAGGTGAGTAGATGTATGCGCATGCAATTCTTCAACTGAACGGTTTGAGCCCATCCGAAGCGCGGGTCGAATTCCACATGCATCTGTCTTGCGTTGCATGTCCCGTCGGGGAACAGCACAATGCGCCGACACTCCTCTCTGGGCGAGAGGTCTGGAGCTGTCTGCTCGGGCTGGCGTTCTCGCTGCGCGCTGTGCATCAGTGCCTGTCCATCCTCAGGTGGACAGCGGCCTCGTGCCTCGGAACAGAACGCACACGGTGAGCCGCTTCTCTGAGGTTCTCTCCGTCGCGGCCCGGAAAGAACATCAAGCACCAAGGATTTCGTGCATCGCGGCGCATGTGCACAGAGAGTTTGGAACCTGGATACGACAGAGCACGGACGATGCGCTGGGGTCTCGGAGAGTGCTCGGAGAGAATGCACGACGCAGGTGCACGCTCGGAGGCTGTCGGGGCAATGTCTTTATGTCGCGACGCCTCTGCCGCGCACCGCGACAAGCTATCGCCGCACTCTCGCGGAACAAGATATCCTGTCGAGATGCGTCATAGACCACCACCTACCTAGAGAGACGCACAGCACACATCACCGCCTAATGATTAACCTGAGCGTCCATAGCCACTTCTGTAACACTGAACCTTCGTGTCAGACGAATGCTCAATGTATGCGCCATTGCACGATGATACCATTCCACTGGGACCCGCGCCCCCAGGCCTCCCAATTTAAACCTGAAACACACCCACCAAAGGGCCGAGACGCGATCCGCACGCAAGAACTGGACATCTCTCGGTGGAAACGGAGGCTGGGCTGGATTGGCGTGTTACAACAACACATCAAAGCCTAAGTGCGACGATTAAGGACCCGGTAGGAGAATGTACTGTGAATAAGGTAATGGGCCGACGGCGCCCTAGAACGCACCGCGCACCGCCAGAGCAGGTGTGCAGGTGGGGGCAATGGGGATGCAGGGGAGGGGATCAGGACGTCGGGGGCCTAAAGGGGAGGCGTGAAACCGAGGCGGTCTACTCTACAAGTTCGTGTCTATCGAAGCCCGCGGCGGGGGTCTTGGGGGACGGTCCCGGGGCGGTCGGTGGTAATAATGCAGCAGGGCACACGAAGCCCCGGGTATGGACAGGTCACGGCTGTGCGCGATGGGGAGAGACTGCTGCGCGGGTTGAGTCAGGACGCGCTGCGCGCACGCAGGGCAGGGTGGACGCACCTCTATACATCCTTCAAAGGAGAAACCGGGGACCCCACAGATCGATGAGAGGAAAGGAAGGGAGCGGAAGGGGGGCAGGCGGGCGGGGCGGAGGGGAGGGCGAGCCTAGTCCTGCCTGCTGAGCTCTGCCTGCGTGAGGTTGAGGACGAACGCGCTCTTGAAGTTTGCAGGGGGCTCGATCATCTTGACCGGTTTCCTTGCTGCTGACTTGGACGTGGAGCCCGCGATAGAGGGGAAGGGGCGCAGTGGGCGGGACGTAGGGAAGGAGTGCTGTCGGGAGGGCACGGGCCGTGGCTGGGCGGATGCGGCGAGCGGTGACGACACGCGCGGGCGGGACACGGTCGGGTTGAACGGGGAGGGCATGGTGGCAGCGACGGTCATGACAGCTGCGCGGGGCACGTTAGAAGACGCGTCCAAAGGGGATGCAAAGCGCGTCCGGGGACTTACTCATGGTGTGCAGGCGGGTGGTCGGGCAAGCGGAGCGAGCAAGTGTTTTTTGGAGGCGTTTGTGGGTGGTGGGGCTGGGCACAAGAGGGACTGAGCCGGTGACGAGTGCGGGGCGGGATGCGGGGGAGGCGAGAGGGCGCTGGGCGGGGGTAGAAGAGAAAGGAGGAGGGGTATATATTGGCGTAGCTGGAGAAAGCGCTCCTCAGTTGAAACGACGCACCCCAACGAATTGGCGTTATCCCTGCCTCCCCAATATAGGAACCGAGATCGCGCTTCGGATTGGCGGCCTCGCTCTTCCCCCGGCGTCTCTTCAATGTTCGCTGCCGATCGGCCGCGAACTCCGCAACTCGCCGCGCCTCCCCCAAACTCACCGTCGTCCTATCCGTCTCGCACGATATGTTTGTTTTTTCTCTGACGCCTATAAGCCCACCGCGCGCGCACGCCAGCCCTCGCCATCCTCTCCTCCTCCACCCATGTCCATCAGCTGCTGTCCCTGGACCGGCGGGGCAGGCGATTTGACAGGTACCCACGGTGTGTCAGCACCTTGATCTCATCCTCCTCGCGTTCTTCCCCAACAACTCTGCGGCTTTCTGCGGCTTCCACTCAGTCCCCGGCCGCCCCAGCCTCCTCGTCCCGCCGCCCTCCGTCCCTGTCCGATCGCGCACCCGACGGCCCAACCGCCCCATCGCCGACACGGCTCCCTCCTCGCAGCTCATTGAAACACCTGCGGGTCGCCACGTCGCACGCGACCCTGCTCTCCCTGTTCTTCGTGCTCTCCTCGGGACTCGGACTCTGGAAGCTTCGCGCGAGTTCACGACATTGACGCGGGCGTTTTTCGCTGCATGCTTCTGCCCTTGCCCAGCGCATGTCACCGCGCACCCCGACGTGCAACCCCACGACTTCTCGCGTTGCTCCCGCGCCGAAATAGGCCGCCTGCTGCCCGGCCGTTGGTGCACACGACGCACGTTGCGTGCCGGGTTGGAGGGCGCGCGACGAGTAAAGCATTCTTGCTGCTCCTCTTGGCTCTCCGTGCTCCACTGGGAATATGATTGTGTCCATTGCTCGCTGCCACCCTGCGGACAGATAGGCGTGTTATCGCGCCCAGTACCTCTACCCTCTGTCGTCTGTCGTCATAGCTGGCTCACCGGGCCTCCAGTATCTATGATCTCCGACTGGCCCGCTAGCTCAGAAACTCCAGAGCTTGGCTATTCTCGACCTGCTCAAGGTTCGCCGGGCCCGGCGTATGCTGTAATCCTCTCGTACGCCGGCCTTCGTGAGCCTTCCAGAGGGGCGTACGGTGCATAATCAATCCGAGTCGTGCAGCTGACTGTATCGGTATTCGTCTTCTCCTGTCCGCTAGCTGTAGGACATAACTGTATTTCGTGCGCACGCAATCATTGATCAGCTTCTGTTTGGTGGGCCAGACCTCCTAGGATGTCCCTGCATCCGTCGGCGAGCCGCAATCTCCCCTCGGCCAACACTCGGACGGCGTCTTGATGCATCATGTCCTTCTGAATAGCTCGTCGGCGACCATCTGGCACAGAAAACCAGCGGTACACATGCACGAAGCTCCTCGAAGTACTTCGAAGTGCTGGGGCCTGCTCAGCTCCGAGTCCGCCCGTCAGGTCTACGAATATCAGTGTAGTAATGAATTGCTCATCGGTGACCGGTGACCGCCTGCCACAGAACATCACCAGTACACATGTACATCAGTACGCACGAAGCTCCTAAACCCGTCATCTCGTCCGTCAGCTCTATGAGCGCATGTTCGCCGACGCGATCGCCCACACATCGCGCGCGCGTCATCCAGGCGAGGGATGATTCGACGCTCCCGACGCGTACGAAACGCTCCGGCGCGCAGGGCTGCGCCTGCCTATTCCGATTTTGACTTTCTGCGGCTTGGCAGGGTGCAGCGGCTTCCCTGAGCCCTCCATAACGTGGTCGTCTCGCCCCATGGTCCATATCATGTCCCCATGACCTCCGAAATGCACACTAGCACTCCGAGTCCCAAGCGAAAGTGCAAGTCTGCTGTGAACGTTTGTTCGGGCAAAGTCGGTAGGAAACTATGTATCTGGTATGGGATTCTCCGTGAAATGTACATACATCGGTCTATAAACTGCGGCTCTCCGTGGGCGATATATATACGTTAACCTACATCCTGCGGAATAAGAAAGGGGAAAGCACGGAAAACGGGGCGGGGCGCGTCCAAGCCCGGTGCGGACGGACGTACGTACGAGCGCGTCGATCGAGAAGCAGCGTCGACGGCATATAGTAAGGTACGTACAGGCGCACCGTGGCGCGGAGGACAGGGGTGGGTGTGTCATGGTACATAGAGAAGAGGGGCAAGAGGAGGGAGGGGGAGGGATGGACGGACTCTATGGCGGTTAGAGGGGGGCGTCGTCCAAGTATAACGCCTCGCGAACCGCGATCGAGGAGCGAACGGAGCACGGACGACCGCGGGCTGCGGAGAGCCGTTATCTAGCGGGTGGTGGGGGCGGGCAGGCTATATACAGGAGACCGCAGGGGTTCTGGGCTCCGGCTTGGTATACATCCCCACGAGACGCGCATCGACGTCATACAATGGAGGCGGGGTGCGTCCTCAGACGTGAGCTTGTGCGACAAATGGGCGGGTTGTGGCGCCGTGCGGGGGCAACCGGGGGCGGCTGCAATGGGTGAATGCGTGGTGGCGATCAAGGCGAGGGTGGACGGGAGTGCGGTGGGGTCGACGAGGGAGAGCTGGAAGGGGGGAGGTAGAGGGACCAAGATCGTGTGTTGACCGGAAGACGGGGGGATGCCGAACGCCCCGCAAGCACGACGGGCAGGACGTAAAACGTCCACCTGTCCGGGTGTACAGGTGGCCAGCGTCCAGCCCGTCGCGTGCGGTGAAAGGGCGTTAACGGCATGCGGGCCATGGATGGAGCCCATCATTGCACGTCCACGAGCAGGTTGCGCTCAAGGATGAACTTCCCCTCTTTGTACTTCTGCGAGGGCTCGTACGCGTAGTCCTGGTAGAGACGCGCCGGGCGCCGTGAAGTCAGCATTATGCATGTCAGACAGTCTTTGACAATGGAGGGGAGCCTATGGATGAATGGAGAAACGTACGTATTTCCAGCCGAGCGTTTGTCCGCATTTCACGCAGTAGATGTCGCGCACGGTGTGATTCCCAGTGGTCATCTGCCGGTCGTTGGGTTCACCCTCGATTACGTTGACACTACGCAAGTGGCGGAGACCAAGTGGTGGAGACGAGCAGTCCAGAGCGGCGGCGGCGGAAGGAACGCATGGGCAGATATGTCCATATATAGCGGGCGCAGACGGGGGTATTGGTGGCGATATCCATGGAAATGGCGTAGGGAATATTGGGTAAGCATAGGCCAAGGGTACGATATGGAAATATACGCACACTCCGTCAAAGAGATATGCCCGTCCATGCTGCCCGTTGAATGCCTGCGAGCGACGCGACCCTATGAGCTTGGCCGTGGGTGAGAGATGCGGAGAAAGCGGGGCACGTACTCGGGAGATCATGGAGTGAATAGTGGCAAGGTGTGTCCTGCACTTGCAGCACCCGTAGATGCGAGCACCAGAGAGGTAACGACGGTAGCTCATGCCCATGTTGTCAAGTGTGTCTGGGGTAAGGTTCGAAGGACTTGTGTGATTGGTGGGTTGGTCTGGAGAAGTTGCAGGGAGTTGGGCAATCACACGAGAGGCGCGGATTTGACTAGGTTTGCGATGGACGAGGAGACCTGTGGGGTGGATTCGAAAGGCGATGGCAGGAGGTACATACACGAGTGGCCGGGAGCAGACGAGCTCGCGAGTAGCAAGTGCGACGAGCCGGGCGGGGCAGGGGCCGTCTGGGAGAGAGTGTCGGGTGTGCTGGGGATGAAGAGGAGGCGAACGGAGAGAAAGCAGGGTTATATAGGAGGGCAGACGTGTGAAGGGAGGTGATAAGCACGGACAAGGGGCATCGGGTGCAAGTTCGGACAGGCAGAATATGGCCTGAGTCAGGAGACGCCGCCGCCCGTCTCTCCGTCTCGGCCTCTCCCTCCCAGTCCACCACATCCGTGTTCGGCCGGCTCATCATCTGCCTCCTCTAGCGTCCCCCTCAGCTCGCCTCTGCATATATTACGCGTGCGCACAGCTCCTCTCTAAAGACTTCGCTCGCACCGTCGCCACCCTTCCAGAGATCGATCTCGCCTTCCTTTCCCTGCGCTGCGTGTAATCCGTGTGCAATCTGATAATACCCGCCGTGCCCGGCCGTTCCTGCGGTAGCCTGATATCCATGCGCGCATGTGGTTGCGCATCTGCTGCAGGCTGCAGCTTGTGACCGGTGTGGGCCCGGGCGGGTGTTGCATGCATCGCGTGCCTCGATGTGCGGCTACGAGACACACCGGGCTGTGCAGAACGGTCGTCTATGACGTCCTAGGTTGCGTGACAGTTGCAAACCACGTCGACGGCTGGACTGAACGTACCGAAGAGCACCGGTGCTGCGAACTCGATACCAACCCCAAATACCAGCGTCCGCAGGCATGATAGATGCGAGCGCTGCGTTCACACACCCGTCATTCATGAACATATGTGAGTGGACCCTCCTTCCCAGCCACGCGAAATAGCGCTGACCCGCCGCCAAGGCCTGCGCGCGCGCAGCCATAGGTTCTCGCGCACATTAATGTGCCGGGAACCCATTCACGGTCCTCGACAGGCACCGCGAGAACTTCGAACGGTCGCTGCTGTTCTGGTGCCGCGGGCCGCCTGCGTTTCCCCGACCGTTCGTGCGGGAATCGTATTTACGCATTAACGCCATCGCAAGCTCCCTGGCAGACGCGTCTGGAACAAGTGCGCACTGCCCCCTGGCGGACCGCTTGGGACACCTCGGACGCCATGGGGCACTGTGTGTCGGCCATCTGGTCGGCTTGTGCCTTGGGGTATGATCGAGCGCATTCTATGTCCTTCGAACTGTGATCGTCTGAGGAAACAGTCAACACAATTTCGTTGCTTAGTGACTTGTCTACAAATCTTTCTGTCAACGCGAAATCTCCCGAGAGCTGCCCGTAGTACTCGACGACGGCTAGGTCGGGCATGCTGACCCTCCTGAGTCATTCGTGACGGCTTGCTCCGGGACCCGATGGCGTGTGGCAGTCACCAGTGTTCCGCGTTGCTCTTGGTACGTTTCGCAAAAGAGGGTGCTCCTCCTTTATTGCACGACCCTGATGTATAGAGTTCGCTTTCCGTGCCCATCTGACAGTATGGCAGTAGACGTGACCTACCTCTGCGACAGCCTGGCTCCGATGATCAATCCTTGAGCGTAAGGGTCCTTGTCCGCTTCGTTATATTCAACTGGCGTACAGCTATACTGACTAGCTTTCACCGTGGAGATGGACCGCTACAAAACCACACGGCGGTAGAACATGGGCTTCCAGGCTTCGCACGAAAGGTCCATCCGTGCATGTGGAGAAATCCAGTCTCCCATGTGCACACTCCGTTAGAGACGGGGAGGACCTGGAATAATCCGCCAGTCGCGGGTGCCACGTATACAGCACGTTGACCACGTTTGCGAGGTGAGCCATAATCCGCCGCAGTTACCGGTAGCACATCCGCGGCCAAGGCAGCCTGGACCACTCGAAAATCCACCGTCTCGAGTTCCCCGCTACCGCCCCAGCTTCTGAGAACAGCCCGCCCCCTGTCCGCTCTGCGACGGTACCGACATCCGACGGCGGCTGCCGACAATGGGTATCTTCGAAGAAAAGACAACTCGATCAGGATTGCGACCACCATCGGTTATCGCAATCCAGCCTGGGAGCGTCGATCGGTATAGCAGGTACAGCGAGCAGTTCCCGGGACCTACGGAGTATGGCCTGGACCATTCCGAATCCGACGGACGTGGACAGGTGCGGTCTCGCTGCGCTGTTGGTTGTGAATGCAATCATCCGGGAATATTAAAACTGTAAGCTCACTCTGTTTCTTCCACCTTGGAAGATACGTAGTACGTTTCAATTGATGTGTTTGCGCGAGCTTACGAGCTTACAGATGTAACTTTGGATCGTCGAACAAAGAGTGCCGCTTCTGCGGAATTTTTGTTCGATGACAATTGGCCTAGTGAACCGCGTGGTGGACATATCCGTTGATTACGGAGTAATAGGCGGGCTCGATCACAATCCCGCCCGCTAGATGGCGGGTCCTAGCATACTCCAAGTGGCCTTCGGCATCCGAGACTGTCGGGTGTATGTTCCACTGTTCCTTCGAACTCGTCCAACGACGAAGCTAGCGAACGCGGATGTGCTCTCTCGAGGGATATAAGGAGGCCATTTTCGCCCTCAAGTCCTCACCATCCCTTCAGTTCCAGGTGAACGCAACTGCCCACCCACCCTCCACCCATCCGCACTTGCTTCACCGCACTCCCTCTTCTTCACCATGTCTCCCGCTATGGCCACCATGCCCGACTTCGCCGGTATCATCATCGACGAGCGTTACCAACTCCTCAAGGTCCTCGGCTCCGGCACGTACGGTGTCGTCTACCAGGCCCTCGACTTCCACCCCACCGCCGATCCCACGCTGCCCTACAAGGCGGTCAAGATCGTCTCAAAAATCGGACGTCACAACTCCCAGCTCGCAGCGGTGCGCCGGGAGATCGCGCTCCAGGGCGTTGTCTCCCCGCACCCGAACGTCGTCACCCTCCACGACGCGTTCGAGGACGACGAGTTCTTCTACATCATCCTCCAGTTCTACCCCGGGGGCGACCTCTTCGACCACATCTGCGACAAGCGGACGTACGTGTACAACGACGCGCTTCTGCGCTCGGCGTTCGTGTCGCTCGTGGACGCCGTCCAGGCGTGCCACGACGCGAAGATCTACCACCGGGATCTCAAGCCAGAGAACGTCCTCACGAACGGGGACGGCTCCGAAGTCTACCTCGCAGACTTCGGGCTGGCGACCGACCGGACCATCGTGAATGAGTTCGGTTGTGGCACCACGATCTACATGAGTCCTGGTAAGTCCCGCATCTCCCTCCTTACCCACGCACTCGAAGCTGACTCCCCCTTGCAGAATGTGCCGGCAGAGAATTCGGCTACAAGCCCTTCTGCGCGCGCTTCAGCGACGTGTGGTCACTGGGAGTCATCCTGATCAACATGATCAGCGGGCGCCACCCGTGGGCGAAGGCGACGCTCGAGGACGAGTGCTTCGTGAACTTCTGCCAGGACCCGGACTTCCTGCTCGACATGCTGCCGATCTCCGAGGGCGCGAACGACATCCTCCAGCGCACGCTCGCGCTCAACCCGCTCCAGCGCATCTCCCTCCCCGAGCTCCGCGCGGAGATCCTCGCGCTCGACACGTTCTTCATGTCCGAGGAGGAGCTCGCGGACGCGAACGAGTTCGCGCAGATTGCCGCCGCCGGGCTCAAGAAGGAGCAGGAGGCCCACCAAAACGAAAACGACAAGAGCGAAGAGCGGGCGACTGCTGCTTCAAGCACAGGCCCACTCGTGGAGATGGACATCGGGGACATCATCATCTGCCCTTCGATTTCCTCTCCCGCCGCAGAGTCGACCACCACGGCATCCGAGATCGATATCACGGCGCTCCCTGCGGGGGGTGCCCGGAATCACTCATCCGGCTCTGTCCTCGACTCCGCGGCGAGCTCACGCGCGTCCTCCACGGACAGCAGCGCAGTTGTCACACCCGGGGACGTCACCCCCCTCCGGATAGCTGAATGCGAAGAGAAGGACATTGGGGAGTGCATGTGGGAGAAGCAGGCGGCGGACGCGGAGTACCTCATCTCACGCCTGAGCCTACATCTATGACGACGGGGGCTCCTACCTGGTCGTTTGGCTCGGGCCTGTAGATCCATTGGGGACTCACCATATGCGTTCGTTGCGGGCGGCGTTGTGTGTGGTATATAGACGTTCTCAATGCACTCTGGGCTCGACCAAATTTCTCTTGCGTGATTTCCGGATACAAATGCGTGAGAAATGGTGGCAATTTGCCGTGGATGATCGATGAGAAGTTAGAAAGGCTGCATGACGCTACAACGAGTTGGGCCAGCCGGAAATTCAAGCCTCCGGAGGGTCTCCGGAGGAGGTTGTCGACAAGGAGGTTCTTTGAAGAGGCTCTCTTTCTTTCGTGACGCCCCCGATGCGGTCCTATATGACAGGGATATGACAGGGATATGACACAACTTCTACTACAGTGATGATGTGGCTAGCAAAGGTCTACAAAAGAGACTCTGGTAGTTCTGTGACTCGAACCACGTTCCATTCATTTTCGCCTAACCTATCGCTGTCACAGCCACAGTGTCGAAACAGCGCTGGCATGGGCGCTTGTGTCGGACTTTTCCCCGGGTGGGCGCTTATGCGGGGGTCTGAATCTCGAACAACGTCCTTCGACTCGACCACCGTCTCTCCCGCCTCCTTCGCCGCTCTGCCCCTGCCTCTCCGCGTCCCGGGGCCCTTCTCATTCTCTGGGAGGCCGATAACTCGTGGCTTGAGCGTACTCCGACTCTCTTTGTTATCTTGTGGCCACTCCTGCGATCTGGACGCGTCTAATTGATCACAGCGCAGAGGACATCACTCGCGTCCACCATACTTGCCCGTTTGCATCGTGCCTCCATGGTCGGCCACAAGCGGTCCGCGTCCGACACTCTGCTACCACTGCGCGCGCCGAAACAGGCCCGAACGACCACATACCACCCCTTAGGTGGGAACAGTAGCCCTTCACAGGCCGAAGCGCTCCCTGCACGGTGGGCCAAGCTTGGGATGGAGTTCTTCCTGGTTGTGCGCGACACGGTTCTCAGCATGCCAATGTGTGAGTTTGGCAGCGAGGAGCACAGTTTCGCGTATGGTTGACATGCTGCCGCTTGTAGTTCGGAGGGGTACCGACGAGGATGCGCTACCCGCGTCGGAGGCATCGACAGAGGAGGATCTGCGAGAACGAACGTCAATACCTTCTCCACCTCCATCCCCACCTCCGCCCCCACGCGCGTCGACTTCTCGACAGCTGCCACCACGGAAGGCTATCCCGGTATTCGCAACGAATCCTATTACTCACCACCAGGCTACACCGCTCTCCACGTCCGCCCCCGCCGCCTCTAACATCCACCAACGTGTCCAGTCGCATAGGAACCCTATCACAAGCCAACCCACGGTCATCCTCTCGAAGTATGCGAGTATGCAACCGAACGCGGTTGCGTCCACGTCGAAGCGCACGTTGACGTCGCCAGAGGCCCCAAAGGTTTCTGGCTTCCCTGGCGACACGAGATCATCAGGGCTTATGTCCCCGCCGTCTACGCAGGCTTCGGAGTCGTCGATACGCACAGAGATTGCCCAGCGGTATCCAGAGGTCGGGGCTGCGTTGGAAGACAGCACCCACAGAAGACGAAAGTCGGTGAAGAAGTACGTCGAGCGGGAGCATATACACGCGAAACAGGTGCGTAACCCATGTGGGCGCGTAGCCGCGCGGCGACTGACGGGCGTCGCTCGCAGCATAAAGCGCGCGTGCAGGAGGAGAAGAAGCGAACAAGGGAGGAAATGGAGAAGGACCTGCAGGAGCTGTACCACATCAAGCGCTCTGCAGGGTTCAATTCGGACTTTGACTCTTTCCGGAGTGAGTTTTACCTCTCGTGTTCTTCCCGTCTGGCCTCTGAACTTCAGTGCTGTAGGTCTGTTGAGCTACCAGGCTCGACTTGAGAAGCTGGACAAGACTGGCGCACTATCTCGTACGTGCGCTCTTGTTCGTTGCGGCTTCCGGGTCATGACCGTGTTACAGCTTCACCGTCCTTGGTTGACTTGCGGGCAAAGGCGCGACAAGACGAGTTTCGCCGTCACTCCTTCCCCGACCATGTCGACCCCGACTTCCTGCAACGCGCCATCCAGAAAGCGCAAGACGCGCTCAAGGGGCCGAAGCCCCCGAAACCCTTCGTGCCCACGCTCGACCAGCTACGCCTTTCGCGCCTCGCGCAGGACGAGGAGATCGAGGAGCGCTTGCGTCCAAAACGCAAGCCGTTACCCGCGTCACTCCCGCCCGCAGACGAAGCGGCAGTCGACGCGCTGTTCCGTCGGAGCGGGGTTATTTCGAAGATCGCTCGCGAGCAAGTGTCTCAGGAAGACATCGTGCGCCTGCAGCCATGCCAGTGGCTGAACGACGAGGTCATCAACTTTTATGGGCAGCTCATCCTGACTCGCGCTGAGGAGTCGAAGGAGAATCCGGGCGCGGGCGGCGGGGCGGGGCGCAAGAAGCCCCTGAACGCGCATTACTTTAGCACGTTCTTCTGGTCGAAGCTCAAGGGGCAGGGGTACCAGAAGGCGCGGATGTCGAAGTGGACGAAGAAGGTGCGAGACCCTTTCTTGGCATATGCGCATGTGGGTGTCAGGCAGGGACTCATACACCCGGCGCGTAGATCGACATCTTCTCGAAAGACGTGGTGCTCATCCCGGTGAACCACAACAACGCACATTGGACAGCGGCGGCGATCAACTTCCGCAAGAAGCGCATAGAGTCGTACGACAGCATGAACATGGACCGCGGCCAGGTGTTCAAGGTGCGTGTTGCGTCCCGACCGCGTGCGTGTTTTCGGCTAACGCATACACACGGCCAGCTCTTGCGCCAATATCTCGACGACGAGCATCGAGATAAGAAAAAGAAGCCGTTTGACTTCACTGGCTGGCAGGACTACACACTACCCGTAAGCCAAACAACTGCCGTACCTGAGTTTTGAGCGGCTCACTGAACCCTGATATGCAGGATACCCCACAACAGGAGAACGGCTACGACTGCGGCGTCTTCACGTGCCAGTTCCTCGAGGCGCTGTCGCGAGGCGAGGAGAGCTTCCCGTTCACGCAGGCCAACATGAAGTACCTGCGGCGCAAGATGGTCTGGGAGATCGGGCACGCGAAGCTCCGGGACGACTCATAACATTAATTGGCCCGGGCTCTCTTGCGCATGTTGGCGCGCCGTTTGTTTTGTATCTTATTCGTTTTTGTCGCGCGGCTCTTAGCCTAGCTCCTGGTCTTAATCACTTCGCCTCCGGTATACGGAGCTGCGGCTTTCTTGCTCTCTTTCCTGGGTGCTCGGGTGTGTGCGCGCGGAGGGGGAACGGGGATGGGAAAGCGTGAGAGGGGCGTACTATCTCCGAAACCACCATACAATGATGAAGAACCAGAAGACGATGATGAGGAAGACGATGTACCAGAGCCAGCGGCAGCCCTGCCGCGACGCCATGTTGTTCATGCGGCGGAAGGTCCCCGAGAGGATGCCGGACGTCTCCGCGAACGCGTCGTTCTAAAGCAGAGTTTGGCGTGAACTTCAGGAGCAGAGTGGGAGGAGCGGGTAAGAGAGTAGACGTACCATCTGGCTGAGCTGGATGGTCGAGTCGCGAACCTCGTTTCCAATTCCAATAGTAATCTGCGTTCATGTTGATGGGTAAACAGAATCTTGGTAGCTCAACTGGTTGGACGTACATCCTTGAGCAGCTTGACCTTCGCCGTGAGTCCCTCTAGGTGCTCGTCATTCTGGCCCTCCAAGTCATCCGCGTAACGCTGCCCCTGCGCCTGAAACGGGACCTCTCGCCCTACTGCATAAGGTGAAGAGCGGCCAGACGAGGGCGGGGTGGTATAATCCGGGGTGCCGAGAAGCGTAGAACGGTCGCGGAGGTTGGTCCTGTGTCTATGCGTGGAACATGCGCGTGAGCATACAGAACATGCCGAATGTGGGGCATCGCTAGACTGACCGTTGGGACATGATGGATTAACAGACCAGCTGAGCTCAAGAGAGCATGAGAATGGGAGGAGAGTACAGGCACGGCCAGACGCCACAGTTGAGTGAGGAGCGCCACGCCGACGTGTAGGCGCTTGCCGTATCCCGCGCCGCCCACCAGCGCTCACCCGGCGCGCCAATCCCGCCTCCTCCCACCACCGCCGCCGTGACCTACCACAGCGAAGAACCCCTTGCCTCTTGTCGGGGGCCGCAGAGTACATAGGCGTACGGGGCCCTGGGCTTTAAAGTATAGCCTATGTCCGACGATATGCCACAAGATCGACGAACCGGCGGCCTAACATCATCCTACTGGCCTTCCGGCGGCTCATGACCTCCACCGGGATGCTCGGACCCGCGAGTCGTGGTGCAGAGCCCGCATAACATAATCCCCGTCGCTTCTTGCATGGCTGGGTGACCGGTCATCTGTCTGACCTGGACGAGCTTGGCCGTAATTTTTGATCTGCATGTGAGCTCATTCTGCTTCTCGAAAGACTGTTCTAACGGTCGTTACGGTCCTGCAGGAGGTTTAAATGGCGGGGCTTGTAGACCCCCCAACGTATCGCTCTTTCGCGATTTGTACTCGAGATGCACACTCTGGTCTCACTGGCGCTTTTTGCCGCTTCAGCGGCGGCGGCAATTCCGTACCAGCAGTACATCCTTGCGCCATCCTCAAGGACCGTCCGCCCGGTCTCTATCTTCCGCCAACATGGTTCTCTCTCCTCACCAACTGCTCTTCTGGACGCTAAGCACAGTGGAAATGGCCTCGTACTCGATGCCTTCAACTCCTCCGTGACCTACGACTTCGGCAAGAACATCGGCGGATGGGTCAACCTCGACCTCTCCTCCGCTAGCGGTAGCATCGGCGTCACGTTCTCGGAGAGCTCATTGTGGGTCTCTTCTGAAGCTTGTGATGCTACCGCGGACGCGGGGCTGGACGCGCCGTTGGTGTTCAACATCACGCAGGCGGGCCATTACGAGGCTCCGTCGGACAAGGAGCGCGGAGCTTTCCGTTACTTGACGGTGGTGAACCTAGGGACGGACAAAATCACCCTGAAGGACTTATGGGTGCACTTTACTGCGATGCCGCACTGGGATGATGATGCTCTTCGAAACTATTCGGGATGGTTCCACTCCAATGACGAGCAGATAAACAGGTATGCCGGGTCAATCGACAATGTATATACTGTAGCTGATAGACTATACAGGATTTGGTATGCAGGCGCATATACCAACCAACTCGTGACGATCGACCCGACGCGGGGCGACTCGCTGCAATCCCTCGGCAACGTCACTGACACCACGGTCAACTGGGCACTCAATACGACGATCACCGGCGGCCTCTCCACCCTCACCGACGGGGCGAAGCGCGACCGACTGGTCTGGAGCGGCGACATGGCGATTGCCGTACCCGGTATCGCTGTCACGACCTTCGACCTCATCTCCATCCGCAACGCTCTCGACTCGCTCTTCGCGCTGCAGGCCGCGAACGGTCAGCTCCCATATGCGGGTTTCCCCTTTAACGAGCGCGGTTTCGTCTCCTTCACGTACCATCTCTACGCGCTCATCGGAGTCGCGAACTTCTACCTCTGGTCCGGCGACGCCGCCTACCGCGCTGCGGAGTGGCCCGCGTGGAAACTCGGTATGCAATGGGCAACTCAGCAGATCGATAGCACTGGGCTCGCGAACGTCACCGCGCCCAACGACTGGCTGCGCTTCGGCATGGGCGGGCACAACATCGAGGCGAACGCCATCCTCTTCTACACCCTCAACCTTGGTGTTGCGCTCGCGCGTGACGAGGGCGACGCCGCCACGGCCGCCAGCTACATCCAGCTCGCCAACAAAATCCAGGAGGTGGCGGTTCCGCTACTGTGGCAGCCGACCGTGGGGCTGTTCCGCGACAACGAGACGACGACGCTCGCGCCGCAGGACGGGAACGCGTGGGCGGTCAAGTCTGGACTCGTCCCCTCTTCCTCTTCCCAGCTCGCCACGATCTCGCACGCGCTCGAGGCGCGCTGGGGGCCGTACGGCGCCCCGGCGCCCGAGGCTGCTGACGCGGTCTCGCCCTTCATCAGCGGGTTCGAGCTCGAGGCGCACTTCATGGCGGGGCGCGCGGACGCGGCGCTCGCGCTCGTGCGAAGGATGTGGGGCGACTTCATGCTGGACGACCCGCGCATGACGAACAGCACGTTCATCGAGGGGTACTCTGTCACGGGCGCGTTGCACTACGCCCCGTACAAGAACGACGCGCGCATCTCGTACGCGCACGGGTGGGCGACGGGCCCGACGAGTGCGCTCACGGTACGTCCCTCACGCGTAGTCCACTAGTGTATACGCTGACTGAAGATTTGTGCACAGACATTTGTGGGCGGGATACAGATCCTGACCGACGCGGGCGCGACGTGGGCAGTCGTCCCGCAGCCGGGCGACCTCACGCGCGTCGACACGGGCTTCTCGACGCCCAAGGGCAAGTTCTCGTCAAAGTGGACGCGGACGAACCACACGTTCACGCTGACGATCAGCACGCCGAAGGGCACGAGCGGCAGGGTCGGCATCCCGCTCCCGGGGACGCACAACTCTTCCCTGCTTACGGGCGCGCCGGGAAAGGCCCCGGCCGTGGTCCATGGGGATTCTGCGGGGGTGCACTGGGTCGAGAACGTCAAGGGGGGCGACTACGTGTTCGTCGCGGCCGGATTGTGAGGTTTGACAGCACTTCGCCGTGCCCCGACTTGCCAGTCGGTAGCTAGTGTATATAAAACCAAGCATTCTCGCGAATGAGACATCTCGTTTCGCTCACTGCTCGCACGACGTGACTCCGCGTCAACGGAACGTGTTGCATTGTGCTAGCAATACAATATCTGCAGAGACCCACCCCGCACACGCAGCGTCTGCGCGCGCGGGGCACGCGCGGGCTCCTAAAAAGTAAGGACGAGAAGGCTGAAGAAGGTGTGACGAAGGGAACAAGCGAAGAGCGACGCGGAACAGGGCGAGGTCTAGGTACTATGTGGTCGGGGGCGAGACGGGCACGGTATGGGGCTGGGCGCTGGGCGCGGAAACGAACGGTGCCGAGGCGGGGAAGCGCGGACAAGGCAGGGGGGCCTGTGGGGGAGCGAAAGTAGTAGAGCGCCGCCCGGTCGATTGAAGAACCAGCAACAAGAAGTCGGGCGTGAGTACGGTAGAGGGGGCTCAGCGTGTGCGAGCGAGCGATCCCGTGGGAAGGCTATGTGCGGACGGAGGAGGAAGGGGGTGCTATACGAATTGGTGGCAGAGAGACAGAGGGGGTACTAATGCAGGTGTGTAAGTAGTGTCCGTAGGCAGTAGAGGCAGAAGTAGTAGGTGGAGGGCCCGCGCGGGGTGGGGGTGTCAAGCGGGGGCGGGGCGAGACGAGGGGCGCGGAGGGAGATTGGAGGGCGCTGGGAAAGGGCGGTGAATTATACAGCTGGTGGGTGATCGTACAAGTCCGTTCGGCGAGGAGGCACAACACAATACATCAATCGATACTCATCCGGTTTGGATGGGTACTCATTGGACCTCGATGCACGTATTGTGTCTTCCCGCGAGTCAGGCCCTGTTTATCTTGGTTCTTCGAGACTGAAACGCACAACATGTCAGTAGGAGGCAATTATAGGAAACTGCTGCACGTACTCTGCTCCTTCAGGCCACGTCCAAAGTTGTTCATCACCAAGATGGCGAATATGGATGTGAAGACCAAGAGACCAATCGCAATGACAGCTGAGAGGTATATTAGGTGAGATAACGCGGAGATGTACGTCGTCGGTGACATACAGAACGTGGTGAGTGTCTGCCAGACTTGCTTGAACGTGGATGTGTTGTGATATTTGAGCACTTTCACGAGCTGTTCTTGGATCAGACGCATTGTAAATGCACGCATGATTTCTTCGACTCACCTTGAATACGAAGTAAACCATGGCACCGGCGCAGCCAGTCATGAAGCTCAACATCATCCACTTGCTCTCATGTCGTGCCGCCAGATGTCCCTCGACGAGGACAATGAGAGACAGCGGGAGTGCAGCGCAAGTGAGGTAGTACTCGATGTTGTCCTTATTCAGGACAAGCCAGATGAACTGCACCGAGAAGCCGACCCAGAAGAAGAGATCAAACTTGACGAGACAGAGGAAGATCTGGTGGTGCGTGAACATGGTCTTGATGCGGCGGTCCGCGCCAAGGAACTTGTAGGTCTTCCAACCAAACTCGGTATAGATTCGCCAGCCCAGCGCAATGTAGGCAATCTCGGCGACAGAGATGACGATGGGGATTATGAGGGCGAGGGTGTTGATGGATATGTTTGACATCCCCCCTGACGGTTCCAGCGTCACAGATTTGATCTCAGTGATTTGGATGATGGCGTAGAGGAGGAACAGCGCGTTGAAGATGCTGCGGTCGCGTTTAATGAAGCGAGAAAGGGACGAACATGAGGAGACACTCACGCGAGGCAGATGAACTGGAGGACGTTACGAGCCCATACGGCATCCAAAGCCATGACGAACTGGAACACGCTGTACGCAGTTCATTATCCAAATATTCAAGTAGAGGTGAAAGCACGTACTGAGCAAGAGCGAATATGCTAAGATAGACTGGCATTCGCCTTGTCGCCATATCCTGGTCATCGGCTAGTGAAGACTCGTGGAAACGCAAGATGAGATCGCCCTCAATTGCGAGGTCGATTGCAGTCTCAACGAGGACCGTCAATAGATACAGGCGGCACGCCCATGAATCAGGGATCCACTGTGGGGTCATATGTATATAGTGCAATGCTGAGGCCAATCGCGTGAGCACGTACGCTTTTCCAAGACTTGTCCTTTTCCTTCTCCTTCTTCTCTCCTTTCGTCAGCGGAGGGTACTCCCAGTCCGGTGGTTCTGGACCATGGTCTTCAAGACTCTTGGAGTCTTTCGTGAACTCGCTGGAATATGACTGCTTCGGGAGAGCGTAGGAAGGACGCGAGTCGGTAAGGGTGAGGGCAGCGGGATCTACCGCGTATGTCTTAGGTGTTGGTGTCCCGTAGGGTGTAGCGTACTGGTCAATGAGGTCGTCATAAGGAGCCTTCGTGTCGTTGTCGCGGTAGGCGAGCGGAGGTTGAGCGGGGTATTGCGCAGGGTAGGAGGGGGCGGCGGACATGGCTAAAAGAACGACTGTGTGTGTTGGTGGGAGTGGTTGTCGGCCTGCGAGCAGAGAACGAGTGGGTGCGTCCAGCAGGGGAGGGGAACGAGGGGGACGGCTTGGAGGACGGACAGGCAACGCCGGGACCGTCGCGTCCATTCATTTGTTCCCTTCGAGACACCCCGGCCCTTCTATTTGGCCCTGTTTGCTTCGTGGCTGACAGGGCACTTCTCAACATCCCGCCCTCTCAACCGCGCTCCATCCTCCGCTCCTCCACCATCCGTCGGTCGCGAGGGTCGAGATCCTCGTCGCTCTCTCGCGCGCAATATATGTTCACCACGTTCACCCATGCACGTACCAGAGACGTAATGTCATTGCACACACGCCATGCAAGGTGGGCGACCATCGTCTCTCGAGCGCCCGCGTGCACAGCACTGACCCTACTCCAAACCGGGCAGCGGGAAGCTTGATTGTCCCGTCCGCTCCCCGGCCGCAGTAGTTCTCAGCTCAGATGTCTTAGCTACCACGGCATCGCTCTGTGCATGCCACATCCGGCCAGTACTGTGGTCTGTTCGACGCCGGTGTCCCGTAAAGATGAAACTAGTAAGCATCGGACAAGCGCGACGACGATGTACGGAAGGGTGGTGAAGACCTGCGGCGTTTCAATCCGTTTTCATCCTTTCCCCGACGCTTTCAGCTCACACAAGATACGACAAAAATGAGTTTCTTGAAGATCGCCTTCATGTTCCCATTCTACTGTTTAGTTTTATACTTTCAGCCATTGACGAGGAATGAGTTGAGGTGAGCAGCGACCGTGTGGGGGTGGGGTGGGGGGTTCCAGAGCAGGCCTCTTGCAATTGTAGTCCGGACGGCAGGGCTCAGTGATCCTCCACAGGCCATTCTCGTACGGATAGCGATTCTCGTCCGGATAGAGTTGAAGGCCTCTCAGACGGCCCTCCCGTGGACCGGACGGCGTACAAGGCCTTGAAAAATCGCTGGTTCTCAGCAAGTTCAAGTCGTTCAAACACGGACGGTTATGCACATAAGTAGACCACGATAGGCACAAATAAGCGCCAAGCTTCCTGTCCGGACCAGTCGGTCGAAAACGTGAAGGTGTTCGCAGGGAAACGCCTCTGGCAGCGGTAGGGTTATTGAGGTGGGTCCCCAGCCTCCCTGACTGTCTCTCTCTAAACGTGAGACTGGTTTACGAGCCTAATGCGCGACTTGCAGATCAAAGACAGCCGATCACACTAATTTGACGGTGCGGAACTTTGGAAACGGCGAGTATCTACCGCTTCGACGCGCCGTGTGCATCTCGCATGTTGTTTGCAACACCGGGGCCACAACACGTTTCCCTTTTTCGTGAGTTTAACGTCACAACCGTTCTCTGCCGCCTGATATGGTCCCTTCATTCCAGCATAGCGCCGCCTACACGCCCGGTGACTGCCATGTGTTCCGCCCAAATCTTCCCTTCATCCGCCGGAGAAGCAGCTGTCGTCGGACCTTTACGCCCGGGCTGGCGCACAACTATTCTTGCCGACACTTCGATCATGCGCTCTTGAACGGCGATACTTGAAGACGCGGTGTTTCGTACATCGCGTACGTAGAAAGCCACATGTAGGTGGCCAGCATCCAGGTCATGCTGGGCCAAGGCCCGGGTCTGCAGTGTCCTGGTCCACATAAAATCATGCCTTCACTGTTCTGTCCAACGCTGTCTACCCCACCATGCCTTCACCTGATCACTCCTTCGGCGCGCCCATCCAATCCACCCCCCCTCTTCCTGTACATTCAGCGTCACAGACGCACGAGACGCACGATTGCGAAAAACACGCCGATTCACCGCTACCTTTCGCGACCACAGTTCAGCCTCCACCACCACGAGGAAAGACGCGCCTTGCCTCAGCATTCTTCGCCTACTTTGTACTTGGCTGGGGAGACGGCGGTAAGCACTAGCCTTTCATGTGCCTTGCCTAAGCAGCTAAGCATATTCTCGTGATTTACAGTGACTGGAACCCTTCTACCTCGTGAGTACGATCGTGAACCTTGGACCTTAGCAGGGTGTCAGACAAGTTCTAGACTTCAAGAGCGATCTACATCTGAGCTTCCTCTTATCATCGTTGTTTTGGGTGGCAAGTGCATCCGGGTACGCCCACATACCCTCTCTAACCCCTGTCAGTTCTGCAACTATTGCCCAGCTATGCCCTGGGAACCGCCATTGTAGAGCACATCACCCGAATACTGGGCCGTACGCGTTTCTTGAACGGCAGCGTGTCCTCGGCAATCGGCTTTCCCTTACCTTCCCGAGGACCCTCGGAGAAGATCCAGTCCTCTACGATTGGCTTCTCGAGGTCTCGCAGTAGATTCCACACACTGGTCTTGGCGAGCGTCCTGCATGCCGTGTTTTTCGCCATCATGGGCAGCGAACGTGGTTTCGCGAGCATGATGATCGCCTACGTCATCTCCGCCTTCGCAAGATCTTTCGTCGCAGGTGCGCACCGCAGATCCGGTCATCCTACTCACCGCGCTGTGCTAACACTCGCTCCACCCCGGTAATCGCATAATAGCAACGCTGTATGTACCCCCATTTTTGTCGCGGGCGGTGTCGCTCATCTCTACCCTAGCAACGTGTACGTGCCATTCGTAGCGAAGGGCGGACTCGGCTTCCTCTACGGCTTCAACTGTACGTCCCGGCATGCTCTCTTCCGGATGGACCCCACGCTTATGTTGTATCCCCGTGCGCGCAGCTGTAGGAAGTTTCGTAGCGCCGCTCGTGTGCCAGAGCATCATCGCCACCGGCATTCGATGGGCTAACTTTTACTTTGGCTCGCTGGTGCTCTCTGCGCTCAATACGAGTTTCATCATCTACGCGTTTTGGCCGACGCAGAGCGAGCTCAAAGGAGACGCCGAGCTCGCGTCACAATTATACAGGACAGCTGTCGCCGCGTCGGATGTCGCGAGTTCCTTCGTGGTCGCTACGCCGGAGCGGTCGCCGACGAGTAGCACTGCTCCCATAGTGAGGAAGAAGGAAGCCCTAGGCCCTCGGAGTGAGTCGTTCCGTGGTTCATCCCGTGCTCTACAGCTCACCATACGGCAGGCTATACGGTTGCACTCAAGAACCTGCAGATGTGGGCGGCCGCGGTGTTCGCGTGCATTTACAGTGGGAGGTGAGTGGCAGCTCTATCATCGCCATCGTTCGCAAGTTAGTAAACCAATTTGCTACGGCTACCAGTGAAAGTGCAACGCAAGGATTCGTGAGTACTGCCATTCTTCTTGCTAATGGCGCCCCCCGACTGAGTCGCCCGACAACTATAGATCGTGGTCTACCTGCTGGGTAGTCGAGTGAGTAATACTTCGCCGCTATTTACTAACTACGCTAAGACTGCCATCGTAGCACGCAAACCCGAATACCGTCGGCTACGTGACTAGCGGGTTCTGGGGCGGTATGGCGATCAGCCGCTTCGTCTGGGGCTACCTTGGCAATATGTGAGAGCTCGCTACCGCTTTCTCTGCGTCCTTGCTGAGTGCATTTGCCCTACCAGTATCACCTTCCGACAACGGAAGTGGATCGTACAAGCGTGCATGTGAGTCGTCTCGTCTGATTATGTCTTTATGTCTGTGTCTAACCTCTGTGACCTCTAGATGTAAGCCACTCGACATTACTCCCCGTCCCCGTGTCGCTCACTAGACTCTACAGTCGTTGCGTTTGTCATGCACCTCCTGATCCTTCTCGTTCCGTCATTCGTCGAAAACGCCATCTCAACGGCCGTGATCGGCGCGGTGTACGGCCCCATCTTCCCCTCCAACCTCGATTCCGCGCGTGATCTTTTGCCGACAGAGATCCATCTTGTATCGCTGGCGGTCATGTAGGTCATCCACGCCGACACATGCTGCACACAACTCACGTCTTTCTGACAGTGCTGCTTGCGCGAGTTTCGGTGCCGGTGAGCCGCGCCGATCCGTCTTCGTAACGGCCCTTGCTAATCTTCCGTGCCAGCACTGTTCCCGTTTATTGCCGGGCTGCTCTCGACCTCCGTCGGCGCAAATACGCTGCCATACATCACGATCGCGCAGACTGTCACCATGTCTCTCATCTGGTTTGTCTTGCCTTCACGACTCCCGACGAACCAAAACTAGACTTCGCTTCGAGCATGCTTTACGATACACGATACACTGCAACATTTCGGGTAGAGAGAGCGGGATCTGTCATACATCATGGGAGCCATCATGCACGGGATGGATAGTAGACGATAGATTTTGCGGCAATAAAACCATCAAAACACCCGCCCTCTTGTCAGAAGGCTTATGGTTATACTGCAGGCAAGCTACAGTCGTCCTTCTTGGGTGATGTACATAATTCTTGCAACGTGCTGCTCCCGACCGTGGTCAGCTCGAACGTCTGAGCCGTGCGTAATCGCGAGCTGCGGAATCCGGGCGGAGCGGCGGCTGGTATAGTCCCAGAAAGCGCGCGACCCATCGCGACGCGGAGAATTATGAGTTCGGGGTTGATGCACTACACTCATGCAAACGTCAATGCTATGGCGGGTGGACCAGCGAAAATTACAACGTACCATAATCTGCGTGAGGACCGGTCGGACAAGGTTCTGCGCGGCGCTCCCGCGCGCGAAGCAGACGATGAACACCACCCCAGTAGCGGCGTACGGCAGCGCGGTCTCGACGAGCATCGCCGCGACCGAGACGTACGCCGCCGCATACTGTGAGCCCGCATACCACTTTGCGCGGTAGCTCATGTAGACGAGTCGGCCGACGAGCAGGAGTGTGAGCAGCGTGGTGAGCGTGATGGAGGTGGAGAAGTAGGGGTCGGTGAAGCGGGTGGGGTTCCCGTCTAGGACGCGGAGGTTGGGCTGTGCGATTTGAACGACTGTGAGGATGGACATTGCTGAGCCGAGGCGTTAGAGGTCGCTGGCTAAACCGTGGAGGGACGAAGGTAACGCACCGGTGGACACCGAGAAGAGTAAGGAAGGTATTATAACGACAGACACGCGTTTGTTCCACAATATGTACGTTCTCCAGAGCTGCAGCAGCTCAGTGTAAGCAACCCAATCCAAGCGATCTCAGAGCGAAGAGCTCACAAGAAGACCGTCGGCCAAGAAGACACAAACGATATAAGACACGTTGCCGACCACCTTCACAGCGATCTCCGTATGCGACGCCAGCCATGAGTTCGGTCCCCCAGGAAAAGCGCGATTGTCGACGAACATCAGCTGCAACAGCCGGGTATCGCACGCCAGGGTGATCATCCCCAGCACAAACGTCGTGCAAACGTACGCGACGAGCCCAAGGCTGGTCCGCGTCCGGCGCCGCAGAGCCTGCGGCAGGATAAAGTACAAACACTGCGCGAACACCGCCACATGCACACCTGCAGAAACGCGATGTATGAGTCAACTTTGCGTCGGTAAATGGAGTGCCTGAGTGCTCACCGAATGAAACCGCACCCAGCACGGCTCCGACCAGGTTCGACCTTTCGAGCCAGAGGTCCGCCGGCGTCTCGCCCGGCGGGGAGTACAGTGAGGGCATGGAACGCACACTAGCCGTAGCACGCCGCGGATGTCCTAGGCGGTATATATACCATGGACACGCCGGACGAGAGCGTGTCCCTGATAGCTGTCCGCGAACCTGATCCCGTTGGCGCGGTCGGAATTTGGAAAGCAGGTGTAGACATCCGGATCCGACTGAAACGGAGGCGTTCAGTGTGCATCCTGATCGACGCTCGTGGGCGCACATGTACAGTGGTATACGCCAGATGCTGCTTTGATATCCTGCGAGACAGACAAGGGAGGCCTGGCAACCCTGCACATTTTGCAATTCACCGGACGCAGATGAGAGGATCTGCACGGGGATCATCCCGGGCTGTGAACGTCACTGCAGACAGGTTTCAGCAACTCTGGATCATGGTGACAGACTGACAGTGCGTGGAAACCCACCTTTGAACACAACATGAGCCCCCTTGGAATCAGCAAACACCTCGAAACAGTGCGAGGATCTCCTGCACGCAGACAAGAAGTGTTATTCTGCACTTACCCTCCGTGTCAAAGACTGTGTAGCCAAGGCAGACACGCGAGACGTGCACGCGCGCAGACAAGAAGGGCCACGCCGAACGAATACATAGAGTACAAGGGCGAGATGTGTGGTATCCAGAACACTGCAGTAGCAGCCGAGCCGATAACTGATGACGAAGAGTCGACGCTGTACAAATCAAAAATCGATAGCATGCATAAATATCCCTGTCTGGCCTGTCCAGTGTGAGATGCGAATTGAGATGAGTCCGTCAGTCGCTGTCAGTGTCCGTAGAGGAGCCTGTCTCCTCTCCTTCCACATCTGTGACATAATGAGCAGACCGGGAGACAGTGAGGTGGAATGACGACGTACCGACGAGGTAGTCTGTGTCGGGCATTCTGATAATAGGGACTGGTGGAGGTGGGCGCGGTGGGCTAGGCAGTCGCGGAGGCGCACCCGCGCCGCGGCCTTTGCCATTCGTCTGCTTGCTCTTGATATTAGCGCTGCTAATCGCAGGGCTCCGAATGACAGTAGACGCCTGTGTCGAGATGGAGCGCGCGGGCGAGGACCGTGTCGGTGATTCAGGGGATGAGGAACGTCGGTCTCGCTGGAATGAAGATGCAATTGAGGATTCTCGTAGTCTTGAGGGGATCCGTGCGGTGGAGGATGGAACGGGTAAGAGCTGTATCAGGGACAGCGTCAGCATAGCTTCAAGCGGGATGAGGTAGGGTCACTGACGTTAGACGGCGACCCAGGTGAATCGAGTTCGGATTTGATACGGCCTGCAGCTGCAGATACGCTACGTCAAGCCTGTTTGGACTGAGAATGATAGAGGCGCCTTACCTCCCGTCTTCTGTTTCTTCGACTTCTTCGCAGGAGATATAGATGGAGAACCATTCTAAGGTTCAGGACGTATGTCAGCAGGGATATATATGTATGGACGATTCTATACTCACGCGTTTCCCGTTGGAATTGAGAGCGCTGTCATCTAGGAATCCTGCTATTCAGCATACCGCCCACTTCCAAACCTAGGGAGAGAAATAGCGCACCCGTCTTCTTTCCCTTCGCCTTGCCCTTGCCTTTCGTAGGCGGTGCCCTCCCACCACCGCCATCGTCTGACAGATGCGCAACCTCCGACGCCAGCCGCGGCGACGCCGACTTGCCCATCTCGCTGCCCATCTTCGACTTCGCGGTCGCGCCGCGCGCCGCGCCGCGCCTGTTCCCGATACCCATGCAGCTGCTCAAATGCGTCGCATACCTATTCGACGATATCTGTTTCGCGATACGAGCGACGTGAGCTTGCGCATGCACCGTAAGTGAGTAGAGAACGCCGGAGAACGCACCTCGCGCTTGCACTCGAGGCACGCAAGGTACACGTTGCCGTCCTTAGACGTCCCATTCACGGGCGTGTTCGCCCCCGTACCCGCGGGGCTGTTCGTCTCGCCATTCGGTGTGGGCACCCTGGAGTTGCCCCCGTTGGATGGACCAGGCACATGGACTAGTGGACGCCGTTCATTATCCCTCGTTCATAATATGCACAAGGGGTACGCGCGCACTGACCTGAATTGCATCTGCGTTGATCCCGTCGTCAGCTACACCTGGGCGCGAATGTGTAGGGGGAAGAGGAGACGCACCTCGTATGGCAGACGTCGCATACCGCCCGCGCGCGGGCGACCTCTTTGTGCGACTGCTGCACGACGTCCATGAGGATCTCCTCGAGCATCGCGGAGAAGATGGTGGAGCTCTGTCGCATGCAACCGTGGCCACGATCAGTACCCCGCACCCACTTGCGCTCCGCAAACAAGGTGTACTCACGAGCTCGGCGACGGCCTCATCGCGGTCTCGTTTGGGCATAGTGGCACCTGCAGCGGGGAACGCACATGTACTGCTGGCGACGACCGCCTAGCGCGTGTCGCCCGAGGGTGCAGCGGGCGAGTGCTGGACGAGGTATGGGGATGGCCTGGTGGGGATGTGGCACCGGCGAGAGGCAGGAGTGACGAACGGCGTTGGCGCGTACCGATCGTGCTCGGTTCGGACGCGTCTAGCCACATGGCCTCAATATATAGAGCTGTGCTTGGTTCAGCCACCACAAGTCGTGTCTAGCATTTCTACGTCGTTACGCGTGAACAGGTCGTCAACAGAACAGTAGGACAGAGACTATCCATCTCATCTCATATATGTAGCATGCGATAGGTTACGGGGATCCAAACTAAGGTATCGGGGAGTCAAGATACTAAAAAAGGCGCAATTCGCCTATTCCGCCCACCCATCCACGAAACACAAACGCAGCATTTCCACCAGGTTCTATCTTGTGAGACGCGAGATCGTGAACACACCGAGGATGACCGCCGCGAGCGCACCAATGCTCGCCGGCAGCAGCAGGTCCTTCGGGATGCCCATCACCAGCTCCGGCTCCACAGGCGGCGGAGGCGCATACGGCGGCGGCGCGTACGGGCTCGGCAGCGCAATGGGCGGAGGAGGAGCCGCGACGACCGCCTCGACCTTCTCGACCTCCTTCATGTCCTTCATGTCCTGCGCAGCGGCAGCCGCGACCGCCTCCGCCTGCGCGGCGCTCTTCTCCGCCATGACGTCCGACCACCCACGCCCACCCTGGATGAACAGCACGACACGGTCGATCTTCGCCGCGCGCGCGATCTTGACTGCGTCGGAGACGTCCGAGTCCGACGTGATCAGCACGATGTCCCCGTCCTCGTCCGTGTACGAGAGCGTGAAGTCCGTCGGGTCCGGGGGCGGCTCCGACGGGTCCGCGGTCTTGTAGCCCGTGAAGAACGGGTCCGTCGCGAGCTTCCCGGACACGATCTCGCGCATGTGCTCGACGTTGTCGTGGCGCGCCTGGAAGCGGTGCGTGCGCCCGCTCGGCGTGCGGAACTTGAACACGTACGTGCCGTCGTCCACGGGCGGGATCGGCACGGGCGGCCCCAGCACGGACGGGTGCTGCTCCCCGTTCTTGGGGTACCCGGCGAGCGCGGACTCCTGGTCGTCGTCGACGACGGACGCCGAGTCGTTCGGGTGCACCTCCGAGTGAGGAGACGCGACCAGGTGCGACTGGCTCCGGGAGAAGCGGCGCTGGTGGGAGTGGGTGTCCGTCGTCGGGTAGTGGGAGCCGGAGAGCATCGACTCGGTGTCCTCGTTCGCGCCGAGCGAGTCGAAGAAGCGACCCCACATCGGGCCACCTTCCGCCTCAGCTTCTCCAGGGGCCTCGGTGCTCATGGCGTTCATCTGCAGCATATGTTAGAACGTACACGCCCGACGAATGTGCTGTGCTACTTGCCTGCTCCAAAGTAGCGTAGGTCAGTTTAAGGACATCCACGATGGCGACCAGACGGCCATCGGCCTCAACGACGGGCAGATTGAGGTAATGTCCATCTGATAGCGATGTTTAGTTTAGCATCAACACATACAATGCTTATAACTCACTGTGCATTTTCTTCAGCGCATCGTGAATCGTGAGGGTGGGCGGCGCAGTGTCCGGGTGCGGCGTCATCACGCGGACGACGCTACACCGCGTCGCATCCAAGCCCGCCGCAATAACGCGCAGCACAATGTCCTTGCTCGTGAAGATACCCGCGATCTTCGCCGCGCCAGGCTGGCCAGGTGCAGCGGGCTCCATAACGCAGACGGCCGTCGTGCGGCGCTCCTTCATGAGCTTCGCGACCTCCCGCACTGTTGTCTTCGGGCCAACGGTCGCGGGCTGCGTGCGTGAGTCCATAATCGTCGTAAGGTCCGGCAGCGCCGTCTTCTCGCGGAGCGCCTCTACGTAGGACAGCATCGCCGCCGCCTGCGGGTTCGCGCCCAGACCCGAGCCGAGCTCGGACTGGACACCTGCGAGGGCGCTGTAGAGCTTCTCGGACGCGGAGGAGCTACGCTCGACCTTGTCGAGTGCCTCATGGAAAACCTTGGTGATATCAAGAAGCCCGACAACGTTGCCCTCTTCATTACAGACGGGCTTGAAGGACGATCGTCAGCCGTCGGACTGTTTGTGCGACCTAAGTGAACTCACCAAGTGCCTGAAATGCTTCGTGACCATCAACTGGAGTGCCTCCGTGGCGCTCGTCGTATCCCGAGTGACCATCGGGTTGCGGGTCATGATGGTGCTGACCGGGGTAATGTGCGGGTCCAAGCCCTCCGCCGACACCTACTCGACGTCAGTATGATAACACAACGTCATCAGCTAGAGACGCACCCTGTACGCCAGATCCTTCGCGGTGAAGATACCGCTGAGGCCTTCATCGTCGTCCACGACCAGCACACAGTCAGTCCGCTTCGCCGCGCACAGCTGGCTCGCCTCCGACACGGTAATGTTCTCCGGCACGGTGAGTGCAGGGCTCGGCTTCAGCGCCGCGACGGTGCCCTTCTGCACGTTTGGCTTGTCCTTGCGGCGGCGGCCCCCACCGCCGCCGCCCTGCATCTGCGTGGTCGAGATCGTGCGCTTACGCGAGAGCTCGCCCTCGATCTTCTTGCGGATCGCCTGCACATACGGGCCGTCAGCACGGGTCGCCTGGATGCGGCGTTTCGAGGGCGAGTGCGGGGGGCCCGCGCCGCGCTCGGGCGCGAGCGGGGAGGGAGAGGTGGGCGTGAAGGACATCGCGCCGCGGACACGTGTATTCCGCCCGGCGCATTAGGTGTGACAGCATTCGAAGCGGGCTCTCCGCGGAGTGCGACCGCGCTAGGAAGGAAGGGGAAACGTCCCGTGGCCGGGACGAGTCGCAAAGCGCGTCGTGTGTATATAAACTGAACACCATTTGGGCATCAGGCGAACGGACTGGCAGCCTCCGCTCGTTTCGTGCAACGTGTTCCGCTAGACACTTGGCACACTTGGACCACACAGCCGGGCTTTCTGAAGGGAGGTGCAGACCAGTTGGACAGCTGACACGCACCTCATCTCTCCTGTTCTGCTTCTTGCGGGTGTCCGCGGGGGAGCCGGAGAGGGTCGACATGGACGCGTTGGTGTGGTGGCGAGAAGGGGGTAAAGGTGAGAGGGCACGGTCTGCAGGGAAGGGAATGGGGGAGGCAGCGCGAGGAGCGCCTGCGCTGCGGTTGTAGGAGGGAGAGTGGGCGGGGATGGGGATGCGGGACATCGACACCGACTCGATGTGCTCCGAGACTGCAGCGGCGGGCCAGCGACGCGAACACCTAAAACCCGCCGCTTCTCCCCGGCGCCTGTTTTTCCCTGTTTGGTCCGAGCGGCTACTTTGGGCTGCCTCCTCGTCCTCTCGCGGGTGGGGCATTGCACGCTCATGATATTATCCAGCATCATAATATACAGCTACGAGATACAGTACGAGTCGCTACAGGTACATGGTATAACGAGGAGAGTCTTGAAGGAACAGGAAAAACAAACGCTGGTCGGCAGCTACTCGCCCGTCAGCCACCGTACTCGCGGTCTGGATTAACCTAGAGCTCACCTTATCCCGTTCATGCAATACGTTTGCCACCCGACCGCGTCCGAGCACGGCCATCGCGATGGGTGTACCAATAGTAGCCTCCTCCAACAAGAGCAACGGCGAAGAAGTTGGCTAAAATTGTCGTCAGCCACACCGCTCACGAACCGCGGTCGGCAACTTGTACTCACCCACAACAAATCCGACGGCTCCCTGGAGCAGGTTCGCCGCGAAGGCGAACAGCGTCTGAGCGAGCTGCAGTACGCTCCCGACGAGCTCCTGTATGAGCGCGAGGAGGGCCTGGAACACGGCGAACACGGAGTTCAACAGGGACGCGCCAATGGCAGCGAGTGATTGCAGGAGGTCTCCGAGGGCGGATGAGACTGAAGGTGCCATGATGCGTGAGTGAAGTTGAGTGAGGGGGTTGTACAAGAGGAGTACGAAGGGTTGTTGGTACTCCTGTATTTTGCGGGACCGCTCTTATACCGCAAGACGCGTGACGTCATACATACGCGGGAGGAGTGTTGGAGCAACAATCGACGCCTGCGCACTAGGGGCAAGTTCAAGCCGTCATGAATGTCGTGATATAATAACAAACATAAGATTGCAGTCGTTCTATCGTCCCACCCAACGCAGTGTTCAAGCACATTCAAGACAGAGCTAGGGTAAGATGACACTCAGCGCACCACCTACTGCCTCCTCGCCCCAGCACCGGCACCAGCAGCAGCCCCGTTCGGACCCGCGCCGGGCAGCGACCCCGCCCACCGGCCGACCAGGTTCGTGACCTGCGTGTACACTTGCGCGACCACGGGCGGCTTCCCGGGGCTCGTCACGAACGCGTAAATGCGTGCGTGCACGGTGCCAACGGCATCCCGCGTGAACTTGCTCTGGAACCAGCGCTGGCGCAAGAAGTACGCGTAGAGGATCGGCGTGATGAAGGCGGTGCGGAACAACAGGACGCCGATGAGGACGCGTCCCAGGATGGCGAGCTCGGTGAAGGCGACGATGCGCATCGCGTTGTCGTAGTTGGCTGTACACAGATAGTCAGAAACGACGCCACCAGCACACTCGAATGGATGATAGCTCACTCTTGACCCAAACTTGGAGCTTCTTGGCAAGCGGGTGAGGGGTCGGCGCGGCGCCAGCCTGGGGCGGCGGGCCAGCAGGGAGGAATTGAGGCAGGAGAGTCGTGCGCGTAAACGTGAGGGCGTGGAAGAGCGAGAATATCGCATATGGCACAAGGGCGACTGCATGCAACGAAGTAGAGTGAGCATCCGGATAAGCCTAGAGATATGCGGGGCATACACGTCACGGGCTTGGAGGACCACCAGAAGAACGCCATGATGAAGTATTGGATGTTCTGCGCAGACCCGTCAGCATCGAATCAATCAAATCCACTTCGTGACGTACCTCGTCCAGGAGCGCGCGCTGTACCCAGGCAGCATTGGGTTGCGGTGTCTACACAGAATGACGTCTGGACCTTGCCAAGCTCACAGGATGGGACTGAACTTACCCCCAGTGACTTTCTGTAGTGCCAGAAATAAGCATCCACGCTTCGCTGAAGACATAGCTAGACACGTACTGGCATACAATGGCATAACTGACGAGCGCCCCGGTGAAGCTCGCTGAGGATAGCAGAACGTAACTCAGCCGTCCGTTCTCGCTTATCGTATATCCCATATAGACGCACCTTTATACCACCAAGCAGAAACCGCCCTAAACAGCAACTTGGCGAAGAAGAATCTCAAGGAGCAGACCAGCAAGATAAAGTGGCCCGCGGCCCATACATAGTGCTGTCCACGAGCGCCCCGTCAGCAATCCCGCCTAATTTGCAGCGTATTTCCCCAAGTGAACGCGTCCTGACCTGTGTGGTAGCCATTGCGCTGTGCGATGCTGTCGAGGGGGAGGGAGAGGTGAGTAGACGAGCGGGACGTGGACAGTGGACGGGTGACACCAGGCACCGCGCGGTGACGCACACGAGGTTCAGCTTTAGGGCCGGCGCGCGGGACGGGAGCGCCCGCAGCCACCGTCGACATCACCACGGTGCTCGCAGCAGGAGCCTCAGCGGGGGCACCTCGTCCGCGTTCCGCACCGCGCAGCGCCACGTTGTACGCACGCGGTGGACGGGGGCAGCGTGGATCAGACGAGCGATGAAATAAATGCGTAAGTATAACACACAGCACGAGCACACACATATGCGAAGAACAGACACGAGGAGACGGGGCGCGGGTCGAGGCGCGGTGGGGGCGGTCGCGCTAGCCACTCCACTGCGTGCCCTGTGCCTTCATCCGTTTCCGCTCCTGGCCCTTCTTGTACACCTCCTTCTCCGTCTTCTTCCAGCCAAGCGCCTCCGTCCGCCGCCCCTTGGACTGCTCGCCCCACGCCTGCCGCCGGTTCTGCTCCTGGTCCGCCGCGTCCTCGTCCCCCGACTCCTTATCGACCGCGTCGATCTCTTCCCACTTCTCGTCGTCCGACTCGCCGTCCCCGTGTTTCCGCTTGATGCCGCTTCGCCCCGTGCCGCCCTTGCCACCGCCGATGTTCACGTTCACGCGCGGGGGCACGGAGAACCCGAACGCCTTCCCGACCTTTGCGAGGTCGAGTTGGTTGACGTCGAAGATCTTCTTGAGCGAATACGACGCGTACGCCTGGAGATACGACCGGTATCCGTCGCGCGCGGACTGGTGCAGGAAGTAGTTCTTCTGCAGCAGCTTCTCCAGCTATAGTGGATCGAAGTGTCAGCTCGGGCCAGGATAAATCATACGGGATACTAAAGCGCACCTGGGATTGGACATTCGCGATTTTGTTCGCAGGGAAGGTGAACTCGTTCAAAGGCACCTTCGCCTCCTTCAGGTACCGCAGGAATCCGAGCTCGCTGGGCAGCAGGAACATTAAACTCTTCCCCACCTTGCCCGCACGCGCCGTTCGGCCGACTCGGTGGATGTAGTCGCGAGGGTCGTCTGGGGGGTCATACTGGATGATCCAGTCCACTCGTGGGATGTCCAAGCCACGCGCCGCGACGTCTGTGCAGAGGAGCGTCCCTGTCTCCGCATTGCAGAACTCGAAGAAAGTGGTTGTCCGTTTTTGCTGCTTTTGCTTGCCCTATAATTGCTGTATTAGCTCGACTGTTCTCCGAGATGAATGCAGGTAGACGTACGTGAAGGTCGAGGACGGGGACATCGATGTAGTTGAGGAGCTCAGCGTGGTATTTTACAGAATTACAACTTGAGAAGAAGACAACCATCTTCTTCTTCATGTTTTTCTTGAGGAAGGTAAACAGGAGGAGGAACCGTCGATCCGAAGGGCAGACGACGTAGCCCTGGGAGAGGGTGGACACAGTGCTCGTCAGCTCCTGTTTGTCGACGTCGACATAGAGGGGCCCAGGTCGTAGTGATATCCGTGCCAGGTCGGTGACTTTTGTTGTTTGTGTTGCGGAGAACAGCATAGACTGTCGCTCCTCTGTGAAATGGGTGAGTATGCAATTACCGCGCACGGAATCCTGGGGAGTACGTACCACTAGGGAGGATGTTGATCACTTTCTTCATCTGCTCCTCGAAACCGACCTCTAATATCCGGTCAGCCTCGTCGATAACGAGGCACTTCAAATTACGGAACACGAAGCCCTTCGTTCCCTGTAAACAAATATGTGAGGACCCTAAGAGCGGTGAGGAGGCCAAAGAACGTACCTCCAGGTGGTCAATGAGACGACCAGGAGTCGCAATGAGCAGGTTGACACCCTTCTGCAGCTTGATCTCCTCCTCTTTCCTGTTCGCACCGCCCATGATAATACCGTAGGTTTGCGAGTGGTGCACCATGAGCTCCTTTGCTACACCGAAGATCTGCAGCGCGAGCTCTCGAGTGGGAGAAATGATGATGATTCCGGTACCTGATACAACAAATGCAGATTAGTATACTTGCGCAGGAGTACCGGGAGATGTCCCATACCATTACGGGGCTTGAACTTCAGCCTGTGCAACAGTTCGATCGCAGGAATGAGGAACGCAAGTGTCTTTCCCGACCCTGTCCTAGCCGCTCCCAGGACATCCTTGCCGGCGAGTAATGGTGGAATGGCTTTTTCTTGGATGGCAGTCATGGTCTTGAAGCCCATCTCCTCAAGGGCTCGCATAGTGTGTTCCGAGAGCTCGAGGTCAGAGAAGGGCCTCCGCTCAGCGGCGTCGGGGACCTCCACGGGCACCGGCGCAGGGACGCTGGCCACTTCTGAAGCCATTATAGCAGGGCTTTCGTAGCAAGATATTAACCAAGTACACCAAAGGGCGACACGAAAGAAAGCAGGCGAGAGGGGTGCAGACGAGGGAGGAGAGCGGGAAGATCGGCTGTGCAAGCGCCGGGCAAAAAGTCGAGAAAGCAGGCGCGGATTGGCTCGGCGGTTGCCGGCACACCATGTCTTCGCTCTCGTCCACTCAAAGCGGTCTGCACACCTCCTGCTCGTCGCGCTCGCACCCGTCTGACATGGCTTCCAGTCGTCTTCGCAGTGTCGCTGCTCGCGTCTCTCAGCGCAGGGTATGCGCTCGGCGCGCTGACGGGCAAAGGGAACACCGCATCTACCGCAAACGCGTCTGCTGCACCGAAGCCTACGGAGGACGCGCAGTCTGAAGAAAGTGACAGCGAGGAAGATGTCGCCGACGGGGACCTCTCTGCAGTGAAGCCCGGCTTCCTTGAGCCATGCAAGATGGTAGATGATTCATGTTCTCGCGAAGTCGCGTCGCCAATACATTTCCTTGCTAGGTACTCGTCGTCCGTACTGACCTCGGGATGTCCACTGGCAAAGTAGCAGCACAGTAAGAGAACCGTTTAAGTTCTTCACTTCTCGCCTCTCATTGCTCCTTGTAGATGCGGGTAGGTATCAGCGGCATGGTGTGTTGATTGTTTGCTCATAATATGCCTCCACATAAGGCACGCCACTCTCGCCTGTTACAAGATTCTACAGAAGACCAATCCTGCTGTGAGTTCGACGAAACAATGAACATGCATGTATCCTCATATCTGTGTTAGCTTTTGAGACATTGGGAGCGGACAGGGTACGCATCCCTGCACATGTCCTGTAGATAGCACTTCTGAAGGTACAGCCAGGCAAGCCAAAATCGCTTTGAAGGCGAACTCAGAAGATGAGCTACTAGAGCTAGAAGCGATAGCGAAGAGCTTGAACCTGGCGGCTCGCTCGATAGTTGATGCGTGAGTGCACGCGTGTTCTTCCCCAGAGTACAATACTCACCGGTATACAGCGGCCGCACACAAATCGCTGCGGGCTCACGCACGGTGCTGGGCATTGGTCCTGGTTAGTACCACGAGCATCGTGAACTTCTACGGCTGATTCTGGCGTCGAACAGCTCCTGTGGAACTCATCAACAAGGTGACGGGGAAGCTGCGCCTGCTATGAGAGAGTTCGTGTCCCGTTTTGCTGTGCCTGATTATGTCGAGTGACGGTTGCCAGGTCGTGATTTCGCGAATGCAATCAATTTGTAGTGTTGCTACGAGCTGTCTGCCGAGCGCGATAGGCGTGCGTGTTCGACTGGCCTGGACGGCGGTGGAAAGTTCGCGGCGGGCGTTTGGTACAGGGTGACGTCAGAGCGATGATGGTTTGTGCATCAGGCGCCCGTGTCAAGGGATTGTGGGTGCAACTTTGAGACGGCCCCGCAGAACAGGAGCTCGGTGGAGTCCTTCTCTGCTTTATCACTGCTCGGACCACAGCCAGGTCCTCACTGTCTTTTCTCTCATCTGCCATGGCCAACATCGCACTCGCTCGCGCATACCAGCAATCCTTTGAGACCCACCCCTATACGACGCTCGCCTTCACCAACGGCGCGCTCAACGCCTTCGGAGACGTCGTCGCCCAGTTCACCCAGAAATTCGTACGTCGCGCCCTCACTGATTACTCATCGTTCTGATCGCCTGCAGGTTGATAAACAAGAGGAGAAACGTCGGTCGACGCACTGGCATTATGACATTCCCCGCACGCTGCGCTTCTTTGCCTTCGGCTTCGGAATGGGTGCGTTGCCTTTCCGGACTGTTTGGCCGTGCGTCCTGTGCTTACCGTGCATCCTCCAGGCCCTGTTATCGGTCGATGGAACTTCTTCCTTGAAAAGAACTTCCCTTTGCGTACGCTAGGCGGCAAGACTGGCAAGGTGAGCGTGCGTGCGCTCGCCAGGCGCGTCGGCGCCGACCAGCTCCTCATGTGAGTACCACACTCCACATTGACGCAGGACCTGTGCTTACCCATGTTGTAGGGCCCCCATTGGTGTACGTGTGCTACTGCGATAGATGGTCCAGACCCAGCATCTGATTGTATGCTTCCCACAGCTTTCACTGTTCATTGGGTCAATGGGTATCATGGAGGGCCGCGACGCAAAGCACATCGGCCAGAGGTTCAGCGACCTCTACAAGCCCGCTATCCTCGCCAACTGGCAGGTCTGGCCCCTCGCGCAGGTAAGCATCTCTTCTGTTGTTCACCGCGCTGCTCCCCCTGACGTCGTTGGTCCTGCGTAGCTCGTTAATTTCCGCTTCATGCCGCTGCCGTATCGTGTCCCCTTCCAATCGACGTGCGGCGTGTTCTGGACGTTGTACCTCTCCCTGCTTAACGCGAAGTGCGTCTCCTCTGGTTTCAGAGCTTTAAACCGAGTTACTGATCGCTTTTGCACCAACAGAGAGGACGAAGTCCAGGATCGCGACGATGGCATGCGGCGCACACTGAAGTGAGCCCGTCGACTTTCATGGCCTTGGTTTCCCACCTTACGACTATACACGGTTCATAATGGACCCACGACTACCCGGGTTTGGACAACATATATGTATACTGTAGCACTAGCACGATCTCTCTCACTCGCGCCATACGCAAGTCATATAGCCTACTTTTACCTCAACATCATGTACATAGATGATAGCATCGGCGTACACGCCCCTTAATGCCCATAGACACTCGTGGCACCCTACACCCACCCAACACCGCTCCCAACAAACCCACCAACACCTACGTAGCTCCGTACTTCGGCTTAAAGTACGCCGGCGGCAGCTTCGCAAGCACGTCCACCAGCGGCCGCTCGACGACCACGAGCTCCCCGGGCGCGATGAAGTCCACGAACAGCAGCGGCCGGTAGTGCGTTACCAGCTTGAAGTTGCGCTGCTGCTGCCCCTGCTGTCCCTCCGCGTCCATCTGCACCTCGACGCGCCCGTTCGCATTGGGGGCCGGGTCGACCGCCTTCCGCTTCCCCCGCCGCCGCTTCTCGAACGCGTCCGGGCCCGCGCGCTCCGCGAGGTTCACCTTGCAGAGCCACGTCGCGCCCCACAGCAGCGCCGTCCTCGGCGGGAGCTGCTGTGCCGTCCCTTCCTCCCCCACTCCTCCTCCTGCACCCCCAGACCCAGAGCGGGCCCCAGGGTCGAACGCGACCCCGAGCACGGGGTCGTGCAGGCGCGTGAAGCGCTGCGGGAGCGCGTGCACGAGCGCGCGCGCCCAGCGCGGGAACTGGCGCGCCTCGACGTCGTACACCTCGAGCGCGTTGTCCGCGAAGCCGAGCACGAGCGTGGCCGCGTCGAACGCGAGCGCGTGGATGGCGCGCGGGAAGGACGGGAGCGCGCAGTGGTGCTGCACGGCGTCGAGGTTGAAGACGTGCGTGCGCCGGCGGTCGTCCGCCGTCGCGAGCCACTGGCCGTCGGCGCTCACGGCGAGGCGCGTGATGGTGGTGCGGACGCGTTTGGAGGCCTCGATGTCTGAGTCTGCGTCACTGTCGGACTCGGAGTCGGATGCGTCTTCGGGTTGGTCTTCGGTGGCCATCGAGATGTCACCGTCAGTGCTGCCTGACGGGCCTGTGCGGCCCTTGATGACGCGGTCGTTCACGAAGCCTTCGCGCAGACGGTGCTGCTCGAATTTACGGAGGATCCGTGGGGGGCTGTCCGCGGAGCCGAGGTCGATGATGAGCACGGTAGCGGTGGTGGAAGTGGCGAGGACAAGCTTTGACGAGTCGGGCGTGAAGAGCAACGAGGATGCGCCGGAGGATATGCCCGGCAGCTGGCTCTGGAGCATGGACTGGAACGCGCGTATTCGACGGGGCTTCAAGTCGCCGTTCTTCTGCACAGTGGACCGTGAGCAGGCGATATCAAGGACACAGGATAGATGCTTACCTGCTCGTTGAGCTGAAAGAGTTTTGTCTCGTGCCAGTCCGCGACCGCGATCCACTGTCCGTCGTCAGAGATGGCTCCCGCGACGATGTTCGTCTGCACATTCAAATCCATGTCCAACACCCGCTCCCACCCATCCTGGGTGTTTGGCGCTTCCCAGTCTGGATCCTCCTCGCTCTTCTTCGCGGCAATACGCCACACGGTGAGTCCCGCGTCACGAGTGCACATGAGCAACCGCGCCTTCTTCGCCAGGTGCACGGCGGACGAGCTCGCAGGGCCGCTCGTATACGCCAATCTGCGGTGATACGCATCTTCGAAAGTCGCTGTGGTGCTCGTCGCGAGCGGGTTCGTCACCTTGCCCGCCAGCGTCGCGGTCGGGAGCGCAGCGGGCGTCACAACGACGGACATGTCGAGACCGCCTGAGGCGAGAACCGGTGCGACGTCCGCGGGGAAGTGTCGTTGGTGCGCGGGCGGGAGAGGTGTGTATGGCGGCCAGATGGCGAGCGCGCGGACGTCATGTGAGTGGAGACGGCGCGAGGAGGTTTGGACCCATCGTCCGGAGGTGCGGGGAGCAAGGGGCGACGGGTTAGTGTCGGAGCGCGAGGTCTTCACGTATGAGAATTGGGTGACTTTTTGGTCGACGCCTGAGGTATATACAGCCGTGCCGTCCTGAAATGACTGGTTAGAGAGGATTTCAAGACGCAAGCGGTTAAGAAGCGTACAGAGCCGATTGTGAGGCACAGGATATCCGCGGCGTGTCCTTGGAAGCTCTGTAGCTGCGTGCAAGTCTTGGGGTCCCAGAACTTTACATTGCCCATGGAGTCTCCAGAAACGATGGTGCCATCCCTGGACCACCGATATCAGCTTGTATTCAAAGAGCACCATAAACACACTCACCCGAGGACACCTACTGCCCATACCAACGTCCGCTCCCCACGAACTTTGTCAGTGCCCATCCGCTCCAGCACACGACCGGTCGCAAAGTCCAGTTTTCGTATGCTGCTGTCCGACCCTCCGGTCACTAGCCACGATTCAGACCACTCGTCTTCATCGTCGTCCGAGTCTGAGTCCGCGTCGGCTTTCTGCGCGTTTTTCGTCCGCGGTACGGGCGGACCCCACGCAATGCTAAGAATCCGGCTTTTCACACGGTCAAGACGGCGCAGGTGCGTAACTTGGTCATACAGCAGGGACAGGAGCCGGACTGAACCATCTTCACATCCCAGCGCGAGGATTGTGGATGCAGCGTTGGGTGAGATGGACCAGATGGGCCCGCCTTGCGAGCTTACGGTACGCTGCGGAAAATGAGTACGTTGCGCGAAGCTGTGGGGGACTGGCAGGCATACCTTGATACATCCCCTCTCGATGTCCCACTCGACGAGTTCGCTACCACCGCCCGCGCTGAATAGCCGTAGGTTCGACCAGGAGGGGATCTCCTCCTGCGCCGCTTTGCGCGGCGAGCGGAAGGTAAGCGCGAGGGATTCGACTTTTGATGGGTAAGGCCCAACGAGTGTCTGCATACTGACTGTAAGCCAACTACGCGCGAGGGGACGACGGACGGGCGCACCTTGCGGACTACCCATGCCTGGGGCGCCTGGCTGCGAGGACCTGACCCGGTCCACTCGCACAGCTCAATGTTCCCATTTGCGCGCCCGACAACTAGTGGTCCGAACCCAGGGAAAGTCTGACTGTTCGCAGCCTTCTTTCCCTTGATAGACGGCAGAGGCAGAGGAGGAAAGCAGAGTGCAGTGACTGCCGAGGGCGCGAAGTCGACGAAACGACAGCGGTGCACTGCGAGAGTAGACGAAGACTCTGCCATAGCGCGAGCTTGCGCTGCAATACAGCAGCGAGGAACAAGCTTAGAGGTGGTCGAGAGCGCGGCGAGGGAGATGGTTGCAGGAGACGCTGCTCAGACTGTGGCACTTTGCTCGATCAAACGCGCGAAGGCCAAACTTTTTCGTTCCGCATTGGGAAGGTGACACAGTCGCGCTGCGTCGGGCGCTTGTGTCCACTCGTCCAGCGACCTTCTCCGACCACACACGCCTCCTCTTGCTGTCTTCTCTCTGTCCACGCACTACACGCTCTTCTCTCCCATTACCTCTTCAACAAAAATGTCTTTCCTTGGCCGCGGCTCGCAACCTTCTGCTGGTGGTGTCAACCAGGAGCGTGTAGATATGGCTACCCAGGAGTACGTACCAGCATGCCAATTCGTCCGGAGAGCGGTCATTGACTTTCTTACAGGCTCGACATGATTACAGACATTTTTAACCGTCTCGTCACGTCAGTCTACTAAGAACGACGCGTCATGGACGCACGCATACTGACCGGCCAACAGGTCATGTCACGCGAAGTGCATCAGCCCACGGTACGCGGAGGGAGACCTCAACAAGGGCGAGAGCGTTTGCATCGACCGTTGCGTGTCGAAGTTCTTCGAGGTGAACAAGAAGGTCGGGGAGAAGATGCAGAACGTCGGCGCGGCAGCCGGAGGAGGTGCCCCCGGAGGGTTCTCACTATGAAGGCCGTCACACATCAAGACCTACCGGGTGCATGATCCCTCGACGTTTCACTTTGCGCTATAGTTGTATCCATACACCCACCTAATACACTGCACACACCACCTCAAACGAACACTCGGCATGCATGCAAAAGTAGCGAAATTACACACCCGTTCAGCAGACGCGTGACGCGAGGAATGTGCCTAGGGCGCAGCGAATATCCACTTCAGCCGTTGAGTACATAAAAACACAGGTGAACTACGTTCTTACGCCTGTGCTAATTTCATGAGTACTGGCAGTCTGATGTTTAAGTATATGATCAACCATAGGTGAGTTCGCGGAGGCAGACAGTTCAAAATGTTACCTTGCTGAGGAATTGCCACATTCCTTGACAGACCATGGGTAATCTCCGAAGGCTTAAAAGCCTAAATCCGCATGCTATAGGCTGAATCAATGCATACCATCTAATACACGCCACTACATGACTCCAAACCCGGAAAATCTACATCGACGAAGACACGATAGAAACAGAGAATGCACTACTTGGGGGCAGTAGGGAAGCACTCCGCTGCAGTTTTGCTGTGCCTGTTCTGGGCATGCTCTTCAAGGCTGTTGATATGTCAGATACAGCACCTTGAAGCGCTGAGTGTACTACTCACGCAGGAAGCCGCGTGGTCAACAACTGCAATGAAGGTCAGCGCGGAGGGGTGGCGCGTAGAGCGGTGGAGGACTGACAAAAGTTTGCTTGCAGACGGAGCAGATGATGTTCAACGCCGCCTGGTTCGTCTTTGTCTGGCTCTTCGCCGTGCCGCCTGCCTTGGCAGCGTTCCTCTCCCTCTTCTGCTGAGCCTTAGCACCCTGCAAATTTGTCCGAAGATGAGCGCGGGTCGATCGATAGCCAGAGTGCGCCGCGTACGTTGCCCATCGTGACGAGTTTACAGAGATATCCAAACAGAGGCGCGAAAGCAGATACTAGCGGAGAGACCGAGGACCAGAGAGGACAGAAACCGGGGGCGTGAAGGTCGTGGACAAGGGTCTGTTCGTCGATCACCGCGAGGAGGACGGCGGCAAGTTGCTCGAGCGCCGGCACAGCAAAGCCACGTGGGCGATAATCTAATTTGGGTCAGGGCCGATCCCTTGCTATAGATTTTGCGATTCTGTGCAATTGACTCTTGCTGACTGACCCGGCCTCCGACTGGCTCAGGCGGCACAAGGCCCGGACCCACGCAGGAATAATTTATTACGGGAGGGTACCAGGGCCCATGTCTCTCATCCGCCGTGCGCTATCCAGCTTGCTTTCACACCACCCCAACCCCCGCACCTCCTCCTCGTACTCCAGAAGACCCTTCAGCATGGCCGCGAACAAAGATGCCGTCGCGCAGATCGCCGCAGAGCTCAAGGCAGACATATTCACCTTGACCCAGGACGAAGTAAGTGGTGTGCGCACACAGAGATAGCGGCAGCGGTGAACGGAGCATGTCCAGGATAACAAGCGCGGCTTCGAGGAGGTCTCGAGGAGCTTCATCTGTGAGTCCCTTCGCGCAGGAAGCACGTTCGTAAATTAACGGAGCTGCAGCGGACACCATTACAGGTTAGTCAGGCCGCTTCGATCACATCGTGGCGTGCCTCTTATGGTAGTCAGTGCCTACGCCCGACATGTACATGTACGCCGCGAGGGCGTCCCTCGGCGACGCTGTCTACCATGAGCCCACCACCCTAGCCTTCGAGGCGCACGTCGCAAAGGTCACCGGGAAGGAGGATGCGCTCTTCCTCCCGTCCGGGACCATGTCCAACCAGATCGCGCTCAGGACGCACCTGATGCAGCCCCCGTACGCGGTCCTCTGCGACCACCGCTCGCACATCGTCCGGTAAGCTTCCGCAGCTATGCGCATGCTCGCAAATCTCCTGCTCATCTCCGGCGCAGGTACGAAGCCGGTGGCACGGCCTTCCACTCCGGCGCGCACTCGCAGATGGTCATCCCCTCAAACGGTAAGCTGCCCTCCAATTCGACCAACGCTTGCCACCTTCGCTGACTCCGTTGACCGCGGCGCAGGGCACCATCTCACGCTCGCCGATATCGAGGAGAACATCGTGCTCGGGACGGACCTCCACAGGCATGTGACGCCTCCTTCTCATCCACGAAGACCTCTGCTGACCTGCGCCGCAGCTCTCCGACCTCGGTCATCTCGCTCGAGAACACCCTCAACGGCACCGTCTTCCCGCAGGACGAGATCATCCGTATCTCCGAGTACGCGCACCGTGAGGGCGTCAAGATGCACCTCGACGGCGCGCGGATTTGGCACGTTGCAGCTGAGACTGCGACGCCTATCTCGGAGCTCTGTGCTCCCTTTGACAGCGTCAGCTTGTGCTTCAGCAAGGGCCTCGGTGAGTTATTTTTTCCCTCCTACCTTCTGATGCTGCGTCGCGTGCTCACCGGGTATGTAGGTGCACCTATCGGGTCGTGCCTCGTCGGCACGAAGACATACATCGCGAAGGCGCGCTGGTTCCGCAAGCTCTTCGGCGGTGGTATGCGCCAGACCGGATTTATGACCGCCGCTGCAGCGTACGCGCTCACGAACAACTTCCCGCTTCTCCCTGCCGTGCACACGCTCGCGCAGCGGCTTGCGGACGGCCTCCGCGAGATCGGTGTCAGCGTCACGAGCGCCGAGACCTGCATGGTAAGCTACTCTCCCTGCAAAACGTCGAGGATGCTTGACCAACCCATGAATTTAGGTGTTCTTCGACCCCACGCCCGTCGGGATCTCATACGTGGAGTTGGTCCAGCGTGCGCGCGACCTCCCCAAGCCGATCAAGCTCGGTGGCTCGCGTCTTGTGGTGCACATTCAGACGTCGCCGCAGGTCGTTGACGATCTGCTCTCCCTTATCCGCGAGCTTGCAGAGGAGAAGAAGGCTGCTGGGTTTGTCAAGTCAGAAACCCCGTTGACGAACGGCAAGGCGCCCAAGAACATGTACGTCAAGGTGAAGGCATGAGTGCCGCCCGACGAAGGCGCTCTTCCATAAGGGATAAACGCGCACCATAGAATGGGAAGGAGAGGGACGATTGTTGGTAGACATCAACCCATGTTGTAATAACTCTGTGCTTTGTATGCTGTCTGTTTGCTTGGGGTTCAGTATCCTATCTTAGACGGCTTTTCTTGACGCTCGCCCGCGTTTCAGGACAGAGGGAACAGTCGTATCCAGCGATTGTTACACATAGCGCGTGTAGGCTCAGCCCTTCCCGACATACCGCTGCTTCTCGTACTCCTTCCACAGCGTCTTCATCGTAGCCTTTCCACTCGCATCCAGCGCCGCCACCATCATAGCGTCCCGATTGTGCTCCCCAAGCATATCGCACAGCGCGAACAAGCCAGGTTGTAGCTCCTTCCGCACGGGCCCAGGCACGAAGCACAGCGGGTCCCCGACTGCGTCCACATACGCGGTGAGCACGTACGCGGCGTGTTTCGAGAACGGACGCACGAGCGCCTCCGGCTTTTGCGCGGCGTCGTGTCCGCGCACCATCGTCTTCACCGTGAGCGTTGTGAGCAGACGGGCGAGCGCGCGGCTCTCTGGTGCTCCTAGCGCGTTTGCGGGCGCGAGCCACCGGGGAAGCGTGTCGAGCACGAGCCGCCGTTGCTTCCCGCCGAGCTGCGGGCGGAGGCTGCGCAAGCAGGAGACGAGCTGACGCAGGACGAAGCCGAGCTGTGGGAGCGTGTTGAGCACGAGGTCCCGCCGCAGGCGGACGAGCGCGCTAAGGATGTTAATGGTGCCGTGAAAGACCGCAGTGTCGGTGGATTGTTCGTGTGTGGACGAGCCCGCGAGTAGTGCGCGCAGGATGGACCAGAGGCTGGAGAGGTCGGCCGTGCGAAGGGAGGCGGGCTGATGGCACCATGAGTATCGTGCCGTACGTCATTATAAGACGAATTTACCCTATCGTTGCACTGGCGGACGATGAAATCGACGACTTCTCTGCGAAGGTCTGGTTGCGATATGAAGCGCTCGTCATTCGCGAACAGGTTCAAAGACCGCGTGGTGAAAGACTGGCATATTTTGGAAGTGCCTGACAAGGCATGTAAGAATCAAAGAGATGTATACCAAAGTCTTGTCATAACTCACTTTCAGGTGCGTCGTGCAGTACGATGCCAGAAAACCGGATGAGACTGGCGACGTCGTGAGCTGAAAGCCCGCACCCTATGGGAAGCCCCTCGTAGAGCAACTCCAGTAGGACACCGAAGTCTTCCACTGAGAACGTCCGGCACGCGGTACCCATTCGTGAATCTAGAATGGTCACATCTGTAGGCGCATAAGGGTCATGCTGATGACACATGAGGATAAATACTCACCTCGTCGACAGGCGCGGGTCAGAGACAAGAACATAACCACTAGGTACTGCAGCCGTTCTGCGCGCTCAGCGGGTATTGCGGTCTGTACCTCTCCTAGCAAGATCGATAATACCACCGGAGCAAGGGCCATAGCGTGTTGCCGGTCGCCGGCCCAGGAAAGCAGACGCTGTGAAAGAGACCTGCCTAGAAGCGGCACTTCCTCCTCTGTTGGCAATATGCGTCAGGTATGGACTGGTACAGCGTATCCTAGCGCGAACCTACCTTTTTCTTTGAGCCAACGTTTCAACGTCTGTGCATGCGACCACGTATCCAGTACATCCAGATCGATGGGCACGTCGTGGGTATCGGATGGAGAAAGGGAGAGACGCTTCTTGCTGGCCACGAGCATCTGCGTATGCATATTTCGTACGGCTTGCACGACTTCCGACGGGAAACTGTAACGTATTCAGGAAAGATGCAGCAGATGAAAGTAATGAGACATACTCCGCATCGCTACCCTCCCGCACTAGGGCGTCGATGAGAAGTAGCGGAGAACGTCTACCCGCAAGCGACTTCTCGGTCATATAGGATGTAGCGTAGCGGTTCACTAAATCCGTGACCACCTCCACATTACCCCGTTTTGCGGAGCGGACGAGAACACTATAGGGCATGAAGGTTAGCGCATACAGGAGGATGTGTCGCAGATACTTACCCTTGGTACATATCGATCAACTCCATGGTGACTGAGCTAGCGTCTTCTCCTGTCGCAACATTGTTTTGGGTGTCGGGAGATGCGTGTTCGATCAGGTAGTACAAGAACTCTTTCGTCATCTATGTGGCGTTTTAGTGTTTGCCAGACATGCACTTTTCGCCAGCACTTACCACACTCTCCAAATTTCCAAGGAAAGCGATAGTGCGGCGGAGGAACTCTCGGATGACAAGGAGCTGGTGTGTAGTCGCAGGCTTCTTAGCGGAGCGCAGGGCTTGGAATGTTAGCACGTCGGCGATGAGGCCGCGTTTCAGGAGTTCAACTTGCGTGGGACGAGGCAGGTACTCCGGAGGAGCGAGCAGCAAGATACCGTACGCAGCGGCAAATTGGGGGACGCCCTTGGAAGGTTTATAGGTGGCTTTTGTTGCAAGTTGCGCCAATAGTTCTGCCAGCCCAAATGTATCCAAGGCAGTGGTCTGCTCGTTGACCTGCGCGAGGAACGCATCTAATGTTCAGGACGATAAGCACACTAGCACTGACGCTGCATCTAGCGGAACGTACCTCTCGTATTGGGCAGCTCCCAAAACTGCGCATCGTGCAACATTCGCGAAATCACGAGAGGGGCGCTCAAACCTGACGGCGAGGAAGACACGGCATCGTCCAGCTTGACGCCCGACAATATCCGTGCGAATTGCTGGCGGTGCTCCGAAGTGGACCACGTACTACAAGAATGTGAGTGGTGGCAGTAACGTTGTGCGAGCGACTGCTTACTCAAAGTCAGGCAGCCAACGGTTTGCCAACAGATGCAACAGTGCAAGGGCGGCCTCGGCATCCGAGCTCAACGTGTGCGCCTTCCCTGACCAAGCAACGTCCCGGGAGGGTAGATGGGTCTCTAGGTGCGCTAAGAGCCTGTCCAGCACTTTTGTGGGCTTGAGAGTCTCGAGACTGCATTGGTGCAACAACGTCCGGAACTGCAGCACGCATGAGCGCGCGCACAAAACTTGACAACTAATTATTTACCGTTTCCACAATCAGCTCCGGGGCAACCCCAGGCGTTGATACCAGAGTGAGCATGGCGGTTGATAGAGATTTCTCAAGATGAAGCTGCTGCTCTAGACCAGGCGCACGCACAAGCCCATAGTGCAGACACAAGGCTCCGGCGACAGTCATCTGCCAATGCCATGACTGCATCATATCGGAGTGGAGGAGGCCGTCTGTCAACGCTCGCGAAGCGATCGCGGAGAGCACCTCGCCCACCGCATGCTGAACCTCCAGCCGCGTGTCCTCGGTTAGGGTATGCAGGGGAAGTGAGCGCAATACGGCAACCGTCGTCTTTGCGATAAGCGCGAACGAGACCGCGTAGTACTCCGGTTCTGTGCCGTCCTGCGTAGTGGGTGCATCCTTGTCCTTCTTGCGCTTCTTCCTCGGGCCGTCGCCACGGTCTGCTGTGAGTTTCGACTCCTCTTCGAGGAAGAGTTCGTACGCGCCCGTCAGGGTCCGTGAAACATCCCTGACGGTCTCGAGCACTTGTCCAGGTGTTAGGAAGCTATGGACCGCGCTGGAGATCCGGTCGAGGAAGTGTAGGCTGGTCAGAGGGCCAGCGGACATGACCGTGTACGCGGCTCTAGGGCCTCCAGGGATGCGTTGCAAATGCTGGACAGAGAAGGCACTGGAGATGTGCATGGTTGACGTTGGCAGGCTGCGTGTCTTCGAGTCGTACTCTAAAAGGAGGTCAAGGTATTCGAGCGCAGAAGGTACCGAAGGGGGAATCTAAAGAACCGGTTATATCGTTCCGTGTGGGGACAAAGGTATCAAAAAGTCTTACCGCAGCGAGCCTGGGCAAGATGGTTGCAGACCTCACGGACATCAAATCGTGGTCGACGCGGGTCAACAACGAAAGAATTTTGACAGCGCTGTCGATTCGGACCAGTTGCTCATCTACTTGTCATAAGCAAAGACACTAGGATGGATTTTAGCCTAGTACTGACCGTCACAGGCGTTGGAAAGTGCATCTGCTGCTGCATCTCCGTCAAGCCGAAGCTGCGCTCGTGCATCGTCGTCTTTCGGACTGAACAGGTTCTCCCTCTCCACAACCTCTAGTAGTGCAACACGACAGCGCCAACTGGCGTCGTCTTTGCCTACGCACGCCAAAGCATCGCAGCTACTGTAGAAGGCCATTGCCGCAATCTGGAGCTGCTCGGCAGTATGGCCCGGTGCTTGACTGGACCCTTGTCCGAAAAGCGCGCCTTTATGACGTTTCACCATCTGCACGTAAGAAGCGAAGAGGCGGGGAAGCGTCCGGAGCAGAGTTCCGGGAAGGCTCTTCAGCGTCCGTTCCAAAGACTCCGTCAACGCTGCCTCGTGTTTCTGGTCCACCGCCGGCTTCAGCATATCGAGCCCGAATATAGTCTCGATGCCGGCATCATAGACGTCGGATACAAGCGAGGGTTGGGCACCCTCGCCTTCGCTACTCCGCGCGGCAACCTGCAACCAGGAGTCCAGGTGCTTTTGCAAGAAGAGCGTGTACAGTTGCTGGACAGGTGATATCCGTGAGCCATTCACTTTGCACGGAAGATTCGCAAGCAGTCCCGCACCTTCCTTTTGGACCCCGAGTGAGAAAGTGCTGTTCGGTAGGATGAAACGATGATCGAGAGCGCGCGGCGGTCATCTAGTGCCTGCATACGGCCGCCCGACAGGTCAGGATCACCGAGTGCCACGATGAGGCGAAGGGCCGCGCCGAAGCATTCCAGCAACGTTTCAGGGTTGATTTTGGGCACAGCGAGAGGCCAGAGGACGGTGATGCATTGGGTGACGAGCGCGTGCTGCGCGCCGTCAAGTGACCCTTCTGTGGCGACAGCTTCGAGGTAGGAGAGGACGACGGGGGCAGTGGGGACGCGGTTCAGTAGCGGCACGAGCCATGCGCGCAGAGCACGGCCATGATCTCCGTGTTTGTCAGCACCGGAGACTGCTAGAACCTTGGAGAGGAGGGCCCAATACCGAGAATCGCGTACAGGGTTGGAGCTGGTAGCAGGGTCTACAGCGCGCTCGGCAGGAAGAGGGAGGGTTCATACCGATCTTTTGACCTGTCTTTCAGCAACCGCGTGAGGATCCACTCCACGATCGCCTCCGCCTTGTTTGGAACATAGAGTTGAGTGTTTTGCCATGCCTCCGTAGCGATGTCAATTTTGAGCGGCCCTCCGACATGAGGCGGGTCGGAGGAAGCCTTGAGAGCGCGGATGAAGTCCTGCGCGTTCTGCGGACCGGACATGGCTGAGATCCGCGAGGACAGAAGCCAGTCGATATGGGAATGAGGACAAGCAATGTCCGTCCACTGTCGGCAGAAATCAGAACCAGTAGGCTTAGCAGAGCAGGAGAGGACGCGCCGTGCCTAGCAAAGTTTCGCGGATGGAGGCATGCGGCGGGCCACGTGCGGTAGCCGCGGACGATGAATATTTGGATCTCGATCGAGTTTAGCAGCATGTTAGCGGCAAGACTCGGCGCAGGCTCTCGAACGGACTCTGCAGATTTCTCCCATCGGCTTGCTTCCTCCCAGCACGCACTGAACACACGACGGTGCACGAGAACCTAGAAGATCCACCGCTAAGCTGGCGCCTTCGTCCTGCGCTACCCGGGCTCCCCTTTATCTGCACCTTCACACGCTGCTTCCACACCGGCCCATGGTCCTCGTACTCTCATCCTTCTCTCCTGATCCGACGTCCCCAACGAGCACCTAAAGCTAGTCGAGTCCCTTATGCGCTCTTATGCCGAGATGTAATAACCGTTCACAGTACACGGAAGGCTCCGTCGGCGTTTCGCCCTGCCTGTACATATAAGGCCCTTCAGCCTACCATCCAATCTTGTGAGTCTCCCCACCCACACTCACGTCGCACCTCTCTTTCTTGTCTCATCCCTCATCCGTCTCACAGTCATCCCTGCTATGGGCGGATATCTCTGGTTGGTGTGGTACAATGCGACCTCCAAGCTATCTCCCAAACATTGGACGCTAGCCGTGACTTACGAGGCTCACGATCGTGCCTACGCCACAGTGTACGAGGCAAGTAAAGTTATTCTACAATCTCTTCAGCGTGTCTGAACAAACCTCCCGCTCACTTTCAGGTATCGAACGAATACGGCGAATATTATAAATCCCGTGTAGTCCGGCGCGTCCATTTGACGAGCAATCATCCGTCCGGCGCGTATGGAGGCAGGATCCTCCTCGGGGAGATCAACGACAACGTGCTCTGCTCGCTCGAAGCGTATAGCGACACGGCCGCCGAGCTCGTCAACTCCCAGAACCGGAAGCGCGGTCAGGACAGCGCCAACTGCCACGACTGGGCTCTGATCATCGTGCGCAGTCTCGAGGACGCAATGCTGCTGCCCCAGGTGAGCCGACGTGCCGCATTCCGTATCGTGACTACCGGCGGCTGCATCTTCTGAACTTTATGTGTCAGGGCGCGCTGGCGCGGCTGGAAAAATGCCCACGTGTGGGCTGAGCAGGCCCTATCGCGGCACCGTGTTCATCAAGCTATTCCATCCTCTCACCCTTTTGCTCGCCGACCATGCGTGGTCGTTCACTGTACTTCTACCGTAGGGTTATTTGTGGTCTTTTCCTTTGGGCTTTGGGTATCCGCCTCCTTTCTCTGGGTCTAGTGGGATTTATCTGGGCACAATCAGGCAATCCTTTACGCTACTCCTACCTCCATGCAACACATTACGTAAACCCTGTACTTCTATTCGCATGCAACTATCCCCGCGCTCCGGCGCACAACACGAGCCTGATGAACGATGCCGCTGCACTCGGGCCGCTTCGAGCGGTAAGTCGTTTGAGACTGTAACTCCGATGCTACTCGGGCGTATCGACCTACTATATATCCTATCCATTGATACCAGCCATTGGCAGCCACCCCGGAATTCAGGATGATGACGTACGGCATGACCGTCTATTAAAACCGTTTCTCCGGGTGATCGCCTAATCGCTTGCCCTCGAAAGCTCTGCAAACCAGGCACACTCACCTTACTTGAATGTTTTCAGGTACGAAAGCTACCAATACCTCTCTTGGGATTTTCAGCGAGATTATTTGCATGTGCACGATACGTGCATGTTATGTGAGGCCATGAAGTAGCGGCGGTCTTTCGGCAGGACCCACGCCACTTCACCAAAGGTATGGCCAAATCAAAAAACGCTAACTTTTCGGTTTTGTTTGGGCCATATCTCCGTCATCCGGGCTCCGATCCGCACGGTGATAATCTCAGCGTGTAGCTATCGCCTAGACGCGTCGAATGGCGTACTGCATGTCGTGGTTAAGCGTAAACTGGAGCCATAAATTAAGCGCCGAGGTTTGTCCGTTGCTTGCGTTTTTGAGGCCTCTTCGGCGAATTTTTTTTTTGGTAAATCGACTTTTAAAGTAGAAGTTGTTTGTTTGCGGCCGGGTTTCTCTTAGCGCCATACGGGCCATGCTCCTCGCTATCAGTTCTGATTCTTGCCAGGCTCACGAGGGCTCAATTGCGCGCCCAAGGGACGGATGAAGATAGGCGCCCAAAATGGCCATACCTTTGGTGAAGAGGCGTGGGTCCTCTTTCGGCTGACGCATGATGATGCCGGTGCAGGCTATTTCGGCATGATCCTGGCTTCCCTAAGCCATTGCAATTGGCTCATCATATAGCGGCGGTTTCTTCCAGCTCTCCTGGCCATCTACTCTGGATTTGCAAAACCGCATCTTCTAGGATCTCGCATCGCCCCGCTCCCCGCCTACTTGTGCCCAGTTATTTTACTTTGTTGACCTCCGAAATGGGATTGCACGGTCGACTCGCGAACCTGGATACCTAATCGGGTGACCCTAACCCTGTCTTCAGAGCCTTACTCAGCTGTTCCGGGAGGCGGAAAGTATATCGCGGCCGGGTTCCAGTCATGCGGCTACATACCCCTTCTCATCTACCAGACCTTTGTCCCTTCTGTTTCGTTCCTATACCCCCTAGACGCAAGAATGGACAGCGCAGCTCAATCACACGACCTCGAAGCGTGCGCGGCGTTGCAGCGGGAGGAGCTGGACGTCCTGGAGGTGCGTCATGTCCAAGCCTCGTGTTACCCCGGAAGTGCCTAACATACTTCGCGAATTCCCCTCTTGCAGTCCATCTACCCAGAGTGCCTATCCATCGACACATCTAGGGGGCTGATTAGGCTAGAGGTACCTGTGGAACTGCCCGACGCGACGGTCGTCTCAATACACGCCGACCTTCTGACGTCGAACGGCTCATCTAGTAGCGCACCCGCCGGGCCAAGTCCAAGTCCCGCGCATGCAAGCACGCTCACGCTCTCCACACTCCCGCCCATACTCCTCGACGTATGCATCCCCGCAAGCTATCCATTTGCCCCGCCGATCATCCGCTCGGTCCATGCCACACATTCATGGCTACCGCCGGCCCGCTTCGACCTGCATGATCGGCTCGCGGGCATGTGGGAGGCTGGCGAGGGCGTGCTCTACAGTTGGGTAGAATGGATCCGGAGCGGCGAGTTCCTCGACACATTGGACCTCATCGTCACTCTGGACGGTAAGCGAACTATCCGGTACGTCCGCGCGCATCCGTTCTGCATCTCCTTTCTCCGCCACTGACCACCGCGCTCTCCGGCGTCTACAGTATTCCGCACCCGACGCCACAACTACTACTCCCACTACTCGAGACGTTCGACTCTTCAACACAGGCGGCCCGCTTCTCCGCGAACTCATACGAATGCCAAGTGTGCCTGACGTCGATCAAGGGCGCACGGTGTGTCATGTTATCATGCACACATGTCTTTTGTCGTTCTTGCCTCGAGGACTTCTGGGGACTATGTATAAGGGAGGGAGACGTTGCACGCGTAGGATGTCCCGACCCCGCCTGCGTAAAAGCGCAGCGGGAGGCGACCGAAGAGGAGGTGCGTCGTGTGGTGACCGAAGAAGAAGTATTGCGATGGAAATGGCTACGTACGAAGCGGGCGCTCGAGAAAGGTGCGCTCATTGCACGCTATATCAGCCGTTGTGGCGCGCTGATCGTCTCGCAGATCCTACCCTTGTGCATTGCCCGATGCCATTGTGCCAGACGGCTGTGCCGCGGCTGACGGATGTGGAGGAAGGCTCCCCGTGGGAGCGCCTGCGAACCTGTGAGGGGTGCGGTTATTCGTTCTGCTCGTATTGCAAACGGACATGGTATGTTGCAGCTCCTCCACAGTGTGCGTGCGGGGTGTTGTTGCTGAAACTTACGCCTGATCCAAGGCACGGGCCGGTATCGCAGTGCCCGATTTCCGCCATGAAGGGCTTGCTCATGGAGTATCTGGCGCATCCTGAGGACGGTTTGGAGCGCAAGAAGATGGAAGGACGGTTCGGACGCGCCATGCTCCAGAAGCTTGTGGCCGAGTTCCAGGAGGAGCGCGCATTCCAGGAGTGGTTGGAGCGGTGGACAGGAACGGCGTGCCCTGGATGCGACTTGCGCGTGGAGAAAGCATCCGGATGTAATCATGTGCGTACACTGTTGTGTCTTACGGTGCCTGGTGTGGGGCAGCCTGTGCGACATTGTGACTGGGACGCTGACTGTCTGTTTGTTGTTGCAGATGACATGCGTAAAGTGCGGGTCGCACTACTGCTATAGATGCGGGGCCCGGCTGGATCCAAAACAACCCTACAAGCATTTCTCGACGCCCGGGCTGCGGTGCTTTTCGAAACTATTCGATGTGGAGAGCATCGACGACGAGTGGCAGCCTGTAGAGGGGTTCGAGGTCATATAAGTATGACGCCTGTACATCATGCGCTCGCGGGCCTGGAATAGGAGATTGGTCATGGACATTTCTATGCGCCGGGAATGGAGAAATATTGTGCGATCGGGGGTGGGCGGCGGGAGCGGGTTCTGCGCACTCAGATGCACCCCGCCCTCGCCCCGCCCACCCGGCTTACCCCCGATGGGTCCCGCAGCCCTCGCCGCCATCCGCAAACGTTCTAAATTTTATAAAGCCCCTGCGGACGCGCCGGCCGAGCACCGTCCCCGCCTTGCCGGAGTCGGGCAAGGGGCGGACTCGGCGGCGGAGCGCTAGCCGCGGTAAGGGGCGGTATTAGGCGCCGAATGCAGACGCCGAAGAGACAGGCGCCGGAGGAAGGCGGATATTTGATTCGGCCTCCTCCTTCTCGTATACACCCACTCTCGGTTTTCGTCCTTCAGTCTCGACGACGACCAGCCTCCTCCTTCTCTTCTTCAGAGGCTGCGCGGGACCCTCCGATACCACTTTGTCCATACCCTCACTCTACCCGCATACCCGCTGTCTCCCTAACTCCAAGTCCTGCTTGCTGTATTACATCCCCTACACGCTAAACTCTTCGCCCAGACAACGGACTATGGAAATCTACACCACCTCTTTTACTTATCCTCGTCGTCTGCGACACGCTCATTCCCCCACCAACTCTCTTGACTTTCCTCCCCGCTCGGAGCTCCGCCGTGCGAGCTCGTACTCCCAGATCCAGCAGCCCACCCAGAATGGCCTAGGAGACCCGCAGGGAACGGCGTCGCCCACCGACTACGATGCGCTCCAAAAGCTCGCCATGATGGCCATGAGCATCCATGCCGTGCACGTCTCTTTCACCCCCGCCGACCAGGGCAGGGCCTGGAACTTCCAGATTTCAGGCGCGTACCCGCAGGTCATGCTGGCGAAGGGAATGGTCTTGAAGGGCTGCCCGGTGCAGGTACGTCCCACTGACGACGCAGCGCGGCAACGGTTGCTCACAGGAATGCAGAACCGTGCGTCCATCAAGGTGGCGCGTTCGGAAATCCTCGACTCGCCCGCGTCCAAGCCGTCGCTGAAGACGGAAGTTAGGCGTCGCCTCGACGACATTGCCTCGCAGACATTTGCGCATATCGCCGTCGTCAACAGCCCAATGGCGCTCTCTAACCGCACGCTCCCGGACGGGATTACGAGTAGCGCTGGGTGGTCCGGTCTCGAGTCGGAGCGGGTGTGCGAACTTGTCATTACAGGGCAGGGAGATTCTGTGGACCTCGCACGTGTGCGCCTGCTCGTGATGCTCGACCAGCTGGTGCGTTCTTTTTCAATTTTATGGTCACAAGCGGTTTCCCCTGACCCCGGGTACAGAGCGGTCTTCACGCGGAGTCGTGCGAGATTGACAATACCTTGCATTCTATCATCGCTGGTAGGAAGCGGAGTGTCCTACAGACCATTCAAGAGGAGACCGCAACGAATATCTATTTGCCGTCTCCGCTACAGGGCATTCTGGGCCCCGACTTCAGCCAGTCGCCCTCGAATGGTTCCCCTACCGGCCAAACGAGCAAGGCGAACATGAACACGATTTGGATTACCGGCGAGTTCTTTGGGGTGCAACGTGCACGCGACATGCTGTTCCAGATGCACCTCAACAAGGTCGGTACAGCCGTATTACTTCCGGTTGACGCGTCTGACGCGCAAAATGCAGGGAAAGCAGCTCATCTCACGGGATAGCGCCGTCCTTCCGCGCAAGATGGACTGGATGGTGACAGAGCGGGCCGAGGATCTGAAGGCGCTGATGCACGACAACGCGACGTTTATTCAGTTCCCCCCTATCGGCAGCTCTACCAGCGTAATCACAGTTATTGGTGACCACCGGGTTAACGTTCAACGGACCATCAGGTCTATCATGCAACTGGTGAGTGCTGCGCGCTCGAGACGCTCCGGAAGGCGCTGACAACGGCTACAGGCTTGTCAATTCTACGTCGCCTCTTTGTGGCTACTGCCCGCACAGTTCAACGTGCTTATGCCTTCGACGAGCCTGAACCCTTCGCAAGTTTCAGTCATCCTCAAACAGGTCTCTTACGCGTCGGGGGCGGAGGTCGTCTTCAAGGGCATGTGCTTCGAGATGCACGGCCTAGAGCAGGAAGTCCGCGCTGCAGTTTCTATGCTTCTCGAGCTGGACATCGTGAAGGTTTGTCCGCGTCGATCCTCGGATGGTGCAGCGGCTGATGAACTCCGTCAGACTTTTCATCATGAGATACGCTTCCAGATCGAGTTGGCCAACGAGCACCGCGAATTCATCAGCGGTAAGAAGAATGGCAAGATCAACAAGATTATGCAGACCACGGGCGTGAAGATCAAGTTCGAGACGTTCAACGAGCACAATTTCCTCATTGACATCGCCGGCAGCGATGGTTCAGTCCTTCAGGGCCTTACTCTCTTACAGGAGGAGCTTCCCGCGGAGATCTCGTTCCACGTCCCGGAGTCGTACCACAAGCGCATCATTGGCGTCGGCGGCCGCAGCATCCAGCGGATCATGAAGAAATACGGTGTCTACGTGAAGTTCTCCAATGCGGAGGAGTTCGCGGCGATGGGCGGGTATAACGACAACGAGGACAACGTTGTCGCGCGTACGCCGGCAAAGAACGCGATGAACCTCGACAACCTGAAGCAGGCGGTTATGGAGCTTGTGAACCCTAAGGTGCGCACAAGCGGGATCGTGTTCCAAATAGCCCCTAATAACTGCCCGCAGGACAAGGACTATATCAACGAGACCGTGTCCATTCCGAGACGTTACCACCGTACGCTGCTCGGGGAGAAGAGCATCTTTATACATGACATCGAGGCGAAGACGAACTGCGCTGTTCGGTTCCCGGACAAGGAGACGGCTTCGGACCTGGTCACCATCTTCGGCCCCGAGAGCCAAGTGCAGATCGCCGCCACCATGCTCTTCGTACGTCGGCTCGCTTACGTCTGTCCCCGCTCCGCTAACCCCTCGCCTACAGGACCATGTTCCGTTCGAAGCGGACATGGCCGTCCCGCCGCACCCGGACCTCGCACGCATCTGCCAGTCGCCGGATTTTGTGAACTTCACCGAGCGCGTCAAGCGCGAGCTCCAGGTCGTGATTGCGCCGAACGTCAAGGGTGGCACGGCGAACGGGTCCATGCAAGAGCCGCCTTTGGAGTGCTCCTTCAAGTTCCGCTGCCAGCGCAGCAACAGCGACTTCCTTGCGACGGCGCGCGAAATGCTCGAGCAGTTCCTCATCGAGCACAACGTGCACGTGTACCCGTCCGCGACGTCGCGCACGCACCAGCGCGGTGATTCGTTCACGGACGCGTTCCCGCACTTTGACAGCAAGGTGCTGTCCACCGCGAGGACCCGTCACCAAAGTGCGTCCTTTTCCTTCGCTGTCGTAATTTCTGTGAGCTGACTGCGATGATAGACTCGGCCGACCTGGGTCGTCCGTCAGAGTCGATGATCGACCGGAGGCTGCGCCTTGCGAGCTCCTCGCCCGATGTCAAGGCTCTGTTCAACAACTCGCCGTCGTACATCTACCACCTCGAAGAAGAGGACGATTACGATGTCCCGTCGAACTACGTCGGTTCGTCGAGCAACGACTACTGGCCACCCATGGCGCCTATCGTAAGTTAACGCCGTTCTGAGCGGTCCGCTCGTGGCTAATATGATTATAGGGCACCGGCATGCATCACCGCACGCTTACCGCCGAGGACGCAATCAAGCGTGGCTCAGATTCGCTGCTGGACTCCAAGATGAAGGACCAGCTCACGAAGCCCCGCTCGTTGACGAACCGTGCGCAGTCTCTCGACTTGACGTTCTCGCTGTCGCGGATCAGTGAAGCCCCCCGGTCCGGCCTGTCACGCCCCGACTCGCCCGAGACATCGCTGGGTGGCACCGGCACGAATGGGACCTCGAGCCCGTCATCCGCGACGGCACCGTTGTTCCCGAGTGTGTACGGACCTCCCGCCGGCGCTCGCGGCACAGTGGTCGGTGGCCAAGGGCCTCCGCTCGGGCCTGGCATCCACGCCATGAACCGCTCAGGCTTGGGTCTTGACGAGGACCCCGTAGACGAGGTGTCCCGCGTCATCTCCAACCTCGGTCTGTGAGGCAGCAGCTTCTGCCTCGGGCCAGGTGCTCTTACGAAGACGCGCGCGCGCTATAGAAAGAGGCTCCTCTGGACGGTCGTCTCAAAAGCGCTTCCCAGCCACGGACTCCAATCCACCGCGCGATGCTGGGTGTACATATGTTAACGCTACCGTTCTCCCCGCGCCTCCCTGTCAATTCGACGACTTCGCCAGAGCTCTTGCGCGTCTCCTTACGTTATTTGCTTCTAGACCTCGAACGTGCTCGTCCGCTCTCTCCGCTCGCTCTTCTCCCTTCCCCTCCCTGACCTCCCATCTATCCCAAGATCTCTCCCCATCTCTCATTTTCTCCCATATCTCTCTCTCACATCGCCTCTGTCGTTCTCCGCTCGCTGCTGTGCCAGTCTGTCACTTCCTATCTTCGCCTCCCTTCCGCCCGCCTCGACTTGCGTACCGCCCGCCGAACGCACCACGCACCCTCCCGTACTACATAACTCCCTCTGCGCGCGCCTGCTCCAGACTTTGTGTACCATAGCGGCAGCAGCTAAAAGATGTGTCGATACTATCCTATCCTCTCCTAACCGCTTGTAAGTAGGGGGCGGGGCTGGTCGGCCGTCCAATCCAACTCAATCTCAATCCAATCCAATCATACGTATCGTACCGTATCAATCCAGTGCTTCCACCATCCAGCGTCCGTTGGCGATTGTCAGAGGTCTAGGCGTCCATGTCACTGTGTGTGTGCGTGCGCTGGCGGGGGTGGTGCGGAGAAGCACACGTCCATTAACGGCTTCGCAGGGTTCGTGGAGCCTCTGTACTCACGTCAGCCGTCGAGGCCACAGAGCCGGGGCTCGTCGACGCTGCTCATACCGGAACCTACAATGCAGGCGGAGGCCGGGGATCAGTGTCGCTCGATTTTTCACACTATCGCCGATGTCGACACCCCCGAAATTAAGTGTCATTTTAGCGTCGACCAGCTGGTCCAACAACTACGCCCGGGGGTTTCCATGGAACGCCGTACTGCCACATTGAATCGTCGTCCATATGTGGACGCTGCTGGTATGCCCACCCACGGTCGTGGAACCGGAACAAGGGAGAAGGATGTGTGTGTGTACATAGACCGACCGGACCTCGAGCTTAAGCTTCGAGACCCCGCTCGATACGATATCCAGAAAGGCCACAGAGGGGGTCGCCGCAGTCTTCTCTTCTGGACCAGGTACGGGCGCGGTACTCTCAGGCTCTCGGTTCTCGCGAGAACGGACAGGAGGCTTGGGTATGCAGGGATATCATTGGACTTCGGCCCACTGGCCTAACTATAAGGGGAGTGTAGGGGCTGCGCGCGTCTGCGTATCGTACGTGGTACAGTCTTCTGTCCGTGCGCCTCCGGGAGCGCGTAGCTCAGCCACCGCGCACGGGCTCCGAGTCGACGCGCTAGCCCCGTCATCGCGCTGCAGGCGACGGAAAAGGGTCGCAGGGAAACCTCATTCGCGCCTAGAGCACTATCCAGGGTATCTCGTACAGGACGAAGTCGAAGAACTCCTGTTCGAGCAGGTTCTGGTACTCGCCGCCGGCGTCCTCCCCTGTACCGCCGGACTGGTTCTTCAGCTTGTCCGGGTTCGCGCGGCGGCCGAGGTACGCGAACTGCGCCTGCAGGGTGGCCAGGGTCCGTTTCGTTGCTTTGGGCTCGGGCTACAAGCATTGGTCAGGCACGTAGGGAGCGAAGATGTCTGAGGCGCTTGGTGCGCACCTTGATGAAGAAGCCGATGTAATGCGCGGGGAGGCCGTATCGCAGTACGCTCTCGATGTAGAGCTGGACGACCTTGAGGTGGACCAATATCTGGAACGCTTCTGAGAAGTTCGTTCGTGCGAGTTGCAGCAGCTCAGTCTACAAAGACAATCAAAAGCGTGAGTCCTGGGTAGAGGATTGGAAACAACAGAGACGACTGACCCACAACTCCTTCTCTGTCGTATCTGCGGTGTCGAGCTCTTCTCTTTGTTTGTTGATGGCTTCCTCCGAGAAGGTGAACTCGCGGACAATGAACCTGTGCACTGCGGTGAGTCACGGCCCTCCAATGCCCAATGAGATATGTGTACTTGTTGTCTCGACACTTTTGCACAAAGTCATCGTGTACGCGTTTGAAGACAACGGCAGCGAATAAGCTGTAGTCATCATCTGACGAGATTAGGCTATACAGTAGGATTAGCTAAGAGCTTCAAAACTGTGAAGATGTGCCTTACACCGATGAACGAGGTACGACCATGGAGGTGAGGCGCTCGTATTTCAGATTCCAGTCCTTGACATTGTTCCTATAGACTGTAGTTAGCGACTCTATATACATGCAGGTACATCGCCGAGCATGAAACTTACTTGGGAACAGCTACAAGTACAGTTTGGAGATATTCCGAGTCATTGATAAAGTGATCCTGGGTCACGATATCCACGAGGGACCGGACGGACAAGTTACCGCTGTGGAGTAGTTCAGCACCAGCCATTTCATTTCAGGGAACACACGCACGTCTTCTTCCGCTGCATCTGCACCAGAGAGCCCTTCGCGAGGTTGTAGTTGTTCAGCTTCGACTTCATCACGTTGTCGATAGACGTCATTTCCTAATCACACATGCGTAAGACCGCCATATTAAGCGCGATGGAGAGCGGGGCAACATACCTTGTTCAGCACGTCGATCATCTCGCGCAGGGATCGCTGCACGCCGTAGCGACCCTCGTTCCATGACCACCCTCTCAGAACATACGAGTCAACCGGCTGCTCGTTTACAAGTATATGCTGCGCGAGTTTGGACGGGTCGTTGTTGAGCAGATTGCGGAGTGTATCGACGGTCTTCGCGACAGTGGCTGTAAAGAAGGCATCGTGCTTCGGCAGCTCCTCAGACAGGGTGACAAGCGAGTCCAGCGTTCCTGTCTTTGTTCGCATGCGCATGAGTTCATTTCCCGCGCATGATGATACAGGGCGCGCTGTTGACCTTGAAAGACGGGATGGATAGCTGCGCGAGATTGGACGGCAGGACGGACTTGCTGCTCGAGCACAGTTTCGTCGACAGTTCGTGGTAGAGCCCTTCGGAGTCACCAGATTCGGGCACGGAGACGAGCCATGTGCTTTGGTCCGACGGCATCGTGCCAGACAGCGAGGAGAGGGTGGAGGAGAGCGAGCAGGACGTTGAGCACGACGAGTCCGAGCGCGGCAGAAGCCGAGCTATGAGGCAAGAGGGCGCAGGAGCGGGGTTAGGGTTTGATCACGCCGACGATGTTCTAAGCTGGATGGTGGATTCCGAATTGAAGAGCTCTTCTGACTGAGACGGTGCACTGGCCTTTGCGGGTATACGTACTTGACTGTTTCTAGGCCGCGTCTATCACCAGCTGCTGCACTAGTATAAAAGAGCCCCCAGTGCCTGCGACCTAGCCAGTCCCCCATGCTCACCCAGACGTTCGTGCGCCGCAGCCTCTCTCTCACCAAGAACCTCCGCCTCCGAGTCAGATCCTACGCGACCATGTTCGGAGACTATGCCCCGCTCGTGATCACCCCTGCGCAGCTGCACGACCAGCTGAAGGCGAAGCCGGCTGATGGCACGGACATCGTCGTGCTCGACGCGTCCTGGCACATGCCGAACTCGCCGCGCAAGGGCGCGGAGGAATTTCCGCGTGCTCACCTGCCTTCGGCGAGGTTCATCGACATAGATGCGGTCTCGACGCCGCATCCCTTTGTGCCTCATATGATGCCTGACCCGGCGACATTTGCGAGTGCTTGCGGTATGTGTTGCATCCCAATCATCATTTGTACCTCCGCGTTTAACATGTTATGGCACAGCACGCCTCGGCATCTCCCCGGAGACGCATGTTGTGCTGTATGTATCCTATGCACTATGCACCATAGTTTAAACCGATCTCTGAAACATTTATGCCTCGTTAGATATGACACCCATGGGGTCTTTTCTTCACCGAGAGCCCTGTACATGTTCCGCGCATTTGGACATCACCGCTCAAGTATCCTGGATGGGGGCCTTCCTGGCTGGCAGGCCCACGGCGGCGTGACCGAGGACGGCCAAGCATCCGCTGTTGCGAGCCAGCCCGAATACCCGCCGACGACGTTGAGGAAAGACATCGTCAAAGGTGAATCCTGCTCCAAATGACCCAGGACGGTCGCTAAACCTGCGGCAGACTACGGCCAGATCGTGTCCAACTCGAAGCTAGACCCGGCGAAGGAGGCTGATGCGTTCTACGTCCTCGACGCGCGCGCAAAGGACCGGCATGTCGCCCCCTCGCCTTCTCATAACCATGCATTAACCCTGCATATCCTCACAGCTTCCTTGGGAAGGCTCCCGAGCCCCGCCCAGGGCTTCGCTCTGGACACATGCCCTACGCGGTCTCGCTCCCCTTCAACGCGTTCCTCGAGACGCACACCGTTCCGGAGCATATCGCGTCCAAGGTGCTCAAGCCGAGCGGCCAAGACGGACCGTACACGTACACCCGCCTGCGCTCCAACCAGGGAATCCTGACCGCCCTCGAGGAGTCGTTGGGCCCCGAGCGTACCGAGGAGGTTCTGCAAGGCAAGCGCCAGGTCGTGACGACCTGCGGGAGTGGCATGACTGCCAGTGTGCTTTGGCTCGGGCTGAAGCTGCTCGGCGTCGAACGCCTGGGCCTCTACGACGAGGTAAGCGAACAGTCGCATGAGGCGTAGTTAAACTAACACCCGTACCTTCAGTCGTGGCTGGGTTACGCGACGCGCCCGGAGAGCGAGGTCGTCCAGGGGGAGTGATCACCCTATATATGCTACCATCGTGCGCCAGTACTTCTCAAGAGTCGTGTCGCATCTATTTGAATGGAAGGAAACATGCTAGTCGTACATTCTATTATCTGCCGCAAAGCCGCAAATTACCGTACACGCTGCCCCTGAACCCGAAGCCCAACCAAAACAGACATGCCAATTACATCACGCCAGCATAGCATAAGTTATCCGAGTCCGCGTCACAGGCTCTCCTTCCCGCCGAGCATCGCCAGGAATGGTGGCGGCGGTGTTCGCAGCTTCTTCGTCACGGCGTACGCCGGGCGCGCGACGTAGCGCACCTCCACGCGATGGCGCTTGCCCTTGCGGAACTGCGTAACGCTCCATCTACCCAGCCCGTGTAAGTCGCGACTCTTTAACCAAAAGTGAATGTATGCGGCTCACCCTTCTGTCAGGAAGAGGTTGTACTCCTTCTCGGCGGCCTCCTGCAGCAGCCGCTGCCGCGCGAACACGACCGCGCGCCGGAGGTCCGCGCCCGTCTTCAGATCGAACATGTACGTGCCGTGCAGCGTCTGGCTGTGCACACCCATGACCTCCATGTCTGTGCGAACAGCCGGTCAGTCTGCGATGCGGGGATGCCAAGCACAGCACGGGTATGTACCTTCGATCTCCTCGTCGGTGTATGCGGAGACAGGCTCGACCGCCTTCGCGTCGACGACTTCCCAGGGGTCGGTGCTCCTGTTGTGGAAGAGCCTCCTCATCGGGCGGGAGACGCGGTGTCCAATCGTGCAAAACGTGGTGGGAACTTGGAGTGGGTGGACGTGGGTTGCGAGGACGCGCGCGTGTGGCTACAGGGCCCGCTGCGCGCACAAGTGGGTAGAAGTGCGAGGGTGCTGCGACGGTGGTAGAGAGTACCAGAGATGGGCTGCGAGCAGCAGAGAGGGTGCACGAGGAAGAAAGGGAGTGAGGAGTGAGGTGGGGGAGTGTGGATTGCCTCCGGAGCACGTCCGGTTAATATGGAGTACGGGCGGGCGGGCTATTACACATGGCGCCCGACGCTCGCTGCGAGTTGATAAAGCCTCGCAGGCAGCTCGCAGGCGATCGGCTGGAGCGTCCACGCAGCCCGGAAGGAGTGCGTGCATGTTTCTAGCAACCAGGCTGTGCACGCCCATCCAGCGCGACACTCCTCCTCGGCCCGTGGGCGAATTGAAACACTCGGACCGAATCACTACTCTCTGACGTGGAGGCTGCAGCCAGAGTGCACTGCGCAGTAGTTGCAGCGGCACTGATCGCGAGCGTACCGCGGTTGACTCGACACAGGCTCGTCCGACGCCGAGGGGGTCGCCCGTCCTGGTGGTAAGCTATCTAGCAGCGGTGGCTCTAACGCGGGTTTTTCAGCACGGGCCGCCGCCGACGATGATGGGTGAAAATGCAGCGCCGATAGGAGTTCCTGAAAACCGGGGCCGCAGAATCAGAGGGACTGGCGCGTCTCCAGCGGCCGCGGGAGGGGGCACCGACGCTAGCGCCGATCGAGGACGGGCGGGCGTCCGCATCCGGCAAGCCGAGAGCCGCGTTGCAATTCCGGCATGGTGGCGTTCAGTAGCCTGTACGCAATCAGGCCAAAAATCACATGCGTGGTGTGTATGGGTGTGTCGCGGAGGCCCTCGGCACCGCCGCTGCGGCTGAATTAAAGTGCCCCAACGTGCTCAGGTCCGCAGAGTCCGGAGAGGCAGCCACGTCTCCTCCTGTCTCCTCCGACATATCCAGCCAAACATTCATGTACGGAACAAGTCGTGGCAATGGCGCAGCCGACACACAAGGCTGCGTCGTTTGCTGAGTGATCGCCATTCGAGTTCGCGGCGGACAAGACCTCCGCGTCCGTTCAGCTCGGCGCTTGCCCCGGCGGTCCGACAGCGTATTCGTAACCGCGATCACGCAAGACACTTTCCGTCCTCCCGCGGGCTTTCTGGACGCATCCCGCGATAGCACCGTGAGTGGTCCACCGGTGGGTGTGGAGCTTCATTATGCTGACGAGCCTCACAGCGTTTTAGAGTTGTATGGGGCCTACAACTGCTAATTTCAATGTTCCGCTACAAGCCATGGGCCCCGTATGGCACCACGATCTTGCTTTTCTACGATTGCCCGTCAAACTGGAACGACGGTACATGGCTGTGTAACATTAGGTGTCGACTACGGGAACCTGCGCTGCAACAAATATTCCACGATGATCTTGATAATTGATCGAACCAGACACGGGGGTCCACTTACGCCCACATTGCCCTAACACTGTCAACAGCAGACTCGATGAATGTGAGTGATGCCACTGACTCCGTTTTCCCCTCCCTCCCTCTTGCCAAGTGCTCGGCTTCTGCTCTTACAGGAGCTCTATCATACTCCGGAGAACGCATCAAGCCCTGAGCCCTCATGAAGCTGCCCTCATAGGTTCCTCTACAGCACAGGCCTTCAGGTGCGCCATTAGCTTCGTCATCAGATGCCCGAGCTCGCTCCTGATCATTGCATCTTGCTGCGGTTCGTCGCTCGATGAATTTCTTACATGATCAATACCGCTCTCACCTCCGCGAAGTGCACCGGCAACACTTGATGGCTTCACGATCACACCCCGTGAACTCCTCTTGGAAGGTCCACTCTGGACTGCGCATCTGGAGACACTAGTAAGGGCTAAACACACACTACTAGTGCTGTATCACTGAGCTGTGAGATTGAAGTGAGCATATATCATGTCCATTTGAACTCATTGCTCCCGGAAACGCTGAATGCCAATGACGAGAATGAAAGTAGGCTGCTGAGTCCAGTTCAGACCGTCCTCACCGGCCCAAGTGTCGAAAGGCGACGAGTGACTTGGAGTGCGCCGCGTACGTTTAAACGTTTGGACAGCCCATCAATGGGATGGGGGAAGCAGAGGCCGCGCGTGCGAGTGCTTTTTTTGGTGAAAGGACGTCCGATATGGCTTTACCATTGATTACCCCGCGTTAATTTGTCCTCGCAGTCGAGCCTGAGGGCGGTCATAATCTTCGGGCTTCAATGCAGCTACTGTCAGTCAATAAAGTTTGACTCATGAAAGAACTCTGAGCTAAAGCTCATCAGCAGCTTGAAAGATCATCCTAACCTTCGAGCCCAGTATGGCGCTAGCGCAGCAAGTTCGACACACTTCTGGGGTTCGAAGTCTCAACGCTTCGGCGGTCATCGGTCGAGCGTATTGACCGCGCAGGGGCACCCGTGCCTTGTTCGCAATCCGTCGCAATCCGACATGCAACCAAAAAATGCAATTCGTATGTAGCATCTATCATCCAAGCGTACACGACATTCAAGGTCATCCCAGTCATGAAAAATCCGACACATACATAAGACCCCTAGTATCGTACGCGGACGAGCACCACTACTTCATACAGCTGTGCAACTGCGACTGTCTGATCATTACAACCGAACGGTTGCTTAAAGCAGAGCCGCAATGGCGGCGAGGACACCGGCAGCCCCAGAAAGGCCCATGACGTTCTTGGCGCTGGCCGCGTTCGACGTCTGCGTCGCCGACGCACTCGCGGTCGACGTCCCGGAGGACGTCGCGGTCGCGGTGGCCACGGCGGTCGACACGGGGGTCACAGCGGCGTCCGTCGCGTTCGTGCAGCTGACGCTGTCCGGGATGGTCGCGCTGTCCGAGAGGGTGAGGTCCGCGCACTATGAAACAGCATTGTGGTTAGTGCTTATTCACTGCGCCCGATGTAAATGCATACCTGGTAGAGCTGGCCATCACCGCCGTCGAAGATGAGCTGGATGGTCACGTTCGCGCCGTTCTGGGCGCCGCTGATGTTCTGTGCCGCGAGGTCGAGGGGGAAGCAGAAGCCGCCCTCGCCGGAGGTCTTGAAGAACGGCACGACGTATTGGAACGCGCCGTTCACCGTGAAGTTGTCGAAGCTGTCGGGGTTCTGCACGGTCGCGATGATGCCACCCACTATACATAGCGCATCAGCCGGAGTGTGAGAGGACTGCATGAATAGTACGCACGCGTCCACTGGGGGTGCTCAGAGTTGATCGAGATCTTCCCGCCCGTGGTCGGGAACACCGTACGGTTCGACACGGCAGTAGAGTACCCATCTGTGTTTCATGGATTTGAGAAGGGTGATTACACATCAAAAATGAGAGCACGTACCACAAAAGGTGGGCTCCTTATCCTCGACGAAGTCGCCCCGGGGAGGGGGGTACTGCAGCTGGAAATGCGCAGAGACGGCGGCCAAAAGACCAGAGAAGAATACCGCGGAAGCAAAGCGCATTTTGGGAGGTTGAGGGGAGCTGGAGGAGATGACCTGGTGTGAAGTGGGGTGAGGAGAAGGAGAAGCGAGGGGATGTGGCTTTTATGCAACTGCGAGGGGGTAGACCAGAGTTAGCAGCCACCGCCAAGCGCCGGTGAAAAAGTTCTTTCACATAGTTTGGTGCGGCCCGGGGACTGTCTCCAAGACATTGGATCGGACGTCTCCTGCCGTGGCCGGTGCCTGTGTCAACCATAATAATACGCGTCTCATGTCCGGATGACTTCCTCCTGATCCATGTGGACATCCGCGGTACGTCGGGGCCCGGGCGGGCGTCGGACGACTGCGCACTGTCGCCCGCCCTTAACTTTGAGGCACTCAAAAGTGAACAACAGCAACGCGGTAACCACGTCCAACGTGTGGGCGTAGATATTCGTGAATTGCTCGGCAGGTAGCAAGCATACATCCAAAAACCAGACTGTCCAACCAATATCGTACATGTACATCTGTCGTAGTAGGCTTCAAACTCAGTGCAACAGGTGGCTCTTGGCGCCGCCGACGCGACCGAAGAGTACCTCCCCAATGCCTGATCCCACAATGATCGATATGATGAAGGCGGCCTGGAAGGTCCTGTGGGAAGGAAAAACTTTTTCAGCACGCAACGATCAGCTGGAAGAGAATTCAGGCTCCTCACATGACTGCCAGCATCAGTGCATACGTGAGCAGCGCCTGGAAGGCGTACAGCAGGCCGCGCGGAATGTCGTGGGAGGGAATGAAAGGGGGGAGGGTGCGGCGAGACCGGCGCTGGCGAGGGGTACTGTCCTGCGACGCGAGCTCACTGATCTTCAGTTCCTCTACGGATGCAGAACCCTTCGGCTCAGCAGAAGCGGAAGGGGAGTGACAGGATGGTTCGGGATCGTTGTCCGACATCAATGCCAAGGCCCTGTCGTTGAGGTCAACGAGGATGAACGGTATTCTCGCTCCGCACCCTCACTCACCTCCGTCCCCAATAAGCCTCAGCAGCACCCCGCATACCGTTCACCCATCTTTCGAAGAATGCGAGGAGAGCCAAGCCGATGCAAGCACCGGCGATAGCCCCCTTCGACGACGGATGCCAAGTAGCGAAGAGTAGGTTATCGCCCCCCGTAAAGTGGAGCCAGGGGACCATCATATCCGCCGTCGAGGTCATGTTTAATGTCGCTGGTACGCGTAGGTGGGAATGCGAGTGTCGAAATACGGCGGTCTTGACGGGGGAGGTGAAGAGATTGCAGCTTGAAGCGCAGGCGCAGCAAGACCGAAAGCGCCAAACATGTGCAAACAGCAGAGGGAGCGCCGTCAGAAGCGCCGATAAGGCCAGGCTGGGCGCGAAGAAGCTCGAAGCCTGCGAGATTCAGCGTCAGACTGCGGCCTCGTGAGATGCACGAGACAGCTGACTTGCCTACGAAGCATCTCGCCAGAGTAGCGTACGAGGTATCGCCACGATGAGCAGGCAACGGTGGATGGAGGCTGCCGTGAATCAGGCGCGATCCCCCGAGGTCAAGATGCCTCATGGCTATCTTGAGCTCATCGGTGTTGACGTGTGCACTCACCTGTGGGCACGACAAAGGTGGGGGCTGATTCGGAGAACTACGCTCGCACGCCCCCACCGCAAACGCTATGTGGGCACACACCTCATAGAGCGACTACAACGCACACGCGGGTCCTTCGAGACAGATATCCACCTCAGTGATGTTGTCAACGGCAACGGAGAAAGAGAGTGGTAGGAAGCGAGAGAAGAAAGCTGGGGAATGAGAGGGTTGCGGGCAAGCAGCAGAGCAATCAATGACACGACAGGGGTCTCGGGCGAGCTTGGTGAGTACTACGCTCCCACTCGTCCAATAACCCCAAGAGTATAGAAGACAAGCAAGAGGGAGTATACACAGATAGACAGAAGGCCAGAGGGCGCGGAGTAAGGAGGAGAAGCAGAAGTAGAAGGGGAGCGACGGTACGGGGAGACGATGGTTGGGAGGAGAGAGACGTGCGCGGGCGATTCTCCTGAGGCAATTGTGCGCCAGCCAATCGCAAAAAGCCGCATTCTGCGTCCGTTTTGCGCAGACCCCTGGGACCCAATCATGTGACCTGCTGCTCCAGCGTCTATATCGCGCTCACGCAATTGCGTCGTGACTTCATTCCGAATTCTACGGGCGAGCAGTTATAACAACGGACGTTCGTCGCGGCGTGTGTTCTCACCTCCCTTCCAGCACCTTTCACGACCATCACCTCCCTATCTACCTCGCCCGAAGCTCCACACATGTTTCGCCTAGCTCTCGCCAGATCCGCGGGTGCTGCCCGGACTGTTTCCCATGTTAGGGCACCTATTGTCTCTCCCCGCATTGCTCTTGGACTGCGTCATGAATCCACGAAAGTCTCAGATGAGCGCAAGAAGGTGCTTCAGGCTCGGGATGCCCTCCAGGGCGATTGGGACGCGAAGGAGATCACGTATGAGGAGCTCAAGCCCAAGACGCAGCAGCCTAGCCCGGTACGTTTCCCGATGCACTCGGAACACGCCGCGTTCTCATCACAGGCATTCAGGACAAGTACTTGATCGATGTTCGGGAACCCGATGAAGTCTTGCAAGGGTCAATACCTTCTGCGGTCAACCTGCCGCTTTCCGTCATTTCCAGCGCGTTCCACCTGCCTGCCGCCGAGTTCAAGGAGAAATTTGGTTTCGAGAAGCCTCGTCTCGACCAGGAGGTCACGTTCTACTGCCGTAGCGGAAAGCGGTCGACCACGGCGTCAGACGTGGCCAAGCGGAACGGTTACACCAAGTACGTTTACGTATATCGATGCGAGGACTTGTCTAACATACGAGCAGCATTCTCAACTACAAGGGCTCATGGCTGGAGTGGACCGCGCGCGAAGGCCAGAAGCCTGCGGCCTGAATATACCAGCGCGATCGACTTGTACTACCCTGTAGACATGCTAGATGTTTCATGGAATTTTCTTTATCCTGCGAGAATGTTGTTGGCCGTGTGTATCAAGTCCCAGGGCTGCTGAACAGGTACGAAGACAGTTCGCGCGATCCTGTTCAATTATGCCGACATTGCGACCCTAACCCTAATGTAGTAATTCTGCACTCGAAGCAGAAGTTGCATCATAGCTTGTCCTCGTTCCCTCACGTCCGTACTTGACCATCGTCTCCCTGCTATTCCTTGACATACGCCTCTTCCTGCATCTATAACCCCAAGGCTTTCGTGACCATACATGAATCCCCTCAGGCAGTCTTGTCGTCTCGCTTCGCGTTCATCGCTCTTCGCACGGCACGCACCTGTGGCCGGCATCCCTCGAGCCATTCGCCTCCTCTCCCAGCAACAGCGGTCGCGGCTACCAACCCTTCACGCGGAGTGCCAACGACGACACCTAGCAACACCTCCGCCGCAGGTGAAGCACAGGTCTGACACCGGGCAACTGGTTCGTGCACTGCGGGCGCGACTGACACCTCTCGGCATCTGCGCAGTGACCTGCCGACGCACTTGTACCATCAGTATGCGGACGCCACCATGGACACGATGCTCGAGTCGCTAGAGGCCCTTCTGGACGATATGGCGGACCCCGAATGCGAGGTCGAATATAGCGTGAGTAGCCATCCGCATACAGCCGCCCCGAGCCCTGAGCCAAGACATCTGACCGCGCCCGTACCTGTGCAGAGCGGCGTCCTCACGCTGAAGCTAGGCAGCAAGGGGACATATGTTATCAACAAGCAGCCGCCGAATAAGCAGATATGGCTGTCTTCCCCATTTAGGTGCGCATCCCTGCCGTTGCTTGTCCACGAAGTACCATTGACCGAGGCTTCTTCTCTCCGTGCAGCGGACCGAAGCGGTATGACTATGCGCCGGAAGAAGACGGGTGGGTCTACGCGCGAGACGGTCGGTCGATGAACGACCTTCTCAACCAAGAACTGAGCGATGCGCTTGCCCGAGATGTGGATTTGGGTTTGACTGGTGTGTCTACGCAGGTCAGCTGAAGCCCACAGAAGCCCTGCGATCTGTCACGCCGTGCACGTTCGGATGCGAAATGCGGTTCAATCGTCATGTTCTAGTTCTTGGGGCATCGCCTTGCACGTCGCGACGTTTGCCTATCTAGTACCGTATCTATGTATACAAGGTTCACGAGTCGATGGAGTGCTCGGTGGATGTAATGAATGCGATGCCAAACATAAAAACGTGATAATGCATGGGGTTGATATACAGGAGATGAACGTAATGCTAGCGAAAACAGTGTTCGACGATAGATGCGATGCCAAAGACGTAAGGTAATGGGCGGGAGATTGTAGCGTGACCGAACGAGCGACACAGAGCATACAGGGCGACGATGAGGGAAGCAAGGGTAAAGGGTGTAAAGGGCTCGCCAACGATAGGGGAAGGGCACTGCGGACGCATTAGGTTTGGTCCGGGAAATTTGGGTTATCAAACTGTCTCCGGCGGTGGAGGAAGACAGATCCGAGCAACCTATCATAGTGAAGATTGTCAACGCGGGAAGCATTGTCATGAATAGAGCAGACATACCTGTTTGCATCCTCGTATCGTTGCGTTACACGCTGGACCTCGACGTAATCCACTACATCCGCATCCTTGGTTGGAATAGATATCGTAAACGACGGCGTGTGCTTGTGAATATCATGATGCGCGGAAATCTGCGAGTCGTCGTGTGATAGCGCAGGTGCGGTCTTGTCCGGGGCAGCGAAGTGGTGGCGGTAGGGATGCTCGGGATGGATATGTTGATGCGGCGAGGACAGATGGAAGTCGGGAGAGGTGGAAGTGAAGAGTATACGATGCCTCTGTTCTGCATGGAGGTCATGAAGAAGCGTGTTGACGTTTCTGTATTCCCCCGCCTGCTCCATGCGTTGCGCTTGCTCTGAAGATTCCGCTTGATCGGCAGGATGCTCGTCGCCCTCTACATCCTCCTCGCCGTCTGTGTCGTCCCTACCCCACGAGCTGTTTCCATGGGTGGCAGCCCTAGCTCGTAGTGGCGCGATTTGTCGTCTCCGTTTAGCCACCCTCTCGAAGGCATCGATTGCAGGCTCCGGTGTGGCCGCGTAAGGCGTGTCCGGTACGAACGACGGCGAAGACCTCTGACGCTTCAGCATCGCGATGGGGTTGTTCTGGGAGGGCAAATGACGGTGTGTTAATGGATAGGGAGGCTCCCCGGGCAACGAGTGGTCGTTGGCCACAGCGAGGGCTGGTGGCTGTTGGATGGAGGAACCAGGGCGCCTCAAACGCGCACAAATATGAGCGCGTCTCGGCAAGTCGCGACACACGTAAGCGTGTAAGCGCCCGTTCTACTTGCGCCAAGCTTGCGCGCCAGGTTCAGAACTCCACATTCGCCGCAATCAGCCTCAGTTCCAGCAACTCTCTCGCTTTTGTTGTACACTCATACCCGGCAGTCGCCCTAGCTATATCTACCTTTGCTACACTACCCAAGATATCTTGCAAACATGTCGGACATGGACGTGTTTGCGGCAATGGGCATAGGCGGGTTTGGCAAGAAGACCAAGCAACGCCAACTGGACCCTAAGAGGTTCGAGAAGAACAAGCGAAGTGACATGGTACGCGGTAGCCAGACATTTGTACATGGGAAAGAGCTCATAGACAACCGCAGCTTCCATCTTCCTCGGCACCAGTCATAAAGGCAGAGGACGGTGCACCTCCCTTGGCTACCTCCTCCGTGCTTGCGGGGCCAAACTCGGAGGAACAGGACTCCGACTCTGAACCTGGCCCTGCTCCGCCGCCGCCTCAGACCAAGGATGGCAACGAGGAGGAGGAGCCCGAGTTCGACATGTCGGACGACGACCTCGACCAGCCACATTTCCCCATCTCGCACGAGCTTATCCTCAAGGACCACACCAAGGTCGTGTCTGCGTTGACGATGGATCCGTCCGGTGCGCGGGTGCTGTCTGGCTCGCATGACTACGATTGCAAGCTGTGGGACTTCGGTGGAATGGACTGGAGGTGTAAGCCATTCAAGACTTGGGAACCTGCCGGCTCTTACTATGTGCGCCCCCCTCTCTAGCTCGTATCAGGTGCTGTCGGCTTAACGTGAGGTCCCGCATAGGTACATGATCTGAAGTTCTCGAATGACGGCCGACAATTCCTCGCAATCTCGGGCACGACGCAAGCGAAGATGTACGACCGTGATGGAGAGGAGCTGTGCGTACAACCTTGCTTGTCTGTGAACGGGCAGTCTGACCTGACTGGCAGGGGCACCTATGTCAAGGGCGATCCCTATATCCGTGACATGAAGAATACGTCGTACGTGACCCTCTTCTCCCCCACTGCATGCGTGCGTCTGACCCACGGTCATGTGCGCAGCGGCCACGTCGCCGAGCTCACGGCCTGTGCGTGGCATCCGAGGGACCCGCAAACATTCATCACCAGCTCGCTTGACTCAACAATCCGGTTCGTCCCAGGCCCTGTCTCCATATCCCGCGCCGCCCATTGACGTAAAACGCAGCATCTGGGATGTCGAGGACAAGCGGAAACAGAAGACAGTGATTGTTGTCAAATCGAAGGAGCGCGGTGCGCGCACAAAAGTGCATGCATGCGCGTATTCTCCCGACGGCGGCTTGATTGGCGGTGGTACGTGCCCTGTGTGCGCCGCTATGAGACACCACTAATCGCTCCCGTGCAGCGTGCATGGATGGGGCCCTGCATATGTGGCAAACGAAGTCCAACTTTGTGCGACCGAGCCTGAGCATCGAGGGCGCCCATACGAAGGGTACGGAGACGGGCTCGGTGGTATTCTCAGTTGACGGGCGGACTGTGCTCACTCGCGGTGGCGACGACACGGTGAAGCGTGAGTCATCCGACATGCTTGATGGGTGCTGGGATTGACGTCAGGTTTAGTGTGGGACCTGCGCTCGTTCAAGAAACCACTGGTCACTCGCACGGGCCTGGCAACGCTATATCCGCAGACAAATGCCATCTTCAGTCCCGATAACAAGTATGTCGTCACAGGGGCAGGCGCGACCTCGAAGGGGGCCAGAGGTCATCTGCTGTTCATGCAGAAGGACACGCTCGAGACCGTCAAGGACCTCGAGGTTGAATCGACACCAGTGAAAGTGTATTGGCATTCGAAGATCAACCAGGTGTGTGAGTCTGAGGTGATGATTTGGCGATGTTATCTCATCGCAATACAGGTCCTCACAGGTCTATCCAACGGCCAAATATGCGTGCTGTACTCGCCCGATATGTCCGCCAACGGTGCGAAGTTGCTCCTCAACAAGGGTCCTCCAAGGAAAGCGACCGTGGAAGACATGTCGGACGCTGTGTCTGCTCCCACTATCATTACGCCGCATGCTCTGCCCATGTTCCGGGACAGCGAAATCGGTCGCAGCACGAAGCGCAAGAGGGAGAAGGAGCGGATGGATCCTCAGAAGAGTCGTCGGCCAGAACTTCCCGTCACTGGCCCTGGGCGAGGTGGACGAGTGGGTGCGAGTGCAACGCAACACGTTGTTCAGAATTTGGTCAGGGACACGACCCGAGACGAGGATGTGAGTTCTTTTCTCGCAGAGTTTTTGACTCGCCTTCCTCCGCGCCTTTCCGGACATCACCTTCTTCCGTATCTGACATCAGCTATCCTCCATCTATCCATCCGATATCGTTGTGAGCGGGTGGAGGAGATGCCCTGGACACTCAGGACACTCTTCGCGCGCCGCCAGCGCACTATCTGCTCGCTGAGCGAGAGAGCGGGCGCAGGCTGGTTTTTTTCCGCTGGGGTGCAGAGTCCAATCAGAGGGGTCCGTGGATTGCCGGTTGTGACACGCCCACCGCGCGTTGCCATCCGGAAGAGCTCCGGGGTCCTGGTCTGGCCCAGTCTCCGAGTCCTCGTTGACCTTCCCATCTTCCTCCCCGTCCACGACCACCGCTTGTCTCAAGCTCATCTCTTGTTTCGGACGTGCTAACTGTTTTTGCCACCTAGCCGCGCGAAGCCCTGCTCAAGCTGGCTGCAAGTGCCGACGAGAATCCAGTTTGGACCGCGGGTGAGTCGACAAATTTTCAACGCTGATGGAGCCAGACTCTGATTGGTGTTGTTTGTGTCCGGCTGTGATTTGCTGACGTGTGAACCTTATTTTCGAACTCAGCTTGGCGCGCAAACCAGCCAAAGCCCGTGTTTGCGCTCGCGGAGGAGGAGCAGGAGGGCGAGGAAAAGCGGTAGATAGATGCTGTGGATATGTGCGCGAACGAAAGAGACAGAAAGGAGAGCAAGGGAGGGCCGGGCGGAGACGAAAACGGGATAGGGAGGAAATTGAGGACGCGGGAGATCGAACCTTATTTCGTTGCGCGTATAAAGACTCTAGCCCAACTTCGGATCTCCTGTCCCCCCAAATCTCACCTGCTCCCTTTGCCCTCTGTCACCCCTCCGTGACTGTCACGCGCCGCCTTGGCCGGAAACGATGACCGACGCGCTCTCCGCAACAACACTCAATGGCGCCCTCCCCGACCCTGTCTCTGCCCCGGACTCGCCTGCCGTAGACTCTGTGGCCACGCCCATCAACAACTCCCTCGTGTCCGACATCAAGATCGACGTCGACTTCACTGAGCAGGAGAGTGACGCGCGACACGAACCTCCCGCGCTCCCCAAGGCGGAGCAGCTGGAGGACGCGTCCGTCGTCCCCCAGGTCAGCACGCCTGTAGACCCTGGTGAGTACCTTGCCATTGTCGACGCGTCTTTGTCGCCTTACGCGTCGGCGCATAAGACTCCATCCCGATCGCGCCTCCACACGGCACACCTCCGCCACCGCCCGGTGAGCTGTTGGAGGACGTGAAGATGGCCGAAGAAAACGCGTCTGCGAAAGGCGCAGACGTGGAGATGTCGGATGCGAGTGGCCAGACGAACGGTCTCCCTAACGGACAAACTCCATACGCTAATTCTGTCAATGCTAATAACGATGACAATGATGATGATAAACCCCCGCCCGCTAAGAGAGCTAGGAAATACTCGGATGCGGAGAGAGCGTCGCTCGCAAACGTAAGCACATATTTCCCCCCTGTGCGCCGCTATGGGGCGTGCTAATCTGCCTTCTTCGCATCTCGTTCTGAAGACTGCCACTCCACCTCCAGCATCCGTGTCCCCTCCCGCGACTATCACGCCTCTTCCATCGACTTCTCCGCCTACTCTCACCCCGGCTCAATGGCGCTTCTGTCTGTCGACCGTACGCACGCTCAAGCGGATGAAGGACTCTGGCCCCTTCCTCAACCCCGTCGACCCTGTCGCGTTGGGCATTCCCCATTACCCGACCATCATCAAGCACCCCATGGATTTCTCCTCCATCGAGCGCAAGCTTACGACTTCTAATCCCGCGAAGCCTGATCCCAACCCTGCTAACCCTCGGTACGGCTCGGTCGACGATATCGTCGCGGACATTCGCCTCATCTTTGCGAACTGCCTCACATTCAACGGTCCAGACCATCCTGTGACGCAAATGGGCAAGCGCGTTGAGGCTGTCTTCGACAAGCAGGTGAAGCAAATGCCCCCGCCCGAGGAGGTAAGCTTCAATAAATCTATTGAAGAAATTCTGGCTGATTTTGGCCAGCCCAAACCTCCTGCACCGAAGAAGATCGCGACCCCTCCTCCTCCCCCTCCGCCTGCGCCTCCGAAGAAAGCTGCCCGTCGTCCTTCTAACCCCGTACCCGTCATCAGGCGGAACGATGAGGCCGCGGGCGTCAGTCGGCCGAAGCGCGAGATCCACCCTCCAGCCCCGAAGGATCTTCCGTACGCTGAGGCAACACGGAAACCACGGAAAGCGAAGGCTCCTAGGGATGCGGCCACTGCGGAGCAGCTGAAGTTCTGTGAGAAGCTCTGGAAGGATCTTCACCAGAAGCAGCATTATACCATCGCGCATCCCTTCTACGAGCCAGTCGGTATGTGTTCTGTACTTCCATAGCGCGTCGCGGCTTTCCTGACATCCCCCCTACAGACCCGGTGAAGATGGGGATCCCTGAGTATCCCAAGGTCGTCAAGAAACCCATGGATCTGGCGACGATGAAGAAGAAGCTGGACGCCGGCGAGTACAGCACGGCTGAGAAGTTCCGCGAGGACTTCAGGTTGATGGTCAAGAACTGCATGACCTTCAATCCTCCCGGCAATCCTGTCCACGAGGCAGGGAAGGCTCTTCAAGTCCTCTTCGAAGAGAAGTGGAAGAACCTGCCTTCCCCGCGTCCATACGAGGACAGCGATGACGAGGAGGAGGAGGAGGAAGGGTCCGAGGACGAGCGTGCTCGTAAGTGCTTCGTGTTCTAAAGTTGCCCTCTTAACGGTGCTGAGTGTAGCACGCCAACTCCAAGGTATGATTGCGGACATGGAGACGCAAATCGAGAATATGAAGAACCACCTCGCCTCGCTGAAACGACCGGCTAAGGAGAAGAAGGAGAAGAAGAAGGAGAAGCCGCCCAAGCCCACTCCTCCTGTAGCGTCGACGTCGAAACCCACACCGAAACAGACGAAAGCGCCTCCTGCCCCCAAGGGCAAGAAGACGAAGAAGCCTGTTACCGACGACGATGTCCTCACTTTCGAGCAAAAGAAGGACCTCAGCGACACGATCAGTAAGCTCGACGGCGCGAAACTCGAGAGGGTCATCCAGATCATCCACGAGGGCGTGCCAGAGATTCGTGACGTGAGTCTTGCTTTGTGTCCAACCCCGCTGGAGCCAGTGATTGACATCCTCAGCAGAGTACGGAAGAGATCGAGCTCGAGATCGACCAGCTTCCAGCAGCTGTACTGACGAAGCTCTACAACTTCGTCATCCGACCACTCAAGCCCCCAGTCAAGCGACCACGCACTGGCAAGGGCACGGGTACTGGCGGGCTGAAGCGGAAGAGCATGGACGAGGACGTCGAGACGAAGAAGATCCGCGCGCTGGAGGAGAAGCTGAAGTCCTTCGAGCAGGGTGGGCGGGCGTCTGGAGGAGGCGCGAACGGCGCGGGGCCAGCAGAGGAGAGCGAGCATTCCTCCGCGGAGTCGAGCTCGGACGAGAGTTCAGCGAGCGATTCAGAGTGAACTTTCACGCATGCCTTCCTTTGTCGTTCTTCGGACTCCCAGATATACTCTCGCCGTAATATTCTCAGCCTGCATGCGTCCACCTCTGCTCGGTGACATCTTCCTTGGGTTGTACTCCGCGTCGTTCTCTCCGTCAAGTTATACACTTCGTCATCATCAGCGTACATATTAAAATTACAGAACCCGACCATGTAGCTAGTTAGTACTATACGTTCATATTCCACTTTCTTGTAACTCATCCTTCACACCTCGAAATGCACGATGTGAGCATTACCGACGGCGACCAGGCGCGCCTGCACGGAAGTTCTGCCATCCAGATCGCGACGCCTCTTTGGTGGGGCCTGCGGCGGGCTTGGGTGGTGGAGGGAGCCTCGATGTCTGAGGAGCGGAGGGCGGGAGCGCGCCGAAAGGTGGCACCGGGGGTGGATGTGCGGCCGTAGGGGGTATTGATGACCACCCTCCTGCGCTGGGAGGCACGCTTGCTGGCCCCCAGCCTCCTCGAGTCTCGCGCGGGACTGGCGGGGGCGGCCCTGGGGCATGTATCATGGAAGGTGGCGGAGCGTTGTGCGGCAGTGCGGGTGGGGGAGGTGGTGGGACGGAGCCGCCCGTCTCAAGAGAGGTCCATCCCGCAGTCCGGAACGCAGGTGCAGTTCTGTAGTCGTTCCTGGAAGGAACTCCGGATGTCGCTGTAGGTGGCGAGGGAGGCGCTGCACTCGGGGGAGCCGGTGGACCCGACGGTGGCGCAGGTGTATCCGCGTTCGCCCATCCACCTCGGGTGCTCGTACTCCCGGAGGATTGGTGCGTGTCCCCTACCGTGGCCCACCCTGACCGCTTGGGAGGCTCCGCAGGTTGTACTGCCGCAGCAGAGCTGCCAAGCGTTGCCCACCCGCTCTTCGCAGGCCCGCCGGGCACAGAGGACGGCTCGCCGGCCGGCGCGAGCGCAACGGGCGGCTTCGCCATCTTCACGCCTGCGGCCTTTGCGATCTTGCGGAGCTCCTTCTCCTCGCGCTTGCGCTCCTTCTCTTTGCGCTTGTCGACCTCCTCCTTCGTGTTGCGGCTTGCGCGCTGCGTGGCCTGCATGTCGCGGAAGCGCACCTTGTGGTGGTGTGCGTACGAGTTCGTGTGCTCGTCGTACTGCGCGACATTCTGGAACTGCTTCTCGCACACTTCGCAGTAGAAGGGCCGGAGCACGCTCGAGAGCTCGGACTGCACCGCAACGCGGCGCGCGACGGCTTCCTGGGAACGGGTGTGCGTCAGTATTCTGCGCCGCCGGGGCAGGGCTGTATGGGACGTACTTCGCGTTGTTTGCGCTGTTCCTCGGTTTCCTTGATTTGTTGCTCAGAGTCCAGTTTGCGGCGCTGAGAGACCGTCGTCTCGACTGGGGGACGTTTGTTAGGCCCGGACTCCGGCCCATTTACAAGAACTTACTCATGCGGACATCTTGGTTGGCCTTTCCCAGCCCAGTAAGGTCGTTCTTGACATAGAATGGCACCGGGTCGACACGGCCTTTGTTGCGCGTAAGGGAACACTTCGCATCGGCTGTGAACAATAAACATACCGTCTCCTGAGAGCCCGAGTGGCGACCCTTCAACCCAGCCCATCTTCGCGAGCATCGAGAAGCCCACATTGGTGCTCTTGATCTTCGTTTCGACGGTGATGACCTCGCGCTCGGGCTTGCGGGAGTAGTACTCGTCATATTTATCTATATCCATGACATCGGGGGGCGGAGGGGAGGGAGAGCGGGAGACCAAGGAGACATCGTCCTCGCTTTCGTCCTCGTCTCCGTCTCCGTCTCCGTCCGGCCGAGTACGCTGGGTAGTATGGGGGAGGGAGAAGAAGCATGCAGGGTGTATTCGAGGTTCGGAGAATGCGCAACGAGTACCTTCAACGATGGCTGGGCAGCCTCGTTAGGATCTGGGCGGTTGAGGGGTATGGCGTTCCAGCGCGCAACGGCGTCTGAGGACATGTTGAGAGCAATCTGAGACAGCAATGAGCAGGACAGCGACGAGAGAGACCAAGCAATGAGCAGAGATAGAGTATGGAGACAACGGAGGGGTCGAAGTCGTCCCTTGGAAGCACGGCAGACAGCCAGGCCCACAGGCCAGTGGCACGAGCTGCAGGGATGCCGTAGGAATATTTAGCGAATTAGTAAAACAAACATTAAATATTTCCCGTCTCAATCTACAGCGTCGGACCGGTCATGTGACCAAGACGCGGTGAATTCGCGCGTCGCGTCTTGAGCGCGCTCGCCACAACTTGCCTCCTCCCTCCTCCTTCCCGCCGCCATAGCGTCTTTTCCCTCCATCAACGATGAGCGACGACGACTACTTTGACGATGAGCTGGACTCAGCATTCATCAACGAGGTTGAGGCCATAGAAGCTGCCCATATACCTCCGTCCGCACCAGCTGCGGCAAGTCGCCCAGCCACTGCGAATTCGGTCCCCACCTCCAAGTTCAAATCCGCCCAGCCTCCTATGCGTCTTCCTCCTCATAAACCGGTTACACACATCTCTTCATCTGCCTCAAGGCCTGCTGCTGTGGCCAAGGCTTCCTCTCCTCGTCGCGCGTCTGCATCACATATCATCGAGCTCGACGACTCCAGTGACTACGGCGATGCTTTCGACGACGTGATCGTGGACGATGCGGCACTAGCTCAGTTCGACGCGATATGTCAGCGAGAGCTTGACATTCAACACGGTAGACTCCAGCCACCCGCTAATCCAGTCCCAGGGCCGTCCAGGGCAAATGGGCTCGTTCGAAGGCCCTCCAAGGGCGCCCAGTTGACTCTCTTCGGGGACGTCGCAAACGACGTCGAACCCGCGAAACCAGCAGCTCCACCTCCAAGACAATTTCAGCGCACCCGCTCGAGACAGATGCCCCTTGCAGGGCAGGCGAAGAAGACGAAGCAGTGGGATCGTACGGCCTATGCGAAGACTGGCTGGAGAAAGCCCAAGGCAATCCCAGACAAGGGGAAGGGTCGAGCCTCAGATGATGAAGCAGAGGAAGAAGCCATGGAATTCGAACAATTCCCTGCCCCCGAGGTTCCCGTTGGGTGAGTGCCCTGAAACTACCTGTACGTGTTAAATATTCACCGTTTCTTCTATACGCGCTCTTAGACCGGTATGTATATGGTGCTTGCAACGCGGACTTTATAGTGACACATCGCGCCCAGACTCCCACTATGAAACTGTCTGCGGACAGACTAGCGGCGAAGACGTGGATATATCCGCTCAACAAGCCAAAACGAGATTACCAGTACAATATCGTCAAGAAATGCCTCTACGAGAATACACTCGTCGCCCTTCCTACGGGCCTGGGAAAGACCTTCATTGCTGGAGTGGTGATGCTAAACTGTACGCCAACAGTCTCTAGTTACCTGGTCACAGCTGACACTACGCCAGATTATAATTGGTTCCCTCAGGGAAAGGTCGTCTTCGTTGCCCCCACGAAGCCACTTGTAGCGCAACAGATAGATGCCTGCCACAAGACCTGCGGAATCCCAGGTAGTGCCGCCGCTGAGCTCACGGGCAACGTGACCAAGGATAGGCGCATCGCAGCAGTAAGTTCTTGTTTGTTATGTATGCGCATGCTTGACTGTGCTTTAGTGGAGGGACAAACGCGTTTTCTACGCCACGCCTCAAACGTTCTTGAACGACCTTATCAATCATCATGTCGACGCACTAGACATAGTGCTCATAGTTGTTGGTATGTTTTTATAGTAGCAAGTACTTCGTGCACGTCTCAGTAATCAACTTCATAGATGAGGCCCACAGAGGAACAGGGGACTACGCTTATGCGCAAGTCGTGCGATACATGATGCAACACAATCCTCATTTCCGCATCATGGCGCTCACCGCAACCCCCGGAAGCAAGCCCGAAGCTGTTCAGGAAATTGTGGATGCATTACATATCAGCCACATCGAAATCCGCAACGAATCCGATTCCGACCTCAAGAAGTACCTCCACACGAAACACGAGACGGAACACCACGTCCACATGACAGAAGACATTGTCCTGATTCGGGATGCATTAGCCTCCCTCATGACAGTCAGTGCTCTTCAGTAGCGACGCAGAACCACATCTAACGAATGTCTTCAGCCCCTCATCAAGAAGGTGCAGGCTGCCGGATTCCTCAAGAATGGCAACACTGCTCCAAGCATGTTGCACCCCTTCCGGTGTCAATCTACGGTCGGTGAGATGGCCAAGTCGCGAGCCCCGCAATACGCCATCGGCGCTGCCGCGCAACTTGGCCCTTTGGCGCGAGCAATGGGCTACTTGGTGAGTACTGCGTATGAGGTGAATGGACACTTGACTAACTCACGCGCACAGATGGAGAACAGCATCGCGATGTGCTACGGCTACCTGAAGGATATCGCTACCGGCGGCGGTGCCGATGACAGTTCCTCGAAGAAGGCTATTCGCAAGATGGAGGGCTTCGCGAACCTCATGAAGGAGCTCGAAAAACAGGCCTCGCGGGGGTTCTCGATGCACCCCAAGATGGACACGCTCCGCACGCTGCTCATCGACCACTTCGGAAAGGAACTGCCTGATCCTGCGGACGCATCAGGCGTGTGCAAGTCGCGCGCTATGGTGTTTGTTTCCTTCCGGGAGTGCGTGGAGGAGATCGTGGAGTTGCTCAACAAGGAGTCGCCCATCATCAGAGCGAAGGCATTCATCGGTCAGGGTACCGATAAGCAAGGGAAGAAGGGTTATGCGCAGAAGGAACAGTTGGAGGTGAGTGGTCTGCTCTGGAGTTACGTTGCTGTATATATGCCGACATGCGGACACTCTGTAGGTCATCGAACAATTCAAGGCCGGCAAGTACAATCTTCTAGTCTCCACTTCGATCGGGGAAGAAGGATTGGACATCGGCGAGGTAGACGTGATCGTCTGTTACGACGCGCAGAAGACCCCGATCCGCATGGTGAGCTTCGTCTGTCTCTCCGCAGAGTCTTCATGATGTGAACGCCGCTTTATAGCTTCAGCGTATCGGACGGACAGGTCGCAAGGCCGCCGGCGCGGTGCACATCCTGCTTGCCCAAGGCCGCGAAGAACACAATTGGCAGAAGGCGCAGTCGAACTACCAAGACGTCCAGCACTTCATCGTGCGCGCTTCCGACCTCGAGGTGTACGGCGATGTCGACCGCCTCGTACCCGACGACATCGATCCCGAGCCCGTCGAGATGGAGATGGATATCGAGGAGTACGTGCGCGAGGAGCGCCCCTCGCGCAAGGGCTCAATGATGAACGGAGACTCTCCCAAGGCTAAGAAGCGCAAGCGCGACGCGGACCCGCTGCGGAACGTTCCCGCTGCGGCGGCGAAGGGTTTTGTAAGCGTCAAGGAGCTCTTGGTCAAGGCTGGCGGCGGGAAGCGGGCGAAGAAGCTGCAGTTCAACCTCGACCATGCGGACGAAGACGACTCAACGGACGAAGAGATCGAAGCGGACGTGATCGCGGCACTCCGGAGAGCTAAATCGGCCTCGGCAGTGCCCGAGTCTAGTAAAGGCACGGGCAAGGGCAAGAAGGCGTTGGCTCGGAGCGCGACTACGGCTGGGCCAAGCAAGAAGAAAGCCACTACGGGGACGAAGAAGAAAGCCACGAAAGCTGCCGCCCAAGCGACCCTGACACAACTGGACCTTGCATCGAGCGACGACTCTGACGACCGGGAGATAGAGCTTGGACTGGCAGCGTCGAAGAAGGCCTCGAGCTCCTCGGACGGTCGTAAGGCGACTGCCACGAAGGCGCCTGCGGCGAAGTCGCGTATCGCACGAGCGAGCACGAAGCAAGCCAGACGGTCTAGCTCCCCAGACATACCGCTCGACAGATCCATCATCGACATCACTACACCTGATGGGCCCACGAGTCGTACAGACGCTGCGATGCTGTTTTCGTCCCCCGAGCGTCCAATTCGGGCGAAGCGGCCGGTAGCCAGGAGCCCTTCAAGAGACTCTTCACCCGATCGGCCTTTGCAGTCAACGTCGAGGAGCACGAGCGCTCGTAGCCGCAGCCAAGGGCTATCCCAGCCTGATGGGAGGTTCTCACACCCACCAGCGCGTTCTACGTCGCCCTCGTCCCGCAGTGCCTCAGCTGAGAAGCAGGAGGGTGACATCCAGCGAGAGAAGGGCCCGGGGAACGATAGCATGGCATGGCTAATCGAAGACGACGACGAGCCGGATCTTGTACTCACCCCCTCCTCCCCTGCCGAGGCTCGTAGGAGGGCAGAGAGCCTCGCACTATCGGACGACGAACCTCTCTTCTTGGACTCTTCTCCCCCTCGCAAATCCTCACCGTTCAACTTCTCCGACGAGCCAGAGTTTCTTGACTCTCCCGTACCGTCTCAGCCGCCACATAACAAGCTGAGACCCTCCCACAGGACCGCTATGGGCCCTCCTGCGCTGCCCGCCCATGTACGGGCGGACCCTTCTCCGCCGCGCTCGGATGATCTGCCGCCAGAGCCAACCTTTGCAGTCCGTGCCCCCGGCAAGCTCCCGCGCAAGCGCGTCGCGGACGAAGCCCTCGACCTCGGGTCCTCCCCGCTCGCCATGCCCCCACCCTCCCAACGCCGCCTCCAACGCGAGCGCCCTCGCTCCCCCTCGCCCCCACCAGCGGCCCCGCCCAAGAAGAAGAAACGCAAATTCGCCGACGCGATGGAAGCTGCCCGGCACAACCCGTGGATCGACGTCGAGGCGACACACTCGGGCGACGAGCTCAGCGTGGGCTCGTCGGAGCCGGACCACGCGCTGGACGGCGACAGCGACGACCGCATGTTCGTCGACGAGCCCGGGCAGACGCAGGTCTCGCCGTCGTACGACCAGGCGGCGGTGTACCGCCGGAGCCTAATGACGCAGGCCCCGGGCCGCAGTGGGGCGGGCCCGCTGTTCGCAAATGGGCCGGTGCGGAGGGGGCGCGCGGCGTTTGGGCCGAGCAGGGCGGGGCCGTCGCGGTATGCGCGGGCGGTGACGAGCTCGCCGGTGGCCGAGGACGAGGGGCCGGATGAGTATGTGTTTGATAGCTTTGTGGTGGAGGACGACGAGGAGCTCGTGGACGCGGGCGAGCCGTCCAGCGATATCTGACTGTTTGGATTGGGTGCGAAATGGTAGTGAATGGTGAAGTCAATGTTGTAGATTATACGTATTGTTTACAGTAGGAATAATACCTCGCTGTGGAATGTATTCGAACATCACCAAGTAGGATCACTGGATGTATCGAAACGTCATGACGTCTTCTCTACTTCAGTTTGACTTCAGTGCCACCGAAGGGAATATAGCTAGACTAAAACATACTGAGCATTTGCATGCCATGTCCTGATTGAACATTAATGCCACGCTTGTTAGTTTTTGGATTCGAGCGAGCGAGCGCCTGCTCGCCGGCGCTTGCCGAAGCGTTCAGTAGCACGCCCGGGTCCCGTTTTGTACGCCATCTGTTTGCCTCTGTACCACGACGCTACCGTACAGGATACCCAGAATACCTCGTTTTCCACTGTCGACAGCCTGCATTCTCGATTGCTCCAACGCTCCATCCCACAACGTTCCTAGAGAGTTGCCTTTTCGAGGGCGCCGTTGTGGCGCAGTTCCGTAAGAAATTAAGTTACGCGTGTTCTCCACCACGCCCCTTCCGAGCGTCTTGGCTCGCACAAGTCGACGGGTATGTTCGTCCGGGGCCTGCAAGCTCCTCTGAAGGCTACTCGTTCGAGCCAGAGATGGTTCGCGTCGTGCACTCCGCCACGGCATGAGAACCCACTGGTGAATACAGCGGAGACACATGTCATCATATGCACTGACTGACTGCTGCTGCAGGGGCTTCCAAGACGGCCAGGCCCTCCGCCCACGATGCCGCGCAGAGGCGGCCCAATCCAGAAACGATCCTTGCCCCACGTCACGAAAGTGCTCGCCGTCGCCAGCGGAAAGGGCGGCGTGGGCAAGAGTACCGTCGCAGGTCAGCGGAGGCTGCCCGATACTTCCGCACACACGAGCTAACATTGTCATGATGCGTTACCGTTACAGTGAACCTAGCGTTCTCGCTAGCGATGCATGCTGAGCACGCACCGCGACAGCGTCCCCGTGTCGGCATCCTCGACCTCGACATCTTCGGGCCCTCCATCCCAAAGCTTATGGCTCTCGAGAACGTAGAGGAACCCCAGCTGACCGACGGTACGCCACCAACTCCGTGCTGTCGATGAGCCACTGGTTCAATCGTGCTAACTACCTCATCTGGCAGCTGGGGCCATTGTGCCCATAGTGAACCACGGGCTCCCGTGCATGTCCATGGGCTTCCTGCTGCCCAAAGCGCCAGGCACGGACTCGTCCGCGGACACGGCCGTCGTGTGGCGCGGGCTCATGGTCCAGAAGGCCGTGCAGCAGCTCCTCTTCGACGTCGACTGGCGCGACCCCGACGGCGGTGCGGGCCTCGACGTCCTTGTCATCGACATGCCGCCTGGCACGGGCGACGTGCCCCTCACGCTCGGGCAGCTCGTGAACGTCGACGGTAAGCGGCATACGCATGGCGCTCACTGACACGAGCATATGCTGAGCGACATCTTGTCTAGGTGCAGTCATCGTCTCGACGCCGCAAGACGTCGCGCTCACCGACGTCAGGAAGGGCGTGTCCATGTTCCAGAAGATAGCCGTGCCTGTGCGTCTCCGTTCCACCCGACCTCATGCCTCTGTGCCTCTAACTGAACGCACACATCGATACATCTCAGATCGTCGGCCTCCTGCTGAACGAGTCGCACTTCATCTGCCCCTCGTGCACAACCCCGCACGAGCTCTTCGGGCCCCCGGCCGCGTTCCGCGCCACGGCGGCGCGCTTCGGGGTGGACGTCCTCGGCGAGCTGCCGCTTGTCCCTGGGGTGAGCCGTGGGGGAGACCGTGGCGTGCCCTACGCGCTGCACAGCGCGAATGGGGTGGATCGGACGACCGATCCAGGCGGCAAGGAGTGGAGGGAGACGATGGCTGGTGTCGCTGGGCAAGTGTGGCAGTTCTTGTCAAAGTAGACTGATCCAGTCTTCGGGTACATCCCTCAGCGAAGTATTATTCATACTCTGGGACGACCCGGACGAGTCGCGTCGCGCGTAGTCGCGCGTTCGAACGTTCGCGGTCCCAACGTTTCTGAGGAGACATGTATAGCGCGTTTGTACCAGCGTTAATTCGAATGGCTTGTACGCGTCTCTGCTCTGGGCTGCTCACCTGTGCCATATACGAAAAAATATTCCATATCTGGCAAAACTCGAGGATTTCGAGAATCGAAACTGCATAGAAGAACACGCGTAACTGAATTTCTTACGAAACTGCACCACAACGGCGTGGTGCTCGCTCAGACGCGCACGATATGCCCTCGAAAAGGCAACTCTCTAGGAACGTCGTGGGATGGACTCGGAGCGTGGCATTGTTCACTCAGGACATGGCGTACAAATGCTCAGTATGTTTTAGTATAACTATATTCCCTTCGGTGGTACTGAAGTCAACTGAAGCAGAGAAGATGTCATCGCGTTTTGATACATCCTGTGATCCTAGTTCATGATGTTGTTGCCCATCTGTGGCAATAATTGGCCGCTGTGTAGCACTCGGCGATGAGCGGCTTGCATGCATCTCTTCGTATGTTTTTGTTTGAGTCTGCATATCTATCACTAGTCGCACGCAGCGCATGCCGAGCAATCCGGCAATGCGCCGTTGTGCCGCACCAAAGGCAAGCGGCGCCACGCCCAGAAGACTCGCTGAATGCGAACTCGTTGTGATGCGACTACAACCGCCGCGATGGCTTCGAGAAGGCCGCACAATTTTCGAGGGCGCGTTCGTGACGTCCCACGCGAGGAATAGGCACACGCGAGCCTTGCCCCTCGTATACGCGCTGCAGAGTCGAGCAGGAGGATGGGGATGGAGTGTTGCCAAGGGGATGATGGAGTAGCGGCGGATGGCTGCGGCCCTGCAGTATTGGAGGAGAAGGGAGATCGCACGAATCAGAGGCGGGCTCGGATAGCCTGCCAAGTGATGATCGCTTAGGCGCCCATCTCAAAGGGCGGCCAACGGTGCGCGACGCCCTCCAGCTTCCCATCTTCTCTCCCTCCTCCTCCCTCGACGCTCCCAGCGACGCCCCCGACGACCTCAGCGGCTGCCCCTCCACGCTTCGTCCTTCGTTAGCAGTACCTCCCGGACACACTCGTTACCTTCACTATTCTACCAGAAGCCATGTTCGCCCGCTCAGTCGTCGCAGCTTTCGTTGCCGCCCCCCTTCTCGCCCAGGGTGCGTACATTCTACCGCTGGTGGGTGTATCTGGATAGTCGGACTGACACGTCGCCTCTCCAGTCGCCTTTGCGGCTTCCTGCGCGCGCCAGTACACCGTCAAGGAGGGCGACTGGTGTGATACCATCTCCGCTGCCAACAACGCGTCCACGTACGTCCCTATATGCTTACTTTTCCTTACTCTATCACTGACCAACAGTTGCACTTCCCAGGTACCAGCTCGCTGTCGTGAACTCGGCCATTGACAACGTCTGCGACAACCTCCAGATCGGCCAGACCCTCTGCCTCGGTACCGAGGGCGAGGACTGCCAGACCACGCACGTCGTCCAGGCCAACGACTCCTGCGACCTCGTCACCGGCACGTACAACATCAACGCTACGCTCCTCCACACGAACAACCCCCAGGTCGATGCCGACTGCACTAACCTCTACATTGGCGAGGTGCGCATTATTTCATCTTTTGCTGTGTATAGTTTGTGCGGGCGCTGATCGTTGCCCCGTGTGGGTGTCCAGGTTCTTTGCGTCGCGAACACCATCGCCGTGCCCGCTGTTGCCTCCGGCAGCGCTACGCCCGCTGTCATCATCCCCTCGACGGCCATCCCCGTGAGCACGACCGCGACCCCCGCGACGACGTCGACTGCCGCTACGGTCACGGAGACCGTGTCCGCCGACGACGACGAGGACCTGCCCTTCTGCGACGAGCTGTAAGGGCCTCGTCTCCCTGCCCCGCGGAACCGCAGCGTAGAGCACCCCACGCCCGCTCTCCGCCGCTGTCTCCGTCCGCCCGCGTCTCCGTTCCGACAGCACCCTGCCTTTATCCCCTCTATCGTCCTTCGTTCTGTTTTACCCCACATACCCAGCAGCATAGCGCGCCGCTATGCTCTTATTACCACCCTGTGACCTTGCACGTTGCGTAGATAGCTCTGTGGGCTCAATGGTCGGTGTGCACGTCACAATGTTGAACATCGCTAGGGGTCCCGGGACCCCGGGTTTCGTACGCAGTCTTTAATGTAGTGCCGAGAGTCGAAGTTTGCGTGAAAGCGATAATCGAAGCAAAGATAACAAGTACAGCAAATGACATCGTATGGATACACACCGCGCCCGGCCCAGTCCGATTCCCCCCATCACGTACGATCACGACTCCTCCAAGTACCCCTGCACGATGAGATGCTCGATGTCGGACCGCCGCACCAGAAAGCGGTGGCCGCGCTTGAAGTCGATCGCGCCGAGCTCGGTGTGCACGACGCCGCAGTCGCGCACGACGCGGACGTGCACCTGCAGGTCCTTCGGCGGGTGCGCGATCGGCGCGAGCAGGTCGATGTCCTCCGTGAGGCCCGCGCCCGCCCCGGCCGCGGACGAGAACGCGTCGGTGCGCAGCGTGAGCAGCGACGCCGCGTACGACCGCAGAAAGTCCACCTCGTGCGGGCTCAGCTTCGAGCGCACGTCCTGCGGCGCCGCCGCCCCGCCCATCTGCGCCTGCTGCTGCGCCTGCACCTGCGCCGCACCGCCCGCGGCGCCGGCGGGCTGCATGGCGAGCAGGAGGGGGAGCGCGCCGCCGACGGACCAGAAGAGGTCCTTGAGGAACTCGAGGCGGTGGTGGTGGTACGCGAGGAGGCAGCGCTTGTTGCGGAGGATGGCGGTCTGGTAGAGCAGCACGGTCGGCATGTACGCGTGCTCGGCGGCGGGCTGGGCGGCGGCGGCGGGGTCCGCGGCGGAGCGGGCGAGGGTGGCCTCGATGCGCGCCTCGAGCGCGCGCTGCTCGCGCACGATGGCGCGCACGAGCACGTCGTTGTACTTGAAGAGCGTGGAGGTCGCGGTTGAGCGCCGGGACTCGGTGAGCAGCTGTGTGGCGAGGTCGCCGTACTGACCCGCGGTGTTCATTGGGGGTGGGAGGAGAGGAAGGGGAGGAGGGTTGCCGGTCGGTCGAGTCGTGGCTGGTGCAGCGGACGACTGCAGAGGAATCGGGTGCTAAGAGCGCACGCGTCGCGTCGCGTGCAGTCACGTCCCGGTAACGGAAGGCCGTCACACCTATAATCAGGCCGTTCCGAAATCCATCGGCGTGTTCTTGACCTCCATCTCGTCCTTACGTGCGTGTCCGAGCTCAGAAACGCCTCGCGCCGAGCTGAGAGCTCATCGAGCCTATGTCCTAGCTTTTTTCAAAGGCAGCCCAGTGAGCGGACATAATACAACAACGTGTCTCCTAGTTTACAGGTTAGTAGTCCACATATACCCAAATCTGAGCTCATGATATGCATCCACAGGCCCCCGAACCAGCTGCGCATCATCGTCGCGGGCAAGACCCGGTGCATTTCCCCCACTCCTTCCCGCACAGGTAACAAAACTGGGCCCCGCAGCGGCATTGCATATGGGGGCAGCCACCCGAGCGCTCGACGAGGTACTGGCACCCAGCGCATCTCTGCCATTCATTCTCCTTCGCCAGGCTGAGCAGCGCATCGTCCCCGGCGGAGCGGCAGCCCGCCCGCGGATGTGCTTGCTCCTTGCAGCTCGCGCACGTGGTAGACGCGCACGCAGAGCAGCGCAGCGCTGTGGGGGAGAGTGTGGCGGCCCCGAGGAAGGCCGAGCAGTATGGGTTGTAGCAGTACACCCTGTTTGCGGTGCTGAACTCCCGCGTCTTCTCCTGGAAGCGATCGATGAGGGCCCGGCTGAGGAACCGCTCGACGTCCGGGAGTTCGACGACGCGTTTGCAGCACTGGGGAGGGAAGAGCGATTCATCCGCCGTTGCCCGTTCGAACATCGCCTGTAGGCAGGCCATGTCGAGACCGTGTCCGCATCGGAGGCGGACTACCGTCCCGAGCACGTCATCGCCGCAAATGACACAGGACTCGCACGGATGGGGAGACGCAGTGGGATACTCCTGAAGATACTCCTGGGGATACTCTTGCGGACGTTCGGTATACTCCATGATGTCTTCTTCGGCCGCATCTGATGGCGTTCCTTCGTCCTCCCAGTCGACGTCGCGTGGGGCGTCATACGGTGCTACGTCGTCGCTCTGAGGCCCGTCTGATGCATAGCTATACGGCGACTCGGCCTCGTGTTCGTCGGCACCCGGGTACGCGTCATAGCCAACCTCGTCTTCACTGGAGAACTCTTCTTCAGATTCCTTTCCCCCTTCGGACGCCTCCTCACCGCCGGACACGTCTTCCCTATCGGATTCGTATGCTTCCTGGGATCCATACTCGTCCTGGAACTCTTCCGACGCCCCCTCAGACTGGGCTTCCTCGTCAGGTTCGTGGTCCCCATCTCTCCCAGAAGAGCTGTCATCGCCCTCGTCCTGGGCACTGTCGTCCTCGTCGGCATCATTCCTGCTGCGCCCAGTGTCGAGCGTGTACACATCGTATCGTTCCTCTTCTTCGTAGATGCCCCGTGCTTGCACAGAGCCTCCCGCTGGGGGATGATATCCGCCATGTTGTGGCGTCAATGGCTCTCTGGTGCTCAGGAATGAGACAACGTCATACCCCCACCGAACTCTATGCTCACCCGCCAGCTGCCATGCCTCGTGCCCGCTTCCTCAAACAAGGCGGCCTGGGCGGCGGTGGCCTCCCCTGAGCAAGAGCCAGGGCGAACGCACGGTCGTACCGCGCCGTCTCCTCCATCTCGATCAGCCTGTCCAGGAGGTCCTCGCGGTACCGCCGGTCGCGCAGGTGGTCCTTGCTGACGTTCAGCAGGCCCTCCGCCTCCTCGGCGAAGAGCAGGAGCGCGAGGTCGCGGTCGCTGCCGGCGGTATTTGCGGGCCCACGCGCACGCTGCTGTTGCAGGCCCTCGATTTCGTGCAGGCGGAGCTCGGAGATGTGTTCGAGCAGCGCAGATACGCCGTCCAGAGGGGGTGAGTATGAGTGGGAAGAAGTGGCGAGCCGAGCCATTGCAACAACGGTCTCTGCGTCGAGAGATAGAGAGCCTTGCGGAGATGGAGTAGATGGAGCGCGTCCATTTATAGGATACGGGACGGCCGGGCGAAGGTCAGTAGATGGTGCCTTCTTCTCCCGCAAGACGACTCCCACCCGCGCCGACGGTGCTGCGGTAGCTGCTGCAGATTAGATAGTTGCGCCGGTATCCTTCCCTCTGTCGGACCTGTCGTTCCAGCAGCACTAAACGAGATATTATCCGTTTACCGCAGCGACAACGGCGTATCGCTGCGCCAGAGGGAGAGGCGGTGGTACCCATACGCTAGTTCTCCTGGTTGAAAGCGATGTGACAATGGTCGGCGTGCCAAGGCCCAGGGCTTTCGAAGAAGTGGACAAGGGCAAACTGTCTTTATTGCAAAGACATGGGCCAGACTTGAGCATGACCGCTGGAACACTCACTTCAGTACCTGCTGTCCACTCACTGGATAGAATGGAGGGTCATGAGATAAAGGCGCGACGTGACATTGATATGGTACTAGTACATGATGTCCAAACGATGTAGTATACAAACAAGAGAGCTTTAAAAGTGTTACAAATCTACACGGCAATACTGGAGACGGAAGCGAAGGCAGCGAATTCACCCGACCCTGTAGCTGGCGACAGGCGCGGACAGTTAAGCACGCACATAGAGTCCTGCATGCCAGGGCCCCGCCTGGGGAACGGGTGCGGCTCGAGCGGCGGCGGGACGATTGCTGCCGACTCGTCCAACCTGTGCGGCGACTCGGACGGGCGCGGCCTCCTCCTCTTCCGGCGGTACGTAGAACAGCTCGCACTTACACCCCTTCCATGGCACGCCGCACAGGTAGCAGAACTCCTTACCGCACCGGCACGTCATGTGGTAGCACCCGTAGATGTCGCGCTCGATGAGGTGCTGGCACGAGTAACACCGCTGCCAGCCCGCCGCCTTCCCGAGCTTGAGCACCGCGTCGTCCGCCCCTCCAGCGGGGCGGCAGCCTGCGCCTGGGTGCGCCCGCTGCTTGCAGGACCCGCACGTGCTGGACATGCATTCAGCCCGGGGGCAATGCAGGACGGCGGGGGCCTTCGTCGCCGCACAGAGGAAGATGGAGCAGCGGCGGTTGTGGCAGTACACCCGGTTCGCAGTGGTGAACTCGGTCGTCTTGCGCCGGAAGTGGTCGACGAGTACGGGGGCGAGGTATCGCTCGACCTCAGCCAGCGGGATCGGGACATTGCAGCACTTTGGCGGGAAGAGGGACTCGTCGACGGTCGCCTTAAGGAACATGGTCTGGAAACACGTCATGTCGAAGATGTGGCCACAGCTGACACGGACGGCCATGTAGTGGACGTCGCTAATATCGTCGACTTCGCTACGGCAGATGACGCACGTCGCTATATCTAACCCGGGCGCTGGATCGTAGAGACTCAGTGCCGGCGAGGCTTGCCGGTCGGGTGTGATCAGAGGGCTCGCGGGAGCTGCACGGATGGCCGGGCTTGGTAGACTCTCGATGGGAGCGAATCGAGGCCAAGGTTTTCCGCTGGAGCTGGAGGGCTCCGGCACCGGCGAGGCTGACCTGTCGGACAAGGTCGGCGGGAACGCGGGCACTGCACTGGCAGAGAGACGAATCGGCGAAGTGATCCTACTGCGAAGGCCAGGCGAAAATGCCCTGCTTGAGGACGCCTGTATCTCGAGGGGACCTTCCTCCGCCCATACAGGAGCGGGACCCGTGTCAGGCGTCGGAGGTGACAGTGTGCCGCATCTGCTCGGGAGCAGTGAAAACCCCCTGGGAAGAATGATGTCAGTCCCTGGTGCTAAATGTTAAGCTCACGGTTGACTTACAGGGTTGCATGCTCCGGCGGCGATGGCGCAGTCTTGTATACCTCCGACTGCAATGGGGGCGCCAGCGCATACTCGGCAAAGGAGTTTATCTCAGGAGCGGCGACCGGAATGGGGCTAGATCTCTCCGATTCTTCTACCGGAGCCAGTGCGTCATCGTCCGAGCCCTCAGGAGTCACTTCGCGTTCGATGTATCCTCCAGAGACGAAGTGAGGCTCCGTCGGTATGGCCATAGAAAGGCCAACAAGAGCGTTCGACTCTGCTTCGGGCAGCTGCTCCACATTCTCGGCGAGGCTGACCGCGTATGCTCTCGGGCTGCAGATGGTGCGTCCAGCCCCCTCGACCTGCGTGGCTGCGGATGGTCGAAGATCTCTGGGTCCTTGTGTCGAAATACGCAGGCCCTCTGCCTCTCTGGCAAGTTCTTCCGCTCGAGCCGTAGGCTCTGGCACCACCCTCTCGCTAGCAACGGGATGCAACGTCCGTGCAGGCGCGGGGTACCCACCTTCGCGGGCCTTGGGGGAATCCCACGTAGGACTCCGTTGAGTGACCTCGTAGGGGACGCGTTGTGCGGTCGCAAGGTGTACGCGAGCGCGAGCGACAGCCTGGAAAGCCCGCGTCTCGACTGGGGAAGAAGGACTCGGAGTGCTCTCCGTGAACTCTCTGTGGTGAGGGACAGAGAGGCACCCAGTTGTTTTGTAAAGGTTCTCTGTGCTCTCGAGGGAAGCATGGATATGGCGGGTGACAGGTAGGGCGGGTCGAGGGGCCGCCACATAAGCAACGGCGTTGACCACGGGAGTGGGATATGGCCGCATCTCGTCAGGAGCGGACGTCTCCGTCGTTGCCTGAGGAGGAGATGATTGTGAAACTGGCACCAGTCGGGCAGGGGGAGAGCTGACTGTAACTCGACGAACCAGACGTTTCACAGAACTGCCAATACTGCACTGTTTCGAGGTGTCGAACGCGGCGCTGGCAGGAGTTGCCAGGGGCGCCTGAGAGACGGGAGGGGACGGGCTGCTAGCGGGTTGGGTAGCCCAAGCGTTGCCTGGTACGGCCCGTCGGGAAAGTCGCTGCCCAAGCTCAGACCGGAATACTGGCGCGCGTTGCGTTTCCGCGGAGTATGGGTCTTCGGCGACGGCGTGCTGGACACGCCGTTCTGCGGCCTCCGGTCTGTCCTGCGCAAGAGGGGGGGTATTTCCGTACGCCCCAGGCATCGGCATCTCGGAATTCCCAGAGTTGGATCGTTCTGTAGCGCGTACCGTGGTAGCCCGTCGTAGCGGCGGAAGGGAGGTGGATGTGAGTACTGGAGTATTCGACAACTTCTCTTCATCCAGGCGCGGCATAGAGGGGTGAGCGGCCATCGTACATCCGTCGGGGTTTCTTCTGTTACCACAATCTCTCTGGGTCGTAGTATAGAGGTATGGCACCGCCTTTGATGTGAGAGGACTCGTGAACGTGTGGTGCGAGGGCCAACTCAGAGTTTGTGTCGTAATCACAGACGCCGAAGGAGGCCACTCTTCTTCCGCTTCCTCACAGATCGTCTCGGGCTCTTCGTACCTCTGGACAGCCTTTCCCTTGTGCATCCGAGAGAAACCTCTGAGAAGTCACCTTGTCCGCTTCCGTTGAGTGCTGCTAACCCGCTGTGATATCATTGTTGAGTTTAGATATACGTGTAAGCCAAGGTGTCACTTACGCTCCATCGTTACCGTCCACTGGGTTCCGCGTCCTACGTCGAAGATTAGCGGGGCGTGGGGGAGGGTCTCTTCCCTCCGCCAAAGCGAGAGCGACAGCGTGATCATAACGCGCAACGTCCTCCATCTGGAGGAGCTCATCTAAGACCTCCTCGTCGTGCCGGCCATCGTGCAAACGGTCCTTGCTGACGTTCAGGAGCGACTCCGCTTCTTCTGCGAACAGGGTGAGCGCAAGGTCGGCGTCGCGTAGAGACCTTTTGTTTGATGAGCGGAGAGTTTGCACGCGACGCTTGGCTTGGAGTTCCTCGATTTCGAGGGGAGGTAACTCGGAGATGCGTTCGAGCAACGCGGACACGCCGTCCAAAGGCGGAGATGCTGCTCTGTAGGTGTGCGCCGAAGATGCCATGGCTGCAGCTGTGTGTGGTGAGCAGTGATGCAGAGGAGGGCGATGAGGTGAGGACTGCGGCGTCGGAGAGGGTTATATAGTGCACGGGCACAGAGCACCCCGACATGCGCCGACGTGCTGCTACGGTAGATGCTGCAGCATGTGTCATGGCGGCGCCGACATCATTCCTAGCATTCCCAAGGAGGTTGACGGACTACCCGCGGCCGTCACACAATGGAAACCTTCGTTGCTGCGGGAGGTTGCTTCAAGATGTGCCACGTTTGCCGTTGAAGGCGTTTCTTGCAGCAGCCTCACCTGGTTCCAAATAATATGATTATCTATCAGTGACAGCGGAATGAGTATCCTTCGTATGCCCCTATAAACCCCGCGCGATACGACGCACCTGGCAGAACTGTCAAAAGGCCTAGGAGCGACTTCAGATCGATCGTTGTTTGAATTTAGCAGTCGCTTGACTTGTACCGCCGCCTGCAGTGCCGCTGCCGAGTCACTGGGAGATGCAGAAGATACGAGTCACCGCTAATTTATGGAAACGTACCTGAAAGAGGGGAGCGTGGCTCGAAGCGCTCAGACTGAAACGCTGACCGGGACCGTCCAGGCAGGCTCGTCCGAGTCAAGCGCGAGCACACGGTGTATGTATGAGTTCGAGTTGAGTATGCAGGATGCAAACTCTGAGATGCAGATTGACCCGGAATACTATATGTCGCATGCGTACGCGGTATCAAACGGCGTTGCAAATTTTTGCGAGCTGCCTGACTCCAACATAAGTCAACGGGGGGATTAAATCTGTATCACCATAGATCCACTGTCACTTCAAGCGCATGTGTCGCCGGTACATTGTATCAATTCTTGTGCACTGTTTCATACACTATACATAAACAAATGACCTCGTGCGATCGATAAAATATACAATACATGGTACCGCCGTGGAATCCAGCCACCGAGCGAGCTACTTACACGCTACGCAATATTTCACCTTTACCCCGCCAGTGGAAGCGCGCTCACTCCTCAAGCCTCAGGCTCCTCCGGCGGCACATAGAACAGCTCGCAGTTGCACTGCTTCCACGGCGCCGCGCACAGGTAGCAGAACTGGTTCCCGCACCGGCACACGATATGGTAGCACCCGATCGAGAGCTCGACGAGGTGCTTGCACGCACCGCAGCGCTGCCACCCGTGTTCCTTCCCCAGGTCCAGCACCGCGTCCTCCGCCGCAAAGTGGCACGGCACCCCCGGGTGCATCTGCTCCTTGCACGCGGCACACGTCCCCGCGCCGCACTGCTCGCAGCGCAGCGTCTCCGGGTTGGGCGTCTCCGCGGGTGCGGCGGCCCCGAGGAACGCCGCGCATGTGGGGACGTGGCAGTATACGCGGTTCGCGGTGCTGAACTCGCGCGCCTTCTTGTGGTAGCGGGCCACGAATGCGGGGTCGAGGTGCGGCTCGGCGGCGGAGAGTGCGACGGCGCCAGTGCAGCACTTGGGCGGGAAGAGCTCCTCGTCGACGGTCGCGCGCTCGAACATCTCGCGCATGCAGCCGACGTCGAAGGTGTGCCCACAGTCGAGGCGGACGACGGTCGAGGCGATGTCATCACCGCAGACCGTGCAGCAGGGGGGTGGAGGCGGAGGTAGAGGCGGGGTGGGCGGTAGAATGGGCGAAGGAGGGGAGGAGATGTCGGTCTCGAAGTCGACGTCTGCGAGCCGCTTGCGGAGGCGGATGACGCGAGTGCGCAAGGCCCGCTGGGCCCTCAACGTCTCCATGTCCACTTCTTCGTCGTCTGAGGTTTCGTCTGCAGGGATTTGCCCCCAGAGACGAATGGGTGCAACCTTGCGCATCTCGGACTCGCCATCTTCGTCTTGCGGAGAGTTCGGGCACGTGTCCCCCTCTGTACTGTAGGGAGGGGACGATTCCCTGGGGAAAAGGTCAGTCGACCGAGTACTCGCTCTGAGTTCATGGCGTGCTTACCATTCGTCCAGCACACGTGAGTGTCGTTCCGGGAAGTCGGGAATAGGTGGCGGTTCCCTGCCCTCCGAAAGCGCAACAGCCACCTCATGGTTGTACTGGTCCATCGCCTCCATCCGGACGAATTCGTCCAGAGCATCTTCGTTCCGGCTGACATCTTTAGTGTCTTGCACAAACAGTTGGAACGCGAGCTCTTCGTCTTCCAGCGCTTGCGCCCCGGGGCTCAAGGGAACTTCTGGGACGGCGCGGCCCGCAGGGCGCGGTTGCGGGGTATCGGCCAGCCGTACTCGGGCGACATGCCCCAGTAACTTGGACAGAGTTATGTCATCTTGAAAGGGGACTTGCCGCGGAGCTTTCGGGAAGAGATGAGGGGGCCGTTGAGCATTTGCCGGCGGGAGAGCGTTGGCGGTCAGGACCTTCAGCATGGCGGGCTCGTCGCGGGTGGGTGCTGAGTAGTAGCTGAGCCCGAAGTTGTAAGCCAGAGCCTCAAAGGAGGTCCGCCCTTATAATACGATCTGCGAGCGACATTGAGGGTCTACTGCGCAAGGTGCGTCCTCCTGCAGGAGGCCACACGTTGTGCGTCGGAAATGAGCCTGAGTGCGTGGGGCAGCGGGTGATACAGTGCTGCAGCATTCTGTGTACGCCGTGGGCCACGAGTCGATGGTCACAGCTTCTATGAAGAAGTGTCAGGAGATCATCTAAATACCGCTATGAGTAAATCTTTTGGCTCACTTGTGCATTCATTCACAGGCCTAAGCATCGGATAGGAGTAGCGGGCATCCAAAGTACGTCAGTGTAGTTGGGCCATGGTAAGCAGCGACTGACGTAGTTGCAAGCCGGCTTATATGTTTTCACTTCGATTGACCCCCGCTTCGGCGGTGATGCCACGGCAAAGATCCCAACGGCCAAGCCTGCGTCCTGTCGCGATCGAAAATTCGTCTGAGTCGCTGAGTCAAACATACTGCTGGGACAGTGTGCCCGACGATCAAGCCGGTGCATCCTCGTGTGTCCAGATAAGACTGCAGCGAGTGAAGCCGATAACCCGAGATGGGAAGGAGGAGGGCTGCCGCAGTCCATGAATCACAGGCTGGAGGAGCAGATGAGGGTCCAGGAAGGAGGCGCTTGGTGTCACGCATCCTATGCAAGGAGTGTTTGTGGCGGTGCACGACGCGCTCTACCGCAGCGCGGGACGGACACCGACACGCGGCTCTCGCTGGTCCCATGGGGTCGCCCAGGTCCAGCCCCTGTTCGGCGCGACGCTTCACGCTACGCACGTTCTCTCCCCCAGCTCTCCTCTTCGCGCGGTCCGCAAGCCCTGGTCGCCGCTCAATGCTCTGGAGCGCTGCAAACGCGGCGAGCGTCACCTGCGGGCCCTCGGCTTGTCATCTGACTGCGCGTATAACGTAGTGACGTCCCTTCCTCAATGATTCTGCGCGTGCCTGCCATCATTTCCCCGCGCCGCATCAGACTTCACTGCATCCCCGAACTCGAAGACAGTCGAGTGTGACCTCACCGTCCTGCTCACCCGACCGTATATAAGCTCGCTATACCGCCCCGGAGCTTGACCTCAGCGGCATCCTCGTCTGACATCATGACGCTCTCACTCCTCGCGCTCACGCTTGCGCTGCCCGCGGTACTTGCGCTCGACAATGGCCTCGCGCGGACGCCCCAGATGGGTTGGAACACCTGGAACCACTTCGGGTGCGGGATCAGCGAGGACACCATCCTCAGTGCTGCGAAGGCGATGGTCTCCAACAACCTGACTGCCTTTGGCTATGAGTGTGAGTTCAAATATACATGCAGCAACTTGGCTTGGTCCTGATCGAGCGCATGAAGATGTCATCATGGACGACTGTGAGTACTCTATATGTGGGCTTCGTACATTGCGCTGGGAGCTGAGGATGTTACGACCAGGTTGGCACGCGGCTGCCCGAGACCCCGACACGGGCGCGCCTGTTGCGGATGCCACAAAGTTCCCGAACGGGATCAAGGCGCTCGCCGACGAGGTGCACGGGCTGGGTCTTAAGGTATGCCCTCATCCTACGTATACATTCATCAATATCTGATTGTTTGCGTAGTTTGGGATTTACAGCAGCGCCGGAACGTGTGTATAGTCGGAAGTCTTTGACTCAGCTGGCTTACTGACAGCCGCCCTTGCAGCTATACCTGTGGCGGAAGGTTCGGGTCGCTCGACCATGAGGAGATCGACGCGCAGACGTACGCGTCGTGGGGGGTCGACTACCTCAAGTACGACAACTGCTTCAACGAGGGCCGCGCCGGGACCCCGAAGATCTCCTATGATCGGTTCAATAACATGAGTCGTGCCCTGAACGCGACTGGCCGGCCCATTCTGTACTCGATGTGCAACTGGGGTGAGGACGGCCCCTGGAACTTTGCAGTGGTATGTAACCTTGCGGGCTGCTCATGGTGTTCACGGGCTTACGCCTTGGCGTTGATAGGATATTGCCAACAGCTGGCGTATCTCTGGGGACATCCACGATGTACGTTTACTTCGCGCGCCGTCAAGCTGCATGCACGACGACTTACACTTTGCACAGGACTTCGACCGTTTCGATGACCGCTGCCCGTGCACGGATATTCTGGATTGCAAGCTCCCTGGCTTCCGTACGCACCTCGCACTGCTCCTCCCCTTGCATGCATCCTTACTTACACTGCACCTCCAGACTGCGCCATGTCGCGCATCATCGACTTCGCTGCACCGGTCGGGCAGAAGGCCGGTGCCGGCAAATGGAACGACCTCGACATGCTCGAGGTGGGCAACGGGGGCATGACCTTCGATGAATACGGTACGTACCTTCTGCGCACGAACCTCATCGCCGTTCTTACCCCCTGCTTCCTTGTCTTCCAGTCACGCACTTCTCCATGTGGGCACTCGTGAAGAGCCCGCTTATCCTCGGAAACGACGTGACCGATATGGTAAGTTACCTTGCTCTCTGCTCTCTGCTCTCTGCTCTCGTCGAGGCTGACTGACTCGTGTTCAGACCAACGAGACCCTGTCAATCATTACGAACGACGCGCTCATCGCCGTCAACCAAGACTCCAACGGCTCCCCCGCGAACCGCATCTGGAAGCGCACAGTTGCCGAAGGCGGTGATCTGCAGCTCTGGTCCGGCAGCCTCGCGAACAAGTACGTGCCCTTCCCCTCACCTCCCCTTCGCCTCCCCCCCTCACCCGCGCGCCCACAGCCAATTCGTCTTCGCGCTCATGAACACCTCGCCGAACGCGCAGACCGTGAACGTGTCCTTCGCGGACGTGTTCGTCGACCAGGGCGCCGCGTTCGCCGCCGGGACGTTCACGCTCTACGATCTCTGGCAGAAGGACGACGCGGGCGCGTGGGGGAAGAGCCTCGGGGACTTCTCCGGGAGCGTGCCGAGCGTGGAGGTCGGCACGCACCAGACGAAGGTGTGGAAGGCGGTGCCGAAGTCGACGAACGCGCGGAGGCGCGACAGGCGGGACTTATGACTCGTGCCAGTGGCATTAGCTTTGGGCGTGGTGGTGGGCGGGGGCGCGATGGCGTGGTTTACCAGGTTCCGGAAGGAGGAGAAAAGGAGGGTGGATCTGAAGAAGACTTTGTAGCTCCCGAGCTTTGAAAACTTGACACTGAATCGCGCTGGATTTTGTAGGTTACCGTCGGATGTGATGTACTTGTCGTTGTACTACTCTTCGCTCTCCTTATATCTTGCTGTACGCCGTGCCCATTACGCGTTTGTCGAAGGAGCGACGCGTTGTTCGCACGTGAAATGTGACCGACGCGTGCTTTCGTCACGACGTCTCGCCACGACAGGCATTTCTTTTGTGCCTCAGAGGGCTTGCTGACATCCTCGTAGTGCTCTCGGTCTGCATATGCTGTCAACGCTAATAAAACACTAGGCTTCAAATCAGTTGCCATCTGGAGACAACATCAGCACCCGCTACTTCGCGGGGAGAAGCTACAGAACACAGTGGATCAGAGGCCATTTGCTCGCTGTGGTCAGCTGCGCGGTGCGTCTCATAATACCACGGGAGAAGAGCTCCTATAGGAGAGCTTATACTATACAGTCATCCACCGACCGAAGCTCAGCGTGCCGAGTCGTGAAGGGACACATGATATACGAGTCGGCAGTACTGTGCCGGAGCTCAGCAGTTTTAAAGCTTCACGCTTGGTATGGCTTGCAATCGTGTCTTTACACTGACTTGGGTTACGGTTGAAGATGCGGCGCCCGGATCGCAGCCTGGGACGTGCCGTCAAGCCGGTGTTTAAATGTATGATTTCGTACACTCGGGGAGGCCAGCGCGACGCCCACTCATGTCTTCCGGTGAGCTCGACATGATTGAAATGATGTACACAACGTCTGATCGCATGGAGCCTTCATAGCATTCGTGAGTTAGTGAGCGACTCACCTTCTGAGTCGCACCGTGCTTCGTGGCTGTTTGGCTTATTCCTGAGCACTTTTGACGGGCTATGTAACTACTCTGGGTGATCCCCGGCCCTTGATCAGGCTGCAGCTATGGAAAGGTGATTTCGTCACTGGTGGCAGCTTGAAGCGAGTCGCCACTGCGCCACTTATTTTTCTAGAGTCGCCGTATATGGCATCCATCTTGTGTCTTCCATCATAACTACAGTGTCATATAGCCGGATTATAGACCCCCACGCGTTGGAATATCCCTGGACAAAGTCAGACTGGCAGTCGTTAACTTGAGATGCCTCAAATATAGCCAGTACCGTTGCCAGCTGGCCGCCAAACAGCCTCAGCTAGATAACTAGTTTTGGACGACTTTCTAGGTAGGGCGGCCCGTTGCGGTATAGCATGCCTTGTACGCCCATGAAGGGGATTTTTTTAAATCAGATACAGCTCAAGAGTCGCTTCCTTGACAACAAGTTGCAAGACTGCCGCAGCTGAGGAGAGCCGTTGAGGCGGCTGAATACTACACCTTCCATATGAGGCAGGATTTGTCAGACTGCGAGGAAGTTTGCGCCACTCTGGGCGAGCGCGCGCCAGAGAGACGCAGGCGAAGCGCGAATCATCATCCATACCTCCGACCACGACCACGACCCTACTTCCCCCTTCACGGCCTCGTACATTCCCCTCTGTACTGCAGGCCGACTATGCTTTTTGACCCCGAGACCGCGAATCACTTGAAACCATGGCTCGTCAGGACACTTGAGCCAATGTGCGTGACCGCGCACCGTTTCACATGGGAGAGATGCTGATATGTAAGTGTATGTTGCAGATGCGACGCTGAGCCCGGTGCGCTCGCGGATTACATTCTTGCCCTCTTGAAGCACAACGCACCAGAGGCGGAGCTACGGAAAGAGCTGTCTGCACAGCTGGAGGAATTCCTTGAAAAAGGCGTGTGCTTCTCTCGGTTGACTTGCGTCCCTCTAGCTTACGCGTTGTATCTCGCTGCAGAGTGCAGCTCATTCGTCGATACGCTCTTCACCGCCCTACGGACAAAGTCGTACCTCCCCTACTCTGCCACTCCCTCTACCAGCACCTACCCCTCCGCCAGCACCTCTGCCGACGTCGGCATCCCAATTCCCTTAGACGGCCTCTTGAACCCTGCACCGGTGTCACCCGAGCGAGGGCGCAAGCGCGGCATCGACAGTGAAGACTACGACACGCACGGACCATCAAAAGGCCCCCGGCTGAACAACGACAGCCAGTTCTCGCGCTACGGGCGTAACGACAGGTCATCATGGGGTGGCCGGGGGGATCGTGCGGATCGTGGAGGGAGGATGGACGTGAGTGGACGACCCGATTTCATGGACGGAGGTATGGCAGGAATGGATATGGGAATGGGTGGTATGAATGGTATGAACGGACGGGGGCAGAACTACCGGCCACCAGAACGGCGTGGCATATGCCGGGATTATCACAGTGCGTCCAGTCCTTTGTCTTCGCCGTTGCTGCAAGTCTCACTCTCGTCGGCGCGTCCTCAAGACAACGGCTATTGCGCACGCGGCCAGTTCTGCAAGTACAGCCATGGCGACGACGCCGTTATCCCACAACAACTCTTCCCCATGGCTGGCGGCGCATTGCCGTTCATGTCGATGATGGGGGCCGGGGGCATGCCCTTCCCAATGAACGCTGCCGCAGCCGGCGGCGCCTACGACCCTCACGAGCGTATGGACATGCGACCTGCGGCGGCGGGTCCCTTGAACGGTCGGCCACCAGTAATACCTAGGACAGACGATGGTGGGGGGCCGATGCACCGGAAACCTGCCGAGCCCTCCGTCGTTCAAGATCTTACCCCCCAAGTACCCATCACTGACGTCTCGCCACACAATACCGGCGAGGGCTTCCGGCCTCAACAGAGGGCGCCCATGGAGGGGGTAGTTCCCACATACGACGCCCCGCCACACATGCCTCCGATGGACGGCGGAATGGGCTCAAGACCGTTCCCCATGAACGGTGGCAGAGGTGGGCAGCCTCACAGGGGACGGGGTCGCGGTGGCGTCTTCAGCGGCGACGCACACAGCTTCCGGCCGGAAAAGCGGAATGACAAGACGCTTGTGGTGGAGAAGATCCCCGAGGACAAGCTCGCGCTTGGCGCAGTAAACGATTGGTTTAGCAAGTTCGGTACGGTCACGAACGTCGCAGTCGACGCGCCGAGCGCAAAAGCCCTCGTCAGCTTCTCCGCACACGACGAAGCCTACAAGGCCTGGAAGTCAGAAGAGGCGGTCTTTGGTAACCGGTTCGTCAAGGTCTTCTGGCATAGGCCGATGGAGGGTCACGGACAGGCTGGTCAGCGAATGCTTGCTGCATCAGCACCGTTTGTCTCTAAGCAGGCGGCCCCCACTCCTTCTACCTCCGCTCCCGAAGGCTCCCCTGCACCTCCGACACCCTCTACCTCCACACCGGCTTCTCGCAAGCCTTCTGTCGCATCTACGTCTTCTGCCCTTGCCGCGAAGCAGAAGCTCCTCGAGCAGCAGATCGCGGAGCAGAAGTCGCTCATGGCCCTACTGTCTACTGCGTCTGCTCAAGAGAAGAAGGACATCATGGCCCGGTTGCGGAAGCTCAACGAGGAGATGAAACCGTCCGCCACGCCAACAGCCGCGTCTCAGACGCCGCCGCCGGCTGCATCCTCCCCCGCGCCGGCCAAGCGGGCCGGTTCCACCCCCCAGACGGACGACCATGAACGCAAGGAGCGGGAGCGGTTGGACAAGGAGCTCGAACTGCATCATGCGACCACCCCTGGTGATGCGGAGGAGGAGAGCACCGAGGAGCTGAAGGCAAAGCTCGAGAAGCTCAAGGCGGAGGTTTGTGTGCAATCCTCTAAGCTATGTGCGCCAATGCTGATAATCTCTGTGCAGGCTGCCAGTCTGGGTATCACCGAGGCTGCCGAACCACCGGCGTACCAAGGCTCAGGGTATCGCCCTTACCGTGGCCGCGGGCGTGCTCGTAGCTTCTTCCGGGGCGCTGCTATGCGTGGTGGGCCGCCTCGGAGCATGAAGCTCGACCTCCGGCCTAAGAAGCTTTTGGTAAAGGGTGCCTCCACGGAGTCCTTGCAGGCCGTGCGCGACTGGTATGAGGTGCGTCGAGTCGTTGCATCAGCATCTGTATGGCGTGTGTATTGATGGCGGCTCTGCATAGACGACGGGCCAGGTAGAGTCGGTCGACACTACGGACGGCGGCGACATCGTCGTCTCTTTCTACAGCCGTGGTGCAGCCGAACAGGTTCGTGTATATGCTACATCTCATCACCGGTGGGCGTACTTATCGGTGCTCCAGGGTTTTGCCAAAGGGTCGCATATCGCGACCGTCGGGCCCGTACAAATCGCCTGGCACTCAGGCCAGCCGACGAATTCCGGCACCCCGGCAGCGAAGTCTCCCGCGCTGGCCTCGCAGCCCAGCGCGCCTAAGGAGGAGGACTCCGCGATGGACGGCAGCGTGCCCGCGCCCGTCGAGGACGCGCCCGCGGACGACCCGCACATGCACGAGGAGACCGACGCCGGCGGCTGGGGCGCGGACGACGACGGGTTCGGCATGATGTGAGGGCTCGAGCCCGATACCGGGGGGACTCTTCGCCGCGCCAAGGATGAACTCCCCGCTCGCCCGTCGATCGCCATGGCCAGCCAACCTTACCCCGGATCTGTGTGGGGAGGCGGTGCGATGCGCAGTTGTGCTAGTGTATAAAGGACGCGCCGAGTGGCCGCTGTCTGTTTCCGCTCTTTCTCCTGCTTCCCTTCTTTTTCTGTGCGCATGCTTTTGTAACTGTTAATACTGCTCTGGCTCCGCCGATAATTCGAGACCGACGGTGGCCCCGAAACGGCGGGCCGCCGTACGCGCCGTCTGGCGCACACATCTCATCCCTTGCTCGGTGTGACCTTTCCCCGCCCAGTCCCCAGAGACTTGCGAAGAATAGCCCAATGGTGGACGCAGGCAGCAACATGAATGTGCGTATACCACAGCATAGGTCAGGCTCTTACGTATGTCTCACTTCTGCGGGCACCTCCAAATGTTTGCTGACGGCCGAGCATTCATATGCACGAGCGGTAGTATATGTACTAATGTGTGTAACATGTGCAGCGTTCCGGTGTGCAACGTTCTCCGAAGCATTGTCTCTCGCCAACCCCAACACGCCTCTCCAACAACTCATCCCACACTCTTATCCCATCCGCCATCACCACCCGTCGCCTTCCCTCCCCGCCGATGCGCCAATGCTATGACGCACGCCGTTCACCGGCACCCCGCGACCGCGACCGCTGTTTCTGCAGCTTCGACGACCGCCGCTGTGACCGCGACCGCGCTCTCGCCTCCCGCTCGCGCTCCTGTTCCTGCTCCTGCTCCACAAAGTCCCGCGAACTATCCTCCGGCTCCACCCAGCTGCCCACATACCCAGTCTGCGCCAACGGGTCAAACAACGGCGGTGCCGCCCCTGCAGGCAACATGCCCGCCGCCAACTGGGGCGGTGCCGCTTTCCGTACTGGCCTCCCTCGTGCCTCCCTCTCTCCGCTCGGCCGCCGCTGTTGCTCTTCCGGGACCGAATAAGGCACACCGGGCATTCCATACATGGACGGAATGCGTGGTACGGGCGGGACCGGGCTACGCGGTGGCGCCGGTGATGCCTCACGGGACGGCGCGAAGAACGCAGGTTGGGGAAGCGGGGGCAGCGGATTCTCGGCGGGCGGCTGTGAGCGTGCCCTGCGTGCCTTCATGCTCGCGCTGTCCCCGTTTGCGTCGCGCAGCGAGGACGTGCTCGCGACGCGGGAAAGGCTGCTCCGAGGCAGTGCGACAGAGGCGGATCGCGGGCCGACTACAAGACGCGACGCGACGCCACACGTTAAAATGTATACGGAGGTAAGGCGGGCTGTGGGGACTTACCGGAGGACAGACGCGAGCTGCTGCCGCTCGCTTCGCGGTCCATGCGCACGTCGACGCGGCTCTGCGAACGCGACGCGCCCCCGAGCCAGGGATCCGCGGTGCTTCTGCGGTCGCCTTCCCCGCTGACTCCATAGAAGCTGCTCGTGCGCGGCGTGCTGCCGTACATGCTAATGCGGTCGTCCGTGGGTCGCCCAGGAGGATACAGCTCGGGCGCAAGCGGTGCGGGGAGCACGATTTGGATGTTGCTATGGATGCTGTGCGCGGGCCCACGCAGCATGTTGGTGGACTGCGTGGTGCGCATCGAGTGCATCGTTCCCGCGGAGGACACGATAGAGAGAGCGCGGGACTGTGAGCGCGAGGTGCGCGGAGGTCTTGGGCGGGCGGGGGAGACAGCGTTGCGCATGAGAGATGCGGACGACTCCACCGAGTGCGTGAGCTCAGACGGGGACGTCGTGAGCACCCCGCCGCCCTCCGAGGAGTCGCTCGCGACGCTCGCCATACTATTGTGCGGGTTGACGTCGCCGAAATATGATGGATTGGGTGCACGGAAGTCTTCGTTCTCAACGCTCAGCGGGTGCGGATAGGGCAAGGGCGAGCTCTCGGCAGAGGTAGCCGCGTCCTCTGCCATCCACGAGTTCTCGCGCGATGGACCACGGCTATAGTCGGAGCTGCCGCGGATGAGCGACGCGTTGCTCGCGCTTGCCGAGAGGAAGTGCGCAGAGTACATGCGGGGATGGGGCTCAACCCATGTCGCGGGGCGCGAGGAGTTGCGGTCCGCGAAGGCGGCAAGTTGTTGCTCGCGATGGTGCGCCAGGTCCTGCGGAGGTGGTAGCGGGATGTTGCGGTCGCGACGGCATGAGCGGGCCAGGTTTCGCCAGAGGAAGAGGGTGAAGACGAGGACGACGACGCAGCCACATACGACGGCAATAATGATGATGGTCGACGTCGAGAGCTTCCCACCTGAGTCGTCCCGGCGGGCGAGCTGGTGGGAGTCGATGAACATTAGAGCCCCAGACGAGGAACGGGTATCGAGTACTAGTCTGTGCAGCGTAGAGTGGGCGGAATAGATTAGAGGGGGATAGGGAGCGTGTGTCTGAAGGAACGGCGTCGGAGGCGAGCACAGGTAATCAGCACATAAAATGGAGGGCGGATGTCCACGCTTGTCGTTGTCGGCAACGTTGTTGACTGTCGTTGCCAGTCGGTCGCGAAGCGGTGCGCGCTCGAGTACGCGACCAAGGGGAGCACAAAGACGACGAGGACGGCCGAGGCTGACAGCGGCGTGCAACAAGAAAGAGGGGGGGAGAGGGAGGAGGAGGAGGGCTGGCCGAGCAGCCGCGCTCGACTGATGAATAAATGTCAGCGATGTCAGCTCCGATGTCGTCGACGATGGAGAGGCACACTGCCATATTTTGTCTTTTCCCTTCCCGCTTCGGCGCGTCGCCCGACAACACCCATCATTCTGCCCGCGCCTCCTGTCACCCCGTCACATTTATGTCGTCCACCCGTCACCTCCCGTCACTTGGCGGCCCGGCCTGCGTCGCGTCCCCGCCCTCCTCCTTCTCCTCCTCCTCCTCCTCCCTCCTCCTCCTCCTCCTCCTCCACCACCATCACCATCCCCACCTCCTCCGGAACGCCCGCCGCATGGCCCTTCGTTCTGCTCGCCGCTGCCGATGACGACCGCCCCGCCCTCTGCTCGTCGCGTCGGCCCCCGCTCTATCCAGTCCGTCGCGTCCTCCACCCAGTCCAAGGACAAGTCTCTTCTCTCTCACAGGCCGCCCCCAGCCAAACCTGTCACCCTCGCAAAACGCCTGCTCTTCCCTGGTCTTCCTGCCGATACAGACCTTCCACCTCTCCTCGTCTCTCCTGCTGCCTCGCCTGAGCTCAATGTGGAACTCTACGACTTCGTAGCCCTTGCGCTGAGAGCGTACGTAAACCCCTGGTGGACGAAGATCACGCGTTATGACAAGGAGTTCCTCCCAGAGATCAACCGCATCCTCACCGTCGTCTTTCGTGCTCTCGAAACCCGCCTTGTCGTGACCGATCTGTCTCCTCTGGTGTTCCGCGACCTGCCGACGCTGCTCACCCAGCACTGGACGGACTATCGCAATGCTGAGGCAAAGCTGCACACATCCTACGCGAGCGGTGGCGCGGCGTCCCTCCCCCAGCTCTTCCACCAGATGCAGCCGCACATGGCTGTCTCTGCCGAGGGCGTCATAGATCCCGTGTACGTGCGCCAGGCCGTAGACCACATCTTGAAATCGTGTTTGCCGCCAGACGACTACGAGCCTGAGACCGAGCGATACATCGTGCGGGAGGTTGTCCTGAAGGTCCTGGTGGGGAGCGTGCTGCCGCGGGTCACCCAGCCGTGGTTCGTGCACAAGACGATCCTCGACCTCATGGGCGCTGAGAACCCTGCAGGCGTGGGTACCGAGGTGAGCATCCTCGTGTTGCCTGCCTCACAGTTATTTATACACGATGTACCTCTTGTACCTTCTACCTACCCGTGCAGCAATTCATGTCCTCCTCGATGCCCTGTCCGACGATAGCGATGACTGCGTCTGAGCCATTTATCTAACTACCGCTTTACAGGTCTCTATAGACGACCACACATCGTCGGAGCGACCGCTTCTCCAACGCCGTGGCTCGCAACACTTCTCCTACCAGGCCTTCGCGATCCTCGTCCTCTCCGCCGTGCAGTCCGTCTCCGGTGTTTGTCTGTCTATTCTACACGCATACAGGCAGGCGCGAGAAACGATCCGCAAGGTGAACCAGAGCAAGGGCGTGCACCCCACAGACGACCACCCCTCGTCCACGGAAGGCGCACATAGCGGAGGACGAGAGACTCCCGAGGCGCAGGATGCGACCCCAGTCCCTGTGCCGCGGACCCCAGCGCTCCCTGGGGTCCTGAGCGTACCGCAGGATCTGCAGAGCGCGAAGACCATACTACCCTCCCCGCCCTCGTCTGAGTCGGAGTCGGTAATGAGCCCGCGGTCTCAGAGCTCCAGCACGCCGCCAGACCCAGCTATCGCGTCCGTACCTGCACCCACCCCGCCCCCCGCGCCGATCCCGAACTACACCCACCCCCCACTGACATTCCTCCTCACGCTCCTCACACCCCCGCCCCCTTCCTCTCATGCAACGACCTCACCACCCACCACGCAGCCCCACACAACGGCCCGCGCGCTCGCGCACGTCCTCACGCTCCTCGCGTCCCTCGCCGCGCCCTTCCTCGCGCGCCTCCTCCCGTACCTCCTCTATACACACGCGCTCAGCACACATGCACTCGCCTCAGGGGTGCGCGCCGCGCGCCGTGCGCTCTTCCCCGAAGGTTGGCCTGCGACTCCGCCCCCTGACCCCACACTGGAGGAGCAGGCGGAGCTAAGGGCGCGTCTGTGCCGGAGGCTTGTCGACTCCGTCCCAAGTGAGTCTTTCCTTGCAAGTACCTGATGACGCTTGTGCTGACGGACTTTCGGTGGATTCGCAGGCCCACTGGGGCTGTGGTTGGGGCCGACGCCTGCAGCACGGGCAGCGACGGTGGACGCGGCTATCGGCCCATTGGATAGTCAGGCATGCAATGCGCATCTCATAGTGTTCATTTTGGACCTGGTGCTGCTGACGGTGTTTCCGGAGATGGGCGTGAGCGAGGAGGGGTGACGATGGTGGCGCGTGGCACTATGTCTTATCTTCTACATGGTTGTCGGTTTATGCTGTATACCCAGGTCGGATTGTGTACCTTGGTGTTGAGTGAGTGAATGAGTGCCTGCTGGTGCCGGTGGACCCTTGCTTGGCTCCGCGAGCTCGAAAGTCAGGGTCCCCTGTGTGAACAATGACGTATCTTACACTTCGCGTCCATGAGTCCTAGTCAAGGCTAGACACGTTTTGCAAGACGTGTCTATATGCACACAAAAGCGTGAAGAACAGAGCATTAAGGGGAATCATCCGAATAAGCATATAAAGACATACGGGCCCTATGACCCACAGTCCGAGTGAGAACTTCTACGGCAACATACACACCCCTGAACTACTTCATCATTAATCTCCTTCTCCAAAAATGTCCGCGCACGGCAATTAAAGCTTGAACGGCGTCTTCGGATACTGGACCTTCGCTGCGGCAGCCTCGTCCGTGAACCAGTACAGGTGGCCGGGGTTCACGGGGCGTACGCGGCTCGCGGGCAGGCCCTTTTCCGGCTCGTCGAGGATGGTGTGGAGCACATCCGCCTTGGCCCCGTTCGCCACCACGAACGCGATACGCGACGCGTGGTTCAGAACGGGAAGCGTCAGCGTGACGCGCTTCGGCGGCGGCTTCGGGCTGTCGTCGATGTACGCGACCCAGCGGTCCTCCTCGCTGAGGAGCGCGTGCCCGGGGAAGAGCGAGCAGGTGTGCCCGTCCGGGCCGATGCCCAGGAGGATGAGGTCGAAGATCGGGAAGCGCGCGGAGTCCTTCATCGCGAACTCGCGGATGAGCTCCTTCTCGTACGCGTCTGCGAGCTCCTCGAGGTCGTCCGCGAGCGAGGGGTCGATCGTGTGGATGTGCGAGGCGGGGATGGGGACTTTGCTGAAGAGCTCGCGCGTGTTCAGCGCGTGGTTGGAGTCTTCGTGGTCGAGGGGCACGACGCGCTCGTCGGCGTAGAAGACTTGCCTATGCAAGAGGAGCGGTGGTCAGATTGGAGGATGCGGGAGTAGTTTGGGTCGATGAGAGAGAAGCTCCTGTTCTACCGATCACATTTGTTGAACATGTTCCGCAGGACAACTGATCGACCATGAGTCGCCTAGCCTGGCGTCTACACTACGTCGAGGACACCGTTGGAGAGCTCAGCGTACCAAGTGAGCAGCGGCTTATGCAGGACAGCGCCCATTTTCAGACACACAATCCGGGCCGTCCAACGCGCGCAGATCGACGGCGCGGCCAAAGTGGTCGTCGAAGACGAGCAGATTGTGCATCTCAGGGCGATCTGAGATCATGAAACCACGGGACGAGTACGTACCACTTATCCCATTTCACGGCGGGGTTGTCGATGAGGCCGGCGAGCTGCTGGGGAAGCGAGCCGCCGGAGATGGCGACGGTGAAGCGGCCCTTTTTCTCGATGGACTCCTTCTGGGCCCGGACGATGAAGCTGGCGAGGGCGCTCTGGAGCTCGCCAACACCGGGGAACGTGAGCAGGACCGGCGCGGCGGGTGCGGAATGTGGCATCGGGTGCAGAGGGGGAGCGTCGAGGTCGATGGATGGGGCAGCGGGAAGAGGAGAAACGGCGAGGGCGCGATAGGTGCGCGATAGAGATGGAGGCGAATGTATTGAGGGAGATGCGGAAAGGTTTGAAAGGCTAACAAGGTGTGGGTGTACAGTATCTATACTGCTTAGCCGAGCCGAGCAAATACGATCAGCCCTGATGTCATCGCGGCGCCTCCTGTGTGCTGTCCCTCCGCCATGTCCGCCCTCCTCTTCGCCTCCTTCGACGTCTCCCGCCAGGCCTTCTATCGCACCCGCCTCGCCGCCGCCATCGTCAACCTCAAGCCCATCGTTCCCGGCCGTGCGTCTCTCTCGTTCTCGCTCTCACACCGCCCGCGACGGGTCCGCGCCATGCCGGAGTTGTCTCACGCACCGGCCTCCAGATGTCCTCGTCATCCCCACGCGCGTCGTCCCTCGCCTCGCGGACCTCAAGCATGATGAGCTCGGCGCCCTGATGACCTCCGTGCAACACGTCGCGCGCGTTATCGAGCGTGTCTACGGGGCCGATGGTCTGACCATCGCCTGCCAGGTGCGCCACACTTATGCTGAGTGAGCGCGCGCGATTCACTCAGCTGGGCTTGGCCAGGACGGCAAGGCGGCCGGGCAGACCGTGCCGCACGTACACTTCCATCTCCTGCCGCGGAAGCTCCAGGGAGACACGTTCGAGCGCAACGACGAGGTCTACCCTGCACTGGAGCAGTCCGAGGGTGAACTCCCGGCCGCTCTCCGCCAGGTCCCGCAGCCCCTCCAGATGGACGCGGACGAGGACCGCAAGCCGCGCTCGCTCGAGGACATGGAGAAGGAGGCACTGTGGCTCAAGGAGTTCTTTGATGCTGCAGCCGAGGCTCAGCCGGACACAGACGGAGATCAGATTAACAAGACATCGTAGATACTGTCGGTGCGATACGATAGGTATACATAGAGATTGGGGAGCAATGATCAAAGCAATAGGTTATATGGTCATGGCGGTCATTAAGATCATAACGAATGTCGAGACTAGGAAGAACCTCCAACCGGTGCTCCCGGTGTCGGCGGAGCGGTCGCTGGAGGAGTCGGAGCAGGGGGCATCGACGAGCCTCCGCTCGGACTAGATGGGCTAGATGACGGATCCCCACTGGGCGGGGGCGAACTCGATCCCGGAGCGGACGGATCGCCAGAACTCGGGGCCGGCGGTTGAGGCACATCGCTGTCCTCCCAAGTGCCCGGTATGAGCGCGATGGGCAGGAGCCAAGTCGCGGTGAGCGTGACGCCGTTGCCGATGTCGAAGCCCTTGATGGCACCCCAGCTCCATGCGACGAACCCGCCGATGTAGCCCAAGTATGGTACAAGACTTTTGACGAGTGCAAGTGCGGGGCGCAGCGTCGACGGGAGCGCGCTGTTGGGTACGTTGTTGAGCAGCCATGTGAGTGCGGACGTTATCATTGCGCTGAGTTTGGCAGCTTCGATCTCCTTGTCGTTGAGCAAGTTCATGATAGAGGGGGGAAGCCACCTGCAATTCCATAGCGAGTTAGAACCTGTTCGGTGGCGGACAAGTAAAGGACATACAATCGATATCCCCACCACATAACCTGTAGAGACAACTGGGTAGTGGAAGGCACCCAGACCCTTTTCTCTGTAAGAACTTTGGGCTTCGGTGTCGGTGTCGGCGTCGGCGTACTTGTTCCACTCGAGAATGGCCAGATCTTGCCGAAGCCCGTTTTAGGTGGCGCGACACCCGGAAGCGGCGCATCGTCGAGTATAACATCCACAATGGTGCCGTTCTCGTCGACCGAGACGATCTCCGAGCGCGCCAGCTCGACTGTAGAGGCCGCATTCGGTATGAGCGGCGCATAGAACATAACGCTGTCATCGTCTTCCATTGTGATGTCCGACTCATCTGCGCTGCCGTCCGAGCCTTCCGCGGAGCTCGCGTTCCCGGAAGACATGAGCGACTTGATGCGCAGGTTGTCGAGGAGTGCCCAGACGCTCTGGCGCCCGCGCGAGAGGGAGCCGTTCATCATCGTCGGGGAGGACAGCAGCGAGATGAGGCGCGAGTTGTCGATCGTAGCGGGCGCGCTGGGGTCGGTATCGTCTGCCGGTTTCTTCTCGCCGTTCGTAGCTCCACCATCGGAACCTGGGGCAGGCGTGGTCGGGGGAGTGGGCGGGCTGAGCGGAGACAGGAAGGGTGGTAGGGCAGAGAGCAGAGACTGAATCTTGCGCGCGAGCGGGAGAGGCTCTGGGTTGGGATCTGTGGCATCGTTTGTGGATGCTTGTTCTGCTGGTGCCGCGGCCTCAGGCTCGGCGGCGGCGGCGGCCGACTCGAGGATGGCGGGAAGCGCCTCCTCCGCTTCGGCGGTCGCGGACGAAGAGGAGCTTGAGGGCACAGAGTCGAGCTCAACGGCTACGGCTATCTCCTGCACGCTGACTTCCTCTGGCGTGCCTTTTGATTTCTTGCCAGCCTTGCGCGCCGCGAGCTTTGCGTTGACGTACCGCTCGAACGCGGTGAGCTTTGTGCGCGGAGACTTGGCGGTGGGCGGCCTCTCATCGGGCTGCGAGAGAGGCGACAGGAGGGCCGGCGTCGACAGCGAAGCATGTTTGGTGCTAAAGGCACGGCGGAGCGGAAGGCGTTCTCGGAAAGCCCGGAGGCCCTTGCCTTTCCCAGCGGCCTGAGTAGGAGTAGCGGGTGCGCTTGTGTCATTGGGCTCTGCGGCCGCGACGGTAGCTGGCTGTGGAGGTTGCACCGGCGCGGCGACAGCGACGGCGGCCATGGTGGTGGTCGCAACAAGAAGAGCGGAGAGAAGGGAAGAGGACGGTTGCGAGTGCCATGGCGGTCGGCTGTTGACGCGGTCACGGCACAACTTGAATTCAGAATTGAGTACCACGGGGTCGGCGCCCCTTCGCCGACGCGCGTGGTCCTTGCTTCCTGCCGTCATCATCATGCTCGTTTACCTCCACCGTGCACGCGCGTATGGCTCATATACGTCTGCGGGATCCATGACTGGACCCATGTGGCGGGCGAATCTCGGATGAGGATCCTCCAGGCTACGTGACAGTTCAAATACAAGCACTCTCGGCATCTTGCAAGGACGCACGCGGCCGCTAACATATGGTATCGTTTGGGTATCACCTGGCGCTGGTACACGACAAATACGAAGAATGCTAAAAGTCAAGATGCCTTCACATCCAGCGATTATGGGAGCATCGTGGGCACTGCCAGATCAGACACCGTGCGCAGCGCTGTAACGCAAAGTAAGTGCTGGACTATATCTGCAATAGTATGAATATAAGAATCGAGACTCACAAACCGGAAGTAGTTCAATGTACCGCAGGTGAAGCATTGCCAATCTCCTAGCCCCATGAATTGCCAGTAGTGCGGACAGGCATAGTCGGCCCGCAGTCGCTCGGCCTCGCCCGCGATGTCGATGTTGTGCTGGTAGAACGGTGCCGCATGTTCGACGTATTGGGCGGGTTCTCCAGGATACTCTTCCTCTTCGTCCGACGGGTAGTCTTCATCCTGCTGTGCATACGCTTGGTGCCGTTCTTGCTCTTGTCGTGCGTTCATCTGACGCCGTGCTTCCTCCTGTTGAGCGTTCACCCGACGCCGTGCAGCGCCGAGAAGCATATCCTCGTTCCACTGGTCGCATCTGCAGGTTTTCCATGGCGCGGTGCACACGTAACAGAACTGGTGCCTGCATCGACACGTCATGTGGTTGCACCCCATCAAGAGCTCGACGAGCTGCCCGCAGCTCGGACACCGTTTCCATCCGGATTCTTCAGCCAGAGCAATCACGTCCTCGTCCTCGGTGATCATGCATTGGACGTTACGATCATGCGAGGGCCCCTTGCAGTGCCCACATGTGTATGCCCAGCACGTCGTGCAGAGCATATGGGTCGGGGATGGGGTGGCTGCGCCGATGAATGTGGAACAGGTGGGTTCGTGGCAGTATACCCTGTTCTTGGTCCCAAACTCTACCGTCTTCCTTTCGACTTGCTTTCGGAGCCTGCCGTCCAGATAGCCCCAGATTTCGTTGAGCTCGAAGGGCTGCTGACAACATGCAGGCGGGAAGAGAGTTTCGTCGACCGTGGCAGCCTCGACCAAGTCAACGAGGCACTGGACGTCGTAGGGATGTCCACATGGTGCGGTGACCACCGGACCCTTGATGTCTTCCATGCAGACGACGCAGGGGTCAGTGCTTATATCGCAGGTCAGTACTCTCATCGTCAATATCTAGAGGTCGCTGACCTTTCTTCCGTAGGGCTTTCCGTGAGATGTGGCGGTTCTATTGCAGGGCCCCCCATGAAAGGTTGTGGTGGAATATAGGCGTCGAACATCTCGCGTCGCTCCCTGCCAGAGTCTACGTCACATGTATGGATTCATACGCAGACAGCTAAACTCACCGCTTCCAGGGCTTTCCTTCGAACCACCGTTTCAACTTTTGCCAAGGCGAAGAAGTGGGTTCAAAGGAGTATGTTGCCGAACGATAGTATGGGCGCTGTTCGTACGATGACCGATGCCCCGCTGGAAACCTCGGTGTGTCGGATCTCCGGTAGTGTCTGGGTCTCTCACGGCGCGCGCGCCATTCGAAGTCGTTCCGGGTAGCCCGCCAGTCGGTCTCGCTCAAGCTCCGGGCAAGGCGCAAGTCGTTTACTCTGGTGCCTAGCGCCGCGCCTTCTTCAGCATGGAGCTGCAGAGCGACCTCCCGGTCTGTGTGTATGCGGCGAGCATGACCCACATCCTCGAGACTGAGTGTGGCGACGAGTGACAAGAGATCTGCATCCTCAGCCTGGAATCCATCTCTGGCATAGCCGTGATAAGGAGGTGCATCAGCAAAGTGTGCGAAACTGTGCATAGCAAGTCAGTGCTCGGCGAGGATTGCATTCCCAAACTGGTCGGGTAGACGCTGGCAATGGACCGCCGCGCGTGGCCTACCTTCGGCGCGCGAGGTGAATCGTTGCATATTTGCGGCCATGCATGGCAAAGGATGTCAATGTATTTGCCACGCGGGCGGAAAGTATGCCAAGATATACCCATGCGGGGGTAGAGAATGCCATCCACCGCCGGGTATGGCAGAGTATGGCAGAGTATGGCAAAGGTATGCCATCGGTAGCTGCCCGCGGAGCGTGATGTCGTAGTAGCGTGAGCGACAGCAAGGGTCCCGCGTATGTACTAATTAATCGACGCGCATGATAACACGCCTGTAGGATTATGGATGATGAATCGTTGTACTCTTACAGCTGGTGAGCATGTTGTCAGTCGGGGGTACAGATTCTGAATCGGCCACGGCGCTTGACTCTCTTCCAAATCGAGACATGTCGGCCCCGCATGGCGCATCGCGATGTCGATCCTTCCCCGACTCCTCTCATGTTTTCACGCTTGCTTCACCGCTCACGCCGATTTTGACATGTCTTCACGCGCCCTCGCCTCATCGCTGTTCGGCTCCCTTGCCCTGAACCCTGCGCCCTACTCTCGTCGTATAAAGCTCTCGACGCGCTCGGTATCCCTCCCATCGTCGCTTGTCTCCACACTCCCTCTTAGCAACTGCTTCACGTTCCAAGCCTGGCCATACCCGGCTGGAATTTTCACGCAACGCTCCTAATGCCTGCTCTGCGCTATTCGGAGTCCCTTGCATATCCCGGTGCCGCTCTGGAAGACAGGTATCTTATTGGAAAGGTGTCCAGCGGTGAGCACAGTCGAGGTGAGTCTTTTTCGAGCGCAGGTCTGGGTGCTTTAACGTGTAAGTCGTGCATATATGCGGTTTGCGTCCTTGTATGCCGATCTATAGTTCGTCGCATCACCCTGTTTTCACGGTGCGTGTTCTTTGATACTAGGTCGCGCAACGAGTCACCGGCTCAGTTTACCACTAACTGATACTGCGCCGCGCCCCGCCTTTATGGCTGCGGCCACCATCGCAGCGCATATTACCCCTCATTCGAGAGGATGGATAGGGTGATGTGCGCGAAAGGCTCACACTCAAAGGTGAGTAGTTCCACTTTGCCTGCGCGCCTCATACTCATCGGCGGCGTACAGGTTTGCATAACTCTTGCATCATGCGCTCGCGCGCATTCACAGGAGATTACTCATCGTTCTGGCTCACCGCTACCACTGGCTCCGCTGCTGACTACGTCTCTGCTCACTGAGGCGCTCCACTTGCTATGTCCATGCTGCTCTCGATCGTGTCCTTGCTGTCGTGTCTCTGCTGTCGACTGGCTGTCAGATCCCGTTTGAAGTGCTGGTATAGTCTTGCTGACGTCGCATGCAGAGGCTTCAAATTTGCGGAGCTCTACTTCGCCACCGGACACCTGCGCCTACCTCTTCTGCGAGCACACATCTCTGGCTTCGTCGGCCTCCGTATGTTCGGCTGTTTTCCGTGTCTAGGTGCTAGGTGCCGCAAGAATATTCGCCGCTGTAGCACCGCCGGTCTGCGCTGTGTTATCACATATCAAATAAATCATTATATTTGTTTGTTTTCACACGGCTTCACTGTAAGGCTTGTGAAGATGTGGCGGGGCATTGTCGAGGCGTAAGTTTGCCCTGGTAGTGCGAGGGTCAGGTATGCAGCTTGCCCTCTATCGCATACCCATGGCATTCCAATAGCCACGAATGGCCTAATATTACCTTCCATGGCATTTCCTGCCTTACATGGCCGGGATGGCATATATCTACCTAGGATGGCAACGTATGTCAATGCCGGGCGAAGGGATGGCAATGCTGGGCAGGTATATGCCATATAATCGTGTACCCCCTGTATAGGTCGGCGAAAATTTGGCCAGCAAGGTAGGTATTGCATTGACATTTAGTTATGCATGTCCATGCCATACTATACATATAGGTATGCAACGTTTCGCACTTTTTGCTGATCAGTGCGTGTCTATACGGTCGCATTGCTGGTGCAGTTTAATGGAGAGACAGGAGATGGTTAGTGCAAGGAGTGTTCGAGTACGTGAGTGCTTTATTCTTACTCTCGGTGTCCATCTCGTGACATTCGTTCTGCCGGCGGGTGCTTCTGCTGGGAGCAGATAGGTGCCACATTAGTGAAGAAGTTGTGAAGACAAACACAACGTCCCGCGACCGCTGCTAGGCTATCATCGGTAAGGATCCTGAACTATTGTGTACGCGCAGAATAGCACGGCCGCTGAGCGCTGAGTGCGCGGTCGTCGCTATCGGCATATATACCCACCCGTTGGCATTCTCGGACTTCGCCACCTCATTTCGCTTCCCACTCATATTCACGGGCGTCCTAGCTTTGCGATTTCATGCCCACGGTCGCCACTTCGCCGTTGTATGCCCATTCTGAGTGCCCACCCACGTATCGCGAGCAACACAAGCCGGCGTACGCAGTCCCCTCCTTCCCACAGTGCTTGTCGGTCTAACCAGATTTCTGCCGATGCATCATAGCCCCCCGATCTCGTATCACCACTTCGCCACAAGAATGATTCGTCACTCTTGTCTTTGCTTTCGCATAAGATGGAGAGTCGCGCCAGAAGCACACCTCACAATAACGACGCCGCCCGAGAAGGTGCTGCATGGAAGGGATATGCACGACACTCAAAGATAGCAAGAGATCATAGTATCGGCACATATCAGCAGGTACGGCGAAGGACAGCTGCCGTCTACATATAGCGATTGCGCCTGCATCGGGCACAAGCCCAGATATGGCAACGCCGACAGCTCTGCCAATGCGGGTGAGCCTCATGTTCCTCGAGTTACAAAGGACACTCACGTATAGAAAGAGGTTCAGGTAGTGGCCACACCCCTCACAATTGCCGTCCGTCGACACGTACCGCCAGCGGTGCACGCAGTCGTGGTCTACCCGCAGACGCTCCGCCTCGCGCGCCACCCTCCGCCGGATCTCTACCACGTTCTCACCTTGTACGCCCTGCCGCTGCACCCTATCCTCCGCCGCGGCAATGAGCCTGTTCTCATCCCAATGGATGCAGGTACAGGTCCTCCATTGTGCGGTGCATAGGTAGCAGAACTGGTGTCTGCACCGGCACGTCATATGGTAGCACCCGATCGAGAGTTCCACGAGATGACCGCAGCCAGGGCATCGCTTCCACCCGGATTGGGCAGCCAGGGCAACCACAGCAGCGTCCTCCGCGCTCGTGCACCGGGTAGACAGAGCATGCGAAGCCGCCTTGCAGTGGCCACATGTGTTTTGCCAGCAGGTGGTGCAGAGAAGGTTTATCGCGGCTGGGGTGGCCGCGCCGAGGAAGGTGGAACAGGTGGGCCTGTGGCAGTACACCCTGTCCTTCGTCCCGAACTCGAGCGTCTTCCTGTCGAATTGCTTCTGAAGTTCCCCGTCCAGATAGATGTGAACCTCTTCAAGCTTGAACGGCTTCCTGCAACAAGCTGGTGGGAAGAGGGACTCGTCGACTAGAGCCGCCCGGAACAGATCGACTAGGCATCCGACATCGTAGAAGTCCCCGCAAGGCGCACGAATCGCAGGACCCCTGATGTTGTCTCTACAGATGACACAGGTCTCGGCTCTGAAAGTCAGCGCGTCAGTCAACCCAATCTCACCATCACTTAGGAGGAGATAGTACTGACGGTGCCTTGGCGGTAGACGTCGATGCGGAAGAAGATGAAGCAGCAGCAGCAGCAGCAGCAGCAACAGCAGCAGCAGCAGCAGCAGCAGCAGCAGCAACTTCCAGTGTTTTGCTTCATTTCCGAATCGGATGTCAGTACCAGTGCTTGCCCTGCTGGACGAAACCTGTACTTACCTTTCTGTAGACGACGATGCAACTGCTTTGATGTGCGCAACAGAGGCAGTGCTAGAAGAAGTGGTGCTGCGGGCCTGTACCGCCTGTGGACGCGGGACAGCCTCGTACGGAGGCGGTCGTCCCTCTGCTAGCGCCCTCGCAAACTCTCGATCGCGTCTGCATGCTTCCTCCGAAGTAGCCAGCTCCTCGAGCACCCGAGCATCCGACTCCAGTGCCGAATCCAAGCTTTGCGCGAAGCGTATGCCGCTAGCGAGGGCATCCAGAGCGGCAGCTTCTTCGGCGAACAGTTGGAGAGCGAATATTTCGTCATCCGAGGGACCTCCTAGCGGCCCACGATCGCTCTGCTTCCGTACTTCATTAATATCTTCAAGGCTGAGCGCAGCGATGAGGGACAGGAGAACCGCATCTTCGTCCGGATGTTCTCGGTTTGGGTGGCCTTGGGTGGCTAGGCCATCCTGCCCGGACATCTGTGATGAGGAGACGAAGTGCGAAAGGAGGTGGGATGCCGCTTTTCAAGGTGAGCAATTTATCGTCGTTCGCCGTGTCGCGTGGTATCCTCCATGCCGGCAGGTATCTTCTCCTGGGACTAAAGCGCTACTTTATCGACTCAGAAGTCTCGTCGGCATCCGCAATCGGTCCCAGGATGTGTCAAGGGAAGCGATTGAAGCGCAGGGCTAGTGCTCTCGACCTACCGCAGCACGCTCACAGGTCCGCCACTTGCCTGGTCTCAGCCGCGTTGCCTGCATCCCGATACCCCGTCCTTTGATTGAGCGGTGCGGATCGCCGTGCCCGATTCAGCTCTGTGCTGCGTCATGGTCACAATAGTCGTTGCCTCGAGGATGCGGCATGTAGGCCTATGCAACTGCGTCGCAGGCTGACCGCTATATTTCACGGACTGTGCAGATACGCCGTTACAGATCATTGCTCTCTCCTCCCTCATCATCCTCCACTCTCATTATGTCTTCAGGACGCGCCATACCCCACGAATGCGCCTCCAAAACGCCTGCATGGGCAACAACAGATCGCGTGGCCGACTGGCGCGCAACACCTTTGCGAGAACGCTTCGAAATCTTCAACGCGTTCATGCACGAGTTGGAGATGGACGGTCACCTCAAGACCTGCGTCAAGATAGCCCCGCCACACGTTGGCGCAGGTCGTCGCTGCGTGAAACGGGTCCCGGTGCCCTTAATGCCCCCGACTATCTTCGAATATCCCGAAGAAGACGAGGACGATTACCTGGAGGAGGCGGATAGCACAACAGCGTGCGACGATGGGTCACCCGTCTACGCAACACCTCGCGATAAGCCTCTCCCGCTCCCGCCACGAGATGTATCCAAGAAGTTGCCCCCGACACCTCGGGATCGTAACAAGGCGCTTCCATCGCTGCCCCCAACACCACCCCCAAAAACACGCCGCAAGGAGGAACCGATGCCGCCGACGAAGGGCCGCAGTAGAATTTCCTGTCTGAGCGCTGTTAGTACCTGAAGAACGGCTAGTTTCAAGTCGCTTTCACTTTATTTCTTTTTGCTTCATATGTCCGACACCGAGCCCTCAGACGATGATACAGTAGAGCTTCGCTAGTCCTGCATACGATACCCTCGCAATACACGCGCCCAGCCCCACCTCAGTCTCGTTTGCGTTTGCTACACGCGTGTTACCAGCATGACGTCTGCGGCTAGCTTAAGCGGTGCGAGATATACTCGCCAACACAGACGCACACAACGTGGCGCCGTCATCATGTCCTCCGCCACATCTCAGACGCCTCACATCCCCGATAACTTCGTCGTTGACGTCCACGACCTCGCTGCTATCATTCTCGATGCCCACGCTCGGACAGAGCCCCTCTTTCCTCATGCGCAGCTCGTAGAGATCAACCACGGCGACGCGCCGCTCGCCACCTTTCCCGAGCAATTCTTCCACTCTTCCTGGCACGAGAGCGCGGTGCTAGCACGGAAAAGAGTTGCATACATCCTCCAGACGGATTCATCTGCGCAGGAGCGGACCGCAATCGACACTTTCGCTACCGCAGAGGGCGTGAAAACCGCTGGTGGTCGCGAACTCACCCGACGCGGGCTCGAAGATGTGTACTGGCGATGCAAGGATTACAACAACGGCTACCTCCTCGCGTACGTCGCCCAACGAGTGTTCGACAGTCTGCCTCCGACCGCGGAACTTCGCGCACGCACTTCCACGAAACACGAGGTGCTCTGCAGGCCGAGCGAGGTGACCGTTGCGGAGATCGACATCCGCCCCAAAGAAGCGTGCCTCATCCTCGTCAAGGAGCCGCGCCCCGACCTCGGGCCTTCGAAGGTTGACATGGCGCAGCACCTCTCCGGGTTTTCCGATAGCATGCCCTGGGTGTTCCTCCTCCTTGGCGAAGCCATGTCCACCGACATGGAGGCCGACGCGCGCGTCGTGCTCGACCTCGTCCTCCCCCAGATCGGCGGGCGCGGCGGAGGTAGCGAACCGTTCGCGCTGGAGCGGGCGATCGTATACCACGAGAAGGTACTCGCGAAGGTCGCGGATGAGTTCGAGCGGTACGATCTGTCGGGCAAGATTCGAATCGCGGAGGAAGACATCCGCCGCCGCGGGGACGCGCTCGTCGCGCTCGTCCTGGACCGGATCGCACGGATCGCCGCGGGCCAGGATCGCTTCTGTCGATATTGCGGGAAGGATGGGGTGGAGACGCGCTGCTCGAAGTGCAAGAAGGCGTTCTTCTGCTCCTCGTGCCAGGCGCTGGGGTGGAAGTATCACAAGGTGTGGTGTTCGTGAGTGGTATCGTCCCTATTGTGATGTCCTATGCTGTATTCTGTACTCAAAACAACCATCCCCTATGCTAACTTCTCACGGGTGTCCTTTAAAGCTTCGCACTCGTACATTCCGTGAAGTGGATGCGCGGCAGACGGCCGGCTTTGCCATCTATGTGCTTCCGCTGCGCTTCGGTTCAGCCGCTGCTGCGGAAGTCCGGCAGAAATGCGCAATGAAGAGTGGCGTCAAGGGTGCTCCGCAACGGAAGCGCATCAAGTAGCATATGTGCTTCGGGGATGCGACAACATCTTAATTCATTTCCGAACCACAACCGCACCCGCTCTCACCATGGCATACCCACCTCCCATCTCCCCTACTGGGCCGTACCTAGACATGCATGATCTCGCAACGTGGATTCTACACGCACACGCCACCGTCATCGCAACTCCCTTCGCCACCGCGAAAATCGTCGAACTCAATATGAACGGCGACCCCTTCCAATCGCTCAGCCAAAGTCCCGATGGGTGGACCAACCATTCAGGGTTGCACCGGAAGGTCGCCTATGTTCTTAGCGATGGCCCTCGCGGTACTCCAGACGTCACTCTGAACACCTTCGTCTCTCCGGACTTCACCCCAGACATCGGCACTTTCACAAGGCAGGCGGTGGAAGACATCTTCTGGCGCTGCAAGGACCTCGACCAGGGCTCCCTGCTCGCACACGTCGCGCAGTGCGTCTTTGACACACTCGCTGAGAACGGGCTATGGCTGCGCGCGCGGACGTCCATCGGGTACGAGCTCGTTTTCAACCCGACGGAGATTAGACTCGGCTCCGCGATGGTCACCCCGCGCGAGGAGTGCATCATCATACACGGACAGCCGACGGGAGGAGTGCAAATCTCGGGCTCCAGCGGGCCCTTCCCGTGGCCGTACCTCGTCCTCGGGAGCGACGCCGACCTCGACCGATGCGTCGTCCTCGACCTCGCGCTGCCAGGGATCGGCGGGCGGGGCCTCGGCGGCGAGATGTTCGCACTCGAGCGGTACGCCGACTACATGGCGCGCGTCCTCCCACTGTACGCGCAAGTCCACTCGCTCGAGGACCTCAAGACAGGCACCCAGCCCTTCTCGACCGACGAGTATATGCAGGCGCGCGGCAGGGTCCTCACGGTCGCTGTCATGGACAGAATCAGAGCGTCCGCACGCACGGAGGACTTTTGCAGGCATTGCGGGGAGCCGGAGGTCATATCGCATTGCACGTATTGCCCGGCCAATTTCTGCGCGCCGTGCTACGAGCTGGGTTGGAGATACCATAGGCGATGGTGCGTTCCGTTTACGGGTTGAAAGCCTATCACATCTTCGTCTCGTACATAGTGAACGTCTTGATGTTACTGCTGCTGGCGTATCAAAAATACACCCTGTCTCCATCGTTTGAGCTTGGCTCATGTCGGGCGGATGCAATTGCTGCAATGGCGGTTTTTTCCAGACATACCGTTCCGCGGCTCACACTCCGCCGTACTAGGCGCGGATGTTTCGCAAACATCCGTCTCGTAGGGTCTTGCGGACAAACCCTCATCGCAATGCATGAAGCGGCATATATACCTTCTGCGGCTAAGTCTTGCGGAGCATCCAGCCTTTCTCCAGCATGGCCTCCCCCGTCCCCTCACCGCTCGGCAGACCAATCCTGGACATGCACGATCTCGCAGCGATGATTCTTCATGCCCACGCTACCGTCGATGGAGCCCCTTTCTCCCGGTCGAAGATACTCGAAATCAACAAAGACGGCGCCCCTTTCCAATCCCTCACCGACCAAGAAGCCCCCCACGGGTGGTTCGACCCTAGCGGACCGCCCAAACGCACTGCTTACGCCCTCTACGATCCTTTCGATATTCCCCCGGGTCCAATGGCCACCGTGGAAACGTTCCCCTCCCCGATGGGCATCTTCAACGCGGTCAGCGACGACCGCACCCTCAGCCGCCGCGCGATCGAGGACGCCTTCTGGCGCTGCAAGCTCATCCACCAGGGCTTCCAGCTCGCCTACGTCGCGCAGCTAGTGTGCGGCAGGCTTCACGCGGCCGGCGCCCGCCTACGCGCGCGCACGTCCACCGGATACGAGCTCCTCTGCAGCCCCTTGGAGCTCACGGTTGGGACCGCGACCGTCACCCCGCGCGAGGCGTGCGTGGTCATGTACGCGAACGAGACGGATGTGCGCGTTTCGAGTTTCTTGGGGTTCGACGGCCCCATCCCGTGGCCGTACCTCGTATTCGGAGACTTCAACGACCTCGACCGGTGCGTCGTTTTGGACCTTGCGCTCCCCCAGCTGGGCGGGCGTGGCCTGGGCGGCGAGCTCTTCGCGCTCGAGCGGCACGACGAATACATGGCGCGCGTTCTCCCCCTGTACGCCGAGGTGCACCACGTCGCAGTGGTCACCTTGGGCGTAACGCCCCGCCTGGCCTCGGACGAGATGCGGGATCGCGCGGAAGTGCTCGCGGAGGCCGTCGTACACAGGGTCATCGGGCCTCGTCAGGGAGAGGCGGACTTCTGCAGATATTGCGGGGAACCGGGGATCATCACTCGCTGCGGGGTGTGCAAGACCTCCTACTTCTGCGAGCCGTGTCACAGGTTGGCCTGGAAGTACCACAGGAAGTGGTGCACCCCGTTCAGAGAGCGCTGAGATTCGAATTCCCGTCGTGCCCGGGACTCACAAGTAGTGTGATGAAATTGTATCCACCTTTTATGCATTCTCCACCATGGTCGCGTGTACCGCGTACGATGTGCAGATGGTACTAGTCTGATTATTCACACGTTCAATACGTAGCTTCAGCCAGTTCGTAATGTCGTATCCGTCCGCAAAAATACATGGCATCAATATCATTAATCTCAACACCTCTGCACGAAGCTCGCAGCGTGCGAGGAGTCCAGCTATCTTGTAAACGCGCCTTCGGTTCCGTTCACTGGCCGCCGCTTTTCAACTTAAGCCCAGGCAGGCTGAACATCTACAAAACCACCGTCAACCACTCAGCACAATTACGACACCGCAAACACAAGAAGCTCACCTCGAAGATCATCTCCGCAGGCACACCCCACCCGCGCACGCCCTGCAGCTGGTTCACGAGCTGCGTGCCCAGCACAACGCCCACGACCGCCCCGCTCTCCTCGTCCACGATCGGGCCCCCGCTCGACCCCGGCGTCGGCGGCGGGTCGAAGTGCAGGTGTGCGAGCGAGTCGTACGTCCCCGGCTGCCCATCATCACGACCGTCAGCTGAGTCGTGCATCAGGGAGTAGAGGAGGGGGACTGACCTTGGCCTCGCGCCCGGCAAAGTCCTTGTACCCGAGCGCGGTCCCGCGCGCCCACTTGCGCCACGTCCCGCCGACCCAGGGCGTCCAGCCGTCCGCGTCGCGTCCGCCCGGCGGCGGCGGCTTGTCCGCAACGAGGTGCGCGCGCACCGCCGTGCCCGGCTGTACCGGGTACGGGTTCACGGGGAGCGTCTGGAGTCCTTGTGCGGGCTCAGAGGGAGCGTGGGTTGAAGCGGAGAGGAGGAGGAGGTCGCCGCGGTGCATCGCGGAGAGCACGGCGCGCACGGGGTGGAAGACCGGCGCGGTGGGCGGCCCTGCGATCACGAAGGAGCCGGAGATGTGGTCGCCCGGGCGCACGGCGGGACTGGGCAGCCCAGCGCGGAGCAGCGTATCGTGGCGGATCTGCAGCAATACGCAACTACCGTGAGCACTATGGGGGTTCATGCAGGGCAGAGAAGGGTCGCACCTCCTCAAGCGTATGCGCACAAGTGACGAGCACGGCCTCGCCCGGGGGCGCGCCGGGGGCGTGCACCGCGAACCCGGAGCTGTACGCGACCTTGTGGCCCCTGCCCGTGCGGTCCTGCACGACGTGCACGACCGTCACGAGCGCGCCGTCCGCTCTGCACACCGCCGCGCCCGTGCTGACGTCGGAGAACTGCGCGCGGCGCTCCGGGCCCGGGCGCGACTCGTACGGGAGCGCGGAGGGGAGGACGTGCCCGGCGCGCTTCATGTACTGCTCGACGAGCTCCGTGAGCGGGATGAGCGGGGGCCGCGCGGAGGCGGCGGTGGCCTTGCGGAGTTCAGCGAGGACGTGGGCGTCGAATGGCTTGATCGGCGGATGCTGCTGGGGGGAGGCAGACGTTGGGGGGTTAGTGGGCGTGCTCGTCGAGGGGGGTGGGGGCGGCGGGGAGGGCGGGGAGGGTGGCTCGCCGAGGAAGGTGGTCGAGCCAACCTGGGCGTAGTGTCTGCGGGGACATGGTCTTGACCGGAGCGCCTGGGCGGCGAGTGGGCGGGCGGAGATGGTCAGGAGGGGCGAAGAGTAGCAGCGGGTGGCCATCGTGCACTGACAGAAGCTCAGAATTGCATTCGGGTGGTGGGTGGTAGTAGAGTAAGAGTACCCTGGCAGTCCTAGCACTCGTCGGACTCGACCCCGCCTTGGCTGGAGTCGGAGACGAGTCCGACCACTGCGCCCACTGCGAATGACGTCATTCTCGCCGCAAGGTCTGACGACTATGTAGGTCTTAATTTCCGCCCGTTCTCCGCGAGACGCCAACTGCGCGATGTCATAACAGTACTGAATGCGGACGTCATGATGAAGACAAATTCATTTGAAGCATCTAGGTTTGCAAGAGAGCAGCAGTTGGAAAGCAAAAGACCCCGCTAGATCGTACGCTAGTATATGCGCGATACATCCTCAGAACACACAAGAAGAATATGCGGCAGTAGATTAGTCTACGACGACGCTCCAAGGATGCGCGATCTTGCCCGTCTGGATGCCCGTCAGGTACTTCCACAGCGGCCGCGACACCGGGCCCATCCCGTCCGGACCCGTCGGGATGTGCACGTCCTTGCCCAAGTAACCGATCCGGTCCACAGGGCTGATCACCGCCGCTGTACCTGCGCAATCATTCCCCGTTAGCACTCCGCACTAGTGCGCAGGGAGTAGGGTTACTTACCGGCGCCAAATACCTCGGCGAGGGTGCCGTTCTCGGAGGCCTCCTTCACCTCTCCCATCGTTACCGAGCGCTCAGACACAACGAGCTTGTCCGAAAGCTCGGGTACGTTGATCTTGCCTGTCTGGTGGTCCCTTGCGAGCCCGAGCACGGAGTCGCGGGTAACACCAGGCAGGATGAGGCCATCCAGCGGGGGCGTCACAAGCTCGTATGCTGCGTGGACGAGACAAGTGAGCGGCTGAGCAGCGAGGTAAGTAGAGATATGGGTGACGTACATCCGTCCGCCTTTTTGAACACGACAAATGCATTCATGGTGCCAACCTCAGTGATGTAGTGCTCGGGCCCGTGCAGCCATAGGTTCTGCACGTAGCCCTTCTCAGCCGCAGCCTTCTGTGCCGCGACACCCGCGGCGTAGTTTGCGCCAAGCTTGTATGCGCCAATACCACCGGGGGATGCACGCGTGAACTCGGTCGTGCCATACAGCGCTACGGGCTTGAAGCCTTGTGGGTAGTATGGGCCGACGGGACTGCAAATGACGAACAGGAGGGCCTGTTTTGGAGGTGCGATACCCAGTGCGGGTTGCGTACCAACTGATACACATAGTAAGTTATCATGCAGACACGGAGATGAGAGGGAGACGTACTCATTGTCGGACGGAGGTAAAGACTGTAGCCGGGCTGGTCGGGTATCCAGCCCTTTTCCAGACTGACAAGCTGCTTTAGGAGTTCCACCATAGCCTCCCCGTTAAAGTTCTGCATGTCCGGCGAGGTTACATAAGGCGCACTGAATTGCACTGGGGGTTATACGCACGGGCATCGCTACGCGCTCGGCGCTCGTGTTCATGCGCTTCATGTTCATGTCCGGGCGGAACAGGGTGACCTTGCCATTCGTATCCCGGTACGCCTTCAAGCCCTCAAAGAGACAATGCGCATAGTGGAAGACGGTCGCGCTCGGGTCGATGGCAAGCGGTCCGTCTACATCGCCGTCAGTGACCCCTCTGCTTCCTCTGCGGACATGAAAGGACACGCACAAGGCTGGATCTTCGGCGCACCCCATCCCTCCTGTATGTGCCATGGCACCGCCAGCATGTGATCCGTCTACATGATCACGCACGCCGCTCGCTCAGCACGCCGCATACGGCTCCGCAAGGGTGTGAACGGACTCACGAAGGTGTGACCGAATACGAGGCTGGACGGGGGCGGCGGCCGCTTCGGCTGCTGCGTGCGCGTAATCTCGAGCAGCGAGGGCTAGGGAGACAGGGACACCGGCGTCGGATCATCTTCCCTTCTCTCGTCCATCGGAACGGCGTACACACCTCGATGTCCGGGAGCTGCACCCGCTCGCCCGTCATGGGGTCCAGGCCCGCGCTGTGGTAGCGCACATTCGCGAGCTTGAGGAGCTGCGAGGGGCCGGCGCGGAGGGCGGTGCGCTGCGCTGAGGCGAGGCGGAGGGTGCGGAGGGAGGTCGTCGACATGGCTGGTAGAGTGCCGCTGTGTGCAGGACGAGCGGTGAGTTATACGCCAAGGAGGTGACTCGCACGATGACTGGGTGGCAGGACAGGAGGGAGTACTTTTCCGATTTGGGCAGGAGCCGGTCTGTAACGCCCAGGCGCCGGCCGAGCACTCCGGCGCTGGACTTACCGTACTAGTTACTCCTGCCTTTCTCGGTCTACCCGCGTTCTGCTTACAGAACGCTCTCTCATCCCGCCTTGGCTTCGCCTTGGCACTAAAACTTCCTTCTCTCTCTCTCTCCTCCCCGCTACGTATAAAACCTCTTGTATTCACGTACGGCTGAGGGATCGTTCCTTCTGCAATCGACCAGACCGTAACCCTGTCTATCAGCGTCTGAACGTTCTCGTGTGCCACCTCCTTCCTATTCTGGTTGCCGGCGTCACATCTTTTTGACATCACACGGATTCTCTCGTGTCGACTCTCTTGCTTCTGCTCTACTAGCTTCACTCAAAAAAAAAAGTCTCGCCTTGTCCGACGTCTGGGTCTGATCACCCTTCGACCAACGACACCGCTCGACTACCCCACCCCGCCCCCCCACTTCGACATATCGACATCTCGGCGTTGCTCCAACATGTCGCAGTACAACCTCCGAAACCGCACCTCGGCGACTTCGGTCCACAATCCCCAGGCCATACCGGGAGAGTTTCGCGACTCTCCCGCTCCCGACTCCGAGTCCTCAAACACGCCCTCGGGCGTGGACTCTACGTCCGGAGTTGGAAACTCCGAGTCCAAGGATGGGCGCCTGACTTACAGTCAGGTCGCTTCCTCGCGACTTCCCTCACCGGAACCTCAGGTTCCCGAGGAGATCCCTGCTGCGCTCAGCGAGCAGGCGGCTGTTGTAGATAACAGTACTAAGAATAAAATTCTTGATAAAGGAAAAGCGCCCGAGACGTCGAGCGACTATCCCTCCATTCCCATGAAAGAGGCGAATGTAGAGGACGGACATTGGGAGACGGCTCCGCGAAGCGGCAGGCACTCCCCCACCGCAGGTCGTGCCCCCGCGCCGAGTTATGCCAGTGATGCATCGCGCGGGGAAGGAGCTTCAAATTTGAAAGCAACCCGCAAGGGCAAGGAGACTGCGACGGCACCGATGCGCGTGCCCGGTCTCGAGGAGCATGAGCTCGACCCAGAAGTACAGCGCCTCGAGCTGCTGCGGTACTCGCCCGTCCGCAAAGGGGTCGAGACTCCGCAGCCTCGGCAAGTATCTTGGGCAGGCCCGAGCACTACTATACTGAACTCGGACTCGGCCTCCGGCGTTGCATCAGTTAACCAAGTAGCTCAGGGCGCCATATTGGCCTCCGAGGATGCGGCATCGGATGATATTGCTATTCAAATCGAGGAACTTGAGGATAAGATCCGCCTGCTTCGTCTGCGATCTCCCCCGAGAGCCACGAGCACCGGGAAGATTGCCCCCCGGCTACCTAGCACGCCCGCGGACTTTAAGTTGCGCGGGTCTGTTATCGGAACACCTTCCAAGGGCAACGGGGCAACGGGTCCCCTTCCTGGGCAGGCTCCGACCGAGCAGGGCGATGAGCCCGTCACCGCCGGGCTCGCGCCCCTCCAGTCTCTCAGTACGTCACTGAAGACGGCCCGCACGGCTAAGACTTCGCGCTTGAACACGCGCGCGGAAGAACCGCACATCGGTTACGACCCAGCTGGTGCGCTGGTGTCTACTACAATGGATCGCGTGCGGGGCCACCTATCTCGTGCACCTGCCCCGCCTACTTCGAAGCTCGGGCGAGGGGCATTGGACCCTGCCCTGCGGCCCCTAGCACAGCTCGAACCGACGAGCAGCCTGGGCCAGGTATTCCGGCAGCTTGAAGAACGGACGGGGGGGGGAGGACCGCCCTCTTCGTCTTCGTCTTCATCGAGTTCCAGCACCAGCCCAGAGTCGTCGGACTCTGGGGAATCTCTTGGAAATTCGGATAAGCGACGGAGTAAGAACCGTAGGAAGAAACTTGCCCGCCGAGAGCGCGACCGCGCCTCGCGCCTCACGCCCACGCTACGAGTACCCGTGCTAAAACCACGAGAACCGGCCATGTATGACGGATCACCTGTATATCAGAAGTTCCGTAAGTTCACGCAGGACATCACCGCGTACATCGATGGTTATCAAATACCTGAGGAGCGTCAGGCCGTCATAGTGTCGCAGTTTTTGTCGCGGCGCGCGGAGTCTTGCTATCAGGCTACTTGTTCGGAGGCGCCATGGGAATGGTCCCTGGGAGAAGTACTCGAGGAAATCTTCAATTACTGCTTTCCTGTGGATTTCCGTCAACGTATGCGTGAAAAGTTGGAATTGGCAGAGCAAGGGGGACGTACTGTGCGCGAATTCGTGCATGAGCTTCAAGAGCTTTTCCTCCTCCTCGGCCGTATGTCCGAGGAGACGAAAGTCGAGAAGCTATGGTACGGATTGAGACCAGCCTTACAAGCTGATCTCTTCCGCGCCAGGCTCACTCCTGCGTCGGCTTCCTGGGCCTCTGTCCAGACCGAGGCGGAGATCGCTGAACTAGCCCAAGCCGCCATGGCTTCCGCCGAGCGGCGCCAGCACTCGCAACGCGCCAGTAGGGCGTTTGGCCAGTCCAGTCGCTCGCCCCGACATGACGGGGGTGATTATCCCGCGTCTCGATCACGGGACCGCCCTCGCGACCGACGGCCTGAGCGCGAGCCTCCTACTAGGCCGACCGTGTCCACGGCCCCCAACTCTGGACGAGAGTCCAAGGGAGGGCGGACGTCCGGCAGTAAGCTGGGACTCCGTACGGCCGATAAACATAGAAACCCACTTACGGACAAAGAGCGCGACGATCTTCGCGCGGCCGGGAAGTGCTATAACTGCCGCGAGGTTGGCCATCTATCGCGCAATTGCCCGCGCTCGAACCAGGTCTCTAACAGCACCCGGGGGAAGCCTCCGGGTGTGACCGCCTATAGTATGAACATCGCATCAGCGGACCCGACGGACGAGCTGCGTGCTTTCGTGGACTCATCTAGCCACATCGACCGAGTCGAGTTCAACCACATAGCCGTTTCGGTGGGCGACGCCTCGCTCCCCGCTCCCCCGCGCATGTCATACGCCAGATATGCGGCGCGATGCGAAACCGTGACGGACTTGGACAGCTGTGCATCGGTATCGGACTTTGGCGGTGACGTGGGCTCTGTGCGGGGTAGTCTGCCGAGCTTGCAAACTGTGTCCTTCGGGTCGCGAAGCTCGGGCAGTGTTTGCTCTAGTCAAGGGCGCGCCCCGACGTTCACATCGCACGATGCTCCTGTGGCTGCAGCCTCCCGCACTTCAGTCATCGCTTCTCTTAAATACCCGGGCTCCCTGCCGAGTCTGCAAACGATCCGTGTCACTAGTGAATTATCGGACGTCGGGGACGAGCAGCAGGTTGACGTACTGCGGTATCCTCTCGATCCCCAGTCCGCATCTTCCGAGTCATTTACCGATTTCTTGATGCGGGTGTGTTCCTCTTCCGAGTACAGCGAAGGGGATCTGGAGGTTGTGCCTACGCGAGCCGATCGCCTTCTCCCTCTGACGTCCCAGGAGGGACGGGCATATGTCCCTCTGGGGGATGTATTGGCCGATCGCGCCGAGTCGCTACTTAATAGATACTTGCCTTACTTCCCGGACGAGACGTCCGGCGATTCCGCAATCCTTGTGGGACCACGGGACGACGACCACGTATCCGTGTTGTATAGCGAGTTCCGTGGTATCACAGACAACGGGTGTCTCCTGCCTACCGAGGACGGCACGGTGCCTCTCAGTCGTGCCTGTCTGGAGGATGAGACTTTCGATGTCGTAGCCTGGTTCCGCGCCCTTCTGGGTGGCCTGCTTCGGCGGGACACCGACGAGAACAATGAGCTCGTGGACAACGGGTCCGAGCTCATTGGGGATGCCTTCGGCATTCATGCTGCCGCTGTGCTGAACCGCGAGATACCCTGGCCCGGCTCCTCGCACTTGTCGGAAGACGTAGAGGGCGTGGCTCGGTTTACGGCGTTCCGTTATGGTGACGTCGTTCTGCTGGAGGACGCGTACCTGTCTATGGACTGCCAGATTAGTCTGAGCTTCCTCCGTAATGCACTGTTCGACTTGCCCGGATGGTACTCCGCCCTGGCACGGCGGTACTGTGCACCGGAGGGCGTAAGCGACTCCCTGGCACTAGGGCTGGCTCTTTTGGACCCTGGCGCTGGGGCATGCGATGCTGAGCCGCTGGAGGGCGTGTCCTGCTGTGTCGCGGATCTTACCGTTCGGCCGTTGCAGCGCAACGCCGCTGAAACCAAGGACTTCCGGCGTGTTGTCCCGGATCCTATAGTGGTGACCGTCCACGTGAACGGACAGCCTGCCCGCGCTCTCCTCGATTCCGGCTCCTTGGCAGACTTCATGTCTGCGAAGTTTGCTCATCAATTGAACGTCAAAGGACACGAGCTGGAAAAGCCCCTACCCGTTCAGCTGGCTGTACAGGGCTCTCGCGCGAAGGTCAATTACGGCTGTAAAGCGGACATCGTCTATCAGACCATCCGTGAGCGACGATACTTCGATATCATGAACATCTTGAACTACGACCTTATTCTCGGGACTCCGTTCCTTGCCCAGCATCAAATGGGTTTGGGATTTAACCCCTCGAAGGTCGTGGTAGGCAGTGCGGTCACCGCTCCAGTTCCCATCGCCCGCGCTCGCATAATTGAGTCACGCGCAGCCGATGTCCTAGAGGGCGAGCTCGACAGGATTCGCGCTGCGCTACGAGCATACGCCGCGCCCATATGCCGCGACGCGAGTGACGCACCTTTTCCGCCGCTTCGCGCCGTAAACCATACCATCCCATTGAAGGACCCGGCTAAAGTTTATCACTGGAGGCCGTCCAAATGCGCGGATGCGTTACTACCTCACTGGGTTGAGAAACGTGACGCGTACCTAACCACCGGTCGCTGGCGTATGTCCACTTCGCGGAACACGTCCCCTATGCTTCTCTTAAAAAAGCCGGGGACCGGAACGAATGGCGTCCCAGCTCGTTTGCGGGTGGTGTGCGATCTTCGCGAACGTAATGCTAACACTGTAAAAGTGACGTCTCCGCTGCCCGATATGGAGGCCATCCTACGGAGGGCGTCTCGTAAACCGTACCGGAGTCTCATAGATGGCAAGGACGCTTACGAGCAAATTCGCGTCGAACCGGAGCATGTCGAACGCACCGCTATGACCACCCCGGACGGAAACATGGTTAGCCTAGTGCTACAGCAGGGAGATTGCAACGCCGTTGCTACTTACCAAACATTGATGAACCACATCTTCGGGCCGTTTATTGGCCGTTTCATGGACGTCTATTTGGACGATATTATAATCTACTCCGATACTGTAGCGGAGCATGAGGATCATGTCAGACAAGTTATCGACATCCTAAAACGAGAAGAACTCTACCTGAGCTCTACTAAACTTCAATTCCTATGCGAGGAGCTGAAGGTACTCGGGCGGATACTTGACCGTGACGGGATCCGCATGGATCCTGACAAAGTCGATTCCGTATTGAACTGGAAGGTACCTACCTCGCGCGAACTTCTGCGTGGGTTCCTCGGGTCAGTGGGGTATCTCGCGGATGATATAGCTACTATTCGCATACCGATGGGGGTGCTGTCCGGGCTCACTGGCCTTGAGACCAGCTTTCGCTGGGGTCCCACGGAACAACGCGCATTCGATGAGATCAAGCGTCTGACGCATGCTCATCGAACGCATCACCGCAAGCCGCTCGACTACTCGCCCACGGCGCCCCGTATCTGGCTAGTGACGGACGGCTCCCTCGGTGGCATTGCTGGGGTAGTATGTCAGGGCGCGGACTGGCGCAACGCACGCGTCGCCGCGTTCTTCTCTGCGAAGCTCGGGTCAGCTCAGGCCAACTACGCAGTTCATGAAATAGAAATGCTTGCCGGTGTTGAATCCATGTTAAGGCACCGCGACATCCTGTTGGGTTGTCAGTTCACTTGGATCACCGATCACAAGGGTCTCATCCACCTCCTCGGGCAGAAGAACTTGTCTGGGAGGCAGGCACGTTGGATTGAGAAAATCGGCGAGTTTGATTTTGAGATCGAGTACGTACCAGGGGTTGACAACGTCCTTGCCGACGCCTTGTCTCGCATCTACACCAACGATGCTCCCGGCACGGTGCGAGCCCCGTCAGAGTACGTCGCGCACGATGACAGCGGACCGCAGCCCGTGGTCGCGGCGCACGCTATGTCTGTGCCAGTCCTGACTGCAGGAGAGGCCGCGGCGTTGTTACCGGGCAATGAGCCCCATCGACCGCGTACGCGTGCTTCAACAGGTGCGACATCGCGGCAACAGGCAGTGCCTCGGGCCGCCCCGCGCCCCACCGTCTTGCCCGTGGCCGCTCGTCCTACGAGGGCTCCGTCAGCCCTTCCCGCGAAGCCGGCAACGGTACTCAGACGTACCTCCCTGTCTCGTAACCGTCCTGTACGGGCAACCCCCGCTCAACCGGCGACGCCGCCGCCCCAACCTGATCGTCCATCGCGCCTCGCTTCGCTGCCGGCGGAGTCTGGCCGGCCTGAGTCGGCGCGCGAGTTTGCTAAACGCATAAAGCGTGTCGTTCTTCGCATCCCATCGCAAGAACGGGAGGGCGGGAAGGATAGCGTGCAGGATGAAGGGGGGCGGGCAAGCTACGTTGCCCCCCCGACCGCGGCTGACACGCCCCCTTCACACACCCGGCCTACGCCGGAGGATGACCTACTGCAAGTAGCTCGTGAGACTCTGTCCCGCCAAATGGGGTTCTTTACGTACCTATCCGAGAATTCGGAGGGCGTGAATCTCACGACCGCATTAGCAGGCCGGTACGCCGAAGACAAATTCTTCAGCCGAATCTTGGAGAACGTGAAGTCATTTAAGAACTTCCGCTATGCCGATGGTCTCATTCATCTGCATGAGAATCATCGAGACCTCCTGTGTCTTCCGGACGTGCTATACAACGGACGTAGTGTTCGTGAAATTGTAATTACACATGCACACTCTTTGCTGGCTCACCTTGGGTCTTATAAGACGCTGAACTTGCTACGCGACCACGTCTGGTGGAAGACGATGGCCGCAGACGTCCGCTCTTACTGCGATTCGTGTCAGACCTGTAAACGCAGTAAGCCGAACAATCAGCGCCCGTACGGGCTTCTGCACTCTCTTACCGTGCCCAAAGCGCCCTGGGAAGTCATAGGCATTGACTTCGTCGGGCCGATGCCTGATTCGCGCGACCGCAACGGAGTTTACGACTCCATTGCGGTCATCATCGATCTCTTAAGCGGCATGGTACACCTCGTACCGTGTAGGACCAACTACACCGCCAAGCAAGTGGCGGAGCTCGTCTTCGCAGAGGTCTATAAGCATCATGGAATGCCTCGCGCGATCGTTAGCGACCGTGACTCTTTGTTCACTAGTTCGTTCTGGACTCACCTACATCGCCTTATTGGTGTCGAACTGCGCATGTCCAGTGCTTATCATCCCGAGTCGGACGGATCGACCGAGAGGGCTAACCGGATGGTGACGCAGATGCTCCGGCAGTGCATCGGGCCAACCCAGAAGGACTGGGTGTCCAAATTGCCCGCTATAGAATTCGCCATTAATACGGCGCGCTCTGACACTACCGGATACGCACCATTTTTTTTGAACACCGGGCGTATGCCTCGAGCAATGATCTGGGACGATGCGCGTTCGGATGAGTACCCTGGTGTTCGTGTCTATGCCCAGCGGGTGAAACACGCGGTCATGGCAGCTCACGACAGCATTCTTGCCGCCCGCGTCAAACAAACGCGGGACGCGAACAAGAAGCGTAGGCCCGCCCCCTTTGTGGCGGATGATCTCGTGTACATTTCCACCAAAAATATATCGCTCCCGAAAGGGCTGGCGAGGAAGCTCTCCCCCAAATACATTGGACCTTACAAAATCCTACGTGATTTTGGTAACCACTCTTTCCAGGTCGACTTACCTCGTAACCTGAAGCAGCGTGGGGTCCATGACGTCTTTCACTCGTCTCTTCTTCGTATTCACGAGCCGAACGACGACCGTCTATTCCCCGGTCGAATGGAGACACAAGTGGCGGAATTCGAGGACTCCGAGGATGAATGGATCATAACTCGGATCCTGTCGCACCACGGCGCGCGGGAGCAAGCCATATTTGAAGCGTTGTGGCGATCGGGCGATCGCACTTGGGTGCCGTACCGGGAAGTACGCAGTACCCGCGCGGTTGCTGAATATTTGGAAGTACTAGGAGTGGAAAACATTAGCCAGCTGTCTGACGG